TGATAGGAATCCCAAAATCCCTGTGGCTACTGGAAAGGGTCCTTGGGTGCCCTGCCTCACCTCGAGAAGCGTCCCTTTTGCCCTGCCAAGCCTCGAAGAGATTCCTGAGGTGTCCCTCGTTACTAAACAGGAGTCCTGACGTCACTGAAGAAACTCGTGTTTTGAAGGGCCATCCCCGCCGTAAGTCGAGAACATACCCCAGGTCCCCGCCGCAACTCGAGAAAAACCATGAGACTTCCCCCTAGAGGCGAGATGAGGCCCCATTCCCCTGCAGTGCATGCAGAGCTACTCCGTGATCCCATTCAAACAAGTCAGGAGCTTCGACTTGCTTAATGGATCTCGAGAGAGTCCCCAAGAACACTGTCACCAGTCTAGACGGACCCTGAGGTCACCCCAGCAACGCAAAGCAGCTCTATGTGCCCCAAATCAACTCGAGATGAGGCCCGATTCCCCTGCATTGACTCCAGAGCCTTTCCCCGTTCCCCATTCAACACGACCGGTGGCTCGACTTCCTTTAGGCCACTCCAGAGATGCCCCGAGATCACTGTCCCAAGTCTAGAGGAACACCAACTTCAGCACAGCAACTCGAGGAATGCTCCGTGTACCCCAAATCACATCGAGATGAGAGCTGATTCCCTGGCTTAGGCTCAACACGTATGGCAACTTTCCAGAAGCATCTCAGGAGGAGGCTTCTCTCAGCAATAGGTATGTGGGAGGGACCCCGAGTTTGCTGCCTCAAGGGGAATATACAGCGAGAAGCCCTAACTTGAAAGGAGGCCGGATTTCCTTGCAGTGGCTTGAATACAGGCCCGTCTTTCATCTCAAAACATGAAGGGATGTCTGAATCCCCTGTGGAGACCTTAGAGAAAGCCCTAGGTGCCTGCCTCATTTTGACGGAATGCCTCACATCCCGCTGACACCTCGAGAGGCACACGGAGTTCATTGCTTCAAAAGTTGACGATGCCTGACTCCTCTTGAATACTGATAGGAATCCCAAAATCCCTGTGGCTACTGGAAAGGGTCCTTGGGTGCCCTGCCTCAGCTCGAGAAGCGTCCCTTTTGCCCTGCCAAGCCTCGAAGAGATTCCCGAGGTGTCCCTCGTTACTAGTCAGGAGTCCTGACGTCACTGAAGAAACTCGTGTTTTGAAGGGCCATCCCCGCCATAAGTCGATAACATATCCCGGGTCCCCGCCACAACTCGAGAAAAAACATGAGACTTCCCCCTAGAGGCGAGATGAGGCCCCATTCCCCTGCAGTGCATACAGAGCTATTCCGTGATCCCATTCAAACAAGTCAGGAGCTTCGACTTGCTTAATGGATCTCGAGACAGTCCCCAAGAACACTGTCACCAGTCTAGACGGACCCTGAGGTTACCCCAGCAACGCAAAGCAGCTCCATGTGCCCCAAATCAACTCGAGATGAGGCCCGATTCCCCTGCATTGACTCCAGAGCCATTCCCCGTTCCCATTCAACACAACCGGTGGCTCGACTTCCTTCAGGCAACTCCAGAGATGCCCCGAGAACACTGTCCCAAGTCTAGAGGAACAACAACTTCAGCAAAACAACTCGAGGAATGCCCCGTGTACCCCAAATCGTCTCGAGATGAGAGCTGATTCCCTGGCTTAGGCTCAAGACGTATGCCAACTTTCCAGAAGCACCTCAGGACGAGGCTTCTCTCAGCAATAGGTATGTGGGAGGGACCCCGAGTTTGCTGCCTCAAGGGGAACATACAGCGAGAAGCCCTAACTTGAAAGGAGGCCGGATTTCTTTGCAGTGGCTTGAATACAGGCCAGTCTTTCATCTCACAACATGAAGGGATGTCTGAATCCCCTGTGGAGACCTTAGAGAAAGCCCTAGGTCCCTGCCTCATTTTGACGGAATGCCTCACATCACGCTGACACCTCGAGAGGCACACAGAGTTCATTGCTTCAAAAGGTGACGATGCCTGACTCCTCTTGAATACTGATAGGAATACCAAAATCCCTGTGGCTACTGGAAAGGGTCCTTGGGTGCCCTGCCTCACCTCGAGAAGCGTCCCTTTTGCCCTGCCAAGCCTCGAAGTGATTCCTGAGGTGTCCCTCGTTACTAGACAGGAGTCCTGACGTCACTGAAGAAACTCGTGTTTTGAAGGGCCATCCCCGCCGTAAGTCGAGAACATACACCAGGTCCCCGCCGCAACTCGAGAAAAACCATGAGACTTTCCCCTAGAGGCGAGATGAGGCCCCATTCCCCTGCAGTGCATGCAGAGCTATTCCGTGATCCCATTCAAACAAGTCAGGAGCTTCGACTTGCTTAATGGATCTCGAGAGAGTCCCCAAGAACACTGTCACCAGTCTAGACGGACCCTGAGGTCACCCCAGCAGCGCAGAGCAGGTCCATGTGCCCCAAATCAACTCGAGATGAGGCCTGATTCCCCTGCATTGACTCCAGAGCCATTCCCCGTTCCCCATTCAACACGACCGGTGGCTCGACTTCCTTCAGGCCACTGCAGAGATGCCCCGAGCACACTGTCCCAAGTCTAGAGGAACACCAACTTCAGCACAGCAACTCGAGGAATGCTCCGTGTACCCCAAATCGTCTCGAGATGAGAGCTGATTCCCTGACTTAGGCTCAAGACGTATGCCAACTTTCCAGAAGCACCTCAGGAGGAGGCTTCTCTCAGCAATAGGTATGTGGGAGGGACCCCGAGTTTGCTGCCTCAAGGGGAACATACAGCGAGAAGCCCTAACTTGAAAGGAGGCTGGATTTCCTTGCAGTGGCTTGAATACAGGCCCGTCTTTCATCTCACAACATGAAGGGATGTCTGAATCCCCTGTGGAGACCTTAGAGAAAGCCCTAGGTCCCTGCCTCATTTTGACGGAATGCCTCACATCCCGCTGACACCTCGAGAGGCACGCGGAGTTCATTGCTTCAAAAGGTGACAATGCCTGACTCCTCTTGAATACTGATAGGAATCCCAAAATCCCTGTGGCTTCTGGAAAGGGTTCTTGGTTGCCCTGCCTCACCTCGAGAAGCGTCCCTTTTGCCCTGCCAAGCCTCGAAGAGATTCCTGAGGTGTCCCTCGTTACTAGACAGGAGTCCTGACGTCACTGAAGAAACTCGTGTTTTGAAGGGCCATCCCCGCCGTAAGTCGAGAACATACCCCAGGTCCCCGCCGCAACTCGAGAAAAATCATGAGACTTCCCCCTAGAGGCGAGATGAGGCCCCATTCCCCTGCAGTGCATGCAGAGCTACTCCGTGATCCCATTCAAACAAGTCAGGAGCTTCGACTTGCTTAATGGATCTCGAGACAGTCCCCAAGAACACTGTCACCAGTCTAGACGGACCCTGAGGTCACCCCAGCAAAGCAAAGCAGCTCTATGTGCCCCAAATCAACTCGAGATGAGGCCCGATTCCCCTGCATTGACTCCAGAGCCTTTCCCCGTTCCCCATTCAACACGACCGGTGGCTCGACTTCCTTCAGGCCACTCCAGAGATGCCCCGAGAACACTGTCCCAAGTCTAGAGGAACACCAACTTAAGCACAGCAACTCGAGGAATGCTCCGTGTACCCCAAATCGCATTGAGATGAGAGCTGATTCCCTGGCTTAGGCTCAAGACGTATGCCAACTTTCCAGAAGCACCTCAGGAGGAGGCTTCTCTCAGCAATAGGTATGTGGGAGGGACCCCGAGTTTGCTGCCTCAAGGGGAATATACAGCGAGAAGCCCTAACTTGAAAGGAGGCCGGATATCCGTGCAGTGGCTTGAATACAGGCCCGTCTTTCATCTCACAACATGAAGGGATGTCTGAATCCCCTGTGGAGACCTTAGAGAAAGCCCTAGGTGCCTGCCTCATTTTGACGGAATGCCTCACATCCCGCTGACACCTCGAGAGGCACACGGAGTTCATTGCTTCAAAAGTTGACGATGCCTGACTCCTCTTGAATACTGATAGGAATCCCAAAATCCCTATGGCTACTGGAAAGGGTCCTTGGGTGCCCTGCCTCACCTCGAGAAGCGTCCCTTTTGCCCTGCCAAGCCTCGAAGAGATTCCTGAGGTGTCCCTCGTTACTAGTCAGGAGTCCTGACGTCACTGAAGAAACTCGTGTTTTGAAGGGCCATCCCCGCCGTAAGTCGAGAACATATCCCAGGTCCCCGCCGCAACTCGAGAAAAATCATGAGACTTCCCCCTAGAGGCGAGATGAGGCCCCATTCCCCTGCAGTGCATGCAGAGCTATTCCGTGATCCCATTGAAACAAATCAGGAGCTTCGACTTGCTTAATGGATCTCGAGACAGTCCCCAAGAACACTGTCACCAGTCTAGACGGACCCTGAGGTCACCGCAGCAATGCAAAGCAGCTCCATGTGCCCCAAATCAACTCGAGATGAGGCCCGATTCCCCTGCATTGACTCCAGAGCCATTCCCCATTCCCCATTCAACACGACCGGTGGCTCGACTTCCTTCAGGCCACTGCAGAGATGCCCCGAGCACACTGTCCCAAGTCTAGAGGAACACCAACTTCAGCACAGCAACTCGAGGAATGCTCCGTGTACCCCAAATCGTCTCGAGATGAGAGCTGATTCCCTGGCTTAGGCTCAAGACGTATGACAACTTTCCAGAAGCACCTCAGGAGGAGGCTTCTCTCAGCAATAGGTATGTGGGAGGGACCCCGAGTTTGCTGCCTCAAGGGGAATATACAGCGAGAAGCCCTAACTTGAAAGGAGGCCGGATTTCCTTGCAGTGGCTTGAATACAGGCCCGACTTTCATCTCACAACATGAAGGGATGTCTGAATCCCCTGTGGAGACCTTAGAGAAAGCCCTAGGTCCCTGCCTCATTTTGACGGAATGCTTCACATCCCGCTGACACCTCGAGAGGCACGCGGAGTTCATTGCTTCAAAAGGTGACGATGCCTGACTCCTCTTGAATACTGATAGGAATCCCAAAATCCCTGTGGCTACTGGAAAGGGTCCTTGGGTGCCCTGCCTCACCTCGAGAAGCGTCCCTTTTGCCCTGCCAAGCCTCGAAGAGATTCCTAAGGTGTCCCTCGTTACTACACAGGAGTCCTGACGTCACTGAAGAAACTCGTGTTTTGAAGGGCCATCCCCGCCGTAAGTCGAGAACATTCCCCAGGTCCCCGACGCAACTCGAGAAAAACCATGAGACTTCCCCCTAGAGGCGAGATGAGGCCCCTTTCCCCTGCAGTGCATGCAGAGCTATTCCGTGATCCCATTCAAACAAGTCAGGAGCTTCGACTTGCTTAATGGATCTCGAGACAGTCCCCAAGAACACTGTCACCAGTCTAGACGGACCCTGAGGTCACCCCAGCAGCGCAGAGCAGCTCCATGTGCCCCAAATCAACTCGAGATGAGGCCCGATTCCCCTGCGTTGACTCCAGAGCCATTCCCCGTTCCCCATTCAACACGACCGGTGGCTCGACTTCCTTCAGGCCACTGAAGAGATGCCCCGAGCACACTGTCCCAAATCTAGAGGAACACCAACTTCAGCACAGCAACTCGAGGAATGCTCCGTGTACCCCAAATCGTCTCGAGATGAGAGCTGATTCCCTGGCTTAGGCTCAAGACGTATGCCAACTTTCCAGAAGCACCTCAGGAGGAGGCTTCTCTCAGCAATAGGTATGTGGGAGGGACCCCGAGTTTGCTGCCTCAAGGGGAATATACAGCGAGAAGCCCTAACTTGAAAGGAGGCCGGATTTCCTTGCAGTGGCTTGAATACAGGCCCGTCTTTCATCTCACAACATGAAGGGATGTCTGAATCCCCTGTGGAGACCTTAGAGAAAGCCCTAGGTCCCTGACCATTTTGACGGAATGCCTCACATCCCGCTGACACCTCGAGAGGCACGCGGAGTTCATTGCTTCAAAAGGTGACGATGCCTGACTCCTCTTGAATACAGATAGGAATCCCAAAATCCCTGTGGCTACTGGAAAGGGTCCTTGGGTGCCCTGCCTCACCTCGAGAAGCGTCCCTTTTGCCCTGCCAAGCCTCGAAGAGATTCCTGAGGTGTCCCTCGTTACTAAACAGGAGTCCTGACGTCACTGAAGAAACTCGTGTTTTGAAGGGCCATCCCCGCCGTAAGTCGAGAACATACCCCAGGTCCCCGCCGGAACTCGAGAAAAACCATGAGACTTCCCCCTAGAGGCGAGATGAGGCCCCATTCCCCTGCAGTTCATGCAGAGCTACTCCGTGATCCCATTCAAACAAGTCAGGAGCTTCGACTTGCTTAATGGATCTCGAGAGAGTCCCCAAGAACACTGTCACCAGTCTAGACGGACCCTGAGGTCACCCCAGCAACGCAAAGCAGCTCTATGTTCCCCAAATCAACTCGAGATGAGGCCCGATTCCCCTGCATTGACTCCAGAGCCTTTCCCCGTTCCCCATTCAACACGACCGGTGGCTCGACTTCCTTCAGGCCACTCCAGAGATGCCCCGAGATCACTGTCCCAAGTCTAGACGAACACCAACTTCAGCACAGCAACTCGAGGAATGCTCCGTGTACCCCAAATCACATCGAGATGAGAGCTGATTCCCTGGCTTAGGCTCAACACGTATGGCAACTTTCCAGAAGCATCTCAGGAGGAGGCTTCTCTCAGCAATAGGTATGTGGGAGGGACCCCGAGTTTGCTGCCTCAAGGGGAATATACAGCGAGAAGCCCTAACTTGAAAGGAGGCCGGATTTCCTTGCAGTGGCTTGAATACAGGCCCGTCTTTCATCTCAAAACATGAAGGGATGTCTGAATCCCCTGTGGAGACCTTAGAGAAAGCCCTAGGTGCCTGCCTCATTTTGACGGAATGCCTCACATCCCGCTGACACCTCGAGAGGCACACGGAGTTCATTGCTTCAAAAGTTGACGATGCCTGACTCCTCTTGAATACTGATAGGAATCCCAAAATCCCTGTGGCTACTGGAAAGGGTCCTTGGGTGCCCTGCCTCAGCTCGAGAAGCGTCCCTTTTGCCCTGCCAAGCCTCGAAGAGATTCCCGAGGTGTCCCTCGTTACTAGTCAGGAGTCCTGACGTCACTGAAGAAACTCGTGTTTTGAAGGGCCATCCCCGCCATAAGTCGATAACATATCCCGGGTCCCCGCCACAACTCGAGAAAAAACATGAGACTTCCCCCTAGAGGCGAGATGAGGCCCCATTCCCCTGCAGTGCATACAGAGCTATTCCGTGATCCCATTCAAACAAGTCAGGCGCTTCGACTTGCTTAATGGATCTCGAGACAGTCCCCAAGAACACTGTCACCAGTCTAGACGGACCCTGAGGTTACCCCAGCAACGCAAAGCAGCTCCATGTGCCCCAAATCAACTCGAGATTAGGCCCGATTCCCCTGCATTGACTCCAGAGCCATTCCCCGTTCCCCATTCAACACAACCGGTGGCTCGACTTCCTTCAGGCAACTCCAGAGATGCCCCGAGAACACTGTCCCAAGTCTAGAGGAACAACAACTTCAGCAAAACAACTCGAGGAATGCCCCGTGTACCCCAAATCGTCTCGAGATGAGAGCTGATTCCCTGGCTTAGGCTCAAGACGTATGCCAACTTTCCAGAAGCACCTCAGGACGAGGCTTCTCCCAGCAATAGGTATGTGGGAGGGACCCCGAATTTGCTGCCTCAAGGGGAATATACAGCGAGAAGCCCTAACTTGAAAGGAGGCCGGATTTCCTTGCAGTGGCTTGAATACAGGCCCGTCTTTCATCTCACAACATGAAGGGATGTCTGAATCCCCTGTGGAGACCTTAGAGAAAGCCCTAGGTGCCTGCCTCATTTTGACGGAATGCCTCACATCCCGCTGACACCTCGAGAGGCACGCGGAGTTCATTGCTTCAAAAGGTGACGATGCCTGACTCCTCTTGAATACTGATAGGAATCCCAAAATCTCTGTGGCTACTGGAAAGGGTCCTTGGGTGCCCTGCCTCACCTCGAGAAGCGTCCCTTTTGCCCTGGCAAGCCTCGAAGAGATTCCTAAGGTGTCCCTCGTTACTAGACAGGAGTCCTGACGTCACTGAAGAAACTCGTGTTTTGAAGGGCCATCCCCGCCGTAAGTCGAGAACATTCCCCAGGTCCCCGACGCAACTCGAGAAAAACAATGAGACTTCCCCCTAGAGGCGAGATGAGGCCCCATTCCCCTGCAGTGCATGCAGAGCTATTCCGTGATCCCATTCAAACAAGTCAGGAGCTTCGACTTGCTTAATGGATCTCGAGACAGTCCCCAAGAACACTGTCACCAGTCTAGACGGACCCTGAGGTTACCCAGCAACGCAAAGCAGCTCCATGTGCCCCAAATCAACTCGAGATGAGGCCCGATTCCCCTGCATTGACTCCAGAGCCATTCCCCGTTCCCCATTCAACACGACCGGTGGCTCGACTTCCTTCAGGCTACTCCAGAGATGCCCCGAGAACACTGTCCCAAGTCTAGAGGAACGACAACTTCAGCACAACAACTCGAGGAATGCTCCGTGTACCCCAAATCGTCTCGAGATGAGAGCTGATTCCCTGGCTTAGGCTCAAGACATATGCCAACTTTCCAGAAGCACCTCAGGACGAGGCTTCTCACAGCAATAGGTATGTGGGAGGGACCCCGAGTTTGCTGCCTCAAGGGGAATATACAGCGTGAAGCCCTAACTTGAAAGGAGGCCGGATTTCCTTGCAGTGGCTTGAATACAGGCCCGTCTTTCATCTCACAACATGAAGGGATGTCTGAATCCCCTGTGGAGACCTTAGAGAAAGCCCTAGGTCCCTGCCTCATTTTGACGGAATGCTTCACATCCCGCTGACACCTCGAGAGGCACGCGGAGTTCATTGCTTCAAAAGGTGACGATGCCTGACTCCTCTTGTATACTGATAGGAATCCCAAAATCACTGTGGCTACTGGAAAGGGTCCTTGGGTGCCCTGCCTCACCTCGAGAAGCGTCCGTTTTGCCCTGCCAAGCCTCGAAGAGATTCCTAAGGTGTCCCTCGTTACTAGACAGGAGTCCTGACGTCACTGAAGAAACTAGTGTTTTGAAGGGCCATCCCCGCCGTAAGTCGAGAACATTCCCCAGGTCCCCGACGCAACTCGAGAAAAACCATGAGACTTCCCCCTAGAGGCGAGATGAGGCCCCATTCCCCTGCAGTGCATGCAGAGCTATTCCGTGATCCCATTCAAACAAGTCAGGAGCTTCGACTTGCTTAATGGATCTCGAGACAGTCCCCAAGAACACTGTCACCAGTCTAGACGGACCCTGAGGTCACCCCAGCAGCGCAGAGCAGCTCCATGTGCCCCAAATCAACTCGAGATGAGGCCCGATTCCCCTGCATTGACTCCAGAGCCATTCCCCGTTCCCCATTCAACACGACCGGTGGCTCGACTTCCTTCAGGCCACTGCAGAGATGCCCCGAGCACACTGTCCCAAGTCTAGAGGAACACCAACTTCAGCACAGCAACTCGAGGAATGCTCCGTGTACCCCAAATCGTCTCGAGATGAGAGCTGATTCCCTGGCTTAGGCTCAAGACGTATGCCAACTTTCCAGAAGCACCTCAGGAGGAGGCTTCTCTCAGCAATAGGTATGTGGGAGGGACCCCGAGTTTCCTGCCTCAAGGGGAACATACAGCGAGAAGCCCTAACTTGAAAGGAGGCCGGATTTCTTTGCAGTGGCTTGAATACAGGCCAGTCTTTCATCTCACAACATGAAGGGATGTCTGAATCCCCTGTGGAGACCTTAGAGAAAGCCCTAGGTCCCTGCCTCATTTTGACGGAATGCCTCACATCCCGCTGACACCTCGAGAGGCACACGGAGTTCATTGCTTCAAAAGGTGACGATGCCTGACTCCTCTTGAATACTGATAGGAATACCAAAATCCCTGTGGCTACTGGAAAGGGTCCTTGGGTGCCCTGCCTCACCTCGAGAAGCGTCCCTTTTGCCCTGCCAAGCCTCGAAGAGATTCCTGAGGTGTCCCTCGTTACTAGTCAGGAGTCCTGACGTCACTGAAGAAACTCGTGTTTTGAAGGGCCATCCCCGCCGTAAGTCGAGAACATACCCCAGGTCCCCACCGCAACTCGAGAAAAACCATGAGACTTCCCTCTAGAGGCGAGATGAGGCCCCATTCCCCTGCAGTGCATGCAGAGCTACTCGGTGATCCCATTCAAACAAGTCAGGAGCTTCGACTTGCTTAATGGATCTCGAGACAGTCCCCAAGAACACTGTCACCAGTCTAGACGGACCCTGAGGTCACCCCAGCAACGCAAAGCAGCTCTATGTGCCCCAAATCAACTCGAGATGAGGCCCGATTCCCCTGCATTGACTCCAGAGCCATTCCCCGTTCCCCATTCAACACGACCGGTGGCTCGACTTCCTTCAGGCCACTCCAGAGATGCCCCGAGAACACTGTCCCAAGTCTAGAGGAACACCAACTTCAGCACAGCAACTCGAGGAATGCTCCGTGTACCCCAAATCGCATCGAGATGAGAGCTGATTCCCTGGCTTAGGCTCAAGACGTATGCCAACTTTCCAGAAGCACCTCAGGAGGAGGCTTCTCTCAGCAATAGGTATGTGGGAGGGACCCCGAGTTTGCTACCTCAAGGGGAATATACAGCGAGAAGCCCTAACTTGAAAGGAGGCCGGATTTTCTTGCAGTGGCTTGAATACAGGCCCGTCTTTCATCTCACAACATGAAGGGATGTCTGAATCCCCTGTGGAGACCTTAGAGAAAGCCCTAGGTGCCTGCCTCATTTTGACGGAATGCCTCACATCCCGCTGACACCTCAAGAGGCACGCGGAGTTCATTGCTTCAAAAGGTGACGATGCCTGACTCCTCTTGAATACTGAGAGGAATCCCAAAATCCCTGTGGCTACTGGAAAGGGTCCTTGGGTGCCCTGGCTCACCTCGAGAAGCGTCCCTTTTGCCCTGCCAAGCCTCGAAGAGATTCCTGAGGGGTCCCTCATTACTAGACAGGAGTCCTGACGTCACTGAAGAAACTCGTGTTTTGAAGGGCCATCCCCGCCGTAAGTCGAGAACATACCCCAGGTCCCCGCCGCAACTCGAGAAAAATCATGAGACTTCCCCCTAGAGGCGAGATGAGGCCCCATTCCCCTGCAGTGCATGCAGAGCTATTTCGTGATCCCATTGAAACAAATCAGGAGCTCGACTTGCTTAATGGATCTCGAGACAGTCCCCAAGAACACTGTCACCAGTCTAGACGGACCCTGAGGTCACCCCAGCAATGCAAAGCAGCTCCATATGCCCCAAATCAACCCGAAATGAGGCCCGATTCCCCTGCATTGACTCCAGAGCCATTCCCCGTTCCCCATTCAACAGGACCGGTGGCTCGACTTCCTTCAGGTCACTGCAGAGATGCCCCGAGAACACTGTCCCAAGTCTAGAGGAACACCAACTTCAGCACAGCAACTCGAGGAATGCTCCGTGTACCCCAAATCGTCTCGAGATGAGAGCTGATTCCCTGGCTTAGGCTCAAGACGTATGCCAACTTTCCAGAAGCACCTCAGGAGGAGGCTTCTCTCAGCAATAGGTATGTGGGAGGGACCCCGAGTTTGCTGCCTCAAGGGGAATAAACAGCGAGAAGCCCTAACTTGAAAGGAGGCCGGATTTCCTTGCAGTGGCTTGAATACAGGCCCGTCTTTCATCTCACAACATGAAGGGATGTCTGAATCCCCTTGGAGAACTTAGAGAAAGCCCTAGGTCCCTGCCTCATTTTGACGGAATGCCTCACATCCCGCTGACACCTCGAGAGGCACGCGGAGTTCATTGCTTCAAAAGGTGACGATGCCTGACTCCTCTTGAATACTGGTAGGAATACCAAAATCCCTGTGGCTACTGGAAAGGGTCCTTGGGTGCCCTGCCTCACCTCGAGAAGCGTCCCTTTTGCCCTGCCAAGCCTCGAAGAGATTCCTGAGGTGTCCCTCGTTACTAGACAGGAGTCCTGACGTCACTGAAGAAACTCGTGTTTTGAAGGGCCATCCCCGCCTTAAGTCGAGAACATACACCAGGTCCCCGCCGCAACTCGAGAAAAACCATGAGACTTCCCCCTAGAGGCGAGATGAGGCCCCATTCCCCTGCAGTGCATGCAGAGCTATTCCGTGATCCCATTCAAACAAGTCAGGAGCTTCGACTTGCTTAATGGATCTCGAGACAGTCCCCAAGAACACTGTCACCAGTCTAGACGGTCCCTGAGGTTACCCAGCAACGCAAAGCAGCTCCATGTGCCCCAAATCAACTCGAGATGAGGCCCGATTCCCCTTCATTGACTCCAGAGCCATTCCCCGTTCCCCATTCAACACGACCGGTGGCTCGACTTCCTTCAGGCAACTCCAGAGATGCCCCGAGAACACTGTCCCAAGTCTAGAGGAACGACAACTTCAGCACAACAACTCGAGGAATGCTCCGTGTACCCCAAATCGTCTCGAGATGAGAGCTGATTCCCTGGCTTAGGCTCAAGACATATGCCAACTTTCCAGAAGCACCTCAGGACGAGGCTTCTCTCAGCAATAGGTATGTGGGAGGGACCCCGAGTGTGCTGCCTCAAGGGGAATATACAGCGAGAAGCCCTAACTTGAAAGGAGGCCGGATTTCCTTGCAGTGGCTTGAATACAGGCCCGTCTTTCATCTCACAACATGAAGGGATGTCTGAATCCCCTGTGGAGACCTTAGAGAAAGCCCTAGGTCCCTGCCTCATTTTGACGGAATGCTTCACATCCCGCTGACACCTCGAGAGGCACGCGGAGTTCATTGCTTCAAAAGGTGACGATGCCTGACTCCTCTTGAATACTGATAGGAATCCCAAAATCCCTGTGGCTACTGGAAAGGGTCCTTGGGTGCCCTGCCTCACCTCGAGAAGCGTCCCTTTTGCCCTGCCAAGCCTCGAAGAGATTCCTGAGGTGTCCCTCGTTACTAGACAGGAGTCCTGACGTCACTGAAGAAACTCGTGTTTTGAAGGGCCATCCCCGCCTTAAGTCGAGAACATACACCAGGTCCCCGCCGCAACTCGAGAAAAACCATGAGACTTCCCCCTAGAGGCGAGATGAGGCCCCATTCCCCTGCAGTGCATGCAGAGCTATTCCGTGATCCCATTCAAACAAGTCAGGAGCTTCGACTTGCTTAATGGATCTCGAGACAGTCCCCAAGAACACTGTCACCGGTCTAGACGGACCCTGAGGTCACCGCAGCAGCCCAGAGCAGCTCCATGTGCCCCAAATCAACTCGAGATGAGGCCCGATTCCCCTGCATTGACTCCAGAGCCATTCCCCGTTCCCCATTCAACACGACCGGTGGCTCGACTTCCTTCAGGCCACTGCAGAGATGCCCAGAGCACACTGTCCCAAGTCTAGAGGAACACCAACTTCAGCACAGCAACTCGAGGAATGCTCCGTGTACCCCAAATCGTCTCGAGATGAGAGCTGATTCCCTGGCTTAGGCTCAAGACGTATGCCAACTTTCCAGAAGCACCTCAGGAGGAGGCTTCTCTCAGCAATAGGTATGTGGGAGGGACACCGAGTTTGCTGCCTCAAGGGGAATATACAGCGAGAAGCCCTAACTTGAAAGGAGGCCGGATTTCCTTGCAGTGGCTTGAATACAGGCCCGTCTTTCATCTCACAACATGAAGGGATGTCTGAATCCCCTTTGGAGACCTTAGAGAAAGCCCTAGGTGCCTGCCTCATTTTGACGGAATGCCTCACATCCCGCTGACACCTCGAGAGGCACACGGAGTTCATTGCTTCAAAAGTTGACGATGCCTGACTCCTCTTGAATACTGATAGGAATCCCAAAATCCCTGTGGCTACTGGAAAGGGTCCTTGGGTGCCCTGCCTCACCTCGAGAAGCGTCCCCTTTGCCTGCCAAGCCTCGAAGAGATTCCTGAGGTGTCCCTCGTTACTAGTCAGGAGTCCTGACGTCACTGAAGAAACTCGTGTTTTGAAGGGCCATCCCCGCCTTAAGTCGAGAACATATCCCGGGTCCCCGCCGCAACTCGAGAAAAAACATGAGACTTCCCCCTATAGGCGAGATGAGGCCCCATTCCCCTGCAGTGCATACAGAGCTATTCCGTGATCCCATGCAAACAAGTCAGGAGCTTCGACTTGCTTAATGGATCTCGAGACAGTCCCCAAGAACACTGTCACCAGTCTAGACGGACCCTGAGGTTACCCCAGCAACGCAAAGCAGCTCCATGTGCCCGAAATCAACTCGAGATGAGGCCCGATTCCCCTGCATTGACTCCAGAGCCATTCCCCGTTCCCCATTCAACACGACCGGTGGTTCGACTTCCTTCAGGCAACTCCAGAGATGCCCCGAGAACACTGTCCCAAGTCTAGAGGAACAACAACTTCAGGACAACAACTCGAGGAATGCTCCGTGTACCCCAAATCGTCTCGAGATGAGAGCTGATTCCCTGGCTTAGGCTCAAGACATATGCCACCTTTCCAGAAGCACCTCAGGACGAGGCTTCTCTCAGCAATAGGTATGTGGGAAGGACCCCGAGTTTGCTGCCTCAAGGGGAATATACAGCGAGAAGCCCTAACTTGAAAGGAGGCCGGATTTCCTTGCAGTGGCTTGAATACAGGCCCGACTTTCATCTCACAACATGAAGGGATGTCTGAATCCCCTGTGGAGACCTTAGAGAAAGCCCTAGGTCCCTGCCTCATTTTGACGGAATGCTTCACATCCCGCTGACACCTCGAGAGGCACGCGGAGTTCATTGCTTCAAAAGGTGACGATGCCTGACTCCTCTTGAATACTGATAGGAATCCCAAAATCCCTGTGGCTACTGGAAAGGGTCCTTGGGTGCCCTGCCTCACCTCGAGAAGCGTCCCTTTTGCCCTGCCAAGCCTCGAAGAGATTCCTAAGGTGTCCCTCATTACTAGACAGGAGTCCTGACGTCACTGAAGAAACTCGTGTTTTGAAAGGCCATCCCCGCCGTAAGTCGAGAACATTCCCCAGGTCCCCGACGCAACTAGAGAAAAACCATGAGACTTCCCCCTAGAGGCGAGATGAGGCCCCTTTCCCCTGCAGTGCATGCAGAGCTATTCCGTGATCCCATTCAAACAAGTAAGGAGCTTCGACTTGCTTAATGGATCTCGAGACAGTCCCCAAGAACACTGTCACCAGTCTAGACGGACCCTGAGGTCACCCCAGCAGCGCAGAGCAGCTCCATGTGCCCCAAATCAACTCGAGATGAGGCCCGATTCCCCTGCATTGACTCCAGAGCCATTCCCCGTTCCCCATTCAACACGACCGGTGGCTCGACTTCCTTCAGGCCACTGCAGAGATGCCCCGAGCACACTGTCCCAAGTCTAGAGGAACACCAACTTCAGCACAGCAACTCGAGGAATGCTCCGTGTACCCCAAATCGTCTCGAGATGAGAGCTGATTCCCTGGCTTAGGCTCAAGACGTATGCCAACTTTCCAGAAGTACCTCAGGAGGAGGCTTCTCTCAGCAATAGGTATGTGGGAGGGACCCCGAGTTTGCTGCCTCAAGGGGAACATACAGCGAGAAGCCCTAACTTGAAAGGAGGCCGGATTTCCTTGCAGTGGCTTGAATACAGGCCCGTCTTTCATCTCACAACATGAAGGGATGTCTGAATCCCCTGTGGAGACCTTAGAGAAAGCCCTAGGTCCCTGCCTCATTTTGACGGAATGCCTCACATCCCGCTGACACCTCGAGAGGCACGCGGAGTTCATTGCTTCAAACGGTGACGATGCCTGACTCCTCTTGAATACTGATAGGAATCCCAAAATCCCTGTGGCTACTGGAAAGGGTCCTTGGGTGCCCTGCCTCACCTCGAGAATCGTCCCTTTTGCCCTGCCAAGCCTCGAAGAGATTCCTGAGGTGTCCCTCGTTACTAAACAGGAGTCCTGACGTCACTGAAGAAACTCGTGTTTGAAGGGCCATCCCCGCCATAAGTCGAGAACATACCCCAGGTCCCCGCCGCAACTCGAGAAAAACCATGAGACTTCCCCCTAGAGGCGAGATGAGGCCCCATTCCCCTGCAGTGCATGCAGAGCTACTCCGTGATCCCATTCAAACAAGTCAGGAGCTTCGACTTGCTTAATGGATCTCGAGAGAGTCCCCAAGAACACTGTCACCAGTCTAGACGGACCCTGAGGTCACCCCAGCAAAGCAAAGCAGCTCTATGTGCCCCAAATCAACTCGAGATGAGGCCCGATTCCCCTGCATTGACTCCATAGCCTTTCCCCGTTCCCCATTCAACACGACCGGTGGCTCGACTTCCTTCAGGCCACTCCAGAGATGCCCCGAGATCACTGTCCCGTCTAGAGGAACACCAACTTCAGCACAGCAACTCGAGGAATGCTCCGTGTACCCCAAATCACATCGAGATGAGAGCTGATTCCCTGGCTTAGGCTCAACACGTATGGCAACTTTCCAGAAGCATCTCAGGAGGAGGCTTCTCTCAGCAATAGGTATGTGGGAGGGACCCCGAGTTTGCTGCCTCAAGGGGAATATACAGCGAGAAGCCCTAACTTGAAAGGAGGCCGGATTTCCTTGCAGTGGCTTGAATACAGGCCCGTCTTTCATCTCACAACATGAAGGGATGTCTGAATCCCCTGTGGAGACCTTAGAGAAAGCCCTAGGTGCCTGCCTCATTTTGACGGAATGCCTCACATCCCGCTGACACCTCGAGAGGCACACGGAGTTCATTGCTTCAAAAGTTGACGATGCCTGACTCCTCTTGAATACTGATAGGAATCCCAAAATCCCTGTGGCTACTGGAAAGGGTCCTTGGGTGCCCTGCCTCAGCTCGAGAAGCGTCCCTTTTGCCATGCCAAGCCTCGAAGAGATTCCCGAGGTGTCCCTCGTTACTAGTCAGGAGTCCTGACGTCACTGAAGAAACTCGTGTTTTGAAGGGCCATCCCCGCCATAAGTCGAGAACATATCCCGGGTCCCCGCCACAACTCGAGAAAAAACATGAGACTTCCCCCTAGAGGCGAGATGAGGCCCCATTCCCCTGCAGTGCATACAGAGCTATTCCGTGATCCCATTCAAACAAGTCAGGAGCTTCGACTTGCTTAATGGATCTCGAGACAGTCCCCAAGAACACTGTCACCAGTCTAGACGGACCCTTAGGTTACCCCAGCAACGCAAAGCAGCTCCATGTGCCCCAAATCAACTCGAGATGAGGCCCGATTCCCCTGCATTGACTCCAGAGCCATTCCCCGTTCCCCATTCAACACGACCGGTGGCTCGACTTCCTTCAGGCCACTGCAGAGATGCCCCGAGCACACTGTCCCAAGTCTAGAGGAACACCAACTTCAGCACAGCAACTCGAGGAATGCTCCGTGTACCCCAAATCGTCTCCAGATGAGAGCTGATTCCCTGGCTTAGGCTCAAGACGTATGCCAACTTTCCAGAAGCACCTCAGGAGGAGGCTTCTCTCAGCAATAGGTATGTGGGAGGGACCCCGAGTTTCCTGCCTCAAGGGGAACATACAGCGAGAAGCCCTAACTTGAAAGGAGGCCGGATTTCTTTGCAGTGGCTTGAATACAGGCCAGTCTTTCATCTCACAACATGAAGGGATGTCTGAATCCCCTGTGGAGACCTTAGAGAAAGCCCTAGGTCCCTGCCTCATTTTGACGGAATGCCTCACATCCCGCTGACACCTCGAGAGGCACACGGAGTTCATTGCTTCAAAAGGTGATGATGCCTGACTCCTCTTGAATACTGATAGGAATACCAAAATCCCTGTGGCTACTGGAAAGGGTCCTTGGGTGCCCTGCCTCACCTCGAGAAGCGTCCCTTTTGCCCTGCCAAGCCTCGAAGAGATTCCTGAGGTGTCCCTCGTTACTAGTCAGGAGTCCTGACGTCACTGAAGAAACTCGTGTTTTGAAGGGCCATCCCCGCCGTAAGTCGAGAACATACCCCAGGTCCCCACCGCAACTCGAGAAAAACCATGAGACTTCCCTCTAGAGGCGAGATGAGGCCCCATTCCCCTGCAGTGCATGCAGAGCTACTCGGTGATCCCATTCAAACAAGTCAGGAGCTTCGACTTGCTTAATGGATCTCGAGACAGTCCCCAAGAACACTGTCACCAGTCTAGACGGACCCTGAGGTCACCCCAGCAACGCAAAGCAGCTCTATGTGCCCCAAATCAACTCGAGATGAGGCCCGATTCCCCTGCATTGACTCCAGAGCCATTCCCCGTTCCCCATTCAACACGACCGGTGGCTCGACTTCCTTCAGGCCACTCCAGAGATGCCCCGAGAACACTGTCCCAAGTCTAGAGGAACACCAACTTCAGCACAGCAACTCGAGGAATGCTCCGTGTACCCCAAATCCCATCGAGATGAGAGCTGATTCCCTGGCTTAGGCTCAAGACGTATGCCAACTTTCCAGAAGCACCTCAGGAGGAGGCTTCTCTCAGCAATAGGTATGTGGGAGGGACCCCGAGTTTGCTGCCTCAAGGGGAATATACAGCGAGAAGCCCTAACTTGAAAGGAGGCCGGATTTCCTTGCAGTGGCTTGAATACAGGCCCGTCTTTCATCTCACAACATGAAGGGATGTCTGAATCCCCTTGGAGAACTTAGAGAAAGCCCTAGGTCCCTGCCTCATTTTGACGGAATGCCTCACATCCCGCTGACACCTCGAGAGGCACGCGGAGTTCATTGCTTCAAAAGGTGACGATGCCTGACTCCTCTTGAATACTGGTAGGAATACCAAAATCCCTGTGGCTACTGGAAAGGGTCCTTGGGTGCCCTGCCTCACCTCGAGAAGCGTCCCTTTTGCCCTGCCAAGCCTCGAAGAGATTCCTGAGGTGTCCCTCGTTACTAGACAGGAGTCCTGACGTCACTGAAGAAACTCGTGTTTTGAAGGGCCATCCCCGCCTTAAGTCGAGAACATACACCAGGTCCCCGCCGCAACTCGAGAAAAACCATGAGACTTCCCCCTAGAGGCGAGGTGAGGCCCCATTCCCCTGCAGTGCATGCAGAGCTATTCCGTGATCCCATTCAAACAAGTCAGGAGCTTCGACTTGCTTAATGGATCTCGAGACAGTCCCCAAGAACACTGTCACCAGTCTAGACGGACCCTGAGGTTACCCAGCAACGCAAAGCAGCTCCATGTGCCCCAAATCAACTCGAGATGAGGCCCGATTCCCCTGCATTGACTCCAGAGCCATTCCCCGTTCCCCATTCAACACGACCGGTGGTTCGACTTCCTTCAGGCAACTCCAGAGATGCCCCGAGAACACTGTCCCAAGTCTAGAGGAACACCAACTTCAGCACAACAACTCGAGGAATGCTCCGTGTACCCCAAATCGTCTCGAGATGAGAGCTGATTCCCTGGCTTAGGCTCAAGACATATGCCAACTTTCCAGAAGCACCTCAGGACGAGGCTTCTCTCAGCAATAGGTATGTGGGAGGGACCCCGAGTTTGCTGCCTCAAGGGGAATATACAGCGAGAAGCCCTAACTTGAAAGGAGGCCGGATTTCTTTGCAGTGGCTTGAATACAGGCCAGTCTTTCATCTCACAACATGAAGGGATGTCTGAATCCCCTGTGGAGACCTTAGAGAAAGCCCTAGGTCCCTGCCTCATTTTGACGGAATGCCTCACATCCCTCTGACACCTCGAGAGGCACACGGAGTTCATTGCTTCAAAAGGTGACGATGCCTGACTCCTCTTGAATACTGATAGGAATACCAAAATCCCTGTGGCTACTGGAAAGGGTCCTTGGGTGCCCTGCCTCACCTCGAGAAGCGTCCCTTTTGCCCTGCCAAGCCTCGAAGAGATTCCTGAGGTGTCCCTCGTTACTAGTCAGGAGTCCTGACGTCACTGAAGAAACTCGTGTTTTGAAGGGCCATCCCCGCCGTAAGTCGAGAACATACCCCAGGTCCCCACCGCAACTCGAGAAAAACCATGAGACTTCCCTCTAGAGGCGAGATGAGGCCCCATTCCCCTGCAGTGCATGCAGAGCTACTCGGTGATCCCATTCAAACAAGTCAGGAGCTTCGACTTGCTTAATGGATCTCGAGACAGTCCCCAAGAACACTGTCACCAGTCTAGACGGACCCTGAGGTCACCCCAGCAACGCAAAGCAGCTCTATGTGCCCCAAATCAACTCGAAATGAGGCCCGATTCCCCTGCATTGACTCTAGAGCCATTCCCCGTTCCCCATTCAACACGACCGGTGGCTCGACTTCCTTCAGGCCACTCCAGAGATGCCCCGAGAACACTGTCCCAAGTCTAGAGGAACACCAACTTCAGCACAGCAACTCGAGGAATGCTCCGTGTACCCCAAATCGCATCGAGATGAGAGCTGATTCCCTGGCTTAGGCTCAAGACGTATGCCAACTTTCCAGAAGAACCTCAGGAGGAGGCTTCTCTCAGCAATAGGTATGTGGGAGGGACCCCGAGTTTGCTACCTCAAGGGGAATATACAGCGAGAAGCCCTAACTTGAAAGGAGGCCGGATTTCCTTGCAGTGGCTTGAATACAGGCCCGTCTTTCATCTCACAACATGAAGGGATGTCTGAATCCCCTGTGGAGACCTTAGAGAAAGCCCTAGGTCCCTGCCTCATTTTGACGGAATGCCTCACATCCCGCTGACACCTCAAGAGGCACGCGGCGTTCATTGCTTCAAAAGGTGACGATGCCTGACTCCTCTTGAATACTGAGAGGAATCCCAAAATCCCTGTGGCTACTGGAAAGGGTCCTTGGGTGCCCTGCCTCACCTCGAGAAGCGTCCCTTTTGCCCTGCCAAGCCTCGAAGAGATTCCTGAGGGGTCCCTCATTACTAGACAGGAGTCCTGACGTCACTGAAGAAACTCGTGTTTTGAAGGGCCATCCCCGCCGTAAGTCGAGAACATACCCCAGGTCCCCGCCGCAACTCGAGAAAAATCATGAGACTTCCCCCTAGAGGCGAGATGAGGCCCCATTCCCCTGCAGTGCATGCAGAGCTATTCCGTGATCCCATTGAAACAAATCAGGAGCTTCGACTTGCTTAATGGATCTCGAGACAGTCCCCAAGAACACTGTCACCAGTCTAGACGGACCCTGAGTTCACCCCAGCAATGCAAAGCAGCTCCATATGCCCCAAATCAACTCGAGATGAGGCCCGATTCCCCTGCATTGACTCCAGAGCCATTCCCCGTTCCCCATTCAACACGACCGGTGGCTCGACTTCCTTCAGGTCACTGCAGAGATGCCCCGAGAACACTGTCCCAAGTCTAGAGGAACACCAACTTCAGCACAGCAACTCGAGGAATGCTCCGTGTACCCCAAATCGTCTCGAGATGAGAGCTGATTCCCTGGCTTAGGCTCAAGACGTATGCCAACTTTCCAGAAGCACCTCAGGAGGAGGCTTCTCTCAGCAATAGGTATGTGGGAGGGACCCCGAGTTTGCTGCCTCAAGGGGAATATACAGCGAGAAGCCCTAACTTGAAAGGAGGCCGGATTTCCTTGCAGTGGCTTGAATACAGGCCCGTCTTTCATCTCACAACATGAAGGGATGTCTGAATCCCCTTGGAGAACTTAGAGAAAGCCCTAGGTCCCTGCCTCATTTTGACGGAATGCCTCACATCCCGCTGACACCTCGAGAGGCACACGGAGTTCATTGCTTCAAAAGGTGACGATGCCTGACTCCTCTTGAATACTGGTAGGAATACCAAAATCCCTGTGGCTACTGGAAAGGGTCCTTGGGTGCCCTGCCTCACCTCGAGAAGCGTCCCTTTTGCCCTGCCAAGCCTCGAAGAAATTCCTAAGGTGTCCCTCGTTACTAGACAGGAGTCCTGACGTCACTGAAGAAACTCGTGTTTTGAAGGGCCATCCCCGCCTTAAGTCGAGAACATACACCAGGTCCCCGCCGCAACACGAGAAAAACCATGAGACTTCCCCCTAGAGGCGAGGTGAGGCCCCATTCCCCTGCAGTGCATGCAGAGCTATTCCGTGATCCCATTCAAACAAGTCAGGAGCTTCGACTTGCTTAATGGATCTCGAGACAGTCCCCAAGAACACTGTCACCAGTCTAGACGGACCCTGAGGTCACCCCAGCAGCGCAGAGCAGCTCCATGTGCCCCAAATCAACTCGAGATGAGGCCCGATTCCCCTGCATTGACTCCAGAGCCATTCCCCGTTCCCCATTCAACACGACCGGTGGCTCGACTTCCTTCAGGCCACTGCAGAGATGCCCCGAGCACACTGTCCCAAGTCTAGAGGAACACCAACTTCAGCACAGCAACTCGAGGAATGCTCCGTGTACCCCAAATCATCTCGAGATGAGAGCTGATTCCCTGGCTTAGGCTCAAGACGTATGCCAACTTTCCAGAAGCACCTCAGGAGGAGGCTTCTCTCAGCAATAGGTATGTGGGAGGGACCCCGAGTTTGCTGCCTCAAGGGGAACATACAGCGAGAAGCCCTAACTTGAAAGGAGGCTGGATTTCTTTGCAGTGGCTTGAATACAGGCCCGTCTTTCATCTCACAACATGAAGGGATGTCTGAATCCCCTGTGGAGACCTTAGAGAAAGCCCTAGGTCCCTGCCTCATTTTGACGGAATGCCTCACATCCCGCTGACACCTCAAGAGGAACGCGGAGTTCATTGCTTCAAAACGTGACGATGCCTGACTCCTCTTGAATACTGATAGGAATACCAAAATCCCTGTGGCTACTGGAAAGGGTCCTTGGGTGCCCTGCCTCACCTCGAGAAGCGTCCCTTTTGCCCTGCCAAGCCTCGAAGAGATTCCTGAGGTGTCCCTCGTTACTAGACAGGAGTCCTGACGTCACTGAAGAAACTCGTGTTTTGAAGGGCCATCCCCGCCTTAAGTCGAGAACATACACCAGGTCCCCGCCGCAACTCGAGAAAAACCATGAGACTTCCCCCTAGAGGCGAGATGAGGCCCCATTCCCTGCAGTGCATGCAGAGCTATTCCGTGATCCCATTCAAACAAGTCAGGAGCTTCGACTTGCTTAATGGATCTCGAGACAGTCCCCAAGAACACTGTCACCAGTCTAGACGGACCCTGAGGTCACCCCAGCAGCGCAGAGCAGCTCCATGTGCCCCAAATCAACTCGAGATGAGCCCCGATTCCCCTGCATTTTCTCCAGAGCCATTCCCCGTTCCCCATTCAACACGACCGGTGGCTCGACTTCCTTCAGGCCACTGCAGAGATGCCCCGAGCACACTGTCCCAAGTCTAGAGGAACACCAACTTCAGCACAGCAACTCGAGGAATGCTCCGTGTACCCCAAATCATCTCGAGATGAGAGCTGATTCCCTGGCTTAGGCTCAAGACGTATGCCAACTTTCCAGAAGCACCTCAGGAGGAGGCTTCTCTCAGCAATAGGTATGTGGGAGGGACCCCGAGTTTCCTGCCTCAAGGGGAACATACAGCGAGAAGCCCTAACTAGAAAGGAGGCCGGATTTCTTTGCAGTGGCTTGAATACAGGCCAGTCTTTCATCTCACAACATGAAGGGATGTCTGAATCCCCTGTGGAGACCTTAGAGAAAGCCCTAGGTCCCTGCCTCATTTTGACGGAATGCCTCACATCCCGCTGACACCTCGAGAGGCACACGGAGTTCATTGCTTCAAAAGGTGACGATGCCTGACTCCTCTTGAATACTGATAGGAATACCAAAATCCCTGTGGCTACTGGAAAGGGTCCTTGGGTGCCCTGCCTCACCTCGAGAAGCGTCCCTTTTGCCCTGCCAAGCCTCGAAGAGATTCCTGAGGTGTCCCTCGTTACTAGACAGGAGTCCTGACGTCACTGAAGAAACTCGTGTTTTGAAGGGCCATCCCCGCCTTAAGTCGAGAACATACACCAGGTCCCCGCCGCAACTCGAGAAAAACCATGAGACTTCCCCCTAGAGGCGAGATGAGGCCCCATTCCCCTGCAGTGCATGCAGAGCTATTCCGTGATCCCATTCAAACAAGTCAGGTGCTTCGACTTGCTTAATGGATCTCGAGACAGTCCCCAAGAACACTGTCACCAGTCTAGACGGACCCTGAGGTCACCCCAGCAGCGCAGAGCAGCTCCATGTGCCCCAAATCAACTCGAGATGAGCCCCGATTCCCCTGCATTGACTCCAGAGCCATTCCCCGTTCCCCATTCAACACGACCGGTGGCTCGACTTCCTTCAGGAGACTGCAGAGATGCCCCGAGCACACTGTCCCAAGTCTAGAGGAACACCAACTTTAGCACAGCAACTCGAGGAATGCTCCGTGTACCCCAAATCGTCTCGAGATGAGAGCTGATTCCCTGGCTTAGGCTCAAGACGTATGCCAACTTTCCAGAAGCACCTCAGGAGGAGGCTTCTCTCAGCAATAGGTATGTGGGAGGGACCCCGAGTTTCCTGCCTCAAGGGGAATATACAGCGAGAAGCCCTAACTTGAAAGGAGGCCGGATTTCCTTGCAGTGGCTTGAATACAGGCCCGTCTTTCATCTCACAACATGAAGGGATGTCTGAATCCCCTGTGGAGACCTTAGAGAAAGCCCTAGGTGCCTGCCTCATTTTGACGGAATGCCTCACATCCCGCTGACACCTCGAGAGGCACACGGAGTTCATTGCTTCAAAAGTTGACGATGCCTGACTCCTCTTGAATACTGATAGGAATCCCAAAATCCCTGTGGCTACTGGAAAGGGTCCTTGGGTGCCCTGCCTCACCTCGAGAAGCGTCCCTTTTGCCCTGCCAAGCCTCGAAGAGATTCCTGAGGTGTCCCTCGTTACTAGTCAGGAGTCCTGACGTCACTGAAGAAACTCGTGTTTTTAAGAGCCATCCCCGCCGTAAGTCGAGAACATACCCCATGTCCCCGCCGCAACTCGAAAAAAAACATGAGACTTCCCCCTAGAGGCGAGATGAGGCCCCATTCCCCTGCAGTGCATACAGAGCTATTCCGTGATCCCATTCAAACAAGTCAGGAGCTTCGACTTGCTTAATGGATCTCAAGACAGTCCCCAAGAACACTGTCACCAGTCTAGACGGACCCTGAGGTCACCCCAGCAGCGCAGAGCAGCTCCATGTGCCCCAAATCAACTCGAGATGAGGCCCGATTCCCCTGCATTGACTCCAGAGCCATTCCCCGTTCCCCATTCAACACGACCGGTGGCTCGACTTCCTTCAGGCCACTGCAGAGATGCCCCGAGCACACTGTCCCAAGTCTAGAGGAACACCAACTTCAGCACAGCAACTCGAGGAATGCTCCGTGTACCCCAAATCGTCTCGAGATGAGAGCTGATTCCCTGGCTTAGGCTCAAGACGTATGCCAACTTTCCAGAAGCACCTCAGGAGGAGGCTTCTCTCAGCAATAGGTATGTGGGAGGGACCCCGAGTTTCCTGCCTCAAGGGGAACATACAGCGAGAAGCCCTAACTTGAAAGGAGGCCGGATTTATTTGCAGTGGCTTGAATACAGGCCAGTCTTTCATCTCACAACATGAAGGGATGTCTGAATCCCCTGTGGAGACCTTAGAGAAAGCCCTAGGTGCCTGCCTCATTTTGACGGAATGCCTCACATCCCGCTGACACCTCGAGAGGCACACGGAGTTCATTGCTTCAAAAGGTGACGATGCCTGACTCCTCTTGAATACTGATAGGAATACCAAAATCCCTGTGGCTACTGGAAAGGGTCCTTGGGTGCCCTGCCTCACCTCGAGAAGCGTCCCTTTTGCCCTGCCAAGCCTCGAAGAGATTCCTGAGGTGTCCCTCGTTACTAGACAGGAGTCCTGACGTCACTGAAGAAACTCGTGTTTTGAAGGGCCATCCCCGCCTTAAGTCGAGAACATACACCAGGTCCCCGCCGCAACTCGAGAAAAACCATGAGACTTCCCCCTAGAGGCGAGATGAGGCCCCATTCCCCTGCAGTGCATGCAGAGCTATTCCGTGATCCCATTCAAACAAGTCAGGAGCTTCGACTTGCTTAATGGATCTCGAGACAGTCCCCAAGAACACTGTCACCAGTCTAGACGGACCCTGAGGTCACCCCAGCAGCGCAGAGCAGCTCCATGTGCCCCAAATCAACTCGAGATGAGCCCCGATTCCCCTGCATTGACTCCAGAGCCATTCCCCGTTCCCCATTCAACACGACCGGTGGCTCGACTTCCTTCAGGAGACTGCAGAGATGCCCCGAGCACACTGTCCCAAGTCTAGAGGAACACCAACTTCAGCACAGCAACTCGAGGAATGCTCCGTGTACCCCAAATCGTCTCCAGATGAGAGCTGATTCCCTGGCTTAGGCTCAAGACGTATGCCAACTTTCCAGAAGCACCTCAGGAGGAGGCTTCTCTCAGCAATAGGTATGTGGGAGGGACCCCGAGTTTCCTGCCTCAAGGGGAACATACAGCGAGAAGCCCTAACTTGAAAGGAGGCCGGATTTCTTTGCAGTGGCTTGAATACAGGCCAGTCTTTCATCTCACAACATGAAGGGATGTCTGAATCCCCTGTGGAGACCTTAGAGAAAGCCCTAGGTCCCTGCCTCATTTTGACGGAATGCCTCACATCCCGCTGACACCTCGAGAGGCACACGGAGTTCATTGCTTCAAAAGGTGACGATGCCTGACTCCTCTTGAATACTGATAGGAATACCAAAATCCCTGTGGCTACTGGAAAGGGTCCTTGGGTGCCCTGCCTCACCTCGAGAAGCGTCCCTTTTGCCCTGCCAAGCCTCGAAGAGATTCCTGAGGTGTCCCTCGTTACTAGACAGGAGTCCTGACGTCACTGAAGAAACTCGTGTTTTGAAGGGCCATCCCCGCCTTAAGTCGAGAACATACACCAGGTCCCCGCCGCAACTCGAGAAAAACCATGAGACTTCCCCCTAGAGGCGAGATGAGGCCCCATTCCCCTGCAGTGCATGCAGAGCTATTCCGTGATCCCATTCAAACAAGTCAGGAGCTTCGACTTGCTTAATGGATCTCGAGACAGTCCCCAAGAACACTGTCACCAGTCTAGACGGACCCTGAGGTCACCCCAGCAGCGCAGAGCAGCTCCATGTGCCCCAAATCAACTCGAGATGAGGCCCGATTCCCCTGCATTGACTCCAGAGCCATTCCCCGTTCCCCATTCAACACGACCGGTGGCTCGACTTCCTTCAGGCCACTGCAGAGATGCCCCGAGCACACTGTCCCAAGTCTAGAGGAACACCAACTTCAGCACAGCAACTCGAGGAATGCTCCGTGTACCCCAAATCGTCTCGAGATGAGAGCTGATTCCCTGGCTTAGGCTCAAGACGTATGCCAACTTTCCAGAAGCACCTCAGGAGGAGGCTTCTCTCAGCAATAGGTATGTGGGAGGGACCCCGAGTTTCCTGCCTCAAGGGGAACATACAGCGAGAAGCCCTAACTTGAAAGGAGGCCGGATTTCTTTGCAGTGGCTTGAATACAGGCCAGTCTTTCATCTCACAACATGAAGGGATGTCTGAATCCCCTGTGGAGACCTTAGAGAAAGCCCTAGGTGCCTGCCTCATTTTGACGGAATGCCTCACATCCCGCTGACACCTCGAGAGGCACACGGAGTTCATTGCTTCAAAAGGTGACGATGCCTGACTCCTCTTGAATACTGATAGGAATACCAAAATCCCTGTGGCTACTGGAAAGGGTCCTTGGGTGCCCTGCCTCACCTCGAGAAGCGTCCCTTTTGCCCTGCCAAGCCTCGAAGAGATTCCTGAGGTGTCCCTCGTTACTAGACAGGAGTCCTGACGTCACTGAAGAAACTCGTGTTTTGAAGGGCCATCCCCGCCTTAAGTCGAGAACATACACCAGGTCCCCGCCGCAACTCGAGAAAAACCATGAGACTTCCCCCTAGAGGCGAGATGAGGCCCCATTCCCCTGCAGTGCATGCAGAGCTATTCCGTGATCCCATTCAAACAAGTCAGGAGCTTCGACTTGCTTAATGGATCTCGAGACAGTCCCCAAGAACACTGTCACCAGTCTAGACGGACCCTGAGGTCACCCCAGCAGCGCAGAGCAGCTCCATGTGCCCCAAATCAACTCGAGATGAGCCCCGATTCCCCTGCATTGACTCCAGAGCCATTCCCCATTCCCCATTCAACACGACCGGTGGCTCGACTTCCTTCAGGAGACTGCAGAGATGCCCCGAGCACACTGTCCCAAGTCTAGAGGAACACCAACTTCAGCACAGCAACTCGAGGAATGCTCCGTGTACCCCAAATCGTCTCCAGATGAGAGCTGATTCCCTGGCTTAGGCTCAAGACGTATGCCAACTTTCCAGAAGCACCTCAGGAGGAGGCTTCTCTCAGCAATAGGTATGTGGGAGGGACCCCGAGTTTGCTGCCTCAAGGGGAACATACAGCGAGAAGCCCTAACTTGAAAGGAGGCCGGATTTCTTTGCAGTGGCTTGAATACAGGCCAGTCTTTCATCTCACAACATGAAGGGATGTCTGAATCCCCTGTGGAGACCTTAGAGAAAGCCCTAGGTCCCTGCCTCATTTTGACGGAATGCCTCACATCCCGCTGACACCTCGAGAGGCACACGGAGTTCATTGCTTCAAAAGGTGACGATGCCTGACTCCTCTTGAATACTGATAGGAATACCAAAATCCCTGTGGCTACTGGAAAGGGTCCTTGGGTGCCCTGCCTCACCTCGAGAAGCGTCCCTTTTGCCCTGCCAAGCCTCGAAGAGATTCCTGATGTGTCCCTCGTTACTAGACAGGAGTCCTGACGTCACTGAAGAAACTCGTGTTTTGAAGGGCCATCCCCGCCTTAAGTCGAGAACATACACCAGGTCCCCGCCGCAACTCGAGAAAAACCATGAGACTTACCCCTAGAGGCGAGATGAGGCCCCATTCCCCTGCAGTGCATGCAGAGCTATTCCGTGATCCCATTCAAACAAGTCAGGAGCTTCGACTTGCTTAATGGATCTCGAGACAGTCCCCAAGAACACTGTCACCAGTCTAGACGGACCCTGAGGTCACCCCAGCAGCGCAGAGCAGCTCCATGTGCCCGAAGTCAACTCGAGATGAGCCCCGATTCCCCTGCATTGACTCCAGAGCCTTTCCCCGTTCCCCATTCAACACGACCGGTGGCTCGACTTCCTTCAGGCCACTGCAGAGATGCCCCGAGCACACTGTCCCAAGTCTAGAGGAACACCAACTTCAGCACAGCAACTCGAGGAATGCTCCGTGTACCCCAAATCGTCTCCAGATGAGAGCTGATTCCCTGGCTTAGGCTCAAGACGTATGCCAACTTTCCAGAAGCACCTCAGGAGGAGGCTTCTCTCAGCAATAGGTATGTGGGAGGGACCCCGAGTTTCCTGCCTCAAGGGGAACATACAGCGAGAAGCCCTAACTTGAAAGGAGGCCGGATTTCTTTGCAGTGGCTTGAATACAGGCCAGTCTTTCATCTCACAACATGAAGGGATGTCTGAATCCCCTGTGGAGACCTTAGAGAAAGCCCTAGGTCCCTGCCTCATTTTGACGGAATGCCTCACATCCCGCTGACACCTCGAGAGGCACACGGAGTTCATTGCTTCAAAAGGTGACGATGCCTGACTCCTCTTGAATACTGATAGGAATACCAAAATCCCTGTGGCTACTGGAAAGGGTCCTTGGGTGCCCTGCCTCACCTCGAGAAGCGTCCCTTTTGCCCTGCCAAGCCTCGAAGAGATTCCTGAGGTGTCCCTCGTTACTAGACAGGAGTCCTGACGTCACTGAAGAAACTCGTGTTTTGAAGGGCCATCCCCGCCTTAAGTCGAGAACATACACCAGGTCCCCGCCGCAACTCGAGAAAAACCATGAGACTTCCCCCTAGAGGCGAGATGAGGCCCCATTCCCCTGCAGTGCATGCAGAGCTATTCGGTGATCCCATTCAAACAAGTCAGGAGCTTCGACTTGCTTAATGGATCTCGAGACAGTCCCCAAGAACACTGTAACCAGTCTAGACGGACCCTGAGGTCACCCCAGCAGCGCAGAGCAGCTCCATGTGCCCCAAATCAACTCGAGATGAGCCCCGATTCCCCTGCATTTTCTCCAGAGCCATTCCCCGTTCCCCATTCAACACGACCGGTGGCTCGACTTCCTTCAGGCCACTGCAGAGATGCCCCGAGCACACTGTCCCAAGTCTAGAGGAACACCAACTTCAGCACAGCAACTCGAGGAATGCTCCGTGTACCCCAAATCGTCTCGAGATGAGAGCTGATTCCCTGGCTTAGGCTCAAGACGTATGCCAACTTTCCAGAAGCACCTCAGGAGGAGGCTTCTCTCAGCAATAGGTATGTGGGAGGGACCCCGAGTTTCCTGCCTCAAGGGGAACATACAGCGAGAAGCCCTAACTTGAAAGGAGGCCGGATTTCTTTGCAGTGGCTTGAATACAGGCCAGTCTTTCATCTCACAACATGAAGGGATGTCTGAATCCCCTGTGGAGACCTTAGAGAAAGCCCTAGGTGCCTGCCTCATTTTGACGGAATGCCTCACATCCCGCTGACACCTCGAGAGGCACACGGAGTTCATTGCTTCAAAAGGTGACGATGCCTGACTCCTCTTGAATACTGATAGGAATACCAAAATCCCTGTGGCTACTGGAAAGGGTCCTTGGGTGCCCTGCCTCACCTCGAGAAGCGTCCCTTTTGCCCTGCCAAGCCTCGAAGAGATTCCTGAGGTGTCCCTCGTTACTAGACAGGAGTCCTGACGTCACTGAAGAAACTCGTGTTTTGAAGGGCCATCCCCGCCTTAAGTCGAGAACATACACCAGGTCCCCGCCGCAACTCGAGAAAAACCATGAGACTTCCCCCTAGAGGCGAGATGAGGCCCCATTCCCCTGCAGTGCATGCAGAGCTATTCCGTGATCCCATTCAAACAAGTCAGGAGCTTCGACTTGCTTAATGGATCTCGAGACAGTCCCCAAGAACACTGTCACCAGTCTAGACGGACCCTGAGGTCACCCCAGCAGCGCAGAGCAGCTCCATGTGCCCCAAATCAACTCGAGATGAGCCCCGATTCCCCTGCATTGACTCCAGAGCCATTCCCCATTCCCCATTCAACACGACCGGTGGCTCGACTTCCTTCAGGAGACTGCAGAGATGCCCCGAGCACACTGTCCCAAGTCTAGAGGAACACCAACTTCAGCACAGCAACTCGAGGAATGCTCCGTGTACCCCAAATCGTCTCCAGATGAGAGCTGATTCCCTGGCTTAGGCTCAAGACGTATGCCAACTTTCCAGAAGCACCTCAGGAGGAGGCTTCTCTCAGCAATAGGTATGTGGGAGGGACCCCGAGTTTGCTGCCTCAAGGGGAACATACAGCGAGAAGCCCTAACTTGAAAGGAGGCCGGATTTCTTTGCAGTGGCTTGAATACAGGCCAGTCTTTCATCTCACAACATGAAGGGATGTCTGAATCCCCTGTGGAGACCTTAGAGAAAGCCCTAGGTCCCTGCCTCATTTTGACGGAATGCCTCACATCCCGCTGACACCTCGAGAGGCACACGGAGTTCATTGCTTCAAAAGGTGACGATGCCTGACTCCTCTTGAATACTGATAGGAATACCAAAATCCCTGTGGCTACTGGAAAGGGTCCTTGGGTGCCCTGCCTCACCTCGAGAAGCGTCCCTTTTGCCCTGCCAAGCCTCGAAGAGATTCCTGATGTGTCCCTCGTTACTAGACAGGAGTCCTGACGTCACTGAAGAAACTCGTGTTTTGAAGGGCCATCCCCGCCTTAAGTCGAGAACATACACCAGGTCCCCGCCGCAACTCGAGAAAAACCATGAGACTTACCCCTAGAGGCGAGATGAGGCCCCATTCCCCTGCAGTGCATGCAGAGCTATTCCGTGATCCCATTCAAACAAGTCAGGAGCTTCGACTTGCTTAATGGATCTCGAGACAGTCCCCAAGAACACTGTCACCAGTCTAGACGGACCCTGAGGTCACCCCAGCAGCGCAGAGCAGCTCCATGTGCCCGAAGTCAACTCGAGATGAGCCCCGATTCCCCTGCATTGACTCCAGAGCCTTTCCCCGTTCCCCATTCAACACGACCGGTGGCTCGACTTCCTTCAGGCCACTGCAGAGATGCCCCGAGCACACTGTCCCAAGTCTAGAGGAACACCAACTTCAGCACAGCAACTCGAGGAATGCTCCGTGTACCCCAAATCGTCTCCAGATGAGAGCTGATTCCCTGGCTTAGGCTCAAGACGTATGCCAACTTTCCAGAAGCACCTCAGGAGGAGGCTTCTCTCAGCAATAGGTATGTGGGAGGGACCCCGAGTTTCCTGCCTCAAGGGGAACATACAGCGAGAAGCCCTAACTTGAAAGGAGGCCGGATTTCTTTGCAGTGGCTTGAATACAGGCCAGTCTTTCATCTCACAACATGAAGGGATGTCTGAATCCCCTGTGGAGACCTTAGAGAAAGCCCTAGGTCCCTGCCTCATTTTGACGGAATGCCTCACATCCCGCTGACACCTCGAGAGGCACACGGAGTTCATTGCTTCAAAAGGTGACGATGCCTGACTCCTCTTGAATACTGATAGGAATACCAAAATCCCTGTGGCTACTGGAAAGGGTCCTTGGGTGCCCTGCCTCACCTCGAGAAGCGTCCCTTTTGCCCTGCCAAGCCTCGAAGAGATTCCTGAGGTGTCCCTCGTTACTAGACAGGAGTCCTGACGTCACTGAAGAAACTCGTGTTTTGAAGGGCCATCCCCGCCTTAAGTCGAGAACATACACCAGGTCCCCGCCGCAACTCGAGAAAAACCATGAGACTTCCCCCTAGAGGCGAGATGAGGCCCCATTCCCCTGCAGTGCATGCAGAGCTATTCGGTGATCCCATTCAAACAAGTCAGGAGCTTCGACTTGCTTAATGGATCTCGAGACAGTCCCCAAGAACACTGTCACCAGTCTAGACGGACCCTGAGGTCACCCCAGCAGCGCAGAGCAGCTCCATGTGCCCCAAATCAACTCGAGATGAGCCCCGATTCCCCTGCATTTTCTCCAGAGCCATTCCCCGTTCCCCATTCAACACGACCGGTGGCTCGACTTCCTTCAGGCCACTGCAGAGATGCCCCGAGCACACTGTCCCAAGTCTAGAGGAACACCAACTTCAGCACAGCAACTCGAGGAATGCTCCGTGTACCCCAAATCGTCTCGAGATGAGAGCTGATTCCCTGGCTTAGGCTCAAGACGTATGCCAACTTTCCAGAAGCACCTCAGGAGGAGGCTTCTCTCAGCAATAGGTATGTGGGAGGGACCCCGAGTTTCCTGCCTCAAGGGGAACATACAGCGAGAAGCCCTAACTTGAAAGGAGGCCGGATTTCTTTGCAGTGGCTTGAATACAGGCCAGTCTTTCATCTCACAACATGAAGGGATGTCTGAATCCCCTGTGGAGACCTTAGAGAAAGCCCTAGGTCCCTGCCTCATTTTGACGGAATGCCTCACATCCCGCTGACACCTCGAGAGGCACACGGAGTTCATTGCTTCAAAAGGTGACGATGCCTGACTCCTCTTGAATACTGATAGGAATACCAAAATCCCTGTGGCTACTGGAAAGGGTCCTTGGGTGCCCTGCCTCACCTCGAGAAGCGTCCCTTTTGCCCTGCCAAGCCTCGAAGAGATTCCTGAGGTGTCCCTCGTTACTAGACAGGAGTCCTGACGTCACTGAAGAAACTCGTGTTTTGAAGGGCCATCCCCGCCTTAAGTCGAGAACATACACCAGGTCCCCGCCGCAACTCGAGAAAAACCATGAGACTTCCCCCTAGAGGCGAGATGAGGCCCCATTCCCCTGCAGTGCATGCAGAGCTATTCCGTGATCCCATTCAAACAAGTCAGGAGCTTCGACTTGCTTAATGGATCTCGAGACAGTCCCCAAGAACACTGTCACCAGTCTAGACGGACCCTGAGGTCACCCCAGCAGCGCAGAGCAGCTCCATGTGCCCCAAATCAACTCGAGATGAGCCCCGATTCCCCTGCATTGACTCCAGAGCCATTCCCCGTTCCCCATTCAACACGACCGGTGGCTCGACTTCCTTCAGGAGACTGCAGAGATGCCCCGAGCACACTGTCCCAAGTCTAGAGGAACACCAACTTCAGCACAGCAACTCGAGGAATGCTCCGTGTACCCCAAATCGTCTCCAGATGAGAGCTGATTCCCTGGCTTAGGCTCAAGACGTATGCCAACTTTCCAGAAGCACCTCAGGAGGAGGCTTCTCTCAGCAATAGGTATGTGGGAGGGACCCCGAGTTTCCTGCCTCAAGGGGAACATACAGCGAGAAGCCCTAACTTGAAAGGAGGCCGGATTTCTTTGCAGTGGCTTGAATACAGGCCAGTCTTTCATCTCACAACATGAAGGGATGTCTGAATCCCCTGTGGAGACCTTAGAGAAAGCCCTAGGTCCCTGCCTCATTTTGACGGAATGCCTCACATCCCGCTGACACCTCGAGAGGCACACGGAGTTCATTGCTTCAAAAGGTGACGATGCCTGACTCCTCTTGAATACTGATAGGAATACCAAAATCCCTGTGGCTACTGGAAAGGGTCCTTGGGTGCCCTGCCTCACCTCGAGAAGCGTCCCTTTTGCCCTGCCAAGCCTCGAAGAGATTCCTGAGGTGTCCCTCGTTACTAGACAGGAGTCCTGACGTCACTGAAGAAACTCGTGTTTTGAAGGGCCATCCCCGCCTTAAGTCGAGAACATACACCAGGTCCCCGCCGCAACTCGAGAAAAACCATGAGACTTACCCCTAGAGGCGAGATGAGGCCCCATTCCCCTGCAGTGCATGCAGAGCTATTCCGTGATCCCATTCAAACAAGTCAGGAGCTTCGACTTGCTTAATGGATCTCGAGACAGTCCCCAAGAACACTGTCACCAGTCTAGACGGACCCTGAGGTCACCCCAGCAGCGCAGAGCAGCTCCATGTGCCCCAAGTCAACTCGAGATGAGGCCCGATTCCCCTGCATTGACTCCAGAGCCTTTCCCCATTCCCCATTCAACACGACCGGTGGCTCGACTTCCTTCAGGCCACTCCAGATATGCCCCGAGATCACTGTCCCAAGTCTAGAGGAACACCAACTTCAGCACAGCAACTCGAGGAATGCTCCGTGTACCCCAAATCACATCGAGATGAGAGCTGATTACCTGGCTTAGGCTCAACACGTATGGCAACTTTCCAGAAGCATCTCAGGAGGAGGCTTCTCTCAGCAATAGGTATGTGGGAGGGACCCCGAGTTTGCTGCCTCAAGGGGAATATACAGCGAGAAGCCCTAACTTGAAAGGAGGCCGGATTTCCTTGCAGTGGCTTGAATACAGGCCCGTCTTTCATCTCACAACATGAAGGGATGTCTGAATCCCCTGTGGAGACCTTAGAGAAAGCCCTAGGTGCCTGCCTCATTTTGACGGAATGCCTCACATCCCGCTGACACCTCGAGAGGCACACGGAGTTCATTGCTTCAAAAGTTGACGATGCCTGACTCCTCTTGAATACTGATAGGAATACCAAAATCCCTGTGGCTACTGGAAAGGGTCCTTGGGTGCCCTGCCTCACCTCGAGAAGCGTCCCTTTTGCCCTGCCAAGCCTCGAAGAGATTCCCGAGGTGTCCCTCGTTACTAGGCAGGAGTCCTGACGTGACTGAAGAAACTCGTGTTCTGAAGGGCCATCCCCGCCATAAGTCGAGAACATATCCCGGGTCCCCGCCACAACTCGAGAAAAAACATGAGACTTCCCCCTAGAGGCGAGATGAGGCCCCATTCCCCTGCAGTGCATACAGAGCTATTCCGTGATCCCATTCAAACAAGTCAGGAGCTTCGACTTGCTTAATGGATCTCGAGACAGTCCCCAAGAACACTGTCACCAGTCTAGACGGACCCTGAGGTTACCCCAGCAACGCAAAGCAGCTCCATGTGCCCCAAATCAACTCGAGATGAGGCCCGATTCCCCTGCATTGACTCCAGAGCCATTCCCCGTTCCAAATTCAACACAACCGGTGGCTCGACTTCCTTCAGGCATCTCCAGAGATGCCCCGAGAACACTGTCCCAAGTCTAGAGGAACAACAACTTCAGCAAAACAACTCGAGGAATGCTCCGTGTACCCCAAATCGTCTCGAGATGAGAGCTGATTCCCTGGCTTAGGCTCAAGACGTATGCCAACTTTCCAGAAGCACCTCAGGACGAGGCTTCTCCCAGCAATAGGTATGTGGGAGATACCCCGAATTTGCTGCCTCAAGGGGAATATACAGCGAGAAGCCCTAACTTGAAAGGAGGCCGGATTTCCTTGCAGTGGCTTGAATACAGGCCCGTCTTTCATCTCACAACATGAAGGGATGTCTGAATCCCCTGTGGAGACCTTAGAGAAAGCCCTAGGTCCCTGCCTCATTTTGACGGAATGCTTCACATCCCGCTGACACCTCGAGAGGCACGCGGAGTTCATTGCTTCAAAAGGTGACGATGCCTGACTCCTCTTGAATACTGATAGGAATCCCAAAATCCCTGTGGCTACTGGAAAGGGTCCTTGGGTGCCCTGCCTCACCTCGAGAAGCGATCCTTTTGCCCTGCCAAGCCTCAAAGAGATTCCTGAGGGGTCCCTCATTACTAGACAGGAGTCCTGACGTCACTGAAGAAACTCGTGTTTTGAAGGGCCATCCCCGCCGTAAGTCGAGAACATACCCCAGGTCCCCGCCGCAACTCGAGAAAAATCATGAGACTTCCCCCTAGAGGCGAGATGAGGCCCCATTCCCCTGCAGTGCATGCAGAGCTATTCCGTGATCCCATTGAAACAACTCAGGAGCTTCGACTTGCTTAATGGATCTCGAGACAGTCCCCAAGAACACTGTCACCAGTCTAGACGGACCCTGAGGTCACCCCAGCAGCGCAGAGCAGCTCCATGTGCCCCAAATCAACTCGAGATGAGGCCCGATTCCCCTGCATTGACTCCAGAGCCATTCCCCGTTCCCCATTCAACACGACCGGTGGCTCGACTTCCTTCAGGCCACTGCAGAGATGCCCCGAGCACACTGTCCCAAGTCTAGAGGAACACCAACTTCAGCACAGCAACTCGAGGAATGCTCCGTGTACCCCAAATCGTCTCGAGATGAGAGCTGATTCCCTGGCTTAGGCTCAAGACGTATGCCAACTTTCCAGAAGCACCTCAGGAGGAGGCTTCTCTCAGCAATAGGTATGTGGGAGGGACCCCGAGTTTCCTGCCTCAAGGGGAACATACAGCGAGAAGCCCTAACTTGAAAGGAGGCCGGATTTCTTTGCAGTGGCTTGAATACAGGCCAGTCTTTCATCTCACAACATGAAGGGATGTCTGAATCCCCTGTGGAGACCTTAGAGAAAGCCCTAGGTGCCTGCCTCATTTTGACGGAATGCCTCACATCCCGCTGACACCTCGAGAGGCACACGGAGTTCATTGCTTCAAAAGGTGACGATGCCTGACTCCTCTTGAATACTGATAGGAATACCAAAATCCCTGTGGCTACTGGAAAGGGTCCTTGGGTGCCCTGCCTCACCTCGAGAAGCGTCCCTTTTGCCCTGCCAAGCCTCGAAGAGATTCCTGAGGTGTCCCTCGTTACTAGACAGGAGTCCTGACGTCACTGAAGAAACTCGTGTTTTGAAGGGCCATCCCCGCCTTAAGTCGAGAACATACACCAGGTCCCCGCCGCAACTCGAGAAAAACCATGAGACTTCCCCCTAGAGGCGAGATGAGGCCCCATTCCCCTGCAGTGCATGCAGAGCTATTCCGTGATCCCATTCAAACAAGTCAGGAGCTTCGACTTGCTTAATGGATCTCGAGACAGTCCCCAAGAACACTGTCACCAGTCTAGACGGACCCTGAGGTCACCCCAGCAGCGCAGAGCAGCTCCATGTGCCCCAAATCAACTCGAGATGAGCCCCGATTCCCCTGCATTGACTCCAGAGCCATTCCCCATTCCCCATTCAACACGACCGGTGGCTCGACTTCCTTCAGGAGACTGCAGAGATGCCCCGAGCACACTGTCCCAAGTCTAGAGGAACACCAACTTCAGCACAGCAACTCGAGGAATGCTCCGTGTACCCCAAATCGTCTCCAGATGAGAGCTGATTCCCTGGCTTAGGCTCAAGACGTATGCCAACTTTCCAGAAGCACCTCAGGAGGAGGCTTCTCTCAGCAATAGGTATGTGGGAGGGACCCCGAGTTTGCTGCCTCAAGGGGAACATACAGCGAGAAGCCCTAACTTGAAAGGAGGCCGGATTTCTTTGCAGTGGCTTGAATACAGGCCAGTCTTTCATCTCACAACATGAAGGGATGTCTGAATCCCCTGTGGAGACCTTAGAGAAAGCCCTAGGTCCCTGCCTCATTTTGACGGAATGCCTCACATCCCGCTGACACCTCGAGAGGCACACGGAGTTCATTGCTTCAAAAGGTGACGATGCCTGACTCCTCTTGAATACTGATAGGAATACCAAAATCCCTGTGGCTACTGGAAAGGGTCCTTGGGTGCCCTGCCTCACCTCGAGAAGCGTCCCTTTTGCCCTGCCAAGCCTCGAAGAGATTCCTGATGTGTCCCTCGTTACTAGACAGGAGTCCTGACGTCACTGAAGAAACTCGTGTTTTGAAGGGCCATCCCCGCCTTAAGTCGAGAACATACACCAGGTCCCCGCCGCAACTCGAGAAAAACCATGAGACTTACCCCTAGAGGCGAGATGAGGCCCCATTCCCCTGCAGTGCATGCAGAGCTATTCCGTGATCCCATTCAAACAAGTCAGGAGCTTCGACTTGCTTAATGGATCTCGAGACAGTCCCCAAGAACACTGTCACCAGTCTAGACGGACCCTGAGGTCACCCCAGCAGCGCAGAGCAGCTCCATGTGCCCGAAGTCAACTCGAGATGAGCCCCGATTCCCCTGCATTGACTCCAGAGCCTTTCCCCGTTCCCCATTCAACACGACCGGTGGCTCGACTTCCTTCAGGCCACTGCAGAGATGCCCCGAGCACACTGTCCCAAGTCTAGAGGAACACCAACTTCAGCACAGCAACTCGAGGAATGCTCCGTGTACCCCAAATCGTCTCCAGATGAGAGCTGATTCCCTGGCTTAGGCTCAAGACGTATGCCAACTTTCCAGAAGCACCTCAGGAGGAGGCTTCTCTCAGCAATAGGTATGTGGGAGGGACCCCGAGTTTCCTGCCTCAAGGGGAACATACAGCGAGAAGCCCTAACTTGAAAGGAGGCCGGATTTCTTTGCAGTGGCTTGAATACAGGCCAGTCTTTCATCTCACAACATGAAGGGATGTCTGAATCCCCTGTGGAGACCTTAGAGAAAGCCCTAGGTCCCTGCCTCATTTTGACGGAATGCCTCACATCCCGCTGACACCTCGAGAGGCACACGGAGTTCATTGCTTCAAAAGGTGACGATGCCTGACTCCTCTTGAATACTGATAGGAATACCAAAATCCCTGTGGCTACTGGAAAGGGTCCTTGGGTGCCCTGCCTCACCTCGAGAAGCGTCCCTTTTGCCCTGCCAAGCCTCGAAGAGATTCCTGAGGTGTCCCTCGTTACTAGACAGGAGTCCTGACGTCACTGAAGAAACTCGTGTTTTGAAGGGCCATCCCCGCCTTAAGTCGAGAACATACACCAGGTCCCCGCCGCAACTCGAGAAAAACCATGAGACTTCCCCCTAGAGGCGAGATGAGGCCCCATTCCCCTGCAGTGCATGCAGAGCTATTCGGTGATCCCATTCAAACAAGTCAGGAGCTTCGACTTGCTTAATGGATCTCGAGACAGTCCCCAAGAACACTGTCACCAGTCTAGACGGACCCTGAGGTCACCCCAGCAGCGCAGAGCAGCTCCATGTGCCCCAAATCAACTCGAGATGAGCCCCGATTCCCCTGCATTTTCTCCAGAGCCATTCCCCGTTCCCCATTCAACACGACCGGTGGCTCGACTTCCTTCAGGCCACTGCAGAGATGCCCCGAGCACACTGTCCCAAGTCTAGAGGAACACCAACTTCAGCACAGCAACTCGAGGAATGCTCCGTGTACCCCAAATCGTCTCGAGATGAGAGCTGATTCCCTGGCTTAGGCTCAAGACGTATGCCAACTTTCCAGAAGCACCTCAGGAGGAGGCTTCTCTCAGCAATAGGTATGTGGGAGGGACCCCGAGTTTCCTGCCTCAAGGGGAACATACAGCGAGAAGCCCTAACTTGAAAGGAGGCCGGATTTCTTTGCAGTGGCTTGAATACAGGCCAGTCTTTCATCTCACAACATGAAGGGATGTCTGAATCCCCTGTGGAGACCTTAGAGAAAGCCCTAGGTCCCTGCCTCATTTTGACGGAATGCCTCACATCCCGCTGACACCTCGAGAGGCACACGGAGTTCATTGCTTCAAAAGGTGACGATGCCTGACTCCTCTTGAATACTGATAGGAATACCAAAATCCCTGTGGCTACTGGAAAGGGTCCTTGGGTGCCCTGCCTCACCTCGAGAAGCGTCCCTTTTGCCCTGCCAAGCCTCGAAGAGATTCCTGAGGTGTCCCTCGTTACTAGACAGGAGTCCTGACGTCACTGAAGAAACTCGTGTTTTGAAGGGCCATCCCCGCCTTAAGTCGAGAACATACACCAGGTCCCCGCCGCAACTCGAGAAAAACCATGAGACTTCCCCCTAGAGGCGAGATGAGGCCCCATTCCCCTGCAGTGCATGCAGAGCTATTCCGTGATCCCATTCAAACAAGTCAGGAGCTTCGACTTGCTTAATGGATCTCGAGACAGTCCCCAAGAACACTGTCACCAGTCTAGACGGACCCTGAGGTCACCCCAGCAGCGCAGAGCAGCTCCATGTGCCCCAAATCAACTCGAGATGAGCCCCGATTCCCCTGCATTGACTCCAGAGCCATTCCCCGTTCCCCATTCAACACGACCGGTGGCTCGACTTCCTTCAGGAGACTGCAGAGATGCCCCGAGCACACTGTCCCAAGTCTAGAGGAACACCAACTTCAGCACAGCAACTCGAGGAATGCTCCGTGTACCCCAAATCGTCTCCAGATGAGAGCTGATTCCCTGGCTTAGGCTCAAGACGTATGCCAACTTTCCAGAAGCACCTCAGGAGGAGGCTTCTCTCAGCAATAGGTATGTGGGAGGGACCCCGAGTTTCCTGCCTCAAGGGGAACATACAGCGAGAAGCCCTAACTTGAAAGGAGGCCGGATTTCTTTGCAGTGGCTTGAATACAGGCCAGTCTTTCATCTCACAACATGAAGGGATGTCTGAATCCCCTGTGGAGACCTTAGAGAAAGCCCTAGGTCCCTGCCTCATTTTGACGGAATGCCTCACATCCCGCTGACACCTCGAGAGGCACACGGAGTTCATTGCTTCAAAAGGTGACGATGCCTGACTCCTCTTGAATACTGATAGGAATACCAAAATCCCTGTGGCTACTGGAAAGGGTCCTTGGGTGCCCTGCCTCACCTCGAGAAGCGTCCCTTTTGCCCTGCCAAGCCTCGAAGAGATTCCTGAGGTGTCCCTCGTTACTAGACAGGAGTCCTGACGTCACTGAAGAAACTCGTGTTTTGAAGGGCCATCCCCGCCTTAAGTCGAGAACATACACCAGGTCCCCGCCGCAACTCGAGAAAAACCATGAGACTTACCCCTAGAGGCGAGATGAGGCCCCATTCCCCTGCAGTGCATGCAGAGCTATTCCGTGATCCCATTCAAACAAGTCAGGAGCTTCGACTTGCTTAATGGATCTCGAGACAGTCCCCAAGAACACTGTCACCAGTCTAGACGGACCCTGAGGTCACCCCAGCAGCGCAGAGCAGCTCCATGTGCCCCAAGTCAACTCGAGATGAGGCCCGATTCCCCTGCATTGACTCCAGAGCCTTTCCCCATTCCCCATTCAACACGACCGGTGGCTCGACTTCCTTCAGGCCACTCCAGATATGCCCCGAGATCACTGTCCCAAGTCTAGAGGAACACCAACTTCAGCACAGCAACTCGAGGAATGCTCCGTGTACCCCAAATCACATCGAGATGAGAGCTGATTACCTGGCTTAGGCTCAACACGTATGGCAACTTTCCAGAAGCATCTCAGGAGGAGGCTTCTCTCAGCAATAGGTATGTGGGAGGGACCCCGAGTTTGCTGCCTCAAGGGGAATATACAGCGAGAAGCCCTAACTTGAAAGGAGGCCGGATTTCCTTGCAGTGGCTTGAATACAGGCCCGTCTTTCATCTCACAACATGAAGGGATGTCTGAATCCCCTGTGGAGACCTTAGAGAAAGCCCTAGGTGCCTGCCTCATTTTGACGGAATGCCTCACATCCCGCTGACACCTCGAGAGGCACACGGAGTTCATTGCTTCAAAAGTTGACGATGCCTGACTCCTCTTGAATACTGATAGGAATCCCAAAATCCCTGTGGCTACTGGAAAGGGTCCTTGGGTGCCCTGCCTCACCTCGAGAAGCGTCCCTTTTGCCCTGCCAAGCCTCGAAGAGATTCCCGAGGTGTCCCTCGTTACTAGGCAGGAGTCCTGACGTGACTGAAGAAACTCGTGTTCTGAAGGGCCATCCCCGCCATAAGTCGAGAACATATCCCGGGTCCCCGCCACAACTCGAGAAAAAACATGAGACTTCCCCCTAGAGGCGAGATGAGGCCCCATTCCCCTGCAGTGCATACAGAGCTATTCCGTGATCCCATTCAAACAAGTCAGGAGCTTCGACTTGCTTAATGGATCTCGAGACAGTCCCCAAGAACACTGTCACCAGTCTAGACGGACCCTGAGGTTACCCCAGCAACGCAAAGCAGCTCCATGTGCCCCAAATCAACTCGAGATGAGGCCCGATTCCCCTGCATTGACTCCAGAGCCATTCCCCGTTCCAAATTCAACACAACCGGTGGCTCGACTTCCTTCAGGCATCTCCAGAGATGCCCCGAGAACACTGTCCCAAGTCTAGAGGAACAACAACTTCAGCAAAACAACTCGAGGAATGCTCCGTGTACCCCAAATCGTCTCGAGATGAGAGCTGATTCCCTGGCTTAGGCTCAAGACGTATGCCAACTTTCCAGAAGCACCTCAGGACGAGGCTTCTCCCAGCAATAGGTATGTGGGAGATACCCCGAATTTGCTGCCTCAAGGGGAATATACAGCGAGAAGCCCTAACTTGAAAGGAGGCCGGATTTCCTTGCAGTGGCTTGAATACAGGCCCGTCTTTCATCTCACAACATGAAGGGATGTCTGAATCCCCTGTGGAGACCTTAGAGAAAGCCCTAGGTCCCTGCCTCATTTTGACGGAATGCTTCACATCCCGCTGACACCTCGAGAGGCACGCGGAGTTCATTGCTTCAAAAGGTGACGATGCCTGACTCCTCTTGAATACTGATAGGAATCCCAAAATCCCTGTGGCTACTGGAAAGGGTCCTTGGGTGCCCTGCCTCACCTCGAGAAGCGATCCTTTTGCCCTGCCAAGCCTCAAAGAGATTCCTGAGGGGTCCCTCATTACTAGACAGGAGTCCTGACGTCACTGAAGAAACTCGTGTTTTGAAGGGCCATCCCCGCCGTAAGTCGAGAACATACCCCAGGTCCCCGCCGCAACTCGAGAAAAATCATGAGACTTCCCCCTAGAGGCGAGATGAGGCCCCATTCCCCTGCAGTGCATGCAGAGCTATTCCGTGATCCCATTGAAACAAATCAGGAGCTTCGACTTGCTTAATGGATCTCGAGACAGTCCCCAAGAACACTGTCACCAGTCTAGACGGACCCTGAGGTCACCCCAGCAATGCAAAGCAGCTCCATATCCCCCAAATCAACTCGAGATGAGGCCCGATTCCCCTGCATTGACTCCAGAGCCATTCCCCGTTCCCCATTCAACACGACCGGTGGCTCGACTTCCTTCAGGTCACTGCAGAGATGCCCCGAGAACACTGTCCCAAGTCTAGAGGAACACCAACTTCAGCACAGCAACTCGAGGAATGCTCCGTGTACCCCAAATCGTCTCCAGATGAGAGCTGATTCCCTGGCTTAGGCTCAAGACGTATGCCAACTTTCCAGAAGCACCTCAGGAGGAGGCTTCTCTCAGCAATAGGTATGTGGGAGGGACCCCGAGTTTGCTGCCTCAAGGGGAATATACAGCGAGAAGCCCTAACTTGAAAGGAGGCCGGATTTCCTTGCAGTGGCTTGAATACAGGCCCGTCTTTCATCTCACAACATGAAGGGATGTCTGAATCCCCTGTGGAGACCTTAGAGAAAGCCCTAGGTGCCTGCCTCATTTTGACGGAATGCCTCACATCCCGCTGACACCTCGAGAGGCACACGGAGTTCATTGCTTCAAAAGGTGACGATGCCTGACTCCTCTTGAATACTGATAGGAATCCCAAAATCCCTGTGGCTACTGGAAAGGGTCCTTGGGTGCCCTGCCTCACCTCGAGAAGCGTCCCTTTTGCCCTGCCAAGCCTCGAAGAGATTCCTGAGGTGTCCCTCGTTACTAGTCAGGAGTTCTGACGTCACTGAAGAAACTCGTGTTTTTAAGAGCCATCCCCGCCGTAAGTCGAGAACATACCCCATGTCCCCGCCGCAACTCGAGAAAAAACATGAGACTTCCCCCTAGAGGCGAGATGAGGCCCCATTCCCCTGCACTGCATACAGAGCTATTCCGTGATCCCATTCAAACAAGTCAGGAGCTTCGACTTGCTTAATGGATCTCGAGACAGTCCCCAAGAACACTGTCACCAGTCTAGACGGACCCTGAGGTTACCCCAGCAACGCAAAGCAGCTCCATGTGCCCCAAATCAACTCGAGATGAGGCCCGATTCCCCTGCATTGACTCCAGAGCCATTCGCCATTCCCCATTCAACACGACCGGTGGCTCGACTTCCTTCAGGCCACTGCAGAGATGCCCCGAGCACACTGTCCCAAGTCTAGAGGAACACCAACTTCAGCACAGCAACTCGAGGAATGCTCCGTGTACCCCAAATCGTCTCGAGATGAGAGCTGATTCCCTGGCTTAGGCTCAAGACGTATGCCAACTTTCCAGAAGCACCTCAGGAGGAGGCTTCTCTCAGCAATAGGTATGTGGGTGGGACCCCGAGTTTCCTGCCTCAAGGGGAACATACAGCGAGAAGCCCTAACTTGAAAGGAGGCCGGATTTCTTTGCAGTGGATTGAATACAGGCCAGTCTTTCATCTCACAACATGAAGGGATGTCTGAATCCCCTGTGGAGACCTTAGAGAAAGCCCTAGGTCCCTGCCTCATTTTGACGGAATGCCTCACATCCCGCTGACACCTCGAGAGGCACACGGAGTTCATTGCTTCAAAAGGTGACGATGCCTGACTCCTCTTGAATACTGATAGGAATACCAAAATCCCTGTGGCTACTGGAAAGGGTCCTTGGGTGCCCTGCCTCACCTCGAGAAGCGTCCCTTTTGCCCTGCCAAGCCTCGAAGAGATTCCTGAGGTGTCCCTCGTTACTAGACAGGAGTCCTGACGTCACTGAAGAAACTCGTGTTTTGAAGGGCCATCCCCGCCTTAAGTCGAGAACATACACCAGGTCCCCGCCGCAACTCGAGAAAAATCATGAGACTTCCCCCTAGAGGCGAGATGAGGCCCCATTTCCCTGCAGTGCATGCAGAGCTATTCCGTGATCCCATTCAACAAGTCAGGAGCTTCGACTTGCTTAATGGATCTCGAGACAGTCCCCAAGAACACTGTCACCAGTCTAGACGGACCCTGAGGTCACCCCAGCAGCGCAGAGCAGCTCCATGTGCCCCAAATCAACTCGAGATGAGGCCCGATTCCCCTGCATTGACTCCAGAGCCATTCCCCGTTCCCCATTCAACACGACCGGTGGCTCGACTTCCTTCAGGCCACTGCAGAGATGCCCCGAGCACACTGTCCCAAGTCTAGAGGAACACCAACTTCAGCACAGCAACTCGAGGAATGCTCCGTGTACCCCAAATCGTCTCGAGATGAGAGCTGATTCCCTGGCTTAGGCTCAAGACGTATGCCAACTTTCCAGAAGCACCTCAGGAGGAGGCTTCTCTCAGCAATAGGTATGTGGGAGGGACCCCGAGTTTCCTGCCTCAAGGGGAACATACAGCGAGAAGCCCTAACTTGAAAGGAGGCCGGATTTCTTTGCAGTGGCTTGAATACAGGCCAGTCTTTCATCTCACAACATGAAGGGATGTCTGAATCCCCTGTGGAGACCTTAGAGAAAGCCCTAGGTGCCTGCCTCATTTTGACGGAATGCCTCACATCCCGCTGACACCTCGAGAGGCACACGGAGTTCATTGCTTCAAAAGGTGACGATGCCTGACTCCTCTTGAATACTGATAGGAATACCAAAATCCCTGTGGCTACTGGAAAGGGTCCTTGGGTGCCCTGCCTCACCTCGAGAAGCGTCCCTTTTGCCCTGCCAAGCCTCGAAGAGATTCCTGAGGTGTCCCTCGTTACTAGACAGGAGTCCTGACGTCACTGAAGAAACTCGTGTTTTGAAGGGCCATCCCCGCCTTAAGTCGAGAACATACACCAGGTCCCCGCCGCAACTCGAGAAAAACCATGAGACTTCCCCCTAGAGGCGAGATGAGGCCCCATTCCCCTGCAGTGCATGCAGAGCTATTCCGTGATCCCATTCAAACAAGTCAGGAGCTTCGACTTGCTTAATGGATCTCGAGACAGTCCCCAAGAACACTGTCACCAGTCTAGACGGACCCTGAAGTCACCCCAGCAGCGCAGAGCAGCTCCATGTGCCCCAAATCAACTCGAGATGAGCCCCGATTCCCCTGCATTGACTCCAGAGCCATTCCCCATTCCCCATTCAACACGACCGGTGGCTCGACTTCCTTCAGGAGACTGCAGAGATGCCCCGAGCACACTGTCCCAAGTCTAGAGGAACACCAACTTCAGCACAGCAACTCGAGGAATGCTCCGTGTACCCCAAATCGTCTCCAGATGAGAGCTGATTCCCTGGCTTAGGCTCAAGACGTATGCCAACTTTCCAGAAGCACCTCAGGAGGAGGCTTCTCTCAGCAATAGGTATGTGGGAGGGACCCCGAGTTTGCTGCCTCAAGGGGAACATACAGCGAGAAGCCCTAACTTGAAAGGAGGCCGGATTTCTTTGCAGTGGCTTGAATACAGGCCAGTCTTTCATCTCACAACATGAAGGGATGTCTGAATCCCCTGTGGAGACCTTAGAGAAAGCCCTAGGTCCCTGCCTCATTTTGACGGAATGCCTCACATCCCGCTGACACCTCGAGAGGCACACGGAGTTCATTGCTTCAAAAGGTGACGATGCCTGACTCCTCTTGAATACTGATAGGAATACCAAAATCCCTGTGGCTACTGGAAAGGGTCCTTGGGTGCCCTGCCTCACCTCGAGAAGCGTCCCTTTTGCCCTGCCAAGCCTCGAAGAGATTCCTGATGTGTCCCTCGTTACTAGACAGGAGTCCTGACGTCACTGAAGAAACTCGTGTTTTGAAGGGCCATCCCCGCCTTAAGTCGAGAACATACACCAGGTCCCCGCCGCAACTCGAGAAAAACCATGAGACTTACCCCTAGAGGCGAGATGAGGCCCCATTCCCCTGCAGTGCATGCAGAGCTATTCCGTGATCCCATTCAAACAAGTCAGGAGCTTCGACTTGCTTAATGGATCTCGAGACAGTCCCCAAGAACACTGTCACCAGTCTAGACGGACCCTGAGGTCACCCCAGCAGCGCAGAGCAGCTCCATGTGCCCGAAGTCAACTCGAGATGAGCCCCGATTCCCCTGCATTGACTCCAGAGCCTTTCCCCGTTCCCCATTCAACACGACCGGTGGCTCGACTTCCTTCAGGCCACTGCAGAGATGCCCCGAGCACACTGTCCCAAGTCTAGAGGAACACCAACTTCAGCACAGCAACTCGAGGAATGCTCCGTGTACCCCAAATCGTCTCCAGATGAGAGCTGATTCCCTGGCTTAGGCTCAAGACGTATGCCAACTTTCCAGAAGCACCTCAGGAGGAGGCTTCTCTCAGCAATAGGTATGTGGGAGGGACCCCGAGTTTCCTGCCTCAAGGGGAACATACAGCGAGAAGCCCTAACTTGAAAGGAGGCCGGATTTCTTTGCAGTGGCTTGAATACAGGCCAGTCTTTCATCTCACAACATGAAGGGATGTCTGAATCCCCTGTGGAGACCTTAGAGAAAGCCCTAGGTCCCTGCCTCATTTTGACGGAATGCCTCACATCCCGCTGACACCTCGAGAGGCACACGGAGTTCATTGCTTCAAAAGGTGACGATGCCTGACTCCTCTTGAATACTGATAGGAATACCAAAATCCCTGTGGCTACTGGAAAGGGTCCTTGGGTGCCCTGCCTCACCTCGAGAAGCGTCCCTTTTGCCCTGCCAAGCCTCGAAGAGATTCCTGAGGTGTCCCTCGTTACTAGACAGGAGTCCTGACGTCACTGAAGAAACTCGTGTTTTGAAGGGCCATCCCCGCCTTAAGTCGAGAACATACACCAGGTCCCCGCCGCAACTCGAGAAAAACCATGAGACTTCCCCCTAGAGGCGAGATGAGGCCCCATTCCCCTGCAGTGCATGCAGAGCTATTCGGTGATCCCATTCAAACAAGTCAGGAGCTTCGACTTGCTTAATGGATCTCGAGACAGTCCCCAAGAACACTGTCACCAGTCTAGACGGACCCTGAGGTCACCCCAGCAGCGCAGAGCAGCTCCATGTGCCCCAAATCAACTCGAGATGAGCCCCGATTCCCCTGCATTTTCTCCAGAGCCATTCCCCGTTCCCCATTCAACACGACCGGTGGCTCGACTTCCTTCAGGCCACTGCAGAGATGCCCCGAGCACACTGTCCCAAGTCTAGAGGAACACCAACTTCAGCACAGCAACTCGAGGAATGCTCCGTGTACCCCAAATCGTCTCGAGATGAGAGCTGATTCCCTGGCTTAGGCTCAAGACGTATGCCAACTTTCCAGAAGCACCTCAGGAGGAGGCTTCTCTCAGCAATAGGTATGTGGGAGGGACCCCGAGTTTCCTGCCTCAAGGGGAACATACAGCGAGAAGCCCTAACTTGAAAGGAGGCCGGATTTCTTTGCAGTGGCTTGAATACAGGCCAGTCTTTCATCTCACAACATGAAGGGATGTCTGAATCCCCTGTGGAGACCTTAGAGAAAGCCCTAGGTCCCTGCCTCATTTTGACGGAATGCCTCACATCCCGCTGACACATCGAGAGGCACACGGAGTTCATTGCTTCAAAAGGTGACGATGCCTGACTCCTCTTGAATACTGATAGGAATACCAAAATCCCTGTGGCTACTGGAAAGGGTCCTTGGGTGCCCTGCCTCACCTCGAGAAGCGTCCCTTTTGCCCTGCCAAGCCTCGAAGAGATTCCTGAGGTGTCCCTCGTTACTAGACAGGAGTCCTGACGTCACTGAAGAAACTCGTGTTTTGAAGGGCCATCCCCGCCTTAAGTCGAGAACATACACCAGGTCCCCGCCGCAACTCGAGAAAAACCATGAGACTTCCCCCTAGAGGCGAGATGAGGCCCCATTCCCCTGCAGTGCATGCAGAGCTATTCCGTGATCCCATTCAAACAAGTCAGGAGCTTCGACTTGCTTAATGGATCTCGAGACAGTCCCCAAGAACACTGTCACCAGTCTAGACGGACCCTGAGGTCACCCCAGCAGCGCAGAGCAGCTCCATGTGCCCCAAATCAACTCGAGATGAGCCCCGATTCCCCTGCATTGACTCCAGAGCCATTCCCCGTTCCCCATTCAACACGACCGGTGGCTCGACTTCCTTCAGGAGACTGCAGAGATGCCCCGAGCACACTGTCCCAAGTCTAGAGGAACACCAACTTCAGCACAGCAACTCGAGGAATGCTCCGTGTACCCCAAATCGTCTCCAGATGAGAGCTGATTCCCTGGCTTAGGCTCAAGACGTATGCCAACTTTCCAGAAGCACCTCAGGAGGAGGCTTCTCTCAGCAATAGGTATGTGGGAGGGACCCCGAGTTTCCTGCCTCAAGGGGAACATACAGCGAGAAGCCCTAACTTGAAAGGAGGCCGGATTTCTTTGCAGTGGCTTGAATACAGGCCAGTCTTTCATCTCACAACATGAAGGGATGTCTGAATCCCCTGTGGAGACCTTAGAGAAAGCCCTAGGTCCCTGCCTCATTTTGACGGAATGCCTCACATCCCGCTGACACCTCGAGAGGCACACGGAGTTCATTGCTTCAAAAGGTGACGATGCCTGACTCCTCTTGAATACTGATAGGAATACCAAAATCCCTGTGGCTACTGGAAAGGGTCCTTGGGTGCCCTGCCTCACCTCGAGAAGCGTCCCTTTTGCCCTGCCAAGCCTCGAAGAGATTCCTGAGGTGTCCCTCGTTACTAGACAGGAGTCCTGACGTCACTGAAGAAACTCGTGTTTTGAAGGGCCATCCCCGCCTTAAGTCGAGAACATACACCAGGTCCCCGCCGCAACTCGAGAAAAACCATGAGACTTACCCCTAGAGGCGAGATGAGGCCCCATTCCCCTGCAGTGCATGCAGAGCTATTCCGTGATCCCATTCAAACAAGTCAGGAGCTTCGACTTGCTTAATGGATCTCGAGACAGTCCCCAAGAACACTGTCACCAGTCTAGACGGACCCTGAGGTCACCCCAGCAGCGCAGAGCAGCTCCATGTGCCCCAAGTCAACTCGAGATGAGGCCCGATTCCCCTGCATTGACTCCAGAGCCTTTCCCCATTCCCCATTCAACACGACCGGTGGCTCGACTTCCTTCAGGCCACTCCAGATATGCCCCGAGATCACTGTCCCAAGTCTAGAGGAACACCAACTTCAGCACAGCAACTCGAGGAATGCTCCGTGTACCCCAAATCACATCGAGATGAGAGCTGATTACCTGGCTTAGGCTCAACACGTATGGCAACTTTCCAGAAGCATCTCAGGAGGAGGCTTCTCTCAGCAATAGGTATGTGGGAGGGACCCCGAGTTTGCTGCCTCAAGGGGAATATACAGCGAGAAGCCCTAACTTGAAAGGAGGCCGGATTTCCTTGCAGTGGCTTGAATACAGGCCCGTCTTTCATCTCACAACATGAAGGGATGTCTGAATCCCCTGTGGAGACCTTAGAGAAAGCCCTAGGTGCCTGCCTCATTTTGACGGAATGCCTCACATCCCGCTGACACCTCGAGAGGCACACGGAGTTCATTGCTTCAAAAGTTGACGATGCCTGACTCCTCTTGAATACTGATAGGAATACCAAAATCCCTGTGGCTACTGGAAAGGGTCCTTGGGTGCCCTGCCTCACCTCGAGAAGCGTCCCTTTTGCCCTGCCAAGCCTCGAAGAGATTCCCGAGGTGTCCCTCGTTACTAGGCAGGAGTCCTGACGTGACTGAAGAAACTCGTGTTCTGAAGGGCCATCCCCGCCATAAGTCGAGAACATATCCCGGGTCCCCGCCACAACTCGAGAAAAAACATGAGACTTCCCCCTAGAGGCGAGATGAGGCCCCATTCCCCTGCAGTGCATACAGAGCTATTCCGTGATCCCATTCAAACAAGTCAGGAGCTTCGACTTGCTTAATGGATCTCGAGACAGTCCCCAAGAACACTGTCACCAGTCTAGACGGACCCTGAGGTTACCCCAGCAACGCAAAGCAGCTCCATGTGCCCCAAATCAACTCGAGATGAGGCCCGATTCCCCTGCATTGACTCCAGAGCCATTCCCCGTTCCAAATTCAACACAACCGGTGGCTCGACTTCCTTCAGGCATCTCCAGAGATGCCCCGAGAACACTGTCCCAAGTCTAGAGGAACAACAACTTCAGCAAAACAACTCGAGGAATGCTCCGTGTACCCCAAATCGTCTCGAGATGAGAGCTGATTCCCTGGCTTAGGCTCAAGACGTATGCCAACTTTCCAGAAGCACCTCAGGACGAGGCTTCTCCCAGCAATAGGTATGTGGGAGATACCCCGAATTTGCTGCCTCAAGGGGAATATACAGCGAGAAGCCCTAACTTGAAAGGAGGCCGGATTTCCTTGCAGTGGCTTGAATACAGGCCCGTCTTTCATCTCACAACATGAAGGGATGTCTGAATCCCCTGTGGAGACCTTAGAGAAAGCCCTAGGTCCCTGCCTCATTTTGACGGAATGCTTCACATCCCGCTGACACCTCGAGAGGCACGCGGAGTTCATTGCTTCAAAAGGTGACGATGCCTGACTCCTCTTGAATACTGATAGGAATCCCAAAATCCCTGTGGCTACTGGAAAGGGTCCTTGGGTGCCCTGCCTCACCTCGAGAAGCGATCCTTTTGCCCTGCCAAGCCTCAAAGAGATTCCTGAGGGGTCCCTCATTACTAGACAGGAGTCCTGACGTCACTGAAGAAACTCGTGTTTTGAAGGGCCATCCCCGCCGTAAGTCGAGAACATACCCCAGGTCCCCGCCGCAACTCGAGAAAAATCATGAGACTTCCCCCTAGAGGCGAGATGAGGCCCCATTCCCCTGCAGTGCATGCAGAGCTATTCCGTGATCCCATTGAAACAAATCAGGAGCTTCGACTTGCTTAATGGATCTCGAGACAGTCCCCAAGAACACTGTCACCAGTCTAGACGGACCCTGAGGTCACCCCAGCAGCGCAGAGCAGCTCCATGTGCCCCAAATCAACTCGAGATGAGGCCCGATTCCCCTGCATTGACTCCAGAGCCATTCCCCGTTCCCCATTCAACACGACCGGTGGCTCGACTTCCTTCAGGCCACTGCAGAGATGCCCCGAGCACACTGTCCCAAGTCTAGAGGAACACCAACTTCAGCACAGCAACTCGAGGAATGCTCCGTGTACCCCAAATCGTCTCGAGATGAGAGCTGATTCCCTGGCTTAGGCTCAAGACGTATGCCAACTTTCCAGAAGCACCTCAGGAGGAGGCTTCTCTCAGCAATAGGTATGTGGGAGGGACCCCGAGTTTCCTGCCTCAAGGGGAACATACAGCGAGAAGCCCTAACTTGAAAGGAGGCCGGATTTCTTTGCAGTGGCTTGAATACAGGCCAGTCTTTCATCTCACAACATGAAGGGATGTCTGAATCCCCTGTGGAGACCTTAGAGAAAGCCCTAGGTGCCTGCCTCATTTTGACGGAATGCCTCACATCCCGCTGACACCTCGAGAGGCACACGGAGTTCATTGCTTCAAAAGGTGACGATGCCTGACTCCTCTTGAATACTGATAGGAATACCAAAATCCCTGTGGCTACTGGAAAGGGTCCTTGGGTGCCCTGCCTCACCTCGAGAAGCGTCCCTTTTGCCCTGCCAAGCCTCGAAGAGATTCCTGAGGTGTCCCTCGTTACTAGACAGGAGTCCTGACGTCACTGAAGAAACTCGTGTTTTGAAGGGCCATCCCCGCCTTAAGTCGAGAACATACACCAGGTCCCCGCCGCAACTCGAGAAAAACCATGAGACTTCCCCCTAGAGGCGAGATGAGGCCCCATTCCCCTGCAGTGCATGCAGAGCTATTCCGTGATCCCATTCAAACAAGTCAGGAGCTTCGACTTGCTTAATGGATCTCGAGACAGTCCCCAAGAACACTGTCACCAGTCTAGACGGACCCTGAGGTCACCCCAGCAGCGCAGAGCAGCTCCATGTGCCCCAAATCAACTCGAGATGAGCCCCGATTCCCCTGCATTGACTCCAGAGCCATTCCCCATTCCCCATTCAACACGACCGGTGGCTCGACTTCCTTCAGGAGACTGCAGAGATGCCCCGAGCACACTGTCCCAAGTCTAGAGGAACACCAACTTCAGCACAGCAACTCGAGGAATGCTCCGTGTACCCCAAATCGTCTCCAGATGAGAGCTGATTCCCTGGCTTAGGCTCAAGACGTATGCCAACTTTCCAGAAGCACCTCAGGAGGAGGCTTCTCTCAGCAATAGGTATGTGGGAGGGACCCCGAGTTTGCTGCCTCAAGGGGAACATACAGCGAGAAGCCCTAACTTGAAAGGAGGCCGGATTTCTTTGCAGTGGCTTGAATACAGGCCAGTCTTTCATCTCACAACATGAAGGGATGTCTGAATCCCCTGTGGAGACCTTAGAGAAAGCCCTAGGTCCCTGCCTCATTTTGACGGAATGCCTCACATCCCGCTGACACCTCGAGAGGCACACGGAGTTCATTGCTTCAAAAGGTGACGATGCCTGACTCCTCTTGAATACTGATAGGAATACCAAAATCCCTGTGGCTACTGGAAAGGGTCCTTGGGTGCCCTGCCTCACCTCGAGAAGCGTCCCTTTTGCCCTGCCAAGCCTCGAAGAGATTCCTGATGTGTCCCTCGTTACTAGACAGGAGTCCTGACGTCACTGAAGAAACTCGTGTTTTGAAGGGCCATCCCCGCCTTAAGTCGAGAACATACACCAGGTCCCCGCCGCAACTCGAGAAAAACCATGAGACTTACCCCTAGAGGCGAGATGAGGCCCCATTCCCCTGCAGTGCATGCAGAGCTATTCCGTGATCCCATTCAAACAAGTCAGGAGCTTCGACTTGCTTAATGGATCTCGAGACAGTCCCCAAGAACACTGTCACCAGTCTAGACGGACCCTGAGGTCACCCCAGCAGCGCAGAGCAGCTCCATGTGCCCGAAGTCAACTCGAGATGAGCCCCGATTCCCCTGCATTGACTCCAGAGCCTTTCCCCGTTCCCCATTCAACACGACCGGTGGCTCGACTTCCTTCAGGCCACTGCAGAGATGCCCCGAGCACACTGTCCCAAGTCTAGAGGAACACCAACTTCAGCACAGCAACTCGAGGAATGCTCCGTGTACCCCAAATCGTCTCCAGATGAGAGCTGATTCCCTGGCTTAGGCTCAAGACGTATGCCAACTTTCCAGAAGCACCTCAGGAGGAGGCTTCTCTCAGCAATAGGTATGTGGGAGGGACCCCGAGTTTCCTGCCTCAAGGGGAACATACAGCGAGAAGCCCTAACTTGAAAGGAGGCCGGATTTCTTTGCAGTGGCTTGAATACAGGCCAGTCTTTCATCTCACAACATGAAGGGATGTCTGAATCCCCTGTGGAGACCTTAGAGAAAGCCCTAGGTCCCTGCCTCATTTTGACGGAATGCCTCACATCCCGCTGACACCTCGAGAGGCACACGGAGTTCATTGCTTCAAAAGGTGACGATGCCTGACTCCTCTTGAATACTGATAGGAATACCAAAATCCCTGTGGCTACTGGAAAGGGTCCTTGGGTGCCCTGCCTCACCTCGAGAAGCGTCCCTTTTGCCCTGCCAAGCCTCGAAGAGATTCCTGAGGTGTCCCTCGTTACTAGACAGGAGTCCTGACGTCACTGAAGAAACTCGTGTTTTGAAGGGCCATCCCCGCCTTAAGTCGAGAACATACACCAGGTCCCCGCCGCAACTCGAGAAAAACCATGAGACTTCCCCCTAGAGGCGAGATGAGGCCCCATTCCCCTGCAGTGCATGCAGAGCTATTCGGTGATCCCATTCAAACAAGTCAGGAGCTTCGACTTGCTTAATGGATCTCGAGACAGTCCCCAAGAACACTGTCACCAGTCTAGACGGACCCTGAGGTCACCCCAGCAGCGCAGAGCAGCTCCATGTGCCCCAAATCAACTCGAGATGAGCCCCGATTCCCCTGCATTTTCTCCAGAGCCATTCCCCGTTCCCCATTCAACACGACCGGTGGCTCGACTTCCTTCAGGCCACTGCAGAGATGCCCCGAGCACACTGTCCCAAGTCTAGAGGAACACCAACTTCAGCACAGCAACTCGAGGAATGCTCCGTGTACCCCAAATCGTCTCGAGATGAGAGCTGATTCCCTGGCTTAGGCTCAAGACGTATGCCAACTTTCCAGAAGCACCTCAGGAGGAGGCTTCTCTCAGCAATAGGTATGTGGGAGGGACCCCGAGTTTCCTGCCTCAAGGGGAACATACAGCGAGAAGCCCTAACTTGAAAGGAGGCCGGATTTCTTTGCAGTGGCTTGAATACAGGCCAGTCTTTCATCTCACAACATGAAGGGATGTCTGAATCCCCTGTGGAGACCTTAGAGAAAGCCCTAGGTCCCTGCCTCATTTTGACGGAATGCCTCACATCCCGCTGACACCTCGAGAGGCACACGGAGTTCATTGCTTCAAAAGGTGACGATGCCTGACTCCTCTTGAATACTGATAGGAATACCAAAATCCCTGTGGCTACTGGAAAGGGTCCTTGGGTGCCCTGCCTCACCTCGAGAAGCGTCCCTTTTGCCCTGCCAAGCCTCGAAGAGATTCCTGAGGTGTCCCTCGTTACTAGACAGGAGTCCTGACGTCACTGAAGAAACTCGTGTTTTGAAGGGCCATCCCCGCCTTAAGTCGAGAACATACACCAGGTCCCCGCCGCAACTCGAGAAAAACCATGAGACTTCCCCCTAGAGGCGAGATGAGGCCCCATTCCCCTGCAGTGCATGCAGAGCTATTCCGTGATCCCATTCAAACAAGTCAGGAGCTTCGACTTGCTTAATGGATCTCGAGACAGTCCCCAAGAACACTGTCACCAGTCTAGACGGACCCTGAGGTCACCCCAGCAGCGCAGAGCAGCTCCATGTGCCCCAAATCAACTCGAGATGAGCCCCGATTCCCCTGCATTGACTCCAGAGCCATTCCCCGTTCCCCATTCAACACGACCGGTGGCTCGACTTCCTTCAGGAGACTGCAGAGATGCCCCGAGCACACTGTCCCAAGTCTAGAGGAACACCAACTTCAGCACAGCAACTCGAGGAATGCTCCGTGTACCCCAAATCGTCTCCAGATGAGAGCTGATTCCCTGGCTTAGGCTCAAGACGTATGCCAACTTTCCAGAAGCACCTCAGGAGGAGGCTTCTCTCAGCAATAGGTATGTGGGAGGGACCCCGAGTTTCCTGCCTCAAGGGGAACATACAGCGAGAAGCCCTAACTTGAAAGGAGGCCGGATTTCTTTGCAGTGGCTTGAATACAGGCCAGTCTTTCATCTCACAACATGAAGGGATGTCTGAATCCCCTGTGGAGACCTTAGAGAAAGCCCTAGGTCCCTGCCTCATTTTGACGGAATGCCTCACATCCCGCTGACACCTCGAGAGGCACACGGAGTTCATTGCTTCAAAAGGTGACGATGCCTGACTCCTCTTGAATACTGATAGGAATACCAAAATCCCTGTGGCTACTGGAAAGGGTCCTTGGGTGCCCTGCCTCACCTCGAGAAGCGTCCCTTTTGCCCTGCCAAGCCTCGAAGAGATTCCTGAGGTGTCCCTCGTTACTAGACAGGAGTCCTGACGTCACTGAAGAAACTCGTGTTTTGAAGGGCCATCCCCGCCTTAAGTCGAGAACATACACCAGGTCCCCGCCGCAACTCGAGAAAAACCATGAGACTTACCCCTAGAGGCGAGATGAGGCCCCATTCCCCTGCAGTGCATGCAGAGCTATTCCGTGATCCCATTCAAACAAGTCAGGAGCTTCGACTTGCTTAATGGATCTCGAGACAGTCCCCAAGAACACTGTCACCAGTCTAGACGGACCCTGAGGTCACCCCAGCAGCGCAGAGCAGCTCCATGTGCCCCAAGTCAACTCGAGATGAGGCCCGATTCCCCTGCATTGACTCCAGAGCCTTTCCCCATTCCCCATTCAACACGACCGGTGGCTCGACTTCCTTCAGGCCACTCCAGATATGCCCCGAGATCACTGTCCCAAGTCTAGAGGAACACCAACTTCAGCACAGCAACTCGAGGAATGCTCCGTGTACCCCAAATCACATCGAGATGAGAGCTGATTACCTGGCTTAGGCTCAACACGTATGGCAACTTTCCAGAAGCATCTCAGGAGGAGGCTTCTCTCAGCAATAGGTATGTGGGAGGGACCCCGAGTTTGCTGCCTCAAGGGGAATATACAGCGAGAAGCCCTAACTTGAAAGGAGGCCGGATTTCCTTGCAGTGGCTTGAATACAGGCCCGTCTTTCATCTCACAACATGAAGGGATGTCTGAATCCCCTGTGGAGACCTTAGAGAAAGCCCTAGGTGCCTGCCTCATTTTGACGGAATGCCTCACATCCCGCTGACACCTCGAGAGGCACACGGAGTTCATTGCTTCAAAAGTTGACGATGCCTGACTCCTCTTGAATACTGATAGGAATACCAAAATCCCTGTGGCTACTGGAAAGGGTCCTTGGGTGCCCTGCCTCACCTCGAGAAGCGTCCCTTTTGCCCTGCCAAGCCTCGAAGAGATTCCCGAGGTGTCCCTCGTTACTAGGCAGGAGTCCTGACGTGACTGAAGAAACTCGTGTTCTGAAGGGCCATCCCCGCCATAAGTCAAGAACATATCCCGGGTCCCCGCCACAACTCGAGAAAAAACATGAGACTTCCCCCTAGAGGCGAGATGAGGCCCCATTCCCCTGCAGTGCATACAGAGCTATTCCGTGATCCCATTCAAACAAGTCAGGAGCTTCGACTTGCTTAATGGATCTCGAGACAGTCCCCAAGAACACTGTCACCAGTCTAGACGGACCCTGAGGTTACCCCAGCAACGCAAAGCAGCTCCATGTGCCCCAAATCAACTCGAGATGAGGCCCGATTCCCCTGCATTGACTCCAGAGCCATTCCCCGTTCCAAATTCAACACAACCGGTGGCTCGACTTCCTTCAGGCATCTCCAGAGATGCCCCGAGAACACTGTCCCAAGTCTAGAGGAACAACAACTTCAGCAAAACAACTCGAGGAATGCTCCGTGTACCCCAAATCGTCTCGAGATGAGAGCTGATTCCCTGGCTTAGGCTCAAGACGTATGCCAACTTTCCAGAAGCACCTCAGGACGAGGCTTCTCCCAGCAATAGGTATGTGGGAGATACCCCGAATTTGCTGCCTCAAGGGGAATATACAGCGAGAAGCCCTAACTTGAAAGGAGGCCGGATTTCCTTGCAGTGGCTTGAATACAGGCCCGTCTTTCATCTCACAACATGAAGGGATGTCTGAATCCCCTGTGGAGACCTTAGAGAAAGCCCTAGGTCCCTGCCTCATTTTGACGGAATGCTTCACATCCCGCTGACACCTCGAGAGGCACGCGGAGTTCATTGCTTCAAAAGGTGACGATGCCTGACTCCTCTTGAATACTGATAGGAATCCCAAAATCCCTGTGGCTACTGGAAAGGGTCCTTGGGTGCCCTGCCTCACCTCGAGAAGCGATCCTTTTGCCCTGCCAAGCCTCAAAGAGATTCCTGAGGGGTCCCTCATTACTAGACAGGAGTCCTGACGTCACTGAAGAAACTCGTGTTTTGAAGGGCCATCCCCGCCGTAAGTCGAGAACATACCCCAGGTCCCCGCCGCAACTCGAGAAAAATCATGAGACTTCCCCCTAGAGGCGAGATGAGGCCCCATTCCCCTGCAGTGCATGCAGAGCTATTCCGTGATCCCATTGAAACAAATCAGGAGCTTCGACTTGCTTAATGGATCTCGAGACAGTCCCCAAGAACACTGTCACCAGTCTAGACGGACCCTGAGGTCACCCCAGCAATGCAAAGCAGCTCCATATCCCCCAAATCAACTCGAGATGAGGCCCGATTCCCCTGCATTGACTCCAGAGCCATTCCCCGTTCCCCATTCAACACGACCGGTGGCTCGACTTCCTTCAGGTCACTGCAGAGATGCCCCGAGAACACTGTCCCAAGTCTAGAGGAACACCAACTTCAGCACAGCAACTCGAGGAATGCTCCGTGTACCCCAAATCGTCTCCAGATGAGAGCTGATTCCCTGGCTTAGGCTCAAGACGTATGCCAACTTTCCAGAAGCACCTCAGGAGGAGGCTTCTCTCAGCAATAGGTATGTGGGAGGGACCCCGAGTTTGCTGCCTCAAGGGGAATATACAGCGAGAAGCCCTAACTTGAAAGGAGGCCGGATTTCCTTGCAGTGGCTTGAATACAGGCCCGTCTTTCATCTCACAACATGAAGGGATGTCTGAATCCCCTGTGGAGACCTTAGAGAAAGCCCTAGGTGCCTGCCTCATTTTGACGGAATGCCTCACATCCCGCTGACACCTCGAGAGGCACACGGAGTTCATTGCTTCAAAAGGTGACGATGCCTGACTCCTCTTGAATACTGATAGGAATCCCAAAATCCCTGTGGCTACTGGAAAGGGTCCTTGGGTGCCCTGCCTCACCTCGAGAAGCGTCCCTTTTGCCCTGCCAAGCCTCGAAGAGATTCCTGAGGTGTCCCTCGTTACTAGTCAGGAGTTCTGACGTCACTGAAGAAACTCGTGTTTTTAAGAGCCATCCCCGCCGTAAGTCGAGAACATACCCCATGTCCCCGCCGCAACTCGAGAAAAAACATGAGACTTCCCCCTAGAGGCGAGATGAGGCCCCATTCCCCTGCACTGCATACAGAGCTATTCCGTGATCCCATTCAAACAAGTCAGGAGCTTCGACTTGCTTAATGGATCTCGAGACAGTCCCCAAGAACACTGTCACCAGTCTAGACGGACCCTGAGGTTACCCCAGCAACGCAAAGCAGCTCCATGTGCCCCAAATCAACTCGAGATGAGGCCCGATTCCCCTGCATTGACTCCAGAGCCATTCGCCATTCCCCATTCAACACGACCGGTGGCTCGACTTCCTTCAGGCCACTGCAGAGATGCCCCGAGCACACTGTCCCAAGTCTAGAGGAACACCAACTTCAGCACAGCAACTCGAGGAATGCTCCGTGTACCCCAAATCGTCTCGAGATGAGAGCTGATTCCCTGGCTTAGGCTCAAGACGTATGCCAACTTTCCAGAAGCACCTCAGGAGGAGGCTTCTCTCAGCAATAGGTATGTGGGTGGGACCCCGAGTTTCCTGCCTCAAGGGGAACATACAGCGAGAAGCCCTAACTTGAAAGGAGGCCGGATTTCTTTGCAGTGGATTGAATACAGGCCAGTCTTTCATCTCACAACATGAAGGGATGTCTGAATCCCCTGTGGAGACCTTAGAGAAAGCCCTAGGTCCCTGCCTCATTTTGACGGAATGCCTCACATCCCGCTGACACCTCGAGAGGCACACGGAGTTCATTGCTTCAAAAGGTGACGATGCCTGACTCCTCTTGAATACTGATAGGAATACCAAAATCCCTGTGGCTACTGGAAAGGGTCCTTGGGTGCCCTGCCTCACCTCGAGAAGCGTCCCTTTTGCCCTGCCAAGCCTCGAAGAGATTCCTGAGGTGTCCCTCGTTACTAGACAGGAGTCCTGACGTCACTGAAGAAACTCGTGTTTTGAAGGGCCATCCCCGCCTTAAGTCGAGAACATACACCAGGTCCCCGCCGCAACTCGAGAAAAATCATGAGACTTCCCCCTAGAGGCGAGATGAGGCCCCATTTCCCTGCAGTGCATGCAGAGCTATTCCGTGATCCCATTCAACAAGTCAGGAGCTTCGACTTGCTTAATGGATCTCGAGACAGTCCCCAAGAACACTGTCACCAGTCTAGACGGACCCTGAGGTAACCCCAGCAGCGCAGAGCAGCTCCATGTGCCCCAAATCAACTCGAGATGAGGCCCGATTCCCCTGCATTGACTCCAGAGCCATTCCCCGTTCCCCATTCAACACGACCGGTGGCTCGACTTCCTTCAGGCCACTGCAGAGATGCCCCGAGCACACTGTCCCAAGTCTAGAGGAACACCAACTTCAGCACAGCAACTCGAGGAATGCTCCGTGTACCCCAAATCGTCTCGAGATGACAGCTGATTCCCTGGCTTAGGCTCAAGACGTATGCCAACTTTCCAGAAGCACCTCAGGAGGAGGCTTCTCTCAGCAATAGGTATGTGGGAGGGACCCCGAGTTTGCTGCCTCATGGGGAATATACAGCGAGAAGCCCTAACTTGAAAGGAGGCCGGATTTCCTTGCAGTGGCTTGAATACAGGCCCGTCTTTCATCTCACAACATGAAGGGATGTCTGAATCCCCTGTGGAGACCTTAGAGAAAGCCCTAGGTGCCTGCCTCATTTTGACGGAATGCCTCACATCCCGCTGACACCTCGAGAGGCACACGGAGTTCATTGCTTCAAAAGTTGACGATGCCTGACTCCTCTTGAATACTGATAGGAATCCCAAAATCCCTGTGGCTACTGGAAAGGGTCCTTGGGTGCCCTGCCTCACCTCGAGAAGCGTCCCTTTTGCCCTGACAAGCCTCGAAGTGATTCCTGAGGTGTCCCTCGTTACTAGTCAGGAGTCCTGACGTCACTGAAGAAACTCGTGTTTTTAAGAGCCATCCCCGCCGTAAGTCGAGAACATACCCCATGTCCCCGCCGCAACTCGAGAAAAAACATGAGACTTCCCCCTAGAGGCGAGATGAGGCCCCATTCCCCTGCAGTGCATACAGAGCTATTCCGTGATCCCATTCAAACAAGTCAGGAGCTTCGATTTGCTTAATGGATCTCGAGACAGTCCCCAAGAACACTGTCACCAGTCTAGACGGACCCTGAGGTTACCCAGCAACGCAAAGCAGCTCCATGTGCCCCAAATCAACTCGAGATGAGGCCCGATTCCCCTGCATTGACTCCAGAGCCATTCCCCGTTCCCCATTCAACACGACCGGTGGCTCGACTTCCTTCAGGCAACTCCAGAGATGCCCCGAGAACACTGTCCCAAGTCTAGAGGAACAACAACTTCAGCACAACAACTCGAGGAATGCTCCGTGTACCCCAAGTCGTCTCGAGATGAGAGCTGATTCCCTTGCTTAGGCTCAAGACATATGCCAACTTTCCAGAAGCACCTCAGGACGAGGCTTCTCTCAGCAATAGGTATGTGGGAGGGACCCCGAGTTTGCTGCCTCAAGGGGAATATACAGCGAGAAGCCCTAACTTGAAAGGAGGCCGGATTTCCTTGCAGTGGCTTGAATACAGGCCCGTCTTTCATCTCACAACATGAAGGGATGTCTGAATCCCCTGTGGAGACCTTAGAGAAAGCCCTAGGTCCCTGCCTCATTTTGACGGAATGCTTCACATCCCGCTGACACCTCGAGAGGCACGCGGAGTTCATTGCTTCAAAAGGTGACGATGCCTGACTCCTCTTGAATACTGATAGGAATCCCAAAATCCCTGTGGCTACTGGAAAGGGTCCTTGGGTGCCCTGCCTCACCTCGAGAAGCGTCCCTTTTGCCCTGCCAAGCCTCGAAGAGATTCCTAAGGTGTCCCTCGTTACTAGACAGGAGTCCTGACGTCACTGAAGAAACTAGAGTTTTGAAGGGCCATCCCCGCCGTAAGTCGAGAACATTCCCCAGGTCCCCGACGCAACTCGAGAAAAACCATGAGACTTCCCCCTAGAGGCGAGATGAGGCCCCATTCCCCTGAGTGCATGCAGAGCTATTCCGTGATCCCATTCAAACAAGTCAAGAGCTTCGACTTGCTTAATGGATCTCGAGACAGTCCCCAAGAACACTGTCACCAGTCTAGACGGACCCTGAGGTCACCCCAGCAGCGCAGAGCAGCTCCATGTGCCCCAAATCAACTCGAGATGAGTCCCGATTCCCCTGCATTGACTCCAGAGCCATTCCCCGTTCCCCATTCAACACGACCGGTGGCTCGACTTCCTTCAGGCCACTGCAGAGATGCCCCGAGCACACTGTCCCAAGTCTAGAGGAACACCAACTTCAGCACAGCAACTCGAGGAATGCTCCGTGTACCCCAAATCATCTCGAGATGAGAGCTGATTCCCTGGCTTAGGCTCAAGACGTATGCCAACTTTCCAGAAGCACCTCAGGGGGAGGCTTCTCTCAGCAATAGGTATGTGGGAGGGACCCCGAGGTTGCTGCCTCAAGGGGAACATACAGCGAAAAGCCCTAACTTGAAAGGAGGCCGGATTTCCTTGCAGTGGCTTGAATACAGGACCGTCTTTCATCTCACAACATGAAGGGATGTCTGAATCCCCTGTGGAGACCTTAGAGAAAGCCCTAGGTGCCTGCCTCATTTTGACGGAATGCCTCACATCCCGCTGACACCTCGAGAGGCACACGGAGTTCATTGCTTCAAAATTTGACGATGCCTGACTCCTCTTGAATACTGATAGGAATCCCAAAATCCCTGTGGCTACTGGAAAGGGTCCTTGGGTGCCCTGCCTCACCTCGAGAAGCGTCCCTTTTTCCCTGCCAAGCCTCGAAGAGATTCCTGAGGTGTCCCTCGTTACTAGTCAGGAGTCCTGACGTCACTGAAGAAACTCGTGTTTTGAAGGGCCATCCCCGCCGTAAGTCGAGAACATATCCCAGGTCCCCGCCGCAACTCGAGAAAAATCATGAGACTTCCCCCTAGAGGCGAGATGAGGCCCCATTCCCCTGCAGTGCATGCAGAGCTATTCCGTGATCCCATTGAAACAAATCAGGAGCTTCGACTTGCTTAATGGATCTCGAGACAGTCCCCAAGAACACTGTCACCAGTCTAGACGGACCCTGAGGTCACCCCAGCAATGCAAAGCAGCTCCATGTGCCCCAAATCAACTCGAGATGAGGCCCGATTCCCCTGCATTGACTCCAGAGCCATTCCCCGTTCCCCATTCAACACGACCGGTGGCTCGACTTCCTTCAGGCCACTGCAGAGATGCCCCGAGCACACTGTCCCAAGTCTAGAGGAACACCAACTTCAGCACAGCAACTCGAGGAATGCTCCGTGTACCCCAAATCGTCTCGAGATGAGAGCTGATTCCCTGGCTTAGGCTCAAGACGTATGCCAACTTTCCAGAAGCACCTCAGGAGGAGGCTTCTCTCAGCAATAGGTATGTGGGAGGGACCCCGAGTTTGCTGCCTCAAGGGGAATATACATCGAGAAGCCCTAACTTGAAAGGAGGCCGGATTTCCTTGCAGTGGCTTGAATACAGGCCCGTCTTTCATCTCACAACATGAAGGGATGTCTGAATCCCCTTTGGAGACCTTAGAGAAAGCCCTAGGTGCCTGCCTCATTTTGACGGAATGCCTCACATCCCGCTGACACCTCGAGAGGCACACGGAGTTCATTGCTTCAAAAGTTGACGATGCCTGACTCCTCTTGAATACTGATAGGAATCCCAAAATCCCTGTGGCTACTGGAAAGGGTCCTTGGGTGCCCTGCCTCACCTCGAGAAGCGTCCCCTTTGCCCTGCCAAGCCTCGAAGAGATTCCTGAGGTGTCCCTCGTTACTAGTCAGGAGTCCTGACGTCACTGAAGAAACTCGTGTTTTGAAGGGCCATCCCCGCCGTAAGTCGAGAACATATCCCGGGTCCCCGCCGCAACTCGAGAAAAAACATGAGACTTCCCCCTAGAGGCGAGATGAGGCCCCATTCCCCTGCAGTGCATACAGAGCTATTCCGTGATCCCATTCAAACAAGTCAGGAGCTTCAACTTGCTTAATGGATCTCGAGACAGTCCCCAAGAACACTGTCACCAGTCTAGACGGACCCTGAGGTTACCCCAGCAACGCAAAGCAGCTCCATGTGCCCGAAATCAACTCGAGATGAGGCCCGATTCCCCTGCATTGACTCCAGAGCCATTCCCCGTTCCCCATTCAACACGACCGGTGGTTCGACTTCCTTCAGGCAACTCCAGAGATGCCCCGAGAACACTGTCCCAAGTCTAGAGGAACAACAACTTCAGCACAACAACTCGAGGAATGCTCCGTGTACCCCAAATCGTCTCGAGATGAGAGCTGATTCCCTGGCTTAGGCTCAAGACATATGCCACCTTTCCAGAAGCACCTCAGGACGAGGCTTCTCTCAGCAATAGGTATGTGGGAAGGACCCCGAGTTTGTTGCCTCAAGGGGAATATACACCGAGAAGCCCTAACTTGAAAGGAGGCCGGATTTCCTTGCAGTGGCTTGAATACAGGCCCGACTTTCATCTCACAACATGAAGGGATGTCTGAATCCCCTGTGGAGACCTTAGAGAAAGCCCTAGGTCCCTGCCTCATTTTGACGGAATGCTTCACATCCCGCTGACACCTCGAGAGGCACGCGGAGTTCATTGCTTCAAAAGGTGACGATGCCTGACTCTTCTTGAATACTGATAGGAATCCCAAAATCCCTGTGGCTACTGGAAAGGGTCCTTGGGTGCCCTGCCTCACGTCGAGAAGCGTCCCTTTTGCCCTGCCAAGCCTCGAAGAGATTCCTAAGGTGTCCCTCGTTACTAGACAGGAGTCCTGACGTCACTGAAGAAACTCGTGTTTTGAAGGGCCATCCCCGCCGTAAGTCGAGAACATTCCCCAGGTCCCCGACGCAACTCGAGAAAAACCATGAGACTTCCCCCTAGAGGCGAGATGAGGCCCCTTTCCCCTGCAGTGCATGCAGAGCTATTCCGTGATCCCATTCAAACAAGTCAGGAGCTTCGACTTGCTTAATGGATCTCGAGACAGTCCCCAAGAACACTGTAACCAGTCTAGACGGACCCTGAGGTCACCCCAGCAGCGCAGAGCAGCTCCATGTGCCCCAAATCAACTCGAGATGAGGCCCGATTCTCCTGCATTGACTCCAGAGCCATTCCCCGTTCCCCATTCAACGCGACCGGTGGCTCGACTTCCTTCAGGCCACTGCAGAGATGCCCCGAGCACACTGTCCCAAGTCCTGAGGAACACCAACTTCAGCACAGCAACTCGAGGAATGCTCCGTGTACCCCAAATCGTCTCGAGATGAGAGCTGATTCCCTGGCTTAGGCTCAAGACTTATGCCAACTTTCCAGAAGCACCTCAGGAGGAGGCTTCTCTCAGCAATAGGTATGTGGGAGGGACCCCGATTTTCCTGCCTCAAGGGGAACATACAGCGAGAAGCCCTAACTTGAAAGGAGGCCGGATTTCTTTGCAGTGGCATGAATACAGGCCAGTCTTTCATCTCACAACATGAAGGGATGTCTGAATCCCCTGTGGAGACCTTAGAGAAAGCCCTAGGTCCCTGCCTCATTTTGACGGAATGCCTCACATCCCGCTGACACCTCGAGAGGCACACGGAGTTCATTGCTTCAAAAGGTGACGATGCCTGACTCCTCTTGAATACTGATAGGAATACCAAAATCCCTGTGGCTACTGGAAAGGGTCCTTGGGTGCCCTGCTTCACCTCGAGAAGCGTCCCTTTTGCCCTGCCAAGCCTCGAAGAGATTCCTGAGGGGTCCCTCATTACTAGACAGGAGTCCTGACGTCACTGAAGAAACTCGTGTTTTGAAGGGCCATCCCCGCCTTAAGTCGAGAACATACCCCAGGTCCCCGCCGCAACTCGAGAAAAATCATGAGACTTCCCCCTAGAGGCGAGATGAGGCCCCATTCCCCTGCAGTGCATGCAGAGCTATTCCGTGATCCCATTGAAACAAATCAGGAGCTTCGATTTGCTTAATGGATCTCGAGACAGTCCCCAAGAACACTGTCACCAGTCTAGACGGACCCTGATGTCACCCCAGCAATGCAAAGCAGCTCCATATGCCCCAAATCAACTCGAGATGAGGCCCGATTCCCCTGCATTGACTCCAGAGCCATTCCCCGTTCCCCATTCAACACGACCGGTGGCTCGACTTCCTTCAGGTCACTGCAGAGATGCCCCGAGAACACTGTCCCAAGTCTAGAGGAACACCAACTTCAGCACAGCAACTCGAGGAATGCTCCGTGTACCCCAAATCGTCTCGAGATGAGAGCTGATTCCCTGGCTTAGGCTCAAGACGTATGCCAACTTTCCAGAAGCACCTCAGGAGGAGGCTTCTCTCAGCAATAGGTATGTGGGAGGGACCCCGATTTTGCTGCCTCAAGGGGAATATACAGCGAGAAGCCCTAACTTGAAAGGAGGCCGGATTTCCTTGCAGTGGCTTGAATACAGGCCCGTCTTTCATCTCACAACATGAAGGGATGTCTGAATCCCCTTGGAGAACTTAGAGAAAGCCCTAGGTCCCTGCCTCATTTTGACGGAATGCCTCACATCCCGCTGACACCTCGAGAGGCACGCGGAGTTCATTGCTTCAAAAGGTGACGATGCCTGACTCCTCTTGAATACTGGTAGGAATACCAAAATCCCTGTGGCTACTGGAAAGGGTCCTTGGGTGCCCTGCCTCACCTCGAGAAGCGTCCCTTTTGCCCTGCCAAGCCTCGAAGAGATTCCTGAGGTGTCCCTCGTTACTAGACAGGAGTCCTGACGTCACTGAAGAAACTCGTGTTTTGAAGGGCCATCCCCGCCTTAAGTCGAGAACATACACCAGGTCCCCGCCGCAACTCGAGAAAAACCATGAGACTTCCCCCTAGAGGCGAGATGAGGCCCCATTCCCCTGCAGTGCATGCAGAGCTATTCCGTGATCCCATTCAAACAAGTCAGGAGCTTCGACTTGCTTAATGGATCTCGAGACAGTCCCCAAGAACACTGTCACCAGTCTAGACGGACCCTGAGGTCACCCCAGCAGCGCAGAGCAGCTCCATGTGCCCCAAATCAACTCGAGATGAGGCCCGATTCCCCTGCATTGACTCCAGAGCCATTCCCCGTTCCCCATTCAACACGACCGGTGGCTTGACTTCCTTCAGGCCACTGCAGAGATGCCCCGAGCAAACTGTCCCAAGTCTAGAGGAACACCAACTTCAGCACAGCAACTCGAGGAATGCTCCGTGTACCCCAAATCGTCTCGAGATGAGAGCTGATTCCCTGGCTTAGGCTCAAGATGTATGCCAACTTTCCAGAAGCACCTCAGGATGAGGCTTCTCTCAGCAATAGGTATGTGGGAGGGACCCCGAGTTTGCTGCCTCAAAGGGAACATACAGCGAGAAGCCCTAACTTGAAAGGAGGCTGGATTTCCTTGCTGTGGCTTGAATACAGGCCCGTCTTTCATCTCACAACATGAAGGGATGTCTGAATCCCCTGTGGAGACCTTAGAGAAAGCCCTAGGTCCCTGCCTCATTTTGACGGAATGCCTCACATCCCGCTGACACCTCAAGAGGAATGCGGAGTTCATTGCTTCAAAACGTGACGATGCCTGACTCCTCTTGAATACTGAGAGGAAACCCAAAATCCCTGTGGCTACTGGAAAGGGTCCTTGGGTGCCCTGCCTCACCTCGAGAAGCGTCCCTTTTACCCTGCCAAGCCTCGAAGAGATTCCTGAGGGGTCCCTCGTTACTAGACAGGAGTCCTGACGTCACTGAAGAAACTCGTGTTTTGAAGGGCCATCCCCGCCATAAGTCGAGAACATACCCCAGGTCCCCGCCGCAACTCGAGAAAAATCATGAGACTTCCCCCTAGAGGCGAGATGAGGCCCCATTCCCCTGCAGTGCATGCAGAGCTATTCCGTGATCCCATTGAAACAAATCAGGAGCTTCGACTTGCTTAATGGATCTCGAGACAGTCCCCAAGAACACTGTCACCAGTCTAGACGGACCCTGAGGTCACCCCAGCAATGCAAAGCAGCTCCATATGCCCCAAATCAACTCGAGATGAGGCCCGATTCCCCTGCATTGACTCCAGAGCCATTCCCCATTCCCCATTCAACACGACCGGTGGCTCGACTTCCTTCAGGTCACTGCAGAGATGCCCCGAGAACACTGTCCCAAGTCTAGAGGAACACCAACTTCAGCACAGCAACTCGAGGAATGCTCCGTGTACCCCAAATCGTCTCGAGATGAGAGCTGATTCCCTGGCTTAGGCTCAAGACGTATGCCAACTTTCCAGAAGCACCTCAGGAGGAGGCTTCTCTCAGCAATAGGTATGTGGGAGGGACCCCGAGTTTGCTGCCTCAAGGGGAATATACAGCGAGAAGCCCTAACTTGAAAGGAGGCCGGATTTCCTTGCAGTGGCTTGAATACAGGCCCGTCTTTCATCTCACAACATGAAGGGATGTCTGAATCCCCTTTGGAGACCTTAGAGAAAGCCCTAGGTGCCTGCCTCATTTTGACGGAATGCCTCACATCCCGCTGACACCTCGAGAGGCACACGGAGTTCATTGCTTCAAAAGTTGACGATGCCTGACTCCTCTTGAATAGTGATAGGAATCCCAAAATCCCTGTGGCTACTGGAATGGGTCCTTGGGTGCCCTGCCTCACCTCGAGAAGCGTCCCCTTTGCCCTGCCAAGCCTCGAAGAGATTCCTGAGGTGTCCCTCGTTACTAGTCAGGAGTCCTGACGTCACTGAAGAAACTCGTGTTTTGAAGGGCCATCCCCCCCGTAAGTCGAGAACATATCCCGGGTCCCCGCCCCAACTCGAGAAAAAACATGAGACTTCCCCCTAGAGGCGAGATGAGGCCCCATTCCCCTGCAGTGCATACAGAGCTATTCCGTGATCCCATTCAAACAAGTCAGGAGCTTCGACTTGCTTAATGGATCTCGAGACAGTCCCCAAGAAGACTGTCACCAGTCTAGACGGACCCTGAGGTTACCCCAGCAACGCAAAGCAGCTCCATGTGCCCGAAATCAACTCGAGATGAGGCCCGATTCCCCTGCATTGACTCCAGAGCCATTCCCCGTTCCCCATTCAACAAGACCGGTGGTTCGACTTCCTTCAGGCAACTCCAGAGATGCCCCGAGAACACTGTCCCAAGTCTAGAGGAACAACAACTTCAGGACAACAACTCGAGGAATGCTCCGTGTACCCCAAATCGTCTCGAGATGAGAGCTGATTCCCTGGCTTAGGCTCAAGACATATGCCACCTTTCCAGAAGCACCTCAGGACGAGGCTTCTCTCAGCAATAGGTATGTGGGAAGGACCCCGAGTTTGCTGCCTCAAGGGGAATATACAGCGAGAAGCCCTAACTTGAAAGGAGGCCGGATTTCCTTGCAGTGGCTTGAATACAGGCCCGACTTTCATCTCACAACATGAAGGGATGTCTGAATCCCCTGTGGAGACCTTAGAGAAAGCCCTAGGTCCCTGCCTCATTTTGACGGAATGCTTCACATCCCGCTGACACCTCGAGAGGCACGCGGAGTTCATTGCTTCAAAAGGTGACGATGCCTGACTCCTCTTGAATACTGATAGGAATCCCAAAATCCCTGTGGCTACTGGAAAGGGTCCTTGGGTGCCCTGCCTCACCTCGAGAAGCGTCCCTTTTGCCCTGCCAAGCCTCGAAGAGATTCCTAAGGTGTCCCTCGTTACTAGACAGGAGTCCTGACGTCACTGAAGAAACTCGTGTTTTGAAGGGCCATCCCCGCCGTAAGTCGAGAACATTCCCCAGGTCCCCGACGCAACTCGAGAAAAACCATGAGACTTCCCCCTAGAGGCGAGATGAGGCCCCTTTCCCCTGCAGTGCATGCAGAGCTATTCCGTGATCCCATTCAAACAAGTCAGGAGCTTCGACTTGCTTAATGGATCTCGAGACAGTCCCCAAGAACACTGTCACCAGTCTAGACGGACCCTGAGGTCACCCCAGCAGCGCAGAGCAGCTCCATGTGCCCCAAATCAACTCGAGATGAGGCCCGATTCCCCTGCATTGACTCCAGAGCCTTTCCCCGTTCCCCATTCAACACGACCGGTGGCTCGACTTCCTTCAGGCCACTGCAGAGATGCCCCGAGCACACTGTCCCAAGTCTAGAGGAACACCAACTTCAGCACAGCAACTCGAGGAATGCTCCGTGTACCCCAAATCGTCTCGAGATGAGAGCTGATTCCCTGGCTTAGGCTCAAGACGTATGCCAACTTTCCAGAAGCACCTCAGGAGGAGGCTTCTCTCAGCAATAGGTATGTGGGAGGGACCCCGAGTTTGCTGCCTCAAGGGGAACATACAGCGAGAAGCCCTAACTTGAAAGGAGGCCGGATTTCCTTGCAGTGGCTTGAATACAGGCCCGTCTTTCATCTCACAACATGAAGGGATGTCTGAATCCCCTGTGGAGACCTTAGAGAAAGCCCTAGGTCCCTGCCTCATTTTGACGGAATGCCTCACATCCCGCTGACACCTCGAGAGGCACACGGAGTTCATTGCTTCAAAAGGTGACGATGCCTGACTCCTCTTGAATACTGATAGGAATCCCAAAATCCCTGTGGCTACTGGAAAGGGTCCTTGGGTGCCCTGCCTCACCTCGAGAAGCGTCCCTTTTGCCCTGCCAAGCCTCGAAGAGATTCCTGAGGTGTCCCTCGTTACTAAACAGGAGTCCTGACGTCACTGAAGAAACTCCTGTTTTGAAGGGCCATCCCCGCCTTAAGTCGAGAACATACCCCAGGTCCCCGCCGCAACTCGAGAAAAACCATGAGACTTCCCCCTAGAGGCGAGAAGAGGCCCCATTCCCTTGCAGTGCATGCAGAGCTACTCCGTGATCCCATTCAAACAAGTCAGGAGCTTCGACTTGCTTAATGGATCTCGAGAGAGTACCCAAGAACACTGTCACCAGTCTAGACGGACCCTGAGGTCACCCCAGCAACGCAAAGCAGCTCTATGTGCCCCAAATCAACTCGAGATGAGGCCCGATTCCCCTGCATTGACTCCAGAGCCTTTCCCCATTCCCCATTCAACACGACCGGTGGCTCGACTTCCTTCAGGCCACTCCAGATATGCCCCGAGATCACTGTCCCAAGTCTAGAGGAACACCAACTTCAGCACAGCAACTCGAGGAATGCTCCGTGTACCCCAAATCACATCGAGATGAGAGCTGATTCCCTGGCTTAGGCTCAACACGTATGGCAACTTTCCAGAAGCATCTCAGGAGGAGGCTTCTCTCAGCAATAGGTATGTGGGAGGGACCCCGAGTTTGCTGCCTCAAGGGGAATATACAGCGAGAAGCCCTAACTTGAAAGGAGGCCGGATTTCCTTGCAGTGGCTTGAATACAGGCCCGTCTTTCATCTCACAACATGAAGGGATGTCTGAATCCCCTGTGGAGACCTTAGAGAAAGCCCTAGGTGCCTGCCTCATTTTGACGGAATGCCTCACATCCCGCTGACACCTCGAGAGGCACACGGAGTTCATTGCTTCAAAAGTTGACGATGCCTGACTCCTCTTGAATACTGATAGGAATACCAAAATCCCTGTGGCTACTGGAAAGGGTCCTTGGGTGCCCTGCCTCACCTCGAGAAGCGTCCCTTTTGCCCTGCCAAGCCTCGAAGAGATTCCCGAGGTGTCCCTCGTTACTAGGCAGGAGTCCTGACGTGACTGAAGAAACTCGTGTTTTGAAGGGCCATCCCCGCCATAAGTCGAGAACATATCCCGGGTCCCCGCCACAACTCGAGAAAAAACATGAGACTTCCCCCTAGAGGCGAGATGAGGCCCCATTCCCCTGCAGTGCATACAGAGCTATTCCGTGATCCCATTCAAACAAGTCAGGAGCTTCGACTTGCTTAATGGATCTCGAGACAGTCCCCAAGAACACTGTCACCAGTCTAGACGGACCCTGAGGTTACCCCAGCAATGCAAAGCAGCTCCATGTGCCCCAAATCAACTCGAGATGAGGACCGATTCCCCTGCATTGACTCCAGAGCCATTCCCCGTTCCCCATTCAACACAACCGGTGGCTCGACTTCCTTCAGGCAACTCCAGAGATGCCCCGAGAACACTGTCCCAAGTCTAGAGGAACAACAACTTCAGCAAAACAACTCGAGGAATGCTCCGTGTACCCCAAATCGTCTCGAGATGAGAGCTGATTCCCTGGCTTAGGCTCAAGACGTATGCCAACTTTCCAGAAGCACCTCAGGACGAGGCTTCTCCCAGCAATAGGTATGTGGGAGGGACCCCGAATTTGCTGCCTCAAGGGGAATATACAGCGAGAAGCCCTAACTTGAAAGGAGGCCGGATTTCCTTGCAGTGGCTTGAATACAGGCCCGTCTTTCATCTCACAACATGAAGGGATGTCTGAATCCCCTGTGGAGACCTTAGAGAAAGCCCTAGGTCCCTGCCTCATTTTGACGGAATGCTTCACATCCCGCTGACACCTCGAGAGGCACGCGGAGTTCATTGCTTCAAAAGGTGACGATGCCTGACTCCTCTTGAATACTGATAGGAATCCCAAAATCCCTGTGGCTACTGGAAAGGGTCCTTGGGTGCCCTGCCTCACCTCGAGAAGCGTCCCTTTTGCCCTGCCAAGCCTCGAAGAGATTCCTGAGGGGTCCCTCATTACTAGACAGGAGTCCTGACGTCACTGAAGAAACTCGTGTTTTGAAGGGCCATCCCCGCCGTAAGTCGAGAACATACCCCAGGTCCCCGCCGCAACTCGAGAAAAATCATGAGACTTCCCCCTAGAGGCGAGATGAGGCCCCATTCCCATGCAGTGCATGCAGAGCTATTCCGTGATCCCATTGAAACAAATCAGGAGCTTCAACTTGCTTAATGGATCTCGAGACAGTCCCCAAGAACACTGTCACCAGTCTAGACGGACCCTGAGGTCACCCCAGCAATGCAAAGCAGCTCCATATGCCCCAAATCAACTCGAGATGAGGCCCGATTCCCCTGCATTGACTCCAGAGCCATTCCCCGTTCCCCATTCAACACGACCGGTGGCTCGACTTCCGTCAGGTCACTGCAGAGATGCCCCGAGAACACTGTCCCAAGTCTAGAGGAACACCAACTTCAGCACAGCAACTCGAGGAATGCTCCGTGTACCCCAAATCGTCTCCAGATGAGAGCTGATTCCCTGGCTTAGGCTCAAGACGTATGCCAACTTTCCAGAAGCACCTCAGGAGGAGGCTTCTCTCAGCAATAGGTATGTGGGAGGGACCCCGAGTTTGCTGCCTCAAGGGGAATATACAGCGATAAGCCCTAACTTGAAAGGAGGCCGGATTTCCTTGCAGTGGCTTGAATACAGGCCCGTCTTTCATCTCACAACATGAAGGGATGTCTGAATCCCCTGTGGAGACCTTAGAGAAAGCCCTAGGTGCCTGCCTCATTTTGACGGAATGCCTCACATCCCGCTGACACCTCGAGAGGCACACGGAGTTCATTGCTTCAAAAGGTGACGATGCCTGACTCCTGTTGAATACTGATAGGAATCCCAAAATCCCTGTGGCTACTGGAAAGGGTCCTTGGGTGCCCTGCCTCACCTCGAGAAGCGTCCCTTTTGCCCTGCCAAGCCTCGAAGAGATTCCTGAGGTGTCCCTCGTTACTAGACAGGAGTCCTGACGTCACTGAAGAAACTCGTGTTTTGAAGGGCCATCCCCGCCTTAAGTCGAGAACATACACCAGGTCCCCGCCGCAACTCGAGAAAAATCATGAGACTTCCCCCTAGAGGCGAGATGAGGCCCCATTTCCCTGCAGTGCATGCAGAGCTATTCCGTGATCCCATTCAACAAGTCAGGAGCTTCGACTTGCTTAATGGATCTCGAGACAGTCCCCAAGAACCCTGTCACCAGTCTAGACGGACCCTGAGGTCACCCCAGCAGCGCAGAGCAGCTCCATGTGCCCCAAATCAACTCGAGATGAGGCCCGATTCCCCTGCATTGACTCCAGAGCCATTCCCCGTTCCCCATTCAACACGACCGGTGGCTCGACTTCCTTCAGGCCACTGCAGAGATGCCCCGAGCACACTGTCCCAAGTCTAGAGGAACACCAACTTCAGCACAGCAACTCGAGGAATGCTCCGTGTACCCCAAATCGTCTCGAGATGAGAGCTGATTCCCTGGCTTAGGCTCAAGACGTATGCCAACTTTCCAGAAGCACCTCAGGAGGAGGCTTCTCTCAGCAATAGGTATGTGGGTGGGACCCCGAGTTTGCTGCCTCAAGGGGAACATACAGCGAGAAGCCCTAACTTGAAAGGAGGCCGGATTTCCTTGCTGTGGCTTGAATACAGGCCCGTCTTTCATCTCACAACATGAAGGGATGTCTGAATCCCCTGTGGAGACCTTAGAGAAAGCCCTAGGTCCCTGCCTCATTTTGACGGAATGCCTCACATCCCGCTGACACCTCGAGAGGCACGCGTAGTTCATTGCTTCAAAAGGTGACGATGCCTGACTCCTCTTGAATACTGATAGGAATCCCAAAATCCCTGTGGCTTCTGGAAAGGGTTCTTGGGTGCCCTGCCTCACCTCGAGAAGTGTCCCTTTTGCCCTGCCAAGCCTCGAAGAGATTCCTGAGGTGTCCCGCGTTACTAGACAGGAGTCCTGACGTCACTGAAGAAACTCGTGTTTTGAAGGGCCATCCCCGCCTTAAGTCGAGAACATACCCCAGGTGCCAACCGCAACTCGAGAAAAACCATTAGACTTCCCTCTAGAGGCGAGATGAGGCCCCATTCCCCTGCAGTGCATGCAGAGCTACTCCGTGATCCCATTCAAACAAGTCAGGAGCTTCGACTTGCTTAATGGATCTCGAAAGAGTCCCCAAGAACACTGTCACCAGTCTAGACGGACCCTGAGGTCACCCCAGCAATGCAAAGCAGCTCCATATGCCCCAAATCAACTCGAGATGAGGCCCGATTCCCCTGCATTGACTCCAGAGCCATTCCCCGTTCCCCATTCAACACGACCGGTGGCTCGACTTCCTTCAGGTCACTGCAGAGATGCCCCGAGAACACTGTCCCAAGTCTAGAGGAACACCAACTTCAGCACAGCAACTCGAGGAATGCTCCGTGTACCCCAAATCGTCTCGAGATGAGAGCTGATTCCCTGGCTTAGGCTCAAGACGTATGCCAACTTTCCAGAAGCACCTCAGGAGGAGGCTTCTCTCAGCAATAGGTATGTGGGAGGGACCCCGAGTTTGCTGCCTCAAGGGGAATATACAGCGAGAAGCCCTAACTTGAAAGGAGGCCGGATTTACTTGCAGTGGCTTGAATACAGGCCCGTCTTTCATCTCACAACATGAAGGGATGTCTGAATCCCCTGTGGAGACCTTAGAGAAAGCCCTAGGTGCCTGCCTCATTTTGACGGAATGCCTCACATCCCGCTGACACCTCGAGAGGCACACGGAGTTCATTGCTTCAAAAGTTGACGATGCCTGACTCCTGTTGAATACTGATAGGAATCCCAAAATCCCTGTGGCTACTGGAAAGGGTCCTTGGGTGCCCTGCCTCACCTCGAGAAGCGTCCCTTTTGCCCTGACAAGCCTCGAAGAGATTCCTGAGGTGTCCCTCGTTACTAGTCAGGAGTCCTGACGTCACTGAAGAAACTCGTGTTTTTAAGAGCCATCCCCGCCGTAAGTCTAGAACATACCCCATGTCCCCGCCGCAACTCGAGAAAAAACATGAGACTTCCGCCTAGAGGCGAAATGAGGCCCCATTCCCCTGCAGTGCATACAGAGCTATTCCGTGATCCCATTCAAACAAGTCAGGAGCTTCGATTTGCTTAATGGATCTCGAGACAGTCCCCAAGAACACTGTCACCAGTCTAGACGGACCCTGAGGTTACCCAGCAACGCAAAGCAGCTCCATGTGCCCCAAATCAACGCGAGATGAGGCCCGATTCCCCTGCATTGACTCCAGAGCCATTCCCCGTTCCCCATTCAACACGACCGGTGGCTCGACTTCCTTCAGGCAACTCCAGAGATGCCCCGAGAACACTGTCCCAAGTCTAGAGGAACAACAACTTCAGCACAACAACTCGAGGAATGCTCCGTGTACCCCAAGTCGTCTCGAGATGAGAGCTGATTCCCTTGCTTAGGCTCAAGACATATGCCAACTTTCCAGAAGCACCTCAGGACGAGGCTTCTCTCAGCAATAGGTATGTGGGAGGGACCCCGAGTTTGCTGTCTCAAGGGGAATATACAGCGAGAAGCCCTAACTTGAAAGGAGGCAGGATTTACTTGCAGTGGCTTGAATACAGGCCCGTCTTTCATCTCACAACATGAAGGGATGTCTGAATCCCCTGTGGAGACCTTAGAGAAAGCCCTAGGTCCCTGCCTCATTTTGACGGAATGCTTCACATCCCGCTGACACCTCGAGAGGCACGCGGAGTTCATTGCTTCAAAAGGTGACGATGCCTGACTCCTCTTGAATACTGATAGGAATCCCAAAATCCCTGTGGCTACTGGAAAGGGTCCTTGGGTGCCCTGCCTCACGTCGAGAAGCGTCCCTTTTGCCCTGCCAAGCCTCGAAGAGATTCCTAAGGTGTCCCTCGTTACTAGACAGGAGTCCTGACGTCACTGAAGAAACTCGTGTTTTGAATGGCCATCCCCGCCGTAAGTCGAGAACATTCCCCAGGTCCCCGACGCAACTCGAGAAAAACCATGAGACTTCCCCCTAGAGGCGAGATGAGGCCCCTTTCCCCTGCAGTGCATGCAGAGCTATTCCGTGATCCCATTCAAACAAGTCAGGAGCTTCGACTTGCTTAATGGATCTCGAGACAGTCCCCAAGAACACTGTAACCAGTCTAGACGGACCCTGAGGTCACCCCAGCAGCACAGAGCAGCTCCATGTGCCCCAAATCAACTCGAGATGAGGCCCGATTCCCCTGCATTGACTCCAGAGCCATTCCCCGTTCCCCATTCAACGCGACCGGTGGCTCGACTTCCTTCAGGCCACTGCAGAGATGCCCCGAGCACACTGTCCCAAGTCTAGAGGAACACCAACTTCAGCACAGCAACTCGAGGAATGCTCCGTGTACCCCAAATCGTCTCGAGATGAGAGCTGATTCCCTGGCTTAGGCTCAAGACGTATGCCAACTTTCCAGAAGCACCTCAGGAGGAGGCTTCTCTCAGCAATAGGTATGTGGGAGGGACCCCGAGTTTCCTGCCTCAAGGGGAACATACAGCGAGAAGCCCTAACTTGAAAGGAGGCCGGATTTCTTTGCAGTGGCATGAATACAGGCCAGTCTTTCATCTCACAACATGAAGGGATGTCTGAATCCCCTGTGGAGACCTTAGAGAAAGCCCTAGGTCCCTGCCTCATTTTGACGGAATGCCTCACATCCCGCTGACACCTCGAGAGGCACACGGAGTTCATTGCTTCAAAAGGTGACGATGCCTGACTCCTCTTGAATACTGATAGGAATACCAAAATCCCTGTGGCTACTGGAAAGGGTCCTTGGGTGCCCTGCCTCACCTCGAGAAGCGTCCCTTTTGCCCTGCCAAGCCTCGAAGAGATTCCTGAGGGGTCCCTCATTACTAGACAGGAGTCCTGACGTCACTGAAGAAACTCGTGTTTTGAAGGGCCATCCCCGCCTTAAGTCGAGAACATACCCCAGGTCCCCGCCGCAACTCGAGAAAAATCATGAGACTTCCCCCTAGAGGCGAGATGAGGCCCCATTCCCCTGCAGTGCATGCAGAGCTATTCCGTGATCCCATTGAAACAAATCAGGAGCTTCGATTTGCTTAATGGATCTCGAGACAGTCCCCAAGAACACTGTCACCAGTCTAGACGGACCCTGATGTCACCCCAGCAATGCAAAGCAGCTCCATATGCCCCAAATCAACTCGAGATGAGGCCCGATTCCCCTGCATTGACTCCAGAGCCATTCCCCGTTCCCCATTCAACACGACCGGTGGCTCGACTTCCTTCAGGTCACTGCAGAGATGCCCCGAGAACACTGTCCCAAGTCTAGAGGAACACCAACTTCAGCACAGCAACTCGAGGAATGCTCCGTGTACCCCAAATCGTCTCGAGATGAGAGCTGATTCCCTGGCTTAGGCTCAAGACGTATGCCAACTTTCCAGAAGCACCTCAGGAGGAGGCTTCTCTCAGCAATAGGTATGTGGGAGGGACCCCGATTTTGCTGCCTCAAGGGGAATATACAGCGAGAAGCCCTAACTTGAAAGGAGGCCGGATTTCCTTGCAGTGGCTTGAATACAGGCCCGTCTTTCATCTCACAACATGAAGGGATGTCTGAATCCCCTTGGAGAACTTAGAGAAAGCCCTAGGTCCCTGCCTCATTTTGACGGAATGCCTCACATCCCGCTGACACCTCGAGAGGCATGCGGAGTTCATTGCTTCAAAAGGTGACGATGCCTGACTCCTCTTGAATACTGGTAGGAATACCAAAATCCCTGTGGCTACTGGAAAGGGTCCTTGGGTGCCCTGCCTCACCTCGAGAAGCGTCCCTTTTGCCCTGCCAAGCCTCGAAGAGATTCCTGAGGTGTCCCTCGTTACTAGACAGGAGTCCTGACGTCACTGAAGAAACTCGTGTTTTGAAGGGCCATCCCCGCCTTAAGTCGAGAACATACACCAGGTCCCCGCCGCAACTCGAGAAAAACCATGAGACTTCCCCCTAGAGGCGAGATGAGGCCCCATTCCCCTGCAGTGCATGCAGAGCTATTCCGTGATCCCATTCAAACAAGTCAGGAGCTTCGACTTGCTTAATGGATCTCGAGACAGTCCCCAAGAACACTGTCACCAGTCTAGACGGACCCTGAGGTCACCCCAGCAGCGCAGAGCAGCTCCATGTGCCCCAAATCAACTCGAGATGAGGCCCGATTCCCCTGCATTGACTCCAGAGCCATTCCCCGTTCCCCATTCAACACGACCGGTGGCTCGACTTCCTTCAGGCCACTGCAGAGATGCCCCGAGCAAACTGTCCCAAGTCTAGAGGAACACCAACTTCAGCACAGCAACTCGAGGAATGCTCCGTGTACCCCAAATCGTCTCGAGATGAGAGCTGATTCCCTGGCTTAGGCTCAAGACGTATGCCAACTTTCCAGAAGCACCTCAGGATGAGGCTTCTCTCAGCAATAGGTATGTGGGAGGGACCCCGAGTTTGCTGCCTCAAAGGGAACATACAGCGAGAAGCCCTAACTTGAAAGGAGGCTGGATTTCCTTGCAGTGGCTTGAATACAGGCCCGTCTTTCATCTCACAACATGAAGGGATGTCTGAATCCCCTGTGGAGACCTTAGAGAAAGCCCTAGGTCCCTGCCTCATTTTGACGGAATGCCTCACATCCCGCTGACACCTCAAGAGGAATGCGGAGTTCATTGCTTCAAAACGTGACGATGCCTGACTCCTCTTGAATACTGAGAGGAAACCCAAAATCCCTGTGGCTACTGGAAAGGGTCCTTGGGTGCCCTGCCTCACCTCGAGAAGCGTCCCTTTTGCCCTGCCAAGCCTCGAAGAGATTCCTGAGGGGTCCCTCGTTACTAGACAGGAGTCCTGACGTCACTGAAGAAACTCGTGTTTTGAAGGGCCATCCCCGCCATAAGTCGAGAACATACCCCAGGTCCCCGCCGCAACTCGAGAAAAATCATGAGACTTCCCCCTAGAGGCGAGATGAGGCCCCATTCCCCTGCAGTGCATGCAGAGCTATTCCGTGATCCCATTGAAACAAATCAGGAGCTTCGACTTGCTTAATGGATCTCGAGACAGTCCCCAAGAACACTGTCACCAGTCTAGACGGACCCTGAGGTCACCCCAGCAATGCAAAGCAGCTCCATATGCCCCAAATCAACTCGAGATGAGGCCCGATTCCCCTGCATTGACTCCAGAGCCATTCCCCGTTCCCCATTCAACACGACCGGTGGCTCGACTTCCTTCAGGTCACTGCAGAGATGCCCCGAGAACACTGTCCCAAGTCTAGAGGAACACCAACTTCAGCACAGCAACTCGAGGAATGCTCCGTGTACCCCAAATCGTCTCGAGATGAGAGCTGATTCCCTGGCTTAGGCTCAAGACGTATGCCAACTTTCCAGAAGCACCTCAGGAGGAGGCTTCTCTCAGCAATAGGTATGTGGGAGGGACCCCGAGTTTGCTGCCTCAAGGGGAATATACAGCGAGAAGCCCTAACTTGAAAGGAGGCCGGATTTCCTTGCAGTGGCTTGAATACAGGCCCGTCTTTCATCTCACAACATGAAGGGATGTCTGAATCCCCTTTGGAGACCTTAGAGAAAGCCCTAGGTGCCTGCCTCATTTTGACGGAATGCCTCACATCCCGCTGACACCTCGAGAGGCACACGGAGTTCATTGCTTCAAAAGTTGACGATGCCTGACTCCTCTTGAATAGTGATAGGAATCCCAAAATCCCTGTGGCTACTGGAATGGGTCCTTGGGTGCCCTGCCTCACCTCGAGAAGCGTCCCCTTTGCCCTGCCAAGCCTCGAAGAGATTCCTGAGGTGTCCCTCGTTACTAGTCAGGAGTCCTGACGTCACTGAAGAAACTCGTGTTTTGAAGGGCCATCCCCCCCGTAAGTCGAGAACATATCCCGGGTCCCCGCCGCAACTCGAGAAAAAACATGAGACTTCCCCCTAGAGGCGAGATGAGGCCCCATTCCCCTGCAGTGCATACAGAGCTATTCCGTGATCCCATTCAAACAAGTCAGGAGCTTCGACTTGCTTAATGGATCTCGAGACAGTCCCCAAGAAGACTGTCACCAGTCTAGACGGACCCTGAGGTTACCCCAGCAACGCAAAGCAGCTCCATGTGCCCGAAATCAACTCGAGATGAGGCCCGATTCCCCTGCATTGACTCCAGAGCCATTCCCCCTTCCCCATTCAACAAGACCGGTGGTTCGACTTCCTTCAGGCAACTCCAGAGATGCCCCGAGAACACTGTCCCAAGTCTAGAGGAACAACAACTTCAGGACAACAACTCGAGGAATGCTCCGTGTACCCCAAATCGTCTCGAGATGAGAGCTGATTCCCTGGCTTAGGCTCAAGACATATGCCACCTTTCCAGAAGCACCTCAGGACGAGGCTTCTCTCAGCAATAGGTATGTGGGAAGGACCCCGAGTTTGCTGCCTCAAGGGGAATATACAGCGAGAAGCCCTAACTTGAAAGGAGGCCGGATTTCCTTGCAGTGGCTTGAATACAGGCCCGACTTTCATCTCACAACATGAAGGGATGTCTGAATCCCCTGTGGAGACCTTAGAGAAAGCCCTAGGTCCCTGCCTCATTTTGACGGAATGCTTCACATCCCGCTGACACCTCGAGAGGCACGCGGAGTTCATTGCTTCAAAAGGTGATGATGCCTGACTCCTCTTGAATACTGATAGGAATCCCAAAATCCCTGTGGCTACTGGAAAGGGTCCTTGGGTGCCCTGCCTCACCTCGAGAAGCGTCCCTTTTGCCCTGCCAAGCCTCGAAGAGATTCCTAAGGTGTCCCTCGTTACTAGACAGGAGTCCTGACGTCACTGAAGAAACTCGTGTTTTGAAGGGCCATCCCCGCCGTAAGTCGAGAACATTCCCCAGGGCCCCGACGCAACTCGAGAAAAACCATGAGACTTCCCCCTAGAGGCGAGATGAGGCCCCTTTCCCCTGCAGTGCATGCAGAGCTATTCCGTGATCCCATTCAAACAAGTCAGGAGCTTCGACTTGCTTAATGGATCTCGAGACAGTCCCCAAGAACACTGTCACCAGTCTAGACGGACCCTGAGGTCACCCCAGCAGCGCAGAGCAGCTCCATGTGCCCCAAATCAACTCGAGATGAGGCCCGATTCCCCTGCATTGACTCCAGAGCCTTTCCCCGTTCCCCATTCAACACGACCGGTGGCTCGACTTCCTTCAGGCCACTGCAGAGATGCCCCGAGCACACTGTCCCAAGTCTAGAGGAACACCAACTTCAGCACAGCAACTCGAGGAATGCTCCGTGTACCCCAAATCGTCTCGAGATGAGAGCTGATTCCCTGGCTTAGGCTCAAGACGTATGCCAACTTTCCAGAAGCACCTCAGGAGGAGGCTTCTCTCAGCAATAGGTATGTGGGAGGGACCCCGAGTTTGCTGCCTCAAGGGGAACATACAGCGAGAAGCCCTAACTTGAAAGGAGGCCGGATTTCCTTGCAGTGGCTTGAATACAGGCCCGTCTTTCATCTCACAACATGAAGGGATGTCTGAATCCCCTGTGGAGACCTTAGAGAAAGCCCTAGGTCCCTGCCTCATTTTGACGGAATGCCTCACATCCCGCTGACACCTCGAGAGGCACACGGAGTTCATTGCTTCAAAAGGTGACGATGCCTGACTCCTCTTGAATACTGATAGGAATACCAAAATCCCTGTGGCTACTGGAAAGGGTCCTTGGGTGCCCGGCCTCACCTCGAGAAGCGTCCCTTTTGCCCTGCCAAGCCTCGAAGAGATTCCTGAGGTGTCCCTCGTTACTAAACTGGAGTCCTGACGTCACTGAAGAAACTCCTGTTTTGAAGGGCCATCCCCGCCGTAAGTCGAGAACATACCCCAGGTCCCCGCCGCAACTCGAGAAAAACCATGAGACTTCCCCCTAGAGGCGAGAAGAGGCCCCATTCCCCTGCAGTGCATGCAGAGCTACTCCGTGATCCCATTCAAACAAGTCAGGAGCTTCGACTTGCTTAATGGATCTCGAGAGAGTACCCAAGAACACTGTCACCAGTCTAGACGGACCCTGAGGTCACCCCAGCAACGCAAAGCAGCTCTATGTGCCCCAAATCAACTCGAGATGAGGCCCGATTCCCCTGCATTGACTCCAGAGCCTTTCCCCATTCCCCATTCAACACGACCGGTGGCTCGACTTCCTTCAGGCCACTCCAGATATGCCCCGAGATCACTGTCCCAAGTCTAGAGGAACACCAACTTCAGCACAGCAACTCGAGGAATGCTCCGTGTACCCCAAATCACATCGAGATGAGAGCTGATTCCCTGGCTTAGGCTCAACACGTATGGCAACTTTCCAGAAGCATCTCAGGAGGAGGCTTCTCTCAGCAATAGGTATGTGGGAGGGACCCCGAGTTTGCTGCCTCAAGGGGAATATACAGCGAGAAGCCCTAACTTGAAAGGAGGCCGGATTTACTTGCAGTGGCTTGAATACAGGCCCGTCTTTCATCTCACAACATGAAGGGATGTCTGAATCCCCTGTGGAGACCTTAGAGAAAGCCCTAGGTGCCTGCCTCATTTTGACGGAATGCCTCACATCCCGCTGACACCTCGAGAGGCACACGGAGTTCATTGCTTCAAAAGTTGACGATGCCTGACTCCTCTTGAATACTGATAGGAATACCAAAATCCCTGTGGCTACTGGAAAGGGTCCTTGGGTGCCCTGCCTCACCTCGAGAAGCGTCCCTTTTGCCCTGCCAAGCCTCGAAGAGATTCCCGAGGTGTCCCTCGTTACTAGGCAGGAGTCCTGACGTGACTGAAGAAACTCGTGTTTTGAAGGGCCATCCCCGCCATAAGTCGAGAACATATCCCGGGTCCCCGCCACAACTCGAGAAAAAACATGAGACTTCCCCCTAGAGGCGAGATGAGGCCCCATTCCCCTGCAGTGCATACAGAGCTATTCCGTGATCCCATTCAAACAAGTCAGGAGCTTCGACTTGCTTAATGGATCTCGAGACAGTCCCCAAGAACACTGTCACCAGTCTAGACGGACCCTGAGGTTACCCCAGCAATGCAAAGCAGCTCCATGTGCCCCAAATCAACTCGAGATGAGGACCGATTCCCCTGCATTGACTCCAGAGCCATTCCCCGTTCCCCATTCAACACAACCGGTGGCTCGACTTCCTTCAGGCAACTCCAGAGATGCCCCGAGAACACTGTCCCAAGTCTAGAGGAACAACAACTTCAGCAAAACAACTCGAGGAATGCTCCGTGTACCCCAAATCGTCTCGAGATGAGAGCTGATTCCCTGGCTTAGGCTCAAGACGTATGCCACCTTTCCAGAAGCACCTCAGGACGAGGCTTCTCCCAGCAATAGGTATGTGGGAGGGACCCCGAATTTGCTGCCTCAAGGGGAATATACAGCGAGAAGCCCTAACTTGAAAGGAGGCCGGATTTCCTTGCAGTGGCTTGAATACAGGCCCGTCTTTCATCTCACAACATGAAGGGATGTCTGAATCCCCTGTGGAGACCTTAGAGAAAGCCCTAGGTCCCTGCCTCATTTTGACGGAATGCTTCACATCCCGCTGACACCTCGAGAGGCACGCGGAGTTCATTGCTTCAAAAGGTGACGATGCCTGACTCCTCTTGAATACTGATAGGAATCCCAAAATCCCTGTGGCTACTGGAAAGGGTCCTTGGGTGCCCTGCCTCACCTCGAGAAGCGTCCCTTTTGCCCTGCCAAGCCTCGAAGAGATTCCTGAGGGGTCCCTCATTACTAGACAGGAGTCCTGACGTCACTGAAGAAACTCGTGTTTTGAAGGGCCATCCCCGCCGTAAGTCGAGAACATACCCCAGGTCCCCGCCGCAACTCGAGAAAAACCATGAGACTTCCCCCTAGAGGCGAGATGAGGCCCCATTCCCCTGCAGTGCATGCAGAGCTATTCCGTGATCCCATTCAAACAAGTCAGGAGCTTCGACTTGCTTAATGGATCTCGAGACAGTCCCCAAGAACACTGTCTCCAGTCTAGACGGACCCTGAGGTCACCCCAGCAGCGCAGAGCAGCTCCATGTGCCCCAAATCAACTCGAGATGAGGCCCGATTCCCCTGCATTGACTCCAGAGCCATTCCCCGTTCCCCATTCAACACGACCGGTGGCTCGACTTCCTTCAGGCCACTGCAGAGATGCCCCGAGCACACTGTCCCAAGTCTAGAGGAACACCAACTTCAGCACAGCAACTCGAGGAATGCTCCGTGTACCCCAAATCGTCTCGAGATGAGAGCTGATTCCCTGGCTTAGGCTCAAGACGTATGCCAACTTTCCAGAAGCACCTCAGGAGGAGGCTTCTCTCAGCAATAGGTATGTGGGAGGGACCCCGAGTTTCCTGCCTCAAGGGGAACATACAGCGAGAAGCCCTAACTTGAAAGGAGGCCGGATTTCTTTGCAGTGGCTTGAATACAGGCCCGTCTTTCATCTCACAACATGAAGGGATGTCTGAATCCCCTGTGGAGACCTTAGAGAAAGCCCTAGGTCCCTGCCTCATTTTGACGGAATGCCTCACATCCCGCTGACACCTCGAGAGGCACACGGAGTTCATTGCTTCAAAAGGTGACGATGCCTGACTCCTCTTGAATACTGATAGGAATCCCAAAATCCCTGTGGCTACTGGAAAGGGTCCTTGGGTGCCCTGCCTCACCTCGAGAAGCGTCCCTTTTGCCCTGCCAAGCCTCGAAGAGATTCCTGAGGTGTCCCTCGTTACCAGACAGGAGTCCTGACGTCACTGAAGAAACTCGTGTTTTGAGGGGCCATCCCCGCCTTAAGTCGAGAACATACACCAGGTCCCCGCCGCAACTCGAGAAAAACCATGAGACTTCCCCCTAGAGGCGAGATGAGGCCCCATTCCCCTGCAGTGCATGCAGAGCTATTCCGTGATCCCATTCAAACAAGTCAGGAGCTTCGACTTGCTTAATGGATCTCGAGACAGTCCCCAAGAACACTGTCACCAGTCTAGACGGACCCTGAGGTCACCCCAGCAGCGCAGAGCAGCTCCATGTGCCTCAAATCAACTCGAGATGAGGCCCAATTCCCCTGCATTGACTCCAGAGCCATTCCCCGTTCCCCATTCAACACGACCGGTGGCTCGACTTCCTTCAGGCAACTGTAGAGATGCCCCGAGCACACTGTCCCAAGTCTAGAGGAACACCAACTTCAGCACAGCAACTCGAGGAATGCTCCGTGTACCCCAAATCGTCTCGAGATGAGAGCTGATTCCCTGGCTTAGGCTCAAGACGTATGCCAACTTTCCAGAAGCACCTCAGGGGGAGGGTTCTCTCAGCAATAGGTATGTGGGAGGGACCCCGAGTTTGCTGCCTCAAGGGGAACATACAGCGAAAAGACCTAACTTGAAAGGAGGCCGGATTTCCTTGCAGTGGCTTGAATACAGGCCCGTCTTTCATCTTACAACATGAAGGGATGTCTGAATCCCCTGTGGAGACCTTAGAGAAAGCCCTAGGTGCCTGCCTCATTTTGACGGAATGCCTCACATCCCGCTGACACCTCGAGAGGCACACGGAGTTCATTGCTTCAAAAGTTGACGATGCCTGACTCCTCTTGAATACTGATAGGAATCCCAAAATCCCTGTGGCTACTGGAAAGGGTCCTTGGGTGCCCTGCCTCACCTCGAGAAGCGTCCCTTTTGCCCTGCCAAGCCTCGAAGAGATTCCTGAGGTGTCCCTCGTTACTAGTCAGGAGTCCTGACGTCACTGAAGAAACTCGTGTTTTGAAGGGCCATCCCCGCCGTAAGTCGAGAACATATCCCAGGTCCCCGCCGCAACTCGAGAAAAATCATGAGACTTCCCCCTAGAGGCGAGATGAGGCCCCATTCCCCTGCAGTGCATGCAGAGCTATTCCGTGATCCCATTGAAACAAATCAGGAGCTTCGACTTGCTTAATGGATCTCGAGACAGTCCCCAAGAACACTGTCACCAGTCTAGACGGACCCTGAGGTCACCCCAGCAATGCAAAGCAGCTCCATATGCCCCAAATCAACTCGAGATGAGGCCCGATTCCCCTGCATTGACTCCAGAGCCATTCCCCGTTCCCCATTCAACACGACCGGTGGCTCGACTTCCTTCAGGTCACTGCAGAGATGCCCCGAGAACACTGTCCCAAGTCTAGAGGAACACCAACTTCAGCACAGCAACTCGAGGAATGCTCCGTGTACCCCAAATCGTCTCGAGATGAGAGCTGATTCCCTGGCTTAGGCTCAAGACGTATGCCAACTTTCCAGAAGCACCTCAGGAGGAGGCTTCTCTCAGCAATAGGTATGTGGGAGGGACCCCGATTTTGCTGCCTCAAGGGGAATATACAGCGAGAAGCCCTAACTTGAAAGGAGGCCGGATTTCCTTGCAGTGGCTTGAATACAGGCCCGTCTTTCATCTCACAACATGAAGGGATGTCTGAATCCCCTTGGAGAACTTAGAGAAAGCCCTAGGTCCCTGCCTCATTTTGACGGAATGCCTCACATCCCGCTGACACCTCGAGAGGCACGCGGAGTTCATTGCTTCAAAAGGTGACGATGCCTGACTCCTCTTGAATACTGGTAGGAATACCAAAATCCCTGTGGCTACTGGAAAGGGTCCTTGGGTGCCCTGCCTCACCTCGAGAAGCGTCCCTTTTGCCCTGCCAAGCCTCGAAGAGATTCCTGAGGTGTCCCTCGTTACTAGACAGGAGTCCTGACGTCACTGAAGAAACTCGTGTTTTGAAGGGCCATCCCCGCCTTAAGTCGAGAACATACACCAGGTCCCCGCCGCAACTCGAGAAAAACCATGAGACTTCCCCCTAGAGGCGAGATGAGGCCCCATTCCCCTGCAGTGCATGCAGAGCTATTCCGTGATCCCATTCAAACAAGTCAGGAGCTTCGACTTGCTTAATGGATCTCGAGACAGTCCCCAAGAACACTGTCACCAGTCTAGACGGACCCTGAGGTCACCCCAGCAGCGCAGAGCAGCTCCATGTGCCCCAAATCAACTCGAGATGAGGCCCGATTCCCCTGCATTGACTCCAGAGCCATTCCCCGTTCCCCATTCAACACGACCGGTGGCTCGACTTCCTTCAGGCCACTGCAGAGATGCCCCGAGCAAACTGTCCCAAGTCTAGAGGAACACCAACTTCAGCACAGCAACTCGAGGAATGCTCCGTGTACCCCAAATCGTCTCGAGATGAGAGCTGATTCCCTGGCTTAGGCTCAAGACGTATGCCAACTTTCCAGAAGCACCTCAGGAGGAGGCTTCTCTCAGCAATAGGTATGTGGGAGGGACCCCGAGTTTGCTGCCTCAAAGGGAACATACAGCGAGAAGCCCTAACTTGAAAGGAGGCTGGATTTCCTTGCAGTGGCTTGAATACAGGCCCGTCTTTCATCTCACAACATGAAGGGATGTCTGAATCCCCTGTGGAGACCTTAGAGAAAGCCCTAGGTCCCTGCCTCATTTTGACGGAATGCCTCACATCCCGCTGACACCTCAAGAGGAACGCGGAGTTCATTGCTTCAAAACGTGACGATGCCTGACTCCTCTTGAATACTGAGAGGAAACCCAAAATCCCTGTGGCTACTGGAAAGGGTCCTTGGGTGCCCTGCCTCACCTCGAGAAGCGTCCCTTTTGCCCTGCCAAGCCTCGAAGAGATTCCTGAGGGGTCCCTCGTTACTAGACAGGAGTCCTGACGTCACTGAAGAAACTCGTGTTTTGAAGGGCCATCCCCGCCATAAGTCGAGAACATACCCCAGGTCCCCGCCGCAACTCGAGAAAAATCATGAGACTTCCCCCTAGAGGCGAGATGAGGCCCCATTCCCCTGCAGTGCATGCAGAGCTATTCCGTGATCCCATTGAAACAAATCAGGAGCTTCGACTTGCTTAATGGATCTCGAGACAGTCCCCAAGAACCCTGTCACCAGTCTAGACGGACCCTGAGGTCACCCCAGCAATGCAAAGCAGCTCCATATGCCCCAAATCAACTCGAGATGAGGCCCGATTCCCCTGCATTGACTCCAGAGCCATTCCCCGTTCCCCATTCAACACGACCGGTGGCTCGACTTCCTTCAGGTCACTGCAGAGATGCCCCGAGAACACTGTCCCAAGTCTAGAGGAACACCAACTTCAGCACAGCAACTCGAGGAATGCTCCGTGTACCCCAAATCGTCTCGAGATGAGAGCTGATTCCCTGGCTTAGGCTCAAGACGTATGCCAACTTTCCAGAAGCACCTCAGGAGGAGGCTTCTCTCAGCAATAGGTATGTGGGAGGGACCCCGAGTTTGCTGCCTCAAGGGGAATATACAGCGAGAAGCCCTAACTTGAAAGGAGGCCGGATTTCCTTGCAGTGGCTTGAATACAGGCCCGTCTTTCATCTCACAACATGAAGGGATGTCTGAATCCCCTGTGGAGACCTTAGAGAAAGCCCTAGGTGCCTGCCTCATTTTGACGGAATGCCTCACATCCCGCTGACACCTCGAGAGGCACACGGAGTTCATTGCTTCAAAAGGTGACGATGCCTGACTCCTCTTGAATACTGATAGGAATCCCAAAATCCCTGTGGCTACTGGAAAGGGTCCTTGGGTGCCCTGCCTCACCTCGAGAAGCGTCCCTTTTGCCCTGCCAAGCCTCGAAGAGATTCCTGAGGTGTCCCTCGTTACTAGACAGGAGTCCTGACGTCACTGAAGAAACTCGTGTTTTGAAGGGCCATCCCCGCCTTAAGTCGAGAACATACACCAGGTCCCCGCCGCAACTCGAGAAAACTCATGAGACTTCCCCCTAGAGGCGAGATGAGGCCCCATTTCCCTGCAGTGCATGCAGAGCTATTCCGTGATCCCATTCAACAAGTCAGGAGCTTCGACTTGCTTAATGGATCTCGAGACAGTCCCCAAGAACACTGTCACCAGTCTAGACGGACCCTGAGGTCACCCCAGCAGCGCAGAGCAGCTCCATGTGCCCCAAATCAACTCGAGATGAGGCCCGATTCCCCTGCATTGACTCCAGAGCCATTCCCCGTTCCCCATTCAACACGACCGGTGGCTCGACTTCCTTCAGGCCACTGCAGAGATGCCCTGAGCACACTGTCCCAAGTCTAGAGGAACACCAACTTCAGCACAGCAACTCGAGGAATGCTCCGTGTACCCCAAATCGTCTCGAGATGAGAGCTGATTCCCTGGCTTAGGCTCAAGACGTATGCCAACTTTCCAGAAGCAGCTCAGGAGGAGGCTTCTCTCAGCAATAGGTATGTGGGTGGGACCCCGAGTTTGCTGCCTCAAGAGGAAAATACAGCGAGAAACCCTAACTTGAAAGGAGGCCGGATTTCCTTGCAGTGGCTTGAATACAGGCCCGTCTTTCATCTCACAACATGAAGGGATGTCTGAATCCCCTGTGGAGACCTTAGAGAAAGCCCTAGGTCCCTGCCTCATTTTGACGGAATGCCTCACGTCCCGCTGACACCTCGAGAGGCACGCGAAGTTCATTGCTTCAAAAGGTGACGATGCCTGACTCCTCTTGAATACTGATAGGAATCCCAAAATCCCTGTGGCTTCTGGAAAGGGTTCTTGGGTGCCCTGCCTCACCTCGAGAAGTGTCCCTTTTGCCCTGCCAAGCCTCGAAGAGATTCCTGAGGTGTCCCGCGTTACTAGACAGGAGTCCTGACGTCACTGAAGAAACTCGTGTTTTGAAGGGCCATCCCCGCCTTAAGTCGAGAACATACCCCAGGTGCCAACCGCAACTCGAGAAAAACCATTAGACTTCCCTCTAGAGGCGAGATGAGGCCCCATTCCCCTGCAGTGCATGCAGAGCTACTCCGTGATCCCATTCAAACAAGTCAGGAGCTTCGTCTTGCTTAATGGATCTCGAGAGAGTCCCCAAGAACACTGTCACCAGTCTAGACGGACCCTGAGGTCACCCCAGCAATGCAAAGCAGCTCCATATGCCCCAAATCAACTCGAGATGAGGCCCGATTCCCCTGCATTGACTCCAGAGCCATTCCCCGTTCCCCATTCAACATGACCGGTGGCTCGACTTCCTTCAGGTCACTGCAGAGATGCCCCGAGAACACTGTCCCAAGTCTAGAGGAACACCAACTTCAGCACAGCAACTCGAGGAATGCTCCGTGTACCCCAAATCGTCTCGAGATGAGAGCTGATTCCCTGGCTTAGGCTCAAGACGTATGCCAACTTTCCAGAAGCACCTCAGGAGGAGGCTTCTCTCAGCAATAGGTATGTGGGAGGGACCCCGAGTTTCCTGCCTCAAGGGGAATATACAGCGAGAAGCCCTAACTTGAAAGGAGGCCGGATTTACTTGCAGTGGCTTGAATACAGGCCCGTCTTTCATCTCACAACATGAAGGGATGTCTGAATCCCCTGTGGAGACCTTAGAGAAAGCCCTAGGTCCCTGCCTCATTTTGACGGAATGCCTCACATCCCGCTGACACCTCGAGAGGCACACGGAGTTCATTGCTTCAAAAGTTGACGATGCCTGACTCCTGTTGAATACTGATAGGAATCCCAAAATCCCTGTGGCTACTGGAAAGGGTCCTTGGGTGCCCTGCCTCACCTCGAGAAGCGTCCCTTTTGCCCTGACAAGCCTCGAAGAGATTCCTGAGGTGTCCCTCGTTACTAGTCAGGAGTCCTGACGTCACTGAAGAAACTCGTGTTTTTAAGAGCCATCCCCGCCGTAAGTCGAGAACATACCCCATGTCCCCGCCGCAACTCGAGAAAAAATATGAGACTTCCGCCTAGAGGCGAGATGAGGCCCCATTCCCCTGCAGTGCATACAGAGCTATTCCGTGATCCCATTCAAACAAGTCAGGAGCTTCGATTTGCTTAATGGATCTCGAGACAGTCCCCAAGAACACTGTCACCAGTCTAGACGGACCCTGAGGTTACCCAGCAACGCAAAGCAGCTCCATGTGCCCCAAATCAACGCGAGATGAGGCCCGATTCCCCTGCATTGACTCCAGAGCCATTCCCCGTTCCCCATTCAACACGACCGGTGGCTCGACTTCCTTCAGGCAACTCCAGAGATGCCCCGAGAACACTGTCCCAAGTCTAGAGGAACAACAACTTCAGCACAACAACTCGAGGAATGCTCCGTGTACCCCAAGTCGTCTCGAGATGAGAGCTGATTCCCTTGCTTAGGCTCAAGACATATGCCAACTTTCCAGAAGCACCTCAGGACGAGGCTTCTCTCAGCAATAGGTATGTGGGAGGGACCCCGAGTTTGCTGCCTCAAGGGGAATATACAGCGAGAAGCCCTAACTTGAAAGGAGGCCGGATTTCCTTGCAGTGGCTTGAATACAGGCCCGTCTTTCATCTCACAACATGAAGGGATGTCTGAATCCCCTGTGGAGACCTTAGAGAAAGCCCTAGGTCCCTGCCTCATTTTGACGGAATGCTTCACATCCCGCTGACACCTCGAGAGGCACGCGGAGTTCATTGCTTCAAAAGGTGACGATGCCTGACTCCTCTTGAATACTGATAGGAATCCCAAAATCCCTGTGGCTACTGGAAAGGGTCCTTGGGTGCCCTGCCTCACCTCGAGAAGCGTCCCTTTTGCCCTGCCAAGCCTCGAAGAGATTCCTAAGGTGTCCCTCGTTACTAGACAGGAGACTTGACGTCACTGAAGAAACTAGAGTTTTGAAGGGCCATCCCCGCCGTAAGTCGAGAACATTCCCCAGGTCCCCGACGCAACTCGAGAAAAACCATGAGACTTCCCCCTAGAGGCGAGATGAGGCCCCATTCCCCTGCAGTGCATGCAGAGCTATTCCGTGATCCCATTCAAACAAGTCAGGAGCTTCGACTTGCTTAATGGATCTCGAGACAGTCCCCAAGAACACTGTCTCCAGTCTAGACGGACCCTGAGGTCACCCCAGCAGCGCAGAGCAGCTCCATGTGCCCCAAATCAACTCGAGATGAGGCCCGATTCCCCTGCATTGACTCCAGAGCCATTCCCCGTTCCCCATTCAACACGACCGGTGGCTCGACTTCCTTCAGGCAACTGCAGAGATGCCCCGAGCACACTGTCCCAAGTCTAGAGGAACACCAACTTCAGCACAGCAACTCGAGGAATGCTCCGTGTACCCCAAATCGTCTCGAGATGAGAGCTGATTCCCTGGCTTAGGCTCAAGACGTATGCCAACTTTCCAGAAGCACCTCAGGAGGAGGCTTCTCTCAGCAATAGGTATGTGGGAGGGACCCCGAGTTTCCTGCCTCAAGGGGAACATACAGCGAGAAGCCCTAACTTGAAAGGAGGCCGGATTTCTTTGCAGTGGCTTGAATACAGGCCCGTCTTTCATCTCACAACATGAAGGGATGTCTGAATCCCCTGTGGAGACCTTAGAGAAAGCCCTAGGTCCCTGCCTCATTTTGACGGAATGCCTCACATCCCGCTGACACCTCGAGAGGCACACGGAGTTCATTGCTTCAAAAGGTGACGATGCCTGACTCCTCTTGAATACTGATAGGAATACCAAAATCCCTGTGGCTACTGGAAAGGGTCCTTGGGTGCCCTGCCTCACCTCGAGAAGCGTCCCTTTTGCCCTGCCAAGCCTCGAAGAGATTCCTGAGGTGTCCCTCGTTACCAGACAGGAGTCCTGACGTCACTGAAGAAACTCGTGTTTTGAGGGGCCATCCCGCCTTAAGTCGAGAACATACACCAGGTCCCCGCCACAACTCGAGAAAAACCATGAGACTTCCCCCTAGAGGCGAGATGAGGCCCCATTCCCCTGCAGTGCATGCAGAGCTATTCCGTGATCCCATTCAAACAAGTCAGGAGCTTCGACTTGCTTAATGGATCTCGAGACAGTCCCCAAGAACACTGTCACCAGTCTAGACGGACCCTGAGGTCACCCCAGCAGCGCAGAGCAGCTCCATGTGCCTCAAATCAACTCGAGATGAGGCCCAATTCCCCTGCATTGACTCCAGAGCCATTCCCCGTTCCCCATTCAACACGACCGGTGGCTCGACTTCCTTCAGGCCACTGTAGAGATGCCCCGAGCACACTGTCCCAAGTCTAGAGGAACACCAACTTCAGCACAGCAACTCGAGGAATGCTCCGTGTACCCCAAATCGTCTCGAGATGAGAGCTGATTCCCTGGCTTAGGCTCAAGACGTATGCCAACTTTCCAGAAGCACCTCAGGGGGAGGCTTCTCTCAGCAATAGGTATGTGGGAGGGACCCCGAGTTTGCTGCCTCAAGGGGAACATACAGCGAAAAGCCCTAACTTGAAAGGAGGCCGGATTTCCTTGCAGTGGCTTGAATACAGGCCCGTCTTTCATCTCACAACATGAAGGGATGTCTGAATCCCCTGTGGAGACCTTAGAGAAAGCCCTAGGTCCCTGCCTCATTTTGACGGAATGCTTCACATCCCGCTGACACCTCGAGAGGCACGCGGAGTTCATTGCTTCAAAAGGTGACGATGCCTGACTCCTCTTGAATACTGATAGGAATCCCAAAATCCCTGTGGCTACTGGAAAGGGTCCTTGGGTGCCCTGCCTCACCTCGAGAAGCGTCCCTTTTGCCCTGCCAAGCCTCGAAGAGATTCCTAACGTGTCCCTCGTTACTAGACAGGAGTCCTGACGTCACTGAAGAAACTAGTGTTTTGAAGGGCCATCCCCACCGTAAGTCGAGAACATTCCCCAGGTCCCCGACGCAACTCGAGAAAAACCATGAGACTTCCCCCTAGAGGCGAGATGAGGCCCCATTCCCCTGCAGTGAATGCAGAGCTATTCCGTGATCTCATTCAAACAAGTCAGGAGCTTCGACTTGCTTAATGGATCTCGAGACAGTCCCCAAGAACACTGTCACCAGTCTAGACGGACCCTGAGGTCACCCCAGCAGCGCAGAGCAGCTCCATGTGCCCCAAATCAACTCGAGATGAGGCCCGATTCCCCTGCATTGACTCCAGAGCCATTCCCCGTTCCCCATTCAACACGACCGGTGGCTCGACTTCCTTCAGGCCACTGCAGAGATGCCCCGAGCACACTGTCCCAAGTCTAGAGGAACACCAACTTCAGCACAGCAACTCGAGGAATGCTCCGTGTACCCCAAATCGTCTCGAGATGAGAGCTGATTCCCTGGCTTAGGCTCAAGACGTATGCCAAATTTCCAGAAGCACCTCAGGAGGAGGCTTCTCTCAGCAATAGGTATGTGGGAGGGACCCCGAGTTTGCTGCCTCAAGGGGAACATACAGCGAGAAGCCCTAACTTGAAAGGAGGCCGGATTTCTTTGCAGTGGCTTGAATACAGGCCAGTCTTTCATCTCACAACATGAAGGGATGTCTGAATCCCCTGTGGAGACCTTAGAGAAAGCCCTAGGTCCCTGCCTCATTTTGACGGAATGCCTCACATCCCGCTGACACCTCGAGAGGCACACGGAGTTCATTGCTTCAAAAGGTGACGATGCCTGACTCCTCTTGAATACTGATAGGAATACCAAAATCCCTCTGGCTACTGGAAAGGGTCCTTGGGTGCCCTGCCTCACCTCGAGAAGCGTCCCTTTTGCCCTGCCAAGCCTCGAAGAGATTCCTGAGGTGTCCCTCGTTACTAGTCAGGAGTCCTGATGTCACTGAAGAAACTCGTGTTTTGAAGGGCCATCCCCGCCGTAAGTCGAGAACATACCCCAGGTCCCCAACGCAACTCGAGAAAAACCATGAGACTTCCCTCTAGAGGCGAGATGAGGCCCCATTCCCCTGCAGTGCATGCAGAGCTACTCGGTGATCCCATTCAAACAAGTCAGGAGCTTCGACTTGCTTAATGGATCTCGAGACAGTCCCCAAGAACACTGTCACCAGTCTAGACGGACCCTGAGGTCACCCCAGCAACGCAAAGCAGCTCTATGTGCCCCAAATCAACTCGAGATGAGGCCCGATTCCCCTGCATTGACTCCAGAGCCATTCCCCGTTCCCCATTCAACACGACCGGTGGCTCGACTTCCTTCAGGCCACTCCAGAGATGCCCCGAGAACACTGTCCCAAGTCTAGAGGAACACCAACTTCAGCACAGCAACTCGAGGAATGCTCCGTGTACCCCAAATCCCATCGAGATGAGAGCTGATTCCCTGGCTTAGGCTCAAGACGTATGCCAACTTTCCAGAAGCACCTCAGGGGGAGGCTTCTCTCAGCAATAGGTATGTGGGAGGAACCCCGAGTTTGCTACCTCAAGGGGAATATACAGCGAGAAGCCCTAACTTGAAAGGAGGCCGGATTTCCTTGCAGTGGCTTGAATACAGGCCCGTCTTTCATCTCACAACATGAAGGGATGTCTGAATCCCCTGTGGAGACCTTAGAGAAAGCCCTAGGTCCCTGCCTCATTTTGACGGAATGCCTCACATCCCGCTGACACCTCGAGAGGCACGCGGAGTTAATTGCTTCAAAAGGTGACGATGCCTGACTCCTCTTGAATACTGATAGGAATCCCAAAATCCCTGTGGCTACTGGAAAGGGTCCTTGGGTGCCCTGCCTCACCTCGAGAAGCGTCCCTTTTGCCCTGCCAAGCCTCGAAGAGATTCCTGAGGGGTCCCTCATTACTAGACAGGAGTCCTGACGTCACTGAAGAAACTCGTGTTTTGAAGGGCCATCCCCGCCGTAAGTCGAGAACATACCCCAGGTCCCCGCCGCAACTCGAGAAAAATCATGAGACTTCCCCCTAGAGGCGAGATGAGGCCCCATTCCCCTGCAGTGCATGCAGAGCTATTCCGTGATCCCATTGAAACAAATCAGGAGTTTCGACTTGCTTAATGGATCTCGAGACAGTCCCCAAGAATACTGTCACCAGTCTAGACGGACCCTGAGGTCACCCCAGCAATGCAAAGCAGCTCCATATGCCCCAAATCAACTCGAGATGAGGCCCGATTCCCCTGCATTGACTCCAGAGCCATTCCCCGTTCCCCATTCAACACGACCGGTGGCTCGACTTCCTTCAGGTCACTGCAGAGATGCCCCGAGAACACTGTCCCAAGTCTAGAGGAACACCAACTTCAGCACAGCAACTCGAGGAATGCTCCGTGTACCCCAAATCGTCTCCAGATGAGAGCTGATTCCCTGGCTTAGGCTCAAGACATATGCCACCTTTCCAGAAGCACCTCAGGACGAGGCTTCTCTCAGCAATAGGTATGTGGGAAGGACCCCGAGTTTGCTGCCTCAAGGGGAATATACACCGAGAAGCCCTAACTTGAAAGGAGGCCGGATTTCCTTGCAGTGGCTTGAATACAGGCCCGACTTTCATCTCACAACATGAAGGGATGTCTGAATCCCCTGTGGAGACCTTAGAGAAAGCCCTAGGTCCCTGCCTCATTTTGACGGAATGCTTCACATCCCGCTGACACCTCGAGAGGCACGCGGAGTTCATTGCTTCAAAAGGTGACGATGCCTGACTCCTCTTGAATACTGATAGGAATCCCAAAATCCCTGTGGCTACTGGAAAGGGTCCTTGGGTGCCCTGCCTCACCTCGAGAAGCGTCCCTTTTGCCCTGCCAAGCCTCGAAGAGATTCCTAAGGTGTCCCTCGTTACTAGACAGGAGTCCTGACGTCACTGAAGAAACTCGTGTTTTGAAGGGCCATCCCCGCCGTAAGTCGAGAACATTCCCCAGGTCCCCGACGCAACTCGAGAAAAACCATGAGACTTCCCCCTAGAGGCGAGATGAGGCCCCATTACCCTGCAGTGCATGCAGAGCTATTCCGTGATCCCATTCAAACAAGTCAGGAGCTTCGACTTGCTTAATGGATCTCGAGACAGTCCCCAAGAACACTGTCACCAGTCTAGACGGACCCTGAGGTCACCCCAGCAGCGCAGAGCAGCTCCATGTGCCCCAAATCAACTCGAGATGAGGCCCGATTCCCCTGCATTGACTCCAGAGCCATTCCCCGTTCCCCATTCAACACGACCGGTTGCTCGACTTCCTTCAGGCCACTCAAGAGATGCCCCGAGCACACTGTCCCAAGTCTAGAGGAACACCAACTTCAGCACAGCAACTCGAGGAATGCTCCGTGTACCCCAAATCGTCTGGAGATGAGAGCTGATTCCCTGGCTTAGGCTCAAGACGTATGCCAACTTTCCAGAAGCACCTCAGGAGGAGGCTTCTCTCAGCAATAGGTATGTGGGAGGGACCCCGAGTTTGCTGCCTCAAGGGGAACATACAGCGAGAATCCCTAACTTGAAAGAAGGCCGTATTTCCTTGCAGTGGCTTGAATACAGGCCCGTCTTTCATCTCACAACATGAAGGGATGTCTGAATCCCCTGTGGAGACCTTAGAGAAAGCCCTAGGTCCCTGCCTCATTTTGACGGAATGCCTCACATCCCGATGACACCTCGAGAGGCACGCGGAGTTCATTGCTTCAAAAGGTGACAATGCCTGACTCCTCTTGAATACTGATAGGAATCCCAAAATCCCTGTGGCTACTGGAAAGGGTCCTTGGGTGCCCTGCCTCACCTCGAGAAGCGTCCCTTTTGCCCTGCCAAGCCTCGAAGAGATTCCTGAGGTGTCCCTCGTTACTAGACAGGAGTCCTGACGTCACTGAAGAAACTCGTGTTTTGAAGGGCCATCCCCGCCTTAAGTCGAGAACATACACCAGGTCCCCGCCGCAACTCGAGAAAAACCATGAGACTTCCCCCTAGAGGCGAGATGAGGCCCCATTCCCCTGCAGTGCATGCAGAGCTATTCCGTGATCCCATTCAAACAAGTCAGGAGCTTCGACTTGCTTAATGGATCTCGAGACAGTCCCCAAGAACACTGTCACCAGTCTAGACGGACCCTGAGGTCACCCCAGCAGCGCAGAGCAGCTCCATGTGCCCCAAATCAACTCGAGATGAGGCCCGATTCCCCTGCATTGACTCCAGAGCCATTCCCCGTTCCCCATTCAACACGACCGGTGGCTCGACTTCCTTCAGGCCACTGCAGAGATGCCCCGAGCACACTGTCCCAAGTCTAGAGGAACACCAACTTCAGCACAGCAACTCGAGGAATGCTCCGTGTACCCCAAATCGTCTCGAGATGAGAGCTGATTCCCTGGCTTAGGCTCAAAACATATGCCAACTTTCCAGAAGCACCTCAGGACGAGGCTTCTCTCAGCAATAGGTATGTGGGAGGGACCCCGAGTTTGCTGCCTCAAGGGGAATATACAGCGAGAAGCCCTAACTTGAAAGGAGGCCGGATTTCCTTGCAGTGGCTTGAATACAGGCCCGTCTTTCATCTCACAACATGAAGGGATGTCTGAATCCCCTGTGGAGACCTTAGAGAAAGCCCTAGGTCCCTGCCTCATTTTGACGGAATGCTTCACATCCCGCTGACACCTCGAGAGGCACGCGGAGTTCATTGCTTCAAAAGGTGACGATGCCTGACTCCTCTTGAATACTGATAGGAATCCCAAAATCCCTGTGGCTACTGGAAAGGGTCCTTGGGTGCCCTGCCTCACCTCGAGAAGCGTCCCTTTTGCCCTGCCAAGCCTCGAAGAGATTCCTAACGTGTCCCTCGTTACTAGACAGGAGTCCTGACGTCACTGAAGAAACTAGTGTTTTGAAGGGCCATCCCCGCCGTAAGTCGAGAACATTCCCCAGGTCCCCGACGCAACTCGAGAAAAACCATGAGACTTCCCCTAGAGGCGAGATGAGGCCCCATTCCCCTGCAGTGCATGCAGAGCTATTCCGTGATCTCATTCAAACAAGTCAGGAGCTTCGACTTGCTTAATGGATCTCGAGACAGTCCCCAAGAACACTGTCACCAGTCTAGACGGACCCTGAGGTCACCCCAGCAGCGCAGAGCAGCTCCATGTGCCCCAAATCAACTCGAGATGAGGCCCGATTCCCCTGCATTGACTCCAGAGCCATTCCCCGTTCCCCATTCAACACGACCGGTGGCTCGACTTCCTTCAGGCCACTCAAGAGATGCCCCGAGCACACTGTCCCAAGTCTAGAGGAACACCAACTTCAGCACAGCAACTCGAGGAATGCTCCGTGTACCCCAAATCGTCTCGAGATGAGAGCTGATTCCCTGGCTTAGGCTCAAGACGTATGCCAACTTTCCAGAAGCACCTCAGGAGGAGGCTTCTCTCAGCAATAGGTATGTGGGAGGGACCCCGAGTTTCCTGCCTCAAGGGGAACATACAGCGAGAAGCCCTAACTTGAAAGGAGCCCGGATTTCTTTGCAGTGGCTTGAATACAGGCCAGTCTTTCATCTCACAACATGAAGGGATGTCTGAATCCCCTGTGGAGACCTTAGAGAAAGCCCTAGGTCCCTGCCTCATTTTGACGGAATGCCTCACATCCCGCTGACACCTCGAGAGGCAACGGAGTTCATTGCTTCAAAAGGTGACGATGCCTGACTCCTCTTGAATACTGATAGGAATACCAAAATCCCTGTGGCTACTGGAAAGGGTCCTTGGGTGCCCTGCCTCACCTCGAGAAGCGTACCTTTTGCCCTGCCAAGCCTCGAAGAGATTCCTGAGGTGTCCCTTGTTACTAGTCAGGAGTCCTGACGTCACTGAAGAAACTCGTGTTTTGAAGGGCCATCCCCGCCGTAAGTCGAGAACATACCCCAGGTCCCCACCGCAACTCGAGTAAAACCATGAGACTTCCCTCTAGAGGCGAGATGAGGCCCCATTCCCCTGCAGTGCATGCAGAGCTACTCGGTGATCCCATTCAAACAAGTCAGGAGCTTCGACTTGCTTAATGGATCTCGAGACAGTCCCCAAGAACACTGTCACCAGTCTAGACGGACCCTGAGGTCACCCCAGCAACGCAAAGCAGCTCTATGTGCCCCAAATCAACTCGAGATGAGGCCCGATTCCCCTGCATTGACTCCAGAGCCATTCCCCGTTCCCCATTCAACACGACCGGTGGCTCGACTTCCTTCAGGCCACTCCAGAGATGCCCCGAGAACACTGTCCCAAGTCTAGAGGAACACCAACTTCAGCACAGCAACTCGAGGAATGCTCCGTGTACCCCAAATCGCATCGAGATGAGAGCTGATTCCCTGGCTTAGGCTCAAGACGTATGCCAACTTTCCAGAAGCACCTCAGGAGGAGGCTTCTCTCAGCAATAGGTATGTGGGAGGGACCCCGAGTTTGCTACCTCAAGGGGAATATACAGCGAGAAGCCCTAACTTGAAAGGAGGCCGGATTTCCTTGCAGTGGCTTGAATACAGGCCCGTCTTTCATCTCACAACATGAAGGGATGTCTGAATCCCCTGTGGAGACCTTAGAGAAAGCCCTAGGTCCCTGCCTCATTTTGACGGAATGCCTCACATCCCGCTGACACCTCAAGAGGCACGCGGAGTTCATTGCTTCAAAAGGTGACGATGCCTGACTCCTCTTGAATAATGAGAGGAATCCCAAAATCCCTGTGGCTACTGGAAAGGGTCCTTGGGTGCCCTGCCTCACCTCGAGAAGCGTCCCTTTTGCCCTGCCAAGCCTCGAAGAGATTCCTGAGGGGTCCCTCATTACTAGACAGGAGTCCTGACGTCACTGAAGAAACTCGTGTTTTGAAGGGCCATCCCCGCCGTAAGTCGAGAACATACCCCAGGTCCCCGCCGCAACTCGAGAAAAATCATGAGACTTCCCCCTAGAGGCGAGATGAGGCCCCATTCCCCTGCAGTGCATGCAGAGCTATTCCGTGATCCCATTGAAACAAATCAGGAGCTTCGACTTGCTTAATGGATCTCGAGACAGTCCCCAAGAACACTGTCACCAGTCTAGACGGACCCTGAGGTCACCCCAGCAATGCAAAGCAGCTCCATATGCCCCAAATCAACTCGAGATGAGGCCCGATTCCCCTGCATTGACTCTAGAGCCATTCCCCGTTCCCCATTCAACACGACCGGTGGCTCGACTTCCTTCAGGTCATTGCAGAGATGCCCCGAGAACACTGTCCCAAGTCTAGAGGAACACCAACTTCAGCACAGCAACTCGAGGAATGCTCCGTGTACCCCAAATCGTCTCGAGATGAGAGCTGATTCCCTGGCTTAGGCTCAAGACGTATGCCAACTTTCCAGAAGCACCTCAGGAGGAGGCTTCTCTCAGCAATAGGTATGTGGGAGGGACCCCGAGTTTGCTGCCTCAAGGGGAATATACAGCGAGAAGCCCTAACTTGAAAGGAGGCCGGATTTCCTTGCAGTGGCTTGAATACAGGCCCGTCTTTCATCTCACAACATGAAGGGATGTCTGAATCCCCTTGGAGAACTTAGAGAAAGCCCTAGGTCCCTGCCTCATTTTGACGGAATGCCTCACATCCCGCTGACACCTCGAGAGGCACGCGGAGTTCATTGCTTCAAAAGGTGACGATGCCTGACTCCTCTTGAATACTGGTAGGAATACCAAAATCCCTGTGGCTACTGGAAAGGGTCCTTGGGTGCCCTGCCTCACCTCGAGAAGCGTCCCTTTTGCCCTGCCAAGCCTCGAAGAGATTCCTGAGGTGTCCCTCGTTACTAGACAGGAGTCCTGATGTCACTGAAGAAACTCGTGTTTTGAAGGGCCATTCCCGCCTTAAGTCGAGAACACACACCAGGTCCCCGCCGCAACTCGAGAAAAACCATGAGACTTCCCCCTAGAGGCGAGATGAGGCCCCATTCCCCTGCAGTGCATGCAGAGCTATTCCGTGATCCCATTCAAACAAGTCAGGAGCTTCGACTTGCTTAATGGATCTCGAGACAGTCCCCAAGAACACTGTCACCAGTCTAGACGGACCCTGAGGTCACCGCAGCAGCGCAGAGCAGCTCCATGTGCCCCAAATCAACTCGAGATGAGGCCCGATTCCCCTGCATTGACTCCAGAGCCATTCCCCGTTCCCCATTCAACACGACCGGTGGCTCGACTTCCTTCAGGCCACTGCAGAGATGCCCCGAGCACACTGTCCCAAGTCTAGAGGAACACCAACTTCAGCACAGCAACTCGAGGAATGCTCCGTGTACCCCAAATCGTCTCGAGATGAGAGCTGATTCCCTGGCTTAGGCTCAAGACGTATGCCAACTTTCCAGAAGCACCTCAGGAGGAGGCTTCTCTCAGCAATAATTATGTGGGAGGGACCCCGAGTTTGCTGCCTCAAGGGGAACATACAGCGAGAAGCCCTAACTTGAAAGGAGGCTGGATTTCCTTGCAGTGGCTTGAATACAGGCCCGTCTTTCATCTCACAACATGAAGGGATGTCTGAATCCCCTGTGGAGACCTTAGAGAAAGCCCTAGGTCCCTGCCTCATTTTGACGGAATGCCTCACATCCCGCTGACACCTCAAGAGGAACGCGGAGTTCATTGCTTCAAAACGTGACGATGCCTGACTCCTTTTGAATACTGAGAGGAAACCCAAAATCCCTGTGGCTACTGGAAAGGGTCCTTGGGTGCCCTGCCTCACCTCGAGAAGCGTCCCTTTTGCCCTGCCAAGCCTCGAAGAGATTCCTGAGGGGTCCCTCGTTACTAGACAGGAGTCCTGACGTCACTGAAGAAACTCGTGTTTTGAAGGGCCATCCCCGCCATAAGTCGAGAACATACCCCAGGTCCCCGCCGCAACTCGAGAAAAATCATGAGACTTCCCCCTAGAGGCGAGATGAGGCCCCATTCCCCTGCAGTGCATGCAGAGCTATTCCGTGATCCCATTGAAACAAATCAGGAGCTTCGACTTGCTTAATGGATCTCGAGACAGTCCCCAAGAACACTGTCACCAGTCTAGACGGACCCTGAGGTCACCCCAGCAATGCAAAGCAGCTCCATATGCCCCAAATCAACTCGAGATGAGGCCCGATTCCCCTGCATTGACTCCAGAGCCATTCCCCGTTCCCCATTCAACACGACCGGTGGCTCGACTTCCTTCAGGTCACTGCAGAGATGCCCCGAGAACACTGTCCCAAGTCTAGAGGAACACCAACTTCAGCACAGCAACTCGAGGAATGCTCCGTGTACCCCAAATCGTCTCGAGATGAGAGCTGATTCCCTGGCTTAGGCTCAAGACGTATGCCAACTTTCCAGAAGCACCTCAGGAGGAGGCTTCTCTCAGCAATAGGTATGTGGGAGGGACCCCGAGTTTGCTGCCTCAAGGGGAATATACAGCGAGAAGCCCTAACTTGAAAGGAGGCCGGATTTCCTTGCAGTGGCTTGAATACAGGCCCGTCTTTCATCTCACAACATGAAGGGATGTCTGAATCCCCTGTGGAGACCTTAGAGAAAGCCCTAGGTGCCTGCCTCATTTTGACGGAATGCCTCACATCCCGCTGACACCTCGAGAGGCACACGGAGTTCATTGCTTCAAAAGTTGACGATGCCTGACTCCTCTTGAATACTGATAGGAATCCCAAAATCCCTGTGGTTACTGGAAAGGGTCCTTGGGTGCCCTGCCTCACCTCGAGAAGCGTCCCTTTTGCCCTGCCAAGCCTCGAAGAGATTCCTGAGGTGTCCCTCGTTACTAGTCAGGAGTCCTGACGTCACTGAAGAAACTCGTGTTTTTAAGAGCCATCCCCGCCGTAAGTCGAGAACATACCCCATGTCCCCGCCGCAACTCGAGAAAAATCATGAGACTTCCCCCTAGAGGCGAGATGAGGCCCCATTCCCCTGCAGTGCATACAGAGCTATTCCGTGATCCCATTCAAACAAGTCAGGAGCTTCGACTTGCTTAATGGATCTCGAGACAGTCCCCAAGAACACTGTCACCAGTCTAGACGGACCCTGAGGTTACCCAGCAACGCAAAGCAGCTCCATGTGCCCCAAATCAACTCGAGATGAGGCCCGATTCCCCTGCATTGACTCCAGAGCCATTCCCCGTTCCCCATTCAACACGACCGGTGGCTCGACTTCCTTCAGGCAACTCCAGAGATGCCCCGAGAACACTGTCCCAAGTCTAGAGGAGCAACAACTTCAGCACAACAACTCGAGGAATGCTCCGTGTACCCCAAATCGTCTCGAGATGAGAGCTGATTCCCTGGCTTAGGCTCAAGACATATGCCAACTTTCCAGAAGCACCTCAGGACGAGGCTTCTCTCAGCAATAGGTATGTGGGAGGGACCCCGAGTTTGCTGCCTCAAGGGGAATATACAGCGAGAAGCCCTAACTTGAAAGGAGGCCGGATTTCCTTGCAGTGGCTTGAATACAGGCCCGTCTTTCATGTCACAACATGAAGGGATGTCTGAATCCCCTGTGGAGACCTTAGAGAAAGCCCTAGGTCCCTGCCTCATTTTGACGGAATGCTTCACATCCCGCTGACACCTCGAGAGGCACGCGGAGTTCATTGCTTCAAAAGGTGACGATGCCTGACTCCTCTTGAATACTGATAGGAATCCCAAAATCCCTGTGGCTACTGGAAAGGGTCCTTGGGTGCCCTGCCTCACCTCGAGAAGCGTCCCTTTTGCCCTGCCAAGCCTCGAAGAGATTCCTAAGGTGTCCCTCGTTACTAGACAGGAGTCCTGACGTCACTGAAGAAACTAGTGTTTTGAAGCGCCATCCCCGCCGTAAGTCGAGAACATTCCCCAGGTCCCCGACGCAACTCGAGAAAAACCATGAGACTTCCCCCTAGAGGCGAGATGAGGCCCCATTCCCCTGCAGTGCATGCAGAGCTATTCCGTGATCCCATTCAAACAAGTCAGGAGCTTCGACTTGCTTAATGGATCTCGAGACAGTCCCCAAGAACACTGTCACCAGTCTAGACGGACCCTGAGGTCACCCCAGCAGCGCAGAGCAGCTCCATGTGCCCCAAATCAACTTGAGATGAGGCCCGATTCCCCTGCATTGACTCCAGAGCCATTCCCCGTTCCCCATTCAACACGACCGGTGGCTCGACTTCCTTCAGGCCACTGCAGAGATGCCCCGAGCACACTGTCCCAAGTCTAGAGGAACACCAACTTCAGCACAGCAACTCGAGGAATGCTCCGTGTACCCCAAATCGTCTCGAGATGAGAGCTGATTCCCTGGCTTAGGCTCAAGACGTATGCCAACTTTCCAGAAGCACCTCAGGAGGAGGCTTCTCTCAGCAATAGGTATGTGGGAGGGACCCCGAGTTTCCTGCCTCAAGGGGAACATACAGCGAGAAGCCCTAACTTGAAAGGAGGCCGGATTTCTTTGCAGTGGCTTGAATACAGGCCAGTCTTTCATCTCACAACATGAAGGGATGTCTGAATCCCCTGTGGAGACCTTAGAGAAAGCCCTAGGTCCCTGCCTCATTTTGACGGAATGCCTCACATCCCGCTGACACCTCGAGAGGCACACGGAGTTCATTGCTTCAAAAGGTGACGATGCCTGACTCCTCTTGAATACTGATAGGAACACCAAAATCCCTGTGGCTACTGGAAAGGGTCCTTGGGTGCCCTGCCTCACCTCGAGAAGCGTCCCTTTTGCCCTGCCAAGCCTCGAAGAGATTCCTGAGGTGTCCCTCGTTACTAGACAGGAGTCCTGACGTCACTGAAGAAACTCGTGTTTTGAAGGGCCATCCCCGCCTTAAGTCGAGAACATACACCAGGTCCCCGCCGCAACTCGAGAAAAACCATGAGACTTCCCCCTAGAGGCGAGATGAGGCCCCATTCCCCTGCAGTGCATGCAGAGCTATTCCGTGATCCCATTCAAACAAGTCAGGAGCTTCGACTTGCTTAATGGATCTCGAGACAGTCCCCAAGAACACTGTCACCAGTCTAGACGGACCCTGAGGTCACCGCAGCAGCGCAGAGCAGCTCCATGTGCCCCAAATCAACTCGAGATGAGGCCCGATTCCCCTGCATTGACTCCAGAGCCATTCCCCGTTCCCCATTCAACACGACCGGTGGCTCGACTTCCTTCAGGCCAGTGCAGAGATGCCCCGAGCACACTGTCCCAAGTCTAGAGGAACACCAACTTCAGCACAGCAACTCGAGGAATGCTCCGTGTACCCCAAATCGTCTCGAGATGAGAGCTGATTCCCTGGCTTAGGCTCAAGACGTATGCCAACTTTCCAGAAGCACCTCAGGAGGAGGCTTCTCTCAGCAATAGGTATGTGGGAGGGACCCCGAGTTTGCTGCCTCAAGGGGAACATACAGCGAGAAGCCCTAACTTGAAAGGAGGCTGGATTTCCTTGCAGTGGCTTGAATACAGGCCCGTCTTTCATCTCACAACATGAAGGGATGTCTGAATCCCCTGTGGAGACCTTAGAGAAAGCCCTAGGTCCCTGCCTCATTTTGACGGAATGCCTCACATCCCGCTGACACCTCGAGAGGCACGCGGAGTTCATTGCTTCAAAAGGTGACAATGCCTGACTCCTCTTGAATACTGATAGGAATCCCAAAATCCCTGTGGCTTCTGGAAAGGGTTCTTGGGTGCCCTGCCTCACCTCGAGAAGCGTCCCTTTTGCCCTGCCAAGCCTCGAAGAGATTCCTGAGGTGTCCCGCGTTACTAGACAGGAGTCCTGACGTCACTGAAGAAACTCGTGTTTTGAAGGGCCATCCCCGCCGTAAGTCGAGAACATACCCCAGGTCCCCGCCGCAACTCGAGAAAAATCATGAGACTTCCCCCTAGAGGCGAGATGAGGCCCCATTCCCCTGCAGTGCATGCAGAGCTACTCCGTGATCCCATTCAAACAAGTCAGGAGCTTCGACTTGCTTAATGGATCTCGAGAGAGTCCCCAAGAACACTGTCACCAGTCTAGACGGACCCTGAGGTCACCCCAGCAACGCAAAGCAGCTCTATGTGCCCCAAATCAACTCGAGATGAGGCCCGATTCCCCTGCATTGACTCCAGAGCCTTTCCCCGTTCCCCATTCACACGACCGGTGGCTCGACTTCCTTCAGGCCACTCCAGAGATGCCCCGAGAACACTGTCCCAAGTCTAGAGGAACACCAACTTAAGCACAGCAACTCGAGGAATGCTCCGTGTACCCCAAATCGCATCGAGATGAGAGCTGATTCCCTGGCTTAGGCTCAAGACGTATGCCAACTTTCCAGAAGCACCTCAGGACGAGGCTTCTCTCAGCAATAGGTATGTGGGAGGGACCCCGAGTTTGCTGCCTCAAGGGGAATATACAGCGAGAAGTCCTAACTTGAAAGGAGGCCGGATTTCCTTGCAGTGGCTTGAATACAGGCCCGTCTTTCATCTCACAACATGAAGGGATGTCTGAATCCCCTGTGGAGACCTTAGAGAAAGCCCTAGGTCCCTGCCTCATTTTGACGGAATGCCTCACATCCCGCTGACACCTCGATAGGCACGCGGAGTTCATTGCTTCAAAAGGTGACAATGCCTGACTCCTCTTGAATACTGATAGGAATCCCAAAATCCCTGTGGCTTCTGGAAAGGGTTCTTGGGTGCCCTGCCTCACCTCGAGAAGCGTCCCTTTTGCCCTGCCAAGCCTCGAAGAGATTCCTGAGGTGTCCCTCGTTACTAGTCAGGAGTCCTGACGTCACTGAAGAAACTCGTGTTTTGAAGGGCCATCCCCGACGTAAGTCGAGAACATATCCCAGGTCCCCGCCGCAACTCGAGAAAAATCATGAGACTTCCCCCTAGAGGCGAGATGAGGCCCCATTCCCCTGCAGTGCATGCAGAGCTATTCCGTGATCCCATTCAAACAAATCAGGAGCTTCGACTTGCTTAATGGATCTCGAGACAGTCCCCAAGAACACTGTCACCAGTCTAGACGGACCCTGAGGTCACCCCAGCAATGCAAAGCAGCTCCATGTGCCCCAAATCAACTCGAGATGAGGCCCGATTCCCCTGCATTGACTCCAGAGCCTTTCCCCGTTCCCCATTCAACACGACCGGTGGCTCGACTTCCTTCAGGCCACTGCAGAGATGCCCCGAGCACACTGTCCCAAGTCTAGAGGAACACCAACTTCAGCACAGCAACTCGAGGAATGCTCCGTGTACCCCAAATCGTCTCGAGATGAGAGCTGATTCCCTGGCTTAGGCTCAAGACGTATGCCAACTTTCCAGAAGCACCTCAGGAGGAGGCTTCTCTCAGCAATAGGTATGTGGGAGGGACCCCGAGTTTGCTGCCTCAAGGGGAATATACAGCGAGAAGCCCTAACTTGAAAGGAGGCCGGATTTCCTTGCAGTGGCTTGAATACAGGCCCGTCTTTCATCTCACAACATGAAGGGATGTCTGAATCCCCTTTGGAGACCTTAGAGAAAGCCATAGGTGCCTGCCTCATTTTGACGGAATGCCTCACATCCCGCTGACACCTCGAGAGGCACACGGAGTTCATTGCTTCAAAAGTTGACGATGCCTGACTCCTCTTGAATACTGATAGGAATCCCAAAATCCCTGTGGCTACTGGAAAGGGTCCTTGGGTGCCCTGCCTCACCTCGAGAAGCGTCCCCTTTGCCCTGCCAAGCCTCGAAGAGATTCCTGAGGTGTCCCTCGTTACTAGTCAGGAGTCCTGACGTCACTGAAGAAACTCGTGTTTTGAAGGGCCATCCCCGCCGTAAGTCGAGAACATATCCCGGGTCCCCGCCGCAACACGAGAAAAAACATGAGACTTCCCCCTAGAGGCGAGATGAGGCCCCATTCCCCTGCAGTGCATACAGAGCTATTCCGTGATCCCATTCAAACAAGTCAGGAGCTTCGACTTGCTTAATGGTTCTCGAGACAGTCCCCAAGAACACTGTCACCAGTCTAGACGGACCCTGAGGTTACCCCAGCAACGCAAAGCAGCTCCATGTGCCCGAAATCAACTCGAGATGAGGCCCGATTCCCCTGCATTGACTCCAGAGCCATTCCCCGTTCCCCATTCAACACGACCGGTGGTTCGACTTCCTTCAGGCAACTCCAGAGATGCCCCGAGAACACTGTCCCAAGTCTAGAGGAACAACAACTTCAGGACAACAACTCGAGGAATGCTCCGTGTACCCCAAATCGTCTCGAGATGAGAGCTGATTCCCTGGCTTAGGCTCAAGACATATGCCACCTTTCCAGAAGCACCTCAGGACGAGGCTTCTCTCAGCAATAGGTATGTGGGAAGGACCCCGAGTTTGCTGCCTCAAGGGGAATATACACCGAGAAGCCCTAACTTGAAAGGAGGCCGGATTTCCTTGCAGTGGCTTGAATACAGGCCCGACTTTCATCTCACAACATGAAGGGATGTCTGAATCCCCTGTGGAGACCTTAGAGAAAGCCCTAGGTCTCTGCCTCATTTTGACGGAATGCTTCACATCCCGCTGACACCTCGAGAGGCACGCGGAGTTCATTGCTTCAAAAGGTGACGATGCCTGACTCCTCTTGAATACAGATAGGAATCCCAAAATCCCTGTGGCTACTGGAAAGGGTCCTTGGGTGCCCTGCCTCACCTCGAGAAGCGTCCCTTTTGCCCTGCCAAGCCTCGAAGAGATTCCTAAGGTGTCCCTCGTTACTAGACAGGAGTCCTGACGTCACTGAAGAAACTCGTGTTTTGAAGGGCCATCCCCGCCGTAAGTCGAGAACATTCCCCAGGTGCCCGACGCAACTCGAGAAAAACCATGAGACTTCCCCCTAGAGGCGAGATGAGGCCCCATTGCCTGCAGTGCATGCAGAGCTATTCCGTGATCCCATTCAAACAAGTCAGGAGCTTCGACTTGCTTAATGGATCTCGAGACAGTCCCCAAGAACACTGTCACCAGTCTAGACGGACCCTGAGGTCACCCCAGCAGCGCAGAGCAGCTCCATGTGCCCCAAATCAACTCGAGATGAGGCCCGATTCCCCTGCATTGACTCCAGAGCCATTCCCCGTTCCCCATTCAACACGACCGGTGGCTCGACTTCCTTCAGGCCACTCAAGAGATGCCCCGAGCACACTGTCCCAAGTCTAGAGGAACACCAACTTCAGCACAGCAACTCGAGGAATGCTCCGTGTACCCCAAATCGTCTGGAGATGAGAGCTGATTCCCTGGCTTAGGCTCAAGACGTATGCCAACTTTCCAGAAGCACCTCAGGAGGAGGCTTCTCTCAGCAATAGGTATGTGGGAGGGACCCCGAGTTTGCTGCCTCAAGGGGAACATACAGCGAGAATCCCTAACTTGAAAGAAGGCCGTATTTCCTTGCAGTGGCTTGAATACAGGCCCGTCTTTCATCTCACAACATGAAGGGATGTCTGAATCCCCTGTGGAGACCTTAGAGAAAGCCCTAGGTCCCTGCCTCATTTTGACGGAATGCCTCACATCCCGATGACACCTCGAGAGGCACGCGGAGTTCATTGCTTCAAAAGGTGACAATGCCTGACTCCTCTTGAATACTGATAGGAATCCCAAAATCCCTGTGGCTACTGGAATGGGTCCTTGGGTGCCCTGCCTCACCTCGAGAAGCGTCCCTTTTGCCCTGCCAAGCCTCGAAGAGATTCCTGAGGTGTCCCTCGTTACTAGTCAGGAGTCCTGACGTCACTGAAGAAACTCGTGTTTTGAAGGGCCATCCCCGCCGTAAGTCGAGAACATACCCCAGGTCCCCGCCGCAACTCGAGAAGAACCATGAGACTTCCCCCTAGAGGCGAGATGAGGCCCCATTCCCATGCAGTGCATGCAGAGCTATTCCGTGATCCCATTCAAACAAGTCAGGAGCTTCTACTTGCTTAATGGATCTCGAGACAGTCCCCAAGATCACTGTCACCAGTCTAGACGGACCCTGAGGTCACCCCAGCAGCGCAGAGCAGCTCCATGTGCCCCAAATCAACTCGAGATGAGGCCCGATTCCCCTGCATTGACTCCAGAGCCATTCCCCGTTCCCCATTCAACACGACCGGTGGCTCGACTTCCTTCAGGCCACTGCAGAGATGCCCCGAGCACACTGTCCCAAGTCTAGAGGAACACCAACTTCAGCACAGCAACTCGAGGAATGCTCCGTGTACCCCAAATCGTCTCGAGATGAGAGCTGATTCCCTGGCTTAGGCTCAAGACGTATGCCAACTTTCCAGAAGCACCTCAGGAGGAGGCTTCTCTCAGCAATAGGTATGTGGGAGGGACCCCGAGTTTGCTGCCTCAAGGGGAACATACAGCGAGAAGCCCTAACTTGAAAGGAGGCTGGATTTCCTTGCAGTGGCTTGAATACAGGCCCGTCTTTCATCTCACAACATGAAGGGATGTCTGAATCCCCTGTGGAGACCTTAGAGAAAGCCCTAGGTCCCTGCCTCATTTTGACGGAATGCCTCACATCCCGCTGACACCTCGATAGGCACGCGGAGTTCACTGCTTCAAAACGTGACAATGCCTGACTCCTCTTGAATACTGATAGGAATCCCAAAATCCCTGTGGCTTCTGGAAAGGGTTCTTGGGTGCCCTGCCTCACCTCGAGAAGCGTCCCTTTTGCCCTGCCAAGCCTCGAAGAGATTCCTGAGGTGTCCCTCGTTACTAGTCAGGAGTCCTGACGTCACTGAAGAAACTCGTGTTTTGAAGGGCCATCCCCGACGTAAGTCGAGAACATATCCCAGGTCCCCGCCGCAACTCGAGAAAAATCATGAGACTTCCCCCTAGAGGCGAGATGAGGCCCCATTCCCCTGCAGTGCATGCAGAGCTATTCCGTGATACCATTCAAACAAATCAGGAGCTTCGACTTGCTTAATGGATCTCGAGACAGTCCCCAAGAACACTGTCACCAGTCTAGACGGACCCTGAGGTCACCCCAGCAATGCAAAGCAGCTCCATGTGCCCCAAATCAACTCGAGATGAGGCCCGATTCCCCTGCATTGACTCCAGAGCCATTCCCCATTCCCCATTCAACACGACCGGTGGCTCGACTTCCTTCAGGCCACTGCAGAGATGCCCCGAGCACACTGTCCCAAGTCTAGAGGAACACCAACTTCAGCACAGCAACTCGAGGAATGCTCCGTGTACCCCAAATCGTCTCGAGATGAGAGCTGATTCCCTGGCTTAGGCTCAAGACGTATGCCAACTTTCCAGAAGCACCTCAGGAGGAGGCTTCTCTCAGCAATAGGTATGTGGGAGGGACCCCGAGTTTGCTGCCTCAAGGGGAATATACAGCGAGAAGCCCTAACTTGAAAGGAGGCCGGATTTCCTTGCAGTGGCTTGAATACAGGCCCGTCTTTCATCTCACAACATGAAGGGATGTCTGAATCCCCTTTGGAGACCTTAGAGAAAGCCATAGGTGCCTGCCTCATTTTGACGGAATGCCTCACATCCCGCTGACACCTCGAGAGGCACACGGAGTTCATTGCTTCAAAAGTTGACGATGCCTGACTCCTCTTGAATACTGATAGGAATCCCAAAATCCCTGTGGCTACTGGAAAGGGTCCTTGGGTGCCCTGCCTCACCTCGAGAAGCGTCCCCTTTGCCCTGCCAAGCCTCGAAGAGATTCCTGAGGTGTCCCTCGTTACTAGTCAGGAGTCCTGACGTCACTGAAGAAACTCGTGTTTTGAAGGGCCATCCCCGCCGTAAGTCGAGAACATATCCCGGGTCCCCGCCGCAACTCGAGAAAAAACATGAGACTTCCCCCTAGAGGCGAGATGAGGCCCCATTCCCCTGCAGTGCATACAGAGCTATTCCGTGATCCCATTCAAACAAGTCAGGAGCTTCGACTTGCTTAATGGATCTCGAGACAGTCCCCAAGAACACTGTCACCAGTCTAGACGGACCCTGAGGTCACCCCAGCAGCGCAGAGCAGCTCCATGTGCCCCAAATCAACTCGAGATGAGGCCCGATTCCCCTGCATTGACTCCAGAGCCATTCCCCGTTCCCCATTCAACACGACCGGTGGCTCGACTTCCTTCAGGCCACTCAAGAGATGCCCCGAGCACACTGTCCCAAGTCTAGAGGAACACCAACTTCAGCACAGCAACTCGAGGAATGCTCCGTGTACCCCAAATCGTCTGGAGATGAGAGCTGATTCCCTGGCTTAGGCTCAAGACGTATGCCAACTTTCCAGAAGCACCTCAGGAGGAGGCTTCTCTCAGCAATAGGTATGTGGGAGGGACCCCGAGTTTGCTGCCTCAAGGGGAACATACAGCGAGAAGCCCTAACTTGAAAGGAGGCTGGATTTCCTTGCAGTGGCTTTAATACAGGCCCGTCTTTCATCTCACAACATGAAGGGATGTCTGAATCCCCTGTGGAGACCTTAGAGAAAGCCCTAGGTCCCTGCCTCATTTTGACGGAATGCCTCACATCCCGCTGACACCTCAAGAGGAACGCGGAGTTCATTGCTTCAAAACGTGACGATGCCTGACTCCTCTTGTATACTGAGAGGAAACCCAAAATCCCTGTGGCTACTGGAAAGGGTCCTTGGGTGCCCTGCCTCACCTCGAGAAGCGTCCCTTTTGCCCTGCCAAGCCTCGAAGAGATTCCTGAGGGGTCCCTCGTTACTAGACAGGAGTCCTGACGTCACTGAAGAAACTCGTGTTTTGAAGGGCCATAACCGCCATAAGTCGAGAACATACCCCAGGTCCCCGCCGCAACTCGAGAAAAATCATGAGACTTCCCCCTAGAGGCGAGATGAGGCCCCATTCCCCTGCAGTGCATGCAGAGCTATTCCGTGATCCCATTGAAACAAATCAGGAGCTTCGACTTGCTTAATGGATCTCGAGACAGTCCCCAAGAACACTGTCACCAGTCTAGACGGACCCTGAGGTCACCCCAGCAATGCAAAGCAGCTCCATATGCCCCAAATCAACTCGAGATGAGGCCCGATTCCCCTGCATTGACTCCATAGCCATTCCCCGTTCCTCATTCAACACGACCGGTGGCTCGACTTCCTTCAGGTCACTGCAGAGATGCCCCGAGAACACTGTCCCAAGTCTAGAGGAACACCAACTTCAGCACAGCAACTCGAGGAATGCTCCGTGTACCCCAAATCGTCTCGAGATGAGAGCTGATTCCCAGGCTTAGGCTCAAGACGTATGCCAACTTTCCAGAAGCACCTCAGGAGGAGGCTTCTCTCAGCAATAGGTATGTGGGCGGGACCCCGAGTTTGCTGCCTCAAGGGGAATATACAGCGAGAAGCCCTAACTTGAAAGGAGGCTGGATTTCCTTGCAGTGGCTTGAATACAGGCCCGACTTTCATCTCACAACATGAAGGGATGTCTGAATCCCCTGTGGAGACCTTAGAGAAAGCCCTAGGTCCCTGCCTCATTTTGACGGAATGCTTCACATCCCGCTGACACCTCGAGAGGCACGCGGAGTTCATTGCTTCAAAAGGTGACGATGCCTGACTCCTCTTGAATACTGATAGGAATCCCAAAATCCCTGTGGCTACTGGAAAGGGTCCTTGGGTGCCCTGCCTCACCTCGAGAAGCGTCCCTTTTGCCCTGCCAAGCTTCGAAGAGATTCCTAAGGTGTCCCTCGTTACTAGACAGGAGTCCTGACGTCACTGAAGAAACTCGTGTTTTGAAGGGCCATCCCCGCCTTAAGTCGAGAACATACACCAGGTCCCCGACGCAACTCGAGAAAAACCATGAGACTTCCCCCTAGAGGCGAGATGAGGCCCCTTTCCCCTGCAGTGCATGCAGAGCTATTCCGTGATCTCATTCAAACAAGTCAGGAGCTTCGACTTGCTTAATGGATCTCGAGACAGTCACCAAGAACACTGTCACCAGTCTAGACGGACCCTGAGGTCACCCCAGCAGCGCAGAGCAGCTCCATGTGCCCCAAATCAACTCGAGATGAGGCCCGATTCCCCTGCATTGACTCCAGAGCCATTCCCCGTTCCCCATTCAACACGACCGGTGGCTCGACTTCCTTCAGGCCACTGCAGAGATGCCCCGAGCACACTGTCCCAAGTCTAGAGGAACAGCAACTTCAGCACAGCAACTCGAGGAATGCTCCATGTACCCCAAATCGTCTCAAGATGAGAGCTGATTCCCTGGCTTAGGCTCAAGACGTATGCCAACTTTCCAGAAGCACCTCAGGAGGAGGCTTCTCTCAGCAATAGGTATGTGGGAGGGACCCCGAGTTTGCTGCCTCAAGGGGAACATACAGCGAGAAGCCCTAACTTGAAAGGAGGCTGGATTTCCTTGCAGTGGCTTGAATACAGGCCCGTCTTTCATCTCACAACATGAAGGGATGTCTGAATCCCCTGTGGAGACCTTAGAGAAAGCCCTAGGTCCCTGCCTCATTTTGACGGAATGCCTCACATCCCGTTGACACCTCAAGAGGAACGCGGAGTTCATTGCTTCAAAACGTGACGATGCCTGACTCCTCTTGTATACTGAGAGGAAACCCAAAATCCCTGTGGCTACTGGAAAGGGTCCTTGGGTGCCCTGCCTCACCTCGAGAAGCGTCCCTTTTGCCCTGCCAAGCCTCGAAGAGATTCCTGAGGGGTCCCTCGTTCCTAGACAGGAGTCCTGACGTCACTGAAGAAACTCGTGTTTTGAAGGGCCATAACCGCCATAAGTCGAGAACATACCCCAGGTCCCCGCCGCAACTCGAGAAAAATCATGAGACTTCCCCCTAGAGGCGAGATGAGGCCCCATTCCCCTGCAGTGCATGCAGAGCTATTCCGTGATCCCATTGAAACAAATCAGGAGCTTCGACTTGCTTAATGGATCTCGAGACAGTCCCCAAGAACACTGTCACCAGTCTAGACGGACCCTGAGGTCACCCCAGCAATGCAAAGCAGCTCCATATGCCCCAAATCAACTCGAGATGAGGCCCGATTCCCCTGCATTGACTCCATAGCCATTCCCCGTTCCTCATTCAACACGACCGGTGGCTCGACTTCCTTCAGGTCACTGCAGAGATGCCCCGAGAACACTGTCCCAAGTCTAGAGGAACACCAACTTCAGCACAGCAACTCGAGGAATGCTCCGTGTACCCCAAATCGTCTCGAGATGAGAGCTGATTCCCAGGCTTAGGCTCAAGACGTATGCCAACTTTCCAGAAGCACCTCAGGAGGAGGCTTCTCTCAGCAATAGGTATGTGGGAGGGACCCCGAGTTTGCTGCCTCAAGGGGAATATACAGCGAGAAGCCCTAACTTGAAAGGAGGCTGGATTTCCTTGCAGTGGCTTGAATACAGGCCCGACTTTCATCTCACAACATGAAGGGATGTCTGAATCCCCTGTGGAGATCTTAGAGAAAGCCCTAGGTCCCTGCCTCATTTTGACGGAATGCTTCACATCCCGCTGACACCTCGAGAGGCATGCGGAGTTCATTGCTTCAAAAGGTGACGATGCCTGACTCCTCTTGAATACTGATAGGAATCCCAAAATCCCTGTGGCTACTGGAAAGGGTCCTTGGGTGCCCTGCCTCACCTCGAGAAGCGTCCCTTTTGCCCTGCCAAGCTTCGAAGAGATTCCTAAGGTGTCCCTCGTTACTAGACAGGAGTCCTGACGTCACTGAAGAAACTCGTGTTTTGAAGGGCCATCCCCGCCGTAAGTCGAGAACACTCCCCAGGTCCCCGACGCAACTCGAGAAAAACCATGAGACTTCCCCCTAGAGGCGAGATGAGGCCCCTTTCCCCTGCAGTGCATGCAGAGCTATTCCGTGATCTCATTCAAACAAGTCAGGAGCTTCGACTTGCTTAATGGATCTCGAGACAGTCCCCAAGAACACTGTCACCAGTCTAGACGGACCCTGAGGTCACCCCAGCAACGCAGAGCAGCTCCATGTGCCCCAAATCAACTCGAGATGTGGCCCGATTCCCCTGCATTGACTCCAGAGCCATTCCCCGTTCCCCATTCAACACGACCGGTGGCTCGACTTCCTTCAGGCAACTCCAGAGATGCCCCGAGAACACTGTCCCAAGTCTAGAGGAACAACAACTTCAGCACAACAACTCGAGGAATGCTCCGTGTACCCCAAATCGTCTCGAGATGAGAGCTGATTCCCTTGCTTAGGCTCAAGACATATGCCAACTTTCCAGAAGCACCTCAGGACGAGGCTTCTCTCAGCAATAGGTATGTGGGAGGGACCCCGAGTTTGCTGCCTCAAGGGGAATATACAGCGAGAAGCCCTAACTTGAAAGGAGGCCGGATTTCCTTGCAGTGGCTTGAATACAGGCCCGTCTTTCATCTCACAACATGAAGGGTTGACTGAATCCCCTGTGGAGACCTTAGAGAAAGCCCTAGGTCCCTGCCTCATTTTGACGGAATGCTTCACATCCCGCTGACACCTCGAGAGGAACGCGGAGTTCATTGCTTCAAAAGGTGACGATGCCTGACTCCTCTTGAATACTGATAGGAATCCCAAAATCCCTGTGGCTACTGGAAAGGGTCCTTGGGTGCCCTGCCTCACCTCGAGAAGCGTCCCTTTTGCCCTGCCAAGCCTCGAAGAGATTCCTAAGGTGTCCCTCGTTACTAGACAGGAGTCCTGACGTCACTGAAGAAACTAGTGTTTTGAAGGGCCATCCCCGCCGTAAGTCGAGAACATTCCCCAGGTCCCCGACGCAACTCGAGAAAAACCATGAGACTTCCCCCTAGAGGCGAGATGAGGCCCCATTCCCCTGCAGTGCATGCAGAGCTATTCCGTGATCCCCATTCAAACAAGTCAGGAGCTTCGACTTGCTTAATGGATCTCGAGACAGTCCCCAAGAACACTGTCACCAGTCTAGACGGACCCTGAGGTCACCCCAGCAGCGCAGAGCAGCTCCATGTGCCCCAAATCAACTCGAGATGAGCCCCGATTCCCCTGCATTGACTCCAGAGCCATTCCCCGTTCCCCATTCAACACGACCGGTGGCTCGACTTCCTTCAGGCCACTGCAGAGATGCCCCGAGCACACTGTCCCAAGTCTAGAGGAACACCAACTTCAGCACAGCAACTCGAGGAATGCTCCGTGTACCGCAAATCGTCTCGAGATGAGAGCTGATTCCCTGGCTTAGGCTCAAGACGTATGCCAACTTTCCAGAAGCACCTCAGGAGGAGGCTTCTCTCAGCAATAGGTATGTGGGAGGGACCCCGAGTTTCCTGCCTCAAGGGGAACATACAGCGAGAAGCCCTAACTTGAAAGGAGGCCGGATTTCTTTGCAGTGGCTTGAATACAGGCCTGTCTTTCATCTCACAACATGAAGGGATGTCTGAATCCCCTGTGGAGACCTTAGAGAAAGCCCTAGGTCCCTGCCTCATTTTGACGGAATGCCTCACATCCCGCTGACACCTCGAGAGGCACACGGAGTTCATTGCTTCAAAAGGTGACGATGCCTGACTCCTCTTGAATACTGATAGGAATACCAAAATCCCTGTGGCTACTGGAAAGGGTCCTTGGGTGCCCTGCCTCACCTCGAGAAGCGTCCCTTTTGCCCTGCCAAGCCTCGAAGAGATTCCTGAGGTGTCCCTCGTTACCAGACAGGAGTCCTGACGTCACTGAAGAAACTCGTGTTTTGAGGGGCCATCCCCGCCTTAAGTCGAGAACATACACCAGGTCCCCGCCGCAACTCGAGAAAAACCATGAGACTTCCCCCTAGAGGCGAGATGAGGCCCCATTCCCCTGCAGTGCATGCAGAGCTATTCCGTGATCCCATTCAAACAAGTCAGGAGCTTCGACTTGCTTAATGGATCTCGAGACAGTCCCCAAGAACACTGTCACCAGTCTAGACGGATCCTGAGGTCACCCCAGCAGCGCAGAGCAGCTCCATGTGCCTCAAATCAACTCGAGATGAGGCCCAATTCCCCTGCATTGACTCCAGAGCCATTCCCCGTTCCCCATTCAACACGACCGGTGGCTCGACTTCCTTCAGGCCACTGTAGAGATGCCCCGAGCACACTGTCCCAAGTCTAGAGGAACACCAACTTCAGCACAGCAACTCGAGGAATGCTCCGTGTACCCCAAATCGTCTCGAGATGAGAGTTGATTCCCTGGCTTAGGCTCAAGAGGTATGCCAACTTTCCAGAAGCACCTCAGGGGGAGGCTTCTCTCAGCAATAGGTATGTGGGAGGGACCCCGAGTTTGCTGCCTCAAGGGGAACATACAGCGAAAAGCCCTAACTTGAAAGCAGGCCGGATTTCCTTGCAGTGGCTTGAATACAGGCCCGTCTTTCATCTCACAACATGAAGGGATGTCTGAATCCCCTGTGGAGACCTTAGAGAAAGCCCTAGGTGCCTGCCTCATTTTGACGGAATGCCTCACATCCCGCTGACACCTCGAGAGGCACACGGAGTTCATTGCTTCAAAAGTTGACGATGCCTGACTCCTCTTGAATACTGATAGGAATCCCAAAATCCCTGTGGCTACTGGAAAGGGTCCTTGGGTGCCCTGCCTCACCTCGAGAAGCGTCCCTTTTGCCCGGCCAAGCCTCGAAGAGATTCCTGAGGTGTCCCTCGTTACTAGTCAGGAGTCCTGACGTCACTGAAGAAACTCGTGTTTTGAAGGGCCATCCCCGCCGTAAGTCGAGAACATTCCCCAGGTCCCCGACGCAACTCGAGAAAAACCATGAGACTTCCCCCTAGAGGCGAGATGAGGCCCCTTTCCCCTGCAGTGCATGCAGAGCTATTCCGTGATCCCATTCAAACAAGTCAGGAGCTTCGACTTGCTTAATGGATCTCGAGACAGTCCCCAAGAACACTGTAACCAGTCTAGACGGACCCTGAGGTCACCCCAGCAGCGCAGAGCAGCTCCATGTGCCCCAAATCAACTCGAGATGAGGCCCGATTCCCCTGCATTGACTCCAGAGCCATTCCCCGTTCCCCATTCAACGCGACCGGTGGCTCGACTTCCTTCAGGCCACTGCAGAGATGCCCCGAGCACACTGTCCCAAGTCTAGAGGAACACCAACTTCAGCACAGCAACTCGAGGAATGCTCCGTGTACCCCAAATCGTCTCGAGATGAGAGCTGATTCCCTGGCTTAGGCTCAAGACGTATGCCAACTTTCCAGAAGCACCTCAGGAGGAGGCTTCTCTCAGCAATAGGTATGTGGGAGGGACCCCGAGTTTGCTGCCTCAAGGGGAATATACAGCGAGAAGCCCTAACTTGAAAGGAGGCCGGATTTCCTTGCAGTGGCTTGAATACAGGCCCGTCTTTCATCTCACAACATGAAGGGATGTCTGAATCCCCTTTGGAGACCTTAGAGAAAGCCCTAGGTGCCTGCCTCATTTTGACGGAATGCCTCACATCCCGCTGACACCTCGAGAGGCACACGGAGTTCATTGCTTCAAAAGTTGACGATGCCTGACTCCTCTTGAATACTGATAGGAATCCCAAAATCCCTGTGGCTACTGGAAAGGGTCCTTGGGTGCCCTGCCTCACCTCGAGAAGCGTCCCCTTTGCCCTGCCAAGCCTCGAAGAGATTCCTGAGGTGTCCCTCGTTACTAGTCAGGAGTCCTGACGTCACTGAAGAAACTCGTGTTTTGAAGGGCCATCCCCGCCGTAAGTCGAGAACATATCCCGGGTCCCCGCCGCAACTCGAGAAAAAACATGAGACTTCCCCCTAGAGGCGAGATGAGGCCCCATTCCCCTGCAGTGCATACAGAGCTATTCCGTGATCCCATTCAAACAAGTCAGGAGCTTCGACTTGCTTAATGGATCTCGAGACAGTCACCAAGAACACTGTCACCAGTCTAGACGGACCCTGAGGTTACCCCAGCAACGCAAAGCAGCTCCATGTGCCCGAAATCAACTCGAGATGAGGCCCGATTCCCCTGCATTGACTCCAGAGCCATTCCCCTTTCCCCATTCAACACGACCGGTGGTTCGATTTCCTTCAGGCAACTCCAGAGATGCCCCGAGAACACTGTCCCAAGTCTAGAGGAACAACAACTTCATCACAACAACTCGAGGAATGCTCCGTGTACCCCAAATCGTCTCGAGATGAGAACTGATTCCCTGGCTTAGGCTCAAGACATATGCCACCTTTCCAGAAGCACCTCAGGACGAGGCTTCTCTCAGCAATAGGTATGTGGGAAGGACCCCGAGTTTGCTGCCTCAAGGGGAATATACACCGAGAAGCCCTAACTTGAAAGGAGGCCGGATTTCCTTGCAGTGGCTTGAATACAGGCCCGACTTTCATCTCACAACATGAAGGGATGTCTGAATCCCCTGTGGAGACCTTAGAGAAAGCCCTAGGTCCCTGCCTCATTTTGACGGAATGCTTCACATCCCGCTGACACCTCGAGAGGCACGCGGAGTTCATTGCTTCAAAAGGTGACGATGCCTGACTCCTCTTGAATACTGATAGGAATCCCAAAATCCCTGTGGCTACTGGAAAGGGTCCTTGGGTGCCCTGCCTCACCTCGAGAAGCGTCCCTTTTGCCCTGCCAAGCCTCGAAGAGATTCCTAAGGTGTCCCTCGTTACTAGACAGGAGTCCTGACGTCACTGAAGAAACTCGTGTTTTGAAGGGACATCCCCGCCGTAAGTCGAGAACATTCCCCAGGTCCCCGACGCAACTCGAGAAAAACCATGAGACTTCCCCCTAGAGGCGAGATGAGGCCCCTTTCCCCTGCAGTGCATGCAGAGCTATTCCGTGATCCCATTCAAACAAGTCAGGAGCTTCGACTTGCTTAATGGATCTCGAGACAGTCCCCAAGAACACTGTAACCAGTCTAGACGGACCCTGAGGTCACCCCAGCAGCGCAGAGCAGCTCCATGTGCCCCAAATCAACTCGAGATGAGGCCCGATTCCCCTGCATTGACTCCAGAGCCATTCCCCATTCCCCATTCAACGCGACCGGTGGCTCGACTTCCTTCAGGCCACTGCAGAGATGCCCCGAGCACACTGTCCCAAGTCTAGAGGAACACCAACTTCAGCACAGCAACTCGAGGAATGCTCCGTGTACCACAAATCGTCTCGAGATGAGAGCTGATTCCCTGGCTTAGGCTCAAGATGTATGCCAACTTTCCAGAAGCACCTCAGGAGGAGGCTTCTCTCAGCAATAGGTATGTGGGAGGGACCCCGAGTTTGCTGCCTCAAGGGGAACATACAGCGAGAAGCCCTAACTTGAAAGGAGGCCGGATTTCCTTGCAGTGGCTTGAATACAGGCCCGTCTTTCATCTCACAACATGAAGGGATGTCTGAATCCCCTGTGGAGACCTTAGAGAAAGCCCTAGGTCCCTGCCTCATTTTGACGGAATGCCTCACATCCCGCTGACACCTCGAGAGGGACACGGAGTTCATTGCTTCAAAAGGTGACGATGCCTGACTCCTCTTGAATACTGATAGGAATCCCAAAATCCCTGTGGCTACTGGAAAGGGTCCTTGGGTGCCCTGCCTCACCTCGAGAAGCGTCCCTTTTGCCCTGCCAAGCCTCGAAGAGATTCCTGAGGTGTCCCTCGTTACTAAACAGGAGTCCTGACGTCACTGAAGAAACTCGTGTTTTGAAGGGCCATCCCCGCCGTAAGTCGAGAACATACCCCAGGTCCCCGCCGCAACTCGAGAAAAACCATGAGACTTCCCCCTATAGGCGAGATGAGGCCCCATTCCCCTGCAGTGCATGCAGAGCTACTCCGTGATCCCATTCAAACAAGTCAGGAGCTTCGACTTGCTTAATGGATCTCGAGAGAGTCCCCAAGAACACTGTCACCAGTCTAGACGGACCCTGAGGTCACCCCAGCAACGCAAAGCAGCTCTATGTGCCCCAAATCAACTCGAGATGAGGCCCGATTCCCCTGCATTGACTCCAGAGCCTTTCCCCGTTCCCCATTCAACACGACCGGTGGCTCGACTTCCTTCAGGCCACTCCAGAGATGCCCCGAGATCACTGTCCCAAGTCTAGAGGAACACCAACTTCAGCAGAGCAACTCGAGGAATGCTCCGTGTACCCCAAATCACATCGAGATGAGAGCTGATTCCCTGGCTTAGGCTCAAGACGTATGGCAACTTTCCAGAAGCATCTCAGGAGGAGGCTTCTCTCAGCAATAGGTATGTGGGAGGGACCCCGAGTTTGCTGCCTCAAGGGGAATATACAGCGAGAATCCCTAACTTGAAAGGAGGCCGGATTTCCTTGCAGTGGCTTGAATACAGGCCCGTCTTTCATCTCACAACATGAAGGGATGTCTGAATCCCCTGTGGAGACCTTAGAGAAAGCCCTAGGTCCCTGCCTCATTTTGACGGAATGCCTCACATCCCGCTGACACCTCGAGAGGCACACGGAGTTCATTGCTTCAAAAGTTGACGATGCCTGACTCCTCTTGAATACTGATAGGAATCCCAAAATCCCTGTGGCTACTGGAAAGGGTCCTTGGGTGCCCTGCCTCACCTCGAGAAGCGTCCCTTTTGCCCTGCCAAGCCTCGAAGAGATTCCTGAGGTGTCCCTCGTTACTAGACAGGAGTCCTGACGTCACTGAAGAAACTCGTGTTTTGAAGGGCCATCCCCGCCTTAAGTCGAGGACATACACCAGGTCCCCGCCGCAACTCGAGAAAAACCATGAGACTTCCCCCTAGAGGCGAGATGAGGCCCCATTCCCCTGCAGTGCATGCAGAGCTATTCCGTGATCCCATTCAAACAAGTCAGGAGCTTCGACTTGCTTAATGGATCTCGAGACAGTCCCCAAGAACACTGTCACCAGTCTAGACGGACCCTGAGGTCACCCCAGCAGCGCAGAGCAGCTCCATGTGCCCCAAATCAACTCGAGATGAGGCCCGATTCCCCTGCATTGACTCCAGAGCCATTCCCCGTTCCCCATTCAACACGACCGGTGGCTCGACTTCCTTCAGGCCACTGCAGAGATGCCCCGAGCACACTGTCCCAAGTCTAGAGGAACAGCAACTTCAGCACAGCAACTCGAGGAATGCTCCATGTACCCCAAATCGTCTCGAGATGAGAGCTGATTCCCTGGCTTAGGCTCAAGACGTATGCCAACTTTCCAGAAGCACCTCAGGAGGAGGCTTCTCTCAGCAATAGGTATGTGGGAGGGACCCCGAGTTTGCTGCCTCAAGGGGAACATACAGCGAGAAGCCCTAACTTGAAAGGAGGCTGGATTTCCTTGCAGTGGCTTGAATACAGGCCCGTCTTTCATCTCACAACATGAAGGGATGTCTGAATCCCCTGTGGAGACCTTAGAGAAAGCCCTAGGTCCCTGCCTCATTTTGACGGAATGCCTCACATCCCGCTGACACCTCAAGAGGAACGCGGAGTTCATTGCTTCAAAACGTGACGATGCCTGACTCCTCTTGTATACTGAGAGGAAACCCAAAATCCCTGTGGCTACTGGAAAGGGTCCTTGGGTGCCCTGCCTCACCTCGAGAAGCGTCCCTTTTGCCCTGCCAAGCCTCGAAGAGATTCCTGAGGGGTCCCTCGTTACTAGACAGGAGTCCTGACGTCACTGAAGAAACTCGTGTTTTGAAGGGCCATAACCGCCATAAGTCGAGAACATACCCCAGGTCCCCGCCGCAACTCGAGAAAAATCATGAGACTTCCCCCTAGAGGCGAGATGAGGCCCCATTCCCCTGCAGTGCATGCAGAGCTATTCCGTGATCCCATTGAAACAAATCAGGAGCTTCGACTTGCTTAATGGATCTCGAGACAGTCCCCAAGAACACTGTCACCAGTCTAGACGGACCCTGAGGTCACCCCAGCAATGCAAAGCAGCTCCATATGCCCCAAATCAACTCGAGATGAGGCCCGATTCCCCTGCATTGACTCCATAGCCATTCCCCGTTCCTCATTCAACACGACCGGTGGCTCGACTTCCTTCAGGTCACTGCAGAGATGCCCCGAGAACACTGTCCCAAGTCTAGAGGAACACCAACTTCAGCACAGCAACTCGAGGAATGCTCCGTGTACCCCAAATCGTCTCGAGATGAGAGCTGATTCCCAGGCTTAGGCTCAAGACGTATGCCAACTTTCCAGAAGCACCTCAGGAGGAGGCTTCTCTCAGCAATAGGTATGTGGGAGGGACCCCGAGTTTGCTGCCTCAAGGGGAATATACAGCGAGAAGCCCTAACTTGAAAGGAGGCCGGATTTCCTTGCAGTGGCTTGAATACAGGCCCGACTTTCATCTCACAACATGAAGGGATGTCTGAATCCCCTGTGGAGACCTTAGAGAAAGCCCTAGGTCCCTGCCTCATTTTGACGGAATGCTTCACATCCCGCTGACACCTCGAGAGGCACGCGGAGTTCATTGCTTCAAAAGGTGACGATGCCTGACTCCTCTTGAATACTGATAGGAATCCCAAAATCCCTGTGGCTACTGGAAAGGGTCCTTGGGTGCCCTGCCTCACCTCGAGAAGCGTCCCTTTTGCCCTGCCAAGCTTCGAAGAGATTCCTAAGGTGTCCCTCGTTACTAGACAGGATTCCTGACGTCACTGAAGAAACTCGTGTTTTGAAGGGCCATCCCCGCCGTAAGTCGAGAACATTCCCCAGGTCCCCGACGCAACTCGAGAAAAACCATGAGACTTCCCCCTAGAGGCGAGATGAGGCCCCATTACCCTGCAGTGCATGCAGAGCTATTCCGTGATCCCATTCAAACAAGTCAGGAGCTTCGACTTGCTTAATGGATCTCGAGACAGTCCCCAAGAACACTGTCACCAGTCTAGACGGACCCTGAGGTCACCCCAGCAGCGCAGAGCAGCTCCATGTGCCCCAAATCAACTCGAGATGAGGCCCGATTCCCCTGCATTGACTCCAGAGCCATTCCCCGTTCCCCATTCAACACGACCGGTGGCTCGACTTCCTTCAGGCAACTCCAGAGATGCCCCGAGAACACTGTCCCAAGTCTAGAGGAACAACAACTTCAGCATAACAACTCGAGGAATGCTCCGTGTACCCCAAATCGTCTCGAGATGAGAGCTGATTCCCTTGCTTAGGCTCAAGACATATGCCAACTTTCCAGAAGCACCTCAGGACGAGGCTTCTCTCAGCAATAAGTATGTGGGAGGGACCCCGAGTTTGCTGCCTCAAGGGGAATATACAGCGAGAAGCCCTAACTTGAAAGGAGGCCGGATTTCCTTGCAGTGGCTTGAATACAGGCCCGTCTTTCATCTCACAACATGAAGGGATGTCTGAATCCCCTGTGGAGACCTTAGAGAAAGCCCTAGGTCCCTGCCTCATTTTGACGGAATGCTTCACATCCCGCTGACACCTCGAGAGGCACGCGGAGTTCATTGCTTCAAAAGGTGACGATGCCTGACTCCTCTTGAATACTGATAGGAATCCCAAAATCCCTGTGGCTACTGGAAAGGGTCCTTGGGTGCCCTGCCTCACCTCGAGAAGCGTCCCTTTTGCCCTGCCAAGCCTCGAAGAGATTCCTAAGGTGTCCCTCGTTACTACACAGGAGTCCTGACGTCACTGAAGAAACTAGTGTTTTGAAGGGCCATCCCCGCCGTAAGTCGAGAACATTCCCCAGGTCCCCGACGCAACTCGAGAAAAACCATGAGACTTCCCCCTAGAGGCGAGATGAGGCCCCATTCCCCTGCAGTGCATGCAGAGCTATTCCGTGATCCCCATTCAAACAAGTCAGGAGCTTCGACTTGCTTAATGGATCTCGAGACAGTCCCCAAGAACACTGTCACCAGTCTAGACGGACCCTGAGGTCACCCCAGCAGCGCAGAGCAGCTCCATGTGCCCCAAATCAACTCGAGATGAGCCCCGATTCCCCTGCATTGACTCCAGAGCCATTCCCCGTTCCCCATTCAACACGACCGGTGGCTCGACTTCCTTCAGGCCACTGCAGAGATGCCCCGAGCACACTGTCCCAAGTCTAGAGGAACACCAACTTCAGCACAGCAACTCGAGGAATGCTCCGTGTACCGCAAATCGTCTCGAGATGAGAGCTGATTCCCTGGCTTAGGCTCAAGACGTATGCCAACTTTCCAGAAGCACCTCAGGAGGAGGCTTCTCTCAGCAATAGGTATGTGGGAGGGACCCCGAGTTTCCTGCCTCAAGGGGAACATACAGCGAGAAGCCCTAACTTGAACGGAGGCCGGATTTCTTTGCAGTGGCTTGAATACAGGCCCGTCTTTCATCTCACAACATGAAGGGATGTCTGAATCCCCTGTGGAGACCTTAGAGAAAGCCCTAGGTCCCTGCCTCATTTTGACGGAATGCCTCACATCCCGCTGACACCTCGAGAGGCACACGGAGTTCATTGCTTCAAAAGGTGACGATGCCTGACTCCTCTTGAATACTGATAGGAATACCAAAATCCCTGTGGCTACTGGAAAGGGTCCTTGGGTGCCCTGCCTCACCTCGAGAAGCGTCCCTTTTGCCCTGCCAAGCCTCGAAGAGATTCCTGAGGTGTCCCTCGTTACCAGACAGGAGTCCTGACGTCACTGAAGAAACTCGTGTTTTGAGGGGCCATCCCCGCCTTAAGTCGAGAACATACCCCAGGTCCCCGCCGCAACTCGAGAAAAACCATGAGACTTCCCCCTAGAGGCGAGATGAGGCCCCATTCCCCTGCAGTGCATGCAGAGCTATTCCGTGATCCCATTCAAACAAGTCAGGAGCTTCGACTTGCTTAATGGATCTCGAGACAGTCCCCAAGAACACTGTCACCAGTCTAGACGGATCCTGAGGTCACCCCAGCAGCGCAGAGCAGCTCCATGTGCCTCAAATCAACTCGAGATGAGGCCCAATTCCCCTGCATTGACTCCAGAGCCATTCCCCGTTCCCCATTCAACACGACCGGTGGCTCGACTTCCTTCAGGCCACTGTAGAGATGCCCCGAGCACACTGTCCCAAGTCTAGAGGAACACCAACTTCAGCACAGCAACTCGAGGAATGCTCCGTGTACCCCAAATCGTCTCGAGATGAGAGTTGATTCCCTGGCTTAGGCTCAAGACGTATGCCAACTTTCCAGAAGCACCTCAGGGGGAGGCTTCTCTCAGCAATAGGTATGTGGGAGGGACCCCGAGTTTGCTGCCTCAAGGGGAACATACAGCGAAAAGCCCTAACTTGAAAGGAGGACGGATTTCCTTGCAGTGGCTTGAATACAGGCCCGTCTTTCATCTCACAACATGAAGGGATGTCTGAATCCCCTGTGGAGACCTTAGAGAAAGCCCTAGGTGCCTGCCTCATTTTGACGGAATGCCTCACATCCCGCTGACACCTCGAGAGGCACACGGAGTTCATTGCTTCAAAAGTTGACGATGCCTGACTCCTCTTGAATACTGATAGGAATCCCAAAATCCCTGTGGCTACTGGAAAGGGTCCTTGGGTGCCCTGCCTCACCTCGAGAAGCGTCCCTTTTGCCCGGCCAAGCCTCGAAGAGATTCCTGAGGTGTCCCTCGTTACTAGTCAGGAGTCCTGACGTCACTGAAGAAACTCGTGTTTTGAAGGGCCATCCCCGCCGTAAGTCGAGAACATTCCCCAGGTCCCCGACGCAACTCGAGAAAAACCATGAGACTTCCCCCTAGAGGCGAGATGAGGCCCCTTTCCCCTGCAGTGCATGCAGAGCTATTCCGTGATCCCATTCAAACAAGTCAGGAGCTTCGACTTGCTTAATGGATCTCGAGACAGTCCCCAAGAACACTGTAACCAGTCTAGACGGACCCTGAGGTCACCCCAGCAGCGCAGAGCAGCTCCATGTGCCCCAAATCAACTCGAGATGAGGCCCGATTCCCCTGCATTGACTCCAGAGCCATTCCCCGTTCCCCATTCAACGCGACCGGTGGCTCGACTTCCTTCAGGCCACTGCAGAGATGCCCCGAGCACACTGTCCCAAGTCTAGAGGAACACCAACTTCAGCACAGCAACTCGAGGAATGCTCCGTGTACCCCAAATCGTCTCGAGATGAGAGCTGATTCCCTGGCTTAGGCTCAAGACGTATGCCAACTTTCCAGAAGCACCTCAGGAGGAGGCTTCTCTCAGCAATAGGTATGTGGGAGGGACCCCGAGTTTGCTGCCTCAAGGGGAATATACAGCGAGAAGCCCTAACTTGAAAGGAGGCCGGATTTCCTTGCAGTGGCTTGAATACAGGCCCGTCTTTCATCTCACAACATGAAGGGATGTCTGAATCCCCTTTGGAGACCTTAGAGAAAGCCCTAGGTGCCTGCCTCATTTTGACGGAATGCCTCACATCCCGCTGACACCTCGAGAGGCACACGGAGTTCATTGCTTCAAAAGTTGACGATGCCTGACTCCTCTTGAATACTGATAGGAATCCCAAAATCCCTGTGGCTACTGGAAAGGGTCCTTGGGTGCCCTGCCTCACCTCGAGAAGCGTCCCCTTTGCCCTGCCAAGCCTCGAAGAGATTCCTGAGGTGTCCCTCGTTACTAGTCAGGAGTCCTGACGTCACTGAAGAAACTCGTGTTTTGAAGGGCCATCCCCGCCGTAAGTCGAGAACATATCCCGGGTCCCCGCCGCAACTCGAGAAAAAACATGAGACTTCCCCCTAGAGGCGAGATGAGGCCCCATTCCCCTGCAGTGCATACAGAGCTATTCCGTGATCCCATTCAAACAAGTCAGGAGCTTCGACTTGCTTAATGGATCTCGAGACAGTCACCAAGAACACTGTCACCAGTCTAGACGGACCCTGAGGTTACCCCAGCAACGCAAAGCAGCTCCATGTGCCCGAAATCAACTCGAGATGAGGCCCGATTCCCCTGCATTGACTCCAGAGCCATTCCCCTTTCCCCATTCAACACGACCGGTGGTTCGATTTCCTTCAGGCAACTCCAGAGATGCCCCGAGAACACTGTCCCAAGTCTAGAGGAACAACAACTTCATCACAACAACTCGAGGAATGCTCCGTGTACCCCAAATCGTCTCGAGATGAGAACTGATTCCCTGGCTTAGGCTCAAGACATATGCCACCTTTCCAGAAGCACCTCAGGACGAGGCTTCTCTCAGCAATAGGTATGTGGGAAGGACCCCGAGTTTGCTGCCTCAAGGGGAATATACACCGAGAAGCCCTAACTTGAAAGGAGGCCGGATTTCCTTGCAGTGGCTTGAATACAGGCCCGACTTTCATCTCACAACATGAAGGGATGTCTGAATCCCCTGTGGAGACCTTAGAGAAAGCCCTAGGTCCCTGCCTCATTTTGACGGAATGCTTCACATCCCGCTGACACCTCGAGAGGCACGCGGAGTTCATTGCTTCAAAAGGTGACGATGCCTGACTCCTCTTGAATACTGATAGGAATCCCAAAATCCCTGTGGCTACTGGAAAGGGTCCTTGGGTGCCCTGCCTCACCTCGAGAAGCGTCCCTTTTGCCCTGCCAAGCTTCGAAGAGATTCCTAAGGTGTCCCTCGTTACTAGACAGGAGTCCTGACGTCACTGAAGAAACTCGTGTTTTGAAGGGCCATCCCCGCCGTAAGTCGAGAACATTCCCCAGGTCCCCGACGCAACTCGAGAAAAACCATGAGACTTCCCCCTAGAGGCGAGATGAGGCCCCATTACCCTGCAGTGCATGCAGAGCTATTCCGTGATCCCATTCAAACAAGTCAGGAGCTTCGACTTGCTTAATGGATCTCGAGACAGTCCCCAAGAACACTGTCACCAGTCTAGACGGACCCTGAGGTCACCCCAGCAGCGCAGAGCAGCTCCATGTGCCCCAAATCAACTCGAGATGAGGCCCGATTCCCCTGCATTGACTCCAGAGCCATTCCCCGTTCCCCATTCAACACGACCGGTGGCTCGACTTCCTTCAGGCCACTGCAGAGATGCCCCGAGCACACTGTCCCAAGTCTAGAGGAACACCAACTTCAGCACAGCAACTCGAGGAATGCTCCGTGTACCCCAAATCGTCTCGAGATGAGAGCTGATTCCCTGGCTTAGGCTCAAGACGTATGCCAACTTTCCAGAAGCACCTCAGGAGGAGGCTTCTCTCAGCAATAGGTATGTGGGAGGGACCCCGAGTTTGCTGCCTCAAGGGGAACATACAGCGAGAAGCCCTAACTTGAAAGGAGGCCGGATTTCCTTGCAGTGGCTTGAATACAGGCCCGTCTTTCATCTCACAACATGAAGGGATGTCTGAATCCCCTGTGGAGACCTTAGAGAAAGCCCTAGGTCCCTGCCTCATTTTGACGGAATGCCTCACATCCCGCTGACACCTCGAGAGGCACACGGAGTTCATTGATTCAAAAGGTGACGATGCCTGACTCCTCTTGAATACTGATAGGAAATCCCAAAATCCCTGTGGCTACTGGAAAGGGTCCTTGGGTGCCCTGCCTCACCTCGAGAAGCGTCCCTTTTGCCCTGCCAAGCCTCGAAGAGATTCCTGAGGTGTCCCTCGTTACTAGACAGGAGTCCTGACGTCACTGAAGAAACTCGTGTTTTGAAGGGCCATCCCCGCCTTAAGTCGAGGACATACACCAGGTCCCCGCCGCAACTCGAGAAAAACCATGAGACTTCCCCCTAGAGGCGAGATGAGGCCCCATTCCCCTGCAGTGCATGCAGAGCTATTCCGTGATCCCATTCAAACAAGTCAGGAGCTTCGACTTGCTTAATGGATCTCGAGACAGTCCCCAAGAACACTGTCACCAGTCTAGACGGACCCTGAGGTCACCCCAGCAGCGCAGAGCAGCTCCATGTGCCCCAAATCAACTCGAGATGAGGCCCGATTCCCCTGCATTGACTCCAGAGCCATTCCCCGTTCCCCATTCAACACGACCGGTGGCTCGACTTCCTTCAGGCCACTGCAGAGATGCCCCGAGCACACTGTCCCAAGTCTAGAGGAACAGCAACTTCAGCACAGCAACTCGAGGAATGCTCCATGTACCCCAAATCGTCTCGAGATGAGAGCTGATTCCCTGGCTTAGGCTCAAGACGTATGCCAACTTTCCAGAAGCACCTCAGGAGGAGGCTTCTCTCAGCAATAGGTATGTGGGAGGGACCCCGAGTTTGCTGCCTCAAGGGGAACATACAGCGAGAAGCCCTAACTTGAAAGGAGGCTGGATTTCCTTGCAGTGGCTTGAATACAGGCCCGTCTTTCATCTCACAACATGAAGGGATGTCTGAATCCCCTGTGGAGACCTTAGAGAAAGCCCTAGGTCCCTGCCTCATTTTGACGGAATGCCTCACATCCCGCTGACACCTCAAGAGGAACGCGGAGTTCATTGCTTCAAAACGTGACGATGCCTGACTCCTCTTGTATACTGAGAGGAAACCCAAAATCCCTGTGGCTACTGGAAAGGGTCCTTGGGTGCCCTGCCTCACCTCGAGAAGCGTCCCTTTTGCCCTGCCAAGCCTCGAAGAGATTCCTGAGGGGTCCCTCGTTACTAGACAGGAGTCCTGACGTCACTGAAGAAACTCGTGTTTTGAAGGGCCATAACCGCCATAAGTCGAGAACATACCCCAGGTCCCCGCCGCAACTCGAGAAAAATCATGAGACTTCCCCCTAGAGGCGAGATGAGGCCCCATTCCCCTGCAGTGCATGCAGAGCTATTCCGTGATCCCATTCAAACAAATCAGGAGCTTCGACTTGCTTAATGGATCTCGAGACAGTCCCCAAGAACACTGTCACCAGTCTAGACGGACCCTGAGGTCACCCCAGCAATGCAAAGCAGCTCCATATGCCCCAAATCAACTCGAGATGAGGCCCGATTCCCCTGCATTGACTCCATAGCCATTCCCCGTTCCTCATTCAACACGACCGGTGGCTCGACTTCCTTCAGGTCACTGCAGAGATGCCCCGAGAACACTGTCCCAAGTCTAGAGGAACACCAACTTCAGCACAGCAACTCGAGGAATGCTCCGTGTACCCCAAATCGTCTCGAGATGAGAGCTGATTCCCAGGCTTAGGCTCAAGACGTATGCCAACTTTCCAGAAGCACCTCAGGAGGAGGCTTCTCTCAGCAATAGGTATGTGGGAGGGACCCCGAGTTTGCTGCCTCAAGGGGAATATACAGCGAGAAGCCCTAACTTGAAAGGAGGCTGGATTTCCTTGCAGTGGCTTGAATACAGGCCCGACTTTCATCTCACAACATGAAGGGATGTCTGAATCCCCTGTGGAGACCTTAGAGAAAGCCCTAGGTCCCTGCCTCATTTTGACGGAATGCTTCACATCCCGCTGACACCTCGAGAGGCACGCGGAGTTCATTGCTTCAAAAGGTGACGATGCCTGACTCCTATTGAATACTGATAGGAATCCCAAAATCCCTGTGGCTACTGGAAAGGGTCCTTGGGTGCCCTGCCTCACCTCGAGAAGCGTCCCTTTTGCCCTGCCAAGCTTCGAAGAGATTCCTAAGGTGTCCCTCGTTACCAGACAGGAGTCCTGACGTCACTGAAGAAACTCGTGTTTTGAAGGGCCATCCCCGCCGTAAGTCGAGAACATTCCCCAGGTCCCCGACGCAACTCGAGAAAAACCATGAGACTTCCCCCTAGAGGCGAGATGAGGCCCCTTTCCCCTGCAGTGCATGCAGAGCTATTCCGTGATCTCATTCAAACAAGTCAGGAGCTTCGACTTGCTTAATGGATCTCGAGACAGTCCCCAAGAACACTGTCACCAGTCTAGACGGACCCTGAGGTCACCCCAGCAGCGCAGAGCAGCTCCATGTGCCCCAAATCAACTCGAGATGAGGCCCGATTCCCCTGCATTGACTCCAGAGCCATTCCCCGTTCCCCATTCAACACGACCGGTGGCTCGACTTCCTTCAGGCCACTGCAGAGATGCCCCGAGCACACTGTCCCAAGTCTAGAGGAACAGCAACTTCAGCACAGCAACTCGAGGAATGCTCCATGTACCCCAAATCGTCTCAAGATGAGAGCTGATTCCCTGGCTTAGGCTCAAGACGTATGCCAACTTTCCAGAAGCACCTCAGGAGGAGGCTTCTCTCAGCAATAGGTATGTGGGAGGGACCCCGAGTTTGCTGCCTCAAGGGGAACATACAGCGAGAAGCCCTAACTTGAAAGGAGGCTGGATTTCCTTGCAGTGGCTTGAATACAGGCCCGTCTTTCATCTCACAACATGAAGGGATGTCTGAATCCCCTGTGGAGACCTTAGAGAAAGCCCTAGGTCCCTGCCTCATTTTGACGGAATGCCTCACATCCCGTTGACACCTCAAGAGGAACGCGGAGTTCATTGCTTCAAAACGTGACGATGCCTGACTCCTCTTGTATACTGAGAGGAAACCCAAAATCCCTGTGGCTACTGGAAAGGGTCCTTGGGTGCCCTGCCTCACCTCGAGAAGCGTCCCTTTTGCCCTGCCAAGCCTCGAAGAGATTCCTGAGGGGTCCCTCGTTACTAGACAGGAGTCCTGACGTCACTGAAGAAACTCGTGTTTTGAAGGGCCATAACCGCCATAAGTCGAGAACATACCCCAGGTCCCCGCCGCAACTCGAGAAAAATCATGAGACTTCCCCCTAGAGGCGAGATGAGGCCCCATTCCCCTGCAGTGCATGCAGAGCTATTCCGTGATCCCATTGAAACAAATCAGGAGCTTCGACTTGCTTAATGGATCTCGAGACAGTCCCCAAGAACACTGTCACCAGTCTAGACGGACCCTGAGGTCACCCCAGCAATGCAAAGCAGCTCCATATGCCCCAAATCAACTCGAGATGAGGCCCGATTCCCCTGCATTGACTCCATAGCCATTCCCCGTTCCTCATTCAACACGACCGGTGGCTCGACTTCCTTCAGGTCACTGCAGAGATGCCCCGAGAACACTGTCCCAAGTCTAGAGGAACACCAACTTCAGCACAGCAACTCGAGGAATGCTCCGTGTACCCCAAATCGTCTCGAGATGAGAGCTGATTCCCAGGCTTAGGCTCAAGACGTATGCCAACTTTCCAGAAGCACCTCAGGAGGAGGCTTCTCTCAGCAATAGGTATGTGGGAGGGACCCCGAGTTTGCTGCCTCAAGGGGAATATACAGCGAGAAGCCCTAACTTGAAAGGAGGCTGGATTTCCTTGCAGTGGCTTGAATACAGGCCCGACTTTCATCTCACAACATGAAGGGATGTCTGAATCCCCTGTGGAGATCTTAGAGAAAGCCCTAGGTCCCTGCCTCATTTTGACGGAATGCTTCACATCCCGCTGACACCTCGAGAGGCACGCGGAGTTCATTGCTTCAAAAGGTGACGATGCCTGACTCCTCTTGAATACTGATAGGAATCCCAAAATCCCTGTGGCTACTGGAAAGGGTCCTTGGGTGCCCTGCCTCACCTCGAGAAGCGTCCCTTTTGCCCTGCCAAGCTTCGAAGAGATTCCTAAGGTGTCCCTCGTTACTAGACAGGAGTCATGACGTCACTGAAGAAACTCGTGTTTTGAAGGGCCATCCCCGCCGTAAGTCGAGAACACTCCCCAGGTCCCCGACGCAACTCGAGAAAAACCATGAGACTTCCCCCTAGAGGCGAGATGAGGCCCCTTTCCCCTGCAGTGCATGCAGAGCTATTCCGTGATCTCATTCAAACAAGTCAGGAGCTTCGACTTGCTTAATGGATCTCGAGACAGTCCCCAAGAACACTGTCACCAGTCTAGACGGACCCTGAGGTCACCCCAGCAACGCAGAGCAGCTCCATGTGCCCCAAATCAACTTGAGATGTGGCCCGATTCCCCTGCATTGACTCCAGAGCCATTCCCCGTTCCCCATTCAACACGACCGGTGGCTCGACTTCCTTCAGGCCACTGCAGAGATGCCCAGAGCACACTGTCCCAAGTCTAGAGGAACACCAACTTCAGCACAGCAACTCGAGGAATGCTCCGTGTACCGCAAATCGTCTCGAGATGAGAGCTGATTCCCTGGCTTAGGCTCAAGACGTATGCCAACTTTCCAGAAGCACCTCAGGAGGAGGATTCTCTCAGCAATAGGTATGTGGGAGGGACCCCGAGTTTCCTGCCTCAAGGGGAACATACAGCGAGAAGCCCTAACTTGAAAGGAGGCCGGATTTCTTTGCAGTGGCTTGATTACAGGCCTGTCTTTCATCTCACAACATGAAGGGATGTCTGAATCCCCTGTGGAGACCTTAGAGAAAGCCCTAGGTCCCTGCCTCATTTTGACGGAATGCCTCACATCCCGCTGACACCTCGAGAGGCACACGGAGTTCATTGCTTCAAAAGGTGACGATGCCTGACTCCTCTTGAATACTGATAGGAATACCAAAATCCCTGTGGCTACTGGAAAGGGTCCTTGGGTGCCCTGCCTCACCTCGAGAAGCGTCCCTTTTGCCCTGCCAAGCCTCGAAGAGATTCCTGAGGTGTCCCTCGTTACCAGACAGGAGTCCTGACGTCACTGAAGAAACTCGTGTTTTGAGGGGCCATCCCCGCCTTAAGTCGAGAACATACACCAGGTCCCCGCCGCAACTCGAGAAAAACCATGAGACTTCCCCCTAGAGGCGAGATGAGGCCCCATTCCCCTGCAGTGCATGCAGAGCTATTCCGTGATCCCATTCAAACAAGTCAGGAGCTTCGACTTGCTTAATGGATCTCGAGACAGTCCCCAAGAACACTGTCACCAGTCTAGACGGATCCTGAGGTCACCCCAGCAGCGCAGAGCAGCTCCATGTGCCTCAAATCAACTCGAGATGAGGCCCAATTCCCCTGCATTGACTCCAGAGCCATTCCCCGTTCCCCATTCAACACGACCGGTGGCTCGACTTCCTTCAGGCCACTGTAGAGATGCCCCGAGCACACTGTCCCAAGTCTAGAGGAACACCAACTTCAGCACAGCAACTCGAGGAATGCTCCGTGTACCCCAAATCGTCTCGAGATGAGAGTTGATTCCCTGGCTTAGGCTCAAGACGTATGCCAACTTTCCAGAAGCACCTCAGGGGGAGGCTTCTCTCAGCAATAGGTATGTGGGAGGGACCCCGAGTTTGCTGCCTCAAGGGGAACATACAGCGAAAAGCCCTAACTTGAAAGGAGGCCGGATTTCCTTGCAGTGGCTTGAATACAGGCCCGTCTTTCATCTCACAACATGAAGGGATGTCTGAATCCCCTGTGGAGACCTTAGAGAAAGCCCTAGGTGCCTGCCTCATTTTGACGGAATGCCTCACATCCCGCTGACACCTCGAGAGGCACACGGAGTTCATTGCTTCAAAAGTTGACGATGCCTGACTCCTCTTGAATACTGATAGGAATCCCAAAATCCCTGTGGCTACTGGAAAGGGTCCTTGGGTGCCCTGCCTCACCTCGAGAAGCGTCCCTTTTGCCCGGCCAAGCCTCGAAGAGATTCCTGAGGTGTCCCTCGTTACTAGTCAGGAGTCCTGACGTCACTGAAGAAACTCGTGTTTTGAAGGGCCATCCCCGCCGTAAGTCGAGAACATTCCCCAGGTCCCCGACGCAACTCGAGAAAAACCATGAGACTTCCCCCTAGAGGCGAGATGAGGCCCCTTTCCCCTGCAGTGCATGCAGTGCTATTCCGTGATCCCATTCAAACAAGTCAGGAGCTTCGACTTGCTTAATGGATCTCGAGACAGTCCCCAAGAACACTGTAACCAGTCTAGACGGACCCTGAGGTCACCCCAGCAGCGCAGAGCAGCTCCATGTGCCCCAAATCAACTCGAGATGAGGCCCGATTCCCCTGCATTGACTCCAGAGCCATTCCCCGTTCCCCATTCAACGAGACCGGTGGCTCGACTTCCTTCAGGCCACTGCAGAGATGCCCCGAGCACACTGTCCCAAGTCTAGAGGAACACCAACTTCAGCACAGCAACTCGAGGAATGCTCCGTGTACCCCAAATCGTCTCGAGATGAGAGCTGATTCCCTGGCTTAGGCTCAAGACGTATGCCAACTTTCCAGAAGCACCTCAGGAGGAGGCTTCTCTCAGCAATAGGTATGTGGGAGGGACCCCGAGTTTGCTGCCTCAAGGGGAATATACAGCGAGAAGCCCTAACTTGAAAGGAGGCCGGATTTCCTTGCAGTGGCTTGAATACAGGCCCGTCTTTCATCTCACAACATGAAGGGATGTCTGAATCCCCTTTGGAGACCTTAGAGAAAGCCCTAGGTGCCTGCCTCATTTTGACGGAATGCCTCACATCCCGCTGACACCTCGAGAGGCACACGGAGTTCATTGCTTCAAAAGGTGACGATGCCTGACTCCTCTTGAATACTGATAGGAATCCCAAAATCCCTGTGGCTACTGGAAAGGGTCCTTGGGTGCCCTGCCTCACCTCGAGAAGCGTCCCCTTTGCCCTGCCAAGCCTCGAAGAGATTCCTGAGGTGTCCCTCGTTACTAGTCAGGAGTCCTGACGTCACTGAAGAAACTCGTGTTTTGAAGGGCCATCCCCGCCGTAAGTCGAGAACATATCCCGGGTCCCCGCCGCAACTCGAGAAAAAACATGAGACTTCCCCCTAGAGGCGAGATGAGGCCCCATTCCCCTGCAGTGCATACAGAGCTATTCCGTGATCCCATTCAAACAAGTCAGGAGCTTCGACTTGCTTAATGGATCTCGAGACAGTCACCAAGAACACTGTCACCAGTCTAGACGGACCCTGAGGTTACCCCAGCAACGCAAAGCAGCTCCATGTGCCCCAAATCAACTCGAGATGAGGCCCGATTCCCCTGCATTGACTCCAGAGCCATTCCCCGTTCCCCATTCAACACGACCGGTGGTTCGATTTCCTTCAGGCAACTCCAGAGATGCCCCGAGAACACTGTCCCAAGTCTAGAGGAACAACAACTTCATCACAACAACTCGAGGAATGCTCCGTGTACCCCAAATCGTCTCGAGATGAGAGCTGATTCCCTGGCTTAGGCTCAAGACGTATGCCAACTTTCCAGAAGCACCTCAGGACGAGGCTTCTCCCAGCAATAGGTATGTGGGAGGGACCCCGAATTTGCTGCCTCAAGGGGAATATACAGCGAGAAGCCCTAACTTGAAAGGAGGCCGGATTTCCTTGCAGTGGCTTGAATACAGGCCCGTCTTTCATCTCACAACATGAAGGGATGTCTGAATCCCCTGTGGAGACCTTAGAGAAAGCCCTAGGTCCCTGCCTCATTTTGACGGAATGTCTCACATCCCGCTGACACCTCGAGAGGCACGCGGAGTTCATTGCTTCAAAAGGTGACAATGCCTGACTCCTCTTGAATACTGATAGGAATCCCAAAATCCCTGTGGCTACTGGAATGGGTCCTTGGGTGCCCTGCCTCACCTCGAGAAGCGTCCCTTTTGCCCTGCCAAGCCTCCAAGAGATTCCTGAGGTGTCCCTCGTTACTAGTCAGGAGTCCTGACGTCACTGAAGAAACTCGTGTTTTGAAGGGCCATCCCCGCCGTAAGTCGAGAACATACCCCAGGTCCCCGCCGCAACTCGAGAAGAACCATGAGACTTCCCCCTAGAGGCGAGATGAGGCCCCATTCCCATGCAGTGCATGCAGAGCTATTCCGTGATCCCATTCAAACAAGTCAGGAGCTTCTACTTGCTTAATGGATCTCGAGACAGTCCCCAAGAACACTGTCACCAGTCTAGACGGACCCTGAGGTTACCCCAGCAACGCAAAGCAGCTCCATGTGCCCCAAATCAACTCGAGATGAGGCCCGATTCCCCTGCATTGACTCCAGAGCCATTCCCCGTTCCCCATTCAACACGACCGGTGGCTCGACTTCCTTCAGGCAACTCCAGAGATGCCCCGAGAACACTGTCCCAAGTCTAGAGGAACAACAACTTCATCACAACAACTCGAGGAATGCTCCGTGTACCCCAAATCGTCTCGAGATGAGAGCTGATTCCCTGGCTTAGGCTCAAGACATTTGCCAACTTTCCAGAAGCACATCAGGACGAGGCTTCTCTCAGCAATAGGTATGTGGGAGGGACCCCGAGTTTGCTGCCTCAAGGGGAATATACAGCGAGAAGCCCTAACTTGAAAGGAGGCCGGATTTCCTTGCAGTGGCTTGAATACAGGCCCGTCTTTCATCTCACAACATGAAGGGTTGTCTGAATCCCCTGTGGAGACCTTAGAGAAAGCCCTAGGTCCCTGCCTCATTTTGACGGAATGCTTCACATCCCGCTGACACCTCGAGAGGCACGCGGAGTTCATTGCTTCAAAAGGTGACGATGCCTGACTCCTCTTGAATACTGATAGGAATCCCAAAATCCCTGTGGCTACTGGAAAGGGTCCTTGGGTGCCCTGCCTCACCTCGAGAAGCGTCCCTTTTGCCCTGCCAAGCCTCGAAGAGATTCCTGAGGTGTCCCTCGTTACTAGACAGGAGTCCTGACGTCACTGAAGAAACTCGTGTTTTGAAGGGCCATCCCCGCCTTAAGTCGAGAACATACACCAGGTCCCCGCCGCAACTCGAGAAAAACCATGAGACTTCCCCCTAGAGGCGAGATGAGGCCCCATTCCCCTGCAGTGCATGCAGAGCTATTCCGTGATCCCATTCAAACAAGTCAGGAGCTTCGACTTGCTTAATGGATCTCGAGACAGTCACCAAGAACACTGTCACCAGTCTAGACGGACCCTGAGGTCACCCCAGCAGCGCAGAGCAGCTCCATGTGCCCCAAATCAACTCGAGATGAGGCCCGATTCCCCTGCATTGACTCCAGAGCCATTCCCCGTTCCCCATTCAACACGACCGGTGGCTCGACTTCCTTCAGGCCACTGCAGAGATGCCCCGAGCACACTGTCCCAAGTCTAGAGGAACAGCAACTTCAGCACAGCAACTCGAGGAATGCTCCATGTACCCCAAATCGTCTCGAGATGAGAGCTGATTCCCTGGCTTAGGCTCAAGACGTATGCCAACTTTCCAGAAGCACCTCAGGAGGAGGCTTCTCTCAGCAATAGGTATGTGGGAGGGACCCCGAGTTTGCTGCCTCAAGGGGAACATACAGCGAGAAGCCCTAACTTGAAAGGAGGCTGGATTTCCTTGCAGTGGCTTGAATACAGGCCCGTCTTTCATCTCACAACATGAAGGGATGTCTGAATCCCCTGTGGAGACCTTAGAGAAAGCCCTAGGTCCCTGCCTCATTTTGACGGAATGCCTCACATCCCGCTGACACCTCAAGAGGAACGCGGAGTTCATTGCTTCAAAACGTGACGATGCCTGACTCCTCTTGTATACTGAGAGGAAACCCAAAATCCCTGTGGCTACTGGAAAGGGTCCTTGGGTGCCCTGCCTCACCTCGAGAAGCGTCCCTTTTGCCCTGCCAAGCCTCGAAGATATTCCTGAGGGGTCCCTCGTTACTAGACAGGAGTCCTGACGTCACTGAAGAAACTCGTGTTTTGAAGGGCCATAACCGCCATAAGTCGAGAACATACCCCAGGTCCCCGCAGCAACTCGAGAAAAACCATGAGACTTCCCCCTAGAGGCGAGATGAGGCCCCATTCCCCTGCAGTGCATGCAGAGCTATTCCGTGATCCCATTCAAACAAGTCAGGAGCTTCGACTTGCTTAATGGATCTCGAGACAGTCCCCAAGAACACTGTCTCCAGTCTAGACGGACCCTGAGGTCACCCCAGCAGCGCAGAGCAGCTCCATGTGCCCCAAATCAACTCGAGATGAGGCCCGATTCCCCTGCATTGACTCCAGTGCCATTCCCCGTTCCCCATTCAACACGACCGGTGGCTCGACTTCCTTCAGGCCACTGCAGAGATGCCCCGAGCACACTGTCCCAAGTCTAGAGGAACACCAACTTCAGCACAGCAACTCGAGGAATGCTCCGTGTACCCCAAATCGTCTCGAGATGAGAGCTGATTCCCTGGCTTAGGCTCAAGACGTATGCCAACTTTCCAGAAGCACCTCAGGAGGAGGCTTCTCTCAGCAATAGGTATGTGGGAGGGACCCCGAGTTTCCTGCCTCAAGGGGAACATACAGCGAGAAGCCCTAACTTGAAAGGAGGCCGGATTTCTTTGCAGTGGCTTGAATACAGGCCCGTCTTTCATCTCACAACATGAAGGGATGTCTGAATCCCCTGTGGAGACCTTAGAGAAAGCCCTAGGTCCCTGCCTCATTTTGACGGAATGCCTCACATCCCGCTGACACCTCGAGAGGCACACGGAGTTCATTGCTTCAAAAGGTGACGATGCCTGACTCCTCTTGAATACTGATAGGAATACCAAAATCCCTGTGGCTACTGGAAAGGGTCCTTGGGTGCCCTGCCTCACCTCGAGAAGCGTCCCTTTTGCCCTGCCAAGCCTCGAAGAGATTCCTGAGGTGTCCCTCGTTACCAGACAGGAGTCCTGACGTCACTGAAGAAACTCGTGTTTTGAGGGGCCATCCCCGCCTTAAGTCGAGAACATACACCAGGTCCCCGCCGCAACTCGAGAAAAACCATGAGACTTCCCCCTAGAGGCGAGATGAGGCCCCATTCCCCTGCAGTGCATGCAGAGCTATTCCGTGATCCCATTCAAACAAGTCAGGAGCTTCGACTTGCTTAATGGATCTCGAGACAGTCCCCAAGAACACTGTCACCAGTCTAGACGGACCCTGAGGTCACCCCAGCAGCGCAGAGCAGCTCCATGTGCCTCAAATCAACTCGAGATGAGGCCCAATTCCCCTGCATTGACTCCAGAGCCATTCCCCGTTCCCCATTCAACACGACCGGTGGCTCGACTTCCTTCAGGCCACTGTAGAGATGCCCCGAGCACACTGTCCCAAGTCTAGAGGAACACCAACTTCAGCACAGCAACTCGAGGAATGCTCCGTGTACCCCAAATCGTCTCGAGATGAGAGCTGATTCCCTGGCTTAGGCTCAAGACGTATGCCAACTTTCCAGAAGCACCTCAGGGGGAGGCTTCTCTCAGCAATAGGTATGTGGGAGGGACCCCGAGTTTGCTGCCTCAAGGGGAACATACAGCGAAAAGCCCTAACTTGAAAGGAGGCCGGATTTCCTTGCAGTGGCTTGAATACAGGCCCGTCTTTCATCTCACAACATGAAGGGATGTCTGAATCCCCTGTGGAGACCTTAGAGAAAGCCCTAGGTCCCTGCCTCATTTTGACGGAATGCCTCACATCCCGATGACACCTCGAGAGGCACGCGGAGTTCATTGCTTCAAAAGGTGACAATGCCTGACTCCTCTTGAATACTGATAGGAATCCCAAAATCCCTGTGGCTACTGGAATGGGTCCTTGGGTGCCCTGCCTCACCTCGAGAAGCGTCCCTTTTGCCCTGCCATGCCTCCAAGAGATTCCTGAGGTGTCCCTCGTTACTAGTCAGGAGTCCTGACGTCACTGAAGAAACTCGTGTTTTGAAGGGCCATCCCCGCCGTAAGTCGAGAACATACCCCAGGTCCCCGCCGCAACTCGAGAAAAACCATGAGACTTCCCCCTAGAGGCGAGATGAGGCCCCATTCCCATGCAGTGCATGCAGAGCTATTCCGTGATCCCATTCAAACAAGTCAGGAGCTTCTACTTGCTTAATGGATCTCGAGACAGTCCCCAAGAACACTGTCACCAGTCTAGACGGACCCTGAGGTTACCCCAGCAACGCAAAGCAGCTCCATGTGCCCCAAATCAACTCGAGATGAGGCCCGATTCCCCTGCATTGACTCCAGAGCCATTCCCCGTTCCCCATTCAACACGACCGGTGGCTCGACTTCCTTCAGGCAACTCCAGAGATGCCCCGAGAACACTATCCCAAGTCTAGTGGAACAACAACTTCATCACAACAACTCGAGGAATGCTCCGTGTACCCCAAATCGTCTCGAGATGAGAGCTGATTCCCTGGCTTAGGCTCAAGACATATGCCAACTTTCCAGAAGCACCTCAGGACGAGGCTTCTCTCAGCAATAGGTATGTGGGAGGGACCCCGAGTTTGCTGCCTCAAGGGGAATATACAGCGAGAAGCCCTAACTTGAAAGGAGGCCGGATTTCCTTGCAGTGGCTTGAATACAGGCCCGTCTTTCATCTCACAACATGAAGGGATGTCTGAATCCCCTGTGGAGACCTTAGAGAAAGCCCTAGGTCCCTGCCTCATTTTGACGGAATGCTTCACATCCCGCTGACACCTCGAGAGGCACGCGGAGTTCATTGCTTCAAAAGGTGACGATGCCTGACTCCTCTTGAATACTGATAGGAATCCCAAAATCCCTGTGGCTACTGGAAAGGGTCCTTGGGTGCCCTGCCTCACCTCGAGAAGCGTCCCTTTTGCCCTGCCAAGCCTCGAAGAGATTCCTAACGTGTCCCTCGTTACTAGACAGGAGTCCTGACGTCACTGAAGAAACTAGTGTTTTGAAGGGCCATCCCCACCGTAAGTCGAGAACATTCCCCAGGTCCCCGACGCAACTCGAGAAAAACCATGAGACTTCCCCCTAGAGGCGAGATGAGGCCCCATTCCCCTGCAGTGAATGCAGAGCTATTCCGTGATCTCATTCAAACAAGTCAGGAGCTTCGACTTGCTTAATGGATCTCGAGACAGTCCCCAAGAACACTGTCACCAGTCTAGACGGACCCTGAGGTCACCCCAGCAGCGCAGAGCAGCTCCATGTGCCCCAAATCAACTCGAGATGAGGCCCGATTCCCCTGCATTGACTCCAGAGCCATTCCCCGTTCCCCATTCAACACGACCGGTGGCTCGACTTCCTTCAGGCCACTGCAGAGATGCCCCGAGCACACTGTCCCAAGTCTAGAGGAACACCAACTTCAGCACAGCAACTCGAGGAATGCTCCGTGTACCCCAAATCGTCTCGAGATGAGAGCTGATTCCCTGGCTTAGGCTCAAGACGTATGCCAAATTTCCAGAAGCACCTCAGGAGGAGGCTTCTCTCAGCAATAGGTATGTGGGAGGGACCCCGAGTTTGCTGCCTCAAGGGGAACATACAGCGAGAAGCCCTAACTTGAAAGGAGGCCGGATTTCTTTGCAGTGGCTTGAATACAGGCCAGTCTTTCATCTCACAACATGAAGGGATGTCTGAATCCCCTGTGGAGACCTTAGAGAAAGCCCTAGGTCCCTGCCTCATTTTGACGGAATGCCTCACATCCCGCTGACACCTCGAGAGGCACACGGAGTTCATTGCTTCAAAAGGTGACGATGCCTGACTCCTCTTGAATACTGATAGGAATACCAAAATCCCTCTGGCTACTGGAAAGGGTCCTTGGGTGCCCTGCCTCACCTCGAGAAGCGTCCCTTTTGCCCTGCCAAGCCTCGAAGAGATTCCTGAGGTGTCCCTCGTTACTAGTCAGTAGTCCTGATGTCACTGAAGAAACTCGTGTTTTGAAGGGCCATCCCCGCCGTAAGTCGAGAACATACCCCAGGTCCCCACCGCAACTCGAGAAAAACCATGAGACTTCCCTCTAGAGGCGAGATGAGGCCCCATTCCCCTGCAGTGCATGCAGAGCTACTCGGTGATCCCATTCAAACAAGTCAGGAGCTTCGACTTGCTTAATGGATCTCGAGACAGTCCCCAAGAACACTGTCACCAGTCTAGACGGACCCTGAGGTCACCCCAGCAACGCAAAGCAGCTCTATGTGCCCCAAATCAACTCGAGATGAGGCCCGATTCCCCTGCATTGACTCCAGAGCCATTCCCCGTTCCCCATTCAACACGACCGGTGGCTCGACTTCCTTCAGGCCACTCCAGAGATGCCCCGAGAACACTGTCCCAAGTCTAGAGGAACACCAACTTCAGCACAGCAACTCGAGGAATGCTCCGTGTACCCCAAATCCCATCGAGATGAGAGCTGATTCCCTGGCTTAGGCTCAAGACGTATGCCAACTTTCCAGAAGCACCTCAGGGGGAGGCTTCTCTCAGCAATAGGTATGTGGGAGGAACCCCGAGTTTGCTACCTCAAGGGGAATATACAGCGAGAAGCCCTAACTTGAAAGGAGGCCGGATTTCCTTGCAGTGGCTTGAATACAGGCCCGTCTTTCATCTCACAACATGAAGGGATGTCTGAATCCCCTGTGGAGACCTTAGAGAAAGCCCTAGGTCCCTGCCTCATTTTGACGGAATGCCTCACATCCCGCTGACACCTCGAGAGGCACGCGGAGTTCATTGCTTCAAAAGGTGACGATGCCTGACTCCTCTTGAATACTGATAGGAATACCAAAATCCCTGTGGCTACTGGAAAGGGTCCTTGGGTGCCCTGCCTCACCTCGAGAAGCGTCCCTTTTGCCCTGCCAAGCCTCGAAGAGATTCCTGAGGGGTCCCTCATTACTAGACAGGAGTCCTGACGTCACTGAAGAAACTCGTGTTTTGAAGGGCCATCCCCGCCGTAAGTCGAGAACATACCCCAGGTCCCCGCCGCAACTCGAGAAAAATCATGAGACTTCCCCCTAGAGGCGAGATGAGGCCCCATTCCCCTGCAGTGCATGCAGAGCTATTCCGTGATCCCATTGAAACAAATCAGGAGTTTCGACTTGCTTAATGGATCTCGAGACAGTCCCCAAGAATACTGTCACCAGTCTAGACGGACCCTGAGGTCACCCCAGCAATGCAAAGCAGCTCCATATGCCCCAAATCAACTCGAGATGAGGCCCGATTCCCCTGCATTGACTCCAGAGCCATTCCCCGTTCCCCATTCAACACGACCGGTGGCTCGACTTCCTTCAGGTCACTGCAGAGATGCCCCGAGAACACTGTCCCAAGTCTAGAGGAACACCAACTTCAGCACAGCAACTCGAGGAATGCTCCGTGTACCCCAAATCGTCTCCAGATGAGAGCTGATTCCCTGGCTTAGGCTCAAGACATATGCCACCTTTCCAGAAGCACCTCAGGACGAGGCTTCTCTCAGCAATAGGTATGTGGGAAGGACCCCGAGATTGCTGCCTCAAGGGGAATATACACCGAGAAGCCCTAACTTGAAAGGAGGCCGGATTTCCTTGCAGTGGCTTGAATACAGGCCCGACTTTCATCTCACAACATGAAGGGATGTCTGAATCCCCTGTGGAGACCTTAGAGAAAGCCCTAGGTCCCTGCCTCATTTTGACGGAATGCTTCACATCCCGCTGACACCTCGAGAGGCACGCGGAGTTCATTGCTTCAAAAGGTGACGATGCCTGACTCCTCTTGAATACTGATAGGAATCCCAAAATCCCTGTGGCTACTGGAAAGGGTCCTTGGGTGCCCTGCCTCACCTCGAGAAGCGTCCCTTTTGCCCTGCCAAGCCTCGAAGAGATTCCTAAGGTGTCCCTCGTTACTAGACAGGATTCCTGACGTCACTGAAGAAACTCGTGTTTTGAAGGGCCATCCCCGCCGTAAGTCGAGAACATTCCCCAGGTCCCCGACGCAACTCGAGAAAAACCATGAGACTTCCCCCTAGAGGCGAGATGAGGCCCCATTACACTGCAGTGCATGCAGAGCTATTCCGTGATCCCATTCAAACAAGTCAGGAGCTTCGACTTGCTTAATGGATCTCGAGACAGTCCCCAAGAACACTGTCACCAGTCTAGACGGACCCTGAGGTCACCCCAGCAGCGCAGAGCAGCTCCATGTGCCCCAAATCAACTCGAGATGAGGCCCGATTCCCCTGCATTGACTCCAGAGCCATTCCCCGTTCCCCATTCAACACGACCGGTTGCTCGACTTCCTTCAGGCCACTGCAGAGATGCCCCGAGCACACTGTCCCAAGTCTAGAGGAACACCAACTTCAGCACAGCAACTCGAGGAATGCTCCGTGTACCCCAAATCGTCTGGAGATGAGAGCTGATTCCCTGGCTTAGGCTCAAGACGTATGCCAACTTTCCAGAAGCACCTCAGGAGGAGGCTTCTCTCAGCAATAGGTATGTGGGAGGGACCCCGAGTTTGCTGCCTCAAGGGGAACATACAGCGAGAATCCCTAACTTGAAAGAAGGCCGTATTTCCTTGCAGTGGCTTGAATACAGGCCCGTCTTTCATCTCACAACATGAAGGGATGTCTGAATCCCCTGTGGAGACCTTAGAGAAAGCCCTAGGTCCCTGCCTCATTTTGACGGAATGCCTCACATCCCGATGACACCTCGAGAGGCACGCGGAGTTCATTGCTTCAAAAGGTGACAATGCCTGACTCCTCTTGAATACTGATAGGAATCCCAAAATCCCTGTGGCTACTGGAATGGGTCCTTGGGTGCCCTGCCTCACCTCGAGAAGCGTCCCTTTTGCCCTGCCAAGCCTCCAAGAGATTCCTGAGGTGTCCCTCGTTACTAGTCAGGAGTCCTGACGTCACTGAAGAAACTCGTGTTTTGAAGGGCCATCCCCGCCGTAAGTCGAGAACATACCCCAGGTCCCCGCCGCAACTCGAGAAGAACCATGAGACTTCCCCCTAGAGGCGAGATGAGGCCCCTTTCCCCTGCAGTGCATGCAGAGCTATTCCGTGATCCCATTCAAACAAGTCAGGAGCTTCTACTTGCTTAATGGATCTCGAGACAGTCCCCAAGAACACTGTCACCAGTCTAGACGGACCCTGAGGTTACCCCAGCAACGCAAAGCAGCTCCATGTGCCCCAAATCAACTCGAGATGAGGCCCGATTCCCCTGCATTGACTCCAGAGCCATTCCCCGTTCCCCATTCAACACGACCGGTGGCTCGACTTCCTTCAGGCAACTCCAGAGATGCCCCGAGAACACTGTCCCAAGTCTAGAGGAACAACAACTTCATCACAACAACTCGAGGAATGCTCCGTGTACCCCAAATCGTCTCGAGATGAGAGCTGATTCCCTGGCTTAGGCTCAAGACATATGCCAACTTTCCAGAAGCACCTCAGGACGAGGCTTCTCTCAGCAATAGGTATGTGGGAGGGACCCCGAGTTTGCTGCCTCAAGGGGAATATACAGCGAGAAGCCCTAACTTGAAAGGAGGCCGGATTTCCTTGCAGTGGCTTGAATACAGGCCCGTCTTTCATCTCACAACATGAAGGGATGCCTGAATCCCCTGTGGAGACCTTAGAGAAAGCCCTAGGTCCCTGCCTCATTTTGACGGAATGCTTCACATCCCGCTGACACCTCGAGAGGCACGCGGAGTTCATTGCTTCAAAAGGTGACGATGCCTGACTCCTCTTGAATACTGATAGGAATCCCAAAATCCCTGTGGCTACTGGAAAGGGTCCTTGGGTGCCCTGCCTCACCTCGAGAAGCGTCCCTTTTGCCCTGCCAAGCCTCGAAGAGATTCCTGAGGTGTCCCTCGTTACTAGACAGGAGTCCTGACGTCACTGAAGAAACTCGTGTTTTGAAGGGCCATCCCCGCCGTAAGTCGAGAACATACACCAGGTCCCCGCCGCAACTCGAGAAAAACCATGAGACTTCCCCCTAGAGGCGAGATGAGGCCCCATTCCCCTGCAGTGCATGCAGAGCTATTCCGTGATCCCATTCAAACAAGTCAGGAGCTTCGACTTGCTTAATGGATCTCGAGACAGTCCCCAAGAACACTGTCACCAGTCTAGACGGACCCTGAGGTCACCCCAGCAGCGCAGAGCAGCTCCATGTGCCCCAAATCAACTCGAGATGAGGCCCGATTCCCCTGCATTGACTCCAGAGCCATTCCCCGTTCCCCATTCAACACGACCGGTGGCTCGACTTCCTTCAGGCCACTGCAGAGATGCCCCGAGCACACTGTCCCAAGTCTAGAGGAACACCAACTTCAGCACAGCAACTCGAGGAATGCTCCGTGTACCCCAAATCGTCTCGAGATGAGAGCTGATTCCCTGGCTTAGGCTCAAAACATATGCCAACTTTCCAGAAGCACCTCAGGACGAGGCTTCTCTCAGCAATAGGTATGTGGGAGGGACCCCGAGTTTGCTGCCTCAAGGGGAATATACAGCGAGAAGCCCTAACTTGAAAGGAGGCCGGATTTCCTTGCAGTGGCTTGAATACAGGCCCGTCTTTCATCTCACAACATGAAGGGATGTCTGAATCCCCTGTGGAGACCTTAGAGAAAGCCCTAGGTCCCTGCCTCATTTTGACGGAATGCTTCACATCCCGCTGACACCTCGAGAGGCACGCGGAGTTCATTGCTTCAAAAGGTGACGATGCCTGACTCCTCTTGAATACTGATAGGAATCCCAAAATCCCTGTGGCTACTGGAAAGGGTCCTTGGGTGCCCTGCCTCACCTCGAGAAGCGTCCCTTTTGCCCTGCCAAGCCTCGAAGAGATTCCTAACGTGTCCCTCGTTACTAGACAGGAGTCCTGACGTCACTGAAGAAACTAGTGTTTTGAAGGGCCATCCCCGCCGTAAGTCGAGAACATTCCCCAGGTCCCCGACGCAACTCGAGAAAAACCATGAGACTTCCCCTAGAGGCGAGATGAGGCCCCATTCCCCTGCAGTGCATGCAGAGCTATTCCGTGATCTCATTCAAACAAGTCAGGAGCTTCGACTTGCTTAATGGATCTCGAGACAGTCCCCAAGAACACTGTCACCAGTCTAGACGGACCCTGAGGTCACCCCAGCAGCGCAGAGCAGCTCCATGTGCCCCAAATCAACTCGAGATGAGGCCCGATTCCCCTGCATTGACTCCAGAGCCATTCCCTGTTCCCCATTCAACACGACCGGTGGCTCGACTTCCTTCAGGCCACTCAAGAGATGCCCCGAGCACACTGTCCCAAGTCTAGAGGAACACCAACTTCAGCACAGCAACTCGAGGAATGCTCCGTGTACCCCAAATCGTCTCGAGATGAGAGCTGATTCCCTGGCTTAGGCTCAAGACGTATGCCAACTTTCCAGAAGCACCTCAGGAGGAGGCTTCTCTCAGCAATAGGTATGTGGGAGGGACCCCGAGTTTCCTGCCTCAAGGGGAACATACAGCGAGAAGCCCTAACTTGAAAGGAGGCCGGATTTCTTTGCAGTGGCTTGAATACAGGCCAGTCTTTCATCTCACAACATGAAGGGATGTCTGAATCCCCTGTGGAGACCTTAGAGAAAGCCCTAGGTCCCTGCCTCATTTTGACGGAATGCCTCACATCCCGCTGACACCTCGAGAGGCAACGGAGTTCATTGCTTCAAAAGGTGACGATGCCTGACTCCTCTTCAATACTGATAGGAATACCAAAATCCCTGTGGCTACTGGAAAGGGTCCTTGGGTGCCCTGCCTCACCTCGAGAAGCGTACCTTTTGCCCTGCCAAGCCTCGAAGAGATTCCTGAGGTGTCCCTCGTTACTAGTCAGGAGTCCTGACGTCACTGAAGAAACTCGTGTTTTGAAGGGCCATCCCCGCCGTAAGTCGAGAACATACCCCAGGTCCCCACCGCAACTCGAGAAAAACCATGAGACTTCCCTCTAGAGGCGAGATGAGGCCCCATTCCCCTGCAGTGCATGCAGAGCTACTCGGTGATCCCATTCAAACAAGTCAGGAGCTTCGACTTGCTTAATGGATCTCGAGACAGTCCCCAAGAACACTGTCACCAGTCTAGACGGACCCTGAGGTCACCCCAGCAACGCAAAGCAGCTCTATGTGCCCCAAATCAACTCGAGATGAGGCCCGATTCCCCTGCATTGACTCCAGAGCCATTCCCCGTTCCCCATTCAACACGACCGGTGGCTCGACTTCCTTCAGGCCACTCCAGAGATGCCCCGAGAACACTGTCCCAAGTCTAGAGGAACACCAACTTCAGCACAGCAACTCGAGGAATGCTCCGTGTACCCCAAATCGCATCGAGATGAGAGCTGATTCCCTGGCTTAGGCTCAAGACGTATGCCAACTTTCCAGAAGCACCTCAGGAGGAGGCTTCTCTCAGCAATAGGTATGTGGGAGGGACCCCGAGTTTGCTACCTCAAGGGGAATATACAGCGAGAAGCCCTAACTTGAAAGGAGGCCGGATTTCCTTGCAGTGGCTTGAATACAGGCCCGTCTTTCATCTCACAACATGAAGGGATGTCTGAATCCCCTGTGGAGACCTTAGAGAAAGCCCTAGGTCCCTGCCTCATTTTGACGGAATGCCTCACATCCCGCTGACACCTCAAGAGGCACGCGGAGTTCATTGCTTCAAAAGGTGACGATGCCTGACTCCTCTTGAATACTGAGAGGAATCCCAAAATCCCTGTGGCTACTGGAAAGGGTCCTTGGGTGCCCTGCCTCACCTCGAGAAGCGTCCCTTTTGCCCTGCCAAGCCTCGAAGAGATTCCTGAGGGGTTCCTCATTACTAGACAGGAGTCCTGACGTCACTGAAGAAACTCGTGTTTTGAAGGGCCATCCCCGCCGTAAGTCGAGAACATACCCCAGGTCCCCGCCGCAACTCGAGAAAAATCATGAGACTTCCCCCTAGAGGCGAGATGAGGCCCCATTCCCCTGCAGTGCATGCAGAGCTATTCCGTGATCCCATTGAAACAAATCAGGAGCTTCGACTTGCTTAATGGATCTCGAGACAGTCCCCAAGAACACTGTCACCAGTCTAGACGGACCCTGAGGTCACCCCAGCAATGCAAAGCAGCTCCATATGCCCCAAATCAACTCGAGATGAGGCCCGATTCCCCTGCATTGACTCCAGAGCCATTCCCCGTTCCCCATTCAACACGACCGGTGGCTCGACTTCCTTCAGGTCATTGCAGAGATGCCCCGAGAACACTGTCCCAAGTCTAGAGGAACACCAACTTCAGCACAGCAACTCGAGGAATGCTCCGTGTACCCCAAATCGTCTCGAGATGAGAGCTGATTCCCTGGCTTAGGCTCAAGACGTATGCCAACTTTCCAGAAGCACCTCAGGAGGAGGCTTCTCTCAGCAATAGGTATGTGGGAGGGACCCCGAGTTTGCTGCCTCAAGGGGAATATACAGCGAGAAGCCCTAACTTGAAAGGAGGCCGGATTTCCTTGCAGTGGCTTGAATACAGGCCCGTCTTTCATCTCACAACATGAAGGGATGTCTGAATCCCCTTGGAGAAATTAGAGAAAGCCCTAGGTCCCTGCCTCATTTTGACGGAATGCCTCACATCCCGCTGACACCTCGAGAGGCACGCGGAGTTCATTGCTTCAAAAGGTGACGATGCCTGACTCCTCTTGAATACTGGTAGGAATACCAAAATCCCTGTGGCTACTGGAAAGGGTCCTTGGGTGCCCTGCCTCACCTCGAGAAGCGTCCCTTTTGCCCTGCCAAGCCTCGAAGAGATTCCTGAGGTGTCCCTCGTTACTAGACAGGAGTCCTGATGTCACTGAAGAAACTCGTGTTTTGAAGGGCCATCCCCGCCTTAAGTCGAGAACATACACCAGGTCCCCGCCGCAACTCGAGAAAAACCATGAGACTTCCCCCTAGAGGCGAGATGAGGCCCCATTCCCCTGCAGTGCATGCAGAGCTATTCCGTGATCCCATTCAAACAAGTCAGGAGCTTCGACTTGCTTAATGGATCTCGAGACAGTCCCCAAGAACACTGTCACCAGTCTAGACGGACCCTGAGGTCACCGCAGCAGCGCAGAGCAGCTCCATGTGCCCCAAATCAACTCGAGATGAGGCCCGATTCCCCTGCATTGACTCCAGAGCCATTCCCCGTTCCCCATTCAACACGACCGGTGGCTCGACTTCCTTCAGGCCACTGCAGAGATGCCCCGAGCACACTGTCCCAAGTCTAGAGGAACACCAACTTCAGCACAGCAACTCGAGGAATGCTCCGTGTACCCCAAATCGTCTCGAGATGAGAGCTGATTCCCTGGCTTAGGCTCAAGACGTATGCCAACTTTCCAGAAGCACCTCAGGAGGAGGCTTCTCTCAGCAATAGTTATGTGGGAGGGACCCCGAGTTTGCTGCCTCAAGGGGAACATACAGCGAGAAGCCCTAACTTGAAAGGAGGCTGGATTTCCTTGCAGTGGCTTGAATACAGGCCCGTCTTTCATCTCACAACATGAAGGGATGTCTGAATCCCCTGTGGAGACCTTAGAGAAAGCCCTAGGTCCCTGCCTCATTTTGACGGAATGCCTCACATCCCGCTGACACCTCAAGAGGAACGCGGAGTTCTTTGCTTCAAAACGTGACGATGCCTGACTCCTCTTGAATACTGAGAGGAAACCCAAAATCCCTGTGGCTACTGGAAAGGGTCCTTGGGTGCCCTGCCTCACCTCGAGAAGCGTCCCTTTTGCCCTGCCAAGCCTCGAAGAGATTCCTGAGGGGTCCCTCGTTACTAGACAGGAGTCCTGACGTCACTGAAGAAACTCGTGTTTTGAAGGGCCATCCCCGCCATAAGTCGAGAACATACCCCAGGTCCCCGCCGCAACTCGAGAAAAATCATGAGACTTCCCCCTAGAGGCGAGATGAGGCCCCATTCCCCTGCAGTGCATGCAGAGCTATTCCGTGATCCCATTGAAACAAATCAGGAGCTTCGACTTGCTTAATGGATCTCGAGACAGTCCCCAAGAACACTGTCACCAGTCTAGACGGACCCTGAGGTCACCCCAGCAATGCAAAGCAGCTCCATATGCCCCAAATCAACTCGAGATGAGGCCCGATTCCCCTGCATTGACTCCAGAGCCATTCCCCGTTCCCCATTCAACACGACCGGTGGCTCGACTTCCTTCAGGTCACTGCAGAGATGCCCCGAGAACACTGTCCCAAGTCTAGAGGAACACCAACTTCAGCACAGCAACTCGAGGAATGCTCCGTGTACCCCAAATCGTCTCGAGATGAGAGCTGATTCCCTGGCTTAGGCTCAAGACGTATGCCAACTTTCCAGAAGCACCTCAGGAGGAGGCTTCTCTCAGCAATAGGTATGTGGGAGGGACCCCGAGTTTGCTGCCTCAAGGGGAATATACAGCGAGAAGCCCTAACTTGAAAGGAGGCCGGATTTCCTTGCAGTGGCTTGAATACAGGCCCGTCTTTCATCTCACAACATGAAGGGATGTCTGAATCCCCTGTGGAGACCTTAGAGAAAGCCCTAGGTGCCTGCCTCATTTTGACGGAATGCCTCACATCCCGCTGACACCTCGAGAGGCACACGGAGTTCATTGCTTCAAAAGTTGACGATGCCTGACTCCTCTTGAATACTGATAGGAATCCCAAAATCCCTGTGGCTACTGGAAAGGGTCCTTGGGTGCCCTGCCTCACCTCGAGAAGCGTCCCTTTTGCCCTGCCAAGCCTCGAAGAGATTCCTGAGGTGTCCCTCGTTACTAGTCAGGAGTCCTGACGTCACTGAAGAAACTCGTGTTTTTAAGAGCCATCCCCGCCGTAAGTCGAGAACATACCCCATGTCCCCGCCGCAACTCGAGAAAAATCATGAGACTTCCCCCTAGAGGCGAGATGAGGCCCCATTCCCCTGCAGTGCATACAGAGCTATTCCGTGATCCCATTCAAACAAGTCAGGAGCTTCGACTTGCTTAATGGATCTCGAGACAGTCCCCAAGAACACTGTCACCAGTCTAGACGGACCCTGAGGTTACCCAGCAACGCAAAGCAGATCCATGTGCCCCAAATCAACTCGAGATGAGGCCCGATTCCCCTGCATTGACTCCAGAGCCATTCCCCGTTCCCCATTCAACACGACCGGTGGCTCGACTTCCTTCAGGCAACTCCAGAGATGCCCCGAGAACACTGTCCCAAGTCTAGAGGAGCAACAACTTCAGCACAACAACTCGAGGAATGCTCCGTGTACCCCAAATCGTCTCGAGATGAGAGCTGATTCCCTGGCTTAGGCTCAAGACATATGCCAACTTTCCAGAAGCACCTCAGGACGAGGCTTCTCTCAGCAATAGGTATGTGGGAGGGACCCCGAGTTTGCTGCCTCAAGGGGAATATACAGCGAGAAGCCCTAACTTGAAAGGAGGCCGGATTTCCTTGCAGTGGCTTGAATACAGGCCCGTCTTTCATGTCACAACATGAAGGGATGTCTGAATCATCTGTGGAGACCTTAGAGAAAGCCCTAGGTCCCTGCCTCATTTTGACGGAATGCTTCACATCCCGCTGACACCTCGAGAGGCACGCGGAGTTCATTGCTTCAAAAGGTGACGATGCCTGACTCCTCTTGAATACTGATAGGAATCCCAAAATCCCTGTGGCTACTGGAAAGGGTCCTTGGGTGCCCTGCCTCACCTCGAGAAGCGTCCCTTTTGCCCTGCCAAGCCTCGAAGAGATTCCTAAGGTGTCCCTCTTTACTAGACAGGAGTCCTGACGTCACTGAAGAAACTAGTGTTTTGAAGCACCATCCCCGCCGTAAGTCGAGAACATTCCCCAGGTCCCCGACGCAACTCGAGAAAAACCATGAGACTTCCCCCTAGAGGCGAGATGAGGCCCCATTCCCCTGCAGTGCATGCAGAGCTATTCCGTGATCCCATTCAAACAAGTCAGGAGCTTCGACTTGCTTAATGGATCTCGAGACAGTCCCCAAGAACACTGTCACCAGTCTAGACGGACCCTGAGGTCACCCCAGCAGCGCAGAGCAGCTCCATGTGCCCCAAATCAACTTGAGATGAGGCCCGATTCCCCTGCATTGACTCCAGAGCCATTCCCCGTTCCCCATTCAACACGACCGGTGGCTCGACTTCCTTCAGGCCACTGCAGAGATGCCCCGAGCACACTGTCCCAAGTCTAGAGGAACACCAACTTCAGCACAGCAACTCGAGGAATGCTCCGTGTACCCCAAATCGCATCGAGATGAGAGCTGATTCCCTGGCTTAGGCTCAAGACGTATGCCAACTTTCCAGAAGCACCTCAGGACGAGGCTTCTCTCAGCAATAGGTATGTGGGAGGGACCCCGAGTTTGCTGCCTCAAGGGGAATATACAGCGAGAAGTCCTAACTTGAAAGGAGGCCGGATTTCCTTGCAGTGGCTTGAATACAGGCCCGTCTTTCATCTCACAACATGAAGGGATGTCTGAATCCCCTGTGGAGACCTTAGAGAAAGCCCTAGGTCCCTGCCTCATTTTGACGGAATGCCTCACATCCCGCTGACACCTCGATAGGCACGCGGAGTTCATTGCTTCAAAAGGTGACAATGCCTGACTCCTCTTGAATACTGATAGGAATCCCAAAATCCCTGTGGCTTCTGGAAAGGGTTCTTGGGTGCCCTGCCTCACCTCGAGAAGCGTCCCTTTTGCCCTGCCAAGCCTCGAAGAGATTCCTGAGGTGTCCCTCGTTACTAGTCAGGAGTCCTGACGTCACTGAAGAAACTCGTGTTTTGAAGGGCCATCCCCGACGTAAGTCGAGAACATATCCCAGGTCCCCGCCGCAACTCGAGAAAAATCATGAGACTTCCCCCTAGAGGCGAGATGAGGCCCCATTCCCCTGCAGTGCATGCAGAGCTATTCCGTGATCCCATTCAAACAAATCAGGAGCTTCGACTTGCTTAATGGATCTCGAGACAGTCCCCAAGAACACTGTCACCAGTCTAGACGGACCCTGAGGTCACCCCAGCAATGCAAAGCAGCTCCATGTGCCCCAAATCAACTCGAGATGAGGCCCGATTCCCCTGCATTGACTCCAGAGCCATTCCCCATTCCCCATTCAACACGACCGGTGGCTCGACTTCCTTCAGGCCACTGCAGAGATGCCCCGAGCACACTGTCCCAAGTCTAGAGGAACACCAACTTCAGCACAGCAACTCGAGGAATGCTCCGTGTACCCCAAATCGTCTCGAGATGAGAGCTGATTCCCTGGCTTAGGCTCAAGACGTATGCCAACTTTCCAGAAGCACCTCAGGAGGAGGCTTCTCTCAGCAATAGGTATGTGGGAGGGACCCCGAGTTTGCTGCCTCAAGGGGAATATACAGCGAGAAGCCCTAACTTGAAAGGAGGCCGGATTTCCTTGCAGTGGCTTGAATACAGGCCCGTCTTTCATCTCACAACATGAAGGGATGTCTGAATCCCCTTTGGAGACCTTAGAGAAAGCCATAGGTGCCTGCCTCATTTTGACGGAATGCCTCACATCCCGCTGACACCTCGAGAGGCACACGGAGTTCATTGCTTCAAAAGTTGACGATGCCTGACTCCTCTTGAATACTGATAGGAATCCCAAAATCCCTGTGGCTACTGGAAAGGGTCCTTGGGTGCCCTGCCTCACCTCGAGAAGCGTCCCCTTTGCCCTGCCAAGCCTCGAAGAGATTCCTGAGGTGTCCCTCGTTACTAGTCAGGAGTCCTGACGTCACTGAAGAAACTCGTGTTTTGAAGGGCCATCCCCGCCGTAAGTCGAGAACATATCCCGGGTCCCCGCCGCAACTCGAGAAAAAACATGAGACTTCCCCCTAGAGGCGAGATGAGGCCCCATTCCCCTGCAGTGCATACAGAGCTATTCCGTGATCCCATTCAAACAAGTCAGGAGCTTCGACTTGCTTAATGGTTCTCGAGACAGTCCCCAAGAACACTGTCACCAGTCTAGACGGACCCTGAGGTTACCCCAGCAACGCAAAGCAGCTCCATGTGCCCGAAATCAACTCGAGATGAGGCCCGATTCCCCTGCATTGACTCCAGAGCCATTCCCCGTTCCCCATTCAACACGACCGGTGGTTCGACTTCCTTCAGGCAACTCCAGAGATGCCCCGAGAACACTGTCCCAAGTCTAGAGGAACAACAACTTCAGGACAACAACTCGAGGAATGCTCCGTGTACCCCAAATCGTCTCGAGATGAGAGCTGATTCCCTGGCTTAGGCTCAAGACATATGCCACCTTTCCAGAAGCACCTCAGGACGAGGCTTCTCTCAGCAATAGGTATGTGGGAAGGACCCCGAGTTTGCTGCCTCAAGGGGAATATACACCGAGAAGCCCTAACTTGAAAGGAGGCCGGATTTCCTTGCAGTGGCTTGAATACAGGCCCGACTTTCATCTCACAACATGAAGGGATGTCTGAATCCCCTGTGGAGACCTTAGAGAAAGCCCTAGGTCCCTGCCTCATTTTGACGGAATGCTTCACATCCCGCTGACACCTCGAGAGGCACGCGGAGTTCATTGCTTCAAAAGGTGACGATGCCTGACTCCTCTTGAATACAGATAGGAATCCCAAAATCCCTGTGGCTACTGGAAAGGGTCCTTGGGTGCCCTGCCTCACCTCGAGAAGCGTCCCTTTTGCCCTGCCAAGCCTCGAAGAGATTCCTAAGGTGTCCCTCGTTACTAGACAGGAGTCCTGACGTCACTGAAGAAACTCGTGTTTTGAAGGGCCATCCCCGCCGTAAGTCGAGAACATTCCCCAGGTGCCCGACGCAACTCGAGAAAAACCATGAGACTTCCCCCTAGAGGCGAGATGAGGCCCCATTGCCTGCAGTGCATGCAGAGCTATTCCGTGATCCCATTCAAACAAGTCAGGAGCTTCGACTTGCTTAATGGATCTCGAGACAGTCCCCAAGAACACTGTCACCAGTCTAGACGGACCCTGAGGTCACCCCAGCAGCGCAGAGCAGCTCCATGTGCCCCAAATCAACTCGAGATGAGGCCCGATTCCCCTGCATTGACTCCAGAGCCATTCCCCGTTCCCCATTCAACACGACCGGTGGCTCGACTTCCTTCAGGCCACTCAAGAGATGCCCCGAGCACACTGTCCCAAGTCTAGAGGAACACCAACTTCAGCACAGCAACTCGAGGAATGCTCCGTGTACCCCAAATCGTCTGGAGATGAGAGCTGATTCCCTGGCTTAGGCTCAAGACGTATGCCAACTTTCCAGAAGCACCTCAGGAGGAGGCTTCTCTCAGCAATAGGTATGTGGGAGGGACCCCGAGTTTGCTGCCTCAAGGGGAACATACAGCGAGAATCCCTAACTTGAAAGAAGGCCGTATTTCCTTGCAGTGGCTTGAATACAGGCCCGTCTTTCATCTCACAACATGAAGGGATGTCTGAATCCCCTGTGGAGACCTTAGAGAAAGCCCTAGGTCCCTGCCTCATTTTGACGGAATGCCTCACATCCCGATGACACCTCGAGAGGCACGCGGAGTTCATTGCTTCAAAAGGTGACAATGCCTGACTCCTCTTGAATACTGATAGGAATCCCAAAATCCCTGTGGCTACTGGAATGGGTCCTTGGGTGCCCTGCCTCACCTCGAGAAGCGTCCCTTTTGCCCTGCCAAGCCTCGAAGAGATTCCTGAGGTGTCCCTCGTTACTAGTCAGGAGTCCTGACGTCACTGAAGAAACTCGTGTTTTGAAGGGCCATCCCCGCCGTAAGTCGAGAACATACCCCAGGTCCCCGCCGCAACTCGAGAAGAACCATGAGACTTCCCCCTAGAGGCGAGATGAGGCCCCATTCCCATGCAGTGCATGCAGAGCTATTCCGTGATCCCATTCAAACAAGTCAGGAGCTTCTACTTGCTTAATGGATCTCGAGACAGTCCCCAAGATCACTGTCACCAGTCTAGACGGAACCTGAGGTCACCCCAGCAGCGCAGAGCAGCTCCATGTGCCCCAAATCAACTCGAGATGAGGCCCGATTCCCCTGCATTGACTCCAGAGCCATTCCCCGTTCCCCATTCAACACGACCGGTGGCTCGACTTCCTTCAGGCCACTGCAGAGATGCCCCGAGCACACTGTCCCAAGTCTAGAGGAACACCAACTTCAGCACAGCAACTCGAGGAATGCTCCGTGTACCCCAAATCGTCTCGAGATGAGAGCTGATTCCCTGGCTTAGGCTCAAGACGTATGCCAACTTTCCAGAAGCACCTCAGGAGGAGGCTTCTCTCAGCAATAGGTATGTGGGAGGGACCCCGAGTTTGCTGCCTCAAGGGGAACATACAGCGAGAAGCCCTAACTTGAAAGGAGGCTGGATTTCCTTGCAGTGGCTTGAATACAGGCCCGTCTTTCATCTCACAACATGAAGGGATGTCTGAATCCCCTGTGGAGACCTTAGAGAAAGCCCTAGGTCCCTGCCTCATTTTGACGGAATGCCTCACATCCTGCTGACACCTCGAGAGGCACGCGGAGTTCATTGCTTCAAAAGGTGACAATGCCTGACTCCTCTTGAATACTGATAGGAATCCCAAAATCCCTGTGGCTTCTGGAAAGGGTTCTTGGGTGCCCTGCCTCACCTCGAGAAGCGTCCCTTTTGCCCTGCCAAGCCTCGAAGAGATTCCTGAGGTGTCCCGCGTTACTAGACAGGAGTCCTGACGTCACTGAAGAAACTCGTGTTTTGAAGGGCCATCCCCGCCTTAAGTCGAGAACATACACCAGGTCCCCGCCGCAACTCGAGAAAAACCATGAGACTTCCCCCTAGAGGCGAGATGAGGCCCCATTCCCCTGCAGTGCATGCAGAGCTACTCCGTGATCCCATTCAAACAAGTCAGGAGCTTCGACTTGCTTAATGGATCTCGAGAGAGTCCCCAAGAACACTGTCACCAGTCTAGACGGACCCTGAGGTCACCCCAGCAACGCAAAGCAGCTCTATGTGCCCCAAATCAACTCGAGATGAGGCCCGATTCCCCTGCATTGACTCCAGAGCCATTCCCCGTTCCCCATTCAACACGACCGGTGGCTCGACTTCCTTCAGGCCACTCCAGAGATGCCCCGAGAACACTGTCCCAAGTCTAGAGGAACACCAACTTAAGCACAGCAACTCGAGGAATGCTCCGTGTACCCCAAATCGCATCGAGATGAGAGCTGATTCCCTGGCTTAGGCTCAAGACGTATGCCAACTTTCCAGAAGCACCTCAGGACGAGGCTTCTCTCAGCAATAGGTATGTGGGAGGGACCCCGAGTTTGCTGCCTCAAGGGGAATATACAGCGAGAAGTCCTAACTTGAAAGGAGGCCGGATTTCCTTGCAGTGGCTTGAATACAGGCCCGTCTTTCATCTCACAACATGAAGGGATGTCTGAATCCCCTGTGGAGACCTTAGAGAAAGCCCTAGGTCCCTGCCTCATTTTGACGGAATGCCTCACATCCCGCTGACACCTCGATAGGCACGCGGAGTTCACTGCTTCAAAAGGTGACAATGCCTGACTCCTCTTGAATACTGATAGGAATCCCAAAATCCCTGTGGCTTCTGGAAAGGGTTCTTGGGTGCCCTGCCTCACCTAGAGAAGCGTCCCTTTTGCCCTGCCAAGCCTCGAAGAGATTCCTGAGGTGTCCCTCGTTACTAGTCAGGAGTCCTGACGTCACTGAAGAAACTCGTGTTTTGAAGGGCCATCCCCGACGTAAGTCGAGAACATATCCCAGGTCCCCGCCGCAACTCGAGAAAAATCATGAGACTTCCCCCTAGAGGCGAGATGAGGCCCCATTCCCCTGCAGTGCATGCAGAGCTATTCCGTGATACCATTCAAACAAATCAGGAGCTTCGACTTGCTTAATGGATCTCGAGACAGTCCCCAAGAACACTGTCACCAGTCTAGACGGACCCTGAGGTCACCCCAGCAATGCAAAGCAGCTCCATGTGCCCCAAATCAACTCGAGATGAGGCCCGATTCCCCTGCATTGACTCCAGAGCCATTCCCCATTCCCCATTCAACACGACCGGTGGCTCGACTTCCTTCAGGCCACTGCAGAGATGCCCCGAGCACACTGTCCCAAGTCTAGAGGAACACCAACTTCAGCACAGCAACTCGAGGAATGCTCCGTGTACCCCAAATCGTCTCGAGATGAGAGCTGATTCCCTGGCTTAGGCTCAAGACGTATGCCAACTTTCCAGAAGCACCTCAGGAGGAGGCTTCTCTCAGCAATAGGTATGTGGGAGGGACCCCGAGTTTGCTGCCTCAAGGGGAATATACAGCGAGAAGCCCTAACTTGAAAGGAGGCCGGATTTCCTTGCAGTGGCTTGAATACAGGCCCGTCTTTCATCTCACAACATGAAGGGATGTCTGAATCCCCTTTGGAGACCTTAGAGAAAGCCATAGGTGCCTGCCTCATTTTGACGGAATGCCTCACATCCCGCTGACACCTCGAGAGGCACACGGAGTTCATTGCTTCAAAAGTTGACGATGCCTGACTCCTCTTGAATACTGATAGGAATCCCAAAATCCCTGTGGCTACTGGAAAGGGTCCTTGGGTGCCCTGCCTCACCTCGAGAAGCGTCCCCTTTGCCCTGCCAAGCCTCGAAGAGATTCCTGAGGTGTCCCTCGTTACTAGTCAGGAGTCCTGACGTCACTGAAGAAACTCGTGTTTTGAAGGGCCATCCCCGACGTAAGTCGAGAACATATCCCAGGTCCCCGCCGCAACTCGAGAAAAATCATGAGACTTCCCCCTAGAGGCGAGATGAGGCCCCATTCCCCTGCAGTGCATGCAGAGCTATTCCGTGATACCATTCAAACAAATCAGGAGCTTCGACTTGCTTAATGGATCTCGAGACAGTCCCCAAGAACACTGTCACCAGTCTAGACGGACCCTGAGGTCACCCCAGCAATGCAAAGCAGCTCCATGTGCCCCAAATCAACTCGAGATGAGGCCCGATTCCCCTGCATTGACTCCAGAGCCATTCCCCATTCCCCATTCAACACGACCGGTGGCTCGACTTCCTTCAGGCCACTGCAGAGATGCCCCGAGCACACTGTCCCAAGTCTAGAGGAACACCAACTTCAGCACAGCAACTCGAGGAATGCTCCGTGTACCCCAAATCGTCTCGAGATGAGAGCTGATTCCCTGGCTTAGGCTCAAGACGTATGCCAACTTTCCAGAAGCACCTCAGGAGGAGGCTTCTCTCAGCAATAGGTATGTGGGAGGGACCCCGAGTTTGCTGCCTCAAGGGGAATATACAGCGAGAAGCCCTAACTTGAAAGGAGGCCGGATTTCCTTGCAGTGGCTTGAATACAGGCCCGTCTTTCATCTCACAACATGAAGGGATGTCTGAATCCCCTTTGGAGACCTTAGAGAAAGCCATAGGTGCCTGCCTCATTTTGACGGAATGCCTCACATCCCGCTGACACCTCGAGAGGCACACGGAGTTCATTGCTTCAAAAGTTGACGATGCCTGACTCCTCTTGAATACTGATAGGAATCCCAAAATCCCTGTGGCTACTGGAAAGGGTCCTTGGGTGCCCTGCCTCACCTCGAGAAGCGTCCCCTTTGCCCTGCCAAGCCTCGAAGAGATTCCTGAGGTGTCCCTCGTTACTAGTCAGGAGTCCTGACGTCACTGAAGAAACTCGTGTTTTGAAGGGCCATCCCCGCCGTAAGTCGAGAACATATCCCGGGTCCCCGCCGCAACTCGAGAAAAAACATGAGACTTCCCCCTAGAGGCGAGATGAGGCCCCATTCCCCTGCAGTGCATACAGAGCTATTCCGTGATCCCATTCAAACAAGTCAGGAGCTTCGACTTGCTTAATGGATCTCGAGACAGTCCCCAAGAACACTGTCACCAGTCTAGACGGACCCTGAGGTTACCCCAGCAACGCAAAGCAGCTCCATGTGCCCGAAATCAACTCGAGATGAGGCCCGATTCCCCTGCATTGACTCCAGAGCCATTCCCCGTTCCCCATTCAACACGACCGGTGGTTCGACTTCCTTCAGGCAACTCCAGAGATGCCCCGAGAACACTGTCCCAAGTCTAGAGGAACAACAACTTCAGGACAACAACTCGAGGAATGCTCCGTGTACCCCAAATCGTCTCGAGATGAGAGCTGATTCCCTGGCTTAGGCTCAAGACATATGCCACCTTTCCAGAAGCACCTCAGGACGAGGCTTCTCTCAGCAATAGGTATGTGGGAAGGACCCCGAGTTTGCTGCCTCAAGGGGAATATACACCGAGAAGCCCTAACTTGAAAGGAGGCCGGATTTCCTTGCAGTGGCTTGAATACAGGCCCGACTTTCATCTCACAACATGAAGGGATGTCTGAATCCCCTGTGGAGACCGTAGAGAAAGCCCTAGGTCCCTGCCTCATTTTGACGGAATGCTTCACATCCCGCTGACACCTCGAGAGGCACGCGGAGTTCATTGCTTCAAAAGGTGACGATGCCTGACTCCTCTTGAATACTGATAGGAATCCCAAAATCCCTGTGGCTACTGGAAAGGGTCCTTGGGTGCCCTGCCTCACCTCGAGAAGCGTCCCTTTTGCCGTGCCAAGCCTCGAAGAGATTCCTAAGGTGTCCCTCGTTACTAGACAGGAGTCCTGACGTCACTGAAGAAACTCGTGTTTTGAAGGGCCATCCCCGCCGTAAGTCGAGAACATTCCCCAGGTCCCCGACGCAACTCGAGAAAAACCATGAGACTTCCCCCTAGAGGCGAGATGAGGCCCCATTCCCCTGCAGTGCATGCAGAGCTATTCCGTGATCCCATTCAAACAAGTCAGGAGCTTCGACTTGCTTAATGGATCTCGAGACAGTCCCCAAGAACACTGTAACCAGTCTAGACGGACCCTGAGGTCACCCCAGCAGCGCAGAGCAGCTCCATGTGCCCCAAATCAACTCGAGATGAGGCCCGATTCCCCTGCATTGACTCCAGAGCCATTACCCGTTCCCCATTCAACACGACCGGTGGCTCGACTTCCTTCAGGCCACTGCAGAGATGCCCCGAGCACACTGTCCCAAGTCTAGAGGAACACCAACTTCAGCACAGCAACTCGAGGAATGCTCCGTGTACCCCAAATCGTCTCGAGATGAGAGCTGATTCCCTGGCTTAGGCTCAAGACGTATGCCAACTTTCCAGAAGCACCTCAGGAGGAGGCTTCTCTCAGCAATAGTTATGTGGGAGGGACCCCGAGTTTGCTGCCTCAAGGGGAACATACAGCGAGAAGCCCTAACTTGAAAGGAGGCTGGATTTCCTTGCAGTGGCTTGAATACAGGCCCGTCTTTCATCTCACAACATGAAGGGATGTCTGAATCCCCTGTGGAGACCTTAGAGAAAGCCCTAGGTCCCTGCCTCATTTTGACGGAATGCCTCACATCCCGCTGACACCTCAAGAGGAACGCGGAGTTCTTTGCTTCAAAACGTGACGATGCCTGACTCCTCTTGAATACTGAGAGGAAACCCAAAATCCCTGTGGCTACTGGAAAGGGTCCTTGGGTGCCCTGCCTCACCTCGAGAAGCGTCCCTTTTGCCCTGCCAAGCCTCGAAGAGATTCCTGAGGGGTCCCTCGTTACTAGACAGGAGTCCTGACGTCACTGAAGAAACTCGTGTTTTGAAGGGCCATCCCCGCCATAAGTCGAGAACATACCCCAGGTCCCCGCCGCAACTCGAGAAAAATCATGAGACTTCCCCCTAGAGGCGAGATGAGGCCCCATTCCCCTGCAGTGCATGCAGAGCTATTCCGTGATCCCATTGAAACAAATCAGGAGCTTCGACTTGCTTAATGGATCTCGAAACAGTCCCCAAGAACACTGTCACCAGTCTAGACGGACCCTGAGGTCACCCCAGCAATGCAAAGCAGCTCCATATGCCCCAAATCAACTCGAGATGAGGCCCGATTCCCCTGCATTGACTCCAGAGCCATTCCCCGTTCCCCATTCAACACGACCGGTGGCTCGACTTCCTTCAGGTCACTGCAGAGATGCCCCGAGAACACTGTCCCAAGTCTAGAGGAACACCAACTTCAGCACAGCAACTCGAGGAATGCTCCGTGTACCCCAAATCGTCTCGAGATGAGAGCTGATTCCCTGGCTTAGGCTCAAGACGTATGCCAACTTTCCAGAAGCACCTCAGGAGGAGGCTTCTCTCAGCAATAGGTATGTGGGAGGGACCCCGAGTTTGCTGCCTCAAGGGGAATATACAGCGAGAAGCCCTAACTTGAAAGGAGGCCGGATTTCCTTGCAGTGGCTTGAATACAGGCCCGTCTTTCATCTCACAACATGAAGGGATGTCTGAATCCCCTGTGGAGACCTTAGAGAAAGCCCTAGGTGCCTGCCTCATTTTGACGGAATGCCTCACATCCCGCTGACACCTCGAGAGGCACACGGAGTTCATTGCTTCAAAAGTTGACGATGCCTGACTCCTCTTGAATACTGATAGGAATCCCAAAATCCCTGTGGCTACTGGAAAGGGTCCTTGGGTGCCCTGCCTCACCTCGAGAAGCGTCCCTTTTGCCCTGCCAAGCCTCGAAGAGATTCCTGAGGTGTCCCTCGTTACTAGTCAGGAGTCCTGACGTCACTGAAGAAACTCGTGTTTTTAAGAGCCATCCCCGCCGTAAGTCGAGAACATACCCCATGTCCCCGCCGCAACTCGAGAAAAATCATGAGACTTCCCCCTAGAGGCGAGATGAGGCCCCATTCCCCTGCAGTGCATACAGAGCTATTCCGTGATCCCATTCAAACAAGTCAGGAGCTTCGACTTGCTTAATGGATCTCGAGACAGTCCCCAAGAACACTGTCACCAGTCTAGACGGACCCTGAGGTTACCCAGCAACGCAAAGCAGCTCCATGTGCCCCAAATCAACTCGAGATGAGGCCCGATTCCCCTGCATTGACTCCAGAGCCATTCCCCGTTCCCCATTCAACACGACCGGTGGTTCGACTTCCTTCAGGCAACTCCAGAGATGCCCCGAGAACACTGTCCCAAGTCTAGAGGAACAACAACTTCAGGACAACAACTCGAGGAATGCTCCGTGTACCCCAAATCGTCTCGAGATGAGAGCTGATTCCCTGGCTTAGGCTCAAGACATATGCCACCTTTCCAGAAGCACCTCAGGACGAGGCTTCTCTCAGCAATAGGTATGTGGGAAGGACCCCGAGTTTGCTGCCTCAAGGGGAATATACACCGAGAAGCCCTAACTTGAAAGGAGGCCGGATTTCCTTGCAGTGGCTTGAATACAGGCCCGACTTTCATCTCACAACATGAAGGGATGTCTGAATCCCCTGTGGAGACCGTAGAGAAAGCCCTAGGTCCCTGCCTCATTTTGACGGAATGCTTCACATCCCGCTGACACCTCGAGAGGCACGCGGAGTTCATTGCTTCAAAAGGTGACGATGCCTGACTCCTCTTGAATACTGATAGGAATCCCAAAATCCCTGTGGCTACTGGAAAGGGTCCTTGGGTGCCCTGCCTCACCTCGAGAAGCGTCCCTTTTGCCGTGCCAAGCCTCGAAGAGATTCCTAAGGTGTCCCTCGTTACTAGACAGGAGTCCTGACGTCACTGAAGAAACTCGTGTTTTGAAGGGCCATCCCCGCCGTAAGTCGAGAACATTCCCCAGGTCCCCGACGCAACTCGAGAAAAACCATGAGACTTCCCCCTAGAGGCGAGATGAGGCCCCATTCCCCTGCAGTGCATGCAGAGCTATTCCGTGATCCCATTCAAACAAGTCAGGAGCTTCGACTTGCTTAATGGATCTCGAGACAGTCCCCAAGAACACTGTAACCAGTCTAGACGGACCCTGAGGTCACCCCAGCAGCGCAGAGCAGCTCCATGTGCCCCAAATCAACTCGAGATGAGGCCCGATTCCCCTGCATTGACTCCAGAGCCATTCCCCGTTCCCCATTCAACACGACCGGTGGCTCGACTTCCTTCAGGCCACTGCAGAGATGCCCCGAGCACACTGTCCCAAGTCTAGAGGAACACCAACTTCAGCACAGCAACTCGAGGAATGCTCCGTGTACCCCAAATCGTCTCGAGATGAGAGCTGATTCCCTGGCTTAGGCTCAAGACGTATGCCAACTTTCCAGAAGCACCTCAGGAGGAGGCTTCTCTCAGCAATAGTTATGTGGGAGGGACCCCGAGTTTGCTGCCTCAAGGGGAACATACAGCGAGAAGCCCTAACTTGAAAGGAGGCTGGATTTCCTTGCAGTGGCTTGAATACAGGCCCGTCTTTCATCTCACAACATGAAGGGATGTCTGAATCCCCTGTGGAGACCTTAGAGAAAGCCCTAGGTCCCTGCCTCATTTTGACGGAATGCCTCACATCCCGCTGACACCTCAAGAGGAACGCGGAGTTCTTTGCTTCAAAACGTGACGATGCCTGACTCCTCTTGAATACTGAGAGGAAACCCAAAATCCCTGTGGCTACTGGAAAGGGTCCTTGGGTGCCCTGCCTCACCTCGAGAAGCGTCCCTTTTGCCCTGCCAAGCCTCGAAGAGATTCCTGAGGGGTCCCTCGTTACTAGACAGGAGTCCTGACGTCACTGAAGAAACTCGTGTTTTGAAGGGCCATCCCCGCCATAAGTCGAGAACATACCCCAGGTCCCCGCCGCAACTCGAGAAAAATCATGAGACTTCCCCCTAGAGGCGAGATGAGGCCCCATTCCCCTGCAGTGCATGCAGAGCTATTCCGTGATCCCATTGAAACAAATCAGGAGCTTCGACTTGCTTAATGGATCTCGAGACAGTCCCCAAGAACACTGTCACCAGTCTAGACGGACCCTGAGGTCACCCCAGCAATGCAAAGCAGCTCCATATGCCCCAAATCAACTCGAGATGAGGCCCGATTCCCCTGCATTGACTCCAGAGCCATTCCCCGTTCCCCATTCAACACGACCGGTGGCTCGACTTCCTTCAGGTCACTGCAGAGATGCCCCGAGAACACTGTCCCAAGTCTAGAGGAACACCAACTTCAGCACAGCAACTCGAGGAATGCTCCGTGTACCCCAAATCGTCTCGAGATGAGAGCTGATTCCCTGGCTTAGGCTCAAGACGTATGCCAACTTTCCAGAAGCACCTCAGGAGGAGGCTTCTCTCAGCAATAGGTATGTGGGAGGGACCCCGAGTTTGCTGCCTCAAGGGGAATATACAGCGAGAAGCCCTAACTTGAAAGGAGGCCGGATTTCCTTGCAGTGGCTTGAATACAGGCCCGTCTTTCATCTCACAACATGAAGGGATGTCTGAATCCCCTGTGGAGACCTTAGAGAAAGCCCTAGGTGCCTGCCTCATTTTGACGGAATGCCTCACATCCCGCTGACACCTCGAGAGGCACACGGAGTTCATTGCTTCAAAAGTTGACGATGCCTGACTCCTCTTGAATACTGATAGGAATCCCAAAATCCCTGTGGCTACTGGAAAGGGTCCTTGGGTGCCCTGCCTCACCTCGAGAAGCGTCCCTTTTGCCCTGCCAAGCCTCGAAGAGATTCCTGAGGTGTCCCTCGTTACTAGTCAGGAGTCCTGACGTCACTGAAGAAACTCGTGTTTTTAAGAGCCATCCCCGCCGTAAGTCGAGAACATACCCCATGTCCCCGCCGCAACTCGAGAAAAATCATGAGACTTCCCCCTAGAGGCGAGATGAGGCCCCATTCCCCTGCAGTGCATACAGAGCTATTCCGTGATCCCATTCAAACAAGTCAGGAGCTTCGACTTGCTTAATGGATCTCGAGACAGTCCCCAAGAACACTGTCACCAGTCTAGACGGACCCTGAGGTTACCCAGCAACGCAAAGCAGCTCCATGTGCCCCAAATCAACTCGAGATGAGGCCCGATTCCCCTGCATTGACTCCAGAGCCATTCCCCGTTCCCCATTCAACACGACCGGTGGCTCGACTTCCTTCAGGCAACTCCAGAGATGCCCCGAGAACACTGTCCCAAGTCTAGAGGAGCAACAACTTCAGCACAACAACTCGAGGAATGCTCCGTGTACCCCAAATCGTCTCGAGATGAGAGCTGATTCCCTGGCTTAGGCTCAAGACATATGCCAACTTTCCAGAAGCACCTCAGGACGAGGCTTCTCTCAGCAATAGGTATGTGGGAGGGACCCTGAGTTTGCTGCCTCAAGGGGAATATACAGCGAGAAGCCCTAACTTGAAAGGAGGCCGGATTTCCTTGCAGTGGCTTGAATACAGGCCCGTCTTTCATGTCACAACATGAAGGGATGTCTGAATCCCCTGTGGAGACCTTAGAGAAAGCCCTAGGTCCCTGCCTCATTTTGACGGAATGCTTCACATCCCGCTGACACCTCGAGAGGCACGCGGAGTTCATTGCTTCAAAAGGTGACGATGCCTGACTCCTCTTGAATACTGATAGGAATCCCAAAATCCCTGTGGCTACTGGAAAGGGTCCTTGGGTGCCCTGCCTCACCTCGAGAAGCGTCCCTTTTGCCCTGCCAAGCCTCGAAGAGATTCCTAAGGTGTCCCTCGTTACTAGACAGGAGTCCTGACGTCACTGAAGAAACTAGTGTTTTGAAGCGCCATCCCCGCCGTAAGTCGAGAACATTCCCCAGGTCCCCGACGCAACTCGAGAAAAACCATGAGACTTCCCCCTAGAGGCGAGATGAGGCCCCATTCCCCTGCAGTGCATGCAGAGCTATTCCGTGATCCCATTCAAACAAGTCAGGAGCTTCGACTTGCTTAATGGATCTCGAGACAGTCCCCAAGAACACTGTCACCAGTCTAGACGGACCCTGAGGTCACCCCAGCAGCGCAGAGCAGCTCCATGTGCCCCAAATCAACTTGAGATGAGGCCCGATTCCCCTGCATTGACTCCAGAGCCATTCCCCGTTCCCCATTCAACACGACCGGTGGCTCGACTTCCTTCAGGCCACTGCAGAGATGCCCCGAGCACACTGTCCCAAGTCTAGAGGAACACCAACTTCAGCACAGCAACTCGAGGAATGCTCCGTGTACCCCAAATCGCATCGAGATGAGAGCTGATTCCCTGGCTTAGGCTCAAGACGTATGCCAACTTTCCAGAAGCACCTCAGGACGAGGCTTCTCTCAGCAATAGGTATGTGGGAGGGACCCCGAGTTTGCTGCCTCAAGGGGAATATACAGCGAGAAGCCCTAACTTGAAAGGAGGCCGGATTTCCTTGCAGTGGCTTGAATACAGGCCCGTCTTTCATCTCACAACATGAAGGGATGTCTGAATCCCCTTTGGAGACCTTAGAGAAAGCCATAGGTGCCTGCCTCATTTTGACGGAATGCCTCACATCCCGCTGACACCTCGAGAGGCACACGGAGTTCATTGCTTCAAAAGTTGACGATGCCTGACTCCTCTTGAATACTGATAGGAATCCCAAAATCCCTGTGGCTACTGGAAAGGGTCCTTGGGTGCCCTGCCTCACCTCGAGAAGCGTCCCCTTTGCCCTGCCAAGCCTCGAAGAGATTCCTGAGGTGTCCCTCGTTACTAGTCAGGAGTCCTGACGTCACTGAAGAAACTCGTGTTTTGAAGGGCCATCCCCGCCGTAAGTCGAGAACATATCCCGGGTCCCCGCCGCAACTCGAGAAAAAACATGAGACTTCCCCCTAGAGGCGAGATGAGGCCCCATTCCCCTGCAGTGCATACAGAGCTATTCCGTGATCCCATTCAAACAAGTCAGGAGCTTCGACTTGCTTAATGGTTCTCGAGACAGTCCCCAAGAACACTGTCACCAGTCTAGACGGACCCTGAGGTTACCCCAGCAACGCAAAGCAGCTCCATGTGCCCGAAATCAACTCGAGATGAGGCCCGATTCCCCTGCATTGACTCCAGAGCCATTCCCCGTTCCCCATTCAACACGACCGGTGGTTCGACTTCCTTCAGGCAACTCCAGAGATGCCCCGAGAACACTGTCCCAAGTCTAGAGGAACAACAACTTCAGGACAACAACTCGAGGAATGCTCCGTGTACCCCAAATCGTCTCGAGATGAGAGCTGATTCCCTGGCTTAGGCTCAAGACATATGCCACCTTTCCAGAAGCACCTCAGGACGAGGCTTCTCTCAGCAATAGGTATGTGGGAAGGACCCCGAGTTTGCTGCCTCAAGGGGAATATACACCGAGAAGCCCTAACTTGAAAGGAGGCCGGATTTCCTTGCAGTGGCTTGAATACAGGCCCGACTTTCATCTCACAACATGAAGGGATGTCTGAATCCCCTGTGGAGACCTTAGAGAAAGCCCTAGGTCCCTGCCTCATTTTGACGGAATGCTTCACATCCCGCTGACACCTCGAGAGGCACGCGGAGTTCATTGCTTCAAAAGGTGACGATGCCTGACTCCTCTTGAATACAGATAGGAATCCCAAAATCCCTGTGGCTACTGGAAAGGGTCCTTGGGTGCCCTGCCTCACCTCGAGAAGCGTCCCTTTTGCCCTGCCAAGCCTCGAAGAGATTCCTAAGGTGTCCCTCGTTACTAGACAGGAGTCCTGACGTCACTGAAGAAACTCGTGTTTTGAAGGGCCATCCCCGCCGTAAGTCGAGAACATTCCCCAGGTGCCCGACGCAACTCGAGAAAAACCATGAGACTTCCCTCTAGAGGCGAGATGAGGCCCCATTGCCTGCAGTGCATGCAGAGCTATTCCGTGATCCCATTCAAACAAGTCAGGAGCTTCGACTTGCTTAATGGATCTCGAGACAGTCCCCAAGAACACTGTCACCAGTCTAGACGGACCCTGAGGTCACCCCAGCAGCGCAGAGCAGCTCCATGTGCCCCAAATCAACTCGAGATGAGGCCCGATTCCCCTGCATTGACTCCAGAGCCATTCCCCGTTCCCCATTCAACACGACCGGTGGCTCGACTTCCTTCAGGCCACTCAAGAGATGCCCCGAGCACACTGTCCCAAGTCTAGAGGAACACCAACTTCAGCACAGCAACTCGAGGAATGCTCCGTGTACCCCAAATCGTCTGGAGATGAGAGCTGATTCCCTGGCTTAGGCTCAAGACGTATGCCAACTTTCCAGAAGCACCTCAGGAGGAGGCTTCTCTCAGCAATAGGTATGTGGGAGGGACCCCGAGTTTGCTGCCTCAAGGGGAACATACAGCGAGAATCCCTAACTTGAAAGAAGGCCGTATTTCCTTGCAGTGGCTTGAATACAGGCCCGTCTTTCATCTCACAACATGAAGGGATGTCTGAATCCCCTGTGGAGACCTTAGAGAAAGCCCTAGGTCCCTGCCTCATTTTGACGGAATGCCTCACATCCCGATGACACCTCGAGAGGCACGCGGAGTTCATTGCTTCAAAAGGTGACAATGCCTGACTCCTCTTGAATACTGATAGGAATCCCAAAATCCCTGTGGCTACTGGAATGGGTCCTTGGGTGCCCTGCCTCACCTCGAGAAGCGTCCCTTTTGCCCTGCCAAGCCTCGAAGAGATTCCTGAGGTGTCCCTCGTTACTAGTCAGGAGTCCTGACGTCACTGAAGAAACTCGTGTTTTGAAGGGCCATCCCCGCCGTAAGTCGAGAACATACCCCAGGTCCCCGCCGCAACTCGAGAAGAACCATGAGACTTCCCCCTAGAGGCGAGATGAGGCCCCATTCCCATGCAGTGCATGCAGAGCTATTCCGTGATCCCATTCAAACAAGTCAGGAGCTTCTACTTGCTTAATGGATCTCGAGACAGTCCCCAAGATCACTGTCACCAGTCTAGACGGACCCTGAGGTCACCCCAGCAGCGCAGAGCAGCTCCATGTGCCCCAAATCAACTCGAGATGAGGCCCGATTCCCCTGCATTGACTCCAGAGCCATTCCCCGTTCCCCATTCAACACGACCGGTGGCTCGACTTCCTTCAGGCCACTGCAGAGATGCCCCGAGCACACTGTCCCAAGTCTAGAGGAACACCAACTTCAGCACAGCAACTCGAGGAATGCTCCGTGTACCCCAAATCGTCTCGAGATGAGAGCTGATTCCCTGGCTTAGGCTCAAGACGTATGCCAACTTTCCAGAAGCACCTCAGGAGGAGGCTTCTCTCAGCAATAGGTATGTGGGAGGGACCCCGAGTTTGCTGCCTCAAGGGGAACATACAGCGAGAAGCCCTAACTTGAAAGGAGGCTGGATTTCCTTGCAGTGGCTTGAATACAGGCCCGTCTTTCATCTCACAACATGAAGGGATGTCTGAATCCCCTGTGGAGACCTTAGAGAAAGCCCTAGGTCCCTGCCTCATTTTGACGGAATGCCTCACATCCCGCTGACACCTCGAGAGGCACGCGGAGTTCATTGCTTCAAAAGGTGACAATGCCTGACTCCTCTTGAATACTGATAGGAATCCCAAAATCCCTGTGGCTTCTGGAAAGGGTTCTTGGGTGCCCTGCCTCACCTCGAGAAGCGTCCCTTTTGCCCTGCCAAGCCTCGAAGAGATTCCTGAGGTGTCCCGCGTTACTAGACAGGAGTCCTGACGTCACTGAAGAAACTCGTGTTTTGAAGGGCCATCCCCGCCTTAAGTCGAGAACATACAACAGGTCCCCGCCGCAACTCGAGAAAAACCATGAGACTTCCCCCTAGAGGCGAGATGAGGCCCCATTCCCCTGCAGTGCATGCAGAGCTACTCCGTGATCCCATTCAAACAAGTCAGGAGCTTCGACTTGCTTAATGGATCTCGAGAGAGTCCCCAAGAACACTGTCACCAGTCTAGACGGACCCTGAGGTCACCCCAGCAACGCAAAGCAGCTCTATGTGCCCCAAATCAACTCGAGATGAGGCCCGATTCCCCTGCATTGACTCCAGAGCCATTCCCCGTTCCCCATTCAACACGACCGGTGGCTCGACTTCCTTCAGGCCACTCCAGAGATGCCCCGAGAACACTGTCCCAAGTCTAGAGGAACACCAACTTAAGCACAGCAACTCGAGGAATGCTCCGTGTACCCCAAATCGCATCGAGATGAGAGCTGATTCCCTGGCTTAGGCTCAAGACGTATGCCAACTTTCCAGAAGCACCTCAGGACGAGGCTTCTCTCAGCAATAGGTATGTGGGAGGGACCCCGAGTTTGCTGCCTCAAGGGGAATATACAGCGAGAAGTCCTAACTTGAAAGGAGGCCGGATTTCCTTGCAGTGGCTTGAATACAGGCCCGTCTTTCATCTCACAACATGAAGGGATGTCTGAATCCCCTGTGGAGACCTTAGAGAAAGCCCTAGGTCCCTGCCTCATTTTGACGGAATGCCTCACATCCCGCTGACACCTCGATAGGCACGCGGAGTTCACTGCTTCAAAAGGTGACAATGCCTGACTCCTCTTGAATACTGATAGGAATCCCAAAATCCCTGTGGCTTCTGGAAAGGGTTCTTGGGTGCCCTGCCTCACCTCGAGAAGCGTCCCTTTTGCCCTGCCAAGCCTCGAAGAGATTCCTGAGGTGTCCCTCGTTACTAGTCAGGAGTCCTGACGTCACTGAAGAAACTCGTGTTTTGAAGGGCCATCCCCGACGTAAGTCGAGAACATATCCCAGGTCCCCGCCGCAACTCGAGAAAAATCATGAGACTTCCCCCTAGAGGCGAGATGAGGCCCCATTCCCCTGCAGTGCATGCAGAGCTATTCCGTGATACCATTCAAACAAATCAGGAGCTTCGACTTGCTTAATGGATCTCGAGACAGTCCCCAAGAACACTGTCACCAGTCTAGACGGACCCTGAGGTCACCCCAGCAATGCAAAGCAGCTCCATGTGCCCCAAATCAACTCGAGATGAGGCCCGATTCCCCTGCATTGACTCCAGAGCCATTCCCCATTCCCCATTCAACACGACCGGTGGCTCGACTTCCTTCAGGCCACTGCAGAGATGCCCCGAGCACACTGTCCCAAGTCTAGAGGAACACCAACTTCAGCACAGCAACTCGAGGAATGCTCCGTGTACCCCAAATCGTCTCGAGATGAGAGCTGATTCCCTGGCTTAGGCTCAAGACGTATGCCAACTTTCCAGAAGCACCTCAGGAGGAGGCTTCTCTCAGCAATAGGTATGTGGGAGGGACCCCGAGTTTGCTGCCTCAAGGGGAATATACAGCGAGAAGCCCTAACTTGAAAGGAGGCCGGATTTCCTTGCAGTGGCTTGAATACAGGCCCGTCTTTCATCTCACAACATGAAGGGATGTCTGAATCCCCTTTGGATACCTTAGAGAAAGCCATAGGTGCCTGCCTCATTTTGACGGAATGCCTCACATCCCGCTGACACCTCGAGAGGCACACGGAGTTCATTGCTTCAAAAGTTGACGATGCCTGACTCCTCTTGAATACTGATAGGAATCCCAAAATCCCTGTGGCTACTGGAAAGGGTCCTTGGGTGCCCTGCCTCACCTCGAGAAGCGTCCCCTTTGCCCTGCCAAGCCTCGAAGAGATTCCTGAGGTGTCCCTCGTTACTAGTCAGGAGTCCTGACGTCACTGAAGAAACTCGTGTTTTGAAGAGCCATCCCCGCCGTAAGTCGAGAACATATCCCGGGTCCCCGCCGCAACTCGAGAAAAAACATGAGACTTCCCCCTAGAGGCGAGATGAGGCCCCATTCCCCTGCAGTGCATACAGAGCTATTCCGTGATCCCATTCAAACAAGTCAGGAGCTTCGACTTGCTTAATGGATCTCGAGACAGTCCCCAAGAACACTGTCACCAGTCTAGACGGACCCTGAGGTTACCCCAGCAACGCAAAGCAGCTCCATGTGCCCGAAATCAACTCGAGATGAGGCCCGATTCCCCTGCATTGACTCCAGAGCCATTCCCCGTTCCCCATTCAACACGACCGGTGGTTCGACTTCCTTCAGGCAACTCCAGAGATGCCCCGAGAACACTGTCCCAAGTCTAGAGGAACAACAACTTCAGGACAACAACTCGAGGAATGCTCCGTGTACCCCAAATCGTCTCGAGATGAGAGCTGATTCCCTGGCTTAGGCTCAAGACATATGCCACCTTTCCAGAAGCACCTCAGGACGAGGCTTCTCTCAGCAATAGGTATGTGGGAAGGACCCCGAGTTTGCTACCTCAAGGGGAATATACACCGAGAAGCCCTAACTTGAAAGGAGGCCGGATTTCCTTGCAGTGGCTTGAATACAGGCCCGACTTTCATCTCACAACATGAAGGGATGTCTGAATCCCCTGTGGAGACCGTAGAGAAAGCCCTAGGTCCCTGCCTCATTTTGACGGAATGCTTCACATCCCGCTGACACCTCGAGAGGCACGCGGAGTTCATTGCTTCAAAAGGTGACGATGCCTGACTCCTCTTGAATACTGATAGGAATCCCAAAATCCCTGTGGCTACTGGAAAGGGTCCTTGGGTGCCCTGCCTCACCTCGAGAAGCGTCCCTTTTGCCGTGCCAAGCCTCGAAGAGATTCCTAAGGTGTCCCTCGTTACTAGACAGGAGTCCTGACGTCACTGAAGAAACTCGTGTTTTGAAGGGCCATCCCCGCCGTAAGTCGAGAACATTCCCCAGGTCCCCGACGCAACTCGAGAAAAACCATGAGACTTCCCCCTAGAGGCGAGATGAGGCCCCATTCCCCTGCAGTGCATGCAGAGCTATTCCGTGATCCCATTCAAACAAGTCAGGAGCTTCGACTTGCTTAATGGATCTCGAGACAGTCCCCAAGATCACTGTCACCAGTCTAGACGGACCCTGAGGTCACCCCAGCAGCGCAGAGCAGCTCCATGTGCCCCAAATCAACTCGAGATGAGGCCCGATTCCCCTGCATTGACTCCAGAGCCATTACCCGTTCCCCATTCAACACGACCGGTGGCTCGACTTCCTTCAGGCCACTGCAGAGATGCCCCGAGCACACTGTCCCAAGTCTAGAGGAACACCAACTTCAGCACAGCAACTCGAGGAATGCTCCGTGTACCCCAAATCGTCTCGAGATGAGAGCTGATTCCCTGGCTTAGGCTCAAGACGTATGCCAACTTTCCAGAAGCACCTCAGGAGGAGGCTTCTCTCAGCAATAGGTATGTGGGAGGGACCCCGAGTTTGCTGCCTCAAGGGGAACATACAGCGAGAAGCCCTAACTTGAAAGGAGGCTGGATTTCCTTGCAGTGGCTTGAATACAGGCCCGTCTTTCATCTCACAACATGAAGGGATGTCTGAATCCCCTGTGGAGACCTTAGAGAAAGCCCTAGGTCCCTGCCTCATTTTGACGGAATGCCTCACATCCCGCTGACACCTCGAGAGGCACGCGGAGTTCATTGCTTCAAAAGGTGACAATGCCTGACTCCTCTTGAATACTGATAGGAATCCCAAAATCCCTGTGGCTTCTGGAAAGGGTTCTTGGGTGCCCTGCCTCACCTCGAGAAGCGTCCCTTTTGCCCTGCCAAGCCTCGAAGAGATTCCTGAGGTGTCCCGCGTTACTAGACAGGAGTCCTGACGTCACTGAAGAAACTCGTGTTTTGAAGGGCCATCCCCGCCTTAAGTCGAGAACATACAACAGGTCCCCGCCGCAACTCGAGAAAAACCATGAGACTTCCCCCTAGAGGCGAGATGAGGCCCCATTCCCCTGCAGTGCATGCAGAGCTACTCCGTGATCCCATTCAAACAAGTCAGGAGCTTCGACTTGCTTAATGGATCTCGAGAGAGTCCCCAAGAACACTGTCACCAGTCTAGACGGACCCTGAGGTCACCCCAGCAACGCAAAGCAGCTCTATGTGCCCCAAATCAACTCGAGATGAGGCCCGATTCCCCTGCATTGACTCCAGAGCCATTCCCCGTTCCCCATTCAACACGACCGGTGGCTCGACTTCCTTCAGGCCACTCCAGAGATGCCCCGAGAACACTGTCCCAAGTCTAGAGGAACACCAACTTAAGCACAGCAACTCGAGGAATGCTCCGTGTACCCCAAATCGCATCGAGATGAGAGCTGATTCCCTGGCTTAGGCTCAAGACGTATGCCAACTTTCCAGAAGCACCTCAGGACGAGGCTTCTCTCAGCAATAGGTATGTGGGAGGGACCCCGAGTTTGCTGCCTCAAGGGGAATATACAGCGAGAAGTCCTAACTTGAAAGGAGGCCGGATTTCCTTGCAGTGGCTTGAATACAGGCCCGTCTTTCATCTCACAACATGAAGGGATGTCTGAATCCCCTGTGGAGACCTTAGAGAAAGCCCTAGGTCCCTGCCTCATTTTGACGGAATGCCTCACATCCCGCTGACACCTCGATAGGCACGCGGAGTTCACTGCTTCAAAAGGTGACAATGCCTGACTCCTCTTGAATACTGATAGGAATCCCAAAATCCCTGTGGCTTCTGGAAAGGGTTCTTGGGTGCCCTGCCTCACCTCGAGAAGCGTCCCTTTTGCCCTGCCAAGCCTCGAAGAGATTCCTGAGGTGTCCCTCGTTACTAGTCAGGAGTCCTGACGTCACTGAAGAAACTCGTGTTTTGAAGGGCCATCCCCGACGTAAGTCGAGAACATATCCCAGGTCCCCGCCGCAACTCGAGAAAAATCATGAGACTTCCCCCTAGAGGCGAGATGAGGCCCCATTCCCCTGCAGTGCATGCAGAGCTATTCCGTGATACCATTCAAACAAATCAGGAGCTTCGACTTGCTTAATGGATCTCGAGACAGTCCCCAAGAACACTGTCACCAGTCTAGACGGACCCTGAGGTCACCCCAGCAATGCAAAGCAGCTCCATGTGCCCCAAATCAACTCGAGATGAGGCCCGATTCCCCTGCATTGACTCCAGAGCCATTCCCCATTCCCCATTCAACACGACCGGTGGCTCGACTTCCTTCAGGCCACTGCAGAGATGCCCCGAGCACACTGTCCCAAGTCTAGAGGAACACCAACTTCAGCACAGCAACTCGAGGAATGCTCCGTGTACCCCAAATCGTCTCGAGATGAGAGCTGATTCCCTGGCTTAGGCTCAAGACGTATGCCAACTTTCCAGAAGCACCTCAGGAGGAGGCTTCTCTCAGCAATAGGTATGTGGGAGGGACCCCGAGTTTGCTGCCTCAAGGGGAATATACAGCGAGAAGCCCTAACTTGAAAGGAGGCCGGATTTCCTTGCAGTGGCTTGAATACAGGCCCGTCTTTCATCTCACAACATGAAGGGATGTCTGAATCCCCTTTGGATACCTTAGAGAAAGCCATAGGTGCCTGCCTCATTTTGACGGAATGCCTCACATCCCGCTGACACCTCGAGAGGCACACGGAGTTCATTGCTTCAAAAGTTGACGATGCCTGACTCCTCTTGAATACTGATAGGAATCCCAAAATCCCTGTGGCTACTGGAAAGGGTCCTTGGGTGCCCTGCCTCACCTCGAGAAGCGTCCCCTTTGCCCTGCCAAGCCTCGAAGAGATTCCTGAGGTGTCCCTCGTTACTAGTCAGGAGTCCTGACGTCACTGAAGAAACTCGTGTTTTGAAGAGCCATCCCCGCCGTAAGTCGAGAACATATCCCGGGTCCCCGCCGCAACTCGAGAAAAAACATGAGACTTCCCCCTAGAGGCGAGATGAGGCCCCATTCCCCTGCAGTGCATACAGAGCTATTCCGTGATCCCATTCAAACAAGTCAGGAGCTTCGACTTGCTTAATGGATCTCGAGACAGTCCCCAAGAACACTGTCACCAGTCTAGACGGACCCTGAGGTTACCCCAGCAACGCAAAGCAGCTCCATGTGCCCGAAATCAACTCGAGATGAGGCCCGATTCCCCTGCATTGACTCCAGAGCCATTCCCCGTTCCCCATTCAACACGACCGGTGGTTCGACTTCCTTCAGGCAACTCCAGAGATGCCCCGAGAACACTGTCCCAAGTCTAGAGGAACAACAACTTCAGGACAACAACTCGAGGAATGCTCCGTGTACCCCAAATCGTCTCGAGATGAGAGCTGATTCCCTGGCTTAGGCTCAAGACATATGCCACCTTTCCAGAAGCACCTCAGGACGAGGCTTCTCTCAGCAATAGGTATGTGGGAAGGACCCCGAGTTTGCTACCTCAAGGGGAATATACACCGAGAAGCCCTAACTTGAAAGGAGGCCGGATTTCCTTGCAGTGGCTTGAATACAGGCCCGACTTTCATCTCACAACATGAAGGGATGTCTGAATCCCCTGTGGAGACCGTAGAGAAAGCCCTAGGTCCCTGCCTCATTTTGACGGAATGCTTCACATCCCGCTGACACCTCGAGAGGCACGCGGAGTTCATTGCTTCAAAAGGTGACGATGCCTGACTCCTCTTGAATACTGATAGGAATCCCAAAATCCCTGTGGCTACTGGAAAGGGTCCTTGGGTGCCCTGCCTCACCTCGAGAAGCGTCCCTTTTGCCGTGCCAAGCCTCGAAGAGATTCCTAAGGTGTCCCTCGTTACTAGACAGGAGTCCTGACGTCACTGAAGAAACTCGTGTTTTGAAGGGCCATCCCCGCCGTAAGTCGAGAACATTCCCCAGGTCCCCGACGCAACTCGAGAAAAACCATGAGACTTCCCCCTAGAGGCGAGATGAGGCCCCATTCCCCTGCAGTGCATGCAGAGCTATTCCGTGATCCCATTCAAACAAGTCAGGAGCTTCGACTTGCTTAATGGATCTCGAGACAGTCCCCAAGATCACTGTCACCAGTCTAGACGGACCCTGAGGTCACCCCAGCAGCGCAGAGCAGCTCCATGTGCCCCAAATCAACTCGAGATGAGGCCCGATTCCCCTGCATTGACTCCAGAGCCATTACCCGTTCCCCATTCAACACGACCGGTGGCTCGACTTCCTTCAGGCCACTGCAGAGATGCCCCGAGCACACTGTCCCAAGTCTAGAGGAACACCAACTTCAGCACAGCAACTCGAGGAATGCTCCGTGTACCCCAAATCGTCTCGAGATGAGAGCTGATTCCCTGGCTTAGGCTCAAGACGTATGCCAACTTTCCAGAAGCACCTCAGGAGGAGGCTTCTCTCAGCAATAGGTATGTGGGAGGGACCCCGAGTTTGCTGCCTCAAGGGGAACATACAGCGAGAAGCCCTAACTTGAAAGGAGGCCGGATTTCCTTGCAGTGGCTTGAATACAGGCCCGTCTTTCATCTCACAACATGAAGGGATGTCTGAATCCCCTGTGGAGACCTTAGAGAAAGCCCTAGGTCCCTGCCTCATTTTGACGGAATGCCTCACATCCCGCTGACACCTCGAGAGGCACACGGAGTTCATTGCTTCAAAAGGTGACGATGCCTGACTCCTCTTGAATACTGATAGGAATCCCAAAATCCCTGTGGCTACTGGAAAGGGTCCTTGGGTGCCCTGCCTCACCTCGAGAAGCGTCCCTTTTGACCTGCCAAGCCTCGAAGAGATTCCTGAGGTGTCCCTCGTTACTAAACAGGAGTCCTGACGTCACTGAAGAAACTCGTGTTTTGAAGGGCCATCCCCGCCGTAAGTCGAGAACATACCCCAGGTCCCCGCCGCAACTCGAGAAAAACCATGAGACTTCCCCCTAGAGGCGAGATGAGGCCCCATTCCCCTGCAGTGCATGCAGAGCTACTCCGTGATCCCATTCAAACAAGTCAGGAGCTTCGACTTGCTTAATGGATCTCGAGAGAGTCCCCAAGAACACTGTCACCAGTCTAGACGGACCCTGAGGTCACCCCAGCAACGCAAAGCAGCTCTATGTGCCCCAAATCAACTCGAGATGAGGCCCGATTCCCCTGCATTGACTCCAGAGCCTTTCCCCGTTCCCCATTCAACACGACCGGTGGCTCGACTTCCTTCAGGCCACTCCAGAGATGCCCCGAGATCACTGTCCCAAGTCTAGAGGAACACCAACTTCAGCAGAGCAACTCGAGGAATGCTCCGTGTACCCCAAATCACATCGAGATGAGAGCTGATTCCCTGGCTTAGGCTCAAGACGTATGGCAACTTTCCAGAAGCATCTCAGGAGGAGGCTTCTCTCAGCAATAGGTATGTGGGAGGGACCCCGAGTTTGCTGCCTCAAGGGGAATATACAGCGAGAAGCCCTAACTTGAAAGGAGGCCGGATTTCCTTGCAGTGGCTTGAATACAGGCCCGTCTTTCATCTCACAACATGAAGGGATGTCTGAATCCCCTGTGGAGACCTTAGAGAAAGCCCTAGGTGCCTGCCTCATTTTGACGGAATGCCTCACATCCCGCTGACACCTCGAGAGGCACACGGAGTTCATTGCTTCAAAAGTTGACGATGCCTGACTCCTCTTGAATACTGATAGGAATACCAAAATCCCTGTGGCTACTGGAAAGGGTCCTTGGGTGCCCTGCCTCACCTCGAGAAGCGTCCCTTTTGCCCTGCCAAGCCTCGAAGAGATTCCTGAGGTGTCCCTCGTTACTAGTCAGGAGTCCTGACGTCACTGAAGAAACTCGTGTTTTGAAGGGCCATCCCTGCCATAAGTCGAGAACATATCCCGGGTCCCCGCCACAACTCGAGAAAAAACATGAGACTTCCCCCTAGAGGCGAGATGAGGCCCCATTCCCCTGCAGTGCATACAGAGCTATTCCGTGATCCCATTCAAACAAGTCAGGAGCTTCGACTTGCTTAATGGATCTCGAGACAGTCCCCAAGAACACTGTCACCAGTCTAGACGGACCCTGAGGTTACCCCAGCAACGCAAAGCAGCTCCATGTGCCCCAAATAAACTCGAGATGAGGCCCGATTCCCCTGCATTGACTCCAGAGCCATTCCCCGTTCCCCATTCAACACAACCGGTGGCTCGACTTCCTTCAGGCAACTCCAGAGATGCCCCGAGAACACTGTCCCAAGTCTAGAGGAACAACAACTTCAGCAAAACAACTCGAGGAATGCTCCTTGTACCCCAAATCGTCTCGAGATGAGAGCTGATTCCCTGGTTAGGCTCAAGACGTATGCCAACTTTCCAGAAGCACCTCAGGACGAGGCTTCTCCCAGCAATAGGTATGTGGGAGGGACCCCGAATTTGCTGCCTCAAGGGGAATATACAGCGAGAAGCCCTAACTTGAAAGGAGGCCGGATTTCCTTGCAGTGGCTTGAATACAGGCCCGTCTTTCATCTCACAACATGAAGGGATGTCTGAATCCCCTGTGGAGACCTTAGAGAAAGCCCTAGGTCCCTGCCTCATTTTGACGGAATGCTTCACATCCCGCTGACACCTCGAGAGGCACGCGGAGTTCATTGCTTCAAAAGGTGACGATGCCTGACTCCTCTTGAATACAGATAGGAATCCCAAAATCCCTGTGGCTACTGGAAAGGGTCCTTGGGTGCCCTGCCTCACCTCGAGAAGCGTCCCTTTTGCCCTGCCAAGCCTCGAAGAGATTCCTAAGGTGTCCCTCGTTACTAGACAGGAGTCCTGACGTCACTGAAGAAACGCGTGTTTTGAAGGGCCATCCCCGCCGTAAGTCGAGAACATTCCCCAGGTCCCCGACGCAACTCGAGAAAAACCATGAGACTTCCCCCTAGAGGCGAGATGAGGCCCCATTGCCTGCAGTGCATGCAGAGCTATTCCGTGATCCCATTCAAACAAGGCAGGAGCTTCGACTTGCTTAATGGATCTCGAGACAGTCCCCAAGAACACTGTCACCAGTCTAGACGGACCCTGAGGTCACCCCAGCAGCGCAGAGCAGCTCCATGTGCCCCAAATCAACTCGAGATGAGGCCCGATTCCCCTGCATTGACTCCAGAGCCATTCCCCGTTCCCCATTCAACACGACCGGTGGCTCGACTTCCTTCAGGCCACTCAAGAGATGCCCCGAGCACACTGTCCCAAGTCTAGAGGAACACCAACTTCAGCACAGCAACTCGAGGAATGCTCCGTGTACCCCAAATCGTCTGGAGATGAGAGCTGATTCCCTGGCTTAGGCTCAAGACGTATGCCAACTTTCCAGAAGCACCTCAGGAGGAGGCTTCTCTCAGCAATAGGTATGTGGGAGGGACCCCGAGTTTGCTGCCTCAAGGGGAACATACAGCGAGAATCCCTAACTTGAAAGAAGGCCGTATTTCCTTGCAGTGGCTTGAATACAGGCCCGTCTTTCATCTCACAACATGAAGGGATGTCTGAATCCCCTGTGGAGACCTTAGAGAAAGCCCTAGGTCCCTGCCTCATTTTGACGGAATGCCTCACATCCCGATGACACCTCGAGAGGCACGCGGAGTTCATTGCTTCAAAAGGTGACAAGGCCTGACTCCTCTTGAATACTGATAGGAATCCCAAAATCCCTGTGGCTACTGGAATGGGTCCTTGGGTGCCCTGCCTCACCTCGAGAAGCGTCCCTTTTGCCCTGCCAAGCCTCGAAGAGATTCCTGAGGTGTCCCTCGTTACTAGTCAGGAGTCCTGACGTCACTGAAGAAACTCGTGTTTTGAAGGGCCATCCCCGCCGTAAGTCGAGAACATACCCCAGGTCCCCGCCGCAACTCGAGAAGAACCATGAGACTTCCCCCTAGAGGCGAGATGAGGCCCCATTCCCATGCAGTGCATGCAGAGCTATTCCGTGATCCCATTCAAACAAGTCAGGAGCTTCTACTTGCTTAATGGATCTCGAGACAGTCCCCAAGAACACTGTCACCAGTCTAGAAGGACCCTGAGGTTACCCCAGCAACGCAAAGCAGCTCCATGTGCCCCAAATCAACTCGAGATGAGGCCCGATTCCCCTGCATTGACTCCAGAGCCATTCCCCGTTCCCCATTCAACACGACCGGTGGCTCGACTTCCTTCAGGCAACTCCAGAGATGCCCCGAGAACACTGTCCCAAATCTAGAGGAACAACAACTTCATCACAACAACTCGAGGAATGCTCCGTGTACCCCAAATCGTCTCGAGATGAGAGCTGATTCCCTGGCTTAGGCTCAAGACATATGCCAACTTTCCAGAAGCACCTCAGGACGAGGCTTCTCTCAGCAATAGGTATGTGGGAGGGACCCCGAGTTTGCTGCCTCAAGGGGAATATACAGCGAGAATCCCTAACTTGAAAGGAGGCCGGATTTCCTTGCAGTGGCTTGAATACAGGCCCGTCTTTCATCTCACAACATGAAGGGATGTCTGAATCCCCTGTGGAGACATTAGAGAAAGCCCTAGGTCCCTGCCTCATTTTGACGGAATGCTTCACATCCCGCTGACACCTCGAGAGGCACGCGGAGTTCATTGCTTCAAAAGGTGACGATGCCTGACTCCTCTTGAATACTGATAGGAATCCCAAAATCCCTGTGGCTACTGGAAAGGGTCCTTGGGTGCCCTGCCTCACCTCGAGAAGCGTCCCTTTTGCCCTGCCAAGCCTCGAAGAGATTCCTGAGGTGTCCCTCGTTACTAGACAGGAGTCCTGACGTCACTGAAGAAACTCGTGTTTTGAAGGGCCATCCCCGCCTTAAGTCGAGAACATACACCAGGTCCCCGCCGCAACTCGAGAAAAACCATGAGACTTCCCCCTAGAGGCGAGATGAGGCCCCATTCCCCTGCAGTGCATGCAGAGCTATTCCGTGATCCCATTCAAACAAGTCAGGAGCTTCGACTTGCTTAATGGATCTCGAGACAGTCCCCAAGAACACTGTCACCAGTCTAGACGGACCCTGAGGTCACCCCAGCAGCGCAGAGCAGCTCCATGTGCCCCAAATCAACTCGAGATGAGGCCCGATTCCCCTGCATTGACTCCAGAGCCATTCCCCGTTCCCCATTCAACTCGACCGGTGGCTCGACTTCCTTCAGGCCACTGCAGAGATGCCCCGAGCACACTGTCCCAAGTCTAGAGGAACAGCAACTTCAGCACAGCAACTCGAGGAATGCTCCATGTACCCCAAATCGTCTCGAGATGAGAGCTGATTCCCTGGCTTAGGCTCAAGACGTATGCCAACTTTCCAGAAGCACCTCAGGAGGAGGCTTCTCTCAGCAATAGGTATGTGGGAGGGACCCCGAGTTTGCTGCCTCAAGGGGAACATACAGCGAGAAGCCCTAACTTGAAAGGAGGCTGGATTTCCTTGCAGTGGCTTGAATACAGGCCCGTCTTTCATCTCACAACATGAAGGGATGTCTGAATCCCCTGTGGAGACCTTAGAGAAAGCCCTAGGTCCCTGCCTCATTTTGACGGAATGCCTCACATCCCGCTGACACCTCAAGAGGAACGCGGAGTTCATTGCTTCAAAACGTGACGATGCCTGACTCCTCTTGTATACTGAGAGGAAACCCAAAATCCCTGTGGCTACTGGAAAGGGTCCTTGGGTGCCCTGCCTCACCTCGAGAAGCGTCCCTTTTGCCCTGCCAAGCCTCGAAGAGATTCCTGAGGGGTCCCTCGTTACTAGACAGGAGTCCTGACGTCACTGAAGAAACTCGTGTTTTGAAGGGCCATAACCGCCATAAGTCGAGAACATACCCCAGGTCCCCGCCGCAACTCGAGAAAAATCATGAGACTTCCCCCTAGAGGCGAGATGAGGCCCCATTCCCCTGCAGTGCATGCAGAGCTATTCCGTGATCCCATTGAAACAAATCAGGAGCTTCGACTTGCTTAATGGATCTCGAGACAGTCCCCAAGAACACTGTCACCAGTCTAGACGGACCCTGAGGTCACCCCAGCAATGCAAAGCAGCTCCATATGCCCCAAATCAACTCGAGATGAGGCCCGATTCCCCTGCATTGACTCCATAGCCATTCCCCGTTCCTCATTCAACACGACCGGTGGCTCGACTTCCTTCAGGTCACTGCAGAGATGCCCCGAGAACACTGTCCCAAGTCTAGAGGAACACCAACTTCAGCACAGCAACTCGAGGAATGCTCCGTGTACCCCAAATCGTCTCGAGATGAGAGCTGATTCCCAGGCTTAGGCTCAAGACGTATGCCAACTTTCCAGAAGCACCTCAGGAGGAGGCTTCTCTCAGCAATAGGTATGTGGGAGGGACCCCGAGTTTGCTGCCTCAAGGGGAATATACAGCGAGAAGCCCTAACTTGAAAGGAGGCCGGATTTCCTTGCAGTGGCTTGAATACAGGCACGACTTTCATCTCACAACATGAAGGGATGTCTGAATCCCCTGTGGAGACCTTAGAGAAAGCCCTAGGTCCCTGCCTCATTTTGACGGAATGCTTCACATCCCGCTGACACCTCGAGAGGCACGCGGAGTTCATTGCTTCAAAAGGTGACGATGCCTGACTCCTCTTGAATACTGATAGGAATCCCAAAATCCCTGTGGCTACTGGAAAGGGTCCTTGGGTGCCCTGCCTCACCTCGAGAAGCGTCCCTTTTGCCCTGCCAAGCTTCGAAGAGATTCCTAAGGTGTCCCTCGTTACTAGACAGGAGTCCTGACGTCACTGAAGAAACTCGTGTTTTGAAGGGCCATCCCCGCCGTAAGTCGAGAACATTCCCCAGGTCCCCGACGCAACTCGAGAAAAACCATGAGACTTCCCCCTAGAGGCGAGATGAGGCCCCTTTCCCCTGCAGTGCATGCAGAGCTATTCCGTGATCTCATTCAAACAAGTCAGGAGCTTCGACTTGCTTAATGGATCTCGAGACAGTCACCAAGAACACTGTCACCAGTCTAGACGGACCCTGAGGTCACCCCAGCAGCGCAGAGCAGCTCCATGTGCCCCAAATCAACTCGAGATGAGGCCCGATTCCCCTGCATTGACTCCAGAGCCATTCCCCGTTCCCCATTCAACACGACCGGTGGCTCGACTTCCTTCAGGCCACTGCAGAGATGCCCCGAGCACACTGTCCCAAGTCTAGAGGAACAGCAACTTCAGCACAGCAACTCGAGGAATGCTCCATGTACCCCAAATCGTCTCAAGATGAGAGCTGATTCCCTGGCTTAGGCTCAAGACGTATGCCAACTTTCCAGAAGCACCTCAGGAGGAGGCTTCTCTCAGCAATAGGTATGTGGGAGGGACCCCGAGTTTGCTGCCTCAAGGGGAACATACAGCGAGAAGCCCTAACTTGAAAGGAGGCTGGATTTCCTTGCAGTGGCTTGAATACAGGCCCGTCTTTCATCTCACAACATGAAGGGATGTCTGAATCCCCTGTGGAGACCTTAGAGAAAGCCCTAGGTCCCTGCCTCATTTTGACGGAATGCCTCACATCCCGTTAACACCTCAAGAGGAACGCGGAGTTCATTGCTTCAAAACGTGACGATGCCTGACTCCTCTTGTATACTGAGAGGAAACCCAAAATCCCTGTGGCTACTGGAAAGGGTCCTTGGGTGCCCTGCCTCACCTCGAGAAGCGTCCCTTTTGCCCTGCCAAGCCTCGAAGAGATTCCTGAGGGGTCCCTCGTTACTAGACAGGAGTCCTGACGTCACTGAAGAAACTCGTGTTTTGAAGGGCCATAACCGCCATAAGTCGAGAACATACCCCAGGTCCCCGCCGCAACTCGAGAAAAATCATGAGACTTCCCCCTAGAGGCGAGATGAGGCCCCATTCCCCTGCAGTGCATGCAGAGCTATTCCGTGATCCCATTGAAACAAATCAGGAGCTTCGACTTGCTTAATGGATCTCGAGACAGTCCCCAAGAACACTGTCACCAGTCTAGACGGACCCTGAGGTCACCCCAGCAATGCAAAGCAGCTCCATATGCCCGAAATCAACTCGAGATGAGGCCCGATTCCCCTGCATTGACTCCATAGCCATTCCCCGTTCCTCATTCAACACGACCGGTGGCTCGACTTCCTTCAGGTCACTGCAGAGATGCCCCGAGAACACTGTCCCAAGTCTAGAGGAACACCAACTTCAGCACAGCAACTCGAGGAATGCTCCGTGTACCCCAAATCGTCTCGAGATGAGAGCTGATTCCCAGGCTTAGGCTCAAGACGTATGCCAACTTTCCAGAAGCACCTCAGGAGGAGGCTTCTCTCAGCAATATGTATGTGGGAGGGACCCCGAGTTTGCTGCCTCAAGGGGAATATACAGCGAGAAGCCCTAACTTGAAAGGAGGCTGGATTTCCTTGCAGTGGCTTGAATACAGGCCCGACTTTCATCTCACAACATGAAGGGATGTCTGAATCCCCTGTGGAGATCTTAGAGAAAGCCCTAGGTCCCTGCCTCATTTTGACGGAATGCTTCACATCCCGCTGACACCTCGAGAGGCACGCGGAGTTCATTGCTTCAAAAGGTGACGATGCCTGACTCCTCTTGAATACTGATAGGAATCCCAAAATCCCTGTGGCTACTGGAAAGGGTCCTTGGGTGCCCTGCCTCACCTCGAGAAGCGTCCCTTTTGCCCTGCCAAGCTTCGAAGAGATTCCTAAGGTGTCCCTCGTTACTAGACAGGAGTCCTGACGTCACTGAAGAAACTCGTGTTTTGAAGGGCCATCCCCGCCGTAAGTCGAGAACACTCCCCAGGTCCCCGACGCAACTCGAGAAAAACCATGAGACTTCCCCCTAGAGGCGAGATGAGGCCCCTTTCCCCTGCAGTGCATGCAGAGCTATTCCGTGATCTCATTCAAACAAGTCAGGAGCTTCGACTTGCTTAATGGATCTCGAGACAGTCCCCAAGAACACTGTCACCAGTCTAGACGGACCCTGAGGTCACCCCAGCAACGCAGAGCAGCTCCATGTGCCCCAAATCAACTCGAGATGTGGCCCGATTCCCCTGCATTGACTCCAGAGCCATTCCCCGTTCCCCATTCAACACGACCGGTGGCTCGACTTCCTTCAGGCAACTCCAGAGATGCCCGGAGAACACTGTCCCAAGTCTAGAGGAACAACAACTTCAGCACAACAACTCGAGGAATGCTCCGTGTACCGCAAATCGTCTCGAGATGAGAGCTGATTCCCTTGCTTAGGCTCAAGACATATGCCAACTTTCCAGAAGCACCTCAGGACGAGGCTTCTCTCAGCAATAGGTATGTGGGAGGGACCCCGAGTTTGCTGCCTCAAGGGGAATATACAGCGAGAAGCCCTAACTTGAAAGGAGGCCGGATTTCCTTGCAGTGGCTTGAATACAGGCCCGTCTTTCATCTCACAACATGAAGGGTTGACTGAATCCCCTGTGGAGACCTTAGAGAAAGCCCTAGGTCCCTGCCTCATTTTGACGGAATGCTTCACATCCCGCTGACACCTCGAGAGGCACGCGGAGTTCATTGCTTCAAAAGGTGACGATGCCTGACTCCTCTTGAATACTGATAGGAATCCCAAAATCCCTGTGGCTACTGGAAAGGGTCCTTGGGTGCCCTGCCTCACCTCGAGAAGCGTCCCTTTTGCCCTGCCAAGCCTCGAAGAGATTCCTAAGGTGTCCCTCGTTACTAGACAGGAGTCCTGACGTCACTGAAGAAACTCGTGTTTTGAAGGGCCATCCCCGCCGTAAGTCGAGAACATTCCCCAGGTCCCCGACGCAACTCGAGAAAAACCATGAGACTTCCCCCTAGAGGCGAGATGAGGCCCCATTCCCCTGCAGTGCATGCAGAGCTATTCCGTGATCCCCATTCAAACAAGTCAGGAGCTTCGACTTGCTTAATGGATCTCGAGACAGTCCCCAAGAACACTGTCACCAGTCTAGACGGACCCTGAGGTCACCCCAGCAGCGCAGAGCAGCTCCATGTGCCCCAAATCAACTCGAGATGAGCCCCGATTCCCCTGCATTGACTCCAGAGCCATTCCCCGTTCCCCATTCAACACGACCGGTGGCTCGACTTCCTTCAGGCCACTGCAGAGATGCCCCGAGCACACTGTCCCAAGTCTAGAGGAACACCAACTTCAGCACAGCAACTCGAGGAATGCTCCGTGTACCGCAAATCGTCTCGAGATGAGACCTGATTCCCTGGCTTAGGCTCAAGACGTATGCCAACTTTCCAGAAGCACCTCAGGAGGAGGCTTCTCTCAGCAATAGGTATGTGGGAGGGACCCCGAGTTTCCTGCCTCAAGGGGAACATACAGCGAGAAGCCCTAACTTGAAAGGAGGCCGGATTTCTTTGCAGTGGCTTGAATACAGGCCTGTCTTTCATCTCACAACATGAAGGGATGTCTGAATCCCCTGTGGAGACCTTAGAGAAAGCCCTAGGTCCCTGCCTCATTTTGACGGAATGCCTCACATCCCGCTGACACCTCGAGAGGCACACGGAGTTCATTGCTTCAAAAGGTGACGATGCCTGACTCCTCTTGAATACTGATAGGAATACCAAAATCCCTGTGGCTACTGGAAAGGGTCCTTGGGTGCCCTGCCTCACCTCGAGAAGCGTCCCTTTTGCCCTGCCAAGCCTCGAAGAGATTCCTGAGGTGTCCCTCGTTACCAGACAGGAGTCCTGACGTCACTGAAGAAACTCGTGTTTTGAGGGGCCATCCCCGCCTTAAGTCGAGAACATACACCAGGTCCCCGCCGCAACTCGAGAAAAACCATGAGACTTCCCCCTAGAGGCGAGATGAGGCCCCATTCCCCTGCAGTGCATGCAGAGATATTCCGTGATCCCATTCAAACAAGTCAGGAGCTTCGACTTGCTTAATGGATCTCGAGACAGTCCCCAAGAACACTGTCACCAGTCTAGACGGATCCTGAGGTCACCCCAGCAGCGCAGAGCAGCTCCATGTGCCTCAAATCAACTCGAGATGAGGCCCAATTCCCCTGCATTGACTCCAGAGCCATTCCCCGTTCCCCATTCAACACGACCGGTGGCTCGACTTCCTTCAGGCCACTGTAGAGATGCCCCGAGCACACTGTCGCAAGTCTAGAGGAACACCAACTTCAGCACAGCAACTCGAGGAATGCTCCGTGTACCCCAAATCGTCTCGAGATGAGAGTTGATTCCCTGGCTTAGGCTCAAGACGTATGCCAACTTTCCAGAAGCACCTCAGGGGGAGGCTTCTCTCAACAATAGGTATGTGGGAGGGACCCCGAGTTTGCTGCCTCAAGGGGAACATACAGCGAAAAGCCCTAACTTGAAAGGAGGCCGGATTTCCTTGCAGTGGCTTGAATACAGGCCCGTCTTTCATCTCACAACATGAAGGGATGTCTGAATCCCCTGTGGAGACCTTAGAGAAAGCCCTAGGTGCCTGCCTCATTTTGACGGAATGCCTCACATCCCGCTGACACCTCGAGAGGCACACGGAGTTCATTGCTTCAAAAGTTGACGATGCCTGACTCCTCTTGAATACTGATAGGAATCCCAAAATCCCTGTGGCTACTGGAAAGGGTCCTTGGGTGCCCTGCCTCACCTCGAGAAGCGTCCCTTTTGCCCGGCCAAGCCTCGAAGAGATTCCTGAGGTGTCCCTCGTTACTAGTCAGGAGTCCTGACGTCACTGAAGAAACTCTTGTTTTGAAGGGCCATCCCCGCCGTAAGTCGAGAACATTCCCCAGGTCCCCGACGCAACTCGAGAAAAACCATGAGACTTCCCCCTAGAGGCGAGATGAGGCCCCTTTCCCCTGCAGTGCATGCAGAGCTATTCCGTGATCCCATTCAAACAAGTCAGGAGCTTCGACTTGCTTAATGGATCTCGAGACAGTCCCCAAGAACACTGTAACCAGTCTAGACGGACCCTGAGGTCACCCCAGCAGCGCAGAGCAGCTCCATGTGCCCCAAATCAACTCGAGATGAGGCCCGATTCCCCTGCATTGACTCCAGAGCCATTCCCCGTTCCCCATTCAACGCGACCGGTGGCTCGACTTCCTTCAGGCCACTGCAGAGATGCCCCGAGCACACTGTCCCAAGTCTAGAGGAACACCAACTTCAGCACAGCAACTCGAGGAATGCTCCGTGTACCCCAAATCGTCTCGAGATGAGAGCTGATTCCCTGGCTTAGGCTCAAGACGTATGCCAACTTTCCAGAAGCACCTCAGGAGGAGGCTTCTCTCAGCAATAGGTATGTGGGAGGGACCCCGAGTTTGCTGCCTCAAGGGGAATATACAGCGAGAAGCCCTAACTTGAAAGGAGGCCGGATTTCCTTGCAGTGGCTTGAATACAGGCCCGTCTTTCATCTCACAACATGAAGGGATGTCTGAATCCCCTTTGGAGACCTTAGAGAAAGCCCTAGGTGCCTGCCTCATTTTGACGGAATGCCTCACATCCCGCTGACACCTCGAGAGGCACACGGAGTTCATTGCTTCAAAAGTTGACGATGCCTGACTCCTCTTGAATACTGATAGGAATCCCAAAATCCCTGTGGCTACTGGAAAGGGTCCTTGGGTGCCCTGCCTCACCTCGAGAAGCGTCCCCTTTGCCCTGCCAAGCCTCGAAGAGATTCCTGAGGTGTCCCTCGTTACTAGTCAGGAGTCCTGACGTCACTGAAGAAACTCGTGTTTTGAAGGGCCATCCCCGCCGTAAGTCGAGAACATATCCCGGGTCCCCGCCGCAACTCGAGAAAAAACATGAGACTTCCCCCTAGAGGCGAGATGAGGCCCCATTCCCCTGCAGTGCATACAGAGCTATTCCGTGATCCCATTCAAACAAGTCAGGAGCTTCGACTTGCTTAATGGATCTCGAGACAGTCACCAAGAACACTGTCACCAGTCTAGACGGACCCTGAGGTTACCCCAGCAACGCAAAGCAGCTCCATGTGCCCGAAATCAACTCGAGATGAGGCCCGATTCCCCTGCATTGACTCCAGAGCCATTCCCCGTTCCCCATTCAACACGACCGGTGGTTCGATTTCCTTCAGGCAACTCCAGAGATGCCCCGAGAACACTGTCCCAAGTCTAGAGGAACAACAACTTCATCACAACTACTCGAGGAATGCTCCGTGTACCCCAAATCGTCTCGAGATGAGAACTGATTCCCTGGCTTAGGCTCAAGACATATGCCACCTTTCCAGAAGCACCTCAGGACGAGGCTTCTCTCAGCAATAGGTATGTGGGAAGGACCCCGAGTTTGCTGCCTCAAGGGGAATATACACCGAGAAGCCCTAACTTGAAAGGAGGCCGGATTTCCTTGCAGTGGCTTGAATACAGGCCCGACTTTCATCTCACAACATGAAGGGATGTCTGAATCCCCTGTGGAGACCTTAGAGAAAGCCCTAGGTCCCTGCCTCATTTTGACGGAATGCTTCACATCCCGCTGACACCTCGAGAGGCACGCGGAGTTCATTGCTTCAAAAGGTGACGATGCCTGACTCCTCTTGAATACTGATAGGAATCCCAAAATCCCTGTGGCTACTGGAAAGGGTCCTTGGGTGCCCTGCCTCACCTCGAGAAGCGTCCCTTTTGCCCTGCCAAGCCTCGAAGAGATTCCTAAGGTGTCCCTCGTTACTAGACAGGAGTCCTGACGTCACTGAAGAAACTCGTGTTTTGAAGGGCCATCCCCGCCGTAAGTCGAGAACATTCCCCAGGTCCCCGACGCAACTCGAGAAAAACCATGAGACTTCCCCCTAGAGGCGAGATGAGGCCCCTTTCCCCTGCAGTGCATGCAGAGCTATTCCGTGATCCCATTCAAACAAGTCAGGAGCTTCGACTTGCTTAATGGATCTCGAGACAGTCCCCAAGAACACTGTAACCAGTCTAGACGGACCCTGAGGTCACCCCAGCAGCGCAGAGCAGCTCCATGTGCCCCAAATCAACTCGAGATGAGGCCCGATTCCCCTGCATTGACTCCAGAGCCATTCCCCGTTCCCCATTCAACGCGACCGGTGGCTCGACTTCCTTCAGGCCACTGCAGAGATGCCCCGAGCACACTGTCCCAAGTCTAGAGGAACACCAACTTCAGCACAGCAACTCGAGGAATGCTCCGTGTACCACAAATAGTCTCGAGATGAGAGCTGATTCCCTGGCTTAGGCTCAAGACGTATGCCAACTTTCCAGAAGCACCTCAGGAGGAGGCTTCTCTCAGCAATAGGTATGTGGGAGGGACCCCGAGTTTGCTGCCTCAAGGGGAACATACAGCGAGAAGCCCTAACTTGAAAGGAGGCCGGATTTCCTTGCAGTGGCTTGAATACAGGCCCGTCTTTCATCTCACAACATGAAGGGATGTCTGAATCCCCTGTGGAGACCTTAGAGAAAGCCCTAGGTCCCTGCCTCATTTTGACGGAATGCCTCACATCCCGCTGACACCTCGAGAGGCACAAGGAGTTCATTGCTTCAAAAGGTGACGATGCCTGACTCCTCTTGAATACTGATAGGAATCCCAAAATCCCTGTGGCTACTGGAAAGGGTCCTTGGGTGCCCTGCCTCACCTCGAGAAGCGTCCCTTTTGCCCTGCCAAGCCTCGAAGAGATTCCTGAGGTGTCCCTCGTTACTAAACAGGAGTCCTGACGTCACTGAAGAAACTCGTGTTTTGAAGGGCCATCCCCGCCGTAAGTCGAGAACATACCCCAGGTCCCCGCCGCAACTCGAGAAAAACCATGAGACTTCCCCCTAGAGGCGAGATGAGGCCCCATTCCCCTGCAGTGCATGCAGAGCTACTCCGTGATCCCATTCAAACAAGTCAGGAGCTTCGACTTGCTTAATGGATCTCGAGAGAGTCCCCAAGAACACTGTCACCAGTCTAGACGGACCCTGAGGTCACCCCAGCAACGCAAAGCAGCTCTATGTGCCCCAAATCAACTCGAGATGAGGCCCGATTCCCCTGCATTGACTCCAGAGCCTTTCCCCGTTCCCCATTCAACACGACTGGTGGCTCGACTTCCTTCAGGCCACTCCAGAGATGCCCCGAGATCACTGTCCCAAGTCTAGAGGAACACCAACTTCAGCAGAGCAACTCGAGGAATGCTCCGTGTACCCCAAATCACATCGAGATGAGAGCTGATTCCCTGGCTTAGGCTCAAGACGTATGGCAACTTTCCAGAAGCATCTCAGGAGGAGGCTTCTCTCAGCAATAGGTATGTGGGAGGGACCCCGAGTTTGCTGCCTCAAGGGGAATATACAGCGAGAAGCCCTAACTTGAAAGGAGGCCGGATTTCCTTGCAGTGGCTTGAATACAGGCCCGTCTTTCATCTCACAACATGAAGGGATGTCTGAATCCCCTGTGGAGACCTTAGAGAAAGCCCTAGGTCCCTGCCTCATTTTGACGGAATGCCTCACATCCCGCTGACACCTCGAGAGGCACACGGAGTTCATTGCTTCAAAAGTTGACGATGCCTGACTCCTCTTGAATACGGATAGGAATCCCAAAATCCCTGTGGCTACTGGAAAGGGTCCTTGGGTGCCCTGCCTCACCTCGAGAAGCGTCCCTTTTGCCCTGCCAAGCCTCGAAGAGATTCCTGAGGTGTCCCTCGTTACTAGTCAGGAGTCCTGACGTCACTGAAGAAACTCGTGTTTTGAAGGGCCATCCCCGCCCTAAGTCGAGAACATATCCCGGGTCCCCGCCACAACTCGAGAAAAAACATGAGACTTCCCCCTAGAGGCGAGATGAGGCCCCATTCCCCTGCAGTGCATACAGAGCTATTCCGTGACCCCTTTAAACAAGTCAGGAGCTTCGACTTGCTTAATGGATCTCGAGACAGTCCCCAAGAACACTGTCACCAGTCTAGACGGACCCTGAGGTTACCCCAGCAACGCAAAGCAGCTCCATGTGCCCCAAATCAACTCGAGATGAGCCCCGATTCCCCTGCATTGACTCCAGAGCCATTCCCCGTTCCCCATTCAACACAACCGGTGGCTCGACTTCCTTCAGGCAACTCCAGAGATGCCCCGAGAACACTGTCCCAAGTCTAGAGGAACAACAACTTCAGCAAAACAACTCGAGGAATGCTCCGTGTACCCCAAATCGTCTCGAGATGAGAGCTGATTCCCTGGCTTAGGCTCAAGACGTATGCCAACTTTCCAGAAGCACCTCAGGACGAGGCTTCTCCCAGCAATAGGTATGTGGGAGGGACCCCGAATTTGCTGCCTCAAGGGGAATATACAGCGAGAAGCCCTAACTTGAAAGGAGGCCGGATTTCCTTGCAGTGGCTTGAATACAGGCCCGTCTTTCATCTCACAACATGAAGGGATGTCTGAATCCCCTGTGGAGACCTTAGAGAAAGCCCTAGGTCCCTGCCTCATTTTGACGGAATGCCTCACATCCCGCTGACACCTCGAGAGGCACGCGGAGTTCATTGCTTCAAAAGGTGACAATGCCTGACTCCTCTTGAATACTGATAGGAATCCCAAAATCCCTGTGGCTACTGGAATGGGTCCTTGGGTGCCCTGCCTCACCTCGAGAAGCGTCCCTTTTGCCCTGCCAAGCCTCCAAGAGATTCCTGAGGTGTCCCTCGTTACTAGTCAGGAGTCCTGACGTCACTGAAGAAACTCGTGTTTTGAAGGGCCATCCCCGCCGTAAGTCGAGAACATACCCCAGGTCCCCGCCGCAACTCGAGAAGAACCATGAGACTTCCCCCTAGAGGCGAGATGAGGCCCCATTCCCATGCAGTGCATGCAGAGCTATTCCGTGATCCCATTCAAACAAGTCAGGAGCTTCTACTTGCTTAATGGATCTCGAGACAGTCCCCAAGAACACTGTCACCAGTCTAGACGGACCCTGAGGTTACCCCAGCAACGCAAAGCAGCTCCATGTGCCCCAAATCAACTCGAGATGAGGCCCGATTCCCCTGCATTGACTCCAGAGCCATTCCCCGTTCCCCATTCAACACGACCGGTGGCTCGACTTCCTTCAGGCAACTCCAGAGATGCCCCGAGAACACTGTCCCAAGTCTAGAGGAACAACAACTTCATCACAACAACTCGAGGAATGCTCCGTGTACCCCAAATCGTCTCGAGATGAGAGCTGATTCCCTGGCTTAGGCTCAAGACATTTGCCAACTTTCCAGAAGCACATCAGGACGAGGCTTCTCTCAGCAATAGGTATGTGGGAGGGACCCCGAGTTTGCTGCCTCAAGGGGAATATACAGCGAGAAGCCCTAACTTGAAAGGAGGCCGGATTTCCTTGCAGTGGCTTGAATACAGGCCCGTCTTTCATCTCACAACATGAAGGGATGTCTGAATCCCCTGTGGAGACCTTAGAGAAAGCCCTAGGTCCCTACCTCATTTTGACGGAATGCTTCACATCCCGCTGACACCTCGAGAGGCACGCGGAGTTCATTGCTTCAAAAGGTGACGATGCCTGACTCCTCTTGAATACTGATAGGAATCCCAAAATCCCTGTGGCTACTGGAAAGGGTCCTTGGGTGCCCTGCCTCACCTCGAGAAGCGTCCCTTTTGCCCTGCCAAGCCTCGAAGAGATTCCTGAGGTGTCCCTCGTTACTAGACAGGAGTCCTGACGTCACTGAAGAAACTCGTGTTTTGAAGGGCCATCCCCGCCTTAAGTCGAGAACATACACCAGGTCCCCGCCGCAACTCGAGAAAAACCATGAGACTTCCCCCTAGAGGCGAGATGAGGCCCCATTCCCCTGCAGTGCATGCAGAGCTATTCCGTGATCCCATTCAAACAAGTCAGGAGCTTCGACTTGCTTAATGGATCTCGAGACAGTCACCAAGAACACTGTCACCAGTCTAGACGGACCCTGAGGTCACCCCAGCAGCGCAGAGCAGCTCCATGTGCCCCAAATCAACTCGAGATGAGGCCCGATTCCCCTGCATTGACTCCAGAGCCATTCCCCGTTCCCCATTCAACACGACCGGTGGCTCGACTTCCTTCAGGCCACTGCAGAGATGCCCCGAGCACACTGTCCCAAGTCTAGAGGAACAGCAACTTCAGCACAGCAACTCGAGGAATGCTCCATGTACCCCAAATCGTCTCGAGATGAGAGCTGATTCCCTGGCTTAGGCTCAAGACGTATGCCAACTTTCCAGAAGCACCTCAGGAGGAGGCTTCTCTCAGCAATAGGTATGTGGGAGGGACCCCGAGTTTGCTGCCTCAAGGGGAACATACAGCGAGAAGCCCTTACTTGAAAGGAGGCTGGATTTCCTTGCAGTGGCTTGAATACAGGCCCGTCTTTCATCTCACAACATGAAGGGATGTCTGAATCCCCTGTGGAGACCTTAGAGAAAGCCCTAGGTCCCTGCCTCATTTTGACGGAATGCCTCACATCCCGCTGACACCTCAAGAGGAACGCGGAGTTCATTGCTTCAAAACGTGACGATGCCTGACTCCTCTTGTATACTGAGAGGAAACCCAAAATCCCTGTGGCTACTGGAAAGGGTCCTTGGGTGCCCTGCCTCACCTCGAGAAGCGTCCCTTTTGCCCTGCCAAGCCTCGAAGAGATTCCTGAGGGGTCCCTCGTTACTAGACAGGAGTCCTGACGTCACTGAAGAAACTCGTGTTTTGAAGGGCCATAACCGCCATAAGTCGAGAACATACCCCAGGTCCCCGCCGCAACTCGAGAAAAATCATGAGACTTCCCCCTAGAGGCGAGATGAGGCCCCATTCCCCTGCAGTGCATGCAGAGCTATTCCGTGATCCCATTGAAACAAATCAGGAGCTTCGACTTGCTTAATGGATCTCGAGACAGTCCCCAAGAACACTGTCACCAGTCTAGACGGACCCTGAGGTCACCCCAGCAATGCAAAGCAGCTCCATATGCCCCAAATCAACTCGAGATGAGGCCCGATTCCCCTGCATTGACTCCAGAGCCATTCCCCGTTCCTCATTCAACACGACCGGTGGCTCGACTTCCTTCAGGTCACTGCAGAGATGCCCCGAGAACACTGTCCCAAGTCTAGAGGAACACCAACTTCAGCACAGCAACTCGAGGAATGCTCCGTGTACCCCAAATCGTCTCGAGATGAGAGCTGATTCCCAGGCTTAGGCTCAAGACGTATGCCAACTTTCCAGAAGCACCTCAGGAGGAGGCTTCTCTCAGCAATAGGTATGTGGGAGGGACCCCGAGTTTGCTGCCTCAAGGGGAATATACAGCGAGAAGCCCTAACTTGAAAGGAGGCCGGATTTCCTTGCAGTGGCTTGAATACAGGCCCGACTTTCATCTCACAACATGAAGGGATGTCTGAATCCCCTGTGGAGACCTTAGAGAAAGCCCTAGGTCCCTGCCTCATTTTGACGGAATGCTTCACATCCCGCTGACACCTCGAGAGGCACGCGGACTTCATTGCTTCAAAAGGTGACGATGCCTGACTCCTCTTGAATACTGATAGGAATCCCAAAATCCCTGTGGCTACTGGAAAGGGTCCTTGGGTGCCCTGCCTCACCTCGAGAAGCGTCCCTTTTGCCCTGCCAAGCTTCGAAGTGATTCCTAAGGTGTCCCTCGTTACTAGACAGGATTCCTGACGTCACTGAAGAAACTCGTGTTTTGAAGGGCCATCCCCGCCGTAAGTCGAGAACATTCCCCAGGTCCCCGACGCAACTCGAGAAAAACCATGAGACTTCCCCCTAGAGGCGAGATGAGGCCCCATTACCCTGCAGTGCATGCAGAGCTATTCCGTGATCCCATTCAAACAAGTCAGGAGCTTCGACTTGCTTAATGGATCTCGAGACAGTCCCCAAGAACACTGTCACCAGTCTAGACGGACCCTGAGGTCACCCCAGCAGCGCAGAGCAGCTCCATGTGCCCCAAATCAACTCGAGATGAGGCCCGATTCCCCTGCATTGACTCCAGAGCCATTCCCCGTTCCCCATTCAACACGACCGGTGGCTCGACTTCCTTCAGGCAACTCCAGAGATGCCCCGAGAACACTGTCCCAAGTCTAGAGGAACAACAACTTCAGCATAACAACTCGAGGAATGCTCCGTGTACCCCAAATCGTCTCGAGATGAGAGCTGATTCCCTAGCTTAGCCTCAAGACATATGCCAACTTTCCAGAAGCACCTCAGGACGAGGCTTCTCTCAGCAATAAGTATGTGGGAGGGACCCCGAGTTTGCTGCCTCAAGGGGAATATACAGCGAGAAGCCCTAACTTGAAAGGAGGCCGGATTTCCTTGCAGTGGCTTGAATACAGGCCCGTCTTTCATCTCACAACATGAAGGGATGTCTGAATCCCCTGTGGAGACCTTAGAGAAAGCCCTAGGTCCCTGCCTCATTTTGACGGAATGCTTCACATCCCGCTGACACCTCGAGAGGCACACGGAGTTCATTGCTTCAAAATGTGACGATGCCTGACTCCTCTTGAATACTGATAGGAATCCCAAAATCCCTGTGGCTACTGGAAAGGGTCCTTGGGTGCCTTGCCTCACCTCGAGAAGCGTCCCGTTTGCCCTGCCAAGCCTCGAAGAGATTCCTGAGGTGTCCCTCGTTACCAGACAGGAGTCCTGACGTCACTGAAGAAACTCGTGTTTTGAGGGGCCATCCCCGCCTTAAGTCGAGAACATACACCAGGTCCCCGCCGCAACTCGAGAAAAACCATGAGACTTCCCCCTAGAGGCGAGATGAGGCCCCATTCCCCTGCAGTGCATGCAGAGCTATTCCGTGATCCCATTCAAACAAGTCAGGAGCTTCGACTTGCTTAATGGATCTCGAGACAGTCCCCAAGAACACTGTCACCAGTCTAGACGGACCCTGAGGTCACCCCAGCAGCGCAGAGCAGCTCCATGTGCCTCAAATCAACTCGAGATGAGGCCCAATTCCCCTGCATTGACTCCAGAGCCATTCCCCGTTCCCCATTCAACACGACCGGTGGCTCGACTTCCTTCAGGCCACTGTAGAGATGCCCCGAGCACACTGTCCCAAGTCTAGAGGAACACCAACTTCAGCACAGGAACTCGAGGAATGCTCCGTGTACCCCAAATCGTCTCGAGATGAGAGCTGATTCCCTGGCTTAGGCTCAAGAGGTATGCCAACTTTCCAGAAGCACCTCAGGGGGAGGCTTCTCTCAGCAATAGGTATGTGGGAGGGACCCCGAGTTTGCTGCCTCAAGGGGAACATACAGCGAGAAGCCCTAACTTGAAAGGAGGCCGGATTTCCTTGCAGTGGCTTGAATACAGGCCCGTCTTTCATCTCACAACATGAAGGGATGTCTGAATCCCCTGTGGAGACCTTAGAGAAAGCCCTAGGTGCCTGCCTCATTTTGACGGAATGCCTCACATCCCGCTGACACCTCGAGAGGCACACGGAGTTCATTGCTTCAAAAGTTGACGATGCCTGACTCCTCTTGAATACTGATAGGAATCCCAAAATCCCTGTGGCTACTGGAAAGGGTCCTTGGGTGCCCTGCCTCACCTCGAGAAGCGTCCCTTTTGCCCGGCCAAGCCTCGAAGAGATTCCTGAGGTGTCCCTCGTTACTAGTCAGGAGTCCTGACGTCACTGAAGAAACTCGTGTTTTGAAGGGCCATCCCCGCCGTAAGTCGAGAACATATCCCAGGTCCCCGCCGCAACTCGAGAAAAATCATGAGACTTCCCCCTAGAGGCGAGATGAGGCCCCATTCCCCTGCAGGGCATGCAGAGCTATTCCGTGATCCCATTGAAACAAATCAGGAGCTTCGACTTGCTTAATGGATCTCGAGACAGTCCCCAAGAACACTGTCACCAGTCTAGACGGACCCTGAGGTCACCCCAGCAGCGCAGAGCAGCTCCATGTGGCCCAAATCAACTCGAGATGAGGCCCGATTCCCCTGCATTGACTCCAGAGCCATTCCCCGTTCCCCATTCAACACGAACGGTGGCTCGACTTACTTCAGGCCAATGCAGAGATGCCCCGAGCACACTGTCCCAAGTCTAGAGGAACACCAACTTCAGCACAGCAACTCGAGGAATGCTCCGTGTACCACAAATCGTCTCGAGATGAGAGCTGATTCCCAGGCTTAGGCTCAAGACGTATGCCAACTTTCCAGAAGCACCTCAGGAGGAGGCTTCTCTCAGCAATTGGTATGTGGGAGGGACCCCGAGTTTGCTGCCTCAAGGGGAATATACAGCAAGAAGCCCTAACTTGAAAGGAGGCCGGATTTCCTTGCAGTGGCTTGAATACAGGCCCGACTTTCATCTCACAACATGAAGGGATGTCTGAATCCCCTGTGGAGACCTTAGAGAAAGCCCTAGGTCCCTGCCTCATTTTGACGGAATGCTTCACATCCCGCTGACACCTCGAGAGGCACGCGGAGTTCATTGCTTCAAAAGGTGACGATGCCTGACTCCTCTTGAATACTGATAGGAATCCCAAAATCCCTGTGGCTACTGGAAAGGGTCCTTGGGTGCCCTGCCTCACCTCGAGAAGCGTCCCTTTTGCCCTGCCAAGCTTCGAAGAGATTCCTAAGGTGTCCCTCGTTACTAGACAGGATTCCTGACGTCACTGAAGAAACTCGTGTTTTGAAGGGCCATCCCCGCCGTAAGTCGAGAACATTCCCCAGGTCCCCGACGCAACTCGAGAAAAACCATGAGACTTCCCCCTAGAGGCGAGATGAGGCCCCATTACCCTGCAGTGCATGCAGAGCTATTCCGTGATCCCATTCAAACAAGTCAGGAGCTTCGACTTGCTTAATGGATCTCGAGACAGTCCCCAAGAACACTGTCACCAGTCTAGACGGACCCTGAGGTCACCCCAGCAGCGCAGAGCAGCTCCATGTGCCCCAAATCAACTCGAGATGAGGCCCGATTCCCCTGCATTGACTCCAGAGCCATTCCCCGTTCCCCATTCAACACGACCGGTGGCTCGACTTCCTTCAGGCCACTGCAGAGATGCCCCGAGCACACTGTCCCAAGTCTAGAGGAACACCAACTTCAGCACAGCAACTCGAGGAATGCTCCGTGTACCCCAAATCGTCTCGAGATGAGAGCTGATTCCCTGGCTTAGGCTCAAGACGTATGCCAACTTTCCAGAAGCACCTCAGGAGGAGGCTTCTCTCAGCAATAGGTATGTGGGAGGGACCCCGAGTTTGCTGCCTCAAGGGGAACATACAGCGAGAAGCCCTAACTTGAAAGGAGGCCGGATTTCCTTGCAGTGGCTTGAATACAGGCCCGTCTTTCATCTCACAACATGAAGGGATGTCTGAATCCCCTGTGGAGACCTTAGAGAAAGCCCTAGGTCCCTGCCTCATTTTGACGTAATGCCTCACATCCCGCTGACACCTCGAGAGGCACACGGAGTTCATTGATTCAAAAGGTGACGATGCCTGACTCCTCTTGAATACTGATAGGAAATCCCAAAATCCCTGTGGCTACTGGAAAGGGTCCTTGGGTGCCCTGCCTCACCTCGAGAAGCGTCCCTTTTGCCCTGCCAAGCCTCGAAGAGATTCCTGAGGTGTCCCTCGTTACTAGACAGGAGTCCTGACGTCACTGAAGAAACTCGTGTTTTGAAGGGCCATCCCCGCCTTAAGTCGAGAACATACACCAGGTCCCCGCCGCAAGTCGAGAAAAACCATGAGACTTCCCCCTAGAGGCGAGATGAGGCCCCATTCCCCTGCAGTGCATGCAGAGCTATTCCGTGATCCCATTCAAACAAATCAGGAGCTTCGACTTGCTTAATGGATCTCGAGACAGTCCCCAAGAACACTGTCACCAGTCTAGACGGACCCTGAGGTCACCCCAGCAGCGCAGAGCAGCTCCATGTGCCCCAAATCAACTCGAGATGAGGCCCGATTCCCCTGCATTGACTCCAGAGCCATTCCCCGTTCCCCATTCAACACGACCGGTGGCTCGACTTCCTTCAGGCCACTGCAGAGATGCCCCGAGCACACTGTCCCAAGTCTAGAGGAACAGCAACTTCAGCACAGCAACTCGAGGAATGCTCCATGTACCCCAAATCGTCTCGAGATGAGAGCTGATTCCCTGGCTTAGGCTCAAGACGTATGCCAACTTTCCAGAAGCACCTCAGGAGGAGGCTTCTCTCAGCAATAGGTATGTGGGAGGGACCCCGAGTTTGCTGCCTCAAGGGGAACATACAGCGAGAAGCCCTAACTTGAAAGGAGGCTGGATTTCCTTGCAGTGGCTTGAATACAGGCCCGTCTTTCATCTCACAACATGAAGGGATGTCTGAATCCCCTGTGGAGACCTTAGAGAAAGCCCTAGGTCCCTGCCTCATTTTGACGGAATGCCTCACATCCCGCTGACACCTCAAGAGGAACGCGGAGTTCATTGCTTCAAAACGTGACGATGCCTGACTCCTCTTGTATACTGAGAGGAAACCCAAAATCCCTGTGGCTACTGGAAAGGGTCCTTGGGTGCCCTGCCTCACCTCGAGAAGCGTCCCTTTTGCCCTGCCAAGCCTCGAAGAGATTCCTGAGGGGTCCCTCGTTACTAGACAGGAGTCCTGACGTCACTGAAGAAACTCGTGTTTTGAAGGGCCATAACCGCCATAAGTCGAGAACATACCCCAGGTCCCCGCCGCAACTCGAGAAAAATCATGAGACTTCCCCCTAGAGGCGAGATGAGGCCCCATTCCCCTGCAGTGCATGCAGAGCTATTCCGTGATCCCATTGAAACAAATCAGGAGCTTCGACTTGCTTAATGGATCTCGAGACAGTCCCCAAGAACACTGTCACCAGTCTAGACGGACCCTGAGGTCACCCCAGCAATGCAAAGCAGCTCCATATGCCCCAAATCAACTCGAGATGAGGCCCGATTCCCCTGCATTGACTCCATAGCCATTCCCCGTTCCTCATTCAACACGACCGGTGGCTCGACTTCCTTCAGGTCACTGCAGAGATGCCCCGAGAACACTGTCCCAAGTCTAGAGGAACACCAACTTCAGCACAGCAACTCGAGGAATGCTCCGTGTACCCCAAATCGTCTCGAGATGAGAGCTGATTCCCAGGCTTAGGCTCAAGACGTATGCCAACTTTCCAGAAGCACCTCAGGAGGAGGCTTCTCTCAGCAATAGGTATGTGGGAGGGACCCCGAGTTTGCTGCCTCAAGGGGAATATACAGCGAGAAGCCCTAACTTGAAAGGAGGCTGGATTTCCTTGCAGTGGCTTGAATACAGGCCCGACTTTCATCTCACAACATGAAGGGATGTCTGAATCCCCTGTGGAGACCTTAGAGAAAGCCCTAGGTCCCTGCCTCATTTTGACGGAATGCTTCACATCCCGCTGACACCTCGAGAGGCACGCGGAGTTCATTGCTTCAAAAGGTGACGATGCCTGACTCCTCTTGAATACTGATAGGAATCCCAAAATCCCTGTGGCTACTGGAAAGGGTCCTTGGGTGCCCTGCCTCACCTCGAGAAGCGTCCCTTTTGCCCTGCCAAGCTTCGAAGAGATTCCTAAGGTGTCCCTCGTTACTAGACAGGATTCCTGACGTCACTGAAGAAACTCGTGTTTTGAAGGGCCATCCCCGCCGTAAGTCGAGAACATTCCCCAGGTCCCCGACGCAACTCGAGAAAAACCATGAGACTTCCCCCTAGAGGCGAGATGAGGCCCCTTTCCCCTGCAGTGCATGCAGAGCTATTCCGTGATCTCATTCAAACAAGTCAGGAGCTTCGACTTGCTTAATGGATCTCGAGACAGTCACCAAGAACACTGTCACCAGTCTAGACGGACCCTGAGGTCACCCCAGCAGCGCAGAGCAGCTCCATGTGCCCCAAATCAACTCGAGATGAGGCCCGATTCCCCTGCATTGACTCCAGAGCCATTCCCCGTTCCCCATTCAACACGACCGGTGGCTCGACTTCCTTCAGGCCACTGCAGAGATGCCCCGAGCACACTGTCCCAAGTCTAGAGGAACAGCAACTTCAGCACAGCAACTCGAGGAATGCTCCATGTACCCCAAATCGTCTCAAGATGAGAGCTGATTCCCTGGCTTAGGCTCAAGACGTATGCCAACTTTCCAGAAGCACCTCAGGAGGAGGCTTCTCTCAGCAATAGGTATGTGGGAGGGACCCCGAGTTTGCTGCCTCAAGGGGAACATACAGCGAGAAGCCCTAACTTGAAAGGAGGCTGGATTTCCTTGCAGTGGCTTGAATACAGGCCCGTCTTTCATCTCACAACATGAAGGGATGTCTGAATCCCCTGTGGAGACCTTAGAGAAAGCCCTAGGTCCCTGCCTCATTTTGACGGAATGCCTCACATCCCGTTGACACCTCAAGAGGAACGCGGAGTTCATTGCTTCAAAACGTGACGATGCCTGACTCCTCTTGTATACTGAGAGGAAACCCAAAATCCCTGTGGCTACTGGAAAGGGTCCTTGGGTGCCCTGCCTCACCTCGAGAAGCGTCCCTTTTGCCCTGCCAAGCCTCGAAGAGATTCCTGAGGGGTCCCTCGTTACTAGACAGGAGTCCTGACGTCACTGAAGAAACTCGTGTTTTGAAGGGCCATCCCCGCCGTAAGTCGAGAACATTCCCCAGGTCCCCGACGCAACTCGAGAAAAACCATGAGACTTCCCCCTAGAGGCGAGATGAGGCCCCTTTCCCCTGCAGTGCATGCAGAGCTATTCCGTGATCTCATTCAAACAAGTCAGGAGCTTCGACTTGCTTAATGGATCTCGAGACAGTCACCAAGAACACTGTCACCAGTCTAGACGGACCCTGAGGTCACCCCAGCAGCGCAGAGCAGCTCCATGTGCCCCAAATCAACTCGAGATGAGGCCCGATTCCCCTGCATTGACTCCAGAGCCATTCCCCGTTCCCCATTCAACACGACCGGTGGCTCGACTTCCTTCAGGACACTGCAGAGATGCCCCGAGCACACTGTCCCAAGTCTAGAGGAACAGCAACTTCAGCACAGCAACTCGAGGAATGCTCCATGTACCCCAAATCGTCTCAAGATGAGAGCTGATTCCCTGGCTTAGGCTCAAGACGTATGCCAACTTTCCAGAAGCACCTCAGGAGGAGGCTTCTCTCAGCAATAGGTATGTGGGAGGGACCCCGAGTTTGCTGCCTCAAGGGGAACATACAGCGAGAAGCCCTAACTTGAAAGGAGGCTGGATTTCCTTGCAGTGGCTTGAATACAGGCCCGTCTTTCATCTCACAACATGAAGGGATGTCTGAATCCCCTGTGGAGACCTTAGAGAAAGCCCTAGGTCCCTGCCTCATTTTGACGGAATGCCTCACATCCCGTTGACACCTCAAGAGGAACGCGGAGTTCATTGCTTCAAAACGTGACGATGCCTGACTCCTCTTGTATACTGAGAGGAAACCCAAAATCCCTGTGGCTACTGGAAAGGGTCCTTGGGTGCCCTGCCTCACCTCGAGAAGCGTCCCTTTTGCCCTGCCAAGCCTCGAAGAGATTCCTGAGGGGTCCCTCGTTACTAGACAGGAGTCCTGACGTCACTGAAGAAACTCGTGTTTTGAAGGGCCATAACCGCCATAAGTCGAGAACATACCCCAGGTCCCCGCCGCAACTCGAGAAAAATCATGAGACTTCCCCCTAGAGGCGAGATGAGGCCCCATTCCCCTGCAGTGCATGCAGAGCTATTCCGTGATCCCATTGAAACAAATCAGGAGCTTCGACTTGCTTAATGGATCTCGAGACAGTCCCCAAGAACACTGTCACCAGTCTAGACGGACCCTGAGGTCACCCCAGCAATGCAAAGCAGCTCCATATGCCCCAAATCAACTCGAGATGAGGCCCGATTCCCCTGCATTGACTCCATAGCCATTCCCCGTTCCTCATTCAACACGACCGGTGGCTCGACTTCCTTCAGGTCACTGCAGAGATGCCCCGAGAACACTGTCCCAAGTCTAGAGGAACACCAACTTCAGCACAGCAACTCGAGGAATGCTCCGTGTACCCCAAATCGTCTCGAGATGAGAGCTGATTCCCAGGCTTAGGCTCAAGACGTATGCCAACTTTCCAGAAGCACCTCAGGAGGAGGCTTCTCTCAGCAATAGGTATGTGGGAGGGACCCCGAGTTTGCTGCCTCAAGGGGAATATACAGCGAGAAGCCCTAACTTGAAAGGAGGCTGGATTTCCTTGCAGTGGCTTGAATACAGGCCCGACTTTCATCTCACAACATGAAGGGATGTCTGAATCCCCTGTGGAGATCTTAGAGAAAGCCCTAGGTCCCTGCCTCATTTTGACGGAATGCTTCACATCCCGCTGACACCTCGAGAGGCACGCGGAGTTCATTGCTTCAAAAGGTGACGATGCCTGACTCCTCTTGAATACTGATAGGAATCCCAAAATCCCTGTGGCTACTGGAAAGGGTCCTTGGGTGCCCTGCCTCACCTCGAGAAGCGTCCCTTTTGCCCTGCCAAGCTTCGAAGAGATTCCTAAGGTGTCCCTCGTTACTAGACAGGAGTCCTGACGTCACTGAAGAAACTCGTGTTTTGAAGGGCCATCCCCGCCGTAAGTCGAGAACACTCCCCAGGTCCCCGACGCAACTCGAGAAAAACCATGAGACTTCCCCCTAGAGGCGAGATGAGTCCCCTTTCCCCTGCAGTGCATGCAGAGCTATTCCGTGATCTCATTCAAACAAGTCAGGAGCTTCGACTTGCTTAATGGATCTCGAGACAGTCCCCAAGAACACTGTCACCAGTCTAGACGGACCCTGAGGTCACCCCAGCAACGCAGAGCAGCTCCATGTGCCCCAAATCAACTCGAGATGTGGCCCGATTCCCCTGCATTGACTCCAGAGCCATTCCCCGTTCCCCATTCAACACGACCGGTGGCTCGACTTCCTTCAGGCAACTCCAGAGATGCCCCGAGAACACTGTCCCAAGTCTAGAGGAACAACAACTTCAGCACAACAACTCGAGGAATGCTCCGTGTACCCCAAATCGTCTCGAGATGAGAGCTGATTCCCTTGCTTAGGCTCAAGACATATGCCAACTTTCCAGAAGCACCTCAGGACGAGGCTTCTCTCAGCAATAGGTATGTGGGAGGGACCCCGAGTTTGCTGCCTCAAGGGGAATATACAGCGAGAAGCCCTAACTTGAAAGGAGGCCGGATTTCCTTGCAGTGGCTTGAATACAGGCCCGTCTTTCATCTCACAACATGAAGGGTTGACTGAATCCCCTGTGGAGACCTTAGAGAAAGCCCTAGGTCCCTGCCTCATTTTGACGGAATGCTTCACATCCCGCTGACACCTCGAGAGGCACGCGGAGTTCATTGCTTCAAAAGGTGACGATGCCTGACTCCTCTTGAATACTGATAGGAATCCCAAAATCCCTGTGGCTACTGGAAAGGGTCCTTGGGTGCCCTGCCTCACCTCGAGAAGCGTCCCTTTTGCCCTGCCAAGCCTCGAAGAGATTCCTAAGGTGTCCCTCGTTACTAGACAGGAGTCCTGACGTCACTGAAGAAACTCGTGTTTTGAAGGGCCATCCCCGCCGTAAGTCGAGAACATTCCCCAGGTCCCCGACGCAACTCGAGAAAAACCATGAGACTTCCCCCTAGAGGCGAGTTGAGGCCCCTTTCCCCTGCAGTGCATGCAGAGCTATTCCGTGATCTCATTCAAACAAGTCAGGAGCTTCGACTTGCTTAATGGATCTCGAGACAGTCACCAAGAACACTGTCACCAGTCTAGACGGACCCTGAGGTCACCCCAGCAGCGCAGAGCAGCTCCATGTGCCCCAAATCAACTCGAGATGAGGCCCGATTCCCCTGCATTGACTCCAGAGCCATTCCCCGTTCCCCATTCAACACGACCGGTGGCTCGACTTCCTTCAGGCCACTGCAGAGATGCCCCGAGCACACTGTCCCAAGTCTAGAGGAACAGCAACTTCAGCACAGCAACTCGAGGAATGCTCCATGTACCCCAAATCGTCTCAAGATGAGAGCTGATTCCCTGGCTTAGGCTCAAGACGTATGCCAACTTTCCAGAAGCACCTCAGGAGGAGGCTTCTCTCAGCAATAGGTATGTGGGAGGGACCCCGAGTTTGCTGCCTCAAGGGGAACATACAGCGAGAAGCCCTAACTTGAAAGGAGGCTGGATTTCCTTGCAGTGGCTTGAATACAGGCCCGTCTTTCATCTCACAACATGAAGGGATGTCTGAATCCCCTGTGGAGACCTTAGAGAAAGCCCTAGGTCCCTGCCTCATTTTGACGGAATGCCTCACATCCCGTTGACACCTCAAGAGGAACGCGGAGTTCATTGCTTCAAAACGTGACGATGCCTGACTCCTCTTGTATACTGAGAGGAAACCCAAAATCCCTGTGGCTACTGGAAAGGGTCCTTGGGTGCCCTGCCTCACCTCGAGAAGCGTCCCTTTTGCCCTGCCAAGCCTCGAAGAGATTCCTGAGGGGTCCCTCGTTACTAGACAGGAGTCCTGACGTCACTGAAGAAACTCGTGTTTTGAAGGGCCATAACCGCCATAAGTCGAGAACATACCCCAGGTCCCCGCCGCAACTCGAGAAAAATCATGAGACTTCCCCCTAGAGGCGAGATGAGGCCCCATTCCCCTGCAGTGCATGCAGAGCTATTCCGTGATCCCATTGAAACAAATCAGGAGCTTCGACTTGCTTAATGGATCTCGAGACAGTCCGCAAGAACACTGTCACCAGTCTAGACGGACCCTGAGGTCACCCCAGCAATGCAAAGCAGCTCCATATGCCCCAAATCAACTCGAGATGAGGCCCGATTCCCCTGCATTGACTCCATAGCCATTCCCCGTTCCTCATTCAACACGACCGGTGGCTCGACTTCCTTCAGGTCACTGCAGAGATGCCCCGAGAACACTGTCCCAAGTCTAGAGGAACACCAACTTCAGCACAGCAACTCGAGGAATGCTCCGTGTACCCCAAATCGTCTCGAGATGAGAGCTGATTCCCAGGCTTAGGCTCAAGACGTATGCCAACTTTCCAGAAGCACCTCAGGAGGAGGCTTCTCTCAGCAATAGGTATGTGGGAGGGACCCCGAGTTTGCTGCCTCAAGGGGAATATACAGCGAGAAGCCCTAACTTGAAAGGAGGCTGGATTTCCTTGCAGTGGCTTGAATACAGGCCCGACTTTCATCTCACAACATGAAGGGATGTCTGAATCCCCTGTGGAGATCTTAGAGAAAGCCCTAGGTCCCTGCCTCATTTTGACGGAATGCTTCACATCCCGCTGACACCTCGAGAGGCACGCGGAGTTCATTGCTTCAAAAGGTGACGATGCCTGACTCCTCTTGAATACTGATAGGAATCCCAAAATCCCTGTGGCTACTGGAAAGGGTCCTTGGGTGCCCTGCCTCACCTCGAGAAGCGTCCCTTTTGCCCTGCCAAGCTTCGAAGAGATTCCTAAGGTGTCCCTCGTTACTAGACAGGAGTCCTGACGTCACTGAAGAAACTCGTGTTTTGAAGGGCCATCCCCGCCGTAAGTCGAGAACACTCCCCAGGTCCCCGACGCAACTCGAGAAAAACCATGAGACTTCCCCCTAGAGGCGAGATGAGGCCCCTTTCCCCTGCAGTGCATGCAGAGCTATTCCGTGATCTCATTCAAACAAGTCAGGAGCTTCGACTTGCTTAATGGATCTCGAGACAGTCCCCAAGAACACTGTCACCAGTCTAGACGGACCCTGAGGTCACCCCAGCAACGCAGAGCAGCTCCATGTGCCCCAAATCAACTCGAGATGTGGCCCGATTCCCCTGCATTGACTCCAGAGCCATTCCCCGTTCCCCATTCAACACGACCGGTGGCTCGACTTCCTTCAGGCAACTCCAGAGATGCCCCGAGAACACTGTCCCAAGTCTAGAGGAACAACAACTTCAGCACAACAACTCGAGGAATGCTCCGTGTACCCCAAATCGTCTCGAGATGAGAGCTGATTCCCTTGCTTAGGCTCAAGACATATGCCAACTTTCCAGAAGCACCTCAGGACGAGGCTTCTCTCAGCAATAGGTATGTGGGAGGGACCCCGAGTTTGCTGCCTCAAGGGGAATATACAGCGAGAAGCCCTAACTTGAAAGGAGGCCGGATTTCCTTGCAGTGGCTTGAATACAGGCCCGTCTTTCATCTCACAACATGAAGGGTTGACTGAATCCCCTGTGGAGACCTTAGAGAAAGCCCTAGGTCCCTGCCTCATTTTGACGGAATGCTTCACATCCCGCTGACACCTCGAGAGGCACGCGGAGTTCATTGCTTCAAAAGGTGACGATGCCTGACTCCTCTTGAATACTGATAGGAATCCCAAAATCCCTGTGGCTACTGGAAAGGGTCCTTGGGTGCCCTGCCTCACCTCGAGAAGCGTCCCTTTTGCCCTGCCAAGCCTCGAAGAGATTCCTAAGGTGTCCCTCGTTACTAGACAGGAGTCCTGACGTCACTGAAGAAACTAGTGTTTTGAAGGGCCATCCCCGCCGTAAGTCGAGAACATTCCCCAGGTCCCCGACGCAACTCGAGAAAAACCATGAGACTTCCCCCTAGAGGCGAGATGAGGCCCCATTCCCCTGCAGTGCATGCAGAGCTATTCCGTGATCCCCATTCAAACAAGTCAGGAGCTTCGACTTGCTTAATGGATCTCGAGACAGTCCCCAAGAACACTGTCACCAGTCTAGACGGACCCTGAGGTCACCCCAGCAGCGCAGAGCAGCTCCATGTGCCCCAAATCAACTCGAGATGAGCCCCGATTCCCCTGCATTGACTCCAGAGCCATTCCCCGTTCCCCATTCAACACGACCGGTGGCTCGACTTCCTTCAGGCCACTGCAGAGATGCCCCGAGCACACTGTCCCAAGTCTAGAGGAACACCAACTTCAGCACAGCAACTCGAGGAATGCTCCGTGTACCGCAAATCGTCTCGAGATGAGAGCTGATTCCCTGGCTTAGGCTCAAGACGTATGCCAACTTTCCAGAAGCACCTCAGGAGGAGGCTTCTCTCAGCAATAGGTATGTGGGAGGGACCCCGAGTTTCCTGCCTCAAGGGGAACATACAGCGAGAAGCCCTAACTTGAAAGGAGGCCGGATTTCTTTGCAGTGGCTTGAATACAGGCCTGTCTTTCATCTCACAACATGAAGGGATGTCTGAATCCCCTGTGGAGACCTTAGAGAAAGCCCTAGGTCCCTGCCTCATTTTGACGGAATGCCTCACATCCCGCTGACACCTCGAGAGGCACACGGAGTTCATTGCTTCAAAAGGTGACGATGCCTGACTCCTCTTGAATACTGATAGGAATACCAAAACCCTTTGGCTACTGGAAAGGGTCCTTGGGTGCCCTGCCTCACCTCGAGAAGCGTCCCTTTTGCCCTGCCAAGCCTCGAAGAGATTCCTGAGGTGTCCCTCGTTACCAGACAGGAGTCCTGACGTCACTGAAGAAACTCGTGTTTTGAGGGGCCATCCCCGCCTTAAGTCGAGAACATACACCAGGTCCCCGCCGCAACTCGAGAAAAACCATGAGACTTCCCCCTAGAGGCGAGATGAGGCCCCATTCCCCTGCAGTGCATGCAGAGCTATTCCGTGATCCCATTCAAACAAGTCAGGAGCTTCGACTTGCTTAATGGATCTCGAGACAGTCCCCAAGAACACTGTCACCAGTCTAGACGGATCCTGAGGTCACCCCAGCAGCGCAGAGCAGCTCCATGTGCCTCAAATCAACTCGAGATGAGGCCCGATTCCCCTGCATTGACTCCAGAGCCATTCCCCGTTCCCCATTCAACACGACCGGTGGCTCGACTTCCTTCAGGCCACTGTAGAGATGCCCCGAGCACACTGTCCCAAGTCTAGAGGAACACCAACTTCAGCACAGCAACTCGAGGAATGCTCCGTGTACCCCAAATCGTCTCGAGATGAGAGTTGATTCCCTGGCTTAGGCTCAAGACGTATGCCAACTTTCCAGAAGCACCTCAGGGGGAGGCTTCTCTCAGCAATAGGTATGTGGGAGGGACCCCGAGTTTGCTGCCTCAAGGGGAACATACAGCGAAAAGCCCTAACTTGAAAGGAGGCCGGATTTCCTTGCAGTGGCTTGAATACAGGCCCGTCTTTCATCTCACAACATGAAGGGATGTCTGAATCCCCTGTGGAGACCTTAGAGAAAGCCCTAGGTGCCTGCCTCATTTTGACGGAATGCCTCACATCCCGCTGACACCTCGAGAGGCACACGGAGTTCATTGCTTCAAAAGTTGACGATGCCTGACTCCTCTTGAATACTGATAGGAATCCCAAAATCCCTGTGGCTACTGGAAAGGGTCCTTGGGTGCCCTGCCTCACCTCGAGAAGCGTCCCTTTTGCCCGGCCAAGCCTCGAAGAGATTCCTGAGGTGTCCCTCGTTACTAGTCAGGAGTCCTGACGTCACTGAAGAAACTCGTGTTTTGAAGGGCCATCCCCGCCGTAAGTCGAGAACATTCCCCAGGTCCCCGACGCAACTCGAGAAAAACCATGAGACTTCCCCCTAGAGGCGAGATGAGGCCCCTTTCCCCTGCAGTGCATGCAGAGCTATTCCGTGATCCCATTCAAACAAGTCAGGAGCTTCGACTTGCTTAATGGATCTCGAGACAGTCCCCAAGAACACTGTAACCAGTCTAGACGGACCCTGAGGTCACCCCAGCAGCGCAGAGCAGCTCCATGTGCCCCAAATCAACTCGAGATGAGGCCCGATTCCCCTGCATTGACTCCAGAGCCATTCCCCGTTCCCCATTCAACGCGACCGGTGGCTCGACTTCCTTCAGGCCACTGCAGAGATGCCCCGAGCACACTGTCCCAAGTCTAGAGGAACACCAACTTCAGCACAGCAACTCGAGGAATGCTCCGTGTACCCCAAATCGTCTCGAGATGAGAGCTGATTCCCTGGCTTAGGCTCAAGACGTATGCCAACTTTCCAGAAGCACCTCAGGAGGAGGCTTCTCTCAGCAATAGGTATGTGGGAGGGACCCCGAGTTTGCTGCCTCAAGGGGAATATACAGCGAGAAGCCCTAACTTGAAAGGAGGCCGGATTTCCTTGCAGTGGCTTGAATACAGGCCCGTCTTTCATCTCACAACATGAAGGGATGTCTGAATCCCCTTTGGAGACCTTAGAGAAAGCCCTAGGTGCCTGCCTCATTTTGACGGAATGCCTCACATCCCGCTGACACCTCGAGAGGCACACGGAGTTCATTGCTTCAAAAGTTGACGATGCCTGACTCCTCTTGAATACTGATAGGAATCCCAAAATCCCTGTGGCTACTGGAAAGGGTCCTTGGGTGCCCTGCCTCACCTCGAGAAGCGTCCCCTTTGCCCTGCCAAGCCTCGAAGAGATTCCTGAGGTGTCCCTCGTTACTAGTCAGGAGTCCTGACGTCACTGAAGAAACTCGTGTTTTGAAGGGCCATCCCCGCCATAAGTCGAGAACATATCCCGGGTCCCCGCCGCAACTCGAGAAAAAACATGAGACTTCCCCCTAGAGGCGAGATGAGGCCCCATTCCCCTGCAGTGCATACAGAGCTATTCCGTGATCCCATTCAAACAAGTCAGGAGCTTCGACTTGCTTAATGGATCTCGAGACAGTCACCAAGAACACTGTCACCAGTCTAGACGGACCCTGAGGTTACCCCAGCAACGCAAAGCAGCTCCATGTGCCCGAAATCAACTCGAGATGAGGCCCGATTCCCCTGCATTGACTCCAGAGCCATTCCCCGTTCCCCATTCAACACGACCGGTGGTTCGATTTCCTTCAGGCAACTCCAGAGATGCCCCGAGAACACTGTCCCAAGTCTAGAGGAACAACAACTTCATCACAACAACTCGAGGAATGCTCCGTGTACCCCAAATCGTCTCGAGATGAGAACTGATTCCCTGGCTTAGGCTCAAGACATATGCCACCTTTCCAGAAGCACCTCAGGACGAGGCTTCTCTCAGCAATAGGTATGTGGGAAGGACCCCGAGTTTGCTGCCTCAAGGGGAATATACACCGAGAAGCCCTAACTTGAAAGGAGGCCGGATTTCCTTGCAGTGGATTGAATACAGGCCCGACTTTCATCTCACAACATGAAGGGATGTCTGAATCCCCTGTGGAGACCTTAGAGAAAGCCCTAGGTCCCTGCCTCATTTTGACGGAATGCTTCACATCCCGCTGACACCTCGAGAGGCACGCGGAGTTCATTGCTTCAAAAGGTGACGATGCCTGACTCCTCTTGAATACTGATAGGAATCCCAAAATCCCTGTGGCTACTGGAAAGGGTCCTTGGGTGCCCTGCCTCACCTCGAGAAGCGTCCCTTTTGCCCTGCCAAGCCTCGAAGAGATTCCTAAGGTGTCCCTCATTACTAGACAGGAGTCCTGACGTCACTGAAGAAACTCGTGTTTTGAAGGGCCATCCCCGCCGTAAGTCGAGAACATTCCCCAGGTCCCCGACGCAACTCGAGAAAAACCATGAGACTTCCCCCTAGAGGCGAGATGAGGCCCCTTTCCCCTGCAGTGCATGCAGAGCTATTCCGTGATCCCATTCAAACAAGTCAGGAGCTTCGACTTGCTTAATGGATCTCGAGACAGTCCCCAAGAACACTGTAACCAGTCTAGACGGACCCTGAGGTCACCCCAGCAGCGCAGAGCAGCTCCATGTGCCCCAAATCAACTCGAGATTAGGCCCGATTCCCCTGCATTGACTCCAGAGCCATTCCCCGTTCCCCATTCAACGCGACCGGTGGCTCGACTTCCTTCAGGCCACTGCAGAGATGCCCCGAGCACACTGTCCCAAGTCTAGAGGAACACCAACTTCAGCACAGCAACTCGAGGAATGCTCCGTGTACCACAAATCGTCTCGAGATGAGAGCTGATTCCCTGGCTTAGGCTCAAGACGTATGCCAACTTTCCAGAAGCACCTCAGGAGGAGGCTTCTCTCAGCAATAGGTATGTGGGAGGGACCCCGAGTTTGCTGCCTCAAGGGGAACATACAGCGAGAAGCCCTAACTTGAAAGGAGGCCGGATTTCCTTGCAGTGGCTTGAATACAGGCCCGTCTTTCATCTCACAACATGAAGGGATGTCTGAATCCCCTGTGGAGACCTTAGAGAAAGCCCTAGGTCCCTGCCTCATTTTGACGGAATGCCTCACATCCCGCTGACACCTCGAGAGGCACACGGAGTTCATTGCTTCAAAAGGTGACGATGCCTGACTCCTCTTGAATACTGATAGGAATCCCAAAATCCCTGTGGCTACTGGAAAGGGTCCTTGGGTGCCCTGCCTCACCTCGAGAAGCGTCCCTTTTGCCCTGCCAAGCCTCGAAGAGATTCCTGAGGTGTCCCTCGTTACTAGACAGGAGTCCTGACGTCACTGAAGAAACTAGTGTTTTGAAGGGCCATCCCCGCCGTAAGTCGAGAACATACCCCAGGTCCCCGCCGCAACTCGAGAAAAACCATGAGACTTCCCCCTAGAGGCGAGATGAGGCCCCATTCCCCTGCAGTGCATGCAGAGCTACACCGTGATCCCATTCAAACAAGTCAGGAGCTTCGACTTGCTTAATGGATCTCGAGAGAGTCCCCAAGAACACTGTCACCAGTCTAGACGGACCCTGAGGTCACCCCAGCAACGCAAAGCAGCTCTATGTGCCCCAAATCAACTCGAGATGAGGCCCGATTCCCCTGCATTGACTCCAGAGCCTTTCCCCGTTCCCCATTCAACACGACCGGTGGCTCGACTTCCTTCAGGCCACTCCAGAGATGCCCCGAGATCACTGTCCCAAGTCTAGAGGAACACCAACTTCAGCAGAGCAACTCGAGGAATGCTCCGTGAACCCCAAATCACATCGAGATGAGAGCTGATTCCCTGGCTTAGGCTCAAGACGTATGGCAACTTTCCAGAAGCATCTCAGGAGGAGGCTTCTCTCAGCAATAGGTATGTGGGAGGGACCCCGAGTTTGCTGCCTCAAGGGGAATATACAGCGAGAATCCCTAACTTGAAAGGAGGCCGGATTTCCTTGCAGTGGCTTGAATACAGGCCCGTCTTTCATCTCACAACATGAAGGGATGTCTGAATCCCCTGTGGAGACCTTAGAGAAAGCCCTAGGTCCCTGCCTCATTTTGACGGAATGCCTCACATCCCGCTGACACCTCGAGAGGCACACGGAGTTCATTGCTTCAAAAGTTGACGATGCCTGACTCCTCTTGAATACTGATAGGAATCCCAAAATCCCTGTGGCTACTGGAAAGGGTCCTTGGGTGCCCTGCCTCACCTCGAGAAGCGTCCCTTTTGCCCTGCCAAGCCTCGAAGAGATTCCTGAGGTGTCCCTCGTTACTAGTCAGGAGTCCTGACGTCACTGAAGAAACTCGTGTTTTGAAGGGCCATCCCCGCCCTAAGTCGAGAACATATCCCGGGTCCCCGCCACAACTCGAGAAAAAACATGAGACTTCCCCCTAGAGGCGAGATGAGGCCCCATTCCCCTGCAGTGCATACAGAGCTATTCCGTGACCCCTTTAAACAAGTCAGGAGCTTCGACTTGCTTAATGGATCTCGAGACAGTCCCCAAGAACACTGTCACCAGTCTAGACGGACCCTGAGGTTACCCCAGCAACGCAAAGCAGCTCCATGTGCCCCAAATCAACTCGAGATGAGGCCCGATTCCCCTGCATTGACTCCAGAGCCATTCCCCGTTCCCCATTCAACACAACCGGTGGCTCGACTTCCTTCAGGCAACTCCAGAGATGCCCCGAGAACACTGTCCCAAGTCTAGAGGAACAACAACTTCAGCAAAACAACTCGAGGAATGCTCCGTGTACCCCAAATCGTCTCGAGATGAGAGCTGATTCCCTGGCTTAGGCTCAAGACGTATGCCAACTTTCCAGAAGCACCTCAGGACGAGGCTTCTCCCAGCAATAGGTATGTGGGAGGGACCCCGAATTTGCTGCCTCAAGGGGAATATACAGCGAGAAGCCCTAACTTGAAAGGAGGCCGGATTTCCTTGCAGTGGCTTGAATACAGGCCCGTCTTTCATCTCACAACATGAAGGGATGTCTGAATCCCCTGTGGAGACCTTAGAGAAAGCCCTAGGTCCCTGCCTCATTTTGACGGAATGCCTCACATCCCGCTGACACCTCGAGAGGCACGCGGAGTTCATTGCTTCAAAAGGTGACAATGCCTGACTCCTCTTGAATACTGATAGGAATCCCAAAATCCCTGTGGCTACTGGAATGGGTCCTTGGGTGCCCTGCCTCACCTCGAGAAGCGTCCCTTTTGCCCTGCCAAGCCTCCAAGAGATTCCTGAGGTGTCCCTCGTTACTAGTCAGGAGTCCTGACGTCACTGAAGAAACTCGTGTTTTGAAGGGCCATCCCCGCCGTAAGTCGAGAACATACCCCAGGTCCCCGCCGCAACTCGAGAAGAACCATGAGACTTCCCCCTAGAGGCGAGATGAGGCCCCATTCCCATGCAGTGCATGCAGAGCTATTCCGTGATCCCATTCAAACAAGTCAGGAGCTTCTACTTGCTTAATGGATCTCGAGACAGTCCCCAAGAACACTGTCACCAGTCTAGACGGACCCTGAGGTTACCCCAGCAACGCAAAGCAGCTCCATGTGCCCCAAATCAACTCGAGATGAGGCCCGATTCCCCTGCATTGACTCCAGAGCCATTCCCCGTTCCCCATTCAACACGACCGGTGGCTCGACTTCCTTCAGGCAACTCCAGAGATGCCCCGAGAACACTGTCCCAAGTCTAGAGGAACAACAACTTCATCACAACAACTCGAGGAATGCTCCGTGTACCCCAAATCGTCTCGAGATGAGAGCTGATTCCCTGGCTTAGGCTCAAGACATTTGCCAACTTTCCAGAAGCACATCAGGACGAGGCTTCTCTCAGCAATAGGTATGTGGGAGGGACCCCGAGTTTGCTGCCTCAAGGGGAATATACAGCGAGAAGCCCTAACTTGAAAGGAGGCCGGATTTCCTTGCAGTGGCTTGAATACAGGCCCGTCTTTCATCTCACAACATGAAGGGATGTCTGAATCCCCTGTGGAGACCTTAGAGAAAGCCCTAGGTCCCTGCCTCATTTTGACGGAATGCTTCACATCCCGCTGACACCTCGAGAGGCACGCGGAGTTCATTGCTTCAAAAGGTGACGATGCCTGACTCCTCTTGAATACTGATAGGAATCCCAAAATCCCTGTGGCTACTGGAAAGGGTCCTTGGGTGCCCTGCCTCACCTCGAGAAGCGTCCCTTTTGCCCTGCCAAGCCTCGAAGAGATTCCTGAGGTGTCCCTCGTTACTAGACAGGAGTCCTGACGTCACTGAAGAAACTCGTGTTTTGAAGGGCCATCCCCGCCTTAAGTCGAGAACATACACCAGGTCCCCGCCGCAACTCGAGAAAAACCATGAGACTTCCCCCTAGAGGCGAGATGAGGCCCCATTCCCCTGCAGTGCATGCAGAGCTATTCCGTGATCCCATTCAAACAAGTCAGGAGCTTCGACTTGCTTAATGGATCTCGAGACAGTCACCAAGAACACTGTCACCAGTCTAGACGGACCCTGAGGTCACCCCAGCAGCGCAGAGCAGCTCCATGTGCCCCAAATCAACTCGAGATGAGGCCCGATTCCCCTGCATTGACTCCAGAGCCATTCCCCGTTCCCCATTCAACACGACCGGTGGCTCGACTTCCTTCAGGCCACTGCAGAGATGCCCCGAGCACACTGTCCCAAGTCTAGAGGAACAGCAACTTCAGCACAGCAACTCGAGGAATGCTCCATGTACCCCAAATCGTCTCGAGATGAGAGCTGATTCCCTGGCTTAGGCTCAAGACGTATGCCAACTTTCCAGAAGCACCTCAGGAGGAGGCTTCTCTCAGCAATAGGTATGTGGGAGGGACCCCGAGTTTGCTGCCTCAAGGGGAACATACAGCGAGAAGCCCTAACTTGAAAGGAGGCTGGATTTCCTTGCAGTGGCTTGAATACAGGCCCGTCTTTCATCTCACAACATGAAGGGATGTCTGAATCCCCTGTGGAGACCTTAGAGAAAGCCCTAGGTCCCTGCCTCATTTTGACGGAATGCCTCACATCCCGCTGACACCTCAAGAGGAACGCGGAGTTCATTGCTTCAAAACGTGACGATGCCTGACTCCTCTTGTATACTGAGAGGAAACCCAAAATCCCTGTGGCTACTGGAAAGGGTCCTTGGGTGCCCTGCCTCACCTCGAGAAGCGTCCCTTTTGCCCTGCCAAGCCTCGAAGAGATTCCTGAGGGGTCCCTCGTTACTAGACAGGAGTCCTGACGTCACTGAAGAAACTCGTGTTTTGAAGGGCCATCCCCGCCGTAAGTCGAGAACATTCCCCAGGTCCCCGACGCAATTCGAGAAAAACCATGAGACTTCCCCCTAGAGGCGAGATGAGGCCCCATTACCCTGCAGTGCATGCAGAGCTATTCCGTGATCCCATTCAAACAAGTCAGGAGCTTCGACTTGCTTAATGGATCTCGAGACAGTCCCCAAGAACACTGTCACCAGTCTAGACGGACCCTGAGGTCACCCCAGCAATGCAAAGCAGCTCCATATGCCCCAAATCAACTCGAGATGAGGCCCGATTCCCCTGCATTGACTCCATAGCCATTCCCCGTTCCTCATTCAACACGACCGGTGGCTCGACTTCCTTCAGGTCACTGCAGAGATGCCCCGAGAACACTGTCCCAAGTCTAGAGGAACACCAACTTCAGCACAGCAACTCGAGGAATGCTCCGTGTACCCCAAATCGTCTCGAGATGAGAGCTGATTCCCAGGCTTAGGCTCAAGACGTATGCCAACTTTCCAGAAGCACCTCAGGAGGAGGCTTCTCTCAGCAATAGGTATGTGGGAGGGACCCCGAGTTTGCTGCCTCAAGGGGAATATACAGCGAGAAGCCCTAACTTGAAAGGAGGCCGGATTTCCTTGCAGTGGCTTGAATACAGGCCCGACTTTCATCTCACAACATGAAGGGATGTCTGAATCCCCTGTGGAGACCTTAGAGAAAGCCCTAGGTCCCTGCCTCATTTTGACGGAATGCCTCACATCCCGCTGACACCTCGAGAGGCACACGGAGTTCATTGCTTCAAAAGGTGACGATGCCTGACTCCTCTTGAATACTGATAGGAATCCCAAAATCCCTGTGGCTACTGGAAAGGGTCCTTGGGTGCCCTGCCTCACCTCGAGAAGCGTCCCTTTTGCCCTGCCAAGCCTCGAAGAGATTCCTGAGGTGTCCCTCGTTACCAGACAGGAGTCCTGACGTCACTGAAGAAACTCGTGTTTTGAGGGGCCATCCCCGCCTTAAGTCGAGAACATACACCAGGTCCCCGCCGCAACTCGAGAAAAACCATGAGACTTCCCCCTAGAGGCGAGATGAGGCCCCATTCCCCTGCAGTGCATGCAGAGCTATTCCGTGATCCCATTCAAACAAGTCAGGAGCTTCGACTTGCTTAATGGATCTCGAGACAGTCCCCAAGAACACTGTCACCAGTCTAGACGGACCCTGAGGTCACCCCAGCAGCGCAGAGCAGCTCCATGTGCCTCAAATCAACTCGAGATGAGGCCCAATTCCCCTGCATTGACTCCAGAGCCATTCCCCGTTCCCCATTCAACACGACCGGTGGCTCGACTTCCTTCAGGCCACTGTAGAGATGCCCCGAGCACACTGTCCCAAGTCTAGAGGAACACCAACTTCAGCACAGCAACTCGAGGAATGCTCCGTGTACCCCAAATCGTCTCGAGATGAGAGCTGATTCCCTGGCTTAGGCTCAAGACGTATGCCAACTTTCCAGAAGCACCTCAGGGGGAGGCTTCTCTCAGCAATAGGTATGTGGGAGGGACCCCGAGTTTGCTGCCTCAAGGGGAACACACAGCGAAAAGCCCTAACTTGAAAGGAGGCCGGATTTCCTTGCAGTGGCTTGAATACAGGCCCGTCTTTCATCTCACAACATGAAGGGATGTCTGAATCCCCTGTGGAGACATTAGAGAAAGCCCTAGGTGCCTGCCTCATTTTGACGGAATGCCTCACATCCCGCTGACACCTCGAGAGGCACACGGAGTTCATTGCTTCAAAAGTTGACGATGCCTGACTCCTCTTGAATACTGATAGGAATCCCAAAATCCCTGTGGCTACTGGAAAGGGTCCTTGGGTGCCCTGCCTCACCTCGAGAAGCGTCCCTTTTGCCCGGCCAAGCCTCGAAGAGATTCCTGAGGTGTCCCTCGTTACTAGTCAGGAGTCCTGACGTCACTGAAGAAACTCGTGTTTTGAAGGGCCATCCCCGCCGCAAGTCGAGAACATATCCCAGGTCCCCGCCGCAACTCGAGAAAAATCATGAGACTTCCCCCTAGAGGCGAGATGAGGCCCCATTCCCCTGCAGTGCATGCAGAGCTATTCCGTGATCCCATTGAAACAAATCAGGAGCTTCGACTTGCTTAATGGATCTCGAGACAGTCCCCAAGAACACTGTCACCAGTCTAGACGGACCCTGAGGTCACCGCAGCAATGCAAAGCAGCTCCATGTGCCCCAAATCAACTCGAGATGAGGCCCGATTCCCCTGCATTGACTCCAGAGCCATTCCCCATTCCCCATTCAACACGACCGGTGGCTCGACTTCCTTCAGGCCACTGCAGAGATGCCCCGAGCACACTGTCCCAAGTCTAGAGGAACACCAACTTCAGCACAGCAACTCGAGGAATGCTCCGTGTACCCCAAATCGTCTCGAGATGAGAGCTGATTCCCTGGCTTAGGCTCAAGACGTATGCCAACTTTCCAGAAGCACCTCAGGAGGAGGCTTCTCTCAGCAATAGGTATGTGGGAGGGACCCCGAGTTTGCTGCCTCAAGGGGAATATACAGCGAGAAGCCCTAACTTGAAAGGAGGCCGGATTTCCTTGCAGTGGCTTGAATACAGGCCCGTCTTTCATCTCACAACATGAAGGGATGTCTGAATCCCCTTTGGAGACCTTAGAGAAAGCCCTAGGTGCCTGCCTCATTTTGACGGAATGCCTCACATCCCGCTGACACCTCGAGAGGCACACGGAGTTCATTGCTTCAAAAGTTGACGATGCCTGACTCCTCTTGAATACTGATAGGAATCCCAAAATCCCTGTGGCTACTGGAAAGGGTCCTTGGGTGCCCTGCCTCACCTCGAGAAGCGTCCCTTTTGCCCTGCCAAGCCTCGAAGAGATTCCTGAGGTGTCCCTCGTTACTAAACAGGAGTCCTGACGTCACTGAAGAAACTCGTGTTTTGAAGGGCCATCCCCGCCGTAAGTCGAGAACATACCCCAGGTCCCCGCCGCAACTCGAGAAAAACCATGAGACTTCCCCCTAGAGGCGAGATGAGGCCCCATTCCCCTGCAGTGCATGCAGAGCTACTCCGTGATCCCATTCAAACAAGTCAGGAGCTTCGACTTGCTTAATGGATCTCGAGAGAGTCCCCAAGAACACTGTCACCAGTCTAGACGGACCCTGAGGTCACCCCAGCAACGCAAAGCAGCTCTATGTGCCCCAAATCAACCCGAGATGAGGCCCGATTCCCCTGCATTGACTCCAGAGCCTTTCCCCGTTCCCCATTCAACACGACCGGTGGCTCGACTTCCTTCAGGCCACTCCAGAGATGCCCCGAGATCACTGTCCCAAGTCTAGAGGAACACCAACTTCAGCAGAGCAACTCGAGGAATGCTCCGTGTACCCCAAATCACATCGAGATGAGAGCTGATTCCCTGGCTTAGGCTCAAGACGTATGGCAACTTTCCAGAAGCATCTCAGGAGGAGGCTTCTCTCAGCAATAGGTATGTGGGAGGGACCCCGAGTTTGCTGCCTCAAGGGGAATATACAGCGAGAAGCCCTAACTTGAAAGGAGGCCGGATTTCCTTGCAGTGGCTTGAATACAGGCCCGTCTTTCATCTCACACATGAAGGGATGTCTGAATCCCCTGTGGAGACCTTAGAGAAAGCCCTAGGTGCCTGCCTCATTTTGACGGAATGCCTCACATCCCGCTGACACCTCGAGAGGCACACGGAGTTCATTGCTTCAAAAGTTGACGATGCCTGACTCCTCTTGAATACTGATAGGAATCCCAAAATCCCTGTGGCTACTGGAAAGGGTCCTTGGGTGCCCTGCCTCACCTCGAGAAGCGTCCATTTTGCCCTGCCAAGCCTCGAAGAGATTCCAGAGGTGAACCTCGTTACTAGTCAGGAGTCCTGACGTCACTGAAGAAACTCGTGTTTTGAAGGGCCATCCCCGCCATAAGTCGAGAACATATCCCGGGTCCCCGCCACAACTCGAGAGAAAACATGAGACTTCCCCCTAGAGGCGAGATGAGGCCCCATTCCCCTGCAGTGCATGCAGAGCTATTCCGTGATCCCATTCAAACAAGTCAGGAGCTTCGACTTGCTTAATGGATCTCGAGACAGTCCCCAAGAACACTGTCACCAGTCTAGACGGACCCTGAGGTTACCCCAGCAACGCAAAGCAGCTCCATGTGCCCCAAATAAACTCGAGATGAGGCCCGATTCCCCTGCATTGACTCCAGAGCCATTCCCCGTTCCCCATTCAACACGACCGGTGGCTCGACTTCCTTCAGGCAACTCCAGAGATGCCCCGAGAACACTGTCCCAAGTCTAGAGGAACAACAACTTCATCACAACAACTCGAGGAATGCTCCGTGTACCCCAAATCGTCTCGAGATGAGAGCTGATTCCCTGGCTTAGGCTCAAGACATATGCCAACTTTCCAGAAGCACCTCAGGACGAGGCTTCTCTCAGCAATAGGTATGTGGGAGGGACCCCGAGTTTGCTGCCTCAAGGGGAATATACAGCGAGAAGCCCTAACTTGAAAGGAGGCCGGATTTCCTTGCAGTGGCTTGAATACAGGCCCGTCTTTCATCTCACAACATGAAGGGATGTCTGAATCCCCTGTGGAGACCTTAGAGAAAGCCCTAGGTCACTGCCTCATTTTGACGGAATGCTTCACATCCCGCTGACACCTCGAGAGGCACGCGGAGTTCATTGCTTCAAAAGGTGACGATGCCTGACTCCTCTTGAATACTGATAGGAATCCCAAAATCCCTGTGGCTACTTGAAAGGGTCCTTGGGTGCCCTGCCTCACCTCGAGAAGCGTCCCTTTTGCCCTGCCAAGCCTCGAAGAGATTCCTGAGGTGTCCCTCGTTACTAGACAGGAGTCCTGACGTCACTGAAGAAACTCGTGTTTTGAAGGGCCATCCCCGCCTTAAGTCGAGAACATACACCAGGTCCCCGCCGCAACTCGAGAAAAACCATGAGACTTCCCCCTAGAGGCGAGATGAGGCCCCATTCCCCTGCAGTGCATGCAGAGCTATTCCGTGATCCCATTCAAACAAGTCAGGAGCTTCGACTTGCTTAATGGATCTCGAGACAGTCCCCAAGAACACTGTCACCAGTCTAGACGGACCCTGAGGTCACCCCAGCAGCGCAGAGCAGCTCCATGTGCCCCAAATCAACTCGAGATGAAGCCCGATTCCCCTGCATTGACTCCAGAGCCATTCCCCGTTCCCCATTCAACAAGACCGGTGGCTCGACTTCCTTCAGGCCACTGCAGAGATGCCCCGAGCACACTGTCCCAAGTCTAGAGGAACACCAACTTCAGCACAGCAACTCGAGGAATGCTCCGTGTACCCCAAATCGTCTCGAGATGAGAGGTGATTCCCTGGCTTAGGCTCAAGACGTATGCCAACTTTCCAGAAGCACCTCAGGAGGAGGCTTCTCTCAGCAATAGGTATGTGGGAGGGACCCCGAGTTTGCTGCCTCAAGGGGAACATACAGCGAGAAGCCCTAACTTGAAAGGAGGCTGGATTTCCTTGCAGTGGCTTGAAAACAGGCCCGTCTTTCATCTCACAACATGAAGGGATGTCTGAATCCCCTGTGGAGACCTTAGAGAAAGCCCTAGGTCCCTGTCTCATTTTGACGGAATGCCTCACATCCCGCTGACACCTCAAGAGGAACGCGGAGTTCATTGCTTCAAAACGTGACGATGCCTGACTCCTCTTGAATACTGAGAGGAAACCCAAAATCCCTGTGGCTACTGGAAAGGGTCCTTGGGTGCCCTGCCTCATCTCGAGAAGCGTCCCTTTTGCCCTGCCAAGCCTCGAAGAGATTCCTGAGGGGTCCCTCGTTACTAGACAGGAGTCCTGACGTCACTGAAGAAACTCGTGTTTTGAAGGGCCATAACCGCCATAAGTCGAGAACATACCCCAGGTCCCCGCCGCAACTCGAGAAAAATCATGAGACTTCCCCCTAGAGGCGAGATGAGGCCCCATTCCCCTGCAGTGCATGCAGAGCTATTCCGTGATCCCATTGAAACAAATCAGGAGCTTCGACTTGCTTAATGGATCTCGAGACAGTCCCCAAGAACACTGTCACCAGTCTAGACTGACCCTGAGGTCACCCCAGCAATGCAAAGCAGCTCCATATGCCCCAAATCAACTCGAGATGAGGCCCGATTCCCCTGCATTGACTCCAGAGCCATTCCCCGTTCCCCATTCAACACGACCGGTGGCTCGACTTCCTTCAGGTCACTGCAGAGATGCCCCGAGAACACTGTCCCAAGTCTAGAGGAACACCAACTTCAGCACAGCAACTCGAGGAATGCTCCGTGTACCCCAAATCGTCTCGAGATGAGAGCTGATTCCCAGGCTTAGGCTCAAGACGTATGCCAACTTTCCAGAAGCAACTCAGGAGGAGGCTTCTCTCAGCAATAGGTATGTGGGAGGGACCCTGAGTTTGCTGCCTCAAGGGGAATATACAGCGATAAGCCCTAACTTGAAAGGAAGCCGGATTTCCTTGCAGTGACTTGAATACAGGCCCGACTTTCATCTCACAACATGAAGGGATGTCTGAATCCCCTGTGGAGACCTTAGAGAAAGCCCTAGGTCCTTGCCTCATTTTGACGGAATGCTTCACATCCCGCTGACACCTCGAGAGGCACGCGGAGTTCATTGCTTCAAAAGGTGACGATGCCTGACTCCTCTTGAATACTGATAGGAATCCCAAAATCCCTGTTGCTACTGGAAAGGGTCCTTGGGTGCCCTGCCTCACCTCGAGAAGCGTCCCTTTTGCCCTGCCAAGCCTCGAAGAGATTCCTGAGGTGTCCCTCGTTACTAAACAGGAGTCCTGACGTCACTGAAGAAACTCGTGTTTTGAAGGGCCATCCCCGCCGTAAGTCAAGAACATACCCAAGGTCCCCGCCGCAACTCGAGAAAAACCATGAGACTTCCCCCTAGAGGCGAGATGAGGCCCCATTCCCCTGCAGTGCATGCAGAGCTACTCCGTGATCCCATTCAAACAAGTCAGGAGCTTCGACTTGCTTAATGGATCTCGAGAGAGTCCCCAAGAACACTGTCACCAGTCTAGACGGACCCTGAGGTCACCCCAGCAACGCAAAGCAGCTCTATGTGCCCCAAATCAACTCGAGATGAGGCCCGATTCCCCTGCATTGACTCCAGAGCCTTTCCCCGTTCCCCATTCAACACGACCGGTGGCTCGACTTCCTTCAGGCCACTCCAGAGATGCCCCGAGATCACTGTCCCAAGTCTAGAGGAACACCAACTTCAGCACAGCAACTCGAGGAATGCTCCGTGTACCCCAAATCACATCGAGATGAGAGCTGATTCCCTGGCTTAGGCTCAAGACGTATGGCAACTTTCCAGAAGCATCTCAGGAGGAGGCTTCTCTCAGCAATAGGTATGTGGGTGGGACCCCGAGTTTGCTGCCTCAAGGGGAATATACAGCGAGAAGCCCTAACTTGAAAGGAGGCCGGATTTCCTTGCAGTGGCTTGAATACAGGCCCGTCTTTCATCTCACAACATGAAGGGATGTCTGAATCCCCTGTGGAGACCTTAGAGAAAGCCCTAGGTCACTGCCTCATTTTGACCGAATGCTTCACATCCCGCTGACACCTCGAGAGGCACGCGGAGTTCATTGCTTCAAAAGGTGACGATGCCTGACTCCTCTTGAATACAGATAGGAATCCCAAAATCCCTGTGGCTACTGGAAAGGGTCCTTGGGTGCCCTGCCTCACCTCGAGAAGCGTCCCTTTTGCCCTGCCAAGCCTCGAAGAGATTCCTAAGGTGTCCCTCGTTACTAGACAGGATTCCTGACGTCACTGAAGAAACTCGTGTTTTGAAGGGCCATCCCCGCCGTAAGTCGAGAACATTCCCCAGGTCCCCGACGCAACTCGAGAAAAACCATGAGACTTCCCCCTAGAGGCGAGATGAGGCCCCATTACCCTGCAGTGCATGCAGAGCTATTCCGTGATCCCATTCAAACAAGTCAGGAGCTTCGACTTGCTTAATGGATTTCGAGACAGTCCCCAAGAACACTGTCACCAGTCTAGACGGACCCTGAGGTCACCCCAGCAGCGCAGAGCAGCTCCATGTGCCCCAAATCAACTCGAGATGAGGCCCGATTCCCCTGCATTGACTCCAGAGCCATTCCCAGTTCCCCATTCAACACGACCGGTGGCTCGACTTCCTTCAGGCCACTCAAGAGATGCCCCGAGCACACTGTCCCAAGTCTAGAGGAACACCAACTTCAGCACAGCAACTCGAGGAATGCTCCGTGTACCCCAAATCGTCTGGAGATGAGAGCTGATTCCCTGGCTTAGGCTCAAGACGTATGCCAACTTTCCAGAAGCACCTCAGGAGGAGGCTTCTCTCAGCAATAGGTATGTGGGAGGGACCCCGAGTTTGCTGCCTCAAGGGGAACATACAGCGAGAAGCCCTAACTTGAAAGGAGGCTGGATTTCCTTGCAGTGGCTTGAAAACAGGCCCGTCTTTCATCTCACAACATGAAGGGATGTCTGAATCCCCTGTGGAGACCTTAGAGAAAGCCCTAGGTCCCTGCCTCATTTTGACGGAATGCCTCACATCCCGCTGACACCTCAAGAGGAACGCGGAGTTCATTGCTTCAAAACGTGACGATGCCTGACTCCTCTTGAATACTGAGAGGAAACCCAAAATCCCTGTGGCTACTGGAAAGGGTCCTTGGGTGCCCTGCCTCACCTCGAGAAGCGTCCCTTTTGCCCTGCCAAGCCTCGAAGAGATTCCTGAGGGGTCCCTCGTTACTAGACAGCAGTCCTGACGTCACTGAAGAAACTCGTGTTTTGAAGGGCCATAACCGCCATAAGTCGAGAACATACCCCAGGTCCCCGCCGCAACTCGAGAAAAATCATGAGACTTCCCCCTAGAGGCGAGATGAGGCCCCATTCCCCTGCAGTGCATGCAGAGCTATTCCGTGATCCCATTGAAACAAATCAGGAGCTTCGACTTGCTTAATGGATCTCGAGACAGTCCCCAAGAACACTGTCACCAGTCTAGACGGACCCTGAGGTCACCCCAGCAATGCAAAGCAGCTCCATATGCCCCAAATCAACTCGAGATGAGGCCCGATTCCCCTGCATTGACTCCAGAGCCATTCCCCGTTCCCCATTCAACACGACCGGTGGCTCGACTTCCTTCAGGTCACTGCAGAGATGCCCCGAGAACACTGTCCCAAGTCTAGAGGAACACCAACTTCAGCACAGCAACTCGAGGAATGCTCCGTGTACCCCAAATCGTCTCGAGATGAGAGCTGATTCCCAGGCTTAGGCTCAAGACGTATGCCAACTTTCCAGAAGCACCTCAGGAGGAGGCTTCTCTCAGCAATAGGTATGTGGGAGGGACCCTGAGTTTGCTGCCTCAAGGGGAATATACAGCGAGAAGCCCTAACTTGAAAGGAGGCCGGATTTCCTTGCAGTGACTTGAATACAGGCCCGACTTTCATCTCACAACATGAAGGGATGTCTCAATCCCCTGTGGAGACCTTAGAGAAAGCCCTAGGTCCCTGCCTCATTTTGACGGAATGCTTCACATCCCGCTGACACCTCGAGAGGCACGCGGAGTTCATTGCTTCAAAAGGTGACGATGCCTGACTCATCTTGAATACTGATAGGAATCCCAAAATCCCTGTGGCTACTGGAAAGGGTCCTTGGGTGCCCTGCCTCACCTCGAGAAGCGTCCCTTTTGCCCTGCCAAGCTTCGAAGAGATTCCTAAGGTGTCCCTCGTTACTAGACAGGAGTCCTGACGTCACTGAAGAAACTCGTGTTTTGAAGGGCCATCCCCGCCGTAAGTCGAGAACATTCCCCAGGTCCCCGACGCAACTCGAGAAAAACCATGAGACTTCCCCCTAAGGCGAGATGAGGCCCCTTTCCCCTGCAGTGCATGCAGAGCTATTCCGTAATCCCATTCAAACAAGTCAGGAGCTTCGACTTGCTTAATGGATCTCGAGACAGTCCCCAAGAACACTGTCACCAGTCTAGACGGACCCTGAGGTCACCCCAGCAGCGCAGAGCAGCTCCATGTGCCCCAAATCAACTCGAGATGAGGCCCGATTCCCCTGCATTGACTCCAGAGCCATTCCCCGTTCCCCATTCAACACGACCGGTGGCTCGACTTCCTTCAGGCCACTGCAGAGATGCCCCGAGCACACTGTCCCAAGTCTAGAGGAACACCAACTTCAGCACAGCAACTCGAGGAATGCTCCGTGTACCCCAAATCGTCTCGAGATGAGAGCTGATTCCCTGGCTTAGGCTCAAGACGTATGCCAACTTTCCAGAAGCACCTCAGGAGGAGGCTTCTCTCAGCAATAGGTATGTGGGAGGGACCCCGAGTTTGCTGCCTCAAGGGGAACATACAGCGAGAAGCCCTAACTTGAAAGGAGGCCGGATTTCCTTGCAGTGGCTTTAATACAGGCCCGTCTTTCATCTCACAACATGAAGGGATGTCTGAATCCCCTGTGGAGACCTTAGAGAAAGCCCTAGGTCCCTGCCTCATTTTGACGGAATGCCTCACATCCCGCTGACACCTCGAGAGGCACACGGAGTTCATTGCTTCAAAAGGTGACGATGCCTGACTCCTCTTGAATACTGATAGGAATCCCAAAATCCCTGTGGCTACTGGAAAGGGTCCTTGGGTGCCCTGCCTCACCTCGAGAAGCGTCCCTTTTGCCCTGCCAAGCCTGGAAGAGATTCCTGAGGTGTCCCTCGTTACTAAACAGGAGTCCTGACGTCACTGAAGAAACTCGTGTTTTGAAGGGCCATCCCCGCCGTAAGTCAAGAACATACCCCAGGTCCCCGCCGCAACTCGAGAAAAACCATGAGACTTCCCCCTAGAGGCGAGATGAGGCCCCATTCCCCTGCAGTGCATGCAGAGCTACTCCGTGATCCCATTCAAACAAGTCAGGAGCTTCGACATGCTTAATGGATCTCGAGACAGTCCCCAAGAACACTGTCACCAGTCTAGACGGACCCTGAGGTCACCCCAGCAACGCAAAGCAGCTCTATGTGCCCCAAATCAACTCGAGATGAGACCCGATTCCCCTGCATTGACTCCAGAGCCTTTCCCCGTTCCCCATTCAACACGACCGGTGGCTCGACTTCCTTCAGGCCACTCCAGAGATGCCCCGAGATCACTGTCCCAAGTCTAGAGGAACACCAACTTCAGCACAGCAACTCGAGGAATGCTCCGTGTACCCCAAATCACATCGAGATGAGAGCTGATTCCCTGGCTTAGGCTCAAGACGTATGGCAACTTTCCAGAAGCATCTCAGGAGGAGGCTTCTCTCAGCAATAGGTATGTGGGTGGGACCCCGAGTTTGCTGCCTCAAGGGGAATATACAGCGAGAAGCCCTAACTTGAAAGGAGGCCGGATTTCCTTGCAGTGGCTTGAATACAGGCCCGTCTTTCATCTCACAACATGAAGGGATGTCTGAATCCCCTGTGGAGACCTTAGAGAAAGCCCTAGGTGCCTGCCTCATTTTGACGGAATGCCTCACATCCCGCTGACACCTCGAGAGGCACACGGAGTTCATTGCTTCAAAAGTTGACGATGCCTGACTCCTCTTGAATACTGATAGGAATCCCAAAATCCCTGTGGCTACTGGAAAGGGTCCTTGGGTGCCCTGCCTCACCTCGAGAAGCGTCCCTTTTGCCCTGCCAAGCCTCGAAGAGATTCCTGAGGTGTCCCTCGTTACTAGTCAGGAGTCCTGACGTCACTGAAGAAACTCGTGTTTTGAAGGGCCATCCCCGCCATAAGTCGAGAACATATCCCGGGTCCCCGCCACAACTCGAGAAAAAACATGAGACTTCCCCCTAGAGGCGAGATGAGGCCCCATTCCCCTGCAGTGCATACAGAGCTATTCCGTGATCCCATTCAAACAAGTCAGGAGCTTCGACTTGCTTAATGGATCTCGAGACAGTCCCCAAGAACACTGTCACCAGTCTAGACGGACCCTGAGGTTACCCCAGCAACGCAAAGCAGCTCCATGTGCCCCAAATCAACTCGAGATGAGGCCCGATTCCCCTGCATTGACTCCAGAGCCATTCCCCGTTCCCCATTCAACACGACCGGTGGCTCGACTTCCTTCAGGCAACTCCAGAGATGCCCCGAGAACACTGTCCCAAGTCTAGAGGAACAACAACTTCAGCAAAACAACTCGAGGAATGCTCCGTGTACCCCAAATCGTCTCGAGATGAGAGCTGATTCCCTGGCTTAGGCTCAAGACGTATGCCAACTTTCCAGAAGCACCTCAGGACGAGGCTTCTCCCAGCAATAGGTATGTGGGAGGGACCCCGAATTTGCTGCCTCAAGGGGAATATACAGCGAGAAGCCCTAACTTGAAAGGAGGCCGGATTTCCTTGCAGTGGCTTGAATACAGGCCAGTCTTTCATCTCACAACATGAAGGGATGTCTGAATCCCCTGTGGAGACCTTAGAGAAAGCCCTAGGTCCCTGCCTCATTTTGACGGAATGCCTCACATCCCGCTGACACCTCGAGAGGCACGCGGAGTTCATTGCTTCAAAAGGTGACGATGCCTGACTCCTCTTGAATACAGATAGGAATCCCAAAATCCCTGTGGCTACTGGAAAGGGTCCTTGGGTGCCCTGCCTCACCTCGAGAAGCGTCCCTTTTGCCCTGCCAAGCCTCGAAGAGATTCCTAAGGTGTCCCTCGTTACTAGACAGGATTCCTGACGTCACTGAAGAAACTCGTGTTTTGAAGGGCCATCCCCGCCGTAAGTCGAGAACATTCCCCAGGTCCCCGACGCAACTCGAGAAAAACCATGAGACTTCCCCCTAGAGGCGAGATGAGGCCCCATTACCCTGCAGTGCATGCAGAGCTATTCCGTGATCCCATTCAAACAAGTCAGGAGCTTCGACTTGCTTAATGGATCTCGAGACAGTCCCCAAGAACACTGTCACCAGTCTAGACGGACCTTGAGGTTACCCCAGCAACGCAAAGCAGCTCCATGTGCATCAAATCAACTCGAGATGAGGCCCGATTCCCCTGCATTGACTCCAGAGCCATTCCCCGTTCCCCATTCAACACGACCGGTGGCTCGACTTCCTTCAGGTCACTGCAGAGATGCCCCGAGAACACTGTCCCAAGTCTAGAGGAACACCAACTTCAGCACAGCAACTCGAGGAATGCTCCGTGTACCCCAAATCGTCTCGAGATGAGAGCTGATTCCCAGGCTTAGGCTCAAGACGTATGCCAACTTTCCAGAAGCACCTCAGGAGGAGGCTTCTCTCAGCAATAGTTATGTGGGAGGGACCCTGAGTTTGCTGCCTCAAGGGGAATATACAGCGAGAAGCCCTAACTTGAAAGGAGGCCGGATTTCCTTGCAGTGACTTGAATACAGGCCCGACTTTCATCTCACAACATGAAGGGATGTCTGAATCCCCTGTGGAGACCTTAGAGAAAGCCCTAGGTCCCTGCCTCATTTTGACGGAATGCTTCACATCCCGCTGACACCTCGAGAGGCACGCGGAGTTCATTGCTTCAAAAGGTGACGATGCCTGACTCCTCTTGAATACTGATAGGAATCCCAAAATCCCTGTGGCTACTGGAAAGGGTCCTTGGGTGCCCTGCCTCACCTCGAGAAGCGTCCTTTTTGCGCTGCCAAGCTTCGAAGAGATTCCTAAGGTGTCCCTCGTTACTAGACAGGAGTCCTGACGTCACTGAAGAAACTCGTGTTTTGAAGGGCCATCCCCGCCGTAAGTCGAGAACATTCCCCAGGTCCCCGACGCAACTCGAGAAAAACCATGAGACTTCCCCCTAGAGGCGAGATGAGGCCCCTTTCCCCTGCAGTGCATGCAGAGCTATTCCGTGATCCCATTCAAACAAGTCAGGAGCTTCGACTTGCTTAATGGATCTCGAGACAGTCCCCAAGAACACTGTCACCAGTCTAGACGGACCCTGAGGTCACCCCAGCAGCGCAGAGCAGCTCCATGTGCCCCAAATCAACTCGAGATGAGGCCCGATTCCCCTGCATTGACTCCAGAGCCATTCCCCGTTCCCCATTCAACACGACCGGTGGCTCGACTTCCTTCAGGCCACTGCAGAGATGCCCCGAGCACACTGTCCCAAGTCTAGAGGAACACCAACTTCAGCACAGCAACTCGAGGAATGCTCCGTGTACCCCAAATCGTCTCGAGATGAGAGCTGATTCCCTGGCTTAGGCTCAAGACGTATGCCAACTTTCCAGAAGCACCTCAGGAGGAGGCTTCTCTCAGCAATAGGTATGTGGGAGGGACCCCGAGTTTGCTGCCTCAAGGGGAACATACAGCGAGAAGCCCTAACTTGAAAGGAGGCCGGATTTCCTTGCAGTGGCTTGAATACAGGCCCGTCTTTCATCTCACAACATGAAGGGATGTCTGAATCCCCTGTGGAGACCTTAGAGAAAGCCCTAGGTCCCTGCCTCATTTTGACGGAATGCCTCACATCCCTCTGACACCTCGAGAGGCACACGGAGTTCATTGCTTCAAAAGGTGACGATGCCTGACTCCTCTTGAATACTGATAGGAATCCCAAAATCCCTGTGGCTACTGGAAAGGGTCCTTGGGTGCCCTGCCTCACCTCGAGAAGCGTCCCTTTTGCCCTGCCAAGCCTCGAAGAGATTCCTGAGGTGTCCCTCGTTACTAGTCAGGAGTCCTGACGTCACTGAAGAAACTCGTGTTTTGAAGGGCCATCCCCGCCATAAGTCGAGAACATATCCCGGGTCCCCGCCACAACTCGAGAAAAAACATGAGACTTCCCCCTAGAGGCGAGATGAGGCCCCATTCCCCTGCAGTGCATGCAGAGCTACTCCGTGATCCCATTCAAACAAGTCAGGAGCTTCGACTTGCTTAATGGATCTCGAGAGAGTCCCCAAGAACACTGTCACCAGTCTAGACGGACCCTGAGGTCACCCCAGCAACGCAAAGCAGCTCTATGTGCCCCAAATCAACTCGAGATGAGGCCCGATTCCCCTGCATTGACTCCAGAGCCTTTCCCCGTTCCCCATTCAACACGACCGGTGGCTCGACTTCCTTCAGGCCACTCCAGAGATGCCCCGAGATCACTGTCCCAAGTCTAGAGGAACACCAACTTCAGCACAGCAACTCGAGGAATGCTCCGTGTACCCCAAATCACATCGAGATGAGAGCTGATTCCCTGGCTTAGGCTCAAGACGTATGCCAACTTTCCAGAAGCACCTCAGGAGGAGGCTTCTCTCAGCAATAGGTATGTGGGAGGGACCCCGAGTTTGCTGCCTCAAGGGGAATATACAGCGAGAAGCCCTAACTTGAAAGGAGGCCGGATTTCCTTGCAGTGGCTTGAATACAGGCCCGTCTTTCATCTCACAACATGAAGGGATGTCTGAATCCCCTGTGGAGACCTTAGAGAAAGCCCTAGGTCCCTGCCTCATTTTGACGGAATGCCTCACATCCCGCTGACACCTCAAGAGGAACGCGGAGTTCATTGCTTCAAAAGGTGACGATGCCTGACTCCTCTTGTATACTGAGAGGAAACCCAAAATCCCTGTGGCTACTGGAAAGGGTCCTTGGGTGCCCTGCCTCATCTCGAGAAGTGTCCCTTTTGCCCTGCCAAGCCTCGAAGAGATTCCTGAGGGGTCCCTCGTTACTAGACAGGAGTCCTGACGTCACTGAAGAAACTCGTGTTTTGAAGGGCCATAACCGCCATAAGTCGAGAACATACCCCAGGTCCCCGCCGCAACTCGAGAAAAATCATGAGACTTCCCCCTAGAGGCGAGATGAGGCCCCATTCCCCTGCAGTGCATGCAGAGCTATTCCGTGATCCCATTGAAACAAATCAGGAGCTTCGACTTGCTTAATGGATCTCGAGACAGTCCCCAAGAACACTGTCACCAGTCTAGACGGACACTGAGGTCACCCCAGCAATGCAAAGCAGCTCCATATGCCCCAAATCAACTCGAGATGAGGCCCGATTCCCCTGCATTGACTCCATAGCCATTCCCCGTTCCTCATTCAACACGACCGGTGGCTCGACTTCCTTCAGGTCACTGCAGAGATGCCCCGAGAACACTGTCCCAAGTCTAGAGGAACACCAACTTCAGCACAGCAACTCGAGGAATGCTCCGTGTACCCCAAATCGTCTCGAGATGAGAGCTGATTCCCAGGCTTAGGCTCAAGACGTATGCCAACTTTCCAGAAGCACCTCAGGAGGAGGCTTCTCTCAGCAATAGGTATGTGGGAGGGACCCCGAGTTTGCTGCCTCAAGGGGAATATACAGCGAGAAGCCCTAACTTGAAAGGAGGCCGGATTTCCTTGCAGTGGCTTGAATACAGGCCCGACTTTCATCTCACAACATGAAGGGATGTCTGAATCCCCTGTGGAGACCTTAGAGAAAGCCCTAGGTGCCTGCCTCATTTTGACGGAATGCCTCACATCCCTCTGACACCTCGAGAGGCACACGGAGTTCATTGCTTCAAAAGTTGACGATGCCTGACTCCTCTTGAATACTGATAGGAATCCCAAAATCCCTGTGGCTACTGGAAAGGGTCCTTGGGTGCCCTGCCTCACCTCGAGAAGCGTCCCTTTTGCCCTGCCAAGCCTCGAAGAGATTCCTGAGGTGTCCCTCGTCACTAGTCAGGAGTCCTGACGTCACTGAAGAAACTCGTGTTTTGAAGGGCCATCCCCGCCGTAAGTCGAGAACATATCCCGGGACCCCGCCGCAACTCAAGAAAAAACATGAGACTTCCCCCTAGAGGCGAGATGAGGCCCCATTCCCCTGCAGTGCATACAGAGCTATTCCGTGATCCCATTCAAACAAGTCAGGAGCTTCGACTTGCTTAATGGATCTCGAGACAGTCCCCAAGAACACTGTCACCAGTCTAGACGGACCCTGAGGTTACCCCAGCAACGCAAAGCAGCTCCATGTGCCCGAAATCAACTCGAGATGAGGCCCGATTCCCCTGCATTGACTCCAGAGCCATTCCCCGTTCCCCATTCAACACGACCGGTGGCTCGACTTCCTTCAGGCCACTGCAGAGATGCCCCGAGAACACTGTCCCAAGTCTAGAGGAACAACAACTTCAGCACAACAACTCGAGGAATGCTCCGTGTACCCCAAATCGTCTCGAGATGAGAGCTGATTCCCTGGCTTAGGCTCAAGACATATGCCAACTTTCCAGAAGCACCTCAGGACGAGGCTTCTCTCAGCAATAGGTATGTGGGAAGGACCCCGAGTTTGCTGCCTCAAGGGGAATATACAGCGAGAAGCCCTAACTTGAAAGGAGGCCGGATTTCCTTGCAGTGGCTTGAATACAGGCCCGTCTTTCATCTCACAACATGAAGGGATGTCTGAATCCCCTGTGGAGACCTTAGAGAAAGCCCTAGGTCCCTGCCTCATTTTGACGGAATGCTTCACATCCCGCTGACACCTCGAGAGGCACGCGGAGTTCATTGCTTCAAAAGGTGACGATGCCTGACTCTTCCTGAATACTGATAGGAATCCCAAAATCCCTGTGGCTACTGGAAAGGGTCCTTGGGTGCCCTGCCTCACCTCGAGAAGCGTCCCTTTTGCCCTGCCAAGCCTCGAAGAGATTCCTAAGGTGTCCCTCGTTACTAGACAGGAGTCCTGACGTCACTGAAGAAACTCGTGTTTTGAAGGGCCATCCCCGCCGTAAGTCGAGAACATTCCCCAGGTCCCCGACGCAACTCGAGAAAAACCATGAGACTTCCCCCTAGAGGCGAGATGAGGCCCCTTTCCCCTGCAGTGCATGCAGAGCTATTCAGTGATCCCATTCAAACAAGTCAGGAGCTTCGACTTGCTTAATGGATCTCGAGACAGTCCCCAAGAACACTGTCACCAGTCTAGACGGACCCTGAGGTCACCCCAGCAGCGCAGAGCAGCTCCATGTGCCCCAAATCAACTCGAGATGAGGCCCGATTCCCCTGCATTGACTCCAGAGCCATTCCCCGTTCCCCATTCAACACGACCGGTGGCTCGATTTCCTTCAGGCCACTCCAGAGATGCCCCGGGCACACTGTCCCAAGTCTAGAGGAACACCAACTTCAGCACAGCAACTCGAGGAATGCTCCGTGTACCCCAAATCGTCTCGAGATGAGAGCTGATTCCCTGGCTTAGGCTCAAGACGTATGCCAACTTTCCAGAAGCACCTCAAGAGGAGGCTTCTCTCAGCAATAGGTATGTGGGAGGGACCCCGAGTTTGCTGCCTCAAGGGGAATATACAGCGAGAAGCCCTAACTTGAAAGGAGGCCGGATTTCCTTGCAGTGCCTTGAATACAGGCCCGTCTTTCATCTCACAACATGAAGGGATGTCTGAATCCCCTTGGAGAACTTAGAGAAAGCCCTAGGTCCCTGCCTCATTTTGACGGAATGCCTCACATCCCGCTGACACCTCGAGAGGCACGCGGAGTTCATTGCTTCAAAAGGTGACGATGCCTGACTACTCTTGAATAGTGATAGGAATCCCAAAATCCCTGTGGCTACTGGAAAGGGTCCTTGGGTGCCCTGCCTCACCTCGAGAATCGTCCCTTTTGCCCTGCCAAGCCTCGAAGATATTCCTGAGGTGTCCCTCGTTACTAGTCAGGAGTCCTGACGTCACTGAAGAAACTCGTGTTTTGAAGGGCCATCCCCGCCGTAAGTCGAGAACATACCCCAGGTCCCCGCCGCAACTCGAGAAAAACCATGAGACTTCCCCCTAGAGGCGAGATGAGGCCCCATTCCCCTGCAGTGCATGCAGAGCTATTCCGTGATCCCATTCAAACAAGTCAGGAGCTTCGACTTGCTTAATGGATCTCGAGACAGTCCCCAAGAACACTATCACCAGTCTAGACGGACCCTGAGGTCACCCCAGCAAGGCAAAGCAGCTCCATGTGCCCCAAATGAACTCGAGATGAGGCCCGATTCCCCTGCATTGACTCCAGAGCCATTCCCCGTTCCCCATTCAACACGACCGGTGGCTCGACTTCCTTCAGGCCACTCCAGAGATGCCCCGAGCACACTCTCCCAAGTCTAGAGGAACACCAACTTCAGCACAGCAACTCGAGGAATGCTCCGTGTACCCCAAATCGTCTCGAGATGAGAGCTGATTCCCTGGCTTAGGCTCAAGACGTATGCCAACTTTACAGAAGCCCCTCAGGAGGAGGCTTCTCTCAGCAATAGGTATGTGGGAGGGACCCCGAGTTTGCTGCCTCAAGGGGAATATACAGCGAGAAGCCCTAACTTGAAAGGAGGCCGGATTTCCTTGCGGTGGCTTGAATACAGGCCCGTCTTTCATCTCACAACATGAAGGGATGTCTGAATCCCCTGTGGAGACCTTAGAGAAAGCCCTAGGTCCCTGCCTCATTTTGACGGAATGCCTTACATCCCTCTGACACCTCGAGAGGCACACGGAGTTCATTGCTTCAAAAGGTGACGATGCCTGACTCCTCTTGAATACTGATAGGAATCCCAAAATCCCTGTGGCTACTGGAAAGGGTCCTTGGGTGCCCTTCCTCACCTCGAGAAGCGTCCCTTTTGCCCTGCCAAGCCTCGAAGAGATTCCTGAGGTGTCCCTCGTTACTAGACAGGAGTCCTGACGTCACTGAAGAAACTCGTGTTTTGAAGGGCCATCCCCGCCGTAAGTCGAGAACATACCCCAGGTCCCCGCCGCAACTCGAGAAAAACCATGAGACTTCCCCCTAGAGGCGAGATGAGGCCCCATTCCCCTGCAGTGCATGCAGAGCTATTCCGTGATCCCATTCAAACAAGTCAGGAGCTTCGACTTGCTTAATGGATCTCGAGACAGTCCCCAAGAACACTGTCACCAGTCTAGACGGACCCTGAGGTCACCCCAGCAGCGCAGAGCAGCTCCATGTGCCCCAAATTAACTCGAGATGAGGCCCGATTCCACTGCATTGACTCCAGAGCCATTTCCCGTTCCCCATTCAACACGACCGTTGGCTCGACTTCCTTCAGGCCACTGCAGAGATGCCCCGAGCACACTGTCCCAAGTCTAGAGGAACACCAACTTCAGCACAGCAACTCGAGGAATGCTCCGTGTACACCAAATCGTCTGGAGATGAGAGCTGATTCCCTGGCTTAGGCTCAAGACGTATGCCAACTTTCCAGAAGCACCTCAGGAGGAGGCTTCTCTCAGCAATAGGTATGTGGGAGGGACCCCGAGTTTGCTGCCTCAAGGGGAACATACAGCGAGAAGCCCTAACTTGAAAGGAGGCCGGATTTCCTTGCAGTGGCTTGAATACAGGCCCGTCTTTCATCTCACAACATGAAGGGATGTCTGAATCCCCTGTGGAGACCTTAGAGAAAGCCCTAGGTCCCTGCCTCATTTTGACGGAATGCCTCACATCCCGCTGACACCTCGAGAGGCACACGGAGTTCATTGCTTCAAAAGGTGACGATGCCTGACTCCTCTTGAATACTGATAGGAATCCCAAAATCCCTGTGGCTACTGGAAAGGGTCCTTGGGTGCCCTTCCTCACCTCGAGAAGCGTCCCTTTTGCCCTGCCAAGCCTCGAAGAGATTCCTGAGGTGTCCCTCGTTACTAGACAGGAGTCCTGACGTCACTGAAGAAACTCGTGTTTTGAAGGGCCATCCCCGCCGTAAGTCGAGAACATACCCCAGGTCGCCGCCGCAACTCGAGAAAAACCATGAGACTTCCCCCTAGAGGCGAGATGAGGCCCCATTCCCCTGCAGTGCATGCAGAGCTATTCCGTGATCCCATTCAAACAAGTCAGGAGCTTCGACTTGCTTAATGGATCTCGAGACAGTCCCCAAGAACACTGTCACCAGTCTAGACGGACTCTGAGGTCACCCCAGCAGCGCAGAGCAGCTCCATGTGCCCCAAATTAACTCGAGATGAGGCCCGATTCCACTGCATTGACTCCAGAGCCATTTCCCGTTCCCCATTCAACACGACCGTTGGCTCGACTTCCTTCAGGCCACTGCAGAGATGCCCCGAGCACACTGTCCCAAGTCTAGAGGAACACCAACTTCAGCACAGCAACTCGAGGAATGCTCCGTGTACCCCAAATCGTCTGGAGATGAGAGCTGATTCCCTGGCTTAGGCTCAAGACGTATGCCAACTTTCCAGAAGCACCTCAGGAGGAGGCTTCCTCAGCAATAGGTATGTGGGAGGGACCCCGAGTTTGCTGCCTCAAGGGGAACATACAGCGAGAAGCCCTAACTTGAAAGGAGGCCGGATTTCCTTGCAGTGGCTTGAATACAGGCCCGTCTTTCATCTCACAACATGAAGGGATGTCTGAATCCCCTGTGGAGACCTTAGAGAAAGCCCTAGGTCCCTGCCTCATTTTGACGGAATGCCTCACATCCCGCTGACACCTCGAGAGGCACACGGAGTTCATTGCTTAAAAGGCGACGATGCCTGACTCCTCTTGAATACTGATAGGAATCCCAAAATCCCTGTGGCTACTGGAATGGGTCCTTGGGTGCCCTGCCTCACCTCGAGAAGCGTCCCTTTTGCCCTGCCAAGCCTCGAAGAGATTCCTGAGGTGTCCCTCGTTACTAGTCAGGAGTCCTGACGTCACTGAAGAAACTCGTGTTTTGAAGGGCCATCCCCGCCGTAAGTCGAGAACATACCCCAGGTCCCCGCCGCAACTCGAGAAAAACCATGAGACTTCCCCCTAGAGGCGAGATGAGGCCCCATTCCCCTGCAGTGCATGCAGAGCTATTCCGTGATCCCATTCAAATAAGTCAGGAGCTTCGACTTCCTTAATGAATCTCGAGACAGTCCCCAAGAACACTGTCACCAGTCTAGACGGACCCTGAGGTCACCCCAGCAACGCAAAGCAGCTCCATGTGCCCCAAATCAACTGGAGATGAGGCCCGATTCCCCTGCATTGACTCCAGAGCCATCCCCGTTCCCCATTCAACACGACCGGTGGCTCGACTTCCTTCAGGCCACTCCAGAGATGCCCCGAGAACACTGTCCCAAGTCTAGAGGAACAACAACTTCAGCACAGCAACTCGAGGAATGCTCCGTGTACCCCAAATCGTCTCGAGATGAGAGCTGATTCCCTGGCTTAGGCTCAAGACGTATGCCAACTTTCCAGAAGCACCTCAGGAGGAGGCTTCTCTCAGCAATAGGTATGTGGGAGGGACCCCGAGTTTGCTGCCTCAAGGGGAAGATACAGCGAGAAGCCCTAACTTGAAAGGAGGCCGGATTTCCTTGCGGTGGCTTGAATACAGGCCCGTCTTTCATCTCACAACATGAAGGGATGTCTGAATCCCCTGTGGAGACCTTAGAGAAAGCCCTAGGTCCCTGCCTCATTTTGACGGACTGCTTCACATCCCGCTGACACCTCGAGAGGCACGCGGAGTTCATTGCTTCAAAAGGTGACGATGCCTGACTCCTCTTGAATACTGATAGGAATCCCAAAATCCCTGTGGCTACTGGAAACGGTCCTTGGGTGCCCTGCCTCACCTCGAGAAGCGTCCTTTTTGACCTGCCAAGCCTCGAAGAGATTCCTGAGGTGTCCCTCGTTACTAGACAGGAGTCCTGACGTCACTGAAGAAACTCGTGTTTTGAAGGGCCATCCCCGCCGTAAGTCGAGAACATACCCCAGGTCCCCGCCGCAACTCGAGAAAAACCATGAGACTTCCCCCTAGAGGCGAGATGAGGCCCCATTCCCCTGCAGTGCATGCAGAGCTATTCCGTGATCCCATTCAAACAAGTCAGGAGTTTCGACTTGCTTAATGGATCTCGAGACAGTCCCCAAGAACACTGTCACCAGTCTAGACGGACCCTGAGGTCACCCCAGCAACGCAAAGCAGCTCCATGTGCCCCAAATCACCTCGAGATGAGGCCCGATACCCCTGCATTGACTCCAGAGCCATTCCCCGTTCCCCATTCAACACGACCGGTGGCTCGACTTCCTTCAGGCAACTCCAGAGATGCCCCGAGCACACTGTCTCAAGTCTAGAGGAACAACAACTTCAGCACAACAACTCGAGGAATGCTCCGTGTACCCCAAAACGTCTCGAGATGAGAGCTGATTCCCCGGCTTAGGCTCAAGACGTATGCCAACTTTCCAGAAGCACCTCAGGAGGAGGCTTCTCTCAGCAATAGGTATGTGGGTGGGACCCCGAGTTTGCTGCCTCAAGGGGAATATACAGCGAGAAGCCCTAACTTGAAAGGAGGCCGGATTTCCTTGCAGTGGCTTGAATACAGGCCCGTGTTTCATCTCACAACATGAAGGGACGTCTGAATCCCCTGTGGAGACCTTAGAGAAAGCCCTAGGTCCCTGCCTCATTTTGACGGACTGCTTCACATCCCGCTGACACCTCGAGAGGCACGCGGAGTTCATTGCTTCAAAAGGTGACGATGCCTGACTCCTCTTGAATACTGATAGGAATCCCAAAATCCCTGTGGCTACTGGAAAGGGTCCTTGGGTGTCCTGCCTCACCTCGAGAAGTGTCCCTTTTGCCCTGCCAAGACTCGAAGAGATTCCTAAGGTGTCCCTCGTTACTAGACAGGAGTCCTGACGTCATTGAAGAAACTCGTGTTTTGAAAAGCCATCCCCGCCGTAAGTCGAGAACTTTCCCCAGGTCCCCGACGCAACTCGAGAAAAACCATGAGACTTCCCCCTAGAGGCGAGATGAGGCCCCATTCCCCTCCAGTGCATGCAGAGCTATTCCGTGATCCCATTGAAACAAGTCAGGAGTTTCGACTTGCTTAATGGATCTCGAGACAGTCCCCAAGAACACTGTCACCAGTCTAGACGGACCCTGAGGTCACCCCAGCAACGCAAAGCAGCTCCATGTGCCCCAAATCAACTCGAGATGAGGCCCGATTCCCCTGCATTGACTCCAGAGCCATTCCCCGTTCCCCATTCAACACGACCGTTGGCTCGACTTCCTTCAGGCCACTGCAGAGATGCCCCGAGCACACTGTCCCAAGTCTAGAGGAACACCAACTTCAGCACAGCAACTCGAGGAATGCTCCGTGTACCCCAAATCGTCTCGAGATGAGAGCTGATTCCCTGGCTTAGGCTCAAGACGTATGCCAACTTTCCAGAAGCACCTCAGGAGGAGGCTTCTCTAAGCAATAGGTATGTGGGAGGGACCCCGAGTTTGCTGCCTCAAGGGGAATATACAGCGAGAAGCCCTAACTTGAAAGGAGGCCGGATTTCCTTGCGGTGGCTTGAATACAGGCCCGTCTTTCATCTCACAACATGAAGGGATGTCTGAATCCCCTGTGGAGAACTTAGAGAAAGCCCTAGGTCCCTGCCTCATTTTGACGGAATGCCTCACATCCCTCTGACACCTCGAGAGGCACACGGAGTTCATTGCTTCAAAAGGTGACGATGCCTGACTCCTCTTGAATACTGATAGGAATCCCAAAATCCCTGTGGCTACTGGAAAGGGTCCTTGGGTGCCCTGCCTCACCTCGAGAAGCGTCCCTTTTGCCCTGCCAAGCCTCGAAGAGATTCCTGAGGTGTCCCTCGTTACTAGACAGGAGTCCTGACGTCACTGAAGAAACTCGTGTTTTGAAGGGCCATCCCCGCCGTAATTCGAGAACATACCCCAGGTCCCCGCCGCAACTCGAGAAAAACCATGAGACTTCCCCCTAGAGGCGAGATGAGGCCCCATTCCCCTGCAGTGCATGGAGAGCTATTCCATGATCCCATTCAAACAAGTCAGGAGTTTCGACTTGCTTAATGGATCTCGAGACAGTCCCCAAGAACACTGTCACCAGTCTAGATGGACTCTGAGGTCACCCCAGCAACGCAAAGCAGATCCATGTGCCCCAAATCAACTCGAGATGAGGCCCGATTCCCCTGCATTGACTCCAGAGCCATTCCCCGTTCCCCATTCAACACGACCGGTGGCTCGACTTACTTCAGGCAACTCCAGAGATGCCCCGAGCACACTGTCCCAAGTCTGGAGGAACAACAACTTCAGCACAACAACTCGAGGAATGCTCCGTGTACCCCAAAACGTCTCGAGATGAGAGCTGATTCCGTGGCTTAGGCTCAAGACGTATGCCAACTTTCCAGAAGCACCTCAGGAGGAGGCTTCTCTCAGCAATAGGTATGTGGGTGGGACCCCGAGTTTGCTGCCTCAAGGGGAATATACAGCGAGAAGCCCTAACTTGAAAGGAGGCCGGATTTCCTTGCAGTGGCTTGAATACAGGCCCGTCTTTCATCTCACAACATGAAGGGATGTCTGAATCCCCTGTGGAGACCTTAGAGAAAGCCCTAGGTCCCTGCCTCATTTTGACGGAATGCTTCACATCCCGCTGACACCTCGAGAGGCACGCGGAGTTCATTGCTTCAAAAGGTGACGATGCCTGACTCTTCCTGAATACTGATAGGAATCCCAAAATCCCTGTGGCTACTGGAAAGGGTCCTTGGGTGCCCTGCCTCACCTCGAGAAGCGTCCCTTTTGCCCTGCCAAGCCTCGAAGAGATTCCTAAGGTGTCCCTCGTTACTAGACAGGAGTCCTGACGTCACTGAAGAAACTCGTGTTTTGAAGGGCCATCCCCGCCGTAAGTCGAGAACATTCCCCAGGTCCCCGACGCAACTCGAGAAAAACCATGAGACTTCCCCCTAGAGGCGAGATGAGGCCCCTTTCCCCTGCAGTGCATGCAGAGCTATTCAGTGATCCCATTCAAACAAGTCAGGAGCTTCGACTTGCTTAATGGATCTCGAGACAGTCCCCAAGAACACTGTCACCAGTCTAGACGGACCCTGAGGTCACCCCAGCAGCGCAGAGCAGCTCCATGTGCCCCAAATCAACTCGAGATGAGGCCCGATTCCCCTGCATTGACTCCAGAGCCATTCCCCGTTCCCCATTCAACGCGACCGGTGGCTCGATTTCCTTCAGGCCACTGCAGAGATGCCCCGAGCACACTGTCCCAAGTCTAGAGGAACACCAACTTCAGCACAGCAACTCGAGGAATGCTCCGTGTACCTCAAATCACATCGAGATGAGAGCTGATTCCCTGGCTTAGGCTCAAGACGTATGGCAACTTTCCAGAAGCACCTCAGGAGGAGGCTTCTCTCAGCAATAGGTATGTGGGAGGGACCCCGAGTTTGCTGCCTCAAGGGGAATATACAGCGAGAAGCCCTAACTTGAAAGGAGGCCGGATTTCCTTGCAGTGGCTTGAATACAGGCCCGTCTTTCATCTCACAACATGAAGGGATGTCTGAATCCCCTGTGGAGACCTTAGAGAAAGCCCTAGGTGCCTGCCTCATTTGACGGAATGCCTCACATCCCGCTGACACCTCGAGAGGCACACGGAGTTCATTGCTTCAAAAGTTGACGATGCCTGACTCCTCTTGAATACTGATAGGAATCCCAAAATCCCTGTGGCTACTGGAAAGGGTCCTTGGGTGCCCTGCCTCACCTCGAGAAGCGTCCCTTTTGCCCTGCCAAGCCTCGAAGAGATTCCTGAGGTGTCCCTCGTTACTAGACAGGAGTCCTGACGTCACTGAAGAAACTCGTGTTTTGAAGGGCCATCCCCGCCATAAGTCGAGAACATATCCCGGGTCCCCGCCACAACTCGAGAAAAAACATGACACTTCCCCCTAGAGGCGAGATGAGGCCCCATTCCCCTGCAGTGCATACAGAGCTATTCCGTGATCCCATTCAAACAAGTCAGGAGCTTCGACTTGCTTAATGGATCTCGAGACAGTCCCCAAGAACACTGTCACCAGTCTAGACGGACCCTGAGGTTACCCCATCAACGCAAAGCAGCTCCATGTGCCCCAAATCAACTCGAGATGAGGCCCGATTCCCCTGCATTGACTCCAGAGCCATTCCCCGTTACCCATTCAACACGACAGGTGGCTCGACTTCCTTCAGGCAACTCCAGAGATGCCCCGAGAACACTGTCCCAAGTCTAGAGGAACAACAACTTCAGCACAACAACTCGAGGAATGCTCCGTGTACCCCAAATCGTCTCGAGATGAGAGCTGATTCCCTGGCTTAGGCTCAAGACATATGCCAACTTTCCAGAAGCACCTCAGGAGGAGGCTTCTCTCAGCAATAGGTATGTGTGAGGGACCACGAGTTTGCTGCCTCAAGGGGAATATACAGCGAGAAGCCCTAACTTGAAAGGAGGCCGGATTTCCTTGCAGTGGCTTGAATACAGGCCCGTCTTTCATCTCACAACATGAAGGGATGTCTGAATCCCCTGTGGAGACATTAGAGAAAGCCCTAGGTCCCTGCCTCATTTTGACGGAATGCTTCACATCCCGCTGACACCTCGAGAGGCACGCGGAGTTCATTGCTTCAAAAGGTGACGATGCCTGACTCCTTTTGAATACTGATAGGAATCCCAAAATCCCTGTATCTTCTGGAAAGGGTTCTTGGGTGCCCTGCCTCACCTCGAGAAGCGTCCCTTTTGCCCTGCCAAGCCTCGAAGAGATTCCTGAGGTGTCCCGCGTTACTAGACAGGAGTCCTGACGTCACTGAAGAAACTCGTGTTTTGAAGGGCCATCCCCGCCGTAAGTCGAGAACATACCCCAGGTCCCCGCCGCAACTCGAGAAAAACCATGAGACTTCCCTCTAGAGGCGAGCTGAGGCCCCATTCCCCTGCAGTGCATGCAGAGCTACTCCGTGATCCCATTCAAACAAGTCAGGAGCTTCGACATGCTTAATGGATCTCGAGACAGTCCCCAAGAACACTGTCACCAGTCTAGACGGACCCTGAGGTCACCCCAGCAAAGCAAAGCAGCTCTATGTGCCCCAAATCAACTCGAGATGAGGCCCGATTCCCCTGCATTGACTCCAGAGCCTTTCCCCGTTCCCCATTCAACACGACCGGTGGCTCGACTTCCTTCAGTCCACTCCAGAGATACCCCGAGAACACTGTCCCAAGTCTAGAGGAACACCAACTTCAGCACAGCAACTCGAGGAATGCTCCATGTACCCCAAATCGCATCGAGATGAGAGCTGATTCCCTGGCTTAGGCTCAAGACGTATGCCAACTTTCCAGAAGCACCTCAGGAGGAGGCTTCTCTCAGCAATAGGTATGTGGAGGGACCCCGAGTTTGCTGCCTCAAGGGGAATATACAGCGAGAAGCCCTAACTTGAAAGGAGGCCGGATTTCCTTGCAGTGGCTTGAATACAGGCCCGTCTTTCATCTCACAACATGAAGGGATGTCTGAATCCCCTGTGGAGACCTTAGAGAAAGCCCTAGGTCCCTGCCTCATTTTGACGGAATGCCTCACATCCCGCTGACACCTCAAGAGGCACACGGAGTTCATTGCTTCAAAACGTGACGATGCCTGACTCCTCTTGAATACTGATAGGAATCCCAAAATCCCTGTTGCTACTGGAAAGGGTCCTTGGGTGCCCTGCCTCACCTCGAGAAGCTTCCCTTTTGCCCTGCCAAGCCTCGAAGAGATTCCTGAGGTGTCCCTCGTTACTAGACAGGAGTCCTGACGTCACTGAAGAAACTCGTGTTTTGAAGGGCCATCCTCGCCGTAAGTCGAGAACATACCCCAGGTCCCCGCCGCAACTCGAGAAAAAACATGAGACTTCCCCCTAGAGGCGAGATGAGGCCCCATTCCCCTGCAGTGCATGCAGAGCTATTCCGTGATCCCATTCAAACAAGTCAGGAGCTTCGACTTGCTTAATGGATCTCGAGACAGTCCCCAAGAACACTGTCACCAGTCTAGACGGACCCTGAGGTCACCCCAGCAACGCAAAGCAGCTCATGTGCCCCAAATCAACTCGAGATGAGGCCCGATTCCCCTGCATTGACTCCAGAGCCATTCCCCATTCCCCATTCAACACGACCGGTGGCTCGACTTCCTTCAGGCAACTCCAGAAATGCCCCGAGAACACTGTCCCAAGTCTAGAGGAACAACAACTTCAGCACAACAACTCGAGGAATACTCCGTGTACCCCAAATCGTGTCGAGATGAGAGCTGATTCCCTGGCTTAGGCTCAAGACATATGCCAACTTTCCAGAAACACCTCAGGAGAAGGCTTCTCTCAGCAATAGGTATGTGGGAGGGATCACGAGTAGGCTGCCTCAAGGGGAATATACAGCGAGAAGCCCTAACTTGAAAGGAGGCCGGATTTCCTTGCAGTGGCTTGAATACAGGCCCGTCTTTCATCTCACAACATGAAGGGATGTCTGAATCCCCTGTGGAGACCTTAGAGAAAGCCCTAGGTCCCTGCCTCATTTTGACGGAATTCCTCACATCCCGCTGACACCTCGACAGGCACACGGAGTTCATTGCTTCAAAATGTGACGATGCCTGACTCCTCTTGAATACTGATAGGAATCCCAAAATCCCTGTGGCTACTGGAAAGGGTCCTTGGGTGCCCTGCCTCACCTCGAGAAGCGTCCCTTTTGCCCTGACAAGCCTCGAAGAGATTCCTGAGGTGTCCCGCGTTACTAGACAGGAGTCCTGACGTCACTGAAGAAACTCGTGTTTTGAAGGGCCATCCCCGCCGTAATTCGAGAACATACCCCAGGTCCCCGCCGCAACTCGAGAAAAACCATGAGACTTCCCTCTAGAGGCAAGATGAGGCCCCATTCCCCTGCAGTGCATGCAGAGCTACTCCGTGATCCCATTCAAACAAGTCAGGAGCTTCGACTTGCTTAATGGATCTCGAGACAGTTCCCAAGAACACTGTCACCAGTCTAGACGGACCGTGAGGTCACCCCAGCAAAGCAAAGCAGCTCTATGTGCCCCAAATCAACTCAAGATGAGGCCCGATTCCCCTGCATTGACGCCAGAGCCTTTCCCCGTTCCCCATTCAACACGACCGGTGGCTCGACTTCCTTCAGGCCACTCCAGCGATACCCCGAGAACACTGTCCCAAGTCTAGAGGAACACCAACTTCAGCACAACAACTCGAGGAATGCTCCGTGTACCCCAAATCGCATCGAGATGAGAGCTGATTCCCTGGCTTAGGCTCAAGACCTATCCCAACTTTCCAGAAGCACCTCAGGAGGAGGCTTCTCTCAGCAATAGGTATGTGGGAGGGACCCCGAGTTTGCTGCCTCAAGGGGAATATACTGCGAGAAGCCCTAACTTGAAAGGAGGCCGGATTTCCTTGCAGTGCCTTGAATACAGGCCCGTCTTTCATCTCACAACATGAAGGGATGTCTGAATCCCCTTGGAGAACTTCGAGAAAGCCCTAGGTCCCTGCCTCATTTTGACGGAATGCCTCACATCCCGCTGACACCTCGAGAGGCACACGGAGTTCATTGCTTCAAAAGGTGACGATGCCTGACTCCTCTTGAATAGTGATAGGAATCCCAAAATCCCTGTGGCTACTGGAAAGGGTCCTTGGGTGCCCTGCCTCACCTCGAGAAGCGTCCCTTTTGCCCTGCCAAGCCTCGAAGATATTCCTGAGGTGTCCCTCGTTACTAGACAGGAGTCCTGACGTCACTGAAGAAACTCGTGTTTTGAAGGGCCATCCCCGCCGTAAGTCGAGAACATACCCCAGGTCCCCGCCGCAACTCGAGAAAAACCATGAGACTTCCCCCTAGAGGCGAGATGAGGCCCCATTCCCCTGCAGTGCATGCAGAGCTATTCCGTGATCCCATTCAAACAAGTCAGGAGCTTCGACTTGCTTAATGGATCTCGAGACAGTCCCCAAGAACACTGTCACCAGTCTAGACGGACCCTGAGGTCACCCCAGCAACGCAAAGCAGCTCCATGTGCCCCAAATGAACTCGAGATGAGGCCCGATTCCCCTGCATTGACTCCAGAGCCATTCCCCGTTCCCCATTCAACACGACCGGTGGCTCGACTTCCTTCAGGCCACTCCAGAGATGCCCCGAGCACACTGTCCCAAGTCTAGAGGAACACCAACTTCAGCACAGCAACTCGAGGAATGCTCCGTGTACCCCAAATCGTCTCGAGATGAGAGCTGATTACCTGGCTTAGGCTCAAGACGTATGCCAACTTTCCAGAAGCACCTCAGGAGGAGGCTTCTCTCAGCAATAGGTATGTGGGAGGGACCCCGAGTTTGCTGCCTCAAGGGGAATATACAGCGAGAAGCCCTAACTTGAAAGGAGGCCGGATTTCCTAGCGGTGGCTTGAATACAGGCCCGTCTTTCATCTCACAACATGAAGGGATGTCTGAATCCCCTGTGGAGACCTTAGAGAAAGCCCTAGGTCCCTGCCTCATTTTGACGGAATGCCTTACATCCCTCTGACACCTCGAGAGGCACACGGAGTTCATTGCTTCAAAAGGTGACGATGCCTGACTCCTCCTGAATACCGATAGGAATCCCAAAATCCCTGTGGCTACTGGAAAGGGTCCTTGGGTGCCCTGCCTCACCTCGAGAAGCATCCCTTTTGCCCTGCCAAGCCTCGAAGAGATTCCTGAGGTGTCCCTCGTTACTAGACAGGAGTCCTGACGTCACTGAAGAAACTCGTGTTTTGAAGGGCCATCCCCGCCGTAAGTCGAGAACATACCCCAGGTCCCCGCCGCAACTCGAGAAAAACCATGAGACTTCCCCCTACAGGCGAGATGAGGCCCCATTCCCCTGCAGTGCATGCAGAGCTATTCCGTGATCCCATTCAAACAAGTCAGGAGCTTCGACTTGCTTAATGGATCTCGAGACAGTCCCCAAGAACACTGTCACCAGTCTAGACGGACCCTGAGGTCACCCCAGCAGCGCAGAGCAGCTCCATGTGCCCCAAATCAACTCGAGATGAGGCCCGATTCCCCTGCATTGACTCCAGAGCCATTTCCCGTTCCCCATTCAACACGACCGTTGGCTCGACTTCCTTCAGGCCACTGCAGAGATGCCCCGCGCACACTGTCCCAAGTCTAGAGGAACACCAACTTCAGCACAGCAACTCGAGGAATGCTCCGTGTACCCCAAATCATCTGGAGATGAGAGCTGATTCCCTGGCTTAGACTCAAGACGTATGCCAACTTTCCAGAAGCACCTCAGGAGGAGGCTTCTCTCAGCAATAGGTATGTGGGTGGGACCCCGAGTTTGCTGCCTCAAGGGGAATATACAGCGAGAAGCCCTAACTTGAAAGGAGGCCGGATTTCCTTGCAGTGGCTTGAATACAGGCCCGTCTTTCATCTCACAACATGAAGGGATGTCTGAATCCCCTGTGGAGACCTTAGAGAAAGCCCTAGGTCCCTGACTCATTTTGAAGGACTGCTTCACATCCCGCTGACACCTCGAGAGGCACGCGGAGTTCATTGCTTCAAAAGGTGACGATGCCTGACTCCTCTTGAATACTGATAGGAATCCCAAAATCCCTGTGGCTACTGGAAAGGGTCCTTGGGTGCCCTGCCTCACCTCGAGAAGCGTCCCTTTTGCCCTGCCAAGCCTCGAAGAGATTCCTGAGGTGTCCCTCGTTACTAGACAGGAGTCCTGACGTCACTGAAGAAACTCGTGTTTTGAAGGGCCATCCCCGCCGTAAGTCGAGAACATACCCCAGGTCCCCGCCGCAACTCGAGAAAAACCATGAGACTTCCCCCTAGAGGCGAGATGAGGCCCCATTCCCCTGCAGTGCATGCAGAGCTATTCCGTGATCCCATTCAAACAAGTTAGGAGTTTCGACTTGCTTAATGGATCTCGAGACAGTCCCCAAGATCACTGTCACCAGTCTAGACGGACCCTGAGGTCACCGCAGCAACGCAAAGCAGCTCCATGTGCCCCAAATCAACTCGAGATGAGGCCCGATTCCCCTGCATTGACTCCAGAGCCATTCCCCGTTCCCCATTCAACACGACCGGTGGCTCGACTTCCTTCAGGCCACTCCAGAGATGCCCCGGGCACACTGTCCCAAGTCTAGAGGAACACCAACTTCAGCACAGCAACTCGAGGAATGCTCCGTGTACCCCAAATCGTCTCGAGATGAGAGCTGATTCCCTGGCTTAGGCTCAAGACGTATGCCAACTTTCCAGAAGCACCTCAAGAGGAGGCTTCTCTCAGCAATAGGTATGTGGGAGGGACCCCGAGTTTGCTGCCTCAAGGGGAATATACAGCGAGAAGCCCTAACTTGAAAGGAGGCCGGATTTCCTTGCAGTGCCTTGAATACAGGCCCGTCTTTCATCTCACAACATGAAGGGATGTCTGAATCCCCTTGGAGAACTTAGAGAAAGCCCTAGGTCCCTGCCTCATTTTGACGGAATGCCTCACATCCCGCTGACACCTCGAGAGGCACGCGGAGTTCATTGCTTCAAAAGGTGACGATGCCTGACTACTCTTGAATAGTGATAGGAATCCCAAAATCCCTGTGGCTACTGGAAAGGGTCCTTGGGTGCCCTGCCTCACCTCGAGAATCGTCCCTTTTGCCCTGCCAAGCCTCGAAGATATTCCTGAGGTGTCCCTCGTTACTAGTCAGGAGTCCTGACGTCACTGAAGAAACTCGTGTTTTGAAGGGCCATCCCCGCCGTAAGTCGAGAACATACCCCAGGTCCCCGCCGCAACTCGAGAAAAACCATGAGACTTCCCCCTAGAGGCGAGATGAGGCCCCATTCCCCTGCAGTGCATGCAGAGCTATTCCGTGATCCCATTCAAACAAGTCAGGAGCTTCGACTTGCTTAATGGATCTCGAGACAGTCCCCAAGAACACTATCACCAGTCTAGACGGACCCTGAGGTCACCCCAGCAAGGCAAAGCAGCTCCATGTGCCCCAAATGAACTCGAGATGAGGCCCGATTCCCCTGCATTGACTCCAGAGCCATTCCCCGTTCCCCATTCAACACGACCGGTGGCTCGACTTCCTTCAGGCCACTCCAGAGATGCCCCGAGCACACTCTCCCAAGTCTAGAGGAACACCAACTTCAGCACAGCAACTCGAGGAATGCTCCGTGTACCCCAAATCGTCTCGAGATGAGAGCTGATTCCCTGGCTTAGGCTCAAGACGTATGCCAACTTTACAGAAGCCCCTCAGGAGGAGGCTTCTCTCAGCAATAGGTATGTGGGAGGGACCCCGAGTTTGCTGCCTCAAGGGGAATATACAGCGAGAAGCCCTAACTTGAAAGGAGGCCGGATTTCCTTGCGGTGGCTTGAATACAGGCCCGTCTTTCATCTCACAACATGAAGGGATGTCTGAATCCCCTGTGGAGACCTTAGAGAAAGCCCTAGGTCCCTGCCTCATTTTGACGGAATGCCTTACATCCCTCTGACACCTCGAGAGGCACACGGAGTTCATTGCTTCAAAAGGTGACGATGCCTGACTCCTCTTGAATACTGATAGGAATCCCAAAATCCCTGTGGCTACTGGAAAGGGTCCTTGGGTGCCCTTCCTCACCTCGAGAAGCGTCCCTTTTGCCCTGCCAAGCCTCGAAGAGATTCCTGAGGTGTCCCTCGTTACTAGACAGGAGTCCTGACGTCACTGAAGAAACTCGTGTTTTGAAGGGCCATCCCCGCCGTAAGTCGAGAACATACCCCAGGTCCCCGCCGCAACTCGAGAAAAACCATGAGACTTCCCCCTAGAGGCGAGATGAGGCCCCATTCCCCTGCAGTGCATGCAGAGCTATTCCGTGATCCCATTCAAACAAGTCAGGAGCTTCGACTTGCTTAATGGATCTCGAGACAGTCCCCAAGAACACTGTCACCAGTCTAGACGGACCCTGAGGTCACCCCAGCAGCGCAGAGCAGCTCCATGTGCCCCAAATTAACTCGAGATGAGGCCCGATTCCACTGCATTGACTCCAGAGCCATTTCCCGTTCCCCATTCAACACGACCGTTGGCTCGACTTCCTTCAGGCCACTGCAGAGATGCCCCGAGCACACTGTCCCAAGTCTAGAGGAACACCAACTTCAGCACAGCAACTCGAGGAATGCTCCGTGTACACCAAATCGTCTGGAGATGAGAGCTGATTCCCTGGCTTAGGCTCAAGACGTATGCCAACTTTCCAGAAGCACCTCAGGAGGAGGCTTCTCTCAGCAATAGGTATGTGGGAGGGACCCCGAGTTTGCTGCCTCAAGGGGAACATACAGCGAGAAGCCCTAACTTGAAAGGAGGCCGGATTTCCTTGCAGTGGCTTGAATACAGGCCCGTCTTTCATCTCACAACATGAAGGGATGTCTGAATCCCCTGTGGAGACCTTAGAGAAAGCCCTAGGTCCCTGCCTCATTTTGACGGAATGCCTCACATCCCGCTGACACCTCGAGAGGCACACGGAGTTCATTGCTTCAAAAGGTGACGATGCCTGACTCCTCTTGAATACTGATAGGAATCCCAAAATCCCTGTGGCTACTGGAAAGGGTCCTTGGGTGCCCTTCCTCACCTCGAGAAGCGTCCCTTTTGCCCTGCCAAGCCTCGAAGAGATTCCTGAGGTGTCCCTCGTTACTAGACAGGAGTCCTGACGTCACTGAAGAAACTCGTGTTTTGAAGGGCCATCCCCGCCGTAAGTCGAGAACATACCCCAGGTCCCCGCCGCAACTCGAGAAAAACCATGAGACTTCCCCCTAGAGGCGAGATGAGACCCCATTCCCCTGCAGTGCATGCAGAGCTATTCCGTGATCCCATTCAAACAAGTCAGGAGCTTCGACTTGCTTAATGGATCTCGAGACAGTCCCCAAGAACACTGTCACCAGTCTAGACGGACCCTGAGGTCACCCCAGCAGCGCAGAGCAGCTCCATGTGCCCCAAATCAACTCGAGATGAGGCCCAATTCCCCTGCATTGACTCCAGAGCCATTTCCCGTTCCCCATTCAACACGACCGTTGGCTCGACTTCCTTCAGGCCACTGCAGAGATGCCCCGAGCACACTGTCCCAAGTCTAGAGGAACACCAACTTCAGCACAGCAACTCGAGGAATGCTCCGTGTACCCCAAATCGTCTGGAGATGAGAGCTGATTCCCTGGCTTAGGCTCAAGACGTATGCCAACTTTCCAGAAGCACCTCAGGAGGAGGCTTATCTCAGCAATAGGTATGTGGGAGGGACCCCGAGTTTGCTGCCTCAAGGGGAACATACAGCGAGAAGCCCTAACTTGAAAGGAGGCCGGATTTCCTTGCAGTGGCTTGAATACAGGCCCGTATTTCATCTCACAACATGAAGGGATGTCTGAATCCCCTGTGGAGACCTTAGAGAAAGCCCTAGGTCCCTGCCTCATTTTGACGGAATGCCTCACATCCCGCTGACACCTCGAGAGGCACACGGAGTTCATTGCTTCAAAAGGCGACGATGCCTGACTCCTCTTGAATACTGATAGGAATCCCAAAATCCCTGTGGCTACTGGAATGGGTCCTTGGGTGCCCTGCCTCACCTCGAGAAGCGTCCCTTTTGCCCTGCCAAGCCTCGAAGAGATTCCTGAGGTGTCCCTCGTTACTAGTCAGGAGTCCTGACGTCACTGAAGAAACTCGTGTTTTGAAGGGCCATCCCCGCCGTAAGTCGAGAACATACCCCAGGTCCCCGCCGCAACTCGAGAAAAACCATGAGACTTCCCCCTAGAGGCGAGATGAGGCCCCATTCCCCTGCAGTGCATGCAGAGCTATTCCGTGATCCCATTCAAATAAGTCAGGAGCTTCGACTTCCTTAATGAATCTCGAGACAGTCCCCAAGAACACTGTCACCAGTCTAGACGGACCCTGAGGTCACCCCAGCAACGCAAAGCAGCTCCATGTGCCCCAAATCAACTGGAGATGAGGCCCGATTCCCCTGCATTGACTCCAGAGCCATCCCCGTTCCCCATTCAACACGACCGGTGGCTCGACTTCCTTCAGGCCACTCCAGAGATGCCCCGAGAACACTGTCCCAAGTCTAGAGGAACAACAACTTCAGCACAGCAACTCGAGGAATGCTCCGTGTACCCCAAATCGTCTCGAGATGAGAGCTGATTCCCTGGCTTAGGCTCAAGACGTATGCCAACTTTCCAGAAGCACCTCAGGAGGAGGCTTCTCTCAGCAATAGGTATGTGGGAGGGACCCCGAGTTTGCTGCCTCAAGGGGAAGATACAGCGAGAAGCCCTAACTTGAAAGGAGGCCGGATTTCCTTGCGGTGGCTTGAATACAGGCCCGTCTTTCATCTCACAACATGAAGGGATGTCTGAATCCCCTGTGGAGACCTTAGAGAAAGCCCTAGGTCCCTGCCTCATTTTGACGGACTGCTTCACATCCCGCTGACACCTCGAGAGGCACGCGGAGTTCATTGCTTCAAAAGGTGACGATGCCTGACTCCTCTTGAATACTGATAGGAATCCCAAAATCCCTGTGGCTACTGGAAAGGGTCCTTGGGTGCCCTGCCTCACCTCGAGAAGCGTCCTTTTTGACCTGCCAAGCCTCGAAGAGATTCCTGAGGTGTCCCTCGTTACTAGACAGGAGTCCTGACGTCACTGAAGAAACTCGTGTTTTGAAGGGCCATCCCCGCCGTAAGTCGAGAACATACCCCAGGTCCCCGCCGCAACTCGAGAAAAACCATGAGACTTCCCCCTAGAGGCGAGATGAGGCCCCATTCCCCTGCAGTGCATGCAGAGCTATTCCGTGATCCCATTCAAACAAGTAAGGAGTTTCGACTTGCTTAATGGATCTCGAGACAGTCCCCAAGAACACTGTCACCAGTCTAGACGGACCCTGAGGTCACCCCAGCAACGCAAAGCAGCTCCATGTGCCCCAAATCACCTCGAGATGAGGCCCGATACCCCTGCATTGACTCCAGAGCCATTCCCCGTTCCCCATTCAACACGACCGGTGGCTCGACTTCCTTCAGGCAACTCCAGAGATGCCCCGAGCACACTGTCTCAAGTCTAGAGGAACAACAACTTCAGCACAACAACTCGAGGAATGCTCCGTGTACCCCAAAACGTCTCGAGATGAGAGCTGATTCCCCGGCTTAGGCTCAAGACGTATGCCACCTTTCCAGAAGCACCTCAGGAGGAGGCTTCTCTCAGCAATAGGTATGTGGGTGGGACCCCGAGTTTGCTGCCTCAAGGGGAATATACAGCGAGAAGCCCTAACTTGAAAGGAGGCCGGATTTCCTTGCAGTGGCTTGAATACAGGCCCGTGTTTCATCTCACAACATGAAGGGACGTCTGAATCCCCTGTGGAGACCTTAGAGAAAGCCCTAGGTCCCTGCCTCATTTTGACGGACTGCTTCACATCCCGCTGACACCTCGAGAGGCACGCGGAGTTCATTGCTTCAAAAGGTGACGATGCCTGACTCCTCTTGAATACTGATAGGAATCCCAAAATCCCTGTGGCTACTGGAAAGGGTCCTTGGGTGTCCTGCCTCACCTCGAGAAGTGTCCCTTTTGCCCTGCCAAGCCTCGAAGAGATTCCTAAGGTGTCCCTCGTTACTAGACAGGAGTCCTGACGTCATTGAAGAAACTCGTGTTTTGAAAAGCCATCCCCGCCGTAAGTCGAGAACTTTCCCCAGGTCCCCGACGCAACTCGAGAAAAACCATGAGACTTCCCCCTAGAGGCGAGATGAGGCCCCATTCCCCTCCAGTGCATGCAGAGCTATTCCGTGATCCCATTGAAACAAGTCAGGAGTTTCGACTTGCTTAATGGATCTCGAGACAGTCCCCAAGAACACTGTCACCAGTCTAGACGGACCCTGAGGTCACCCCAGCAACGCAAAGCAGCTCCATGTGCCCCAAATCAACTCGAGATGAGGCCCGATTCCCCTGCATTGACTCCAGAGCCATTCCCCGTTCCCCATTCAACACGACCGTTGGCTCGACTTCCTTCAGGCCACTGCAGAGATGCCCCGAGCACACTGTCCCAAGTCTAGAGGAACACCAACTTCAGCACAGCAACTCGAGGAATGCTCCGTGTACCCCAAATCGTCTCGAGATGAGAGCTGATTCCCTGGCTTAGGCTCAAGACGTATGCCAACTTTCCAGAAGCACCTCAGGAGGAGGCTTCTCTAAGCAATAGGTATGTGGGAGGGACCCCGAGTTTGCTGCCTCAAGGGGAATATACAGCGAGAAGCCCTAACTTGAAAGGAGGCCGGATTTCCTTGCGGTGGCTTGAATACAGGCCCGTCTTTCATCTCACAACATGAAGGGATGTCTGAATCCCCTGTGGAGACCTTAGAGAAAGCCCTAGGTTCCTGCCTCATTTTGACGGACTGCTTCACATCCCGCTGACACCTCGAGAGGCACGCGGAGTTCATTGCTTCAAAAGGTGACGATGCCTGATTGCTCTTGAATACTGATAGGAATCCCAAAATCCCTGTGGCTACTGGAAAGGGTCCTTGGGTGCCCTGCCTCACCTCGAGAAGCATCCCTTTTGCCCTGCCAAGCCTCGAAGAGATTCCTGAGGTGTCCCTCGTTACTAGACAGGAGTCCTGACGTCACTGAAGAAACTCGTGTTTTGAAGGGCCATCCCTGCCGTAAGTCGAGAACATACCCCAGGTCCCCGCCGCAACTCGAGAAAAACCATGAGACTTCCCCCTAGAGGCGAGATGAGGCCCCATTCCCCTGCAGTGCATGCAGAGCTATTCCGTGATCCTATTCAAACAAGTCAGGAGTTTCGACTTGCTTAATGGATCTCGAGACAGTCCCCAAGAACACTGTCACCTGTCTAGACGGACCCTGAGGTCACCCCAGCAACGCAAAGCAGCTCCATGTGCCCCAAATCAACTCGAGATGAGGCCCGATTCCCCTGCATTGACTCCAGAGCCATTCCCCGTTCCCCATTCAACACGACCGGTGGCTCGACTTCTTTCAGGCCACTCCAGAGATGCCCCGAGCACACTGTCCCAAGTCTAGAGGAACACCAACTTCAGCACAGCAACTCGAGGAATGCTCCGTGTACCCCAAATTGTCTCGAGATGAGAGCTGATTCCCTGGCTTAGGCTCAAGACGTATGCCAACTTTCCAGAAGCACCTCAGGAGGAGGCTTCTCTCAGCAATAGGTATGTGGGAGGGACCCCGAGTTTGCTGCCTCAAGGGGAATATACAGCGAGAAGCCCTAACTTGAAAGGAGGCCGGATTTCCTTGCGGTGGCTTGAATACAGGCCCGTCTTTCATCTCACAACATGAAGGGATGTCTGAATCCCCTATGGAGACCTTAGAGAAAGCCCTAGGTCCCTGCCTCATTTTGACGGAATGCCTCACATCCCTCTGACACCTCGAGAGGCACACGGAGTTCATTGCTTCAAAAGGTGACGATGCCTGACTCCTCTTGAATACTGATAGGAATCCCAAAATCCCTGTGGCTACTGGAAAGGGTCCTTGGGTGCCCTGCCTCACCTCGAGAAGCGTCCCTTTTGCCCTGCCAAGCCTCGAAGAGATTCCTGAGGTGTCCCTCGTTACTAGACAGGAGTCCTGACGTCACTGAAGAAACTCGTGTTTTGAAGGGCCATCCCCGCCGTAAGTCGAGAACATACCCCAGGTCCCCGCCGCAACTCGAGAAAAACCATGAGACTTCCCCCTAGAGGCGAGATGAGGCCCCATTCCCCTGCAGTGCATGCAGAGCTATTCCGTGATCCCATTCAAACAAGTCAGGAGTTTCGACTTGCTTAATGGATCTCGAGACAGTCCCCAAGAACACTGTCACCAGTCTAGACGGACCCTGAGGTCACCCCAGCAACGCAAAGCAGCTCCATGTGCCCCAAATCAACTCGAGATGAGGCCCGATTCCCCTGCATTGACTCCAGAGCCATTCCCCGTTACCCATTCAACACGACCGGTGGCTCGACTTCCTTCAGGCAACTCCAGAGATGCCCCGAGCACACTGTCCCAAGTCTAGAGGAACACCAACTTCAGCACAGCAACTCGAGGAATGCTCCGTGTACCCCAAATCGTCTCGAGATGAGAGCTGATTCCCTGGCTTAGGCTCAAGACGTATGCCAACTTTCCAGAAGCACCTCAGGAGGAGGCTTCTCTCAGCAATAGGTATGTGGGAGGGACCCCGAGTTTGCTGCCTCTAGGGGAATATACAGCGAGAAGCCCTAACATGAAAGAAGGCCGGATTTCATTGTGGTGGCTTGAATACAGGCCCGTCTTTCATCTCACAACATGAAGGGATGTCTGAATCCCCTGTGGAGAACTTAGAGAAAGCCCTAGGTCCCTGCCTCATTTTGACGGAATGCCTCACATCACTCTGACACCTCGAGAGGCACACGGAGTTCATTGCTTCAAAAGGTGACGATGCCTGACTCCTCTTGAATACTGATAGGAATCCCAAAATCCCTGTGGCTACTGGAAAGGGTCCTTGGGTGCCCTGCCTCACCTCGAGAAGCGTCCCTTTGCCCTGCCAAGCCTCGAAGAGATTCCTGAGGTGTCCCTCGTTACTAGTCAGGAGTCCTGACGTCACTGAAGAAACTCGTGTTTTGAAGGGCCATCCCCGCCTTAAGTCGAGAACATACCCCAGGTCCCCGCCGCAACTCGAGAAAAACCATGAGACTTCCCCCTAGAGGCGAGATGAGGCCCCATTCCCCTGCAGTGCATGCAGAGCTATTCCATGATCCCATTCAAACAAGTCAGGAGCTTCGACTTGCTTAATGGATCTCGAGACAGTCCCCAAGAACACTGTCACCAGTCTAGACGGACCCTGAGGTCACCCCAGCAACGCAAAGCAGCTCCATGTGCCCCAAATCAACTCGAGATGAGGCCCGATTCCCCTGCATTGACTCCAGAGCCATTCCCCGTTCCCCATTCAACACGACCGGTGGCTCGACTTCCTTCAGGCCACTCCAGAGATGCCCCGAGCACACTGTCCCAAGTCTAGAGGAACACCAACTTCAGCACAGCAACTCGAGGAATGCTCCGTTTACACCAAATCGTCTCGAGATGAGAGCTGATTCCCTGGCTTAGGCTCAAGACGTATGCCAACTTTCCAGAAGCACCTCAGGAGGAGGCTTCTCTCAGCAATAGGTATGTGGGAGGGACCCCGAGTTTGCTGCCTCAAGGGGAATATACCGAGAGAAGCCCTAACTTGATAGGACGCCGGATTTCCTTGCAGTGGCTTGAATACAGGCCCGTCTTTCATCTCACAACATGAAGGGATGTCGGATTCCCCTTGGAGAACTTAGAGAAAGCCCTAGGTCCCTGCCTCATTTAGACGGAATGCCTCACATCCCGCTGACAACTCGAGAGGCACGCGGAGTTCATTGCTTCAAAAGGTGACGATGCCTGACTCCTCTTGAATACTGATAGGAATCCCAAAATCCCTGTGGCTACTGGAAAGGGTCTTGGGTGCCCTGCCTCACCTCGAGAAGCGTCCCTTTTGCCCTGCCAAGCCTCGAAGATATTCCTGAGGTGTCCCTCGTTACTAGTCAGGAGTCCTGACGTCACTGAAGAAACTCGTGTTTTGAAGGGCCATCCCCGCCGTAAGTCGAGAACATTCCCCAGGTCCCCGCCGCAACTCGAGAAAAACCATGAGACTTCCCCCTAGAGGCGAGATGAGGCCCCATTCCCCTGCAGTGCATGCAGAGCTATTCCGTGATCCCATTCAAACAAGTCAGGAGCTTCGACTTGCTTAATGGATCTCGAGACAGTCCCCAAGAACACTGTCACCAGTATAGACGGACCTTGAGGTTACCCCAGCAACGCAAAGCAGCTCCATGTGCCCCAAATCAACTCGAGATGAGGCCCGATTCCCCTGCATTGACTCCAGAGCCATTCCCCGTTCCCCATTCAACACGACCGGTGGCTCGACTTCCTTCAGGCAACTCCAGAAATGCCCCGAGAACACTGTCCCAAGTCTAGAGGAACAACAACTTCAGCACAACAACTCGAGGAATGCTCCGTGTACCCCAAATCGTCTCGAGATGAGAGCTGATTACCTGGCTTAGGCTCAAGACGTATGCCAACTTTCCAGAAGCACCTCAGGAGGAGGCTTCTCTCAGCAATAGGTATGTGGGAGGGACCCCGAGTTTGCAGCCTCAAGGGGAATATACAGCGAGAAGCCCTAACTTGAAAGGAGGCCGGATTTCCTTGCAGTGGCTTGAATACAGGCCCGTCATTCATCTCACAACATGAAGGGATGTCTGAATCCCCTGTGGAGACCTTAGGAAAGCCCTAGGTCCCTGCCTCATTTTGACGGAATGCTTCACATCCCGCTGACACCTCGAGAGGCACGCGGAGTTCATTGCTTCAAAAGGTGACGATGCCTGACTCCTCTTGAATACTGATAGGAATCCCAAAATCCCTGTGGCTACTGGAAAGGGTCCTTGGGTGCCCTGCCTCACCTCGAGAAGTGTCACTTTTGCCCTGCCAAGCCTCGAAGAGATTCCTGAGGTGTCCCTCGTTACTAGACAGGAGTCCTGACGTCACTGAAGAAACTCGTGTTTTGAAGGGCCATCCCCGCCGTAAGTCGAGAACATACCCCAGGTCCCCGCCGCAACTCGAGAAAAACCATGAGACTTCCCCCTAGAGGCGAGATGAGGCCCCATTCCCCTGCAGTGCATGCAGAGCTATTCCGTGATCCCATTCAAACAAGTCAGGAGTTTCGACTTGCTTAATGGATCTCGAGACAGTCCCCAAGAACACTGTCACCAGTCTAGACGGACCCTGAGGTCACCCCAGCAACGCAAAGCAGCTCCATGTGCCCCAAATCAACTCGAGATGAGGCCCGATTCCCCTGCATTGACTCCAGAGCCATTCCCCGTTCCCCATTCAACACGACCGGTGGCTCGACTTCCTTCAGGCAACTCCAGAGATGCCCCGAGCACACTGTCTCAAGTCTAGAGGAACACCAACTTCAGCACAACAACTCGAGGAATGCTCCGTGTACCCCAAAACGTCTCGAGATGAGAGCTGATTCCCCGGCTTAGGCTCAAGACGTATGCCAACTTTCCAGAAGCACCTCAGGAGGAGGCTTCTCTCAGCAATAGGTATGTGGGTGGGACCCCGAGTTTGCTGCCTCAAGGGGAATATACAGCGAGAAGCCCTAACTTGAAAGGAGGCCGGATTTCCTTGCAGTGGCTTGAATACAGGCCCGTGTTTCATCTCACAACATGAAGGGATGTCTGAATCCCCTGTGGAGACCTTAAAGAAAGCCCTAGGTCCCTGCCTCATTTTGACGGACTGCTTCACATCCCGCTGACACCTCGAGAGGCACGCGGAGTTCATTGCTTCAAAAGGTGACCATGCCTGACTCCTCTTGAATACTGATAGGAATCCCAAAATCCCTGTGGCTACTGGAAAGGGTCCTTGGGTGCCCTGCCTCACCTCGAGAAGTGTCCCTTTTGCCCTGCCAAGCCTCGAAGAGATTCCTAAGGTGTCCCTCGTTACTAGACAGGAGTCCTGACGTCACTGAAGAAACTCGTGTTTTGAAAAGCCATCCCCGCCGTAAGTCGAGAACATTCCCCAGGTCCCCGACGCAACTCGAGAAAAACCATGAGACTTCCCCCTAGAGGCGAGATGAGGCCCCATTCCCCTGCAGTGCATGCAGAGCTATTCCGTGATCCCATTGAAACAAGTCAGGAGTTTCGACTTGCTTAATGAATCTCGAGACAGTCCCCAAGAACACTGTCACCAGTCTAGACGGACCCTGAGGTCACCCCAGCAACGCAAAGCAGCTCCATGTGCCCCAAATGAACTCGAGATGAGGCCCGATTCCCCTGCATTGACTCCAGAGCCATTCCCCGTTCCCCATTCAACACGACCGGTGGCTCGACTTCCTTCAGGCCACTCCAGAGATGCCCCGAGCACACTGTCCCAAGTCTAGAGGAACACCAACTTCAGCACAGCAACTCGAGGAATGCTCCGTGTACCCCAAATCGTCTCGAGATGAGAGCTGATTCCCTGGCTTAGGCTCAAGACGTATGCCAACTTTCCAGAAGCACCTCAGGAGGAGGCTTCTCTCAGCAATAGGTATGTGGGAGGGACCCCGAGTTTGCTGCCTCAAGGGGAATATACAGCGAGAAGCCCTAACTTGAAAGGAGGCCGGATTTCCTTGCAGTGGCTTGAATACAGGCCCGTCTTTCATCTCACAACATGAAGGGATGTCTGAATCCCCTTGGAGACCTTAGAGAAAGCCCTAGGTCCCTGCCTCATTTTGACGGAATGCTTCACATCCCGCTGACACCTCGAGAGGCACGCGGAGTTCATTGCTTCAAAAGGTGACGATGCCTGACTCCTCTTGAATACTGATAGGAATCCCAACATCCCTGTGGCTACTGGAAAGGGTCCTTGGGTGCCGTTCCTCACCTCGAGAAGCGTCCCTTTTGCCCTGCCAAGCCTCGAAGAGATTCCTGAGGTGTCCCTCGTTCCTAGACAGGAGTCCTGACGTCACTGAAGAAACTCGTGTTTTGAAGGGCCATCCCCGCCGTAAGTCGAGAACATACCCCAGGTCCCCGCCGCAACTCGAGAAAAACCATGAGACTTCCCCCTAGAGGCGAGATGAGGCCCCATTCCCCTGCAGTGCATGCAGAGCTATTCCGTGATCCCATTCAAACAAGTCAGGAGTTTCGACTTGCTTAATGGATCTCGAGAGAGTCCCCAAGAACACTGTCACCAGTCTAGACGGACCCTGAGGTCACCCCAGCAACGCAAAGCAGCTCCATGTGCCCCAAATCAACTCGAGATGAGGCCCGATTCCCCTGCATTGACTCCAGAGCCATTCCCCGTTCCCCATTCAACACGACCGGTGGCTCGACTTCCTTCAGGCAACTCCAGAGATGCCCCGAGCACACTGTCCCAAGTCAAGAGGAACACCAACTTCAGCACAGCAACTCGAGGAATGCTCCGTGTACCCCAAATCATCTCGAGATGAGAGCTGATTCCCTGGCTTAGGCTCAAGACGTATGCCAACTTTCCAGAAGCACCTCAGGAGGAGGCTTCTCTCAGCAATAGGTATGTGGGAGGGACCCCGAGTTTGCTGCCTCAAGGGGAATATACAGCGAGAAGCCCTAACTTGAAAGGAGGCCGGATTTCCTTGCGGTGGCTTGAATACAGGCCCGTCTTTCATCTCACAACATGAAGGGATGTCTGAATCCCCTGTGGAGACCTTAGAGAAAGCCCTAGGTCCCTGCCTCATTTTGACGGAATGCCTCACATCCCTCTGACACCTCGAGAGGCACACGGAGTTCATTGCTTCAAAAGGTGACGATGCCTGACTCCTCTTGAATACTGATAGGAATCCCAAAATCCCTGTGGCTACTGGAAAGGGTCCTTGGGTGCCCTGCCTCACCTCGAGAAGCGTCCCTTTTGCCCTGCCAAGCCTCGAAGAGATTCCTGAGGGGTCCCTCGTTACTAGACAGGAGTCCTGACGTCACTGAAGAAACTCGTGTTTTGAAGGGCCATCCCCGCCGTAAGTCGAGAACATACCCCAGGTCCCCGCCGCAACTCGAGAAAAACCATGAGACTTCCCCCTAAGGCGAGATGAGGCCCCATTTCCCTGCAGTGCATGCAGAGCTATTCCATGATCCCATTCAAACAAGTCAGGAGTTTCGACTTGCTTAATGGATCTCGAGACAGTCCCCAAGAACACTGTCACCAGTCTAGACGGACCCTGAGGTCACCCCAGCAACGCAAAGCAGCTCCATGTGCCCCAAATCAACTCGAGATGAGGCCCGATTCCCTTGCATTGACTCCAGAGCCATTCCCCGTTACCCATTCAACACGACCGGTGGCTCGACTTCCTTCAGGCAACTCCAGAGTTGCCCCGAGCACACTGTCCCAAGTCTAGAGGAAAAACAACTTCAGCACAACAACTCGAGGAATGCTCCGTGTACCCCACAACGTCTCGAGATGAGAGCTGATTCCCTGGCTTAGGCTCAAGACGTATGCCAACTTTCCAGAAGCACCTCAGGAGGAGGCTTCTCTCAGCAATAGGTATGTGGGTGGGACCCCGAGTTTGCTGCCTCAAGGGGAATATACAGCGAGAAGCCCTAACTTGAAAGGAGGCCGGATTTCCTTGCAGTGGCTTGAATACAGGCCATTCTTTCATCTCACAACATGAAGGAATGTCTGAATCCCCTGTGGAGACCTTAGAGAAAGCCCTAGGTCCCTGCCTCATTTTGACGGACTGCTTCACACCCGCTGACACCTCGAGAGGCACGCGGAGTTCATTGCTTCAAAAGGGGACGATGCCTGACTCCTCTTGAATACTGATAGGAATCCCAAAATCCCTGTGGCTACTGGAAAGGGTCCTTGGGTGCCCTGCCTCACCTCGAGAAGCGTCCCTTTTGCCCTGCCAAGCCTCGAAGAGATTCCTGAGGTGTCCCTCGTTACTAGACAGGAGTCCTGACGTCACTGAAGAAACTCGTGTTTTGAAAAGCCATCCCCGCCGTAAGTCGAGAACATTCCCCAGGTCCCCGACGCAACTCGAGAAAAACCATGAGACTTCCCCCTAGAGGCGAGATGAGGCCCCATTCCCCTGCAGTGCATGCAGAGCTATTCCGTGATCCCATTCAAACAAGTCAGGAGCTTCGACTTGCTTAATGGATCTCGAGACAGTCCCCAAGAACACTGTCACCAGTCTAGACGGACCCTGAGGTCACCCCAGCAGCGCAGAGCAGCTCCATGTGCCCCAAATCAACTCGAGATGAGGCCCGATTCCCCTGCATTGACTCCAGAGCCATTCCCCGTTCCCCATTCAACACGACCGGTGGCTCGACTTCCTTCAGGCCACTGCAGAGATGCCCCGAGCACACTGTCCCAAGTCTAGAGGAACACCAACTTCAGCACAGCAACTCGAGGAATGCTCCATGTACCCCAAATCGTCTCGAGATGAGAGTTGATTCCCTGGCTTAGGCTCAAGACGTATGCCAACTTTCCAGAAGCACCTCAGGAGGAGGCTTCTCTCAGCAATAGGTATGTGGGAGGGACCCCGAGTTTGCTGCCTCAAGGGGAAGATACAGCGAGAAGCCCTAACTTGAAAGGAGGCCGGATTTCTTTGCAGTGGCTTGAATACAGGCCAGTCTTTCATCTCACAACATGAAGGGATGTCTGAATCCCCTGTGGAGACCTTAGAGAAAGCCCTAGTTCCCTGCCTCATTTTGACGGAATGCCTCACATCCCGCTGACACCTCGAGAGGCACACGGAGTTCATTGATTCAAAAGGTGACGATGCCTGACTACTCTTGAATACTGATAGGAATCCCAAAACCACTGTGGCTACTGGAAAGGGTCCTTGGGTGCCCTGCCTCACCTCGAGAAGCGTCCCTTTTGCCCTGCCAAGCCTCGAAGAGATTCCTGAGGTGTCCCTCGTTACTAGACAGGAGTCCTGACGTCACTGAAGAAACTCGTGTTTTGAAGGGCCATCCCCGCCTTAAGTCGAGAACATACCCCAGGTCCCCGCCGCAACTCGAGAAAAACCATGAGACTTCCCCCTAGAGGCGAGATGAGGCCCCATTCCCCTGCAGTGCATGCAGAGCTATTCCGTGATCCCATTCAAACAAGTCAGGAGCTTCGACTTGCTTAATGGATCTCGAGACAGTCCCCAAGAACACTGTCACCAGTCTAGACGGACCCTGAGGTCACCCCAGCAGCGCAGAGCAGCTCCATGTGCCCCAAATCAACTCGAGATGAGGCCCGATTCCCCTGCATTGACTCCAGAGCCATTCCCCGTTCCCCATTCAACACGACCGGTGGCTCGACTTCCTTCAGGCCACTGCAGAGATGCCCCGAGCATACTGTCCCAAGTCTAGAGGAACACCAACTTCAGCACAGCTACTCGAGGAATGCTCCATGTACCCCAAATCGTCTCGAGATGAGAGTTGATTCCCTGGCTTAGGCTCAAGACGTATGCCAACTTTCCAGAAGCACCTCAGGAGGAGGCTTCTCTCAGCAATAGGTATGTGGGAGGGACCCCGAGTTTGCTGCCTCAAGGGGAATATACAGCGAGAAGCCCTAACTTGAAAGGAGGCAGGATTTCCTTGCAGTGGCTTGAATACAGGCCCGTCTTTCATCTCACAACATGAAGGGATGTCTGAATCCCCTGTGGAGACCTTAGAGAAAGCCCTAGGTGCCTGCCTCATTTTGACGGAATGCCTCACATCCCGCTGACACCTCGAGAGGCACACGGAGTTCATTGCTTCAAAAGTTGACGATGCCTGACTCCTCTTGAATACTGATAGGAATCCCAAAATCCCTGTGGCTACTGGAAAGGGTCCTTGGGTGCCCTGCCTCACCTCGAGAAGCGTCCCTTTTGCCCTGCCAAGCCTCGAAGAGATTCCTGAGGTGTCCCTCGTTACTAGTCAGGAGTCCTGACGTCACTGAAGAAACTCGTGTTTTGAAGGGCCATCCCCGCCGTAAGTCGAGAACATATCCCAGGTCCCCGCCGCAACTCGAGAAAAATCATGAGACTTCCCCCTAGAGGCGAGATGAGGCCCCATTCCCCTGCAGTGCATGCAGAGCTATTCCGTGATCCCATTGAAACAAATCAGGAGCTTCGACTTGCTTAATGGATCTCGAGACAGTCCCCAAGAACACTGTCACCGGTCTAGACGGACCCTGAGGTCACCCCAGCAATGCAAAGCAGCTCCATGTGCCCCAAATCAACTCGAGATGAGGCCCGATTCCCCTGCATTGACTCCAGAGCCATTCCCCGTTCCCCATTCAACACGACCGGTGGCTCGACTTCCTTCAGGCCACTGCAGAGATGCCCCGAGAACACTGTCCCAAGTCTAGAGGAACACCAACTTCAGCACAGCAACTCGAGGAATGCTCCGTGTACCCCAAATCGTCTCGAGATGAGAGCTGATTCCCTGGCTTAGGCTCAAGACGTATGCCAACTTTCCAGAAGCAACTCAGGAGGAGGCTTCTCTCAGCAATAGGTATGTGGGAGGGACCCCGAGTTTGCTGCCTCAAGGGGAATATACAGCGAGAAGCCCTAACTTGAAAGGAGGCCGGATTTCCTTGCAGTGGCTTGAATACAGGCCCGTCTTTCATCTCACAACATGAAGGGATGTCTGAATCCCCTGTGGAGACCTTAGAGAAAGCCCTAGGTGCCTGCCTCATTTTGACGGAATGCCTCACATCCCGCTGACACCTCGAGAGGCACACGGAGTTCATTGCTTCAAAAGTTGACGATGCCTGACTCCTCTTGAATACTGATAGGAATCCCAAAATCCCTGTGGCTACTGGAAAGGGTCCTTGGGTGCCCTGCCTCACCTCGAGAAGCGTCCCTTTTGCCCTGCCAAGCCTCGAAGAGATTCCTGAGGTGTCCCTCGTTACTAGTCAGGAGTCCTGACGTCACTGAAAAACTCGTGTTTTGAAGGGCCATCCCCGCCGTAAGTCGAGAACATATCCCGGGTCCCCGCCGCAACTCGAGAAAAAACATGAGACTTCCCCCTAGAGGCGAGATGAGGCCCCATTCCCCTGTAGTGCATACAGAGCTATTCCGTGATCCCATTCAAACAAGTCAGGAGCTTCGACTTGCTTAATGGATCTCGAGACAGTCCCCAAGAACACTGTCACCAGTCTAGATGGACCCTGAGGTCACCCCAGCAACGCAAAGCAGCTATATGTGCCCCAAATCAACTCGAGATGAGGCCCGATTCCCCTGCATTGACTCCAGAGCCATTTCCCGTTCCCCATTCAACACGACCGGTGGCTCGACTTCCTTCAGGCCACTCCAGAGATGCCCCGAGCACACTGTCCCAAGTCTAGAGGAACACCAACTTCAGCACAGCAACTCGAGGAATGCTCCGTGTACCCCAAATCGTCTCGAGATGAGAGCTGATTCCCTGGCTTAGGCTCAAGACGTATGCCAACTTTCCAGAAGCACCTGAGGAGGAGGCTTCTCTCAGCAATAGGTATGTGTGAGGGACCCCGAGTTTGCTGCCTCAAGGGGAACATACAGCGAGAAGCCCTAACTTGAAAGGCGGCCGGATTTCCCTGCAGTGGCTTGAATACAGGCCCATCTTTCATCTCACAACATGAAGGGATGTCTGAATCCCCTGTGGAGACCTTAGAGAAAGCCCTAGGTCCCTGCCTCATTTTGACGGAATGCCTCACATCCCGCTGACACCTCGAGAGGCACACGGAGTTCATTGCTTCAAAAGGTGACGATGCCTGACTCCTCTTGAATACTGATAGGAATCCCAAAATACCTGTGGCTACTGGAAAGGGTCCTTGGGTGCCCTGCCTCACCTCGAGAAGCGTCCCTTTTGCCCTGCCAAGCCTCGAAGAGATTCCTGAGGTGTCCCTCGTTACTAAACAGGAGTCCTGACATCACTGAAGAAACTCGTGTTTTGAAGGGCCATCCCCGCCGTAAGTCGAGAACATACCCCAGGTCCCCGCCGCAACTCGAGAAAAACCATGAGACTTCCCCCTAGAGGCGAGATGAGGCCCCATTCCCCTGCAGTGCATGCAGAGCTACTCCGTGATCCCATTCAAACAAGTCAGGAGCTTCGACTTGCTTAATGGATCTCGAGAGAGTCCCCAAGAACACTGTCACCAGTCTAGACGGACCCTGAGCTCACCCCAGCAACGCAAAGCAGCTCTATGTGCCCCAAATCAACTCGAGATGAGGCCCGATTCCCCTGCATTGACTCCAGAGCCCTTCCCCGTTCCCCATTCAACACGACCGGTGGCTCGACTTCCTTCAGGCCACTCCAGAGATGCCCCGCGATCACTGTCCCAAGTCTAGAGGAACACCAACTTCAGCACAGCAACTCGAGGAATGCTCCGTGTACCCCAAATCACATCGAGATGAGAGCTGATTCCCTGGCTTAGGCTCAAGACATATGCCAACTTTCCAGAAGCACCTCAGGACGAGGCTTCTCTCAGCAATAGGTATGTGGGAGGGACCCCGAGTTTGCTGCCTCAAGGGGAATATACAGCGAGAAGCCCTAACTTGAAAGGAGGCCGGATTTCCTTGCAGTGGCTTGAATACAGGCCCGTCTTTCATCTCACAACATGAAGGGATGTCTGAATGCCCTGTGGAGACCTTAGAGAAAGCCCTAGGTCCCTGCCTCATTTTGACGGAATGCTTCACATCCCGCTGACACCTCGAGAGGCACGCGGAGTTCATTGCTTCAAAAGTTGACGATGCCTGACTCCTCTTGAATACTGATAGGAATCCCAAAATCCCTGTGGCTACTGGAAAGGGTCCTTGGGTGCCCTGCCTCACCTCGAGAAGCGTCCCTTTTGCCCTGCCAAGCCTCGAAGAGATTCCTGAGGTGTCCCTCGTTACTAGACAGGAGTCCTGACGTCACTGAAGAAACTCGTGTTTTGAAGGGCCATCCCCGCCTTAAGTCGAGAACATACCCCAGGTCCCCGCCGCAACTCGAGAAAAATCATGAGACTTCCCCCTAGAGGCGAGATGAGGCCCCATTCCCCTGCAGTGCATGCAGAGCTATTCCGTGATCCCATTCAAACAAGTCAGGAGCTTCAACTTGCTTAATGGATCTCGAGACAGTCCCCAAGAACACTGTCACCAGTCTAGACGGACCCTGAGGTCACCCCAGCAGCGCAGAGCAGCTCCATGTGCCCCAAATCAACTCGAGATGAGGCCCGATTCCCCTGCGTTGACTCCAGAGCCATTCCCCGTTCCCCATTCAACACGACCGGTGGCTCGACTTCCTTCAGGCCACTGCAGAGATGCCCCGAGCACACTGTCCCAAGTCTAGAGGAACACCAACTTCAGCACAGCAACTCGAGGAATGCTCCGTGTACCCCAAATCGTCTCGAGATGAGAGTTGATTCCCTGGCTTAGGCTCAAGACGTATGCCAACTTTCCAGAAGCACCTCAGGAGGAGGCTTCTCTCAGCAATAGGTATGTGGGAGGGACCCCGAGTTTGCTGCCTCAAGGGGAATATACAGCGAGAAGCCCTAACTTGAAAGGAGGCAGGATTTCCTTGCAGTGGCTTGAATACAGGCCCGTCTTTCATCTCACAACATGAAGGGATGTCTGAATCCCCTGTGGAGACCTTAGAGAAAGCCCTAGGTGCCTGCCTCATTTTGACGGAATGCCTCACATCCCGCTGACACCTCGAGAGGCACACGGAGTTCATTGCTTCAAAAGTTGACGATGCCTGACTCCTCTTGAATACTGATAGGAATCCCAAAATCCCTGTGGCTACTGGAAAGGGTACTTGGGTGCCCTGCCTCACCTCGAGAAGCGTCCCTTTTGCCCTGCCAAGCCTCGAAGAGATTCCTGAGGTGTCCCTCGTTACTAGTCAGGAGTCCTGACGTCACTGAAGAAACTCGTGTTTTGAAGGGCCATCCCCGCCGTAAGTCGAGAACATATCCCGGGTCCCCGCCGCAACTCGAGAAAAATCATGAGACTTCCCCCTAGAGGCGAGATGAGGCCCCATTCCCCTGCAGTGCATGCAGAGCTATTCCGTGATCCCATTGAAACAAATCAGGAGCTTCGACTTGCTTAATGGATCTCGAGACAGTCCCCAAGAACACTGTCACCGGTCTAGACGGACCCTGAGGTCACCCCAGCAATGCAAAGCAGCTCCATGTGCCCCAAATCAACTCGAGATGAGGCCCGATTCCCCTGCATTGACTCCAGAGCCATTCCCCGTTCCCCATTCAACACGACCGGTGGCTCGACTTCCTTCAGGCCACTGCAGAGATGCCCCGAGCACACTGTCCCAAGTCTAGAGGAACACCAACTTCAGCACAGCAACTCGAAGAATGCTCCGTGTACCCCAAATCGTCTCGAGATGAGAGCTGATTCCCTGGCTTAGGCTCAAGACGTATGCCAACTTTCCAGAAGCAACTCAGGAGGAGGCTTCTCTCAGCAATAGGTATGTGGGAGGGACCCCGAGTTTGTTGCCTCAAGGGGAATATACAGCGAGAAGCCCTAACTTGAACGGAGGCCGGATTTCCTTGCAGTGGCTTGAATACAGGCCCGTCTTTCATCTCACAACATGAAGGGATGTCTGAATCCCCTGTGGAGACCTTAGAGAAAGCCCTAGGTGCCTGCCTCATTTTGACGGAATGCCTCACATCCCGCTGACACCTCGAGAGGCACACGGAGTTCATTGCTTCAAAAGTTGACGATGCCTGACTCCTCTTGAATACTGATAGGAATCCCAAAATCCCTGTGGCTACTGGAAAGGGTCCTTGGGTGCCCTGCCTCACCTCGAGAAACGTCCCTTTTGCCCTGCCAAGCCTCGAAGAGATTCCTGAGGTGTCCCTCGTTACTAGTCAGGAGTCCTGACGTCACTGAAAAACTCGTGTTTTGAAGGGCCATCCCCGCCGTAAGTCGAGAACATACCCCAGGTCCCCGCCGCAACTCGAGAAAAACCATGAGACTTCCCCCTAGAGGCGAGATGAGGCCCCATTCCCCTGCAGTGCATGCAGAGCTATTCCGTGATCCCATTCAAACAAGTCAGGAGCTTCGACTTGCTTAATGGATCTCGAGACAGTCCCCAAGAACACTGTCACCAGTCTAGACGGAACCTGAGGTCACCCCAGCAACGCAAAGCAGCTCCATGTGCCCCAAATGAACTCGAGATGAGGCCCGATTCCCCTGCATTGACTCCAGAGCCATTCCCCGTTCCCCATTCAACACGACCGGTGGCTCGACTTCCTTCAGGCCACTCCAGAGATGCCCCGAGCACACTGTCCCAAGTCTAGAGGAACACCAACTTCAGCACAGCAACTCGAGGAATGCTCCGTGTACCCCAAATCGTCTCGAGATGAGAGCTGATTCCCTGGCTTAGGCTCAAGACGTATGCCAACTTTCCAGAAGCACCTGAGGAGGAGGCTTCTCTCAGCAATAGGTATGTGTGAGGGACCCCGAGTTTGCTGCCTCAAGGGGAACATACAGCGAGAAGCCCTAACTTGAAAGGCGGCCGGATTTCCCTGCAGTGGCTTGAATACAGGCCCATCTTTCATCTCACAACATGAAGGGATGTCTGAATCCCCTGTGGAGACCTTAGAGAAAGCCCTAGGTCCCTGCCTCATTTTGACGGAATGCCTCACATCCCGCTGACACCTCGAGAGGCACACGGAGTTCATTGCTTCAAAAGGTGACGATGCCTGACTACTCTTGAATACTGATAGGAATCCCAAAACCACTGTGGCTACTGGAAAGGGTCCTTGGGTGCCCTGCCTCACCTCGAGAAGCGTCCCTTTTGCCCTGCCAAGCCTCGAAGAGATTCCTGAGGTGTCCCTCGTTACTAGACAGGAGTCCTGACGTCACTGAAGAAACTCGTGTTTTGAAGGGCCATCCCCGCCTTAAGTCGAGAACATACCCCAGGTCCCCGCCGCAACTCGAGAAAAACCATGAGACTTCCCCCTAGAGGCGAGATGAGGCCCCATTCCCCTGCAGTGCATGCAGAGCTATTCCGTGATCCCATTCAAACAAGTCAGGAGCTTCGACTTGCTTAATGGATCTCGAGACAGTCCCCAAGAACACTGTCACCAGTCTAGACGGACCCTGAGGTCACCCCAGCAGCGCAGAGCAGCTCCATGTGCCCCAAATCAACTCGAGATGAGGCCCGATTCCCCTGCATTGACTCCAGAGCCATTCCCCGTTCCCCATTCAACACGACCGGTGGCTCGACTTCCTTCAGGCCACTGCAGAGATGCCCCGAGCATACTGTCCCAAGTCTAGAGGAACACCAACTTCAGCACAGCTACTCGAGGAATGCTCCATGTACCCCAAATCGTCTCGAGATGAGAGTTGATTCCCTGGCTTAGGCTCAAGACGTATGCCAACTTTCCAGAAGCACCTCAGGAGGAGGCTTCTCTCAGCAATAGGTATGTGGGAGGGACCCCGAGTTTGCTGCCTCAAGGGGAACATACAGCGAGAAGCCCTAACTTGAAAGGAGGCAGGATTTCCTTGCAGTGGCTTGAATACAGGCCCGTCTTTCATCTCACAACATGAAGGGATGTCTGAATCCCCTGTGGAGACCTTAGAGAAAGCCCTAGGTGCCTGCCTCATTTTGACTTAATGCCTCACATCCCGCTGACACCTCGAGAGGCACACGGAGTTCATTGCTTCAAAAGTTGACGATGCCTGACTCCTCTTGAATACTGATAGGAATCCCAAAATCCCTGTGGCTACTGGAAAGGGTCCTTGGGTGCCCTGCCTCACCTCGAGAAGCGTCCCTTTTGCCCTGCCAAGCCTCGAAGAGATTCCTGAGGTGTCCCTCGTTACTAGTCAGGAGTCCTGACGTCACTGAAGAAACTCGTGTTTTGAAGGGCCATCCCCGCCGTAAGTCGAGAACATATCCCAGGTCCCCGCCGCAACTCGAGAAAAATCATGAGACTTCCCCCTAGAGGCGAGATGAGGCCCCATTCCCCTGCAGTGCATGCAGAGCTATTCCGTGATCCCATTGAAACAAATCAGGAGCTTCGACTTGCTTAATGGATCTCGAGACAGTCCCCAAGAACACTGTCACCGGTCTAGACGGACCCTGAGGTCACCCCAGCAATGCAAAGCAGCTCCATGTGCCCCAAATCAACTCGAGATGAGGCCCGATTCCCCTGCATTGACTCCAGAGCCATTCCCCGTTCCCCATTCAACACGACCGGTGGCTCGACTTCCTTCAGGCCACTGCAGAGATGCCCCGAGAACACTGTCCCAAGTCTAGAGGAACACCAACTTCAGCACAGCAACTCGAGGAATGCTCCGTGTACCCCAAATCGTCTCGAGATGAGAGCTGATTCCCTGGCTTAGGCTCAAGACGTATGCCAACTTTCCAGAAGCAACTCAGGAGGAGGCTTCTCTCAGCAATAGGTATGTGGGAGGGACCCCGAGTTTGCTGCCTCAAGGGGAATATACAGCGAGAAGCCCTAACTTGAAAGGAGGCCGGATTTCCTTGCAGTGGCTTGAATACAGGCCCGTCTTTCATCTCACAACATGAAGGGATGTCTGAATCCCCTGTGGAGACCTTAGAGAAAGCCCTAGGTGCCTGCCTCATTTTGACGGAATGCCTCACATCCCGCTGACACCTCGAGAGGCACACGGAGTTCATTGCTTCAAAAGTTGACGATGCCTGACTCCTCTTGAATACTGATAGGAATCCCAAAATCCCTGTGGCTACTGGAAAGGGTCCTTGGGTGCCCTGCCTCACCTCGAGAAGCGTCCCTTTTGCCCTGCCAAGCCTCGAAGAGATTCCTGAGGTGTCCCTCGTTACTAGTCAGGAGTCCTGACGTCACTGAAAAACTCGTGTTTTGAAGGGCCATCCCCGCCGTAAGTCGAGAACATATCCCGGGTCCCCGCCGCAACTCGAGAAAAAACATGAGACTTCCCCCTAGAGGCGAGATGAGGCCCCATTCCCCTGCAGTGCATACAGAGCTATTCCGTGATCCCATTCAAACAAGTCAGGAGCTTCGACTTGCTTAATGGATCTCGAGACAGTCCCCAAGAACACTGTCACCAGTCTAGATGGACCCTGAGGTCACCCCAGCAACGCAAAGCAGCTCCATGTGCCCCAAATCAACTCGAGATGAGGCCCGATTCCCCTGCATTGACTCCAGAGCCATTTCCCGTTCCCCATTCAACACGACCGGTGGCTCGACTTCCTTCAGGCCACTCCAGAGATGCCCGGAGCACACTGTCCCAAGTCTAGAGGAACACCAACTTCAGCACAGCAACTCGAGGAATGCTCCGTGTACCCCAAATCGTCTCGAGATGAGAGCTGATTCCCTGGCTTAGGCTCAAGACGTATGCCAACTTTCCAGAAGCACCTGAGGAGGAGGCTTCTCTCAGCAATAGGTATGTGTGAGGGACCCCGAGTTTGCTGCCTCAAGGGGAACATACAGCGAGAAGCCCTAACTTGAAAGGCGGCCGGATTTCCCTGCAGTGGCTTGAATACAGGCCCATCTTTCATCTCACAACATGAAGGGATGTCTGAATCCCCTGTGGAGACCTTAGAGAAAGCCCTAGGTCCCTGCCTCATTTTGACGGAATGCCTCACATCCCGCTGACACCTCGAGAGGCACACGGAGTTCATTGCTTCAAAAGGTGACGATGCCTGACTCCTCTTGAATACTGATAGGAATCCCAAAATACCTGTGGCTACTGGAAAGGGTCCTTGGGTGCCCTGCCTCACCTCGAGAAGCGTCCCTTTTGCCCTGCCAAGCCTCGAAGAGATTCCTGAGGTGTCCCTCGTTACTAAACAGGAGTCCTGACATCACTGAAGAAACTCGTGTTTTGAAGGGCCATCCCCGCCGTAAGTCGAGAACATACCCCAGGTCCCCGCCGCAACTCGAGAAAAACCATGAGACTTCCCCCTAGAGGCGAGATGAGGCCCCATTCCCCTGCAGTGCATGCAGAGCTACTCCGTGATCCCATTCAAACAAGTCAGGAGCTTCGACTTGCTTAATGGATCTCGAGAGAGTCCCCAAGAACACTGTCACCAGTCTAGACGGACCCTGAGCTCACCCCAGCAACGCAAAGCAGCTCTATGTGCCCCAAATCAACTCGAGATGAGGCCCGATTCCCCTGCATTGACTCCAGAGCCCTTCCCCGTTCCCCATTCAACACGACCGGTGGCTCGACTTCCTTCAGGCCACTCCAGAGATGCCCCGCGATCACTGTCCCAAGTCTAGAGGAACACCAACTTCAGCACAGCAACTCGAGGAATGCTCCGTGTACCCCAAATCACATCGAGATGAGAGCTGATTCCCTGGCTTAGGCTCAAGACATATGCCAACTTTCCAGAAGCACCTCAGGACGAGGCTTCTCTCAGCAATAGGTATGTGGGAGGGACCCCGAGTTTGCTGCCTCAAGGGGAATATACAGCGAGAAGCCCTAACTTGAAAGGAGGCCGGATTTCCTTGCAGTGGCTTGAATACAGGCCCGTCTTTCATCTCACAACATGAAGGGATGTCTGAATCCCCTGTGGAGACCTTAGAGAAAGCCCTAGGTCCCTGCCTCATTTTGACGGAATGCTTCACATCCCGCTGACACCTCGAGAGGCACGCGGAGTTCATTGCTTCAAAAGGTGACGATGCCTGACTCCTCTTGAATACTGATAGGAATCCCAAAATCCCTGTGGCTACTGGAAAGGGTCCTTGGGTGCCCTGCCTCACCTCGAGAAGCGTCCCTTTTGCCCTGCCAAGCCTCGAAGAGATTCCTGAGGTGTCCCTCGTTACTAGACAGGAGTCCTGACGTCACTGAAGAAACTCGTGTTTTGAAGGGCCATCCCCGCCGTAAGTCGAGAACATACCCCAGGTCCCCGCCGCAACTCGAGAAAAACCATGAGACTTCCCCCTAGAGGCGAGATGAGGCCCCATTCCCCTGCAGTGCATGCAGAGCTATTCCGTGATCCCATTCAAACAAGTCAGGAGTTTCGACTTGCTTAATGGATCTCGAGACAGTCCCCAAGAACACTGTCACCAGTCTAGACGGACTCTGAGGTCACCCCAGCAACGCAAAGCAGATCCATGTGCCCCAAATCAACTCGAGATGAGGCCCGATTCCCCTGCATTGACTCCAGAGCCATTCCCCGTTCCCCATTCAACACGACCGGTGGCTCGACTTGCTTCAGGCAACTCCAGAGATGCCCCGAGCACACTGTCCCAAGTCTAGAGGAACAACAACTTCAGCACAACAACTCGAGGAATGCTCCGTGTACCCCAAAACGTCTCGAGATGAGAGCTGATTCCCTGGCTTAGGCTCAAGACGTATGCCAACTTTCCAGAAGCACCTCAGGAGGAGGCTTCTCTCAGCAATAGGTATGTGGGTGGGACCCCGAGTTTGCTGCCTCAAGGGGAATATACAGCGAGAAGCCCTAACTTGAAAGGAGGCCGGATTTCCTTGCAGTGGCTTGAATACAGGCCCGTCTTTCATCTCACAACATGAAGGGATGTCTGAATCCCCTGTGGAGACCTTAGAGAAAGCCCTAGGTCCCTGCCTCATTTTGACGGACTGCTTCACATCCCGCTGACACCTCGCGAGGCACGCGGAGTTCATTGCTTCAAAAGGTGACGATGCCTGACTCCTCTTGAATAGTGATATTAATCCCAAAATCCCTGTGGCTACTGGAAAGGGTCCTTGGGTGCCCTGCCTCACCTCGAGAAGCGTCCCTTTTGCCCTGCCAAGCCTCGAAGAGATTTCTGAGGTGTCCCTCGTTACTAGACAGGAGTCCTGACGTCACTGAAGAAACTCGTGTTTTGAAGGGCCATCCCTGCCGTAAGTCGAGAACATACCCCAGGTCCCCGCCGCAACTCGAGAAAAACCATGAGACTTCCCCCTAGAGGCGAGGTGAGGCCCCATTCCCCTGCAGTGCATGCAGAGCTATTCCGTGATCCCATTCAAACAAGTCAGGAGTTTCGACTTGCTTAATGGATCTCGAGACAGTCCCCAAGAACACTGTCACCTGTCTAGACGGACCCTGAGGTCACCCCAGCAACGCAATGCAGCTCCATGTGCCCCAAATCAACTCGAGATGAGGCCCGATTCCCCTGCATTGACTCCAGAGCCATTCCCCGTTCCCCATTCAACACGACCGGTGGCTCGACTTCTTTCAGGCCACTCCAGAGATGCCCCGAGCACACTGTCCCAAGTCTAGAGGAACACCAACTTCAGCACAGCAACTCGAGGAATGCTCCGTGTACCCCAAATCGTCTCGAGATGAGAGCTGATTCCCTGGCTTAGGCTCAAGACGTATGCCAACTTTCCAGAAGCAACTCAGGAGGAGGCTTCTCTCAGCAATAGGTATGTGGGAGGGACCCCGAGTTTGCTGCCTCAAGGGGAATATACAGCGAGAAGCCCTAACTTGAAAGGAGGCCGGATTTCCTTGCGGTGGCTTGAATACAGGCCCGTCTTTCATCTCACAACATGAAGGGATGTCTGAATCCCCTTGGAGAACTTAGAGAAAGCCCTAGGTCCCTGCCTCATTTTGACGGAATGCCTCACATCCCGCTGACACCTCGAGAGGCACGCGGAGTTCATTGCTTCAAAAGGTGACGATGCCTGACTCCTCTTGAATAGTGATAGGAATCCCAAAATCCCTGTGGCTACTGGAAAGGGTCCTTGGGTGCCCTGCCTCACCTCGAGAAGCGTCCCTTTTGCCCTGCCAAGCCTCGAAGAGATTCCTGAAGTGTCCCTCGTTACTAGTCAGGAGTCTTGACGTCACTGAAGAAACTCGTGTTTTGAAGGGCCATCCCCGCCGTAAGTCGAGAACATACCCCAGGTTCCCGACGCAACTCGAGAAAAACCATGAGACTTCCCCCTAGAGGCGAGATGAGGCCCCATTCCCCTGCAGTGCATGCAGAGCTATTCCGTGATCCCATTCAAACAAGTCAGGAGCTTCGACTTGCTTAATGGATCTCGAGACAGTCCCCAAGAACACTGTCACCAGTCTAGACGGACCCTGAGGTCATCCCAGCAACGCAAAGCAGCTCCATGTGCCCCAAATGAACTCGAGATGAGGCCCGATTCCCCTGCATTGACTCCAGAGCCATTCCCCGTTCCCCATTCAACACGACCGGTGGCTCGACTTCCTTCAGGCCACTCCAGAGATGCCCCGAGCACACTGTCCCAAGTCTAGAGGAACACCAACTTCAGCACAGCAACTCGAGGAATGCTCCGTGTACCCCAAATCGTCTCGAGATGAAAGCTGATTCCCTGGCTTAGGCTCAAGACGTATGCCAACTTTCCAGAAGCACCTCAGGAGGAGGCTTCTCTCAGCAATAGGTATGTGGGAGGGACCTCGAGTTTGCTGCCTCAAGGGGAATATACAGCGAGAAGCCCTAACTTGAAAGGAGGCCGGATTTCCTTGCGGTGGCTTGAATACAGGCCCGTCTTTCATCTCACAACATGAAGGGATGTCTGAATCCCCTGTGGAGACCTTAGAGAAAGCCCTAGGTCCCTGCCTCATTTTGACGGAATGCCTCACATCCCTCTGACACCTCGAGAGGCACACGGAGTTCATTGCTTCAAAAGTTGACGATGCCTGACTCCTCTTGAATAGTGATAGGAATCCCAAAATCCCTGTGGCTACTGGAAAGGGTCCTTGGGTGCCCTGCCTCACCTCGAGAAGCGTCCCTTTTGCCCTGCCAAGCCTCGAAGAGATTCCTGAGGTGTCCCTCGTTACTAGACAGGAGTCCTGACGTCACTGAAGAAACTCGTGTTTTGAAGGGCCATCCCCGCCTTAAGTCGAGAACATACCCCAGGTCCCCGCCGCAACTCGAGAAAAATCATGAGACTTCCCCCTAGAGGCGAGATGAGGCCCCATTCCCCTGCAGTGCATGCAGAGCTATTCCGTGATCCCATTCAAACAAGTCAGGAGCTTCGACTTGCTTAATGGATCTCGAGACAGTCCCCAAGAACACTGTCACCAGTCTAGACGGACCCTGAGGTCACCCCAGCAGCGCAGAGCAGCTCCATGTGCCCCAAATCAACTCGAGATGAGGCCCGATTCCCCTGCGTTGACTCCAGAGCCATTCCCCGTTCCCCATTCAACACGACCGGTGGCTCGACTTCCTTCAGGCCACTGCAGAGATGCCCCGAGCACACTGTCCCAAGTCTAGAGGAACACCAACTTCAGCACAGCAACTCGAGGAATGCTCCGTGTACCCCAAATCGTCTCGAGATGAGAGTTGATTCCCTGGCTTAGGCTCAAGACGTATGCCAACTTTCCAGAAGCACCTCAGGAGGAGGCTTCTCTCAGCAATAGGTATGTGGGAGGGACCCCGAGTTTGCTGCCTCAAGGGGAATATACAGCGAGAAGCCCTAACTTGAAAGGAGGCAGGATTTCCTTGCAGTGGCTTGAATACAGGCCCGTCTTTCATCTCACAACATGAAGGGATGTCTGAATCCCCTGTGGAGACCTTAGAGAAAGCCCTAGGTGCCTGCCTCATTTTGACGGAATGCCTCACATCCCGCTGACACCTCGAGAGGCACACGGAGTTCATTGCTTCAAAAGTTGACGATGCCTGACTCCTCTTGAATACTGATAGGAATCCCAAAATCCCTGTGGCTACTGGAAAGGGTCCTTGGGTGCCCTGCCTCACCTCGAGAAGCGTCCCTTTTGCCCTGCCAAGCCTCGAAGAGATTCCTGAGGTGTCCCTCGTTACTAGTCAGGAGTCCTGACGTCACTGAAAAACTCGTGTTTTGAAGGGCCATCCCCGCCGTAAGTCGAGAACATACCCCAGGTCCCCGCCGCAACTCGAGAAAAACCATGAGACTTCCCCCTAGAGGCGAGATGAGGCCCCATTCCCCTGCAGTGCATGCAGAGCTATTCCGTGATCCCATTCAAACAAGTCAGGAGCTTCGACTTGCTTAATGGATCTCGAGACAGTCCCCAAGAACACTGTCACCAGTCTAGACGGACCCTGAGGTCATCCCAGCAACGCAAAGCAGCTCCATGTGCCCCAAATGAACTCGAGATGAGGCCCGATTCCCCTGCATTGACTCCAGAGCCATTCCCCGTTCCCCATTCAACACGACCGGTGGCTCGACTTCCTTCAGGCCACTCCAGAGATGCCCCGAGCACACTGTCCCAAGTCTAGAGGAACACCAACTTCAGCACAGCAACTCGAGGAATGCTCCGTGTACCCCAAATCGTCTCGAGATGAGAGCTGATTCCCTGGCTTAGGCTCAAGACGTATGCCAACTTTCCAAAAGCACCTGAGGAGGAGGCTTCTCTCAGCAATAGGTATGTGTGAGGGACCCCGAGTTTGCTGCCTCAAGGGGAACATACAGCGAGAAGCCCTAACTTGAAAGGCGGCCGGATTTCCCTGCAGTGGCTTGAATACAGGCCCATCTTTCATCTCACAACATGAAGGGATGTCTGAATCCCCTGTGGAGACCTTAGAGAAAGCCCTAGGTCCCTGCCTCATTTTGACGGAATGCCTCACATCCCGCTGACACCTCGAGAGGCACACGGAGTTCATTGCTTCAAAAGGTGACGATGCCTGACTCCTCTTGAATACTGATAGGAATCCCAAAATACCTGTGGCTACTGGAAAGGGTCCTTGGGTGCCCTGCCTCACCTCGAGAAGCGTCCCTTTTGCCCTGCCAAGCCTCGAAGAGATTCCTGAGGTGTCCCTCGTTACTAAACAGGAGTCCTGACATCACTGAAGAAACTCGTGTTTTGAAGGGCCATCCCCGCCGTAAGTCGAGAACATACCCCAGGTCCCCGCCGCAACTCGAGAAAAACCATGAGACTTCCCCCTAGAGGCGAGATGAGGCCCCATTCCCCTGCAGTGCATGCAGAGCTACTCCGTGATCCCATTCAAACAAGTCAGGAGCTTCGACTTGCTTAATGGATCTCGAGAGAGTCCCCAAGAACACTGTCACCAGTCTAGACGGACCCTGAGCTCACCCCAGCAACGCAAAGCAGCTCTATGTGCCCCAAATCAACTCGAGATGAGGCCCGATTCCCCTGCATTGACTCCAGAGCCCTTCCCCGTTCCCCATTCAACACGACCGGTGGCTCGACTTCCTTCAGGCCACTCCAGAGATGCCCCGCGATCACTGTCCCAAGTCTAGAGGAACACTAACTTCAGCACAGCAACTCGAGGAATGCTCCGTGTACCCCAAATCACATCGAGATGAGAGCTGATTCCCTGGCTTAGGCTCAAGACATATGCCAACTTTCCAGAAGCACCTCAGGACGAGGCTTCTCTCAGCAATAGGTATGTGGGAGGGACCCCGAGTTTGCTGCCTCAAGGGGAATATACAGCGAGAAGCCCTAACTTGAAAGGAGGCCGGATTTCCTTGCAGTGGCTTGAATACAGGCCCGTCTTTCATCTCACAACATGAAGGGATGTCTGAATCCCCTGTGGAGACCTTCGAGAAAGCCCTAGGTCCCTGCCTCATTTTGACGGAATGCTTCACATCCCGCTGACACCTTGAGAGGCACGCGGAGTTCATTGCTTCAAAAGGTGACGATGCCTGACTCCTCTTGAATAGTGATATTAATCCCAAAATCCCTGTGGCTACTGGAAAGGGTCCTTGGGTGCCCTGCCTCACCTCGAGAAGCGTCCCTTTTGCCCTGCCAAGCCTCGAAGAGATTTCTGAGGTGTCCCTCGTTAATAGACAGGAGTCCTGACGTCACTGAAGAAACTCGTGTTTTGAAGGGCCATCCCTGCCGTAAGTCGAGAACATACCCCAGGTCCCCGCCGCAACTCGAGAAAAACCATGAGACTTCCCCCTAGAGGCGAGGTGAGGCCCCATTCCCCTGCAGTGCATGCAGAGCTATTCCGTGATCCCATTCAAACAAGTCAGGAGTTTCGACTTGCTTAATGGATCTCGAGACAGTCCCCAAGAACACTGTCACCTGTCTAGACGGACCCTGAGGTCACCCCAGCAACGCAAAGCAGCTCCATGTGCCCCAAATCAACTCGAGATGAGGCCCGATTCCCCTGCATTGAATCCAGAGCCATTCCCCGTTCCCCATTCAACACGACCGGTGGCTCGACTTCTTTCAGGCCACTCCAGAGATGCCCCGAGCACACTGTCCCAAGTCTAGAGGAACACCAACTTCAGCACAGCAACTCGAGGAATGCTCCGTGTACCCCAAATCGTCTCGAGATGAGAGCTGATTCCCTGGCTTAGGCTCAAGACGTATGCCAACTTTCCAGAAGCAACTCAGGAGGAGGCTTCTCTCAGCAATAGGTATGTGGGAGGGACCCCGAGTTTGCTGCCTCAAGGGGAATATACAGCGAGAAGCCCTAACTTGAAAGGAGGCCGGATTTCCTTGCGGTGGCTTGAATACAGGCCCGTCTTTCATCTCACAACATGAAGGGATGTCTGAATCCCCTTGGAGAACTTAGAGAAAGCCCTAGGTCCCTGCCTCATTTTGACGGAATGCCTCACATCCCGCTGACACCTCGAGAGGCACGCGGAGTTCATTGCTTCAAAAGGTGACGATGCCTGACTCCTCTTGAATAGTGATAGGAATCCCAAAATCCCTGTGGCTACTGGAAAGGGTCCTTGGGTGCCCTGCCTCACCTCGAGAAGCGTCCCTTTTGCCCTGCCAAGCCTCGAAGAGATTCCTGAAGTGTCCCTCGTTACTAGTCAGGAGTCTTGACGTCACTGAAGAAACTCGTGTTTTGAAGGGCCATCCCCGCCGTAAGTCGAGAACATACCCCAGGTCCCCGCCGCAACTCGAGAAAAACCATGAGACTTCCCCCTAGAGGCGAGATGAGGCCCCATTCCCCTGCAGTGCATGCAGAGCTATTCCGTGATCCCATTCAAACAAGTCAGGAGCTTCGACTTGCTTAATGGATCTCGAGACAGTCCCCAAGAACACTGTCACCAGTCTAGACGGACCCTGAGGTCATCCCAGCAACGCAAAGCAGCTCCATGTGCCCCAAATGAACTCGAGATATGGCCCGATTCCCCTGCATTGACTCCAGAGCCATTCCCCGTTCCCCATTCAACACGACCGGTGGCTCGACTTCCTTCAGGCCACTCCAGAGATGCCCCGAGCACACTGTCCCAAGTCTAGAGGAACACCAACTTCAGCACAGCAACTCGAGGAATGCTCCGTGTACCCCAAATCGTCTCGAGATGAGAGCTGATTCCCTGGCTTAGGCTCAAGACGTATGCCAACTTTCCAGAAGCACCTCAGGAGGAGGCTTCTCTCAGCAATAGGTATGTGGGAGGGACCTCGAGTTTGCTGCCTCAAGGGGAATATACAGCGAGAAGCCCTAACTTGAAAGGAGGCCGGATTTCCTTGCGGTGGCTTGAATACAGGCCCGTCTTTCATCTCACAACATGAAGGGATGTCTGAATCCCCTGTGGAGACCTTAGAGAAAGCCCTAGTTCCCTGCCTCATTTTGACGGAATGCTTCACATCCCTCTGACACCTCGAGAGGCACACGGAGTTCATTGCTTCAAAAGTTGACGATGCCTGACTCCTCTTGAATACTGATAGGAATCCCAAAATCCCTGTGGCTACTGGAAAGGGTCCTTTGGTGCCCTGCCTCACCTCGAGAAGCGTCCCTTTTGCCCTGCCAAGCCTCGAAGAGATTCCTGAGGTGTCCCTCGTTACTAGACAGGAGTCCTGACGTCACTGAAGAAACTCGTGTTTTGAAGGGCCATCCCCGCCTTAAGTCGAGAACATACCCCAGGTCCCCGCCGCAACTCGAGAAAAATCATGAGACTTCCCCCTAGAGGCGAGATGAGGCCCCATTCCCCTGCAGTGCATGCAGAGCTATTCCGTGATCCCATTCAAACAAGTCAGGAGCTTCGACTTGCTTAATGGATCTCGAGACAGTCCCCAAGAACACTGTCACCAGTCTAGACGGACCCTGAGGTCACCCCAGCAGCGCAGAGCAGCTCCATGTGCCCCAAATCAACTCGAGATGAGGCCCGATTCCCCTGCGTTGACTCCAGAGCCATTCCCCGTTCCCCATTCAACACGACCGGTGGCTCGACTTCCTTCAGGCCACTGCAGAGATGCCCCGAGCACACTGTCCCAAGTCTAGAGGAACACCAACTTCAGCACAGCAACTCGAGGAATGCTCCGTGTACCCCAAATCGTCTCGAGATGAGAGTTGATTCCCTGGCTTAGGCTCAAGACGTATGCCAACTTTCCAGAAGCACCTCAGGAGGAGGCTTCTCTCAGCAATAGGTATGTGGGAGGGACCCCGAGTTTGCTGCCTCAAGGGGAATATACAGCGAGAAGCCCTAACTTGAAAGGAGGCAGGATTTCCTTGCAGTGGCTTGAATACAGGCCCGTCTTTCATCTCACAACATGAAGGGATGTCTGAATCCCCTGTGGAGACCTTAGAGAAAGCCCTAGGTGCCTGCCTCATTTTGACGGAATGCCTCACATCCCGCTGACACCTCGAGAGGCACACGGAGTTCATTGCTTCAAAAGTTGACGATGCCTGACTCCTCTTGAATACTGATAGGAATCCCAAAATCCCTGTGGCTACTGGAAAGGGTACTTGGGTGCCCTGCCTCACCTCGAGAAGCGTCCCTTTTGCCCTGCCAAGCCTCGAAGAGATTCCTGAGGTGTCCCTCGTTACTAGTCAGGAGTCCTGACGTCACTGAAGAAACTCGTGTTTTGAAGGGCCATCCCCGCCGTAAGTCGAGAACATATCCCAGGTCCCCGCCGCAACTCGAGAAAAATCATGAGACTTCCCCCTAGAGGCGAGATGAGGCCCCATTCCCCTGCAGTGCATGCAGAGCTATTCCGTGATCCCATTGAAACAAATCAGGAGCTTCGACTTGCTTAATGGATCTCGAGACAGTCCCCAAGAACACTGTCACCGGTCTAGACGGACCCTGAGGTCACCCCAGCAATGCAAAGCAGCTCCATGTGCCCCAAATCAACTCGAGATGAGGCCCGATTCCCCTGCATTGACTCCAGAGCCATTCCCCGTTCCCCATTCAACACGACCGGTGGCTCGACTTCCTTCAGGCCACTGCAGAGATGCCCCGAGCACACTGTCCCAAGTCTAGAGGAACACCAACTTCAGCACAGCAACTCGAGGAATGCTCCGTGTACCCCAAATCGTCTCGAGATGAGAGCTGATTCCCTGGCTTAGGCTCAAGACGTATGCCAACTTTCCAGAAGCAACTCAGGAGGAGGCTTCTCTCAGCAATAGGTATGTGGGAGGGACCCCGAGTTTGTTGCCTCAAGGGGAATATACAGCGAGAAGCCCTAACTTGAAAGGAGGCCGGATTTCCTTGCAGTGGCTTGAATACAGGCCCGTCTTTCATCTCACAACATGAAGGGATGTCTGAATCCCCTGTGGAGACCTTAGAGAAAGCCCTAGGTGCCTGCCTCATTTTGACGGAATGCCTCACATCCCGCTGACACCTCGAGAGGCACACGGAGTTCATTGCTTCAAAAGGTGACGATGCCTGACTCCTCTTGAATACTGATAGGAATCCCAAAATACCTGTGGCTACTGGAAAGGGTCCTTGGGTGCCCTGCCTCACCTCGAGAAGCGTCCCTTTTGCCCTGCCAAGCCTCGAAGAGATTCCTGAGGTGTCCCTCGTTACTAAACAGGAGTCCTGACGTCACTGAAGAAACTCGTGTTTTGAAGGGCCATCCCCGCCGTAAGTCGAGAACATACCCCAGGTCCCCGCCGCAACTCGAGAAAAACCATGAGACTTCCCCCTAGAGGCGAGAAGAGGCCCCATTCCCCTGCAGTGCATGCAGAGCTACTCCGTGATCCCATTCAAACAAGTCAGGAGCTTCGACTTGCTTAATGGATCTCGAGAGAGTCCCCAAGAACACTGTCACCAGTCTAGACGGACCCTGAGGTCACCCCAGCAACGCAAAGCAGCTCTATGTGCCCCAAATCAACTCGAGATGAGGCCCGATTCCCCTGCATTGACTCCAGAGCCCTTCCCCGTTCCCCATTCAACACGACCGGTGGCTCGACTTCCTTCAGGCCACTCCAGAGATGCCCCGAGATCACTGTCCCAAGTCTAGAGGAACACCAACTTCAGCACAGCAACTCGAGGAATGCTCCATGTACCCCAAATCACATCGAGATGAGAGCTGATTCCCTGGCTTAGGCTCAAGACATATGGCAACTTCCAGAAGCACCTCAGGAGGAGGCTTCTCTCAGCAATAGGTATGTGGGAGGGACCCCGAGTTTGCTGCCTCAAGGGGAATATACAGCGAGAAGCCCTAACTTGAAAGGAGGCCGGATTTCCTTGCAGTGGCTTGAATACAGGCCCGTCTTTCATCTCACAACATGAAGGGATGTCTGAATCCCCTGTGGAGACCTTAGAGAAAGCCCTAGGTGCCTGCCTCATTTTGACGGAATGCCTCACATCCCGCTGACACCTCGAGAGGCACACGGAGTTCATTGCTTCAAAAGTTGCCGATGCCTGACTCCTCTTGAATACTGATAGGAATCCCAAAATCCCTGTGGCTACTGGAAAGGGTCCTTGGGTGCCCTGCCTCACCTCGAGAAGCGTCCCTTTTGCCCTGCCAAGCCTCGAAGAGATTACTGAGGTGTCCCTCGTTACTAGTCAGGAGTCCTGACGTCACTGAAGAAACTCGTGTTTTGAAGGGCCATCCCCGCCATAAGTCGAGAACATATCCCGGGTCCCCGCCACAACTCGAGAAAAACCATGAGACTTCCCCCTAGAGGCGAGATGAGGCCCCATTCCCCTGCAGTGCATACAGAGCTATTCCGTGATCCCATTCAAACATGTCAGGAGCTTCGACTTGCTTAATGGATCTCGAGACAGTCCCCAAGAACACTGTCACCAGTCTAGACGGACCCTGAGGTTACCCCAGCAACGCAAAGCAGCTCCATGTGCCCCAAATCAACTCGAGATGAGGCGCGATTCCCCTGCATTGACTCCAGAGCCATTCCCCGTTCCCCATTCAACACAACCGGTGGCTCGACTTCCTTCAGGCAACTCCAGAGATGCCCCGAGAACACTGTCCCAAGTCTAGAGGAACAACAACTTCAGCAAAACAACTCGAGGAATGCTCCGTGTACCCCAAATCGTCTCGAGATGAGAGCTGATTCCCTGGCTTGGGCTCAAGACGTATCCCAACTTTCCAGAACCACCTCAGGACGAGGCTTCTCTCAGCAATAGGTATGTGGGAGGGACCCCGAATTTGCTGCTTCAAGGGGAATATACAGCAAGAAGCCCTAACTTGAAAGGAGGCCGGATTTCCTTGCAGTGGCTTGAATACAGGCCCGTCTTTCATCTCACAACATGAAGGGATGTCTGAATCCCCTTGGAGAACTTAGAGAAAGCCCTAGGTCCCTGCCTCATTTTGACGGAATGCTTCACATCCCGCTGACACCTCGAGAGGCACGCGGAGTTCATTGCTTCAAAAGGTGACGATGCCTGACTCCTCTTGAATACTGATAGGAATCCCAAAATCCCTGTGGCTTCTGGAAAGGGTTCTTGGGTTCCCTGCCTCACCTCGAGAAGCGTCCCTTTTGCCCTGCCAAGCCTCGAAGAGATTCCTGAGGTGTCCCGCGTTACTAGACAGGAGTCCTGACGTCACTGAAGAAACTCGTGTTTTGAAGGGCCATCCCCGCCATAATTCGAGAACATACCCCAGGTCCCCGCCGCAACTCGAGAAAAACCATGAGACTTCCCTCTAGAGGCGAGATGAGGCCCCATTCCCCTGCAGTGCATGCAGAGCTATTCCGTGATCCCATTCAAACAAGTCAGGAGCTTCGACTTGCTTAATGGATCTCGAGACAGTCCCCAAGAACACTGTCACCAGTCTAGACGGACCCTGAGGTCACCCCAGCAGCGCAGAGCAGCTCCATGTGCCCCAAATCAACTCGAGATGAGGCCCGATTCCCCTGCATTGACTCCAGAGCCATTCCCCGTTCCCCATTCAATACGACCGGTGGCTCGACTTCCTTCAGGCCACTGCAGAGATGCCCCGAGCACACTGTCCCAAATCTAGAGGAACACCAACTTCAGCACAGCAACTCGAGGATTGCTCCGTGTACCCCAAATCGTCTCGAGATGAGAGCTGATTCCCTGGCTTAGGCTCAAGACGTATGCCAACTTTCCAGAAGCACCTCAGGAGGAGACTTCTCTCAGCAATAGGTATGTGGGAGGGACCCCTAGTTTGCTGCCTCAAGGGGAACATACAGCGAGAAGCCCTAACTTGAAAGGAGGCCGGATTTCCTTGCAGTGGCCTGAATACAGGCCCGTCTTTCATCTCACAACATGAAGGGATGTCTGAATCCACTGTGGAGACCTTAGAGAAAGCCCTAGATCCCTGCCTCATTTTGACGGAATGCCTCACATCCCGCTGACACCTCGAGAGGCACACGGAGTTCATTGCTTCAAAAGGTGACGATGCCTGACTCCTCTTGAATACTGATAGGAATCCCAAAATCCCTGTGGCTACTGGAAAGGGTCCTTGGGTGCCCTGCCTCACTTCGAGAAGTGTCCCTTTTGCCCTGCTAAGCCTCGAAGAGTTTCCTGAGGTGTCCCTCGTTACTAGTCAGGAGTCCTGACGTCACTGAAGAAACTCTTGTTTTGAAGGGCCATCCCCGCCGTAAGTCGAGAACATACCCCAGGTCACCGCCGCAACTCGAGAAAAACCATGAGACTTCCCCCTAGACGTGAGATGAGGCCCCATTCCCCTGCAGTGCATGCAGAGCTATTCCGTGATCCCATTCAAACAAGTCAGGTGTTTCGACTTGCTTAATGGATCTCGAGACAGTCCCCAAGAACACTGTCACCAGTCTAGACGGACCCTGAGGTCACCCCAGGAATGCAAAGCAGCTCCATGTGCCCCAAATCAACTCGAGATGAGGCCCGATTCCCCTGCATTGACTATAGAGCCATTCCCCGTTCCCCATTCAACACGACCGGTGGCTCGACTTCCTTCAGGCCACTCCAGAGATGCCCCGAGCACACTGTCCCAAGTCTAGAGGAACACCAACTTCAGCACAGCAACTCGAGGAATGCTCCGTGTACCCCAAATCGTCTCGAGATGAGAGCTGATTCCCTGGCTTAGGCTCAAGACGTATGCCAACTTTCCAGAAGCACCTCAGGAGGAGGCTTCTCTCAGCAATAGGTATGTGGAGGGACCCCGAGTTTGCTGCCTCAAGGGGAATATACAGCGAGAAGCCCTAACTTGAAAGGAGGCCGGATTTCCTTGCAGTGGCTTGAATACAGGCCCGTCTTTCATCTCACAACATGAAGGGATGTCTGAATCCCCTGTGGAGACCTTAGAGAAAGCCCTAGGTCCCTGCCTCATTTTGACGGAATGCCTCACATCCCGCTGACACCTCAAGAGGCACGCAGAGTTCATTGCTTCAAAACGTGACGATGCCTGACTCCTCTTGAATACTGATAGGAATCCCAAAATCCCTGTGGCTACTGGAAAGTGTCCTTGGGTGCCCTGCCTCACCTCGAGAAGCTTCCCTTTTGCCCTGCCAAGCCTCGAAGAGTTTCCTGAGGTGTCCCTCGTTACTAGACAGGAGTCCTGACGTCACTGAAGAAACTCGTGTTTTGAAGGGCCATCCCCGCCGTAAGTCGAGAACATACCCCAGGTCCCCGCCGCAACTCGAGAAAAAACATGAGACTTCCCCCTAGAGGGGAGATGAGGCCCCATTCCCCTGCAGTGCATGCAGAGCTATTCCGTGATCCCATTCAAACAAGTCAGGAGCTTCGACTTCCTTAATGGATCTCGAAACAGTCCCCAAGAACACTGTCACCAGTCTAGACGGACCCTGAGGTTACCCCAGCAACGCAAAGCAGCTCCATGTGCCCCAAATCAACTCGAGATGAGGCCCGATTCCCCTGCATTGACTCCAGAGCCATTCCCCGTTTCCCATTCAACATGACCGGTGGCTCGACTTCCTTCATGCAACTCCAGTGATGCCCCGAGAACACTGTCCCAAGTCTAGAGGAAGAACAACTTCAGCACAACAACTCGAGGAATGCTCCGTGTACCCCAAATCGTCTCGAGATGAGAGCTGATTCCCTGGCTTAGGCTCAAGACATATGCCAACTTTCCAGAAGCACCTCAGGACGAGGCTTTTCTCAGCAATAGGTATGTGGGAGGGACCCCGAGTTTGCTGCCTCAAGGGGAATATACAGCGAGAAGCCCTAACTTGAAAGGAGGCCGGATTTCCTTGCAGTGGCTTGAATACAGGCCCCTCTTTCATCTCACAACATGAAGGGATGTCTGAATCCCCTTGGAGAACTTAGAGAATGCCCTAGGTCCCTGCCTCATTTTGACGGAATGCCTCACATCCCGCTGACACCTCGAGAGGCACACGGAGTTCATTGCTTCAAAAGGTGACGATGCCTGACTCCTCTTGAATACTGATAGGAATCCCAAAATCCCTGTGGCTACTGGAAAGGGTCCTCGGGTGCCCTGCCTCACCTCGAGAAGCGTCCCTTTTGCCCTGCCAAGCCTCGAAGAGTTTCCTGAGGTGTCCCTCATTACTAGTCAGGAGTCCTGACGTCACTGAAGAAACTCGTGTTTTGAAGGGCCATCCCCGCCGTAAGTCGAGAACATACCCCAGGTCCCCGCCGCAACTCGAGAAAAACCATGAGACTTCCCCCTAGAGGCGAGATGAGGCCCCATTCCCCTGCAGTGCATGCAGAGCTATTCCGTGATCCCATTCAAACAAGTCAGGAGCTTCGACTTGCTTAATGGATCTCGAGACAGTCCCCAAGAACACTGTCACCAGTCTAGACGGAGCCTGAGGTCACCCCAGCAACGCAAAGCAGCTCCATGTGCCCCAAATCAACTCGAGATGAGGCCCGATTCCCGTGCATTGACTCCAGAGCCATTCCCCGTTCCCCATTCAACACGACCGGTGGCTCGACTTCCTTCAGGCAACTCCAGAGATGCCCCGAGAACACTGTCCCAAGTCTAGAGGAACAAAAACTTCAGCACAACAACTCGAGGAATGCTCCGTGTACCCCAAATCATCTCGAGATGAGAGCTGATTCCCTGGCTTAGGCTCAAGACATATGCCAACTTTCCAGAAACACCTCAGGAGAAGGCTTCTCTCAGCAATAGGTATGTGGGAGGGACCCCGAGTTTGCTGCCTCAAGGGGAATATACAGTGAGAAGCCCTAACTTGAAAGGAGGCCAGATTTCCTTGCAGTGGCTTGAATACAGGCCCGTCTTTCATCTCACAACATGAAGGGATGTCTGAATCCCCTGTGGAGACCTTAGAGAAAGCCCTAGGTCCCTGCCTCATTTTGACGGAATGCCTCACATCCCGCTGACACCTCAAGAGGCACGCGGAGTTCATTGCTTCAAAACGTGACGATGCCTGACTACTCTTGAATACTGATAGGAATCCCAAATCCCTGTGGCTACTGGAAAGGGTCCTTGGATGCCCTGCCTCACCTCGAGAAGCTTCCCTTTTGCCCTGCCAAGCCTCTAAGAGATTCCTGAGGTGTCCCTCGTTACTAGCCAGGAGTCCTGACGTCACTGAAGAAACTCGTGTTTTGAAGGGCCATCCCCGCCGTAAGTCGAGAACATACCCCAGGTCCCCGCCGCAACTCGAGAAAAAACATGAGACTTCCCCCTAGAGGGGAGATGAGGCCCCATTCCCCTGCAGTGCATGCAGAGCTATTCCGTGATCCCATTCAAACAAGTCAGGAGCTTCGACTTGCTTAATGGATCTCGAGACAGTCCCCAAGAACACTGTCACCAGTCTAGACGGACCCTGAGGTCACCTAGCAGCGCAGAGCAGCTCCATGTGCCGCAAATCAACTCGAGATGAGGCCCGATTCCCCTGCATTGACTCCAGAGCCATTCCCCGTTCCCCATTCAACGCGACCGGTGGCCCGACTTCCTTCAGGCCACTGCAGAGATGCCCCGAGCACACTGTCCCAAGTCTAGAGGAACACCAACTTCAGCACAGCAACTCGAGGAATGCTCCGTGTACCCCAAATCTTCTCGAGATGAGAGCTGATTCCCTGGCTTAGGCTCAAGACGTATGCCAACTTTCCAGAAGCACCTCAGGAGGAGGCTTCTCTCAGCAATAGGTATGTGGGAGGGACCCCGAGTTTGATGCCTCAAGGGGAACATACAGCGAGAAGCCCTAACTTGAAAGGAGGACGGATTTCCTTGCAGTGGCTTGAATACAGGCCCGTCTTTCATCTCACAACATGAAGGGATGTCTGAATCCCCTGTGGAGACATTAGAGAAAGCCCTAGGTCCCTGCCTCATTTTGACGGAAAGCCTCACATCCCGCTGACACCTCGAGAGGCACACGGAGTTCATTGCTTCAAAAGGTGACGATGTCTGACTCTTCTTGAATACTGATAGGAATCCCAAAATCCCTGTGGCTACTGGAAAGGGTCCTTGGGTGCCCTGCCTCACCTCGAGAAGCGTCCCTTTTGCCCTGCCAAGCCTCGAAGAGATTCCTGACGTGTCCCTCGTTACTAAACAGGAGTCCTGACGTCACTGAAGAAACTCGTGTTTTGAAGGGCCATCCCCGCCGTAAGTCGAGAACATTCCCCAGGTCCCCGCCGCAACTCGAGAAAAACCATGAGACTTCCCCCTAGAGGCGAGATGAGGCCCCATTCCCCTGCAGTGCATGCAGAGCTACTCCGTGATCCCATTCAAACAAGTCAGGAGCTTCGACTTGCTTAATGGATCTCGAGAGAGTCCCCAAGAACACTGTCACCAGTCTAGACGGACCCTGAGGTCACCCCAGAAACGCAAAGCAGCTCTATGTGCCCCAAATCAACTCGAGATGAGGCCCGATTCCCCTGCATTGACTCCAGAGCCTTTCCCCGTTCCCCATTCAACACGACCGGTGGCTTGACTTCCTTCAGGCCACTCCAGAGATGCCCCGAGATCACTGTCCCAAGTCTAGAGGAACACCAACTTCAGCACAGCAACTCGAGGAATGCTCCGTGTACCCCAAATCACATCGAGATGAGAGCTGATTCCCTAGCTTAGGCTCAAGACATATGCCAACTTTCCAGAAGCACCTCAGGAGGAGGCTTCTCTCAGCAATAGGTATGTGGGAGGGACCCCGAGTTTGCTGCCTCAAGGGGAATATACAGCGAGAAGCCCTAACTTGAAAGGAGGCCGGATTTCCTTGCAGTGGCTTGAATACAGGCCCGTCTTTCATCTCACAACATGAAGGGATGTCTGAATCCCCTGTGGAGACCTTAGAGAAAGCCCTAGGTGCCTGCCTCATTTTGACGGAATGCCTCACATCCCGCTGACACCTCGAGAGGCACACGGAGTTCATTGCTTCAAAAGGTGACGATGCCTGACTCCTCTTGAATACTGATAGGAATCCCAAAATCCCTGTGGCTACTGGAAAGGGACCTTGGGTGCCCTGCCTCACCTCGAGAAGCGTCCCTTTTGCCCTGCCAAGCCTCGAAGAGATTCCTGAGGTGTCCCTCGTTACTAGTCAGGAGTCCTGACGTCACTGAAGAAACTCGTGTTTTGAAGGGCCATCCCCGCCATAAGTCGAGAACATATCCCGGGTCCCCGCCACAACTCGAGAAAAAACATGAGACTTCCCCCTAGAGGCGAGATGAGGCCCCATTCCCCTGCAGTGCATACGGAGCTATTCCGTGATCCCATTCAAACATGTCAGGAGCTTCGACTTGCTTAATGGATCTCGAGACAGTCCCCAAGAACACTGTCACCAGTCTAGACGGACCCTGAGGTAACCCCAGCAACGCAAAGCCGCTCCATGTGCCCCAAATCAACTAGAGATGAGGCCCGATTCCCCTGCATTGACTCCAGAGCCATTCCCCGTTCCCCATTCAACACGACCGGTGGCTCGACTTTCTTCAGGCAACTCCAGAGATGCCCCGAGAACACTGTCCCAAGTCTAGAGGAACAACAACTTCAGCAAAACAACTCGAGGAATGCTCCGTGTACCCCAAATCGTCTCGAGATGAGAGGTGATTCCCTGGCTTAGGCTCAAGACGTATGCCAACTTTCCAGAACCACCTCAGGACGAGGCTTCTCTCAGCAATAGGTATGTGGGAGGGACCCCGAATTTGCTGCCTCAAGGGGAATATACAGCAAGAAGCCCTAACTTGAAAGGAGGCCGGATTTCCTTGCAGTGGCTTGAATACAGGCCCGTCTTTCATCTCACAACATGAAGGGATGTCTGAATCCCCTGTGGAGACATTAGAGAAAGCCCTAGGTCCCTGCCTCATTTTGACGGAATGCTTCACATCCCGCTGACACCTCGAGAGGCACGCGGAGTTCATTGCTTCAAAAGGTGACGATGCCTGACTCCTCTTGAATACTGATAGGAATCCCAAAATCCCTGTGGCTTCTGGAAAGGGTTCTTGGGTGCCCTGCCTCACCTCGAGAAGCGTCCCTTTTGCCCTGCCAAGCCTCGAAGAGATTCCTGAGGTGTCCCGCGTTACTAGACAGGAGTCCTGACGTCACTGAAGAAACTCGTGTTTTGAAGGGCCATCCCCGCCGTAATTCGAGAACATACCCCAGGTCCCCGCCGCAACTCGAGAAAACCATGAGACTTCCCTCTAGAGGCGAGATGAGGCCCCATTCCCCTGCAGTGCATGCAGAGCTACTCCGTGATCCCATTCAAACAAGTCAGGAACTTCGACTTGCTTAATGGATCTCGAGACAGTCCCCAAGAACACTGTCACCAGTCTAGACGGACCCTGAGGTCACCCCAGCAACGCAAAGCAGCTCTATGTGCCCCAAATCAACTCGAGATGAGGCCCGATTCCCCTGCATTGACTCCAGAGCCTTTCCCCGTTCCCCATTCAACACGACCGGTGGCTCGACTTCCTTCAGGCCACTCCAGAGATGCCCCGAGCACACTGTCCCAAGTCTAGAGGAACACCAACTTCAGCACAGCAACTCGAGGAATGCTCCGTGTACCCCAAATCGCATCGAGATGAGAGCTGATTCCCTGGCTTAGGCTCAAGACGTATGCCAACTTTCCAGAAGCACCTCAGGAGGAGGCTTCTCTCAGCAATAGGTATGCGGAGGGACCCCGAATTTGCTGCCTCAAGGGGAATATACAGCGAGAAGCCCTAACTTGAAAGGAGGCCGGATTTCCTTGCAGTGGCTTGAATACAGGCCCGTCTTTCATCTCACAACATGAAGGGATGTCTGAATCCCCTCTGGAGACCTTAGAGAAAGCCCTAGGTCCCTGCCTCATTTTGACGGAATGCCTCACATCGCGCTGACACCTCAAGAAGCACGCAGAGTTCATTGCTTCAAAAGGTGACGATGCCTGACTCCTCTTGAATACTGATAGGAATCCCAAAATCCCTGTGGCTACTGGAAAGTGTCCTTGGGTGCCCTGCCTCACCTCGAGAAGCTTCCCTTTTGCCCTGCCAAGCCTCGAAGAGATTCCTGAGGTGTCCCTCGTTACTAGACAGGAGTCCTGACGTCACTGAAGAAACTCGTGTTTTGAAGGGCCATCCCCGCCGTAAGTCGAGAACATACCCCAGGTCCCCGCCGCAACTCGAGAAAAAACATGAGACTTCCCCCTAGAGGGGAGATGAGGCCCCATTCCCCTGCAGTGCATGCAGAGCTATTCCGTGATCCCATTCAAACAAGTCAGGAACTTCGACTTCCTTAATGGATCTTGAAACAGTCCCCAAGAACACTGTCACCAGTCTACACGGACCCTGAGGTTACCCCAGCAACGCAAAGCAGCTCCATGTGCCCCAAATCAACTCGAGATGAGGCCCGATTCCCCTGCATTGACTCCAGAGCCATTCCCCGTTTCCCATTCAACATGACCGGTGGCTCGACTTCCTTCATGCAACTCCAGTGATGCCCCGAGAACACTGTCCCAAGTCTAGAGGAACAACAACTTCAGCACAACAACTAGAGGAATGCTCCGTGTACCCCAAATCGTCTCGAGATGAGAGCTGATTCCCTGGCTTAGGCTCAAGACATATGCCAACTTTCCAGAAGCACCTCAGGACGAGGCTTTTCTCAGCAATAGGTATGTGGGAGGGACCCCGAGTTTGCTGCCTCAAGGGGAATATACAGCGAGAAGCCCTAACTTGAAAGGAGGCCGGATTTCCTTGCAGTGGCTTGAATACAGGCCCCTCTTTCATCTCACAACATGAAGGGATGACTGAATCCCCTGTGGAGACCTTAGAGAAAGCCCTAGGTCCCTGCCTCATTTTGACGGAATGCTTCACATCCCGCTGACACCTCGAGAGGCACACGGAGTTCATTGCTTCAAAAGGTGACGATTCCTGACTCCTCTTGAATACTGATAGGAATCCCAAAATCCCTGTGGCTACTGGAAAGGGTCCTTGGGTGCCCTGCCTCACCTCGAGAAGCGTCCCTTTTGCCCTGCCAAGCCTCGAAGAGATTCCTAAGGTGTCCCTTGTTACTAGACAGGAGTCCTGACGTCACTGAAGAAACTAGTGTTTTGAAGGGCCATCCCCGCCGTAAGTCGAGAACATTCCCCAGGTCCCCGACGCAACTCGAGAAAAACCATGAGACTTCCCCCTAGAGGCGAGATGAGGCCCCATTCCCCTGCAGTGCATGCAGAGCTATTCCGTGATCCCATTCAAACAGGTCAGGAGCTTCGACTTGCTTAATGGATCTCGAGACAGTCCCCAAGAACACTGTCACCAGTCTAGACGGACCCTGAGGTCACCCTAGCAGCGCAGAGCAGCTCCATGTGCCCCAAATCAACTCGAGATGAGGCCCGATTCCCCTGCATTGACTCCAGAGCCATTCCCCGTTCCCCATTCAATACGACCGGTGGCTCGACTTCCTTCAGGCCACTGCAGAGATGCCCCGAGCACAATGTCCCAAATCTAGAGGAACACCAACTTCAGCACAGCAACTCGAGGAATGCTCCGTGTACCCCAAATCGTCTCGAGATGAGAGCTGATTCCCTGGCTTAGGCTCAAGACGTATGCCAACTTTCCAGAAGCACCTCAGGAGGAGGCTTCTCTCAGCAATAGGTATGTGGGAGGGACCCCTAGTTTGCTGCCTCAAGGGGAACATACAGCGAGAAGCCCTAACTTGAAAGGAGGCCGGATTTCCCTGCAGTGGCTTGAATACAGGCCCCTCTTTCATCTCACAACATGAAGGGATGTCTGAATCCCCTGTGGAGACCTTAGAGAAAGCCCTAGGTCCCTGCCTCATTTTGACGGAATGCCTCACATCCCGCTGACACCTCGAGAGGCACACGGAGTTCATTGCTTCAAAAGGTGACGATGCCTGACTCCTCTTGAATACTGATAGGAATCCCAAAATCCCTGTGGCTACTGGAAAGGGTCCTTGGATGCCCTACCTCACCTCGAGAAGCTTCCCTTTTGCCCTGCCAAGCCTCGAAGAGATTCCTGAGGTGTCCCTCGTTACTAGACAGGAGTCCTGACGTCACTGAAGAAACTCGTGTTTTGAAGGGCCATCCCCGCCGTAAGTCGAGAACATACCCCAGGTCCCCGCCGCAACTCGAGAAAAAACATGAGACTTCCCCCTAGAGGGGAGATGAGGCCCCATTCCCCTGCAGTGCATGCAGAGCTATTCCGTGATCCCATTCAAACAAGTCAGGAGCTTCGACTTCCTTAATGGATCTCGAAACAGTCCCCAAGAACACTGTCACCAGTCTAGACGGACCCTGAGGTTACCCCAGCAACGCAAAGCAGCACCATGTGCCCCAAATCAACTCGAGATGAGGCCCGATTCCCCTGCATTGACTCCAGAGCCATTCCCCGTTTCCCATTCAACATGACCGATGGCTCGACTTCCTTCATGCAACTCCAGTGATGCCCCGAGAACACTGTCCCAAGTCTAGAGGAACAACAACTTCAGCACAACAACTCGAGGAATGCTCCGTGTACCCCAAATCGTCTCGAGATGAGAGCTGATTCCCTGGCTTAGGCTCAAGACATATGCCAACTTTCCAGAAGCACCTCAGGAGGAGGCTTTTCTCAGCAATAGGTATGTGGGAGGGACCCCGAGTTTGCTGCCTCAAGGGGAATATACAGCGAGAAGCCCTAACTTGAAAGGAGGCCGGATTTCCCTGCAGTGGCTTGAATACAGGCCCCTCTTTCATCTCACAACAGGAAGGGATGTCTGAATCCCCTGTGGAGACCTTAGAGAAAGCCCTAGGTCCCTGCCTCATTTTGACGGAATGCTTCACATCCCGCTGACACCTCGAGAGGCACGCGGAGTTCATTGCTTCAAAAGGTGACGATGCCTGACTCCTCTTGAATACTGATAGGAATCCCAAAATCCCTGTGGCTACTGGAAAGGGTCCTTGGGTGCCCTGCCTCACCTCGAGAAGCGTCCCTTTTGCCCTGCCAAGCCTCGAAGAGATTCCTAAGGTGTCCCTCGTTACTAGACAGGAGTCCTGACGTCACTGAAGAAACTCGTGTTTTGAAGGGCCATCCCCGCCGTAAGTCGAGAACATTCCCCAGGTCCCCGACGCAACTCGAGAAAAACCATGAGACTTCCCCCTAGAGGCGAGATGAGGCCCCATTCCCCTGCAGTGCATGCAGAGCTATTCCGTGATCCCATTCAAACAAGTCAGGAGCTTCGACTTGCTTAATGGATCTCGAAACAGTCCCCAAGAACACTGTCACCAGTCTAGACGGACCCTGAGGTCACCCCAGCAGCGCAGAGCAGCTCCATGTGCCCCAAATCAACTCGAGATGAGGCCCGATTCCCCTGCATTGACTCCAGAGCCATTCCCCGTTCCCCATTCAATACGACCGGTGGCTCGACTTCCTTCAGGCCACTGCAGAGATGCCCCGAGCACACTGTCCCAAATCTAGAGGAACACCAACTTCAGCACAGCAACTCGAGGAATGCTCCGTGTACCCCAAATCGTCTCGAGATGAGAGCTGATTCCCTGGCTTAGGCTCAAGACGTATGCCAACTTTCCAGAAGCACCTCAGGAGGAGGCTTCTCTCAGCAATAGGTATGTGGGAGGGACCCCGAGTTTGCTGCCTCAAGGGGAATATACAGCGAGAAGCCCTAACTTGAAAGGAGGCCGGATTTCCTTGCGGTGGCTTGAATACAGGCCCGTCTTTCATCTCACAACATGAAGGGATGTCTGAATCCCCTGTGGAGACCTTAGAGAAAGCCCTAGGTCCCTGCCTCATTTTGACGGAATGCCTCACATCCCTCTGACACTTCGAGAGGCCACGGAGTTCATTGCTTCAAAAGGTGACGATGCCTGACTCCTTTTGAATACTGATAGGAATCCCAAAATCCCTGTGGCTACTGTAAAGGGTCCTTGGGTGCCCTGCCTCACCTCGAGAAGCGTCCCTTTTGCCCTGCCAAGCCTCGAAGAGATTCCTGAGGTGTCCCGCGTTACTAGACAGGAGTCCTGACGTCACTGAAGAAACTCGTGTTTTGAAGGGCCATCCCCCCGTAAGTCGAGAACATAACCCAGGTCCCCGCCGCAACTCGAGAAAAACCATGAGACTTCCCCCTAGAGGCGAGATGAGGCCCCATTCCACTGCAGTGCATGCAGAGCTATTCCGTGATCCCATTCAAACAAGTCAGGAGTATCGACTTGCTTAATGGATCTCGAGACAGTCCCCAAGAACACTGTCACCAGTCTAGACGGACCCTGAGGTCACCCCAGCAACGCAAAGCAGCTCCATGTGCCCCAAATCAACTCGAGATGAGGCCCGATTCCCCTGCATTGACTCCAGAGCCATTCCCCGTTCCCCATTCAACACGACCGGTGGCTCGACTACCTTCAGGCAACTCCAGAGATGCCCCGAGAACACTGTCCCAAGTCTAGAGGAACAACAACTTCAGCACAACAACTCGAGGAATGCTCCGTGTACCCCAAAACGTCTCGAGATGAGAGCTGATTCCCTGGCTTAGGCTCAAGACGTATGCCAACTTTCCAGAAGCACCTCAGGAGGAGGCTTCTCTCAGCAATAGGTATGTGGGTGGGACACCGAGTTTGCTGCCTCAAGGGGAACATACAGCGAGAAGCCCTAACTTGAAAGGAGGCCGGATTTCCTTGCAGTGGCTTGAATACAGGCCCGTCTTTCATCTCACAACATGAAGGGATGTCTGAATCCCCTTGGAGAACTTAGAGAAAGCCCTAGGCCCTGCCTCATTTTGACGGAATGCCTCACATCCCGCTGACACCTCGAGAGGCACACGGAGTTCATTGCTTCAAAAGGTGACGATGCCTGAATCCTCTTGAATAGTGATAGGAATCCCAAAATCCCTGTAGCTACTGGAAAGGGTCCTTGGGTGCCCTGCCTCACCTCGAGAAGCGTCCCGTTTGCCCTGCCAAGCCTCGAAGAGATTCCTGAGGTGTCCTTCGTTACTAGACAGGAGTCCTGACGTCACTGAAGAAACTCGTGTTTTGAAGGGCCATCCCCGCCTTAAGTCGAGAACATACACCAGGTCCCCGCCGCAACTCGAGAAAAACCATGAGACTTACCCCTAGAGGCGAGATGAGGCCCCATTCCCCTGCAGTGCATGCAGAGCTATTCCGTGATCCCATTCAAACAAGTCAGGAGCTTCGACTTGCTTAATGGATCTCGAGACAGTCCCCAAGAACACTGTCACCAGTCTAGACGGACCCTGAGGTCACCCCAGCAGCGCAGAGCAGCTCCATGTGGCCCAAATCAACTCGAGATGAGGCCCGATTCCCCTGCATTGACTCCAGAGCCATTCCCCGTTCCCCATTCAACACGACCGGTGGCTCGACTTACTTCAGGCCAATGCAGAGATGCCCCGAGCACACTGTCCCAAGTCTAGAGGAACACCAACTTCAGCACAGCAACTCGAGGAATGCTCCGTGTACCCCAAATCGTCTCGAGATGAGAGCTGATTCCGTGGCTTAGGCTCAAGACGTATGCCAACTTTCCAGAAGCAACTCAGGAGGAGGCTTCTCTCAGCAATGGGTATGTGGGAGGGACCCCGAGTTTGCTGCCTCAAGGGGAACATACAGCGAGAAGCCCTAAGTTGAAAGGAGGCCGGATTTCCTTGCAGTGGCTTGAATACAGGCCCGTCTTTCATCTCACAACATGAAGGGATGTCTGAATCCCCTGTGGAGACCTTAGAGAAAGCCCTAGGTCCCTGCCTCATTTTGACGGAATGCCTCACATCCCGCTGACACCTCAAGAGGCACGCGGAGTTCATTGCTTCAAAAGGTGACGATGCCTGACTCCTCTTGAATACTGATAGGAATCCCAAAATCCCTGTGAGTTCTTGAAAGGGTTCTTGGGTGCCCTGCCTCACCTCGAGAAGCGTCCCTTTTGCCCTGCCAAGCCTCGAAGAGATTCCTGAGGTGTCCCGCGTTACTAGACAGGAGTCCTGACGTCACTGAAGAAACTCGTGTTTTGAAGGGCCATCCCCGCCGTAAGTCGAGAACATACCCTAGGTCCCCGCCGCAACTCGAGAAAAACCACAAGACTTCCCTCTAGAGGCGAGATGAGGCCCCATTCCCCTGCAGTGCATGCAGAGCTACTCCGTGATCCCATTCAAACAAGTCAGGAGCTTCGACTTGCTTAATGGATCTCGAGACAGTCCCCAAGAACACTGTCACCAGTCTAGACGGACCCTGAGGTCACCCCAGCAGCGCAGAGCAGCTCCATGTGCCCCAAATCAACTCGAGATGAGGCCCGATTCCCGTGCATTGACTCCAGAGCCATTCCCCGTTCCCCATTCAACACGACCGGTGGCTCGACTTCCTTCAGGCCACTGCAGAGATGCCCCGAGCACACTCTCCCAAGTCTAGAGGAACACCAACTTCAGCACAGCAACTCGAGGAATGCTCCGTGTACCCCAAATCGTCTCGAGATGAGAGCTGATTCCCTGGCTTAGGCTCAAGACGTATGCCAACTTTCCAGAAGCACCTCAGGAGGAGGCTTCTCTCAGCAATAGGTATGTGGGAGGGACCCCGAGTTTGCTGCCTCAAGGGGAACATACAGCGAGAAGCCCTAACTTGAAAGGAGGCCGGATTTCCTTGCAGTGGCTTGAATACAGGCCCGTCTTTCATCTCACAACATGAAGGGATGTCTGAATCCCCTTGGAGAACTTAGAGAAAGCCCTAGGCCCTGCCTCATTTTGACGGAATGCCTCACATCCCGCTGACACCTCGAGAGGCACACGGAGTTCATTGCTTCAAAAGGTGACGATGCCTGAATCCTCTTGAATAGTGATAGGAATCCCAAAATCCCTGTAGCTACTGGAAAGGGTCCTTGGGTAGCCTGCCTCACCTCGAGAAGCGTCCCGTTTGCCCTGCCAAGCCTCGAAGAGATTCCTGAGGTGTCCTTCGTTACTAGACAGGAGTCCTGACGTCACTGAAGAAACTCGTGTTTTGAAGGGCCATCCCCGCCTTAAGTCGAGAACATACACCAGGTCCCCGCCGCAACTCGAGAAAAACCATGAGACTTACCCCTAGAGGCGAGATGAGGCCCCATTCCCCTGCAGTGCATGCAGAGCTATTCCGTGATCCCATTCAAACAAGTCAGGAGCTTCGACTTGCTTAATGGATCTCGAGACAGTCCCCAAGAACACTGTCACCAGTCTAGACGGACCCTGAGGTCACCCCAGCAGCGCAGAGCAGCTCCATGTGGCCCAAATCAACTCGAGATGAGGCCCGATTCCCCTGCATTGACTCCAGAGCCATTCCCCGTTCCCCATTCAACACGACCGGTGGCTCGACTTACTTCAGGCCAATGCAGAGATGCCCCGAGCACACTGTCCCAAGTCTAGAGGAACACCAACTTCAGCACAGCAACTCGAGGAATGCTCCGTGTACCCCAAATCGTCTCGAGATGAGAGCTGATTCCGTGGCTTAGGCTCAAGACGTATGCCAACTTTCCAGAAGCAACTCAGGAGGAGGCTTCTCTCAGCAATGGGTATGTGGGAGGGACCCCGAGTTTGCTGCCTCAAGGGGAACATACAGCGAGAAGCCCTAAGTTGAAAGGAGGCCGGATTTCCTTGCAGTGGCTTGAATACAGGCCCGTCTTTCATCTCACAACATGAAGGGATGTCTGAATCCCCTGTGGAGACCTTAGAGAAAGCCCTAGGTCCCTGCCTCATTTTGACGGAATGCCTCACATCCCGCTGACACCTCAAGAGGCACGCGGAGTTCATTGCTTCAAAAGGTGACGATGCCTGACTCCTCTTGAATACTGATAGGAATCCCAAAATCCCTGTGAGTTCTTGAAAGGGTTCTTGGGTGCCCTGCCTCACCTCGAGAAGCGTCCCTTTTGCCCTGCCAAGCCTCGAAGAGATTCCTGAGGTGTCCCGCGTTACTAGACAGGAGTCCTGACGTCACTGAAGAAACTCGTGTTTTGAAGGGCCATCCCCGCCGTAAGTCGAGAACATACCCTAGGTCCCCGCCGCAACTCGAGAAAAACCACAAGACTTCCCTCTAGAGGCGAGATGAGGCCCCATTCCCCTGCAGTGCATGCAGAGCTACTCCGTGATCCCATTCAAACAAGTCAGGAGCTTCGACTTGCTTAATGGATCTCGAGACAGTCCCCAAGAACACTGTCACCAGTCTAGACGGACCCTGAGGTCACCCCAGCAGCGCAGAGCAGCTCCATGTGCCCCAAATCAACTCGAGATGAGGCCCGATTCCCGTGCATTGACTCCAGAGCCATTCCCCGTTCCCCATTCAACACGACCGGTGGCTCGACTTCCTTCAGGCCACTGCAGAGATGCCCCGAGCCCACTCTCCCAAGTCTAGAGGAACACCAACTTCAGCACAGCAACTCGAGGAATGCTCCGTGTACCCCAAATCGTCTCGAGATGAGAGCTGATTCCCTGGGTTAGGCTCAAGACGTATGCCAACTTTCCAGAAGCACCTCAGGAGGAGGCTTCTCTCAGCAATAGGTATGTGGGAGGGACCCCGAGTTTGCTGCCTCAAGGGGAACATACAGCGAGAAGCCCTAACTTGAAAGGAGGCCGGATTTCCTTGCAGTGGCTTGAATACAGGCCCGTCTTTCATCTCACAACATGAAGGGATGTCTGAATCCCCTTGGAGAACTTAGAGAAAGCCCTAGGCCCTGCCTCATTTTGACGGAATGCCTCACATCCCGCTGACACCTCGAGAGGCACACGGAGTTCATTGCTTCAAAAGGTGACGATGCCTGAATCCTCTTGAATAGTGATAGGAATCCCAAAATCCCTGTAGCTACTGGAAAGGGTCCTTGGGTGCCCTGCCTCACCTCGAGAAGCGTCCCGTTTGCCCTGCCAAGCCTCGAAGAGATTCCTGAGGTGTCCTTCGTTACTAGACAGGAGTCCTGACGTCACTGAAGAAACTCGTGTTTTGAAGGGCCATCCCCGCCTTAAGTCGAGAACATACACCAGGTCCCCGCCGCAACTCGAGAAAAACCATGAGACTTACCCCTAGAGGCGAGATGAGGCCCCATTCCCCTGCAGTGCATGCAGAGCTATTCCGTGATCCCATTCAAACAAGTCAGGAGCTTCGACTTGCTTAATGGATCTCGAGACAGTCCCCAAGAACACTGTCACCAGTCTAGACGGACCCTGAGGTCACCCCAGCAGCGCAGAGCAGCTCCATGTGGCCCAAATCAACTCGAGATGAGGCCCGATTCCCCTGCATTGACTCCAGAGCCATTCCCCGTTCCCCATTCAACACGACCGGTGGCTCGACTTACTTCAGGCCAATGCAGAGATGCCCCGAGCACACTGTCCCAAGTCTTGAGGAACACCAACTTCAGCACAGCAACTCGAGGAATGCTCCGTGTACCCCAAATCGTCTCGAGATGAGAGCTGATTCCGTGGCTTAGGCTCAAGACGTATGCCAACTTTCCAGAAGCAACTCAGGAGGAGGCTTCTCTCAGCAATGGGTATGTGGGAGGGACCCCGAGTTTGCTGCCTCAAGGGGAACATACAGCGAGAAGCCCTAAGTTGAAAGGAGGCCGGATTTCCTTGCAGTGGCTTGAATACAGGCCCGTCTTTCATCTCACAACATGAAGGGATGTCTGAATCCCCTGTGGAGACCTTAGAGAAAGCCCTAGGTCCCTGCCTCATTTTGACGGAATGCCTCACATCCCGCTGACACCTCAAGAGGCACGCGGAGTTCATTGCTTCAAAAGGTGACGATGCCTGACTCCTCTTGAATACTGATAGGAATCCCAAAATCCCTGTGAGTTCTTGAAAGGGTTCTTGGGTGCCCTGCCTCACCTCGAGAAGCGTCCCTTTTGCCCTGCCAAGCCTCGAAGAGATTCCTGAGGTGTCCCGCGTTACTAGACAGGAGTCCTGACGTCACTGAAGAAACTCGTGTTTTGAAGGGCCATCCCCGCCGTAAGTCGAGAACATACCCTAGGTCCCCGCCGCAACTCGAGAAAAACCACAAGACTTCCCTCTAGAGGCGAGATGAGGCCCCATTCCCCTGCAGTGCATGCAGAGCTACTCCGTGATCCCATTCAAACAAGTCAGGAGCTTCGACTTGCTTAATGGATCTCGAGACAGTCCCCAAGAACACTGTCACCAGTCTAGACGGACCCTGAGGTCACCCCAGCAGCGCAGAGCAGCTCCATGTGCCCCAAATCAACTCGAGATGAGGCCCGATTCCCCTGCATTGACTCCAGAGCCATTCCCCGTTCCCCATTCAACACGACCGGTGGCTCGACTTCCTTCAGGCCACTGCAGAGATGCCCCGAGCACACTGTCCCAAGTCTAGAGGAACACCAACTTCAGCACAGCAACTCGAGGAATGCTCCGTGTACCCCAAATCGTCTCGAGATGAGAGCTGATTCCCTGGCTTAGGCTCAAGACGTATGCCAACTTTCCAGAAGCACCTCAGGAGGAGGCTTCTCTCAGCAATAGGTATGTGGGAGGGACCCCGAGTTTGCTGCCTCAAGGGGAACATACAGCGAGAAGCCCTAACTTGAAAGGAGGCCGGATTTCCTTGCAGTGGCTTGAATACAGGCCCGTCTTTCATCTCACAACATGAAGGGATGTCTGAATCCCCTTGGAGAACTTAGAGAAAGCCCTAGGCCCTGCCTCATTTTGACGGAATGCCTCACATCCCGCTGACACCTCGAGAGGCACACGGAGTTCATTGCTTCAAAAGGTGACGATGCCTGACTCCTCTTGAATACTGATAGGAATCCCAAAATCCCTGTAGCTACTGGAAAGGGTCCTTGGGTGCCCTGCCTCACCTCGAGAAGCGTCCCGTTTGCCCTGCCAAGCCTCGAAGAGATTCCTGAGGTGTCCTTCGTTACTAGACAGGAGTCCTGACGTCACTGAAGAAACTCGTGTTTTGAAGGGCCATCCCCGCCTTAAGTCGAGAACATACACCAGGTCCCCGCCGCAACTCGAGAAAAACCATGAGACTTACCCCTAGAGGCGAGATGAGGCCCCATTCCCCTGCAGTGCATGCAGAGCTATTCCGTGATCCCATTCAAACAAGTCAGGAGCTTCGACTTGCTTAATGGATCTCGAGACAGTCCCCAAGAACACTGTCACCAGTCTAGACGGACCCTGAGGTCACCCCAGCAGCGCAGAGCAGCTCCATGTGGCCCAAATCAACTCGAGATGAGGCCCGATTCCCCTGCATTGACTCCAGAGCCATTCCCCGTTCCCCATTCAACACGACCGGTGGCTCGACTTACTTCAGGCCAATGCAGAGATGCCCCGAGCACACTGTCCCAAGTCTAGAGGAACACCAACTTCAGCACAGCAACTCGAGGAATGCTCCGTGTACCCCAAATCGTCTCGAGATGAGAGCTGATTCCGTGGCTTAGGCTCAAGACGTATGCCAACTTTCCAGAAGCAACTCAGGAAGAGGCTTCTCTCAGCAATGGGTATGTGGGAGGGACCCCGAGTTTGCTGCCTCAAGGGGAACATACAGCGAGAAGCCCTAAGTTGAAAGGAGGCCGGATTTCCTTGCAGTGGCTTGAATACAGGCCCGTCTTTCATCTCACAACATGAAGGGATGTCTGAATCCCCTGTGGAGACCTTAGAGAAAGCCCTAGGTCCCTGCCTCATTTTGACGGAATGCCTCACATCCCGCTGACACCTCAAGAGGCACGCGGAGTTCATTGCTTCAAAAGGTGACGATGCCTGACTCCTCTTGAATACTGATAGGAATCCCAAAATCCCTGTGAGTTCTTGAAAGGGTTCTTGGGTGCCCTGCCTCACCTCGAGAAGCGTCCCTTTTGCCCTGCCAAGCCTCGAAGAGATTCCTGAGGTGTCCCGCGTTACTAGACAGGAGTCCTGACGTCACTGAAGAAACTCGTGTTTTGAAGGGCCATCCCCGCCGTAAGTCGAGAACATACCCTAGGTCCCCGCCGCAACTCGAGAAAAACCACAAGACTTCCCTCTAGAGGCGAGATGAGGCCCCATTCCCCTGCAGTGCATGCAGAGCTACTCCGTGATCCCATTCAAACAAGTCAGGAGCTTCGACTTGCTTAATGGATCTCGAGACAGTCCCCAAGAACACTGTCACCAGTCTAGACGGACCCTGAGGTCACCCCAGCAGCGCAGAGCAGCTCCATGTGCCCCAAATCAACTCGAGATGAGGCCCGATTCCCCTGCATTGACTCCAGAGCCATTCCCCGTTCCCCATTCAACACGACCGGTGGCTCGACTTCCTTCAGGCCACTGCAGAGATGCCCCGAGCACACTCTCCCAAGTCTAGAGGAACACCAACTTCAGCACAGCAACTCGAGGAATGCTCCGTGTACCCCAAATCGTCTCGAGATGAGAGCTGATTCCCTGGCTTAGGCTCAAGACGTATGCCAACTTTCCAGAAGCACCTCAGGAGGAGGCTTCTCTCAGCAATAGGTATGTGGGAGGGACCCCGAGTTTGCTGCCTCAAGGGGAACATACAGCGAGAAGCCCTAACTTGAAAGGAGGCCGGATTTCCTTGCAGTGGCTTGAATACAGGCCCGTCTTTCATCTCACAACATGAAGGGATGTCTGAATCCCCTGTGGAGACCTTAGAGAAAGCCCTAGGTCCCTGCCTCATTTTGACGGAATGCCTCACATCCCGCTGACACCTCAAGAGGCACGCGGAGTTCATTTCTTCAAAAGGTGACGATGCCTGACTCCTCTTGAATACTGATAGGAATCCCAAAATCCCTGTGAGTTCTTGAAAGGGTTCTTGGGTGCCCTGCCTCACCTCGAGAAGCGTCCCTTTTGCCCTGCCAAGCCTCGAAGAGATTCCTGAGGTGTCCCGCGTTACTAGACAGGAGTCCTGACGTCACTGAAGAAACTCGTGTTTTGAAGGGCCATCCCCGCCGTAAGTCGAGAACATACCCTAGGTCCCCGCCGCAACTCGAGAAAAACCACAAGACTTCCCTCTAGAGGCGAGATGAGGCCCCATTCCCCTGCAGTGCATGCAGAGCTACTCCGTGATCCCATTCAAACAAGTCAGGAGCTTCGACTTGCTTAATGGATCTCGAGACAGTCCCCAAGAACACTGTCACCAGTCTAGACGGACCCTGAGGTCACCCCAGCAGCGCAGAGCAGCTCCATGTGCCCCAAATCAACTCGAGATGAGGCCCGATTCCCGTGCATTGACTCCAGAGCCATTCCCCGTTTCCCATTCAACACGACCGGTGGCTCGACTTCCTTCAGGCCACTGCAGAGATGCCCCGAGCCCACTCTCCCAAGTCTAGAGGAACACCAACTTCAGCACAGCAACTCGAGGAATGCTCCGTGTACCCCAAATCGTCTCGAGATGAGAGCTGATTGACTGGCTTAGGCTCAAGACGTATGCCAACTTTCCAGAAGCACCTCAGGAGGAGGCTTCTCTCAGCAATAGGTATGTGGGAGGGACCCCGAGTTTGCTGCCTCAAGGGGAACATACAGCGAGAAGCCCTAACTTGAAAGGAGGCCGGATTTCCTTGCAGTGGCTTGAATACAGGCCCGTCTTTCATCTCACAACATGAAGGGATGTCTGAATCCCCTTGGAGAACTTAGAGAAAGCCCTAGGCCCTGCCTCATTTTGACGGAATGCCTCACATCCCGCTGACACCTCGAGAGGCACACGGAGTTCATTGCTTCAAAAGGTGACGATGCCTGAATCCTCTTGAATAGTGATAGGAATCCCAAAATCCCTGTAGCTACTGGAAAGGGTCCTTGGGTGCCCTGCCTCACCTCGAGAAGCGTCCCGTTTGCCCTGCCAAGCCTCGAAGAGATTCCTGAGGTGTCCTTCGTTACTAGACAGGAGTCCTGACGTCACTGAAGAAACTCGTGTTTTGAAGGGCCATCCCCGCCTTAAGTCGAGAACATACACCAGGTCCCCGACGCAACTCGAGAAAAACCATGAGACTTACCCCTAGAGGCGAGATGAGGCCCCATTCCCCTGCAGTGCATGCAGAGCTATTCCGTGATCCCATTCAAACAAGTCAGGAGCTTCGACTTGCTTAATGGATCTCGAGACAGTCCCCAAGAACACTGTCACCAGTCTAGACGGACCCTGAGGTCACCCCAGCAGCGCAGAGCAGCTCCATGTGGCCCAAATCAACTCGAGATGAGGCCCGATTCCCCTGCATTGACTCCAGAGCCATTCCCCGTTCCCCATTCAACACGACCGGTGGCTCGACTTACTTCAGGCCAATGCAGAGATGCCCCGAGCACACTGTCCCAAGTCTAGAGGAACACCAACTTCAGCACAGCAACTCGAGGAATGCTCCGTGTACCCCAAATCGTCTCGAGATGAGAGCTGATTCCGTGGCTTAGGCTCAAGACGTATACCAACTTTCCAGAAGCAACTCAGGAGGAGGCTTTTCTCAGCAATGGGTATGTGGGAGGGACCCCGAGTTTGCTGCCTCAAGGGGAACATACAGCGAGAAGCCCTAAGTTGAAAGGAGGCCGGATTTCCTTGCAGTGGCTTGAATACAGGCCCGTCTTTCATCTCACAACATGAAGGGATGTCTGAATCCCCTGTGGAGACCTTAGAGAAAGCCCTAGGTCCCTGCCTCATTTTGACGGAATGCCTCACATCCCGCTGACACCTCAAGAGGCACGCGGAGTTCATTGCTTCAAAAGGTGACGATGCCTGACTCCTCTTGAATACTGATAGGAATCCCAAAATCCCTGTGAGTTCTTGAAAGGGTTCTTGGGTGCCCTGCCTCACCTCGAGAAGCGTCCCTTTTGCCCTGCTAAGCCTCGAAGAGATTCCTGAGGTGTCCCGCGTTACTAGACAGGAGTCCTGACGTCACTGAAGAAACTCGTGTTTTGAAGGGCCATCCCCGCCGTAAGTCGAGAACATACCCTAGGTCCCCGCCGCAACTCGAGAAAAACCACAAGACTTCCCTCTAGAGGCGAGATGAGGCCCCATTCCCCTGCAGTGCATGCAGAGCTACTCCGTGATCCCATTCAAACAAGTCAGGAGCTTCGACTTGCTTAATGGATCTCGAGACAGTCCCCAAGAACACTGTCACCAGTCTAGACGGACCCTGAGGTCACCCCAGCAGCGCAGAGCAGCTCCATGTGCCCCAAATCAACTCGAGATGAGGCCCGATTCCCGTGCATTGACTCCAGAGCCATTCCCCGTTCCCCATTCAACACGACCGGTGGCTCGACTTCCTTCAGGCCACTGCAGAGATGCCCCGAGCACACTCTCCCAAGTCTAGAGGAACACCAACTTCAGCACAGCAACTCGAGGAATGCTCCGTGTACCCCAAATCGTCTCGAGATGAGAGCTGATTCCCTGGCTTAGGCTCAAGACGTATGCCAACTTTCCAGAAGCACCTCAGGAGGAGGCTTCTCTCAGCAATAGGTATGTGGGAGGGACCCCGAGTTTGCTGCCTCAAGGGGAACATACAGCGAGAAGCCCTAACTTGAAAGGAGGCCGGATTTCCTTGCAGTGGCTTGAATACAGGCCCGTCTTTCATCTCACAACATGAAGGGATGTCTGAATCCCCTTGGAGAACTTAGAGAAAGCCCTAGGCCCTGCCTCATTTTGACGGAATGCCTCACATCCCGCTGACACCTCGAGAGGCACACGGAGTTCATTGCTTCAAAAGGTGACGATGCCTGAATCCTCTTGAATAGTGATAGGAATCCCAAAATCCCTGTAGCTACTGGAAAGGGTCCTTGGGTGCCCTGCCTCACCTCGAGAAGCGTCCCGTTTGCCCTGCCAAGCCTCGAAGAGATTCCTGAGGTGTCCTTCGTTACTAGACAGGAGTCCTGACGTCACTGAAGAAACTCGTGTTTTGAAGGGCCATCCCCGCCTTAAGTCGAGAACATACACCAGGTCCCCGCCGCAACTCGAGAAAAACCATGAGACTTACCCCTAGAGGCGAGATGAGGCCCCATTCCCCTGCAGTGCATGCAGAGCTATTCCGTGATCCCATTCAAACAAGTCAGGAGCTTCGACTTGCTTAATGGATCTCGAGACAGTCCCCAAGAACACTGTCACCAGTCTAGACGGACCCTGAGGTCACCCCAGCAGCGCAGAGCAGCTCCATGTGGCCCAAATCAACTCGAGATGAGGCCCGATTCCCCTGCATTGACTCCAGAGCCATTCCCCGTTCCCCATTCAACACGACCGGTGGCTCGACTTACTTCAGGCCAATGCAGAGATGCCCCGAGCACACTGTCCCAAGTCTAGAGGAACACCAACTTCAGCACAGCAACTCGAGGAATGCTCCGTGTACCCCAAATCGTCTCGAGATGAGAGCTGATTCCGTGGCTTAGGCTCAAGACGTATGCCAACTTTCCAGAAGCAACTCAGGAGGAGGCTTCTCTCAGCAATGGGTATGTGGGAGGGACCCCGAGTTTGCTGCCTCAAGGGGAACATACAGCGAGAAGCCCTAAGTTGAAAGGAGGCCGGATTTCCTTGCAGTGGCTTGAATACAGGCCCGTCTTTCATCTCACAACATGAAGGGATGTCTGAATCCCCTGTGGAGACCTTAGAGAAAGCCCTAGGTCCCTGCCTCATTTTGACGGAATGCCTCACATCCCGCTGACACCTCAAGAGGCACGCGGAGTTCATTGCTTCAAAAGGTGACGATGCCTGACTCCTCTTGAATACTGATAGGAATCCCAAAATCCCTGTGAGTTCTTGAAAGGGTTCTTGGGTGCCCTGCCTCACCTCGAGAAGCGTCCCTTTTGCCCTGCCAAGCCTCGAAGAGATTCCTGAGGTGTCCCGCGTTACTAGACAGGAGTCCTGACGTCACTGAAGAAACTCGTGTTTTGAAGGGCCATCCCCGCCGTAAGTCGAGAACATACCCTAGGTCCCCGCCGCAACTCGAGAAAAACCACAAGACTTCCCTCTAGAGGCGAGATGAGGCCCCATTCCCCTGCAGTGCATGCAGAGCTACTCCGTGATCCCATTCAAACAAGTCAGGAGCTTCGACTTGCTTAATGGATCTCGAGACAGTCCCCAAGAACACTGTCACCAGTCTAGACGGACCCTGAGGTCACCCCAGCGACGCAGAGCAGCTCCATGTGCCCCAAATCAACTCGAGATGAGGCCCGATTCCCCTGCATTGACTCCAGAGCCATTCCCCGTTCCCCATTCAACACGACCGGTGGCTCGACTTCCTTCAGGCCACTGCAGAGATGCCCCGAGCACACTCTCCCAAGTCTAGAGGAACACCAACTTCAGCACAGCAACTCGAGGAATGCTCCGTGTACCCCAAATCGTCTCGAGATGAGAGCTGATTCCCTGGCTTAGGCTCAAGACGTATGCCAACTTTCCAGAAGCACCTCAGGAGGAGGCTTCTCTCAGCAATAGGTATGTGGGAGGGACCCCGAGTTTGCTGCCTCAAGGGGAACATACAGCGAGAAGCCCTAACTTGAAAGGAGGCCGGATTTCCTTGCAGTGGCTTGAATACAGGCCCGTCTTTCATCTCACAACATGAAGGGATGTCTGAATCCCCTTGGAGAACTTAGAGAAAGCCCTAGGCCCTGCCTCATTTTGACGGAATGCCTCACATCCCGCTGACACCTCGAGAGGCACACGGAGTTCATTGCTTCAAAAGGTGACGATGCCTGAATCCTCTTGAATAGTGATAGGAATCCCAAAATCCCTGTAGCTACTGGAAAGGGTCCTTGGGTGCCCTGCCTCACCTCGAGAAGCGTCCCGTTTGCCCTGCCAAGCCTCGAAGAGATTCCTGAGGTGTCCTTCGTTACTAGACAGGAGTCCTGACGTCACTGAAGAAACTCGTGTTTTGAAGGGCCATCCCCGCCTTAAGTCGAGAACATACACCAGGTCCCCGCCGCAACTCGAGAAAAACCATGAGACTTACCCCTAGAGGCGAGATGAGGCCCCATTCCCCTGCAGTGCATGCAGAGCTATTCCGTGATCCCATTCAAACAAGTCAGGAGCTTCGACTTGCTTAATGGATCTCGAGACAGTCCCCAAGAACACTGTCACCAGTCTAGACGGACCCTGAGGTCACCCCAGCAGCGCAGAGCAGCTCCATGTGGCCCAAATCAACTCGAGATGAGGCCCGATTCCCCTGCATTGACTCCAGAGCCATTCCCCGTTCCCCATTCAACACGACCGGTGGCTCGACTTACTTCAGGCCAATGCAGAGATGCCCCGAGCACACTGTCCCAAGTCTAGAGGAACACCAACTTCAGAACAGCAACTCGAGGAATGCTCCGTGTACCCCAAATCGTCTCGAGATGAGAGCTGATTCCGTGGCTTAGGCTCAAGACGTATGCCAACTTTCCAGAAGCAACTCAGGAGGAGGCTTCTCTCAGCAATGGGTATGTGGGAGGGACCCCGAGTTTGCTGCCTCAAGGGGAACATACAGCGAGAAGCCCTAAGTTGAAAGGAGGCCGGATTTCCTTGCAGTGGCTTGAATACAGGCCCGTCTTTCATCTCACAACATGAAGGGATGTCTGAATCCCCTGTGGAGACCTTAGAGAAAGCCCTAGGTCCCTGCCTCATTTTGACGGAATGCCTCACATCCCGCTGACACCTCAAGAGGCACGCGGAGTTCATTGCTTCAAAAGGTGACGATGCCTGACTCCTCTTGAATACTGATAGGAATCCCAAAATCCCTGTGAGTTCTTGAAAGGGTTCTTGGGTGCCCTGCCTCACCTCGAGAAGCGTCCCTTTTGCCCTGCCAAGCCTCGAAGAGATTCCTGAGGTGTCCCGCGTTACTAGACAGGAGTCCTGACGTCACTGAAGAAACTCGTGTTTTGAAGGGCCATCCCCGCCGTAAGTCGAGAACATACCCTAGGTCCCCGCCGCAACTCGAGAAAAACCACAAGACTTCCCTCTAGAGGCGAGATGAGGCCCCATTCCCCTGCAGTGCATGCAGAGCTACTCCGTGATCCCATTCAAACAAGTCAGGAGCTTCGACTTGCTTAATGGATCTCGAGACAGTCCCCAAGAACACTGTCACCAGTCTAGACGGACCCTGAGGTAACCCCAGCAGCGCAGAGCAGCTCCATGTGCCCCAAATCAACTCGAGATGAGGCCCGATTCCCCTGCATTGACTCCAGAGCCATTCCCCGTTCCCCATTCAACACGACCGGTGGCTCGACTTCCTTCAGGCCACTGCAGAGATGCCCCGAGCACACTCTCCCAAGTCTAGAGGAACACCAACTTCAGCACAGCAACTCGAGGAATGCTCCGTGTACCCCAAATCGTCTCGAGATGAGAGCTGATTGACTGGCTTAGGCTCAAGACGTATGCCAACTTTCCAGAAGCACCTCAGGAGGAGGCTTCTCTCAGCAATAGGTATGTGGGAGGGACCCCGAGTTTGCTGCCTCAAGGGGAACATACAGCGAGAAGCCCTAACTTGAAAGGAGGCCGGATTTCCTTGCAGTGGCTTGAATACAGGCCCGTCTTTCATCTCACAACATGAAGGGATGTCTGAATCCCCTTGGAGAACTTAGAGAAAGCCCTAGGCCCTGCCTCATTTTGACGGAATGCCTCACATCCCGCTGACACCTCGAGAGGCACACGGAGTTCATTGCTTCAAAAGGTGACGATGCCTGAATCCTCTTGAATAGTGATAGGAATCCCAAAATCCCTGTAGCTACTGGAAAGGGTCCTTGGGTGCCCTGCCTCACCTCGAGAAGCGTCCCGTTTGCCCTGCCAAGCCTCGAAGAGATTCCTGAGGTGTCCTTCGTTACTAGACAGGAGTCCTGACGTCACTGAAGAAACTCGTGTTTTGAAGGGCCATCCCCGCCTTAAGTCGAGAACATACACCAGGTCCCCGCCGCAACTCGAGAAAAACCATGAGACTTACCCCTAGAGGCGAGATGAGGCCCCATTCCCCTGCAGTGCATGCAGAGCTATTCCGTGATCCCATTCAAACAAGTCAGGAGCTTCGACTTGCTTAATGGATCTCGAGACAGTCCCCAAGAACACTGTCACCAGTCTAGACGGACCCTGAGGTCACCCCAGCAGCGCAGAGCAGCTCCATGTGGCCCAAATCAACTCGAGATGAGGCCCGATTCCCCTGCATTGACTCCAGAGCCATTCCCCGTTCCCCATTCAACACGACCGGTGGCTCGACTTACTTCAGGCCAATGCAGAGATGCCCCGAGCACACTGTCCCAAGTCTAGAGGAACACCAACTTCAGCACAGCAACTCGAGGAATGCTCCGTGTACCCCAAATCGTCTCGAGATGAGAGCTGATTCCGTGGCTTAGGCTCAAGACGTATGCCAACTTTCCAGAAGCAACTCAGGAGGAGGCTTCTCTCAGCAATGGGTATGTGGGAGGGACCCCGAGTTTGCTGCCTCAAGGGGAACATACAGCGAGAAGCCCTAAGTTGAAAGGAGGCCGGATTTCCTTGCAGTGGCTTGAATACAGGCCCGTCTTTCATCTCACAACATGAAGGGATGTCTGAATCCCCTGTGGAGACCTTAGAGAAAGCCCTAGGTCCCTGCCTCATTTTGACGGAATGCCTCACATCCCGCTGACACCTCAAGAGGCACGCGGAGTTCATTGCTTCAAAAGGTGACGATGCCTGACTCCTCTTGAATACTGATAGGAATCCCAAAATCCCTGTGAGTTCTTGAAAGGGTTCTTGGGTGCCCTGCCTCACCTCGAGAAGCGTCCCTTTTGCCCTGCCAAGCCTCGAAGAGATTCCTGAGGTGTCCCGCGTTACTAGACAGGAGTCCTGACGTCACTGAAGAAACTCGTGTTTTGAAGGGCCATCCCCGCCGTAAGTCGAGAACATACCCTAGGTCCCCGCCGCAACTCGAGAAAAACCACAAGACTTCCCTCTAGAGGCGAGATGAGGCCCCATTCCCCTGCAGTGCATGCAGAGCTACTCCGTGATCCCATTCAAACAAGTCAGGAGCTTCGACTTGCTTAATGGATCTCGAGACAGTCCCCAAGAACACTGTCACCAGTCTAGACGGACCCTGAGGTCACCCCAGCAGCGCAGAGCAGCTCCATGTGCCCCAAATCAACTCGAGATGAGGCCCGATTCCCCTGCATTGACTCCAGAGCCATTCCCCGTTCCCCATTCAACACGACCGGTGGCTCGACTTCCTTCAGGCCACTGCAGAGATGCCCCGAGCACACTCTCCCAAGTCTAGAGGAACACCAACTGCAGCACAGCAACTCGAGGAATGCTCCGTGTACCCCAAATCGTCTCGAGATGAGAGCTGATTGACTGGCTTAGGCTCAAGACGTATGCCAACTTTCCAGAAGCACCTCAGGAGGAGGCTTCTCTCAGCAATAGGTATGTGGGAGGGACCCCGAGTTTGCTGCCTCAAGGGGAACATACAGCGAGAAGCCCTAACTTGAAAGGAGGCCGGATTTCCTTGCAGTGGCTTGAATACAGGCCCGTCTTTCATCTCACAACATGAAGGGATGTCTGAATCCCCTTGGAGAACTTAGAGAAAGCCCTAGGCCCTGCCTCATTTTGACGGAATGCCTCACATCCCGCTGACACCTCGAGAGGCACACGGAGTTCATTGCTTCAAAAGGTGACGATGCCTGAATCCTCTTGAATAGTGATAGGAATCCCAAAATCCCTGTAGCTACTGGAAAGGGTCCTTGGGTGGCCTGCCTCACCTCGAGAAGCGTCCCGTTTGCCCTGCCAAGCCTCGAAGAGATTCCTGAGGTGTCCTTCGTTACTAGACAGGAGTCCTGACGTCACTGAAGAAACTCGTGTTTTGAAGAGCCATCCCCGCCTTAAGTCGAGAACATACACCAGGTCCCCGCCGCAACTCGAGAAAAACCATGAGACTTACCCCTAGAGGCGAGATGAGGCCCCATTCCCCTGCAGTGCATGCAGAGCTATTCCGTGATCCCATTCAAACAAGTCAGGAGCTTCGACTTGCTTAATGGATCTCGAGACAGTCCCCAAGAACACTGTCACCAGTCTAGACGGACCCTGAGGTCACCCCAGCAGCGCAGAGCAGCTCCATGTGGCCCAAATCAACTCGAGATGAGGCCCGATTCCCCTGCATTGACTCCAGAGCCATTCCCCGTTCCCCATTCAACACGACCGGTGGCTCGACTTACTTCAGGCCAATGCAGAGATGCCCCGAGCACACTGTCCCAAGTCTAGAGGAACACCAACTTCAGCACAGCAACTCGAGGAATGCTCCGTGTACCCCAAATCGTCTCGAGATGAGAGCTGATTCCGTGGCTTAGGCTCAAGACGTATGCCAACTTTCCAGAAGCAACTCAGGAGGAGGCTTCTCTCAGCAATGGGTATGTGGGAGGGACCCCGAGTTTGCTGCCTCAAGGGGAACATACAGCGCGAAGCCCTAAGTTGAAAGGAGGCCGGATTTCCTTGCAGTGGCTTGAATACAGGCCCGTCTTTCATCTCACAACATGAAGGGATTTCTGAATCCCCTGTGGAGACCTTAGAGAAAGCCCTAGGTCCCTGCCTCATTTTGACGGAATGCCTCACATCCCGCTGACACCTCAAGAGGCACGCGGAGTTCATTGCTTCAAAAGGTGACGATGCCTGACTCCTCTTGAATACTGATAGGAATCCCAAAATCCCTGTGAGTTCTTGAAAGGGTTCTTGGGTGCCCTGCCTCACCTCGAGAAGCGTCCCTTTTGCCCTGCCAAGCCTCGAAGAGATTCCTGAGGTGTCCCGCGTTACTAGACAGGAGTCCTGACGTCACTGAAGAAACTCGTGTTTTGAAGGGCCATCCCCGCCGTAAGTCGAGAACATACCCTAGGTCCCCGCCGCAACTCGAGAAAAACCACAAGACTTCCCTCTAGAGGCGAGATGAGGCCCCATTCCCCTGCAGTGCATGCAGAGCTACTCCGTGATCCCATTCAAACAAGTCAGGAGCTTCGACTTGCTTAATGGATCTCGAGACAGTCCCCAAGAACACTGTCACCAGTCTAGACGGACCCTGAGGTCACCCCAGCAGCGCAGAGCAGCTCCATGTGCCCCAAATCAACTCGAGATGAGGCCCGATTCCCGTGCATTGACTCCAGAGCCATTCCCCGTTCCCCATTCAACACGACCGGTGGCCCGACTTCCTTCAGGCCACTGCAGAGATGCCCCGAGCACACTCTCCCAAGTCTAGAGGAACACCAACTTCAGCACAGCAACTCGAGGAATGCTCCGTGTACCCCAAATCGTCTCGAGATGAGAGCTGATTCCCTGGCTTAGGCTCAAGACGTATGCCAACTTTCCAGAAGCACCTCAGGAGGAGGCTTCTCTCAGCAATAGGTATGTGGGAGGGACCCCGAGTTTGCTGCCTCAAGGGGAACATACAGCGAGAAGCCCTAACTTGAAAGGAGGCCGGATTTCCTTGCAGTGGCTTGAATACAGGCCCGTCTTTCATCTCACAACATGAAGGGATGTCTGAATCCCCTTGGAGAACTTAGAGAAAGCCCTAGGCCCTGCCTCATTTTGACGGAATGCCTCACATCCCGCTGACACCTCGAGAGGCACACGGAGTTCTTTGCTTCAAAAGGTGACGATGCCTGAATCCTCTTGAATAGTGATAGGAATCCCAAAATCCCTGTAGCTACTGGAAAGGGTCCTTGGGTGCCCTGCCTCACCTCGAGAAGCGTCCCGTTTGCCCTGCCAAGCCTCGAAGAGATTCCTGAGGTGTCCTTCGTTACTAGACAGGAGTCCTGACGTCACTGAAGAAACTCGTGTTTTGAAGGGCCGTCCCCGCCTTAAGTCGAGAACATACACCAGGTCCCCGCCGCAACTCGAGAAAAACCATGAGACTTACCCCTAGAGGCGAGATGAGGCCCCATTCCCCTGCAGTGCATGCAGAGCTATTCCGTGATCCCATTCAAACAAGTCAGGAGCTTCGACTTGCTTAATGGATCTCGAGACAGTCCCCAAGAACACTGTCACCAGTCTAGACGGACCCTGAGGTCACCCCAGCAGCGCAGAGCAGCTCCATGTGGCCCAAATCAACTCGAGATGAGGCCCGATTCCCCTGCATTGACTCCAGAGCCATTCCCCGTTCCCCATTCAACACGACCGGTGGCTCGACTTACTTCAGGCCAATGCAGAGATGCCCCGAGCACACTGTCCCAAGTCTAGAGGAACACCAACTTCAGCACAGCAACTCGAGGAATGCTCCGTGTACCCCAAATCGTCTCGAGATGAGAGCTGATTCCGTGGCTTAGGCTCAAGACGTATGCCAACTTTCCAGAAGCAACTCAGGAGGAGGCTTCTCTCAGCAATGGGTATGTGGGAGGGACCCCGAGTTTGCTGCCTCAAGGGGAACATACAGCGAGAAGCCCTAAGTTGAAAGGAGGCCGGATTTCCTTGCAGTGGCTTGAATACAGGCCCGTCTTTCATCTCACAACATGAAGGGATGTCTGAATCCCCTGTGGAGACCTTAGAGAAAGCCCTAGGTCCCTGCCTCATTTTGACGGAATGCCTCACATCCCGCTGACACCTCAAGAGGCACGCGGAGTTCACTGCTTCAAAAGGTGACGATGCCTGACTCCTCTTGAATACTGATAGGAATCCCAAAATCCCTGTGAGTTCTTGAAAGGGTTCTTGGGTGCCCTGCCTCACCTCGAGAAGCGTCCCTTTTGCCCTGCCAAGACTCGAAGAGATTCCTGAGGTGTCCCGCGTTACTAGACAGGAGTCCTGACGTCACTGAAGAAACTCGTGTTTTGAAGGGCCATCCCCGCCGTAAGTCGAGAACATACCATAGGTACCCGCCGCAACTCGAGAAAAACCACAAGACTTCCCTCTAGAGGCGAGATGAGGCCCCATTCCCCTGCAGTGCATGCAGAGCTACTCCGTGATCCCATTCAAACAAGTCAGGAGCTTCGACTTGCTTAATGGATCTCGAGACAGTCCCCAAGAACACTGTCACCAGTCTAGACGGACCCTGAGGTCACCCCAGCAGCGCAGAGCAGCTCCATGTGCCCCAAATCAACTCGAGATGAGGCCCGATTCCCGTGCATTGACTCCAGAGCCATTCCCCGTTCCCCATTCAACACGACCGGTGGCTCGACTTCCTTCAGGCCACTGCAGAGATGCCCGGAGCACACTCTCCCAAGTCTAGAGGAACACCAACTTCAGCACAGCAACTCGAGGAATGCTCCGTGTACCCCAAATCGTCTCGAGATGAGAGCTGATTCCCTGGCTTAGGCTCAAGACGTATGCCAACTTTCCAGAAGCACCTCAGGAGGAGGCTTCTCTCAGCAATAGGTATGTGGGAGGGACCCCGAGTTTGCTGCCTCAAGGGGAACATACAGCGAGAAGCCCTAACTTGAAAGGAGGCCGGATTTCCTTGCAGTGGCTTGAATACAGGCCCGTCTTTCATCTCACAACATGAAGGGATGTCTGAATCCCCTTGGAGAACTTAGAGAAAGCCCTAGGCCCTGCCTCATTTTGACGGAATGCCTCACATCCCGCTGACACCTCGAGAGGCACACGGAGTTCATTGCTTCAAAAGGTGACGATGCCTGAATCCTCTTGAATAGTGATAGGAATCCCAAAATCCCTGTAGCTACTGGAAAGGGTCCTTGGGTGCCCTGCCTCACCTCGAGAAGCGTCCCGTTTGCCCTGCCAAGCCTCGAAGAGATTCCTGAGGTGTCCTTCGTTACTAGACAGGAGTCCTGACGTCACTGAAGAAACTCGTGTTTTGAAGGGCCATCCCCGCCTTAAGTCGAGAACATACACCAGGTCCCCGCCGCAACTCGAGAAAAACCATGAGACTTACCCCTAGAGGCGAGATGAGGCCCCATTCCCCTGCAGTGCATGCAGAGCTATTCCGTGATCCCATTCAAACAAGTCAGGAGCTTCGACTTGCTTAATGGATCTCGAGACAGTCCCCAAGAACACTGTCACCAGTCTAGACGGACCCTGAGGTCACCCCAGCAGCGCAGAGCAGCTCCATGTGGCCCAAATCAACTCGAGATGAGGCCCGATTCCCCTGCATTGACTCCAGAGCCATTCCCCGTTCCCCATTCAACACGACCGGTGGCTCGACTTACTTCAGGCCAATGCAGAGATGCCCCGAGCACACTGTCCCAAGTCTAGAGGAACACCAACTTCAGCACAGCAACTCGAGGAATGCTCCGTGTACCCCAAATCGTCTCGAGATGAGAGCTGATTCCGTGGCTTAGGCTCAAGACGTATGCCAACTTTCCAGAAGCAACTCAGGAGGAGGCTTCTCTCAGCAATGGGTATGTGGGAGGGACCCCGAGTTTGCTGCCTCAAGGGGAACATACAGCGAGAAGCCCTAAGTTGAAAGGAGGCCGGATTTCCTTGCAGTGGCTTGAATACAGGCCCGTCTTTCATCTCACAACATGAAGGGATGTCTGAATCCCCTGTGGAGACCTTAGAGAAAGCCCTAGGTCCCTGCCTCATTTTGACGGAATGCCTCACATCCCGCTGACACCTCAAGAGGCACGCGGAGTTCATTGCTTCAAAAGGTGACGATGCCTGACTCCTCTTGAATACTGATAGGAATCCCAAAATCCCTGTGAGTTCTTGAAAGGGTTCTTGGGTGCCCTGCCTCACCTCGAGAAGCGTCCCTTTTGCCCTGCCAAGCCTCGAAGAGATTCCTGAGGTGTCCCGCGTTACTAGACAGGAGTCCTGACGTCACTGAAGAAACTCGTGTTTTGAAGGGCCATCCCCGCCGTAAGTCGAGAACATACCCTAGGTCCCCGCCGCAACTCGAGAAAAACCACAAGACTTCCCTCTAGAGGCGAGATGAGGCCCCATTCCCCTGCAGTGCATGCAGAGCTACTCCGTGATCCCATTCAAACAAGTCAGGAGCTTCGACTTGCTTAATGGATCTCGAGACAGTCCCCAAGAACACTGTCACCAGTCTAGACGGACCCTGAGGTCACCCCAGCAGCGCAGAGCAGCTCCATGTGCCCCAAATCAACTCGAGATGAGGCCCGATTCCCCTGCATTGACTCCAGAGCCATTCCCCGTTCCCCATTCAACACGACCGGTGGCTCGACTTCCTTCAGGCCACTGCAGAGATGCCCCGAGCACACTCTCCCAAGTCTAGAGGAACACCAACTTCAGCACAGCAACTCGAGGAATGCTCCGTGTACCCCAAATCGTCTCGAGATGAGAGCTGATTCCCTGGCTTAGGCTCAAGACGTATGCCAACTTTCCAGAAGCACCTCAGGAGGAGGCTTCTCTCAGCAATAGGTATGTGGGAGGGACCCCGAGTTTGCTGCCTCAAGGGGAACATACAGCGAGAAGCCCTAACTTGAAAGGAGGCCGGATTTCCTTGCAGTGGCTTGAATACAGGCCCGTCTTTCATCTCACAACATGAAGGGATGTCTGAATCCCCTTGGAGAACTTAGAGAAAGCCCTAGGTCCCTGCCTCATTTTGACGGAATGCCTCACATCCCGCTGACACCTCGAGAGGCACACGGAGTTCATTGCTTCAAAAGGTGACGATGCCTGAATCCTCTTGAATAGTGATAGGAATCCCAAAATCCCTGTAGCTACTGGAAAGGGTCCTTGGGTGCCCTGCCTCACCTCGAGAAGCGTCCCGTTTGCCCTGCCAAGCCTCGAAGAGATTCCTGAGGTGTCCTTCGTTACTAGACAGGAGTCCTGACGTCACTGAAGAAACTCGTGTTTTGAAGGGCCATCCCCGCCTTAAGTCGAGAACATACACCAGGTCCCCGCCGCAACTCGAGAAAAACCATGAGACTTACCCCTAGAGGCGAGATGAGGCCCCATTCCCCTGCAGTGCATGCAGAGCTATTCCGTGATCCCATTCAAACAAGTCAGGAGCTTCGACTTGCTTAATGGATCTCGAGACAGTCCCCAAGAACACTGTCACCAGTCTAGACGGACCCTGAGGTCACCCCAGCAGCGCAGAGCAGCTCCATGTGGCCCAAATCAACTCGAGATGAGGCCCGATTCCCCTGCATTGACTCCAGAGCCATTCCCCGTTCCCCATTCAACACGACCGGTGGCTCGACTTACTTCAGGCCAATGCAGAGATGCCCCGAGCACACTGTCCCAAGTCTAGAGGAACACCAACTTCAGCACAGCAACTCGAGGAATGCTCCGTGTACCCCAAATCGTCTCGAGATGAGAGCTGATTCCGTGGCTTAGGCTCAAGACGTATGCCAACTTTCCAGAAGCAACTCAGGAGGAGGCTTCTCTCAGCAATGGGTATGTGGGAGGGACCCCGAGTTTGCTGCCTCAAGGGGAACATACAGCGAGAAGCCCTAAGTTGAAAGGAGGCCGGATTTCCTTGCAGTGGCTTGAATACAGGCCCGTCTTTCATCTCACAACATGAAGGGATGTCTGAATCCCCTGTGGAGACCTTAGAGAAAGCCCTAGGTCCCTGCCTCATTTTGACGGAATGCCTCACATCCCGCTGACACCTCAAGAGGCACGCGGAGTTCATTGCTTCAAAAGGTGACGATGCCTGACTCCTCTTGAATACTGATAGGAATCCCAAAATCCCTGTGAGTTCTTGAAAGGGTTCTTGGGTGCCCTGCCTCACCTCGAGAAGCGTCCCTTTTGCCCTGCCAAGCCTCGAAGAGATTCCTGAGGTGTCCCGCGTTACTAGACAGGAGTCCTGACGTCACTGAAGAAACTCGTGTTTTGAAGGGCCATCCCCGCCGTAAGTCGAGAACATACCCTAGGTCCCCGCCGCAACTCGAGAAAAACCACAAGACTTCCCTCTAGAGGCGAGATGAGGCCCCATTCCCCTGCAGTGCATGCAGAGCTACTCCGTGATCCCATTCAAACAAGTCAGGAGCTTCGACTTGCTTAATGGATCTCGAGACAGTCCCCAAGAACACTGTCACCAGTCTAGACGGACCCTGAGGTCACCCCAGCAGCGCAGAGCAGCTCCATGTGGCCCAAATCAACTCGAGATGAGGCCCGATTCCCGTGCATTGACTCCAGAGCCATTCCCCGTTCCCCATTCAACACGACCGGTGGCTCGACTTCCTTCAGGCCACTGCAGAGATGCCCCGAGCACACTCTCCCAAGTCTAGAGGAACACCAACTTCAGCACAGCAACTCGAGGAATGCTCCGTGTACCCCAAATCGTCTCGAGATGAGAGCTGATTCCCTGGCTTAGGCTCAAGACGTATGCCAACTTTCCAGAAGCACCTCAGGAGGAGGCTTCTCTCAGCAATAGGTATGTGGGAGGGACCCCGAGTTTGCTGCCTCAAGGGGAACATACAGCGAGAAGCCCTAACTTGAAAGGAGGCCGGATTTCCTTGCAGTGGCTTGAATACAGGCCCGTCTTTCATCTCACAACATGAAGGGATGTCTGAATCCCCTTGGAGAACTTAGAGAAAGCCCTAGGCCCTGCCTCATTTTGACGGAATGCCTCACATCCCGCTGACACCTCGAGAGGCACACGGAGTTCATTGCTTCAAAAGGTGACGATGCCTGAATCCTCTTGAATAGTGATAGGAATCCCAAAATCCCTGTAGCTACTGGAAAGGGTCCTTGGGTGCCCTGCCTCACCTCGAGAAGCGTCCCGTTTGCCCTGCCAAGCCTCGAAGAGATTCCTGAGGTGTCCTTCGTTACTAGACAGGAGTCCTGACGTCACTGAAGAAACTCGTGTTTTGAAGGGCCATCCCCGCCTTAAGTCGAGAACATACACCAGGTCCCCGCCGCAACTCGAGAAAAACCATGAGACTTACCCCTAGAGGCGAGATGAGGCCCCATTCCCCTGCAGTGCATGCAGAGCTATTCCGTGATCCCATTCAAACAAGTCAGGAGCTTCGACTTGCTTAATGGATCTCGAGACAGTCCCCAAGAACACTGTCACCAGTCTAGACGGACCCTGAGGTCACCCCAGCAGCGCAGAGCAGCTCCATGTGGCCCAAATCAACTCGAGATGAGGCCCGATTCCCCTGCATTGACTCCAGAGCCATTCCCCGTTCCCCATTCAACACGACCGGTGGCTCGACTTACTTCAGTCCAATGCAGAGATGCCCCGAGCACACTGTCCCAAGTCTAGAGGAACACCAACTTCAGCACAGCAACTCGAGGAATGCTCCGTGTACCCCAAATCGTCTCGAGATGAGAGCTGATTCCGTGGCTTAGGCTCAAGACGTATGCCAACTTTCCAGAAGCAACTCAGGAGGAGGCTTCTCTCAGCAATGGGTATGTGGGAGGGACCCCGAGTTTGCTGCCTCAAGGGGAACATACAGCGAGAAGCCCTAAGTTGAAAGGAGGCCGGATTTCCTTGCAGTGGCTTGAATACAGGCCCGTCTTTCATCTCACAACATGAAGGGATGTCTGAATCCCCTGTGGAGACCTTAGAGAAAGCCCTAGGTCCCTGCCTCATTTTGACGGAATGCCTCACATCCCGCTGACACCTCAAGAGGCACGCGGAGTTCATTGCTTCAAAAGGTGACGATGCCTGACTCCTCTTGAATACTGATAGGAATCCCAAAATCCCTGTGAGTTCTTGAAAGGGTTCTTGGGTGCCCTGCCTCACCTCGAGAAGCGTCCCTTTTGCCCTGCCAAGCCTCGAAGAGATTCCTGAGGTGTCCCGCGTTACTAGACAGGAGTCCTGACGTCACTGAAGAAACTCGTGTTTTGAAGGGCCATCCCCGCCGTAAGTCGAGAACATACCCTAGGTCCCCGCCGCAACTCGAGAAAAACCACAAGACTTCCCTCTAGAGGCGAGATGAGGCCCCATTCCCCTGCAGTGCATGCAGAGCTACTCCGTGATCCCATTCAAACAAGTCAGGAGCTTCGACTTGCTTAATGGATCTCGAGACAGTCCCCAAGAACACTGTCACCAGTCTAGACGGACCCTGAGGTCACCCCAGCAGCGCAGAGCAGCTCCATGTGGCCCAAATCAACTCGAGATGAGGCCCGATTCCCCTGCATTGACTCCAGAGCCATTCCCCGTTCCCCATTCAACACGACCGGTGGCTCGACTTCCTTCAGGCCACTGCAGAGATGCCCCGAGCACACTCTCCCAAGTCTAGAGGAACACCAACTTCAGCACAGCAACTCGAGGAATGCTCCGTGTACCCCAAATCGTCTCGAGATGAGAGCTGATTCCGGGGCTTAGGCTCAAGACGTATGCCAACTTTCCAGAAGCAACTCAGGAGGAGGCTTCTCTCAGCAATGGGTATGTGGGAGGGACCCCGAGTTTGCTGCCTCAAGGGGAACATACAGCGAGAAGCCCTAAGTTGAAAGGAGGCCGGATTTCCTTGCAGTGGCTTGAATACAGGCCCGTCTTTCATCTCACAACATGAAGGGATGTCTGAATCCCCTGTGGAGACCTTAGAGAAAGCCCTAGGTCCCTGCCTCATTTTGACGGAATGCCTCACATCCCTCTGACACCTCAAGAGGCACGCGGAGTTCATTGCTTCAAAAGGTGACGATGCCTGACTCCTCTTGAATACTGATAGGAATCCCAAAATCCCTGTGAGTTCTTGAAAGGGTTCTTGGGTGCCCTGCCTCACCTCGAGAAGCGTCCCTTTTGCCCTGCCAAGCCTCGAAGAGATTCCTGAGGTGTCCCGCGTTACTAGACAGGAGTCCTGACGTCACTGAAGAAACTCGTGTTTTGAAGGGCCATCCCCGCCGTAAGTCGAGAACATACCCTAGGTCCCCGCCGCAACTCGAGAAAAACCACAAGACTTCCCTCTAGAGGCGAGATGAGGCCCCATTCCCCTGCAGTGCATGCAGAGCTACTCCGTGATCCCATTCAAACAAGTCAGGAGCTTCGACTTGCTTAATGGATCTCGAGACAGTCCCCAAGAACACTGTCACCAGTCTAGACCGACCCTGAGGTCACCCCAGCAGCGCAGAGCAGCTCCATGTGCCCCAAATCAACTCGAGATGAGGCCCGATTCCCGTGCATTGACTCCAGAGCCATTCCCCGTTCCCCATTCAACACGACCGGTGGCTCGACTTCCTTCAGGCCACTGCAGAGATGCCCCGAGCACACTCTCCCAAGTCTAGAGGAACACCAACTTCAGCACAGCAACTCGAGGAATGCTCCGTGTACCCCAAATCGTCTCGAGATGAGAGCTGATTCCCTGGCTTAGGCTCAAGACGTATGCCAACTTTCCAGAAGCACCTCAGGAGGAGGCTTCTCTCAGCAATAGGTATGTGGGAGGGACCCCGAGTTTGCTGCCTCAAGGGGAACATACAGCGAGAAGCCCTAACTTGAAAGGAGGCCGGATTTCCTTGCAGTGGCTTGAATACAGGCCCGTCTTTCATCTCACAACATGAAGGGATGTCTGAATCCCCTTGGAGAACTTAGAGAAAGCCCTAGGCCCTGCCTCATTTTGACGGAATGCCTCACATCCCGCTGACACCTCGAGAGGCACACGGAGTTCATTGCTTCAAAAGGTGACGATGCCTGAATCCTCTTGAATAGTGATAGGAATCCCAAAATCCCTGTAGCTACTGGAAAGGGTCCTTGGGTGCCCTGCCTCACCTCGAGAAGCGTCCCGTTTGCCCTGCCAAGCCTCGAAGAGATTCCTGAGGTGTCCTTCGTTACTAGACAGGAGTCCTGACGTCACTGAAGAAACTCGTGTTTTGAAGGGCCATCCCCGCCTTAAGTCGAGAACATACACCAGGTCCCCGCCGCAACTCGAGAAAAACCATGAGACTTACCCCTAGAGGCGAGATGAGGCCCCATTCCCCTGCAGTGCATGCAGAGCTATTCCGTGATCCCATTCAAACAAGTCAGGAGCTTCGACTTGCTTAATGGATCTCGAGACAGTCCCCAAGAACACTGTCACCAGTCTAGACGGACCCTGAGGTCACCCCAGCAGCGCAGAGCAGCTCCATGTGGCCCAAATCAACTCGAGATGAGGCCCGATTCCCCTGCATTGACTCCAGAGCCATTCCCCGTTCCCCATTCAACACGACCGGTGGCTCGACTTACTTCAGGCCAATGCAGAGATGCCCCGAGCACACTGTCCCAAGTCTAGAGGAACACCAACTTCAGCACAGCAACTCGAGGAATGCTCCGTGTACCCCAAATCGTCTCGAGATGAGAGCTGATTCCGTGGCTTAGGCTCAAGACGTATGCCAACTTTCCAGAAGCAACTCAGGAGGAGGCTTCTCTCAGCAATGGGTATGTGGGAGGGACCCCGAGTTTGCTGCCTCAAGGGGAACATACAGCGAGAAGCCCTAAGTTGAAAGGAGGCCGGATTTCCTTGCAGTGGCTTGAATACAGGCCCGTCTTTCATCTCACAACATGAAGGGATGTCTGAATCCCCTGTGGAGACCTTAGAGAAAGCCCTAGGTCCCTGCCTCATTTTGACGGAATGCCTCACATACCGCTGACACCTCGAGAGGCACGCGGAGTTCATTGCTTCAAAAGGTGACGATGCCTGACTCCTCTTGAATACTGATAGGAATCCCAAAATCCCTGTGAGTTCTTGAAAGGGTTCTTGGGTGCCCTGCCTCACCTCGAGAAGCGTCCCTTTTGCCCTGCCAAGCCTCGAAGAGATTCCTGAGGTGTCCCGCGTTACTAGACAGGAGTCCTGACGTCACTGAAGAAACTCGTGTTTTGAAGGGCCATCCCCGCCGTAAGTCGAGAACATACCCTAGGTCCCCGCCGCAACTCGAGAAAAACCACAAGACTTCCCTCTAGAGGCGAGATGAGGCCCCATTCCCCTGCAGTGCATGCAGAGCTACTCCGTGATCCCATTCAAACAAGTCAGGAGCTTCGACTTGCTTAATGGATCTCGAGACAGTCCCCAAGAACACTGTCACCAGTCTAGACGGACCCTGAGGTCACCCCAGCAGCGCAGAGCAGCTCCATGTGCCCCAAATCAACTCGAGATGAGGCCCGATTCCCGTGCATTGACTCCAGAGCCATTCCCCGTTCCCCATTCAACACGACCGGTGGCTCGACTTCCTTCAGGCCACTGCAGAGATGCCCCGAGCACACTCTCCCAAGTCTAGAGGAACACCAACTTCAGCACAGCAACTCGAGGAATGCTCCGTGTACCCCAAATCGTCTCGAGATGAGAGGTGATTCCCTGGCTTAGGCTCAAGACGTATGCCAACTTTCCAGAAGCACCTCAGGAGGAGGCTTCTCTCAGCAATAGGTATGTGGGAGGGACCCCGAGTTTGCTGCCTCAAGGGGAACATACAGCGAGAAGCCCTAACTTGAAAGGAGGCCGGATTTCCTTGCAGTGGCTTGCATACAGGCCCGTCTTTCATCTCACAACATGAAGGGATGTCTGAATCCCCTTGGAGAACTTAGAGAAAGCCCTAGGCCCTGCCTCATTTTGACGGAATGCCTCACATCCCGCTGACACCTCGAGAGGCACACGGAGTTCATTGCTTCAAAAGGTGACGATGCCTGAATCCTCTTGAATAGTGATAGGAATCCCAGAATCCCTGTAGCTACTGGAAAGGGTCCTTGGGTGCCCTGCCTCACCTCGAGAAGCGTCCCGTTTGCCCTGCCAAGCCTCGAAGAGATTCCTGAGGTGTCCTTCGTTACTAGACAGGAGTCCTGACGTCACTGAAGGAACTCGTGTTTTGAAGGGCCATCCCCGCCTTAAGTCGAGAACATACACCAGGTCCCCGCCGCAACTCGAGAAAAACCATGAGACTTACCCCTAGAGGCGAGATGAGGCCCCATTCCCCTGCAGTGCATGCAGAGCTATTCCGTGATCCCATTCAAACAAGTCAGGAGCTTCGACTTGCTTAATGGATCTCGAGACAGTCCCCAAGAACACTGTCACCAGTCTAGACGGACCCTGAGGTCACCCCAGCAGCGCAGAGCAGATCCATGTGGCCCAAATCAACTCGAGATGAGGCCCGATTCCCCTGCATTGACTCCAGAGCCATTCCCCGTTCCCCATTCAACACGACCGGTGGCTCGACTTACTTCAGGCCAATGCAGAGATGCCCCGAGCACACTGTCCCAAGTCTAGAGGAACACCAACTTCAGCACAGCAACTCGAGGAATGCTCCGTGTACCCCAAATCGTCTCGAGATGAGAGCTGATTCCGTGGCTTAGGCTCAAGACGTATGCCAACTTTCCAGAAGCAACTCAGGAGGAGGCTTCTCTCAGCAATGGGTATGTGGGAGGGACCCCGAGTTTGCTGCCTCAAGGGGAACATACAGCGAGAAGCCCTAAGTTGAAAGGAGGCCGGATTTCCTTGCAGTGGCTTGAATACAGGCCCGTCTTTCATCTCACAACATGAAGGGATGTCTGAATCCCCTGTGGAGACCTTAGAGAAAGCCCTAGGTCCCTGCCTCATTTTGACGGAATGCCTCACATCCCGCTGACACCTCAAGAGGCACGCGGAGTTCATTGCTTCAAAAGGTGACGATGCCTGACTCCTCTTGAATACTGATAGGAATCCCAAAATCCCTGTGAGTTCTTGAAAGGGTTCTTGGGTGCCCTGCCTCACCTCGAGAAGCGTCCCTTTTGCCCTGCCAAGCCTCGAAGAGATTGCTGAGGTGTCCCGCGTTACTAGACAGGAGTCCTGACGTCACTGAAGAAACTCGTGTTTTGAAGGGCCATCCCCGCCATAAGTCGAGAACATATCCCGGGTCCCCGCCACAACTCGAGAAAAAACATGACACTTCCCCCTAGAGGCGAGATGAGGCCCCATTCCCCTGCAGTGCATACAGAGCTATTCCGTGATCCCATTCAAACAAGTCAGGAGCTTCGACTTGCTTAATGGATCTCGAGACAGTCCCCAAGAACACTGTCACCAGTCTAGACGGACCCTGAGGTTACCCCAGCAACGCAAAGCAGCTCCATGTGCCCCAAATCAACTCGAGATGAGGCCCGATTCCCCTGCATTGACTCCAGAGCCATTCCCCGTTACCCATTCAACACGACAGGTGGCTCGACTTCCTTCAGGCAACTCCAGAGATGCCCCGAGAACACTGTCCCAAGTCTAGAGGAACAACAACTTCAGCACAACAACTCGAGGAATGCTCCGTGTACCCCAAATCGTCTCGAGATGAGAGCTGATTCCCTGGCTTAGGCTCAAGACATATGCCAACTTTCCAGAAGCACCTCAGGAGGAGGCTTCTCTCAGCAATAGGTATGTGTGAGGGACCACGAGTGTGCTGCCTCAAGGGGAATATACAGCGAGAAGCCCTAACTTGAAAGGAGGCCGGATTTCCTTGCAGTGGCTTGAATACAGGCCCGTCTTTCATCTCACAACATGAAGGGATGTCTGAATCCCCTGTGGAGACATTAGAGAAAGCCCTAGGTCCCTGCCTCATTTTGACGGAATGCTTCACATCCCGCTGACACCTCGAGAGGCACGCGGAGTTCATTGCTTCAAAAGGTGACGATGCCTGACTCCTTTTGAATACTGATAGGAATCCCAAAATCCCTGTATCTTCTGGAAAGGGTTCTTGGGTGCCCTGCCTCACCTCGAGAAGCGTCCCTTTTGCCCTGCCAAGCCTCGAAGAGATTCCTGAGGTGTCCCGCGTTACTAGACAGGAGTCCTGACGTCACTGAAGAAACTCGTGTTTTGAAGGGCCATCCCCGCCGTAAGTCGAGAACATACCCCAGGTCCCCGCCGCAACTCGAGAAAAACCATGAGACTTCCCTCTAGAGGCGAGCTGAGGCCCCATTCCCCTGCAGTGCATGCAGAGCTACTCCGTGATCCCATTCAAACAAGTCAGGAGCTTCGACATGCTTAATGGATCTCGAGACAGTCCCCAAGAACACTGTCACCAGTCTAGACGGACCCTGAGGTCACCCCAGCAAAGCAAAGCAGCTCTATGTGCCCCAAATCAACTCGAGATGAGGCCCGATTCCCCTGCATTGACTCCAGAGCCTTTCCCCGTTCCCCATTCAACACGACCGGTGGCTCGACTTCCTTCAGTCCACTCCAGAGATACCCCGAGAACACTGTCCCAAGTCTAGAGGAACACCAACTTCAGCACAGCAACTCGAGGAATGCTCCATGTACCCCAAATCGCATCGAGATGAGAGCTGATTCCCTGGCTTAGGCTCAAGACGTATGCCAACTTTCCAGAAGCACCTCAGGAGGAGGCTTCTCTCAGCAATAGGTATGTGGAGGGACCCCGAGTTTGCTGCCTCAAGGGGAATATACAGCGAGAAGCCCTAACTTGAAAGGAGGCCGGATTTCCTTGCAGTGGCTTGAATACAGGCCCTTCTTTCATCTCACAACATGAAGGGATGTCTGAATCCCCTGTGGAGACCTTAGAGAAAGCCCTAGGTCCCTGCCTCATTTTGACGGAATGCCTCACATCCCGCTGACACCTCAAGAGGCACACGGAGTTCATTGCTTCAAAACGTGACGATGCCTGACTCCTCTTGAATACTGATAGGAATCCCAAAATCCCTGTTGCTACTGGAAAGGGTCCTTGGGTGCCCTGCCTCACCTCGAGAAGCTTCCCTTTTGCCCTGCCAAGCCTCGAAGAGATTCCTGAGGTGTCCCTCGTTACTAGACAGGAGTCCTGACGTCACTGAAGAAACTCGTGTTTTGAAGGGCCATCCCCGCCGTAAGTCGAGAACATACCCCAGGTCCCCGCCGCAACTCGAGAAAAAACATGAGACTTCCCCCTAGAGGCGAGATGAGGCCCCATTCCCCTGCAGTGCATGCAGAGCTATTCCGTGATCCCATTCAAACAAGTCAGGAGCTTCGACTTGCTTAATGGATCTCGAGACAGTCCCCAAGAACACTGTCACCAGTCTAGACGGACCCTGAGGTCACCCCAGCAACGCAAAGCAGCTCATGTGCCCCAAATCAATTCGAGATGAGGCCCGATTCCCCTGCATTGACTCCAGAGCCATTCCCCATTCCCCATTCAACACGACCGGTGGCTCGACTTCCTTCAGGCAACTCCAGAAATGCCCCGAGAACACTGTCCCAAGTCTAGAGGAACAACAACTTCAGCACAACAACTCGAGGAATACTCCGTGTACCCCAAATCGTCTCGAGATGAGAGCTGATTCCCTGGCTTAGGCTCAAGACATATGCCAACTTTCCAGAAACACCTCAGGAGAAGGCTTCTCTCAGCAATAGGTATGTGGGAGGGATCACGAGTAGGCTGCCTCAAGGGGAATATACAGCGAGAAGCCCTAACTTGAAAGGAGGCCGGATTTCCTTGCAGTGGCTTGAATACAGGCCCGTCTTTCATCTCACAACATGAAGGGATGTCTGAATCCCCTGTGGAGACCTTAGAGAAAGCCCTAGGTCCCTGCCTCATTTTGACGGAATTCCTCACATCCCGCTGACACCTCGACAGGCACACGGAGTTCATTGCTTCAAAATGTGACGATGCCTGACTCCTCTTGAATACTGATAGGAATCCCAAAATCCCTGTGGCTACTGGAAAGGGTCCTTGGGTGCCCTGCCTCACCTCGAGAAGCGTCCCTTTTGCCCTGACAAGCCTCGAAGAGATTCCTGAGGTGTCCCGCATTACTAGACAGGAGTCCTGACGTCACTGAAGAAACTCGTGTTTTGAAGGGCCATCCCCGCCGTAATTCGAGAACATACCCCAGGTCCCCGCCGCAACTCGAGAAAAACCATGAGACTTCCCTCTAGAGGCAAGATGAGGCCCCATTCCCCTGCAGTGCATGCAGAGCTACTCCGTGATCCCATTCAAACAAGTCAGGAGCTTCGACTTGCTTAATGGATCTCGAGACAGTCCCCAAGAACACTGTCACCAGTCTAGACGGACCGTGAGGTCACCCCAGCAAAGCAAAGCAGCTCTATGTGCCCCAAATCAACTCAAGATGAGGCCCGATTCCCCTGCATTGACGCCAGAGCCTTTCCCCGTTCCCCATTCAACACGACCGGTGGCTCGACTTCCTTCAGGCCACTCCAGCGATACCCCGAGAACACTGTCCCAAGTCTAGAGGAACACCAACTTCAGCACAACAACTCGAGGAATGCTCCGTGTACCCCAAATCGTCTCGAGATGAGAGCTGATTCCCTGGCTTAGGCTCAAGACCTATCCCAACTTTCCAGAAGCACCTCAGGAGGAGGCTTCTCTCAGCAATAGGTATGTGGGAGGGACCCCGAGTTTCCTGCCTCAAGGGGAACATACAGCGAGAAGCCCTAACTTGAAAGGAGGCCGGATTTCCTTGCAGTGGCTTGAATACAGGCCCGTCTTTCATCTCACAACATGAAGGGATGTCTGAATCCCCTTGGAGAACTTAGAGAAAGCCCTAGGCCCTGCCTCATTTTGACGGAATGCCTCACATCCCGCTGACACCTCGAGAGGCACACGGAGTTCATTGCTTCAAAAGGTGACGATGCCTGAATCCTCTTGAATAGTGATAGGAATCCCAAAATCCCTGTGGCTACTGGAAAGGGTCCTTGGGTGCCCTGCCTCACCTCGAGAAGCGTCCCTTTTGCCCTGCCAAGCCTCGAAGATATTCCTGAGGTGTCCCTCGTTACTAGACAGGAGTCCTGACGTCACTGAAGAAACTCGTGTTTTGAAGGGCCATCCCCGCCGTAAGTCGAGAACATACCCCAGGTCCCCGCCGCAACTCGAGAAAAACCATGAGACTTCCCCCTAGAGGCGAGATGAGGCCCCATTCCCCTGCAGTGCATGCAGAGCTATTCCGTGATCCCATTCAAACAAGTCAGGAGCTTCGACTTGCTTAATGGATCTCGAGACAGTCCCCAAGAACACTGTCACCAGTCTAGACGGACCCTGAGGTCACCCCAGCAAGGCAAAGCAGCTCCATGTGCCCCAAATGAACTCGAGATGAGGCCCGATTCCCCTGCATTGACTCCAGAGCCATTCCCCGTTCCCCATTCAACACGACCGGTGGCTCGACTTCCTTCAGGCCACTCCAGAGATGCCCCGAGCACACTGTCCCAAGTCTAGAGGAACACCAACTTCAGCACAGCAACTCGAGGAATGCTCCGTGTACCCCAAATCGTCTCGAGATGAGAGCTGATTACCTGGCTTAGGCTCAAGACGTATGCCAACTTTCCAGAAGCACCTCAGGAGGAGGCTTCTCTCAGCAATAGGTATGTGGGAGGGACCCCGAGTTTGCTGCCTCAAGGGGAATATACAGCGAGAAGCCCTAACTTGAAAGGAGGCCGGATTTCCTAGCGGTGGCTTGAATACAGGCCCGTCTTTCATCTCACAACATGAAGGGATGTCTGAATCCCCTGTGGAGACCTTAGAGAAAGCCCTAGGTCCCTGCCTCATTTTGACGGAATGCCTTACATCCCTCTGACACCTCGAGAGGCACACGGAGTTCATTGCTTCAAAAGGTGACGATGCCTGACTCCTCCTGAATACTGATAGGAATCCCAAAATCCCTGTGGCTACTGGAAAGGGTCCTTGGGTGCCCTGCCTCACCTCGAGAAGCATCCCTTTTGCCCTGCCAAGCCTCGAAGAGATTCCTGAGGTGTCCCTCGTTACTAGACAGGAGTCCTGACGTCACTGAAGAAACTCGTGTTTTGAAGGGCCATCCCCGCCGTAAGTCGAGAACATACCCCAGGTCCCCGCCGCAACTCGAGAAAAACCATGAGACTTCCCCCTACAGGCGAGATGAGGCCCCATTCCCCTGCAGTGCATGCAGAGCTATTCCGTGATCCCATTCAAACAAGTCAGGAGCTTCGACTTGCTTAATGGATCTCGAGACAGTCCCCAAGAACACTGTCACCAGTCTAGACGGACCCTGAGGTCACCCCAGCAGCGCAGAGCAGCTCCATGTGCCCCAAATCAACTCGAGATGAGGCCCGATTCCCCTGCATTGACTCCAGAGCCATTTCCCGTTCCCCATTCAACACGACCGGTGGCTCGACTTCCTTCAGGCCACTGCAGAGATGCCCCGAGCACACTCTCCCAAGTCTAGAGGAACACCAACTTCAGCACAGCAACTCGAGGAATGCTCCGTGTACCCCAAATCGTCTCGAGATGAGAGCTGATTCCGTGGCTTAGGCTCAAGACGTATGCCAACTTTCCAGAAGCAACTCAGGAGGAGGCTTCTCTCAGCAATGGGTATGTGGGAGGGACCCCGAGTTTGCTGCCTCAAGGGGAACATACAGCGAGAAGCCCTAAGTTGAAAGGAGGCCGGATTTCCTTGCAGTGGCTTGAATACAGGCCCGTCTTTCATCTCACAACATGAAGGGATGTCTGAATCCCCTGTGGAGACCTTAGAGAAAGCCCTAGGTCCCTGCCTCATTTTGACGGAATGCCTCACATCCCTCTGACACCTCAAGAGGCACGCGGAGTTCATTGCTTCAAAAGGTGACGATGCCTGACTCCTCTTGAATACTGATAGGAATCCCAAAATCCCTGTGAGTTCTTGAAAGGGTTCTTGGGTGCCCTGCCTCACCTCGAGAAGCGTCCCTTTTGCCCTGCCAAGCCTCGAAGAGATTCCTGAGGTGTCCCGCGTTACTAGACAGGAGTCCTGACGTCACTGAAGAAACTCGTGTTTTGAAGGGCCATCCCCGCCGTAAGTCGAGAACATACCCTAGGTCCCCGCCGCAACTCGAGAAAAACCACAAGACTTCCCTCTAGAGGCGAGATGAGGCCCCATTCCCCTGCAGTGCATGCAGAGCTACTCCGTGATCCCATTCAAACAAGTCAGGAGCTTCGACTTGCTTAATGGATCTCGAGACAGTCCCCAAGAACACTGTCACCAGTCTAGACCGACCCTGAGGTCACCCCAGCAGCGCAAAGCAGCTCCATGTGCCCCAAATCAACTCGAGATGAGGCCCGATTCCCCTGCATTGACTCCAGAGCCATTCCCCGTTCCCCATTCAACACGACCGGTGGCTCGACTTCCTTCAGGCCACTCCAGAGATGCCCCGAGCACACTCTCCCAAGTCTAGAGGAACACCAACTTCAGCACAGCAACTCGAGGAATGCTCCGTGTACCCCAAATCGTCTCGAGATGAGAGCTGATTCCCTGGCTTAGGCTCAAGACGTATGCCAACTTTCCAGAAGCACCTCAGGAGGAGGCTTCTCTCAGCAATAGGTATGTGGGAGGGACCCCGAGTTTGCTGCCTCAAGGGGAACATACAGCGAGAAGCCCTAACTTGAAAGGAGGCCGGATTTCCTTGCAGTGGCTTGAATACAGGCCCGTCTTTCATCTCACAACATGAAGGGATGTCTGAATCCCCTTGGAGAACTTAGAGAAAGCCCTAGGTCCCTGCCTCATTTTGACGGAATGCCTCACATCCCGCTGACACCTCGAGAGGCACACGGAGTTCATTGCTTCAAAAGGTGACGATGCCTGAATCCTCTTGAATAGTGATAGGAATCCCAAAATCCCTGTAGCTACTGGAAAGGGTCCTTGGGTGCCCTGCCTCACCTCGAGAATCGTCCCGTTTGCCCTGCCAAGCCTCGAAGAGATTCCTGAGGTGTCCTTCGTTACTAGACAGGAGTCCTGACGTCACTGAAGAAACTCGTGTTTTGAAGGGCCATCCCCGCCGTAAGTCGAGAACATACCCCAGGTCCCCGCCGCAACTCGAGAAAAACCATGAGACTTACCCCTAGAGGCGAGATGAGGCCCCATTCCCCTGCAGTGCATGCAGAGCTATTCCGTGATCCCATTCAAACAAGTCAGGAGCTTCGACTTGCTTAATGGATCTCGAGACAGTCCCCAAGAACACTGTCACCAGTCTAGACGGACCCTGAGGTCACCCCAGCAGCGCAGAGCAGCTCCATGTGGCCCAAATCAACTCGAGATGAGGCCCGATTCCCCTGCATTGACTCCAGAGCCATTCCCCGTTCCCCATTCAACACGACCGGTGGCTCGACTTACTTCAGGCCAATGCAGAGATGCCCCGAGCACACTGTCCCAAGTCTAGAGGAACACCAACTTCAGCACAGCAACTCGAGGAATGCTCCGTGTACCCCAAATCGTCTCGAGATGAGAGCTGATTCCGTGGCTTAGGCTCAAGACGTATGCCAACTTTCCAGAAGCAACTCAGGAGGAGGCTTCTCTCAGCAATGGGTATGTGGGAGGGACCCCGAGTTTGCTGCCTCAAGGGGAACATACAGCGAGAAGCCCTAAGTTGAAAGGAGGCCGGATTTCCTTGCAGTGGCTTGAATACAGGCCCGTCTTTCATCTCACAACATGAAGGGATGTCTGAATCCCCTGTGGAGACCTTAGAGAAAGCCCTAGGTCCCTGCCTCATTTTGACGGAATGCCTCACATCCCGCTGACACCTCAAGAGGCACGCGGAGTTCATTGCTTCAAAAGGTGACGATGCCTGACTCCTCTTGAATACTGATAGGAATCCCAAAATCCCTGTGAGTTCTTGAAAGGGTCCTTGGATGCCCTGCCTCACCTCGAGAAGCTTCCCTTTTGCCCTGCCAAGCCTCTAAGAGATTCCTGAGGTGTCCCTCGTTACTAGCCAGGAGTCCTGACGTCACTGAAGAAACTCGTGTTTTGAAGGGCCATCCCCGCCGTAAGTCGAGAACATACCCCAGGTCCCCGCCGCAACTCGAGAAAAAACATGAGACTTCCCCCTAGAGGGGAGATGAGGCCCCATTCCCCTGCAGTGCATGCAGAGCTATTCCGTGATCCCATTCAAACAAGTCAGGAGCTTCGACTTGCTTAATGGATCTCGAGACAGTCCCCAAGAACACTGTCACCAGTCTAGACGGACCCTGAGGTCACCTAGCAGCGCAGAGCAGCTCCATGTGCCGCAAATCAACTCGAGATGAGGCCCGATTCCCCTGCATTGACTCCAGAGCCATTCCCCGTTCCCCATTCAACGCGACCGGTGGCCCGACTTCCTTCAGGCCACTGCAGAGATGCCCCGAGCACACTGTCCCAAGTCTAGAGGAACACCAACTTCAGCACAGCAACTCGAGGAATGCTCCGTGTACCCCAAATCTTCTCGAGATGAGAGCTGATTCCCTGGCTTAGGCTCAAGACGTATGCCAACTTTCCAGAAGCACCTCAGGAGGAGGCTTCTCTCAGCAATAGGTATGTGGGAGGGACCCCGAGTTTGATGCCTCAAGGGGAACATACAGCGAGAAGCCCTAACTTGAAAGGAGGACGGATTTCCTTGCAGTGGCTTGAATACAGGCCCGTCTTTCATCTCACAACATGAAGGGATGTCTGAATCCCCTGTGGAGACATTAGAGAAAGCCCTAGGTCCCTGCCTCATTTTGACGGAAAGCCTCACATCCCGCTGACACCTCGAGAGGCACACGGAGTTCATTGCTTCAAAAGGTGACGATGTCTGACTCTTCTTGAATACTGATAGGAATCCCAAAATCCCTGTGGCTACTGGAAAGGGTCCTTGGGTGCCCTGCCTCACCTCGAGAAGCGTCCCTTTTGCCCTGCCAAGCCTCGAAGAGATTCCTGACGTGTCCCTCGTTACTAAACAGGAGTCCTGACGTCACTGAAGAAACTCGTGTTTTGAAGGGCCATCCCCGCCGTAAGTCGAGAACATTCCCCAGGTCCCCGCCGCAACTCGAGAAAAACCATGAGACTTCCCCCTAGAGGCGAGATGAGGCCCCATTCCCCTGCAGTGCATGCAGAGCTACTCCGTGATCCCATTCAAACAAGTCAGGAGCTTCGACTTGCTTAATGGATCTCGAGAGAGTCCCCAAGAACACTGTCACCAGTCTAGACGGACCCTGAGGTCACCCCAGAAACGCAAAGCAGCTCTATGTGCCCCAAATCAACTCGAGATGAGGCCCGATTCCCCTGCATTGACTCCAGAGCCTTTCCCCGTTCCCCATTCAACACGACCGGTGGCTTGACTTCCTTCAGGCCACTCCAGAGATGCCCCGAGATCACTGTCCCAAGTCTAGAGGAACACCAACTTCAGCACAGCAACTCGAGGAATGCTCCGTGTACCCCAAATCACATCGAGATGAGAGCTGATTCCCTAGCTTAGGCTCAAGACATATGCCAACTTTCCAGAAGCACCTCAGGAGGAGGCTTCTCTCAGCAATAGGTATGTGGGAGGGACCCCGAGTTTGCTGCCTCAAGGGGAATATACAGCGAGAAGCCCTAACTTGAAAGGAGGCCGGATTTCCTTGCAGTGGCTTGAATACAGGCCCGTCTTTCATCTCACAACATGAAGGGATGTCTGAATCCCCTGTGGAGACCTTAGAGAAAGCCCTAGGTGCCTGCCTCATTTTGACGGAATGCCTCACATCCCGCTGACACCTCGAGAGGCACACGGAGTTCATTGCTTCAAAAGGTGACGATGCCTGACTCCTCTTGAATACTGATAGGAATCCCAAAATCCCTGTGGCTACTGGAAAGGGTCCTTGGGTGCCCTGCCTCACCTCGAGAAGCGTCCCTTTTGCCCTGCCAAGCCTCGAAGAGATTCCTGAGGTGTCCCTCGTTACTAGTCAGGAGTCCTGACGTCACTGAAGAAACTCGTGTTTTGAAGGGCCATCCCCGCCATAAGTCGAGAACATATCCCGGGTCCCCGCCACAACTCGAGAAAAAACATGAGACTTCCCCCTAGAGGCGAGATGAGGCCCCATTCCCCTGCAGTGCATACGGAGCTATTCCGTGATCCCATTCAAACATGTCAGGAGCTTCGACTTGCTTAATGGATCTCGAGACAGTCCCCAAGAACACTGTCACCAGTCTAGACGGACCCTGAGGTAACCCCAGCAACGCAAAGCCGCTCCATGTGCCCCAAATCAACTAGAGATGAGGCCCGATTCCCCTGCATTGACTCCAGAGCCATTCCCCGTTCCCCATTCAACACGACCGGTGGCTCGACTTTCTTCAGGCAACTCCAGAGATGCCCCGAGAACACTGTCCCAAGTCTAGAGGAACAACAACTTCAGCAAAACAACTCGAGGAATGCTCCGTGTACCCCAAATCGTCTCGAGATGAGAGGTGATTCCCTGGCTTAGGCTCAAGACGTATGCCAACTTTCCAGAACCACCTCAGGACGAGGCTTCTCTCAGCAATAGGTATGTGGGAGGGACCCCGAATTTGCTGCCTCAAGGGGAATATACAGCAAGAAGCCCTAACTTGAAAGGAGGCCGGATTTCCTTGCAGTGGCTTGAATACAGGCCCGTCTTTCATCTCACAACATGAAGGGATGTCTGAATCCCCTGTGGAGACATTAGAGAAAGCCCTAGGTCCCTGCCTCATTTTGACGGAATGCTTCACATCCCGCTGACACCTCGAGAGGCACGCGGAGTTCATTGCTTCAAAAGGTGACGATGCCTGACTCCTCTTGAATACTGATAGGAATCCCAAAATCCCTGTGGCTTCTGGAAAGGGTTCTTGGGTGCCCTGCCTCACCTCGAGAAGCGTCCCTTTTGCCCTGCCAAGCCTCGAAGAGATTCCTGAGGTGTCCCGCGTTACTAGACAGGAGTCCTGACGTCACTGAAGAAACTCGTGTTTTGAAGGGCCATCCCCGCCGTAATTCGAGAACATACCCCAGGTCCCCGCCGCAACTCGAGAAAACCATGAGACTTCCCTCTAGAGGCGAGATGAGGCCCCATTCCCCTGCAGTGCATGCAGAGCTACTCCGTGATTACATTCAAACAAGTCAGGAACTTCGACTTGCTTAATGGATCTCGAGACAGTCCCCAAGAACACTGTCACCAGTCTAGACGGACCCTGAGGTCACCCCAGCAACGCAAAGCAGCTCTATGTGCCCCAAATCAACTCGAGATGAGGCCCGATTCCCCTGCATTGACTCCAGAGCCTTTCCCCGTTCCCCATTCAACACGACCGGTGGCTCGACTTCCTTCAGGCCACTCCAGAGATGCCCCGAGCACACTGTCCCAAGTCTAGAGGAACACCAACTTCAGCACAGCAACTCGAGGAATGCTCCGTGTACCCCAAATCGCATCGAGATGAGAGCTGATTCCCTGGCTTAGGCTCAAGACGTATGCCAACTTTCCAGAAGCACCTCAGGAGGAGGCTTCTCTCAGCAATAGGTATGCGGAGGGACCCCGAATTTGCTGCCTCAAGGGGAATATACAGCGAGAAGCCCTAACTTGAAAGGAGGCCGGATTTCCTTGCAGTGGCTTGAATACAGGCCCGTCTTTCATCTCACAACATGAAGGGATGTCTGAATCCCCTCTGGAGACCTTAGAGAAAGCCCTAGGTCCCTGCCTCATTTTGACGGAATGCCTCACATCGCGCTGACACCTCAAGAAGCACGCAGAGTTCATTGCTTCAAAAGGTGACGATGCCTGACTCCTCTTGAATACTGATAGGAATCCCAAAATCCCTGTGGCTACTGGAAAGTGTCCTTGGGTGCCCTGCCTCACCTCGAGAAGCTTCCCTTTTGCCCTGCCAAGCCTCGAAGAGATTCCTGAGGTGTCCCTCGTTACTAGACAGGAGTCCTGACGTCACTGAAGAAACTCGTGTTTTGAAGGGCCATCCCCGCCGTAAGTCGAGAACATACCCCAGGTCCCCGCCGCAACTCGAGAAAAAACATGAGACTTCCCCCTAGAGGGGAGATGAGGCCCCATTCCCCTGCAGTGCATGCAGAGCTATTCCGTGATCCCATTCAAACAAGTCAGGAACTTCGACTTCCTTAATGGATCTTGAAACAGTCCCCAAGAACACTGTCACCAGTCTACACGGACCCTGAGGTTACCCCAGCAACGCAAAGCAGCTCCATGTGCCCCAAATCAACTCGAGATGAGGCCCGATTCCCCTGCATTGACTCCAGAGCCATTCCCCGTTTCCCATTCAACATGACCGGTGGCTCGACTTCCTTCATGCAACTCCAGTGATGCCCCGAGAACACTGTCCCAAGTCTAGAGGAACAACAACTTCAGCACAACAACTAGAGGAATGCTCCGTGTACCCCAAATCGTCTCGAGATGAGAGCTGATTCCCTGGCTTAGGCTCAAGACATATGCCAACTTTCCAGAAGCACCTCAGGACGAGGCTTTTCTCAGCAATAGGTATGTGGGAGGGACCCCGAGTTTGCTGCCTCAAGGGGAATATACAGCGAGAAGCCCTAACTTGAAAGGAGGCCGGATTTCCTTGCAGTGGCTTGAATACAGGCCCCTCTTTCATCTCACAACATGAAGGGATGACTGAATCCCCTGTGGAGACCTTAGAGAAAGCCCTAGGTCCCTGCCTCATTTTGACGGAATGCTTCACATCCCGCTGACACCTCGAGAGGCACACGGAGTTCATTGCTTCAAAAGGTGACGATTCCTGACTCCTCTTGAATACTGATAGGAATCCCAAAATCCCTGTGGCTACTGGAAAGGGTCCTTGGGTGCCCTGCCTCACCTCGAGAAGCGTCCCTTTTGCCCTGCCAAGCCTCGAAGAGATTCCTAAGGTGTCCCTTGTTACTAGACAGGAGTCCTGACGTCACTGAAGAAACTAGTGTTTTGAAGGGCCATCCCCGCCGTAAGTCGAGAACATTCCCCAGGTCCCCGACGCAACTCGAGAAAAACCATGAGACTTCCCCCTAGAGGCGAGATGAGGCCCCATTCCCCTGCAGTGCATGCAGAGCTATTCCGTGATCCCATTCAAACAGGTCAGGAGCTTCGACTTGCTTAATGGATCTCGAGACAGTCCCCAAGAACACTGTCACCAGTCTAGACGGACCCTGAGGTCACCCTAGCAGCGCAGAGCAGCTCCATGTGCCCCAAATCAACTCGAGATGAGGCCCGATTCCCCTGCATTGACTCCAGAGCCATTCCCCGTTCCCCATTCAATACGACCGGTGGCTCGACTTCCTTCAGGCCAATGCAGAGATGCCCCGAGCACAATGTCCCAAATCTAGAGGAACACCAACTTCAGCACAGCAACTCGAGGAATGCTCCGTGTACCCCAAATCGTCTCGAGATGAGAGCTGATTCCCTGGCTTAGGCTCAAGACGTATGCCAACTTTCCAGAAGCACCTCAGGAGGAGGCTTCTCTCAGCAATAGGTATGTGGGAGGGACCCCTAGTTTGCTGCCTCAAGGGGAACATACAGCGAGAAGCCCTAACTTGAAAGGAGGCCGGATTTCCCTGCAGTGGCTTGAATACAGGCCCCTCTTTCATCTCACAACATGAAGGGATGTCTGAATCCCCTGTGGAGACCTTAGAGAAAGCCCTAGGTCCCTGCCTCATTTTGACGGAATGCCTCACATCCCGCTGACACCTCGAGAGGCACACGGAGTTCATTGCTTCAAAAGGTGACGATGCCTGACTCCTCTTGAATACTGATAGGAATCCCAAAATCCCTGTGGCTACTGGAAAGGGTCCTTGGATGCCCTACCTCACCTCGAGAAGCTTCCCTTTTGCCCTGCCAAGCCTCGAAGAGATTCCTGAGGTGTCCCTCGTTACTAGACAGGAGTCCTGACGTCACTGAAGAAACTCGTGTTTTGAAGGGCCATCCCCGCCGTAAGTCGAGAACATACCCCAGGTCCCCGCCGCAACTCGAGAAAAAACATGAGACTTCCCCCTAGAGGGGAGATGAGGCCCCATTCCCCTGCAGTGCATGCAGAGCTATTCCGTGATCCCATTCAAACAAGTCAGGAGCTTCGACTTCCTTAATGGATCTCGAAACAGTCCCCAAGAACACTGTCACCAGTCTAGACGGACCCTGAGGTTACCCCAGCAACGCAAAGCAGCACCATGTGCCCCAAATCAACTCGAGATGAGGCCCGATTCCCCTGCATTGACTCCAGAGCCATTCCCCGTTTCCCATTCAACATGACCGATGGCTCGACTTCCTTCATGCAACTCCAGTGATGCCCCGAGAACACTGTCCCAAGTCTAGAGGAACAACAACTTCAGCACAACAACTCGAGGAATGCTCCGTGTACCCCAAATCGTCTCGAGATGAGAGCTGATTCCCTGGCTTAGGCTCAAGACATATGCCAACTTTCCAGAAGCACCTCAGGAGGAGGCTTTTCTCAGCAATAGGTATGTGGGAGGGACCCCGAGTTTGCTGCCTCAAGGGGAATATACAGCGAGAAGCCCTAACTTGAAAGGAGGCCGGATTTCCCTGCAGTGGCTTGAATACAGGCCCCTCTTTCATCTCACAACAGGAAGGGATGTCTGAATCCCCTGTGGAGACCTTAGAGAAAGCCCTAGGTCCCTGCCTCATTTTGACGGAATGCTTCACATCCCGCTGACACCTCGAGAGGCACGCGGAGTTCATTGCTTCAAAAGGTGACGATGCCTGACTCCTCTTGAATACTGATAGGAATCCCAAAATCCCTGTGGCTACTGGAAAGGGTCCTTGGGTGCCCTGCCTCACCTCGAGAAGCGTCCCTTTTGCCCTGCCAAGCCTCGAAGAGATTCCTAAGGTGTCCCTCGTTACTAGACAGGAGTCCTGACGTCACTGAAGAAACTCGTGTTTTGAAGGGCCATCCCCGCCGTAAGTCGAGAACATTCCCCAGGTCCCCGACGCAACTCGAGAAAAACCATGAGACTTCCCCCTAGAGGCGAGATGAGGCCCCATTCCCCTGCAGTGCATGCAGAGCTATTCCGTGATCCCATTCAAACAAGTCAGGAGCTTCGACTTGCTTAATGGATCTCGAAACAGTCCCCAAGAACACTGTCACCAGTCTAGACGGACCCTGAGGTCACCCCAGCAGCGCAGAGCAGCTCCATGTGCCCCAAATCAACTCGAGATGAGGCCCGATTCCCCTGCATTGACTCCAGAGCCATTCCCCGTTCCCCATTCAATACGACCGGTGGCTCGACTTCCTTCAGGCCACTGCAGAGATGCCCCGAGCACACTGTCCCAAATCTAGAGGAACACCAACTTCAGCACAGCAACTCGAGGAATGCTCCGTGTACCCCAAATCGTCTCGAGATGAGAGCTGATTCCCTGGCTTAGGCTCAAGACGTATGCCAACTTTCCAGAAGCACCTCAGGAGGAGGCTTCTCTCAGCAATAGGTATGTGGGAGGGACCCCGAGTTTGCTGCCTCAAGGGGAATATACAGCGAGAAGCCCTAACTTGAAAGGAGGCCGGATTTCCTTGCGGTGGCTTGAATACAGGCCCGTCTTTCATCTCACAACATGAAGGGATGTCTGAATCCCCTGTGGAGACCTTAGAGAAAGCCCTAGGTCCCTGCCTCATTTTGACGGAATGCCTCACATCCCTCTGACACTTCGAGAGGCCACGGAGTTCATTGCTTCAAAAGGTGACGATGCCTGACTCCTTTTGAATACTGATAGGAATCCCAAAATCCCTGTGGCTACTGTAAAGGGTCCTTGGGTGCCCTGCCTCACCTCGAGAAGCGTCCCTTTTGCCCTGCCAAGCCTCGAAGAGATTCCTGAGGTGTCCCGCGTTACTAGACAGGAGTCCTGACGTCACTGAAGAAACTCGTGTTTTGAAGGGCCATCCCCCCGTAAGTCGAGAACATAACCCAGGTCCCCGCCGCAACTCGAGAAAAACCATGAGACTTCCCCCTAGAGGCGAGATGAGGCCCCATTCCACTGCAGTGCATGCAGAGCTATTCCGTGATCCCATTCAAACAAGTCAGGAGTATCGACTTGCTTAATGGATCTCGAGACAGTCCCCAAGAACACTGTCACCAGTCTAGACGGACCCTGAGGTCACCCCAGCAACGCAAAGCAGCTCCATGTGCCCCAAATCAACTCGAGATGAGGCCCGATTCCCCTGCATTGACTCCAGAGCCATTCCCCGTTCCCCATTCAACACGACCGGTGGCTCGACTACCTTCAGGCAACTCCAGAGATGCCCCGAGAACACTGTCCCAAGTCTAGAGGAACAACAACTTCAGCACAACAACTCGAGGAATGCTCCGTGTACCCCAAAACGTCTCGAGATGAGAGCTGATTCCCTGGCTTAGGCTCAAGACGTATGCCAACTTTCCAGAAGCACCTCAGGAGGAGGCTTCTCTCAGCAATAGGTATGTGGGTGGGACACCGAGTTTGCTGCCTCAAGGGGAACATACAGCGAGAAGCCCTAACTTGAAAGGAGGCCGGATTTCCTTGCAGTGGCTTGAATACAGGCCCGTCTTTCATCTCACAACATGAAGGGATGTCTGAATCCCCTTGGAGAACTTAGAGAAAGCCCTAGGCCCTGCCTCATTTTGACGGAATGCCTCACATCCCGCTGACACCTCGAGAGGCACACGGAGTTCATTGCTTCAAAAGGTGACGATGCCTGAATCCTCTTGAATAGTGATAGGAATCCCAAAATCCCTGTAGCTACTGGAAAGGGTCCTTGGGTGCCCTGCCTCACCTCGAGAAGCGTCCCGTTTGCCCTGCCAAGCCTCGAAGAGATTCCTGAGGTGTCCTTCGTTACTAGACAGGAGTCCTGACGTCACTGAAGAAACTCGTGTTTTGAAGGGCCATCCCCGCCTTAAGTCGAGAACATACACCAGGTCCCCGCCGCAACTCGAGAAAAACCATGAGACTTACCCCTAGAGGCGAGATGAGGCCCCATTCCCCTGCAGTGCATGCAGAGCTATTCCGTGATCCCATTCAAACAAGTCAGGAGCTTCGACTTGCTTAATGGATCTCGAGACAGTCCCCAAGAACACTGTCACCAGTCTAGACGGACCCTGAGGTCACCCCAGCAGCGCAGAGCAGCTCCATGTGGCCCAAATCAACTCGAGATGAGGCCCGATTCCCCTGCATTGACTCCAGAGCCATTCCCCGTTCCCCATTCAACACGACCGGTGGCTCGACTTACTTCAGGCCAATGCAGAGATGCCCCGAGCACACTGTCCCAAGTCTAGAGGAACACCAACTTCAGCACAGCAACTCGAGGAATGCTCCGTGTACCCCAAATCGTCTCGAGATGAGAGCTGATTCCGTGGCTTAGGCTCAAGACGTATGCCAACTTTCCAGAAGCAACTCAGGAGGAGGCTTCTCTCAGCAATGGGTATGTGGGAGGGACCCCGAGTTTGCTGCCTCAAGGGGAACATACAGCGAGAAGCCCTAAGTTGAAAGGAGGCCGGATTTCCTTGCAGTGGCTTGAATACAGGCCCGTCTTTCATCTCACAACATGAAGGGATGTCTGAATCCCCTGTGGAGACCTTAGAGAAAGCCCTAGGTCCCTGCCTCATTTTGACGGAATGCCTCACATCCCGCTGACACCTCAAGAGGCACGCGGAGTTCATTGCTTCAAAAGGTGACGATGCCTGACTCCTCTTGAATACTGATAGGAATCCCAAAATCCCTGTGAGTTCTTGAAAGGGTTCTTGGGTGCCCTGCCTCACCTCGAGAAGCGTCCCTTTTGCCCTGCCAAGCCTCGAAGAGATTCCTGAGGTGTCCCGCGTTACTAGACAGGAGTCCTGACGTCACTGAAGAAACTCGTGTTTTGAAGGGCCATCCCCGCCGTAAGTCGAGAACATACCCTAGGTCCCCGCCGCAACTCGAGAAAAACCACAAGACTTCCCTCTAGAGGCGAGATGAGGCCCCATTCCCCTGCAGTGCATGCAGAGCTACTCCGTGATCCCATTCAAACAAGTCAGGAGCTTCGACTTGCTTAATGGATCTCGAGACAGTCCCCAAGAACACTGTCACCAGTCTAGACGGACCCTGAGGTCACCCCAGCAGCGCAGAGCAGCTCCATGTGCCCCAAATCAACTCGAGATGAGGCCCGATTCCCGTGCATTGACTCCAGAGCCATTCCCCGTTCCCCATTCAACACGACCGGTGGCTCGACTTCCTTCAGGCCACTGCAGAGATGCCCCGAGCACACTCTCCCAAGTCTAGAGGAACACCAACTTCAGCACAGCAACTCGAGGAATGCTCCGTGTACCCCAAATCGTCTCGAGATGAGAGCTGATTCCCTGGCTTAGGCTCAAGACGTATGCCAACTTTCCAGAAGCACCTCAGGAGGAGGCTTCTCTCAGCAATAGGTATGTGGGAGGGACCCCGAGTTTGCTGCCTCAAGGGGAACATACAGCGAGAAGCCCTAACTTGAAAGGAGGCCGGATTTCCTTGCAGTGGCTTGAATACAGGCCCGTCTTTCATCTCACAACATGAAGGGATGTCTGAATCCCCTTGGAGAACTTAGAGAAAGCCCTAGGCCCTGCCTCATTTTGACGGAATGCCTCACATCCCGCTGACACCTCGAGAGGCACACGGAGTTCATTGCTTCAAAAGGTGACGATGCCTGAATCCTCTTGAATAGTGATAGGAATCCCAAAATCCCTGTAGCTACTGGAAAGGGTCCTTGGGTACCCTGCCTCACCTCGAGAAGCGTCCCGTTTGCCCTGCCAAGCCTCGAAGAGATTCCTGAGGTGTCCTTCGTTACTAGACAGGAGTCCTGACGTCACTGAAGAAACTCGTGTTTTGAAGGGCCATCCCCGCCTTAAGTCGAGAACATACACCAGGTCCCCGCCGCAACTCGAGAAAAACCATGAGACTTACCCCTAGAGGCGAGATGAGGCCCCATTCCCCTGCAGTGCATGCAGAGCTATTCCGTGATCCCATTCAAACAAGTCAGGAGCTTCGACTTGCTTAATGGATCTCGAGACAGTCCCCAAGAACACTGTCACCAGTCTAGACGGACCCTGAGGTCACCCCAGCAGCGCAGAGCAGCTCCATGTGGCCCAAATCAACTCGAGATGAGGCCCGATTCCCCTGCATTGACTCCAGAGCCATTCCCCGTTCCCCATTCAACACGACCGGTGGCTCGACTTACTTCAGGCCAATGCAGAGATGCCCCGAGCACACTGTCCCAAGTCTAGAGGAACACCAACTTCAGCACAGCAACTCGAGGAATGCTCCGTGTACCCCAAATCGTCTCGAGATGAGAGCTGATTCCGTGGCTTAGGCTCAAGACGTATGCCAACTTTCCAGAAGCAACTCAGGAGGAGGCTTCTCTCAGCAATGGGTATGTGGGAGGGACCCCGAGTTTGCTGCCTCAAGGGGAACATACAGCGAGAAGCCCTAAGTTGAAAGGAGGCCGGATTTCCTTGCAGTGGCTTGAATACAGGCCCGTCTTTCATCTCACAACATGAAGGGATGTCTGAATCCCCTGTGGAGACCTTAGAGAAAGCCCTAGGTCCCTGCCTCATTTTGACGGAATGCCTCACATCCCGCTGACACCTCAAGAGGCACGCGGAGTTCATTGCTTCAAAAGGTGACGATGCCTGACTCCTCTTGAATACTGATAGGAATCCCAAAATCCCTGTGAGTTCTTGAAAGGGTTCTTGGGTGCCCTGCCTCACCTCGAGAAGCGTCCCTTTTGCCCTGCCAAGCCTCGAAGAGATTCCTGAGGTGTCCCGCGTTACTAGACAGGAGTCCTGACGTCACTGAAGAAACTCGTGTTTTGAAGGGCCATCCCCGCCGTAAGTCGAGAACATACCCTAGGTCCCCGCCGCAACTCGAGAAAAACCACAAGACTTCCCTCTAGAGGCGAGATGAGGCCCCATTCCCCTGCAGTGCATGCAGAGCTACTCCGTGATCCCATTCAAACAAGTCAGGAGCTTCGACTTGCTTAATGGATCTCGAGACAGTCCCCAAGAACACTGTCACCAGTCTAGACGGACCCTGAGGTCACCCCAGCAGCGCAGAGCAGCTCCATGTGCCCCAAATCAACTCGAGATGAGGCCCGATTCCCCTGCATTGACTCCAGAGCCATTCCCCGTTCCCCATTCAACACGACCGGTGGCTCGACTTCCTTCAGGCCACTGCAGAGATGCCCCGAGCACACTCTCCCAAGTCTAGAGGAACACCAACTTCAGCACAGCAACTCGAGGAATGCTCCGTGTACCCCAAATCGTCTCGAGATGAGAGCTGATTCCCTGGCTTAGGCTCAAGACGTATGCCAACTTTCCAGAAGCACCTCAGGAGGAGGCTTCTCTCAGCAATAGGTATGTGGGAGGGACCCCGAGTTTGCTGCCTCAAGGGGAACATACAGCGAGAAGCCCTAACTTGAAAGGAGGCCGGATTTCCTTGCAGTGGCTTGAATACAGGCCCGTCTTTCATCTCACAACATGAAGGGATGTCTGAATCCCCTTGGAGAACTTAGAGAAAGCCCTAGGCCCTGCCTCATTTTGACGGAATGCCTCACATCCCGCTGACACCTCGAGAGGCACACGGAGTTCATTGCTTCAAAAGGTGACGATGCCTGAATCCTCTTGAATAGTGATAGGAATCCCAAAATCCCTGTAGCTACTGGAAAGGGTCCTTGGGTACCCTGCCTCACCTCGAGAAGCGTCCCGTTTGCCCTGCCAAGCCTCGAAGAGATTCCTGAGGTGTCCTTCGTTACTAGACAGGAGTCCTGACGTCACTGAAGAAACTCGTGTTTTGAAGGGCCATCCCCGCCTTAAGTCGAGAACATACACCAGGTCCCCGCCGCAACTCGAGAAAAACCATGAGACTTACCCCTAGAGGCGAGATGAGGCCCCATTCCCCTGCAGTGCATGCAGAGCTATTCCGTGATCCCATTCAAACAAGTCAGGAGCTTCGACTTGCTTAATGGATCTCGAGACAGTCCCCAAGAACACTGTCACCAGTCTAGACGGACCCTGAGGTCACCCCAGCAGCGCAGAGCAGCTCCATGTGGCCCAAATCAACTCGAGATGAGGCCCGATTCCCCTGCATTGACTCCAGAGCCATTCCCCGTTCCCCATTCAACACGACCGGTGGCTCGACTTACTTCAGGCCAATGCAGAGATGCCCCGAGCACACTGTCCCAAGTCTAGAGGAACACCAACTTCAGCACAGCAACTCGAGGAATGCTCCGTGTACCCCAAATCGTCTCGAGATGAGAGCTGATTCCGTGGCTTAGGCTCAAGACGTATGCCAACTTTCCAGAAGCAACTCAGGAGGAGGCTTCTCTCAGCAATGGGTATGTGGGAGGGACCCCGAGTTTGCTGCCTCAAGGGGAACATACAGCGAGAAGCCCTAAGTTGAAAGGAGGCCGGATTTCCTTGCAGTGGCTTGAATACAGGCCCGTCTTTCATCTCACAACATGAAGGGATGTCTGAATCCCCTGTGGAGACCTTAGAGAAAGCCCTAGGTCCCTGCCTCATTTTGACGGAATGCCTCACATCCCGCTGACACCTCAAGAGGCACGCGGAGTTCATTGCTTCAAAAGGTGACGATGCCTGACTCCTCTTGAATACTGATAGGAATCCCAAAATCCCTGTGAGTTCTTGAAAGGGTTCTTGGGTGCCCTGCCTCACCTCGAGAAGCGTCCCTTTTGCCCTGCCAAGCCTCGAAGAGATTCCTGAGGTGTCCCGCGTTACTAGACAGGAGTCCTGACGTCACTGAAGAAACTCGTGTTTTGAAGGGCCATCCCCGCCGTAAGTCGAGAACATACCCTAGGTCCCCGCCGCAACTCGAGAAAAACCACAAGACTTCCCTCTAGAGGCGAGATGAGGCCCCATTCCCCTGCAGTGCATGCAGAGCTACTCCGTGATCCCATTCAAACAAGTCAGGAGCTTCGACTTGCTTAATGGATCTCGAGACAGTCCCCAAGAACACTGTCACCAGTCTAGACGGACCCTGAGGTCACCCCAGCAGCGCAGAGCAGCTCCATGTGCCCCAAATCAACTCGAGATGAGGCCCGATTCCCGTGCATTGACTCCAGAGCCATTCCCCGTTCCCCATTCAACACGACCGGTGGCTCGACTTCCTTCAGGCCACTGCAGAGATGCCCCGAGCACACTCTCCCAAGTCTAGAGGAACACCAACTTCAGCACAGCAACTCGAGGAATGCTCCGTGTACCCCAAATCGTCTCGAGATGAGAGCTGATTCCCTGGCTTAGGCTCAAGACGTATGCCAACTTTCCAGAAGCACCTCAGGAGGAGGCTTCTCTCAGCAATAGGTATGTGGGAGGGACCCCGAGTTTGCTGCCTCAAGGGGAACATACAGCGAGAAGCCCTAACTTGAAAGGAGGCCGGATTTCCTTGCAGTGGCTTGAATACAGGCCCGTCTTTCATCTCACAACATGAAGGGATGTCTGAATCCCCTTGGAGAACTTAGAGAAAGCCCTAGGCCCTGCCTCATTTTGACGGAATGCCTCACATCCCGCTGACACCTCGAGAGGCACACGGAGTTCATTGCTTCAAAAGGTGACGATGCCTGAATCCTCTTGAATAGTGATAGGAATCCCAAAATCCCTGTAGCTACTGGAAAGGGTCCTTGGGTGCCCTGCCTCACCTCGAGAAGCGTCCCGTTTGCCCTGCCAAGCCTCGAAGAGATTCCTGAGGTGTCCTTCGTTACTAGACAGGAGTCCTGACGTCACTGAAGAAACTCGTGTTTTGAAGGGCCATCCCCGCCTTAAGTCGAGAACATACACCAGGTCCCCGCCGCAACTCGAGAAAAACCATGAGACTTACCCCTAGAGGCGAGATGAGGCCCCATTCCCCTGCAGTGCATGCAGAGCTATTCCGTGATCCCATTCAAACAAGTCAGGAGCTTCGACTTGCTTAATGGATCTCGAGACAGTCCCCAAGAACACTGTCACCAGTCTAGACGGACCCTGAGGTCACCCCAGCAGCGCAGAGCAGCTCCATGTGCCCCAAATCAACTCGAGATGAGGCCCGATTCCCCTGCATTGACTCCAGAGCCATTCCCCGTTCCCCATTCAACACGACCGGTGGCTCGACTTACTTCAGGCCAATGCAGAGATGCCCCGAGCACACTGTCCCAAGTCTAGAGGAACACCAACTTCAGCACAGCAACTCGAGGAATGCTCCGTGTACCCCAAATCGTCTCGAGATGAGAGCTGATTCCGTGGCTTAGGCTCAAGACGTATGCCAACTTTCCAGAAGCAACTCAGGAGGAGGCTTCTCTCAGCAATGGGTATGTGGGAGGGACCCCGAGTTTGCTGCCTCAAGGGGAACATACAGCGAGAAGCCCTAAGTTGAAAGGAGGCCGGATTTCCTTGCAGTGGCTTGAATACAGGCCCGTCTTTCATCTCACAACATGAAGGGATGTCTGAATCCCCTGTGGAGACCTTAGAGAAAGCCCTAGGTCCCTGCCTCATTTTGACGGAATTCTTCACATCCCGCTGACACCTCAAGAGGCACGCGGAGTTCATTGCTTCAAAAGGTGACGATGCCTGACTCCTCTTGAATACTGATAGGAATCCCAAAATCCCTGTGAGTTCTTGAAAGGGTTCTTGGGTGCCCTGCCTCACCTCGAGAAGCGTCCCTTTTGCCCTGCCAAGCCTCGAAGAGATTCCTGAGGTGTCCCGCGTTACTAGACAGGAGTCCTGACGTCACTGAAGAAACTCGTGTTTTGAAGGGCCATCCCCGCCGTAAGTCGAGAACATACCCTAGGTCCCCGCCGCAACTCGAGAAAAACCACAAGACTTCCCTCTAGAGGCGAGATGAGGCCCCATTCCCCTGCAGTGCATGCAGAGCTACTCCGTGATCCCATTCAAACAAGTCAGGAGCTTCGACTTGCTTAATGGATCTCGAGACAGTCCCCAAGAACACTGTCACCAGTCTAGACGGACCCTGAGGTCACCCCAGCAGCGCAGAGCAGCTCCATGTGCCCCAAATCAACTCGAGATGAGGCCCGATTCCCCTGCATTGACTCCAGAGCCATTCCCCGTTCCCCATTCAACACGACCGGTGGCTCGACTTCCTTCAGGCCACTGCAGAGATGCCCCGAGCACACTCTCCCAAGTCTAGAGGAACACCAACTTCAGCACAGCAACTCGAGGAATGCTCCGTGTACCCCAAATCGTCTCGAGATGAGAGCTGATTCCCTGGCTTAGGCTCAAGACGTATGCCAACTTTCCAGAAGCACCTCAGGAGGAGGCTTCTCTCAGCAATAGGTATGTGGGAGGGACCCCGAGTTTGCTGCCTCAAGGGGAACATACAGCGAGAAGCCCTAACTTGAAAGGAGGCCGGATTTCCTTGCAGTGGCTTGAATACAGGCCCGTCTTTCATCTCACAACATGAAGGGATGTCTGAATCCCCTTGGAGAACTTAGAGAAAGCCCTAGGCCCTGCCTCATTTTGACGGAATGCCTCACATCCCGCTGACACCTCGAGAGGCACACGGAGTTCATTGCTTCAAAAGGTGACGATGCCTGACTCCTCTTGAATACTGATAGGAATCCCAAAATCCCTGTAGCTACTGGAAAGGGTCCTTGGGTGCCCTGCCTCACCTCGAGAAGCGTCCCGTTTGCCCTGCCAAGCCTCGAAGAGATTCCTGAGGTGTCCTTCGTTACTAGACAGGAGTCCTGACGTCACTGAAGAAACTCGTGTTTTGAAGGGCCATCCCCGCCTTAAGTCGAGAACATACACCAGGTCCCCGCCGCAACTCGAGAAAAACCATGAGACTTACCCCTAGAGGCGAGATGAGGCCCCATTCCCCTGCAGTGCATGCAGAGCTATTCCGTGATCCCATTCAAACAAGTCAGGAGCTTCGACTTGCTTAATGGATCTCGAGACAGTCCCCAAGAACACTGTCACCAGTCTAGACGGACCCTGAGGTCACCCCAGCAGCGCAGAGCAGCTCCATGTGGCCCAAATCAACTCGAGATGAGGCCCGATTCCCCTGCATTGACTCCAGAGCCATTCCCCGTTCCCCATTCAACACGACCGGTGGCTCGACTTACTTCAGGCCAATGCAGAGATGCCCCGAGCACACTGTCCCAAGTCTAGAGGAACACCAACTTCAGCACAGCAACTCGAGGAATGCTCCGTGTACCCCAAATCGTCTCGAGATGAGAGCTGATTCCGTGGCTTAGGCTCAAGACGTATGCCAACTTTCCAGAAGCAACTCAGGAGGAGGCTTCTCTCAGCAATGGGTATGTGGGAGGGACCCCGAGTTTGCTGCCTCAAGGGGAACATACAGCGAGAAGCCCTAAGTTGAAAGGAGGCCGGATTTCCTTGCAGTGGCTTGAATACAGGCCCGTCTTTCATCTCACAACATGAAGGGATGTCTGAATCCCCTGTGGAGACCTTAGAGAAAGCCCTAGGTCCCTGCCTCATTTTGACGGAATGCCTCACATCCCGCTGACACCTCAAGAGGCACGCGGAGTTCATTGCTTCAAAAGGTGACGATGCCTGACTCCTCTTGAATACTGATAGGAATCCCAAAATCCCTGTGAGTTCTTGAAAGGGTTCTTGGGTGCCCTGCCTCACCTCGAGAAGCGTCCCTTTTGCCCTGCCAAGCCTCGAAGAGATTCCTGAGGTGTCCCGCGTTACTAGACAGGAGTCCTGACGTCACTGAAGAAACTCGTGTTTTGAAGGGCCATCCCCGCCGTAAGTCGAGAACATACCCTAGGTCCCCGCCGCAACTCGAGAAAAACCACAAGACTTCCCTCTAGAGGCGAGATGAGGCCCCATTCCCCTGCAGTGCATGCAGAGCTACTCCGTGATCCCATTCAAACAAGTCAGGAGCTTCGACTTGCTTAATGGATCTCGAGACAGTCCCCAAGAACACTGTCACCAGTCTAGACGGACCCTGAGGTCACCCCAGCAGCGCAGAGCAGCTCCATGTGCCCCAAATCAACTCGAGATGAGGCCCGATTCCCGTGCATTGACTCCAGAGCCATTCCCCGTTCCCCATTCAACACGACCGGTGGCTCGACTTCCTTCAGGCCACTGCAGAGATGCCCCGAGCACACTCTCCCAAGTCTAGAGGAACACCAACTTCAGCACAGCAACTCGAGGAATGCTCCGTGTACCCCAAATCGTCTCGAGATGAGAGCTGATTCCCTGGCTTAGGCTCAAGACGTATGCCAACTTTCCAGAAGCACCTCAGGAGGAGGCTTCTCTCAGCAATAGGTATGTGGGAGGGACCCCGAGTTTGCTGCCTCAAGGGGAACATACAGCGAGAAGCCCTAACTTGAAAGGAGGCCGGATTTCCTTGCAGTGGCTTGAATACAGGCCCGTCTTTCATCTCACAACATGAAGGGATGTCTGAATCCCCTTGGAGAACTTAGAGAAAGCCCTAGGCCCTGCCTCATTTTGACGGAATGCCTCACATCCCGCTGACACCTCGAGAGGCACACGGAGTTCATTGCTTCAAAAGGTGACGATGCCTGAATCCTGTTGAATAGTGATAGGAATCCCAAAATCCCTGTAGCTACTGGAAAGGGTCCTTGGGTACCCTGCCTCACCTCGAGAAGCGTCCCGTTTGCCCTGCCAAGCCTCGAAGAGATTCCTGAGGTGTCCTTCGTTACTAGACAGGAGTCCTGACGTCACTGAAGAAACTCGTGTTTTGAAGGGCCATCCCCGCCTTAAGTCGAGAACATACACCAGGTCCCCGCCGCAACTCGAGAAAAACCATGAGACTTACCCCTAGAGGCGAGATGAGGCCCCATTCCCCTGCAGTGCATGCAGAGCTATTCCGTGATCCCATTCAAACAAGTCAGGAGCTTCGACTTGCTTAATGGATCTCGAGACAGTCCCCAAGAACACTGTCACCAGTCTAGACGGACCCTGAGGTCACCCCAGCAGCGCAGAGCAGCTCCATGTGGCCCAAATCAACTCGAGATGAGGCCCGATTCCCCTGCATTGACTCCAGAGCCATTCCCCGTTCCCCATTCAACACGACCGGTGGCTCGACTTACTTCAGGCCAATGCAGAGATGCCCCGAGCACACTGTCCCAAGTCTAGAGGAACACCAACTTCAGCACAGCAACTCGAGGAATGCTCCGTGTACCCCAAATCGTCTCGAGATGAGAGCTGATTCCGTGGCTTAGGCTCAAGACGTATGCCAACTTTCCAGAAGCAACTCAGGAGGAGGCTTCTCTCAGCAATGGGTATGTGGGAGGGACCCCGAGTTTGCTGCCTCAAGGGGAACATACAGCGAGAAGCCCTAAGTTGAAAGGAGGCCGGATTTCCTTGCAGTGGCTTGAATACAGGCCCGTCTTTCATCTCACAACATGAAGGGATGTCTGAATCCCCTGTGGAGACCTTAGAGAAAGCCCTAGGTCCCTGCCTCATTTTGACGGAATGCCTCACATCCCGCTGACACCTCAAGAGGCACGCGGAGTTCATTGCTTCAAAAGGTGACGATGCCTGACTCCTCTTGAATACTGATAGGAATCCCAAAATCCCTGTGAGTTCTTGAAAGGGTTCTTGGGTGCCCTGCCTCACCTCGAGAAGCGTCCTTTTTGCCCTGCCAAGCCTCGAAGAGATTCCTGAGGTGTCCCGCGTTACTAGACAGGAGTCCTGACGTCACTGAAGAAACTCGTGTTTTGAAGGGCCATCCCCGCCGTAAGTCGAGAACATACCCTAGGTCCCCGCCGCAACTCGAGAAAAACCACAAGACTTCCCTCTAGAGGCGAGATGAGGCCCCATTCCCCTGCAGTGCATGCAGAGCTACTCCGTGATCCCATTCAAACAAGTCAGGAGCTTCGACTTGCTTAATGGATCTCGAGACAGTCCCCAAGAACACTGTCACCAGTCTAGACGGACCCTGAGGTCACCCCAGCAGCGCAGAGCAGCTCCATGTGCCCCAAATCAACTCGAGATGAGGCCCGATTCCCGTGCATTGACTCCAGAGCCATTCCCCGTTCCCCATTCAACACGACCGGTGGCTCGACTTCCTTCAGGCCACTGCAGAGATGCCCCGAGCACACTCTCCCAAGTCTAGAGGAACACCAACTTCAGCACAGCAACTCGAGGAATGCTCCGTGTACCCCAAATCGTCTCGAGATGAGAGCTGATTCCCTGGCTTAGGCTCAAGACGTATGCCAACTTTCCAGAAGCACCTCAGGAGGAGGCTTCTCTCAGCAATAGGTATGTGGGAGGGACCCCGAGTTTGCTGCCTCAAGGGGAACATACAGCGAGAAGCCCTAACTTGAAAGGAGGCCGGATTTCCTTGCAGTGGCTTGAATACAGGCCCGTCTTTCATCTCACAACATGAAGGGATGTCTGAATCCCCTTGGAGAACTTAGAGAAAGCCCTAGGCCCTGCCTCATTTTGACGGAATGCCTCACATCCCGCTGACACCTCGAGAGGCACACGGAGTTCATTGCTTCAAAAGGTGACGATGCCTGAATCCTCTTGAATAGTGATAGGAATCCCAAAATCCCTGTAGCTACTGGAAAGGGTCCTTGGGTGCCCTGCCTCACCTCGAGAAGCGTCCCGTTTGCCCTGCCAAGCCTCGAAGAGATTCCTGAGGTGTCCTTCGTTACTAGACAGGAGTCCTGACGTCACTGAAGAAACTCGTGTTTTGAAGGGCCATCCCCGCCTTAAGTCGAGAACATACACCAGGTCCCCGCCGCAACTCGAGAAAAACCATGAGACTTACCCCTAGAGGCGAGATGAGGCCCCATTCCCCTGCAGTGCATGCAGAGCTATTCCGTGATCCCATTCAAACAAGTCAGGAGCTTCGACTTGCTTAATGGATCTCGAGACAGTCCCCAAGAACACTGTCACCAGTCTAGACGGACCCTGAGGTCACCCCAGCAGCGCAGAGCAGCTCCATGTGGCCCAAATCAACTCGAGATGAGGCCCGATTCCCCTGCATTGACTCCAGAGCCATTCCCCGTTCCCCATTCAACACGACCGGTGGCTCGACTTACTTCAGGCCAATGCAGAGATGCCCCGAGCACACTGTCCCAAGTCTAGAGGAACACCAACTTCAGCACAGCAACTCGAGGAATGCTCCGTGTACCCCAAATCGTCTCGAGATGAGAGCTGATTCCGTGGCTTAGGCTCAAGACGTATGCCAACTTTCCAGAAGCAACTCAGGAGGAGGCTTCTCTCAGCAATGGGTATGTGGGAGGGACCCCGAGTTTGCTGCCTCAAGGGGAACATACAGCGAGAAGCCCTAAGTTGAAAGGAGGCCGGATTTCCTTGCAGTGGCTTGAATACAGGCCCGTCTTTCATCTCACAACATGAAGGGATGTCTGAATCCCCTGTGGAGACCTTAGAGAAAGCCCTAGGTCCCTGCCTCATTTTGACGGAATGCCTCACATCCCGCTGACACCTCAAGAGGCACGCGGAGTTCATTGCTTCAAAAGGTGACGATGCCTGACTCCTCTTGAATACTGATAGGAATCCCAAAATCCCTGTGAGTTCTTGAAAGGGTTCTTGGGTGCCCTGCCTCACCTCGAGAAGCGTCCCTTTTGCCCTGCCAAGCCTCGAAGAGATTCCTGAGGTGTCCCGCGTTACTAGACAGGAGTCCTGACGTCACTGAAGAAACTCGTGTTTTGAAGGGCCATCCCCGCCGTAAGTCGAGAACATACCCTAGGTCCCCGCCGCAACTCAAGAAAAACCACAAGACTTCCCTCTAGAGGCGAGATGAGGCCCCATTCCCCTGCAGTGCATGCAGAGCTACTCCGTGATCCCATTCAAACAAGTCAGGAGCTTCGACTTGCTTAATGGATCTCGAGACAGTCCCCAAGAACACTGTCACCAGTCTAGACGGACCCTGAGGTCACCCCAGCAGCGCAGAGCAGCTCCATGTGCCCCAAATCAACTCGAGATGAGGCCCGATTCCCCTGCATTGACTCCAGAGCCATTCCCCGTTCCCCATTCAACACGACCGGTGGCTCGACTTCCTTCAGGCCACTGCAGAGATGCCCCGAGCACACTCTCCCAAGTCTAGAGGAACACCAACTTCAGCACAGCAACTCGAGGAATGCTCCGTGTACCCCAAATCGTCTCGAGATGAGAGCTGATTCCCTGGCTTAGGCTCAAGACGTATGCCAACTTTCCAGAAGCACCTCAGGAGGAGGCTTCTCTCAGCAATAGGTATGTGGGAGGGACCCCGAGTTTGCTGCCTCAAGGGGAACATACAGCGAGAAGCCCTAACTTGAAAGGAGGCCGGATTTCCTTGCAGTGGCTTGAATACAGGCCCGTCTTTCATCTCACAACATGAAGGGATGTCTGAATCCCCTGTGGAGACCTTAGAGAAAGCCCTAGGTCCCTGCCTCATTTTGACGGAATGCCTCACATCCCGCTGACACCTCAAGAGGCACGCGGAGTTCATTTCTTCAAAAGGTGACGATGCCTGACTCCTCTTGAATACTGATAGGAATCCCAAAATCCCTGTGAGTTCTTGAAAGGGTTCTTGGGTGCCCTGCCTCACCTCGAGAAGCGTCCCTTTTGCCCTGCCAAGCCTCGAAGAGATTCCTGAGGTGTCCCGCGTTACTAGACAGGAGTCCTGACGTCACTGAAGAAACTCGTGTTTTGAAGGGCCATCCCCGCCGTAAGTCGAGAACATACCCTAGGTCCCCGCCGCAACTCGAGAAAAACCACAAGACTTCCCTCTAGAGGCGAGATGAGGCCCCATTCCCCTGCAGTGCATGCAGAGCTACTCCGTGATCCCATTCAAACAAGTCAGGAGCTTCGACTTGCTTAATGGATCTCGAGACAGTCCCCAAGAACACTGTCACCAGTCTAGACGGACCCTGAGGTCACCCCAGCAGCGCAGAGCAGCTCCATGTGCCCCAAATCAACTCGAGATGAGGCCCGATTCCCCTGCATTGACTCCAGAGCCATTCCCCGTTCCCCATTCAACACGACCGGTGGCTCGACTTCCTTCAGGCCACTGCAGAGATGCCCCGAGCACACTCTCCCAAGTCTAGAGGAACACCAACTTCAGCACAGCAACTCGAGGAATGCTCCGTGTACCCCAAATCGTCTCGAGATGAGAGCTGATTCCCTGGGTTAGGCTCAAGACGTATGCCAACTTTCCAGAAGCACCTCAGGAGGAGGCTTCTCTCAGCAATAGGTATGTGGGAGGGACCCCGAGTTTGCTGCCTCAAGGGGAACATACAGCGAGAAGCCCTAACTTGAAAGGAGGCCGGATTTCCTTGCAGTGGCTTGAATACAGGCCCGTCTTTCATCTCACAACATGAAGGGATGTCTGAATCCCCTTGGAGAACTTAGAGAAAGCCCTAGGCCCTGCCTCATTTTGACGGAATGCCTCACATCCCGCTGACACCTCGAGAGGCACACGGAGTTCATTGCTTCAAAAGGTGACGATGCCTGAATCCTCTTGAATAGTGATAGGAATCCCAAAATCCCTGTAGCTACTGGAAAGGGTCCTTGGGTGCCCTGCCTCACCTCGAGAAGCGTCCCGTTTGCCCTGCCAAGCCTCGAAGAGATTCCTGAGGTGTCCTTCGTTACTAGACAGGAGTCCTGACGTCACTGAAGAAACTCGTGTTTTGAAGGGCCATCCCCGCCTTAAGTCGAGAACATACACCAGGTCCCCGCCGCAACTCGAGAAAAACCATGAGACTTACCCCTAGAGGCGAGATGAGGCCCCATTCCCCTGCAGTGCATGCAGAGCTATTCCGTGATCCCATTCAAACAAGTCAGGAGCTTCGACTTGCTTAATGGATCTCGAGACAGTCCCCAAGAACACTGTCACCAGTCTAGACGGACCCTGAGGTCACCCCAGCAGCGCAGAGCAGCTCCATGTGGCCCAAATCAACTCGAGATGAGGCCCGATTCCCCTGCATTGACTCCAGAGCCATTCCCCGTTCCCCATTCAACACGACCGGTGGCTCGACTTACTTCAGGCCAATGCAGAGATGCCCCGAGCACACTGTCCCAAGTCTTGAGGAACACCAACTTCAGCACAGCAACTCGAGGAATGCTCCGTGTACCCCAAATCGTCTCGAGATGAGAGCTGATTCCGTGGCTTAGGCTCAAGACGTATGCCAACTTTCCAGAAGCAACTCAGGAGGAGGCTTCTCTCAGCAATGGGTATGTGGGAGGGACCCCGAGTTTGCTGCCTCAAGGGGAACATACAGCGAGAAGCCCTAAGTTGAAAGGAGGCCGGATTTCCTTGCAGTGGCTTGAATACAGGCCCGTCTTTCATCTCACAACATGAAGGGATGTCTGAATCCCCTGTGGAGACCTTAGAGAAAGCCCTAGGTCCCTGCCTCATTTTGACGGAATGCCTCACATCCCGCTGACACCTCAAGAGGCACGCGGAGTTCATTGCTTCAAAAGGTGACGATGCCTGACTCCTCTTGAATACTGATAGGAATCCCAAAATCCCTGTGAGTTCTTGAAAGGGTTCTTGGGTGCCCTGCCTCACCTCGAGAAGCGTCCCTTTTGCCCTGCCAAGCCTCGAAGAGATTCCTGAGGTGTCCCGCGTTACTAGACAGGAGTCCTGACGTCACTGAAGAAACTCGTGTTTTGAAGGGCCATCCCCGCCGTAAGTCGAGAACATACCCTAGGTCCCCGCCGCAACTCGAGAAAAACCACAAGACTTCCCTCTAGAGGCGAGATGAGGCCCCATTCCCCTGCAGTGCATGCAGAGCTACTCCGTGATCCCATTCAAACAAGTCAGGAGCTTCGACTTGCTTAATGGATCTCGAGACAGTCCCCAAGAACACTGTCACCAGTCTAGACGGACCCTGAGGTCACCCCAGCAGCGCAGAGCAGCTCCATGTGCCCCAAATCAACTCGAGATGAGGCCCGATTCCCCTGCATTGACTCCAGAGCCATTCCCCGTTCCCCATTCAACACGACCGGTGGCTCGACTTCCTTCAGGCCACTGCAGAGATGCCCCGAGCACACTGTCCCAAGTCTAGAGGAACACCAACTTCAGCACAGCAACTCGAGGAATGCTCCGTGTACCCCAAATCGTCTCGAGATGAGAGCTGATTCCCTGGCTTAGGCTCAAGACGTATGCCAACTTTCCAGAAGCACCTCAGGAGGAGGCTTCTCTCAGCAATAGGTATGTGGGAGGGACCCCGAGTTTGCTGCCTCAAGGGGAACATACAGCGAGAAGCCCTAACTTGAAAGGAGGCCGGATTTCCTTGCAGTGGCTTGAATACAGGCCCGTCTTTCATCTCACAACATGAAGGGATGTCTGAATCCCCTTGGAGAACTTAGAGAAAGCCCTAGGCCCTGCCTCATTTTGACGGAATGCCTCACATCCCGCTGACACCTCGAGAGGCACACGGAGTTCATTGCTTCAAAAGGTGACGATGCCTGACTCCTCTTGAATACTGATAGGAATCCCAAAATCCCTGTAGCTACTGGAAAGGGTCCTTGGGTGCCCTGCCTCACCTCGAGAAGCGTCCCGTTTGCCCTGCCAAGCCTCGAAGAGATTCCTGAGGTGTCCTTCGTTACTAGACAGGAGTCCTGACGTCACTGAAGAAACTCGTGTTTTGAAGGGCCATCCCCGCCTTAAGTCGAGAACATACACCAGGTCCCCGCCGCAACTCGAGAAAAACCATGAGACTTACCCCTAGAGGCGAGATGAGGCCCCATTCCCCTGCAGTGCATGCAGAGCTATTCCGTGATCCCATTCAAACAAGTCAGGAGCTTCGACTTGCTTAATGGATCTCGAGACAGTCCCCAAGAACACTGTCACCAGTCTAGACGGACCCTGAGGTCACCCCAGCAGCGCAGAGCAGCTCCATGTGGCCCAAATCAACTCGAGATGAGGCCCGATTCCCCTGCATTGACTCCAGAGCCATTCCCCGTTCCCCATTCAACACGACCGGTGGCTCGACTTACTTCAGGCCAATGCAGAGATGCCCCGAGCACACTGTCCCAAGTCTAGAGGAACACCAACTTCAGCACAGCAACTCGAGGAATGCTCCGTGTACCCCAAATCGTCTCGAGATGAGAGCTGATTCCGTGGCTTAGGCTCAAGACGTATGCCAACTTTCCAGAAGCAACTCAGGAGGAGGCTTCTCTCAGCAATGGGTATGTGGGAGGGACCCCGAGTTTGCTGCCTCAAGGGGAACATACAGCGAGAAGCCCTAAGTTGAAAGGAGGCCGGATTTCCTTGCAGTGGCTTGAATACAGGCCCGTCTTTCATCTCACAACATGAAGGGATGTCTGAATCCCCTGTGGAGACCTTAGAGAAAGCCCTAGGTCCCTGCCTCATTTTGACGGAATGCCTCACATCCCGCTGACACCTCAAGAGGCACGCGGAGTTCATTGCTTCAAAAGGTGACGATGCCTGACTCCTCTTGAATACTGATAGGAATCCCAAAATCCCTGTGAGTTCTTGAAAGGGTTCTTGGGTGCCCTGCCTCACCTCGAGAAGCGTCCCTTTTGCCCTGCCAAGCCTCGAAGAGATTCCTGAGGTGTCCCGCGTTACTAGACAGGAGTCCTGACGTCACTGAAGAAACTCGTGTTTTGAAGGGCCATCCCCGCCGTAAGTCGAGAACATACCCTAGGTCCCCGCCGCAACTCGAGAAAAACCACAAGACTTCCCTCTAGAGGCGAGATGAGGCCCCATTCCCCTGCAGTGCATGCAGAGCTACTCCGTGATCCCATTCAAACAAGTCAGGAGCTTCGACTTGCTTAATGGATCTCGAGACAGTCCCCAAGAACACTGTCACCAGTCTAGACGGACCCTGAGGTCACCCCAGCAGCGCAGAGCAGCTCCATGTGCCCCAAATCAACTCGAGATGAGGCCCGATTCCCGTGCATTGACTCCAGAGCCATTCCCCGTTCCCCATTCAACACGACCGGTGGCTCGACTTCCTTCAGGCCACTGCAGAGATGCCCCGAGCACACTCTCCCAAGTCTAGAGGAACACCAACTTCAGCACAGCAACTCGAGGAATGCTCCGTGTACCCCAAATCGTCTCGAGATGAGAGCTGATTCCCTGGCTTAGGCTCAAGACGTATGCCAACTTTCCAGAAGCACCTCAGGAGGAGGCTTCTCTCAGCAATAGGTATGTGGGAGGGACCCCGAGTTTGCTGCCTCAAGGGGAACATACAGCGAGAAGCCCTAACTTGAAAGGAGGCCGGATTTCCTTGCAGTGGCTTGAATACAGGCCCGTCTTTCATCTCACAACATGAAGGGATGTCTGAATCCCCTGTGGAGACCTTAGAGAAAGCCCTAGGTCCCTGCCTCATTTTGACGGAATGCCTCACATCCCGCTGACACCTCAAGAGGCACGCGGAGTTCATTTCTTCAAAAGGTGACGATGCCTGACTCCTCTTGAATACTGATAGGAATCCCAAAATCCCTGTGAGTTCTTGAAAGGGTTCTTGGGTGCCCTGCCTCACCTCGAGAAGCGTCCCTTTTGCCCTGCCAAGCCTCGAAGAGATTCCTGAGGTGTCCCGCGTTACTAGACAGGAGTCCTGACGTCACTGAAGAAACTCGTGTTTTGAAGGGCCATCCCCGCCGTAAGTCGAGAACATACCCTAGGTCCCCGCCGCAACTCGAGAAAAACCACAAGACTTCCCTCTAGAGGCGAGATGAGGCCCCATTCCCCTGCAGTGCATGCAGAGCTACTCCGTGATCCCATTCAAACAAGTCAGGAGCTTCGACTTGCTTAATGGATCTCGAGACAGTCCCCAAGAACACTGTCACCAGTCTAGACGGACCCTGAGGTCACCCCAGCAGCGCAGAGCAGCTCCATGTGCCCCAAATCAACTCGAGATGAGGCCCGATTCCCGTGCATTGACTCCAGAGCCATTCCCCGTTTCCCATTCAACACGACCGGTGGCTCGACTTCCTTCAGGCCACTGCAGAGATGCCCCGAGCCCACTCTCCCAAGTCTAGAGGAACACCAACTTCAGCACAGCAACTCGAGGAATGCTCCGTGTACCCCAAATCGTCTCGAGATGAGAGCTGATTCCCTGGGTTAGGCTCAAGACGTATGCCAACTTTCCAGAAGCACCTCAGGAGGAGGCTTCTCTCAGCAATAGGTATGTGGGAGGGACCCCGAGTTTGCTGCCTCAAGGGGAACATACAGCGAGAAGCCCTAACTTGAAAGGAGGCCGGATTTCCTTGCAGTGGCTTGAATACAGGCCCGTCTTTCATCTCACAACATGAAGGGATGTCTGAATCCCCTTGGAGAACTTAGAGAAAGCCCTAGGCCCTGCCTCATTTTGACGGAATGCCTCACATCCCGCTGACACCTCGAGAGGCACACGGAGTTCATTGCTTCAAAAGGTGACGATGCCTGAATCCTCTTGAATAGTGATAGGAATCCCAAAATCCCTGTAGCTACTGGAAAGGGTCCTTGGGTGCCCTGCCTCACCTCGAGAAGCGTCCCGTTTGCCCTGCCAAGCCTCGAAGAGATTCCTGAGGTGTCCTTCGTTACTAGACAGGAGTCCTGACGTCACTGAAGAAACTCGTGTTTTGAAGGGCCATCCCCGCCTTAAGTCGAGAACATACACCAGGTCCCCGCCGCAACTCGAGAAAAACCATGAGACTTACCCCTAGAGGCGAGATGAGGCCCCATTCCCCTGCAGTGCATGCAGAGCTATTCCGTGATCCCATTCAAACAAGTCAGGAGCTTCGACTTGCTTAATGGATCTCGAGACAGTCCCCAAGAACACTGTCACCAGTCTAGACGGACCCTGAGGTCACCCCAGCAGCGCAGAGCAGCTCCATGTGGCCCAAATCAACTCGAGATGAGGCCCGATTCCCCTGCATTGACTCCAGAGCCATTCCCCGTTCCCCATTCAACACGACCGGTGGCTCGACTTACTTCAGGCCAATGCAGAGATGCCCCGAGCACACTGTCCCAAGTCTAGAGGAACACCAACTTCAGCACAGCAACTCGAGGAATGCTCCGTGTACCCCAAATCGTCTCGAGATGAGAGCTGATTCCGTGGCTTAGGCTCAAGACGTATACCAACTTTCCAGAAGCAACTCAGGAGGAGGCTTTTCTCAGCAATGGGTATGTGGGAGGGACCCCGAGTTTGCTGCCTCAAGGGGAACATACAGCGAGAAGCCCTAAGTTGAAAGGAGGCCGGATTTCCTTGCAGTGGCTTGAATACAGGCCCGTCTTTCATCTCACAACATGAAGGGATGTCTGAATCCCCTGTGGAGACCTTAGAGAAAGCCCTAGGTCCCTGCCTCATTTTGACGGAATGCCTCACATCCCGCTGACACCTCAAGAGGCACGCGGAGTTCATTGCTTCAAAAGGTGACGATGCCTGACTCCTCTTGAATACTGATAGGAATCCCAAAATCCCTGTGAGTTCTTGAAAGGGTTCTTGGGTGCCCTGCCTCACCTCGAGAAGCGTCCCTTTTGCCCTGCTAAGCCTCGAAGAGATTCCTGAGGTGTCCCGCGTTACTAGACAGGAGTCCTGACGTCACTGAAGAAACTCGTGTTTTGAAGGGCCATCCCCGCCGTAAGTCGAGAACATACCCTAGGTCCCCGCCGCAACTCGAGAAAAACCACAAGACTTCCCTCTAGAGGCGAGATGAGGCCCCATTCCCCTGCAGTGCATGCAGAGCTACTCCGTGATCCCATTCAAACAAGTCAGGAGCTTCGACTTGCTTAATGGATCTCGAGACAGTCCCCAAGAACACTGTCACCAGTCTAGACGGACCCTGAGGTCACCCCAGCAGCGCAGAGCACCTCCATGTGCCCCAAATCAACTCGAGATGAGGCCCGATTCCCGTGCATTGACTCCAGAGCCATTCCCCGTTCCCCATTCAACACGACCGGTGGCTCGACTTCCTTCAGGCCACTGCAGAGATGCCCCGAGCACACTCTCCCAAGTCTAGAGGAACACCAACTTCAGCACAGCAACTCGAGGAATGCTCCGTGTACCCCAAATCGTCTCGAGATGAGAGCTGATTCCCTGGCTTAGGCTCAAGACGTATGCCAACTTTCCAGAAGCACCTCAGGAGGAGGCTTCTCTCAGCAATAGGTATGTGGGAGGGACCCCGAGTTTGCTGCCTCAAGGGGAACATACAGCGAGAAGCCCTAACTTGAAAGGAGGCCGGATTTCCTTGCAGTGGCTTGAATACAGGCCCGTCTTTCATCTCACAACATGAAGGGATGTCTGAATCCCCTTGGAGAACTTAGAGAAAGCCCTAGGCCCTGCCTCATTTTGACGGAATGCCTCACATCCCGCTGACACCTCGAGAGGCACACGGAGTTCATTGCTTCAAAAGGTGACGATGCCTGAATCCTCTTGAATAGTGATAGGAATCCCAAAATCCCTGTAGCTACTGGAAAGGGTCCTTGGGTGCCCTGCCTCACCTCGAGAAGCGTCCCGTTTGCCCTGCCAAGCCTCGAAGAGATTCCTGAGGTGTCCTTCGTTACTAGACAGGAGTCCTGACGTCACTGAAGAAACTCGTGTTTTGAAGGGCCATCCCCGCCTTAAGTCGAGAACATACACCAGGTCCCCGCCGCAACTCGAGAAAAACCATGAGACTTACCCCTAGAGGCGAGATGAGGCCCCATTCCCCTGCAGTGCATGCAGAGCTATTCCGTGATCCCATTCAAACAAGTCAGGAGCTTCGACTTGCTTAATGGATCTCGAGACAGTCCCCAAGAACACTGTCACCAGTCTAGACGGACCCTGAGGTCACCCCAGCAGCGCAGAGCAGCTCCATGTGGCCCAAATCAACTCGAGATGAGGCCCGATTCCCCTGCATTGACTCCAGAGCCATTCCCCGTTCCCCATTCAACACGACCGGTGGCTCGACTTACTTCAGGCCAATGCAGAGATGCCCCGAGCACACTGTCCCAAGTCTAGAGGAACACCAACTTCAGCACAGCAACTCGAGGAATGCTCCGTGTACCCCAAATCGTCTCGAGATGAGAGCTGATTCCGTGGCTTAGGCTCAAGACGTATGCCAACTTTCCAGAAGCAACTCAGGAGGAGGCTTCTCTCAGCAATGGGTATGTGGGAGGGACCCCGAGTTTGCTGCCTCAAGGGGAACATACAGCGAGAAGCCCTAAGTTGAAAGGAGGCCGGATTTCCTTGCAGTGGCTTGAATACAGGCCCGTCTTTCATCTCACAACATGAAGGGATGTCTGAATCCCCTGTGGAGACCTTAGAGAAAGCCCTAGGTCCCTGCCTCATTTTGACGGAATGCCTCACATCCCGCTGACACCTCAAGAGGCACGCGGAGTTCATTGCTTCAAAAGGTGACGATGCCTGACTCCTCTTGAATACTGATAGGAATCCCAAAATCCCTGTGAGTTCTTGAAAGGGTTCTTGGGTGCCCTGCCTCACCTCGAGAAGCGTCCCTTTTGCCCTGCCAAGCCTCGAAGAGATTCCTGAGGTGTCCCGCGTTACTAGACAGGAGTCCTGACGTCACTGAAGAAACTCGTGTTTTGAAGGGCCATCCCCGCCGTAAGTCGAGAACATACCCTAGGTCCCCGCCGCAACTCGAGAAAAACCACAAGACTTCCCTCTAGAGGCGAGATGAGGCCCCATTCCCCTGCAGTGCATGCAGAGCTACTCCGTGATCCCATTCAAACAAGTCAGGAGCTTCGACTTGCTTAATGGATCTCGAGACAGTCCCCAAGAACACTGTCACCAGTCTAGACGGACCCTGAGGTCACCCCAGCAGCGCAGAGCAGCTCCATGTGCCCCAAATCAACTCGAGATGAGGCCCGATTCCCCTGCATTGACTCCAGAGCCATTCCCCGTTCCCCATTCAACACGACCGGTGGCTCGACTTCCTTCAGGCCACTGCAGAGATGCCCCGAGCACACTCTCCCAAGTCTAGAGGAACACCAACTTCAGCACAGCAACTCGAGGAATGCTCCGTGTACCCCAAATCGTCTCGAGATGAGAGCTGATTCCCTGGCTTAGGCTCAAGACGTATGCCAACTTTCCAGAAGCACCTCAGGAGGAGGCTTCTCTCAGCAATAGGTATGTGGGAGGGACCCCGAGTTTGCTGCCTCAAGGGGAACATACAGCGAGAAGCCCTAACTTGAAAGGAGGCCGGATTTCCTTGCAGTGGCTTGAATACAGGCCCGTCTTTCATCTCACAACATGAAGGGATGTCTGAATCCCCTTGGAGAACTTAGAGAAAGCCCTAGGCCCTGCCTCATTTTGACGGAATGCCTCACATCCCGCTGACACCTCGAGAGGCACACGGAGTTCATTGCTTCAAAAGGTGACGATGCCTGAATCCTCTTGAATAGTGATAGGAATCCCAAAATCCCTGTAGCTACTGGAAAGGGTCCTTGGGTGCCCTGCCTCACCTCGAGAAGCGTCCCGTTTGCCCTGCCAAGCCTCGAAGAGATTCCTGAGGTGTCCTTCGTTACTAGACAGGAGTCCTGACGTCACTGAAGAAACTCGTGTTTTGAAGGGCCATCCCCGCCTTAAGTCGAGAACATACACCAGGTCCCCGCCGCAACTCGAGAAAAACCATGAGACTTACCCCTAGAGGCGAGATGAGGCCCCATTCCCCTGCAGTGCATGCAGAGCTATTCCGTGATCCCATTCAAACAAGTCAGGAGCTTCGACTTGCTTAATGGATCTCGAGACAGTCCCCAAGAACACTGTCACCAGTCTAGACGGACCCTGAGGTCACCCCAGCAGCGCAGAGCAGCTCCATGTGGCCCAAATCAACTCGAGATGAGGCCCGATTCCCCTGCATTGACTCCAGAGCCATTCCCCGTTCCCCATTCAACACGACCGGTGGCTCGACTTACTTCAGGCCAATGCAGAGATGCCCCGAGCACACTGTCCCAAGTCTAGAGGAACACCAACTTCAGCACAGCAACTCGAGGAATGCTCCGTGTACCCCAAATCGTCTCGAGATGAGAGCTGATTCCGTGGCTTAGGCTCAAGACGTATGCCAACTTTCCAGAAGCAACTCAGGAGGAGGCTTCTCTCAGCAATGGGTATGTGGGAGGGACCCCGAGTTTGCTGCCTCAAGGGGAACATACAGCGAGAAGCCCTAAGTTGAAAGGAGGCCGGATTTCCTTGCAGTGGCTTGAATACAGGCCCGTCTTTCATCTCACAACATGAAGGGATGTCTGAATCCCCTGTGGAGACCTTAGAGAAAGCCCTAGGTCCCTGCCTCATTTTGACGGAATGCCTCACATCCCGCTGACACCTCAAGAGGCACGCGGAGTTCATTGCTTCAAAAGGTGACGATGCCTGACTCCTCTTGAATACTGATAGGAATCCCAAAATCCCTGTGAGTTCTTGAAAGGGTTCTTGGGTGCCCTGCCTCACCTCGAGAAGCGTCCCTTTTGCCCTGCCAAGCCTCGAAGAGATTCCTGAGGTGTCCCGCGTTACTAGACAGGAGTCCTGACGTCACTGAAGAAACTCGTGTTTTGAAGGGCCATCCCCGCCGTAAGTCGAGAACATACCCTAGGTCCCCGCCGCAACTCGAGAAAAACCACAAGACTTCCCTCTAGAGGCGAGATGAGGCCCCATTCCCCTGCAGTGCATGCAGAGCTACTCCGTGATCCCATTCAAACAAGTCAGGAGCTTCGACTTGCTTAATGGATCTCGAGACAGTCCCCAAGAACACTGTCACCAGTCCAGACGGACCCTGAGGTCACCCCAGCAGCGCAGAGCAGCTCCATGTGCCCCAAATCAACTCGAGATGAGGCCCGATTCCCCTGCATTGACTCCAGAGCCATTCCCCGTTCCCCATTCAACACGACCGGTGGCTCGACTTCCTTCAGGCCACTGCAGAGATGCCCCGAGCACACTCTCCCAAGTCTAGAGGAACACCAACTTCAGCACAGCAACTCGAGGAATGCTCCGTGTACCCCAAATCGTCTCGAGATGAGAGCTGATTGACTGGCTTAGGCTCAAGACGTATGCCAACTTTCCAGAAGCACCTCAGGAGGAGGCTTCTCTCAGCAATAGGTATGTGGGAGGGACCCCGAGTTTGCTGCCTCAAGGGGAACATACAGCGAGAAGCCCTAACTTGAAAGGAGGCCGGATTTCCTTGCAGTGGCTTGAATACAGGCCCGTCTTTCATCTCACAACATGAAGGGATGTCTGAATCCCCTTGGAGAACTTAGAGAAAGCCCTAGGCCCTGCCTCATTTTGACGGAATGCCTCACATCCCGCTGACACCTCGAGAGGCACACGGAGTTCATTGCTTCAAAAGGTGACGATGCCTGAATCCTCTTGAATAGTGATAGGAATCCCAAAATCCCTGTAGCTACTGGAAAGGGTCCTTGGGTGCCCTGCCTCACCTCGAGAAGCGTCCCGTTTGCCCTGCCAAGCCTCGAAGAGATTCCTGAGGTGTCCTTCGTTACTAGACAGGAGTCCTGACGTCACTGAAGAAACTCGTGTTTTGAAGGGCCATCCCCGCCTTAAGTCGAGAACATACACCAGGTCCCCGCCGCAACTCGAGAAAAACCATGAGACTTACCCCTAGAGGCGAGATGAGGCCCCATTCCCCTGCAGTGCATGCAGAGCTATTCCGTGATCCCATTCAAACAAGTCAGGAGCTTCGACTTGCTTAATGGATCTCGAGACAGTCCCCAAGAACACTGTCACCAGTCTAGACGGACCCTGAGGTCACCCCAGCAGCGCAGAGCAGCTCCATGTGGCCCAAATCAACTCGAGATGAGGCCCGATTCCCCTGCATTGACTCCAGAGCCATTCCCCGTTCCCCATTCAACACGACCGGTGGCTCGACTTACTTCAGGCCAATGCAGAGATGCCCCGAGCACACTGTCCCAAGTCTAGAGGAACACCAACTTCAGCACAGCAACTCGAGGAATGCTCCGTGTACCCCAAATCGTCTCGAGATGAGAGCTGATTCCGTGGCTTAGGCTCAAGACGTATGCCAACTTTCCAGAAGCAACTCAGGAGGAGGCTTCTCTCAGCAATGGGTATGTGGGAGGGACCCCGAGTTTGCTGCCTCAAGGGGAACATACAGCGAGAAGCCCTAAGTTGAAAGGAGGCCGGATTTCCTTGCAGTGGCTTGAATACAGGCCCGTCTTTCATCTCACAACATGAAGGGATGTCTGAATCCCCTGTGGAGACCTTAGAGAAAGCCCTAGGTCCCTGCCTCATTTTGACGGAATGCCTCACATCCCGCTGACACCTCAAGAGGCACGCGGAGTTCATTGCTTCAAAAGGTGACGATGCCTGACTCCTCTTGAATACTGATAGGAATCCCAAAATCCCTGTGAGTTCTTGAAAGGGTTCTTGGGTGCCCTGCCTCACCTCGAGAAGCGTCCCTTTTGCCCTGCCAAGCCTCGAAGAGATTCCTGAGGTGTCCCGCGTTACTAGACAGGAGTCCTGACGTCACTGAAGAAACTCGTGTTTTGAAGGGCCATCCCCGCCGTAAGTCGAGAACATACCCTAGGTCCCCGCCGCAACTCGAGAAAAACCACAAGACTTCCCTCTAGAGGCGAGATGAGGCCCCATTCCCCTGCAGTGCATGCAGAGCTACTCCGTGATCCCATTCAAACAAGTCAGGAGCTTCGACTTGCTTAATGGATCTCGAGACAGTCCCCAAGAACACTGTCACCAGTCTAGACGGACCCTGAGGTCACCCCAGCAGCGCAGAGCAGCTCCATGTGCCCCAAATCAACTCGAGATGAGGCCCGATTCCCCTGCATTGACTCCAGAGCCATTCCCCGTTCCCCATTCAACACGACCGGTGGCTCGACTTCCTTCAGGCCACTGCAGAGATGCCCCGAGCACACTCTCCCAAGTCTAGAGGAACACCAACTGCAGCACAGCAACTCGAGGAATGCTCCGTGTACCCCAAATCGTCTCGAGATGAGAGCTGATTCCCTGGCTTAGGCTCAAGACGTATGCCAACTTTCCAGAAGCACCTCAGGAGGAGGCTTCTCTCAGCAATAGGTATGTGGGAGGGACCCCGAGTTTGCTGCCTCAAGGGGAACATACAGCGAGAAGCCCTAACTTGAAAGGAGGCCGGATTTCCTTGCAGTGGCTTGAATACAGGCCCGTCTTTCATCTCACAACATGAAGGGATGTCTGAATCCCCTTGGAGAACTTAGAGAAAGCCCTAGGCCCTGCCTCATTTTGACGGAATGCCTCACATCCCGCTGACACCTCGAGAGGCACACGGAGTTCATTGCTTCAAAAGGTGACGATGCCTGAATCCTCTTGAATAGTGATAGGAATCCCAAAATCCCTGTAGCTACTGGAAAGGGTCCTTGGGTGCCCTGCCTCACCTCGAGAAGCGTCCCGTTTGCCCTGCCAAGCCTCGAAGAGATTCCTGAGGTGTCCTTCGTTACTAGACAGGAGTCCTGACGTCACTGAAGAAACTCGTGTTTTGAAGAGCCATCCCCGCCTTAAGTCGAGAACATACACCAGGTCCCCGCCGCAACTCGAGAAAAACCATGAGACTTACCCCTAGAGGCGAGATGAGGCCCCATTCCCCTGCAGTGCATGCAGAGCTATTCCGTGATCCCATTCAAACAAGTCAGGAGCTTCGACTTGCTTAATGGATCTCGAGACAGTCCCCAAGAACACTGTCACCAGTCTAGACGGACCCTGAGGTCACCCCAGCAGCGCAGAGCAGCTCCATGTGGCCCAAATCAACTCGAGATGAGGCCCGATTCCCCTGCATTGACTCCAGAGCCATTCCCCGTTCCCCATTCAACACGACCGGTGGCTCGACTTACTTCAGGCCAATGCAGAGATGCCCCGAGCACACTGTCCCAAGTCTAGAGGAACACCAACTTCAGCACAGCAACTCGAGGAATGCTCCGTGTACCCCAAATCGTCTCGAGATGAGAGCTGATTCCGTGGCTTAGGCTCAAGACGTATGCCAACTTTCCAGAAGCAACTCAGGAGGAGGCTTCTCTCAGCAATGGGTATGTGGGAGGGACCCCGAGTTTGCTGCCTCAAGGGGAACATACAGCGAGAAGCCCTAAGTTGAAAGGAGGCCGGATTTCCTTGCAGTGGCTTGAATACAGGCCCGTCTTTCATCTCACAACATGAAGGGATTTCTGAATCCCCTGTGGAGACCTTAGAGAAAGCCCTAGGTCCCTGCCTCATTTTGACGGAATGCCTCACATCCCGCTGACACCTCAAGAGGCACGCGGAGTTCATTGCTTCAAAAGGTGACGATGCCTGACTCCTCTTGAATACTGATAGGAATCCCAAAATCCCTGTGAGTTCTTGAAAGGGTTCTTGGGTGCCCTGCCTCACCTCGAGAAGCGTCCCTTTTGCCCTGCCAAGCCTCGAAGAGATTCCTGAGGTGTCCCGCGTTACTAGACAGGAGTCCTGACGTCACTGAAGAAACTCGTGTTTTGAAGGGCCATCCCCGCCGTAAGTCGAGAACATACCCTAGGTCCCCGCCGCAACTCGAGAAAAACCACAACACTTCCCTCTAGAGGCGAGATGAGGCCCCATTCCCCTGCAGTGCATGCAGAGCTACTCCGTGATCCCATTCAAACAAGTCAGGAGCTTCGACTTGCTTAATGGATCTCGAGACAGTCCCCAAGAACACTGTCACCAGTCTAGACGGACCCTGAGGTCACCCCAGCAGCGCAGAGCAGCTCCATGTGCCCCAAATCAACTCGAGATGAGGCCCGATTCCCGTGCATTGACTCCAGAGCCATTCCCCGTTCCCCATTCAACACGACCGGTGGCCCGACTTCCTTCAGGCCACTGCAGAGATGCCCCGAGCACACTCTCCCAAGTCTAGAGGAACACCAACTTCAGCACAGCAACTCGAGGAATGCTCCGTGTACCCCAAATCGTCTCGAGATGAGAGCTGATTCCCTGGCTTAGGCTCAAGACGTATGCCAACTTTCCAGAAGCACCTCAGGAGGAGGCTTCTCTCAGCAATAGGTATGTGGGAGGGACCCCGAGTTTGCTGCCTCAAGGGGAACATACAGCGAGAAGCCCTAACTTGAAAGGAGGCCGGATTTCCTTGCAGTGGCTTGAATACAGGCCCGTCTTTCATCTCACAACATGAAGGGATGTCTGAATCCCCTTGGAGAACTTAGAGAAAGCCCTAGGCCCTGCCTCATTTTGACGGAATGCCTCACATCCCGCTGACACCTCGAGAGGCACACGGAGTTCTTTGCTTCAAAAGGTGACGATGCCTGAATCCTCTTGAATAGTGATAGGAATCCCAAAATCCCTGTAGCTACTGGAAAGGGTCCTTGGGTGCCCTGCCTCACCTCGAGAAGCGTCCCGTTTGCCCTGCCAAGCCTCGAAGAGATTCCTGAGGTGTCCTTCGTTACTAGACAGGAGTCCTGACGTCACTGAAGAAACTCGTGTTTTGAAGGGCCGTCCCCGCCTTAAGTCGAGAACATACACCAGGTCCCCGCCGCAACTCGAGAAAAACCATGAGACTTACCCCTAGAGGCGAGATGAGGCCCCATTCCCCTGCAGTGCATGCAGAGCTATTCCGTGATCCCATTCAAACAAGTCAGGAGCTTCGACTTGCTTAATGGATCTCGAGACAGTCCCCAAGAACACTGTCACCAGTCTAGACGGACCCTGAGGTCACCCCAGCAGCGCAGAGCAGCTCCATGTGGCCCAAATCAACTCGAGATGAGGCCCGATTCCCCTGCATTGACTCCAGAGCCATTCCCCGTTCCCCATTCAACACGACCGGTGGCTCGACTTACTTCAGGCCAATGCAGAGATGCCCCGAGCACACTGTCCCAAGTCTAGAGGAACACCAACTTCAGCACAGCAACTCGAGGAATGCTCCGTGTACCCCAAATCGTCTCGAGATGAGAGCTGATTCCGTGGCTTAGGCTCAAGACGTATGCCAACTTTCCAGAAGCAACTCAGGAGGAGGCTTCTCTCAGCAATGGGTATGTGGGAGGGACCCCGAGTTTGCTGCCTCAAGGGGAACATACAGCGAGAAGCCCTAAGTTGAAAGGAGGCCGGATTTCCTTGCAGTGGCTTGAATACAGGCCCGTCTTTCATCTCACAACATGAAGGGATGTCTGAATCCCCTGTGGAGACCTTAGAGAAAGCCCTAGGTCCCTGCCTCATTTTGACGGAATGCCTCACATCCCGCTGACACCTCAAGAGGCACGCGGAGTTCACTGCTTCAAAAGGTGACGATGCCTGACTCCTCTTGAATACTGATAGGAATCCCAAAATCCCTGTGAGTTCTTGAAAGGGTTCTTGGGTGCCCTGCCTCACCTCGAGAAGCGTCCCTTTTGCCCTGCCAAGACTCGAAGAGATTCCTGAGGTGTCCCGCGTTACTAGACAGGAGTCCTGACGTCACTGAAGAAACTCGTGTTTTGAAGGGCCATCCCCGCCGTAAGTCGAGAACATACCCTAGGTCCCCGCCGCAACTCGAGAAAAACCACAAGACTTCCCTCTAGAGGCGAGATGAGGCCCCATTCCCCTGCAGTGCATGCAGAGCTACTCCGTGATCCCATTCAAACAAGTCAGGAGCTTCGACTTGCTTAATGGATCTCGAGACAGTCCCCAAGAACACTGTCACCAGTCTAGACGGACCCTGAGGTCACCCCAGCAGCGCAGAGCAGCTCCATGTGCCCCAAATCAACTCGAGATGAGGCCCGATTCCCGTGCATTGACTCCAGAGCCATTCCCCGTTCCCCATTCAACACGACCGGTGGCTCGACTTCCTTCAGGCCACTGCAGAGATGCCCGGAGCACACTCTCCCAAGTCTAGAGGAACACCAACTTCAGCACAGCAACTCGAGGAATGCTCCGTGTACCCCAAATCGTCTCGAGATGAGAGCTGATTCCCTGGCTTAGGCTCAAGACGTATGCCAACTTTCCAGAAGCACCTCAGGAGGAGGCTTCTCTCAGCAATAGGTATGTGGGAGGGACCCCGAGTTTGCTGCCTCAAGGGGAACATACAGCGAGAAGCCCTAACTTGAAAGGAGGCCGGATTTCCTTGCAGTGGCTTGAATACAGGCCCGTCTTTCATCTCACAACATGAAGGGATGTCTGAATCCCCTTGGAGAACTTAGAGAAAGCCCTAGGCCCTGCCTCATTTTGACGGAATGCCTCACATCCCGCTGACACCTCGAGAGGCACACGGAGTTCATTGCTTCAAAAGGTGACGATGCCTGAATCCTCTTGAATAGTGATAGGAATCCCAAAATCCCTGTAGCTACTGGAAAGGGTCCTTGGGTGCCCTGCCTCACCTCGAGAAGCGTCCCGTTTGCCCTGCCAAGCCTCGAAGAGATTCCTGAGGTGTCCTTCGTTACTAGACAGGAGTCCTGACGTCACTGAAGAAACTCGTGTTTTGAAGGGCCATCCCCGCCTTAAGTCGAGAACATACACCAGGTCCCCGCCGCAACTCGAGAAAAACCATGAGACTTACCCCTAGAGGCGAGATGAGGCCCCATTCCCCTGCAGTGCATGCAGAGCTATTCCGTGATCCCATTCAAACAAGTCAGGAGCTTCGACTTGCTTAATGGATCTCGAGACAGTCCCCAAGAACACTGTCACCAGTCTAGACGGACCCTGAGGTCACCCCAGCAGCGCAGAGCAGCTCCATGTGGCCCAAATCAACTCGAGATGAGGCCCGATTCCCCTGCATTGACTCCAGAGCCATTCCCCGTTCCCCATTCAACACGACCGGTGGCTCGACTTACTTCAGGCCAATGCAGAGATGCCCCGAGCACACTGTCCCAAGTCTAGAGGAACACCAACTTCAGCACAGCAACTCGAGGAATGCTCCGTGTACCCCAAATCGTCTCGAGATGAGAGCTGATTCCGTGGCTTAGGCTCAAGACGTATGCCAACTTTCCAGAAGCAACTCAGGAGGAGGCTTCTCTCAGCAATGGGTATGTGGGAGGGACCCCGAGTTTGCTGCCTCAAGGGGAACATACAGCGAGAAGCCCTAAGTTGAAAGGAGGCCGGATTTCCTTGCAGTGGCTTGAATACAGGCCCGTCTTTCATCTCACAACATGAAGGGATGTCTGAATCCCCTGTGGAGACCTTAGAGAAAGCCCTAGGTCCCTGCCTCATTTTGACGGAATGCCTCACATCCCGCTGACACCTCAAGAGGCACGCGGAGTTCATTGCTTCAAAAGGTGACGATGCCTGACTCCTCTTGAATACTGATAGGAATCCCAAAATCCCTGTGAGTTCTTGAAAGGGTTCTTGGGTGCCCTGCCTCACCTCGAGAAGCGTCCCTTTTGCCCTGCCAAGCCTCGAAGAGATTCCTGAGGTGTCCCGCGTTACTAGACAGGAGTCCTGACGTCACTGAAGAAACTCGTGTTTTGAAGGGCCATCCCCGCCGTAAGTCGAGAACATACCCTAGGTCCCCGCCGCAACTCGAGAAAAACCACAAGACTTCCCTCTAGAGGCGAGATGAGGCCCCATTCCCCTGCAGTGCATGCAGAGCTACTCCGTGATCCCATTCAAACAAGTCAGGAGCTTCGACTTGCTTAATGGATCTCGAGACAGTCCCCAAGAACACTGTCACCAGTCTAGACGGACCCTGAGGTCACCCCAGCAGCGCAGAGCAGCTCCATGTGCCCCAAATCAACTCGAGATGAGGCCCGATTCCCCTGCATTGACTCCAGAGCCATTCCCCGTTCCCCATTCAACACGACCGGTGGCTCGACTTCCTTCAGGCCACTGCAGAGATGCCCCGAGCACACTCTCCCAAGTCTAGAGGAACACCAACTTCAGCACAGCAACTCGAGGAATGCTCCGTGTACCCCAAATCGTCTCGAGATGAGAGCTGATTCCCTGGCTTAGGCTCAAGACGTATGCCAACTTTCCAGAAGCACCTCAGGAGGAGGCTTCTCTCAGCAATAGGTATGTGGGAGGGACCCCGAGTTTGCTGCCTCAAGGGGAACATACAGCGAGAAGCCCTAACTTGAAAGGAGGCCGGATTTCCTTGCAGTGGCTTGAATACAGGCCCGTCTTTCATCTCACAACATGAAGGGATGTCTGAATCCCCTTGGAGAACTTAGAGAAAGCCCTAGGCCCTGCCTCATTTTGACGGAATGCCTCACATCCCGCTGACACCTCGAGAGGCACACGGAGTTCATTGCTTCAAAAGGTGACGATGCCTGAATCCTCTTGAATAGTGATAGGAATCCCAAAATCCCTGTAGCTACTGGAAAGGGTCCTTGGGTGCCCTGCCTCACCTCGAGAAGCGTCCCGTTTGCCCTGCCAAGCCTCGAAGAGATTCCTGAGGTGTCCTTCGTTACTAGACAGGAGTCCTGACGTCACTGAAGAAACTCGTGTTTTGAAGGGCCATCCCCGCCTTAAGTCGAGAACATACACCAGGTCCCCGCCGCAACTCGAGAAAAACCATGAGACTTACCCCTAGAGGCGAGATGAGGCCCCATTCCCCTGCAGTGCATGCAGAGCTATTCCGTGATCCCATTCAAACAAGTCAGGAGCTTCGACTTGCTTAATGGATCTCGAGACAGTCCCCAAGAACACTGTCACCAGTCTAGACGGACCCTGAGGTCACCCCAGCAGCGCAGAGCAGCTCCATGTGGCCCAAATCAACTCGAGATGAGGCCCGATTCCCCTGCATTGACTCCAGAGCCATTCCCCGTTCCCCATTCAACACGACCGGTGGCTCGACTTACTTCAGGCCAATGCAGAGATGCCCCGAGCACACTGTCCCAAGTCTAGAGGAACACCAACTTCAGCACAGCAACTCGAGGAATGCTCCGTGTACCCCAAATCGTCTCGAGATGAGAGCTGATTCCGTGGCTTAGGCTCAAGACGTATGCCAACTTTCCAGAAGCAACTCAGGAGGAGGCTTCTCTCAGCAATGGGTATGTGGGAGGGACCCCGAGTTTGCTGCCTCAAGGGGAACATACAGCGAGAAGCCCTAAGTTGAAAGGAGGCCGGATTTCCTTGCAGTGGCTTGAATACAGGCCCGTCTTTCATCTCACAACATGAAGGGATGTCTGAATCCCCTGTGGAGACCTTAGAGAAAGCCCTAGGTCCCTGCCTCATTTTGACGGAATGCCTCACATCCCGCTGACACCTCAAGAGGCACGCGGAGTTCATTGCTTCAAAAGGTGACGATGCCTGACTCCTCTTGAATACTGATAGGAATCCCAAAATCCCTGTGAGTTCTTGAAAGGGTTCTTGGGTGCCCTGCCTCACCTCGAGAAGCGTCCCTTTTGCCCTGCCAAGCCTCGAAGAGATTCCTGAGGTGTCCCGCGTTACTAGACAGGAGTCCTGACGTCACTGAAGAAACTCGTGTTTTGAAGGGCCATCCCCGCCGTAAGTCGAGAACATACCCTAGGTCCCCGCCGCAACTCGAGAAAAACCACAAGACTTCCCTCTAGAGGCGAGATGAGGCCCCATTCCCCTGCAGTGCATGCAGAGCTACTCCGTGATCCCATTCAAACAAGTCAGGAGCTTCGACTTGCTTAATGGATCTCGAGACAGTCCCCAAGAACACTGTCACCAGTCTAGACGGACCCTGAGGTCACCCCAGCAGCGCAGAGCAGCTCCATGTGGCCCAAATCAACTCGAGATGAGGCCCGATTCCCGTGCATTGACTCCAGAGCCATTCCCCGTTCCCCATTCAACACGACCGGTGGCTCGACTTCCTTCAGGCCACTGCAGAGATGCCCCGAGCACACTCTCCCAAGTCTAGAGGAACACCAACTTCAGCACAGCAACTCGAGGAATGCTCCGTGTACCCCAAATCGTCTCGAGATGAGAGCTGATTCCCTGGCTTAGGCTCAAGACGTATGCCAACTTTCCAGAAGCACCTCAGGAGGAGGCTTCTCTCAGCAATAGGTATGTGGGAGGGACCCCGAGTTTGCTGCCTCAAGGGGAACATACAGCGAGAAGCCCTAACTTGAAAGGAGGCCGGATTTCCTTGCAGTGGCTTGAATACAGGCCCGTCTTTCATCTCACAACATGAAGGGATGTCTGAATCCCCTTGGAGAACTTAGAGAAAGCCCTAGGCCCTGCCTCATTTTGACGGAATGCCTCACATCCCGCTGACACCTCGAGAGGCACACGGAGTTCATTGCTTCAAAAGGTGACGATGCCTGAATCCTCTTGAATAGTGATAGGAATCCCAAAATCCCTGTAGCTACTGGAAAGGGTCCTTGGGTGCCCTGCCTCACCTCGAGAAGCGTCCCGTTTGCCCTGCCAAGCCTCGAAGAGATTCCTGAGGTGTCCTTCGTTACTAGACAGGAGTCCTGACGTCACTGAAGAAACTCGTGTTTTGAAGGGCCATCCCCGCCTTAAGTCGAGAACATACACCAGGTCCCCGCCGCAACTCGAGAAAAACCATGAGACTTACCCCTAGAGGCGAGATGAGGCCCAATTCCCCTGCAGTGCATGCAGAGCTATTCCGTGATCCCATTCAAACAAGTCAGGAGCTTCGACTTGCTTAATGGATCTCGAGACAGTCCCCAAGAACACTGTCACCAGTCTAGACGGACCCTGAGGTCACCCCAGCAGCGCAGAGCAGCTCCATGTGGCCCAAATCAACTCGAGATGAGGCCCGATTCCCCTGCATTGACTCCAGAGCCATTCCCCGTTCCCCATTCAACACGACCGGTGGCTCGACTTACTTCAGTCCAATGCAGAGATGCCCCGAGCACACTGTCCCAAGTCTAGAGGAACACCAACTTCAGCACAGCAACTCGAGGAATGCTCCGTGTACCCCAAATCGTCTCGAGATGAGAGCTGATTCCGTGGCTTAGGCTCAAGACGTATGCCAACTTTCCAGAAGCAACTCAGGAGGAGGCTTCTCTCAGCAATGGGTATGTGGGAGGGACCCCGAGTTTGCTGCCTCAAGGGGAACATACAGCGAGAAGCCCTAAGTTGAAAGGAGGCCGGATTTCCTTGCAGTGGCTTGAATACAGGCCCGTCTTTCATCTCACAACATGAAGGGATGTCTGAATCCCCTGTGGAGACCTTAGAGAAAGCCCTAGGTCCCTGCCTCATTTTGACGGAATGCCTCACATCCCGCTGACACCTCAAGAGGCACGCGGAGTTCATTGCTTCAAAAGGTGACGATGCCTGACTCCTCTTGAATACTGATAGGAATCCCAAAATCCCTGTGAGTTCTTGAAAGGGTTCTTGGGTGCCCTGCCTCACCTCGAGAAGCGTCCCTTTTGCCCTGCCAAGCCTCGAAGAGATTCCTGAGGTGTCCCGCGTTACTAGACAGGAGTCCTGACGTCACTGAAGAAACTCGTGTTTTGAAGGGCCATCCCCGCCGTAAGTCGAGAACATACCCTAGGTCCCCGCCGCAACTCGAGAAAAACCACAAGACTTCCCTCTAGAGGCGAGATGAGGCCCCATTCCCCTGCAGTGCATGCAGAGCTACTCCGTGATCCCATTCAAACAAGTCAGGAGCTTCGACTTGCTTAATGGATCTCGAGACAGTCCCCAAGAACACTGTCACCAGTCTAGACGGACCCTGAGGTCACCCCAGCAGCGCAGAGCAGCTCCATGTGGCCCAAATCAACTCGAGATGAGGCCCGATTCCCCTGCATTGACTCCAGAGCCATTCCCCGTTCCCCATTCAACACGACCGGTGGCTCGACTTCCTTCAGGCCACTGCAGAGATGCCCCGAGCACACTCTCCCAAGTCTAGAGGAACACCAACTTCAGCACAGCAACTCGAGGAATGCTCCGTGTACCCCAAATCGTCTCGAGATGAGAGCTGATTCCGTGGCTTAGGCTCAAGACGTATGCCAACTTTCCAGAAGCAACTCAGGAGGAGGCTTCTCTCAGCAATGGGTATGTGGGAGGGACCCCGAGTTTGCTGCCTCAAGGGGAACATACAGCGAGAAGCCCTAAGTTGAAAGGAGGCCGGATTTCCTTGCAGTGGCTTGAATACAGGCCCGTCTTTCATCTCACAACATGAAGGGATGTCTGAATCCCCTGTGGAGACCTTAGAGAAAGCCCTAGGTCCCTGCCTCATTTTGACGGAATGCCTCACATCCCTCTGACACCTCAAGAGGCACGCGGAGTTCATTGCTTCAAAAGGTGACGATGCCTGACTCCTCTTGAATACTGATAGGAATCCCAAAATCCCTGTGAGTTCTTGAAAGGGTTCTTGGGTGCCCTGCCTCACCTCGAGAAGCGTCCCTTTTGCCCTGCCAAGCCTCGAAGAGATTCCTGAGGTGTCCCGCGTTACTAGACAGGAGTCCTGACGTCACTGAAGAAACTCGTGTTTTGAAGGGCCATCCCCGCCGTAAGTCGAGAACATACCCTAGGTCCCCGCCGCAACTCGAGAAAAACCACAAGACTTCCCTCTAGAGGCGAGATGAGGCCCCATTCCCCTGCAGTGCATGCAGAGCTACTCCGTGATCCCATTCAAACAAGTCAGGAGCTTCGACTTGCTTAATGGATCTCGAGACAGTCCCCAAGAACACTGTCACCAGTCTAGACCGACCCTGAGGTCACCCCAGCAGCGCAGAGCAGCTCCATGTGCCCCAAATCAACTCGAGATGAGGCCCGATTCCCGTGCATTGACTCCAGAGCCATTCCCCGTTCCCCATTCAACACGACCGGTGGCTCGACTTCCTTCAGGCCACTGCAGAGATGCCCCGAGCACACTCTCCCAAGTCTAGAGGAACACCAACTTCAGCACAGCAACTCGAGGAATGCTCCGTGTACCCCAAATCGTCTCGAGATGAGAGCTGATTCCCTGGCTTAGGCTCAAGACGTATGCCAACTTTCCAGAAGCACCTCAGGAGGAGGCTTCTCTCAGCAATAGGTATGTGGGAGGGACCCCGAGTTTGCTGCCTCAAGGGGAACATACAGCGAGAAGCCCTAACTTGAAAGGAGGCCGGATTTCCTTGCAGTGGCTTGAATACAGGCCCGTCTTTCATCTCACAACATGAAGGGATGTCTGAATCCCCTTGGAGAACTTAGAGAAAGCCCTAGGCCCTGCCTCATTTTGACGGAATGCCTCACATCCCGCTGACACCTCGAGAGGCACACGGAGTTCATTGCTTCAAAAGGTGACGATGCCTGAATCCTCTTGAATAGTGATAGGAATCCCAAAATCCCTGTAGCTACTGGAAAGGGTCCTTGGGTGCCCTGCCTCACCTCGAGAAGCGTCCCGTTTGCCCTGCCAAGCCTCGAAGAGATTCCTGAGGTGTCCTTCGTTACTAGACAGGAGTCCTGACGTCACTGAAGAAACTCGTGTTTTGAAGGGCCATCCCCGCCTTAAGTCGAGAACATACACCAGGTCCCCGCCGCAACTCGAGAAAAACCATGAGACTTACCCCTAGAGGCGAGATGAGGCCCCATTCCCCTGCAGTGCATGCAGAGCTATTCCGTGATCCCATTCAAACAAGTCAGGAGCTTCGACTTGCTTAATGGATCTCGAGACAGTCCCCAAGAACACTGTCACCAGTCTAGACGGACCCTGAGGTCACCCCAGCAGCGCAGAGCAGCTCCATGTGGCCCAAATCAACTCGAGATGAGGCCCGATTCCCCTGCATTGACTCCAGAGCCATTCCCCGTTCCCCATTCAACACGACCGGTGGCTCGACTTACTTCAGGCCAATGCAGAGATGCCCCGAGCACACTGTCCCAAGTCTAGAGGAACACCAACTTCAGCACAGCAACTCGAGGAATGCTCCGTGTACCCCAAATCGTCTCGAGATGAGAGCTGATTCCGTGGCTTAGGCTCAAGACGTATGCCAACTTTCCAGAAGCAACTCAGGAGGAGGCTTCTCTCAGCAATGGGTATGTGGGAGGGACCCCGAGTTTGCTGCCTCAAGGGGAACATACAGCGAGAAGCCCTAAGTTGAAAGGAGGCCGGATTTCCTTGCAGTGGCTTGAATACAGGCCCGTCTTTCATCTCACAACATGAAGGGATGTCTGAATCCCCTGTGGAGACCTTAGAGAAAGCCCTAGGTCCCTGCCTCATTTTGACGGAATGCCTCACATACCGCTGACACCTCGAGAGGCACGCGGAGTTCATTGCTTCAAAAGGTGACGATGCCTGACTCCTCTTGAATACTGATAGGAATCCCAAAATCCCTGTGAGTTCTTGAAAGGGTTCTTGGGTGCCCTGCCTCACCTCGAGAAGCGTCCCTTTTGCCCTGCCAAGCCTCGAAGAGATTCCTGAGGTGTCCCGCGTTACTAGACAGGAGTCCTGACGTCACTGAAGAAACTCGTGTTTTGAAGGGCCATCCCCGCCGTAAGTCGAGAACATACCCTAGGTCCCCGCCGCAACTCGAGAAAAACCACAAGACTTCCCTCTAGAGGCGAGATGAGGCCCCATTCCCCTGCAGTGCATGCAGAGCTACTCCGTGATCCCATTCAAACAAGTCAGGAGCTTCGACTTGCTTAATGGATCTCGAGACAGTCCCCAAGAACACTGTCACCAGTCTAGACGGACCCTGAGGTCACCCCAGCAGCGCAGAGCAGCTCCATGTGCCCCAAATCAACTCGAGATGAGGCCCGATTCCCGTGCATTGACTCCAGAGCCATTCCCCGTTCCCCATTCAACACGACCGGTGGCTCGACTTCCTTCAGGCCACTGCAGAGATGCCCCGAGCACACTCTCCCAAGTCTAGAGGAACACCAACTTCAGCACAGCAACTCGAGGAATGCTCCGTGTACCCCAAATCGTCTCGAGATGAGAGCTGATTCCCTGGCTTAGGCTCAAGACGTATGCCAACTTTCCAGAAGCACCTCAGGAGGAGGCTTCTCTCAGCAATAGGTATGTGGGAGGGACCCCGAGTTTGCTGCCTCAAGGGGAACATACAGCGAGAAGCCCTAACTTGAAAGGAGGCCGGATTTCCTTGCAGTGGCTTGCATACAGGCCCGTCTTTCATCTCACAACATGAAGGGATGTCTGAATCCCCTTGGAGAACTTAGAGAAAGCCCTAGGCCCTGCCTCATTTTGACGGAATGCCTCACATCCCGCTGACACCTCGAGAGGCACACGGAGTTCATTGCTTCAAAAGGTGACGATGCCTGAATCCTCTTGAATAGTGATAGGAATCCCAGAATCCCTGTAGCTACTGGAAAGGGTCCTTGGGTGCCCTGCCTCACCTCGAGAAGCGTCCCGTTTGCCCTGCCAAGCCTCGAAGAGATTCCTGAGGTGTCCTTCGTTACTAGACAGGAGTCCTGACGTCACTGAAGGAACTCGTGTTTTGAAGGGCCATCCCCGCCTTAAGTCGAGAACATACACCAGGTCCCCGCCGCAACTCGAGAAAAACCATGAGACTTACCCCTAGAGGCGAGATGAGGCCCCATTCCCCTGCAGTGCATGCAGAGCTATTCCGTGATCCCATTCAAACAAGTCAGGAGCTTCGACTTGCTTAATGGATCTCGAGACAGTCCCCAAGAACACTGTCACCAGTCTAGACGGACCCTGAGGTCACCCCAGCAGCGCAGAGCAGATCCATGTGGCCCAAATCAACTCGAGATGAGGCCCGATTCCCCTGCATTGACTCCAGAGCCATTCCCCGTTCCCCATTCAACACGACCGGTGGCTCGACTTACTTCAGGCCAATGCAGAGATGCCCCGAGCACACTGTCCCAAGTCTAGAGGAACACCAACTTCAGCACAGCAACTCGAGGAATGCTCCGTGTACCCCAAATCGTCTCGAGATGAGAGCTGATTCCGTGGCTTAGGCTCAAGACGTATGCCAACTTTCCAGAAGCAACTCAGGAGGAGGCTTCTCTCAGCAATGGGTATGTGGGAGGGACCCCGAGTTTGCTGCCTCAAGGGGAACATACAGCGAGAAGCCCTAAGTTGAAAGGAGGCCGGATTTCCTTGCAGTGGCTTGAATACAGGCCCGTCTTTCATCTCACAACATGAAGGGATGTCTGAATCCCCTGTGGAGACCTTAGAGAAAGCCCTAGGTCCCTGCCTCATTTTGACGGAATGCCTCACATCCCGCTGACACCTCAAGAGGCACGCGGAGTTCATTGCTTCAAAAGGTGACGATGCCTGACTCCTCTTGAATACTGATAGGAATCCCAAAATCCCTGTGAGTTCTTGAAAGGGTTCTTGGGTGCCCTGCCTCACCTCGAGAAGCGTCCCTTTTGCCCTGCCAAGCCTCGAAGAGATTGCTGAGGTGTCCCGCGTTACTAGACAGGAGTCCTGACGTCACTGAAGAAACTCGTGTTTTGAAGGGCCATCCCCGCCATAAGTCGAGAACATATCCCGGGTCCCCGCCACAACTCGAGAAAAAACATGACACTTCCCCCTAGAGGCGAGATGAGGCCCCATTCCCCTGCAGTGCATACAGAGCTATTCCGTGATCCCATTCAAACAAGTCAGGAGCTTCGACTTGCTTAATGGATCTCGAGACAGTCCCCAAGAACACTGTCACCAGTCTAGACGGACCCTGAGGTTACCCCAGCAACGCAAAGCAGCTCCATGTGCCCCAAATCAACTCGAGATGAGGCCCGATTCCCCTGCATTGACTCCAGAGCCATTCCCCGTTACCCATTCAACACGACAGGTGGCTCGACTTCCTTCAGGCAACTCCAGAGATGCCCCGAGAACACTGTCCCAAGTCTAGAGGAACAACAACTTCAGCACAACAACTCGAGGAATGCTCCGTGTACCCCAAATCGTCTCGAGATGAGAGCTGATTCCCTGGCTTAGGCTCAAGACATATGCCAACTTTCCAGAAGCACCTCAGGAGGAGGCTTCTCTCAGCAATAGGTATGTGTGAGGGACCACGAGTGTGCTGCCTCAAGGGGAATATACAGCGAGAAGCCCTAACTTGAAAGGAGGCCGGATTTCCTTGCAGTGGCTTGAATACAGGCCCGTCTTTCATCTCACAACATGAAGGGATGTCTGAATCCCCTGTGGAGACATTAGAGAAAGCCCTAGGTCCCTGCCTCATTTTGACGGAATGCTTCACATCCCGCTGACACCTCGAGAGGCACGCGGAGTTCATTGCTTCAAAAGGTGACGATGCCTGACTCCTTTTGAATACTGATAGGAATCCCAAAATCCCTGTATCTTCTGGAAAGGGTTCTTGGGTGCCCTGCCTCACCTCGAGAAGCGTCCCTTTTGCCCTGCCAAGCCTCGAAGAGATTCCTGAGGTGTCCCGCGTTACTAGACAGGAGTCCTGACGTCACTGAAGAAACTCGTGTTTTGAAGGGCCATCCCCGCCGTAAGTCGAGAACATACCCCAGGTCCCCGCCGCAACTCGAGAAAAACCATGAGACTTCCCTCTAGAGGCGAGCTGAGGCCCCATTCCCCTGCAGTGCATGCAGAGCTACTCCGTGATCCCATTCAAACAAGTCAGGAGCTTCGACATGCTTAATGGATCTCGAGACAGTCCCCAAGAACACTGTCACCAGTCTAGACGGACCCTGAGGTCACCCCAGCAAAGCAAAGCAGCTCTATGTGCCCCAAATCAACTCGAGATGAGGCCCGATTCCCCTGCATTGACTCCAGAGCCTTTCCCCGTTCCCCATTCAACACGACCGGTGGCTCGACTTCCTTCAGTCCACTCCAGAGATACCCCGAGAACACTGTCCCAAGTCTAGAGGAACACCAACTTCAGCACAGCAACTCGAGGAATGCTCCATGTACCCCAAATCGCATCGAGATGAGAGCTGATTCCCTGGCTTAGGCTCAAGACGTATGCCAACTTTCCAGAAGCACCTCAGGAGGAGGCTTCTCTCAGCAATAGGTATGTGGAGGGACCCCGAGTTTGCTGCCTCAAGGGGAATATACAGCGAGAAGCCCTAACTTGAAAGGAGGCCGGATTTCCTTGCAGTGGCTTGAATACAGGCCCTTCTTTCATCTCACAACATGAAGGGATGTCTGAATCCCCTGTGGAGACCTTAGAGAAAGCCCTAGGTCCCTGCCTCATTTTGACGGAATGCCTCACATCCCGCTGACACCTCAAGAGGCACACGGAGTTCATTGCTTCAAAACGTGACGATGCCTGACTCCTCTTGAATACTGATAGGAATCCCAAAATCCCTGTTGCTACTGGAAAGGGTCCTTGGGTGCCCTGCCTCACCTCGAGAAGCTTCCCTTTTGCCCTGCCAAGCCTCGAAGAGATTCCTGAGGTGTCCCTCGTTACTAGACAGGAGTCCTGACGTCACTGAAGAAACTCGTGTTTTGAAGGGCCATCCCCGCCGTAAGTCGAGAACATACCCCAGGTCCCCGCCGCAACTCGAGAAAAAACATGAGACTTCCCCCTAGAGGCGAGATGAGGCCCCATTCCCCTGCAGTGCATGCAGAGCTATTCCGTGATCCCATTCAAACAAGTCAGGAGCTTCGACTTGCTTAATGGATCTCGAGACAGTCCCCAAGAACACTGTCACCAGTCTAGACGGACCCTGAGGTCACCCCAGCAACGCAAAGCAGCTCATGTGCCCCAAATCAATTCGAGATGAGGCCCGATTCCCCTGCATTGACTCCAGAGCCATTCCCCATTCCCCATTCAACACGACCGGTGGCTCGACTTCCTTCAGGCAACTCCAGAAATGCCCCGAGAACACTGTCCCAAGTCTAGAGGAACAACAACTTCAGCACAACAACTCGAGGAATACTCCGTGTACCCCAAATCGTCTCGAGATGAGAGCTGATTCCCTGGCTTAGGCTCAAGACATATGCCAACTTTCCAGAAACACCTCAGGAGAAGGCTTCTCTCAGCAATAGGTATGTGGGAGGGATCACGAGTAGGCTGCCTCAAGGGGAATATACAGCGAGAAGCCCTAACTTGAAAGGAGGCCGGATTTCCTTGCAGTGGCTTGAATACAGGCCCGTCTTTCATCTCACAACATGAAGGGATGTCTGAATCCCCTGTGGAGACCTTAGAGAAAGCCCTAGGTCCCTGCCTCATTTTGACGGAATTCCTCACATCCCGCTGACACCTCGACAGGCACACGGAGTTCATTGCTTCAAAATGTGACGATGCCTGACTCCTCTTGAATACTGATAGGAATCCCAAAATCCCTGTGGCTACTGGAAAGGGTCCTTGGGTGCCCTGCCTCACCTCGAGAAGCGTCCCTTTTGCCCTGACAAGCCTCGAAGAGATTCCTGAGGTGTCCCGCATTACTAGACAGGAGTCCTGACGTCACTGAAGAAACTCGTGTTTTGAAGGGCCATCCCCGCCGTAATTCGAGAACATACCCCAGGTCCCCGCCGCAACTCGAGAAAAACCATGAGACTTCCCTCTAGAGGCAAGATGAGGCCCCATTCCCCTGCAGTGCATGCAGAGCTACTCCGTGATCCCATTCAAACAAGTCAGGAGCTTCGACTTGCTTAATGGATCTCGAGACAGTCCCCAAGAACACTGTCACCAGTCTAGACGGACCGTGAGGTCACCCCAGCAAAGCAAAGCAGCTCTATGTGCCCCAAATCAACTCAAGATGAGGCCCGATTCCCCTGCATTGACGCCAGAGCCTTTCCCCGTTCCCCATTCAACACGACCGGTGGCTCGACTTCCTTCAGGCCACTCCAGCGATACCCCGAGAACACTGTCCCAAGTCTAGAGGAACACCAACTTCAGCACAACAACTCGAGGAATGCTCCGTGTACCCCAAATCGTCTCGAGATGAGAGCTGATTCCCTGGCTTAGGCTCAAGACCTATCCCAACTTTCCAGAAGCACCTCAGGAGGAGGCTTCTCTCAGCAATAGGTATGTGGGAGGGACCCCGAGTTTCCTGCCTCAAGGGGAACATACAGCGAGAAGCCCTAACTTGAAAGGAGGCCGGATTTCCTTGCAGTGGCTTGAATACAGGCCCGTCTTTCATCTCACAACATGAAGGGATGTCTGAATCCCCTTGGAGAACTTAGAGAAAGCCCTAGGCCCTGCCTCATTTTGACGGAATGCCTCACATCCCGCTGACACCTCGAGAGGCACACGGAGTTCATTGCTTCAAAAGGTGACGATGCCTGAATCCTCTTGAATAGTGATAGGAATCCCAAAATCCCTGTGGCTACTGGAAAGGGTCCTTGGGTGCCCTGCCTCACCTCGAGAAGCGTCCCTTTTGCCCTGCCAAGCCTCGAAGATATTCCTGAGGTGTCCCTCGTTACTAGACAGGAGTCCTGACGTCACTGAAGAAACTCGTGTTTTGAAGGGCCATCCCCGCCGTAAGTCGAGAACATACCCCAGGTCCCCGCCGCAACTCGAGAAAAACCATGAGACTTCCCCCTAGAGGCGAGATGAGGCCCCATTCCCCTGCAGTGCATGCAGAGCTATTCCGTGATCCCATTCAAACAAGTCAGGAGCTTCGACTTGCTTAATGGATCTCGAGACAGTCCCCAAGAACACTGTCACCAGTCTAGACGGACCCTGAGGTCACCCCAGCAAGGCAAAGCAGCTCCATGTGCCCCAAATGAACTCGAGATGAGGCCCGATTCCCCTGCATTGACTCCAGAGCCATTCCCCGTTCCCCATTCAACACGACCGGTGGCTCGACTTCCTTCAGGCCACTCCAGAGATGCCCCGAGCACACTGTCCCAAGTCTAGAGGAACACCAACTTCAGCACAGCAACTCGAGGAATGCTCCGTGTACCCCAAATCGTCTCGAGATGAGAGCTGATTACCTGGCTTAGGCTCAAGACGTATGCCAACTTTCCAGAAGCACCTCAGGAGGAGGCTTCTCTCAGCAATAGGTATGTGGGAGGGACCCCGAGTTTGCTGCCTCAAGGGGAATATACAGCGAGAAGCCCTAACTTGAAAGGAGGCCGGATTTCCTAGCGGTGGCTTGAATACAGGCCCGTCTTTCATCTCACAACATGAAGGGATGTCTGAATCCCCTGTGGAGACCTTAGAGAAAGCCCTAGGTCCCTGCCTCATTTTGACGGAATGCCTTACATCCCTCTGACACCTCGAGAGGCACACGGAGTTCATTGCTTCAAAAGGTGACGATGCCTGACTCCTCCTGAATACTGATAGGAATCCCAAAATCCCTGTGGCTACTGGAAAGGGTCCTTGGGTGCCCTGCCTCACCTCGAGAAGCATCCCTTTTGCCCTGCCAAGCCTCGAAGAGATTCCTGAGGTGTCCCTCGTTACTAGACAGGAGTCCTGACGTCACTGAAGAAACTCGTGTTTTGAAGGGCCATCCCCGCCGTAAGTCGAGAACATACCCCAGGTCCCCGCCGCAACTCGAGAAAAACCATGAGACTTCCCCCTACAGGCGAGATGAGGCCCCATTCCCCTGCAGTGCATGCAGAGCTATTCCGTGATCCCATTCAAACAAGTCAGGAGCTTCGACTTGCTTAATGGATCTCGAGACAGTCCCCAAGAACACTGTCACCAGTCTAGACGGACCCTGAGGTCACCCCAGCAGCGCAGAGCAGCTCCATGTGCCCCAAATCAACTCGAGATGAGGCCCGATTCCCCTGCATTGACTCCAGAGCCATTTCCCGTTCCCCATTCAACACGACCGGTGGCTCGACTTCCTTCAGGCCACTGCAGAGATGCCCCGAGCACACTCTCCCAAGTCTAGAGGAACACCAACTTCAGCACAGCAACTCGAGGAATGCTCCGTGTACCCCAAATCGTCTCGAGATGAGAGCTGATTCCGTGGCTTAGGCTCAAGACGTATGCCAACTTTCCAGAAGCAACTCAGGAGGAGGCTTCTCTCAGCAATGGGTATGTGGGAGGGACCCCGAGTTTGCTGCCTCAAGGGGAACATACAGCGAGAAGCCCTAAGTTGAAAGGAGGCCGGATTTCCTTGCAGTGGCTTGAATACAGGCCCGTCTTTCATCTCACAACATGAAGGGATGTCTGAATCCCCTGTGGAGACCTTAGAGAAAGCCCTAGGTCCCTGCCTCATTTTGACGGAATGCCTCACATCCCTCTGACACCTCAAGAGGCACGCGGAGTTCATTGCTTCAAAAGGTGACGATGCCTGACTCCTCTTGAATACTGATAGGAATCCCAAAATCCCTGTGAGTTCTTGAAAGGGTTCTTGGGTGCCCTGCCTCACCTCGAGAAGCGTCCCTTTTGCCCTGCCAAGCCTCGAAGAGATTCCTGAGGTGTCCCGCGTTACTAGACAGGAGTCCTGACGTCACTGAAGAAACTCGTGTTTTGAAGGGCCATCCCCGCCGTAAGTCGAGAACATACCCTAGGTCCCCGCCGCAACTCGAGAAAAACCACAAGACTTCCCTCTAGAGGCGAGATGAGGCCCCATTCCCCTGCAGTGCATGCAGAGCTACTCCGTGATCCCATTCAAACAAGTCAGGAGCTTCGACTTGCTTAATGGATCTCGAGACAGTCCCCAAGAACACTGTCACCAGTCTAGACCGACCCTGAGGTCACCCCAGCAGCGCAAAGCAGCTCCATGTGCCCCAAATCAACTCGAGATGAGGCCCGATTCCCCTGCATTGACTCCAGAGCCATTCCCCGTTCCCCATTCAACACGACCGGTGGCTCGACTTCCTTCAGGCCACTCCAGAGATGCCCCGAGCACACTCTCCCAAGTCTAGAGGAACACCAACTTCAGCACAGCAACTCGAGGAATGCTCCGTGTACCCCAAATCGTCTCGAGATGAGAGCTGATTCCCTGGCTTAGGCTCAAGACGTATGCCAACTTTCCAGAAGCACCTCAGGAGGAGGCTTCTCTCAGCAATAGGTATGTGGGAGGGACCCCGAGTTTGCTGCCTCAAGGGGAACATACAGCGAGAAGCCCTAACTTGAAAGGAGGCCGGATTTCCTTGCAGTGGCTTGAATACAGGCCCGTCTTTCATCTCACAACATGAAGGGATGTCTGAATCCCCTTGGAGAACTTAGAGAAAGCCCTAGGTCCCTGCCTCATTTTGACGGAATGCCTCACATCCCGCTGACACCTCGAGAGGCACACGGAGTTCATTGCTTCAAAAGGTGACGATGCCTGAATCCTCTTGAATAGTGATAGGAATCCCAAAATCCCTGTAGCTACTGGAAAGGGTCCTTGGGTGCCCTGCCTCACCTCGAGAATCGTCCCGTTTGCCCTGCCAAGCCTCGAAGAGATTCCTGAGGTGTCCTTCGTTACTAGACAGGAGTCCTGACGTCACTGAAGAAACTCGTGTTTTGAAGGGCCATCCCCGCCGTAAGTCGAGAACATACCCCAGGTCCCCGCCGCAACTCGAGAAAAACCATGAGACTTACCCCTAGAGGCGAGATGAGGCCCCATTCCCCTGCAGTGCATGCAGAGCTATTCCGTGATCCCATTCAAACAAGTCAGGAGCTTCGACTTGCTTAATGGATCTCGAGACAGTCCCCAAGAACACTGTCACCAGTCTAGACGGACCCTGAGGTCACCCCAGCAGCGCAGAGCAGCTCCATGTGGCCCAAATCAACTCGAGATGAGGCCCGATTCCCCTGCATTGACTCCAGAGCCATTCCCCGTTCCCCATTCAACACGACCGGTGGCTCGACTTACTTCAGGCCAATGCAGAGATGCCCCGAGCACACTGTCCCAAGTCTAGAGGAACACCAACTTCAGCACAGCAACTCGAGGAATGCTCCGTGTACCCCAAATCGTCTCGAGATGAGAGCTGATTCCGTGGCTTAGGCTCAAGACGTATGCCAACTTTCCAGAAGCAACTCAGGAGGAGGCTTCTCTCAGCAATGGGTATGTGGGAGGGACCCCGAGTTTGCTGCCTCAAGGGGAACATACAGCGAGAAGCCCTAAGTTGAAAGGAGGCCGGATTTCCTTGCAGTGGCTTGAATACAGGCCCGTCTTTCATCTCACAACATGAAGGGATGTCTGAATCCCCTGTGGAGACCTTAGAGAAAGCCCTAGGTCCCTGCCTCATTTTGACGGAATGCCTCACATACCGCTGACACCTCAAGAGGCACGCGGAGTTCATTGCTTCAAAAGGTGACGATGCCTGACTCCTCTTGAATACTGATAGGAATCCCAAAATCCCTGTGAGTTCTTGAAAGGGTTCTTGGGTGCCCTGCCTCACCTCGAGAAGCGTCCCTTTTGCCCTGCCAAGCCTCGAAGAGATTCCTGAGGTGTCCCGCGTTACTAGACAGGAGTCCTGACGTCACTGAAGAAACTCGTGTTTTGAAGGGCCATCCCCGCCGTAAGTCGAGAACATACCCTAGGTCCCCGCCGCAACTCGAGAAAAACCACAAGACTTCCCTCTAGAGGCGAGATGAGGCCCCATTCCCCTGCAGTGCATGCAGAGCTACTCCGTGATCCCATTCAAACAAGTCAGGAGCTTCGACTTGCTTAATGGATCTCGAGACAGTCCCCAAGAACACTGTCACCAGTCTAGACGGACCCTGAGGTCACCCCAGCAGCGCAGAGCAGCTCCATGTGCCCCAAATCAACTCGAGATGAGGCCCGATTCCCGTGCATTGACTCCAGAGCCATTCCCCGTTCCCCATTCAACACGACCGGTGGCTCGACTTCCTTCAGGCCACTGCAGAGATGCCCCGAGCACACTCTCCCAAGTCTAGAGGAACACCAACTTCAGCACAGCAACTCGAGGAATGCTCCGTGTACCCCAAATCGTCTCGAGATGAGAGCTGATTCCCTGGCTTAGGCTCAAGACGTATGCCAACTTTCCAGAAGCACCTCAGGAGGAGGCTTCTCTCAGCAATAGGTATGTGGGAGGGACCCCGAGTTTGCTGCCTCAAGGGGAACATACAGCGAGAAGCCCTAACTTGAAAGGAGGCCGGATTTCCTTGCAGTGGCTTGCATACAGGCCCGTCTTTCATCTCACAACATGAAGGGATGTCTGAATCCCCTTGGAGAACTTAGAGAAAGCCCTAGGCCCTGCCTCATTTTGACGGAATGCCTCACATCCCGCTGACACCTCGAGAGGCACACGGAGTTCATTGCTTCAAAAGGTGACGATGCCTGAATCCTCTTGAATAGTGATAGGAATCCCAGAATCCCTGTAGCTACTGGAAAGGGTCCTTGGGTGCCCTGCCTCACCTCGAGAAGCGTCCCGTTTGCCCTGCCAAGCCTCGAAGAGATTCCTGAGGTGTCCTTCGTTACTAGACAGGAGTCCTGACGTCACTGAAGGAACTCGTGTTTTGAAGGGCCATCCCCGCCTTAAGTCGAGAACATACACCAGGTCCCCGCCGCAACTCGAGAAAAACCATGAGACTTACCCCTAGAGGCGAGATGAGGCCCCATTCCCCTGCAGTGCATGCAGAGCTATTCCGTGATCCCATTCAAACAAGTCAGGAGCTTCGACTTGCTTAATGGATCTCGAGACAGTCCCCAAGAACACTGTCACCAGTCTAGACGGACCCTGAGGTCACCCCAGCAGCGCAGAGCAGATCCATGTGGCCCAAATCAACTCGAGATGAGGCCCGATTCCCCTGCATTGACTCCAGAGCCATTCCCCGTTCCCCATTCAACACGACCGGTGGCTCGACTTACTTCAGGCCAATGCAGAGATGCCCCGAGCACACTGTCCCAAGTCTAGAGGAACACCAACTTCAGCACAGCAACTCGAGGAATGCTCCGTGTACCCCAAATCGTCTCGAGATGAGAGCTGATTCCGTGGCTTAGGCTCAAGACGTATGCCAACTTTCCAGAAGCAACTCAGGAGGAGGCTTCTCTCAGCAATGGGTATGTGGGAGGGACCCCGAGTTTGCTGCCTCAAGGGGAACATACAGCGAGAAGCCCTAAGTTGAAAGGAGGCCGGATTTCCTTGCAGTGGCTTGAATACAGGCCCGTCTTTCATCTCACAACATGAAGGGATGTCTGAATCCCCTGTGGAGACCTTAGAGAAAGCCCTAGGTCCCTGCCTCATTTTGACGGAATGCCTCACATCCCGCTGACACCTCAAGAGGCACGCGGAGTTCATTGCTTCAAAAGGTGACGATGCCTGACTCCTCTTGAATACTGATAGGAATCCCAAAATCCCTGTGAGTTCTTGAAAGGGTTCTTGGGTGCCCTGCCTCACCTCGAGAAGCGTCCCTTTTGCCCTGCCAAGCCTCGAAGAGATTGCTGAGGTGTCCCGCGTTACTAGACAGGAGTCCTGACGTCACTGAAGAAACTCGTGTTTTGAAGGGCCATCCCCGCCGTAAGTCGAGAACATACCCTAGGTCCCCGCCGCAACTCGAGAAAAACCACAAGACTTCCCTCTAGAGGCGAGATGAGGCCCCATTCCCCTGCAGTGCATGCAGAGCTACTCCGTGATCCCATTCAAACAAGTCAGGAGCTTCGACTTGCTTAATGGATCTCGAGACAGTCCCCAAGAACACTGTCACCAGTCTAGACGGACCCTGAGGTCACCCCAGCAGCGCAGAGCAGCTCCATGTGCCCCAAATCAACTCGAGATGAGGCCCGATTCCCCTGCATTGACTCCAGAGCCATTCCCCGTTCCCCATTCAACACGACCGGTGGCTCGACTTCCTTCAGGCCACTGCAGAGATGCCCCGAGCACACTCTCCCAAGTCTAGAGGAACACCAACTTCAGCACAGCAACTCGAGGAATGCTCCGTGTACCCCAAATCGTCTCGAGATGAGAGCTGATTCCCTGGCTTAGGCTCAAGACGTATGCCAACTTTCCAGAAGCACCTCAGGAGGAGGCTTCTCTCAGCAATAGGTATGTGGGAGGGACCCCGAGTTTCCTGCCTCAAGGGGAACATACAGCGAGAAGCCCTAACTTGAAAGGAGGCCGGATTTCCTTGCAGTGGCTTGAATACAGGCCCGTCTTTCATCTCACAACATGAAGGGATGTCTGAATCCCCTTGGAGAACTTAGAGAAAGCCCTAGGCCCTGCCTCATTTTGACGGAATGCCTCACATCCCGCTGACACCTCGAGAGGCACACGGAGTTCATTGCTTCAAAAGGTGACGATGCCTGAATCCTCTTGAATAGTGATAGGAATCCCAAAATCCCTGTAGCTACTGGAAAGGGTCCTTGGGTGCCCTGCCTCACCTCGAGAAGCGTCCCGTTTGCCCTGCCAAGCCTCGAAGAGATTCCTGAGGTGTCCTTCGTTACTAGACAGGAGTCCTGACGTCACTGAAGAAACTCGTGTTTTGAAGGGCCATCCCCGCCTTAAGTCGAGAACATACACCAGGTCCCCGCCGCAACTCGAGAAAAACCATGAGACTTACCCCTAGAGGCGAGATGAGGCCCCATTCCCCTGCAGTGCATGCAGAGCTATTCCGTGATCCCATTCAAACAAGTCAGGAGCTTCGACTTGCTTAATGGATCTCGAGACAGTCCCCAAGAACACTGTCACCAGTCTAGACGGACCCTGAGGTCACCCCAGCAGCGCAGAGCAGCTCCATGTGGCCCAAATCAACTCGAGATGAGGCCCGATTCCCCTGCATTGACTCCAGAGCCATTCCCCGTTCCCCATTCAACACGACCGGTGGCTCGACTTACTTCAGGCCAATGCAGAGATGCCCCGAGCACACTGTCCCAAGTCTAGAGGAACACCAACTTCAGCACAGCAACTCGAGGAATGCTCCGTGTACCCCAAATCGTCTCGAGATGAGAGCTGATTCCGTGGCTTAGGCTCAAGACGTATGCCAACTTTCCAGAAGCAAATCAGGAGGAGGCTTCTCTCAGCAATGGGTATGTGGGAGGGACCCCGAGTTTGCTGCCTCAAGTGGAACATACAGCGAGAAGCCCTAAGTTGAAAGGAGGCCGGATTTCCTTGCAGTGGCTTGAATACAGGCCCGTCTTTCATCTCACAACATGAAGGGATGTCTGAATCCCCTGTGGAGACCTTAGAGAAAGCCCTAGGTCCCTGCCTCATTTTGACGGAATGCCTCACATCCCGCTGACACCTCAAGAGGCACGCGGAGTTCATTGCTTCAAAAGGTGACGATGCCTGACTCCTCTTGAATACTGATAGGAATCCCAAAATCCCTGTGAGTTCTTGAAAGGGTTCTTGGGTGCCCTGCCTCACCTCGAGAAGCGTCCCTTTTGCCCTGCCAAGCCTCGAAGAGATTCCTGAGGTGTCCCGCGTTACTAGACAGGAGTCCTGACGTCACTGAAGAAACTCGTGTTTTGAAGGGCCATCCCCGCCGTAAGTCGAGAACATACCCTAGGTCCCCGCCGCAACTCGAGAAAAACCACAAGACTTCCCTCTAGAGGCGAGATGAGGCCCCATTCCCCTGCAGTGCATGCAGAGCTACTCCGTGATCCCATTCAAACAAGTCAGGAGCTTCGACTTGCTTAATGGATCTCGAGACAGTCCCCAAGAACACTGTCACCAGTCTAGACGGACCCTGAGGTCACCCCAGCAGCGCAGAGCAGCTCCATGTGCCCCAAATCAACTCGAGATGAGGCCCGATTCCCCTGCATTGACTCCAGAGCCATTCCCCGTTCCCCATTCAACACGACCGGTGGCTCGACTTCCTTCAGGCCACTGCAGAGATGCCCCGAGCACACTCTCCCAAGTCTAGAGGAACACCAACTTCAGCACAGCAACTCGAGGAATGCTCCGTGTACCCCAAATCGTCTCGAGATGAGAGCTGATTCCGTGGCTTAGGCTCAAGACGTATGCCAACTTTCCAGAAGCACCTCAGGAGGAGGCTTCTCTCAGCAATAGGTATGTGGGAGGGACCCCGAGTTTCCTGCCTCAAGGGGAACATACAGCGAGAAGCCCTAACTTGAAAGGAGGCCGGATTTCCTTGCAGTGGCTTGAATACAGGCCCGTCTTTCATCTCACAACATGAAGGGATGTCTGAATCCCCTTGGAGAACTTAGAGAAAGCCCTAGGCCCTGCCTCATTTTGACGGAATGCCTCACATCCCGCTGACACCTCGAGAGGCACACGGAGTTCATTGCTTCAAAAGGTGACGATGCCTGAATCCTCTTGAATAGTGATAGGAATCCCAAAATCCCTGTAGCTACTGGAAAGGGTCCTTGGGTGCCCTGCCTCACCTCGAGAAGCGTCCCGTTTGCCCTGCCAAGCCTCGAAGAGATTCCTGAGGTGTCCTTCGTTACTAGACAGGAGTCCTGACGTCACTGAAGAAACTCGTGTTTTGAAGGGCCATCCCCGCCTTAAGTCGAGAACATACACCAGGTCCCCGCCGCAACTCGAGAAAAACCATGAGACTTACCCCTAGAGGCGAGATGAGGCCCCATTCCCCTGCAGTGCATGCAGAGCTATTCCGTGATCCCATTCAAACAAGTCAGGAGCTTCGACTTGCTTAATGGATCTCGAGACAGTCCCCAAGAACACTGTCACCAGACTAGACGGACCCTGAGGTCACCCCAGCAGCGCAGAGCAGCTCCATGTGGCCCAAATCAACTCGAGATGAGGCCCGATTCCCCTGCATTGACTCCAGAGCCATTCCCCGTTCCCCATTCAACAAGACCGGTGGCTCGACTTACTTCAGGCCAATGCAGAGATGCCCCGAGCACACTGTCCCAAGTCTAGAGGAACACCAACTTCAGCACAGCAACTCGAGGAATGCTCCGTGTACCCCAAATCGTCTCGAGATGAGAGCTGATTCCGTGGCTTAGGCTCAAGACGTATGCCAACTTTCCAGAAGCAACTCAGGAGGAGGCTTCTCTCAGCAATGGGTATGTGGGAGGGACCCCGAGTTTGCTGCCTCAAGTGGAACATACAGCGAGAAGCCCTAAGTTGAAAGGAGGCCGGATTTCCTTGCAGTGGCTTGAATACAGGCCCGTCTTTCATCTCACAACATGAAGGGATGTCTGAATCCCCTGTGGAGACCTTAGAGAAAGCCCTAGGTCCCTGCCTCATTTTGACGGAATGCCTCACATCCCGCTGACACCTCAAGAGGCACGCGGAGTTCATTGCTTCAAAAGGTGACGATGCCTGACTCCTCTTGAATACTGATAGGAATCCCAAAATCCCTGTGAGTTCTTGAAAGGGTTCTTGGGTGCCCTGCCTCACCTCGAGAAGCGTCCCTTTTGCCCTGCCAAGCCTCGAAGAGATTCCTGAGGTGTCCCGCGTTACTAGACAGGAGTCCTGACGTCACTGAAGAAACTCGTGTTTTGAAGGGCCATCCCCGCCGTAAGTCGAGAACATACCCTAGGTCCCCGCCGCAACTCGAGAAAAACCACAAGACTTCCCTCTAGAGGCGAGATGAGGCCCCATTCCCCTGCAGTGCATGCAGAGCTACTCCGTGATCCCATTCAAACAAGTCAGGAGCTTCGACTTGCTTAATGGATCTCGAGACAGTCCCCAAGAACACTGTCACCAGTCTAGACGGACCCTGAGGTCACCCCAGCAGCGCAGAGCAGCTCCATGTGCCCCAAATCAACTCGAGATGAGGCCCGATTCCCCTGCATTGACTCCAGAGCCATTCCCCGTTCCCCATTCAACACGACCGGTGGCTCGACTTCCTTCAGGCCACTGCAGAGATGCCCCGAGCACACTCTCCCAAGTCTAGAGGAACACCAACTTCAGCACAGCAACTCGAGGAATGCTCCGTGTACCCCAAATCGTCTCGAGATGAGAGCTGATTCCCTGGCTTAGGCTCAAGACGTATGCCAACTTTCCAGAAGCACCTCAGGAGGAGGCTTCTCTCAGCAATAGGTATGTGGGAGGGACCCCGAGTTTCCTGCCTCAAGGGGAACATACAGCGAGAAGCCCTAACTTGAAAGGAGGCCGGATTTCCTTGCAGTGGCTTGAATACAGGCCCGTCTTTCATCTCACAACATGAAGGGATGTCTGAATCCCCTTGGAGAACTTAGAGAAAGCCCTAGGCCCTGCCTCATTTTGACGGAATGCCTCACATCCCGCTGACACCTCGAGAGGCACACGGAGTTCATTGCTTCAAAAGGTGACGATGCCTGAATCCTCTTGAATAGTGATAGGAATCCCAAAATCCCTGTAGCTACTGGAAAGGGTCCTTGGGTGCCCTGCCTCACCTCGAGAAGCGTCCCGTTTGCCCTGCCAAGCCTCGAAGAGATTCCTGAGGTGTCCTTCGTTACTAGACAGGAGTCCTGACGTCACTGAAGAAACTCGTGTTTTGAAGGGCCATCCCCGCCTTAAGTCGAGAACATACACCAGGTCCCCGCCGCAACTCGAGAAAAACCATGAGACTTACCCCTAGAGGCGAGATGAGGCCCCATTCCCCTGCAGTGCATGCAGAGCTATTCCGTGATCCCATTCAAACAAGTCAGGAGCTTCGACTTGCTTAATGGATCTCGAGACAGTCCCCAAGAACACTGTCACCAGTCTAGACGGACCCTGAGGTCACCCCAGCAGCGCAGAGCAGCTCCATGTGGCCCAAATCAACTCGAGATGAGGCCCGATTCCCCTGCATTGACTCCAGAGCCATTCCCCGTTCCCCATTCAACACGACCGGTGGCTCGACTTACTTCAGGCCAATGCAGAGATGCCCCGAGCACACTGTCCCAAGTCTAGAGGAACACCAACTTCAGCACAGCAACTCGAGGAATGCTCCGTGTACCCCAAATCGTCTCGAGATGAGAGCTGATTCCGTGGCTTAGGCTCAAGACGTATGCCAACTTTCCAGAAGCAACTCAGGAGGAGGCTTCTCTCAGCAATGGGTATGTGGGAGGGACCCCGAGTTTGCTGCCTCAAGTGGAACATACAGCGAGAAGCCCTAAGTTGAAAGGAGGCCGGATTTCCTTGCAGTGGCTTGAATACAGGCCCGTCTTTCATCTCACAACATGAAGGGATGTCTGAATCCCCTGTGGAGACCTTAGAGAAAGCCCTAGGTCCCTGCCTCATTTTGACGGAATGCCTCACATCCCGCTGACACCTCAAGAGGCACGCGGAGTTCATTGCTTCAAAAGGTGACGATGCCTGACTCCTCTTGAATACTGATAGGAATCCCAAAATCCCTGTGAGTTCTTGAAAGGGTTCTTGGGTGCCCTGCCTCACCTCGAGAAGCGTCCCTTTTGCCCTGCCAAGCCTCGAAGAGATTCCTGAGGTGTCCCGCGTTACTAGACAGGAGTCCTGACGTCACTGAAGAAACTCGTGTTTTGAAGGGCCATCCCCGCCGTAAGTCGAGAACATACCCTAGGTCCCCGCCGCAACTCGAGAAAAACCACAAGACTTCCCTCTAGAGGCGAGATGAGGCCCCATTCCCCTGCAGTGCATGCAGAGCTACTCCGTGATCCCATTCAAACAAGTCAGGAGCTTCGACTTGCTTAATGGATCTCGAGACAGTCCCCAAGAACACTGTCACCAGTCTAGACGGACCCTGAGGTCACCCCAGCAGCGCAGAGCAGCTCCATGTGCCCCAAATCAACTCGAGATGAGGCCCGATTCCCCTGCATTGACCCAAGAGCCATTCCCCGTTCCCCATTCAACACGACCGGTGGCTCGACTTCCTTCAGGCCACTGCAGAGATGCCCCGAGCACACTCTCCCAAGTCTAGAGGAACACCAACTTCAGCACAGCAACTCGAGGAATGCTCCGTGTACCCCAAATCGTCTCGAGATGAGAGCTGATTCCCTGGCTTAGGCTCAAGACGTATGCCAACTTTCCAGAAGCACCTCAGGAGGAGGCTTCTCTCAGCAATAGGTATGTGGGAGGGACCCCGAGTTTCCTGCCTCAAGGGGAACATACAGCGAGAAGCCCTAACTTGAAAGGAGGCCGGATTTCCTTGCAGTGGCTTGAATACAGGCCCGTCTTTCATCTCACAACATGAAGGGATGTCTGAATCCCCTTGGAGAACTTAGAGAAAGCCCTAGGCCCTGCCTCATTTTGACGGAATGCCTCACATCCCGCTGACACCTCGAGAGGCACACGGAGTTCATTGCTTCAAAAGGTGACGATGCCTGAATCCTCTTGAATAGTGATAGGAATCCCAAAATCCCTGTAGCTACTGGAAAGGGTCCTTGGGTGCCCTGCCTCACCTCGAGAAGCGTCCCGTTTGCCCTGCCAAGCCTCGAAGAGATTCCTGAGGTGTCCTTCGTTACTAGACAGGAGTCCTGACGTCACTGAAGAAACTCGTGTTTTGAAGGGCCATCCCCGCCTTAAGTCGAGAACATACACCAGGTCCCCGCCGCAACTCGAGAAAAACCATGAGACTTACCCCTAGAGGCGAGATGAGGCCCCATTCCCCTGCAGTGCATGCAGAGCTATTCCGTGATCCCATTCAAACAAGTCAGGAGCTTCGACTTGCTTAATGGATCTCGAGACAGTCCCCAAGAACACTGTCACCAGACTAGACGGACCCTGAGGTCACCCCAGCAGCGCAGAGCAGCTCCATGTGGCCCAAATCAACTCGAGATGAGGCCCGATTCCCCTGCATTGACTCCAGAGCCATTCCCCGTTCCCCATTCAACACGACCGGTGGCTCGACTTACTTCAGGCCAATGCAGAGATGCCCCGAGCACACTGTCCCAAGTCTAGAGGAACACCAACTTCAGCACAGCAACTCGAGGAATGCTCCGTGTACCCCAAATCGTCTCGAGATGAGAGCTGATTCCGTGGCTTAGGCTCAAGACGTATGCCAACTTTCCAGAAGCAACTCAGGAGGAGGCTTCTCTCAGCAATGGGTATGTGGGAGGGACCCCGAGTTTGCTGCCTCAAGGGGAACATACAGCGAGAAGCCCTAAGTTGAAAGGAGGCCGGATTTCCTTGCAGTGGCTTGAATACAGGCCCGTCTTTCATCTCACAACATGAAGGGATGTCTGAATCCCCTGTGGAGACCTTAGAGAAAGCCCTAGGTCCCTGCCTCATTTTGACGGAATGCCTCACATCCCGCTGACACCTCAAGAGGCACGCGGAGTTCATTGCTTCAAAAGGTGACGATGCCTGACTCCTCTTGAATACTGATAGGAATCCCAAAATCCCTGTGAGTTCTTGAAAGGGTTCTTGGGTGCCCTGCCTCACCTCGAGAAGCGTCCCTTTTGCCCTGCCAAGCCTCGAAGAGATTCCTGAGGTGTCCCGCGTTACTAGACAGGAGTCCTGACGTCACTGAAGAAACTCGTGTTTTGAAGGGCCATCCCCGCCGTAAGTCGAGAACATACCCTAGGTCCCCGCCGCAACTCGAGAAAAACCACAAGACTTCCCTCTAGAGGCGAGATGAGGCCCCATTCCCCTGCAGTGCATGCAGAGCTACTCCGTGATCCCATTCAAACAAGTCAGGAGCTTCGACTTGCTTAATGGATCTCGAGACAGTCCCCAAGAACACTGTCACCAGTCTAGACGGACCCTGAGGTCACCCCAGCAGCGCAGAGCAGCTCCATGTGCCCCAAATCAACTCGAGATGAGGCCCGATTCCCCTGCATTGACTCCAGAGCCATTCCCCGTTCCCCATTCAACACGACCGGTGGCTCGACTTCCTTCAGGCCACTGCAGAGATGCCCCGAGCACACTCTCCCAAGTCTAGAGGAACACCAACTTCAGCACAGCAACTCGAGGAATGCTCCGTGTACCCCAAATCGTCTCGAGATGAGAGCTGATTCCGTGGCTTAGGCTCAAGACGTATGCCAACTTTCCAGAAGCACCTCAGGAGGAGGCTTCTCTCAGCAATAGGTATGTGGGAGGGACCCCGAGTTTCCTGCCTCAAGGGGAACATACAGCGAGAAGCCCTAACTTGAAAGGAGGCCGGATTTCCTTGCAGTGGCTTGAATACAGGCCCGTCTTTCATCTCACAACATGAAGGGATGTCTGAATCCCCTTGGAGAACTTAGAGAAAGCCCTAGGCCCTGCCTCATTTTGACGGAATGCCTCACATCCCGCTGACACCTCGAGAGGCACACGGAGTTCATTGCTTCAAAAGGTGACGATGCCTGAATCCTCTTGAATAGTGATAGGAATCCCAAAATCCCTGTAGCTACTGGAAAGGGTCCTTGGGTGCCCTGCCTCACCTCGAGAAGCGTCCCGTTTGCCCTGCCAAGCCTCGAAGAGATTCCTGAGGTGTCCTTCGTTACTAGACAGGAGTCCTGACGTCACTGAAGAAACTCGTGTTTTGAAGGGCCATCCCCGCCTTAAGTCGAGAACATACACCAGGTCCCCGCCGCAACTCGAGAAAAACCATGAGACTTACCCCTAGAGGCGAGATGAGGCCCCATTCCCCTGCAGTGCATGCAGAGCTATTCCGTGATCCCATTCAAACAAGTCAGGAGCTTCGACTTGCTTAATGGATCTCGAGACAGTCCCCAAGAACACTGTCACCAGACTAGACGGACCCTGAGGTCACCCCAGCAGCGCAGAGCAGCTCCATGTGGCCCAAATCAACTCGAGATGAGGCCCGATTCCCCTGCATTGACTCCAGAGCCATTCCCCGTTCCCCATTCAACACGACCGGTGGCTCGACTTACTTCAGGCCAATGCAGAGATGCCCCGAGCACACTGTCCCAAGTCTAGAGGAACACCAACTTCAGCACAGCAACTCGAGGAATGCTCCGTGTACCCCAAATCGTCTCGAGATGAGAGCTGATTCCGTGGCTTAGGCTCAAGACGTATGCCAACTTTCCAGAAGCAACTCAGGAGGAGGCTTCTCTCAGCAATGGGTATGTGGGAGGGACCCCGAGTTTGCTGCCTCAAGGGGAACATACAGCGAGAAGCCCTAAGTTGAAAGGAGGCCGGATTTCCTTGCAGTGGCTTGAATACAGGCCCGTCTTTCATCTCACAACATGAAGGGATGTCTGAATCCCCTGTGGAGACCTTAGAGAAAGCCCTAGGTCCCTGCCTCATTTTGACGGAATGCCTCACATCCCGCTGACACCTCAAGAGGCACGCGGAGTTCATTGCTTCAAAAGGTGACGATGCCTGACTCCTCTTGAATACTGATAGGAATCCCAAAATCCCTGTGAGTTCTTGAAAGGGTTCTTGGGTGCCCTGCCTCACCTCGAGAAGCGTCCCTTTTGCCCTGCCAAGCCTCGAAGAGATTCCTGAGGTGTCCCGCGTTACTAGACAGGAGTCCTGACGTCACTGAAGAAACTCGTGTTTTGAAGGGCCATCCCCGCCGTAAGTCGAGAACATACCCTAGGTCCCCGCCGCAACTCGAGAAAAACCACAAGACTTCCCTCTAGAGGCGAGATGAGGCCCCATTCCCCTGCAGTGCATGCAGAGCTACTCCGTGATCCCATTCAAACAAGTCAGGAGCTTCGACTTGCTTAATGGATCTCGAGACAGTCCCCAAGAACACTGTCACCAGTCTAGACGGACCCTGAGGTCACCCCAGCAGCGCAGAGCAGCTCCATGTGCCCCAAATCAACTCGAGATGAGGCCCGATTCCCGTGCATTGACTCCAGAGCCATTCCCCGTTCCCCATTCAACACGACCGGTGGCTCGACTTCCTTCAGGCCACTGCAGAGATGCCCCGAGCACACTCTCCCAAGTCTAGAGGAACACCAACTTCAGCACAGCAACTCGAGGAATGCTCCGTGTACCCCAAATCGTCTCGAGATGAGAGCTGATTCCCTGGCTTAGGCTCAAGACGTATGCCAACTTTCCAGAAGCACCTCAGGAGGAGGCTTCTCTCAGCAATAGGTATGTGGGAGGGACCCCGAGTTTGCTGCCTCAAGGGGAACATACAGCGAGAAGCCCTAACTTGAAAGGAGGCCGGATTTCCTTGCAGTGGCTTGAATACAGGCCCGTCTTTCATCTCACAACATGAAGGGATGTCTGAATCCCCTTGGAGAACTTAGAGAAAGCCCTAGGCCCTGCCTCATTTTGACGGAATGCCTCACATCCCGCTGACACCTCGAGAGGCACACGGAGTTCATTGCTTCAAAAGGTGACGATGCCTGAATCCTCTTGAATAGTGATAGGAATCCCAAAATCCCTGTAGCTACTGGAAAGGGTCCTTGGGTGCCCTGCCTCACCTCGAGAAGCGTCCCGTTTGCCCTGCCAAGCCTCGAAGAGATTCCTGAGGTGTCCTTCGTTACTAGACAGGAGTCCTGACGTCACTGAAGAAACTCGTGTTTTGAAGGGCCATCCCCGCCTTAAGTCGAGAACATACACCAGGTCCCCGCCGCAACTCGACAAAAACCATGAGACTTACCCCTAGAGGCGAGATGAGGCCCCATTCCCCTGCAGTGCATGCAGAGCTATTCCGTGATCCCATTCAAACAAGTCAGGAGCTTCGACTTGCTTAATGGATCTCGAGACAGTCCCCAAGAACACTGTCACCAGTCTAGACGGACCCTGAGGTCACCCCAGCAGCGCAGAGCAGCTCCATGTGGCCCAAATCAACTCGAGATGAGGCCCGATTCCCCTGCATTGACTCCAGAGCCATTCCCCGTTCCCCATTCAACACGACCGGTGGCTCGACTTACTTCAGGCCAATGCAGAGATGCCCCGAGCACACTGTCCCAAGTCTAGAGGAACACCAACTTCAGCACAGCAACTCGAGGAATGCTCCGTGTACCCCAAATCGTCTCGAGATGAGAGCTGATTCCGTGGCTTAGGCTCAAGACGTATGCCAACTTTCCAGAAGCAACTCAGGAGGAGGCTTCTCTCAGCAATGGGTATGTGGGAGGGACCCCGAGTTTGCTGCCTCAAGGGGAACATACAGCGAGAAGCCCTAAGTTGAAAGGAGGCCGGATTTCCTTGCAGTGGCTTGAATACAGGCCCGTCTTTCATCTCACAACATGAAGGGATGTCTGAATCCCCTGTGGAGACCTTAGAGAAAGCCCTAGGTCCCTGCCTCATTTTGACGGAATGCCTCACATCCCGCTGACACCTCAAGAGGCACGCGGAGTTCATTGCTTCAAAAGGTGACGATGCCTGACTCTTCTTGAATACTGATAGGAATCCCAAAATCCCTGTGAGTTCTTGAAAGGGTTCTTGGGTGCCCTGCCTCACCTCGAGAAGCGTCCCTTTTGCCCTGCCAAGCCTCGAAGAGATTCCTGAGGTGTCCCGCGTTACTAGACAGGAGTCCTGACGTCACTGAAGAAACTCGTGTTTTGAAGGGCCATCCCCGCCGTAAGTCGAGAACATACCCTAGGTCCCCGCCGCAACTCGAGAAAAACCACAAGACTTCCCTCTAGAGGCGAGATGAGGCCCCATTCCCCTGCAGTGCATGCAGAGCTACTCCGTGATCCCATTCAAACAAGTCAGGAGCTTCGACTTGCTTAATGGATCTCGAGACAGTCCCCAAGAACACTGTCACCAGTCTAGACGGACCCTGAGGTCACCCCAGCAGCGCAGAGCAGCTCCATGTGCCCCAAATCAACTCGAGATGAGGCCCGATTCCCCTGCATTGACTCCAGAGCCATTCCCCGTTCCCCATTCAACACGACCGGTGGCTCGACTTCCTTCAGGCCACTGCAGAGATGCCCCGAGCACACTCTCCCAAGTCTAGAGGAACACCAACTTCAGCACAGCAACTCGAGGAATGCTCCGTGTACCCCAAATCGTCTCGAGATGAGAGCTGATTCCCTGGCTTAGGCTCAAGACGTATGCCAACTTTCCAGAAGCACCTCAGGAGGAGGCTTCTCTCAGCAATAGGTATGTGGGAGGGACCCCGAGTTTCCTGCCTCAAGGGGAACATACAGCGAGAAGCCCTAACTTGAAAGGAGGCCGGATTTCCTTGCAGTGGCTTGAATACAGGCCCGTCTTTCATCTCACAACATGAAGGGATGTCTGAATCCCCTTGGAGAACTTAGAGAAAGCCCTAGGCCCTGCCTCATTTTGACGGAATGCCTCACATCCCGCTGACACCTCGAGAGGCACACGGAGTTCATTGCTTCAAAAGGTGACGATGCCTGAATCCTCTTGAATAGTGATAGGAATCCCAAAATCCCTGTAGCTACTGGAAAGGGTCCTTGGGTGCCCTGCCTCACCTCGAGAAGCGTCCCGTTTGCCCTGCCAAGCCTCGAAGAGATTCCTGAGGTGTCCTTCGTTACTAGACAGGAGTCCTGACGTCACTGAAGAAACTCGTGTTTTGAAGGGCCATCCCCGCCTTAAGTCGAGAACATACACCAGGTCCCCGCCGCAACTCGAGAAAAACCATGAGACTTACCCCTAGAGGCGAGATGAGGCCCCATTCCCCTGCAGTGCATGCAGAGCTATTCCGTGATCCCATTCAAACAAGTCAGGAGCTTCGACTTGCTTAATGGATCTCGAGACAGTCCCCAAGAACACTGTCACCAGTCTAGACGGACCCTGAGGTCACCCCAGCAGCGCAGAGCAGCTCCATGTGGCCCAAATCAACTCGAGATGAGGCCCGATTCCCCTGCATTGACTCCAGAGCCATTCCCCGTTCCCCATTCAACACGACCGGTGGCTCGACTTACTTCAGGCCAATGCAGAGATGCCCCGAGCACACTGTCCCAAGTCTAGAGGAACACCAACTTCAGCACAGCAACTCGAGGAATGCTCCGTGTACCCCAAATCGTCTCGAGATGAGAGCTGATTCCGTGGCTTAGGCTCAAGACGTATGCCAACTTTCCAGAAGCAACTCAGGAGGAGGCTTCTCTCAGCAATGGGTATGTGGGAGGGACCCCGAGTTTGCTGCCTCAAGTGGAACATACAGCGAGAAGCCCTAAGTTGAAAGGAGGCCGGATTTCCTTGCAGTGGCTTGAATACAGGCCCGTCTTTCATCTCACAACATGAAGGGATGTCTGAATCCCCTGTGGAGACCTTAGAGAAAGCCCTAGGTCCCTGCCTCATTTTGACGGAATGCCTCACATCCCGCTGACACCTCAAGAGGCACGCGGAGTTCATTGCTTCAAAAGGTGACGATGCCTGACTCCTCTTGAATACTGATAGGAATCCCAAAATCCCTGTGAGTTCTTGAAAGGGTTCTTGGGTGCCCTGCCTCACCTCGAGAAGCGTCCCTTTTGCCCTGCCAAGCCTCGAAGAGATTCCTGAGGTGTCCCGCGTTACTAGACAGGAGTCCTGACGTCACTGAAGAAACTCGTGTTTTGAAGGGCCATCCCCGCCGTAAGTCGAGAACATACCCTAGGTCCCCGCCGCAACTCGAGAAAAACCACAAGACTTCCCTCTAGAGGCGAGATGAGGCCCCATTCCCCTGCAGTGCATGCAGAGCTACTCCGTGATCCCATTCAAACAAGTCAGGAGCTTCGACTTGCTTAATGGATCTCGAGACAGTCCCCAAGAACACTGTCACCAGTCTAGACGGACCCTGAGGTCACCCCAGCAGCGCAGAGCAGCTCCATGTGCCCCAAATCAACTCGAGATGAGGCCCGATTCCCCTGCATTGACTCCAGAGCCATTCCCCGTTCCCCATTCAACACGACCGGTGGCTCGACTTCCTTCAGGCCACTGCAGAGATGCCCCGAGCACACTCTCCCAAGTCTAGAGGAACACCAACTTCAGCACAGCAACTCGAGGAATGCTCCGTGTACCCCAAATCGTCTCGAGATGAGAGCTGATTCCCTGGCTTAGGCTCAAGACGTATGCCAACTTTCCAGAAGCACCTCAGGAGGAGGCTTCTCTCAGCAATAGGTATGTGGGAGGGACCCCGAGTTTCCTGCCTCAAGGGGAACATACAGCGAGAAGCCCTAACTTGAAAGGAGGCCGGATTTCCTTGCAGTGGCTTGAATACAGGCCCGTCTTTCATCTCACAACATGAAGGGATGTCTGAATCCCCTTGGAGAACTTAGAGAAAGCCCTAGGCCCTGCCTCATTTTGACGGAATGCCTCACATCCCGCTGACACCTCGAGAGGCACACGGAGTTCATTGCTTCAAAAGGTGACGATGCCTGAATCCTCTTGAATAGTGATAGGAATCCCAAAATCCCTGTAGCTACTGGAAAGGGTCCTTGGGTGCCCTGCCTCACCTCGAGAAGCGTCCCGTTTGCCCTGCCAAGCCTCGAAGAGATTCCTGAGGTGTCCTTCGTTACTAGACAGGAGTCCTGACGTCACTGAAGAAACTCGTGTTTTGAAGGGCCATCCCCGCCTTAAGTCGAGAACATACACCAGGTCCCCGCCGCAACTCGAGAAAAACCATGAGACTTACCCCTAGAGGCGAGATGAGGCCCCATTCCCCTGCAGTGCATGCAGAGCTATTCCGTGATCCCATTCAAACAAGTCAGGAGCTTCGACTTGCTTAATGGATCTCGAGACAGTCCCCAAGAACACTGTCACCAGTCTAGACGGACCCTGAGGTCACCCCAGCAGCGCAGAGCAGCTCCATGTGGCCCAAATCAACTCGAGATGAGGCCCGATTCCCCTGCATTGACTCCAGAGCCATTCCCCGTTCCCCATTCAACACGACCGGTGGCTCGACTTACTTCAGGCCAATGCAGAGATGCCCCGAGCACACTGTCCCAAGTCTAGAGGAACACCAACTTCAGCACAGCAACTCGAGGAATGCTCCGTGTACCCCAAATCGTCTCGAGATGAGAGCTGATTCCGTGGCTTAGGCTCAAGACGTATGCCAACTTTCCAGAAGCAACTCAGGAGGAGGCTTCTCTCAGCAATGGGTATGTGGGAGGGACCCCGAGTTTGCTGCCTCAAGTGGAACATACAGCGAGAAGCCCTAAGTTGAAAGGAGGCCGGATTTCCTTGCAGTGGCTTGAATACAGGCCCGTCTTTCATCTCACAACATGAAGGGATGTCTGAATCCCCTGTGGAGACCTTAGAGAAAGCCCTAGGTCCCTGCCTCATTTTGACGGAATGCCTCACATCCCGCTGACACCTCAAGAGGCACGCGGAGTTCATTGCTTCAAAAGGTGACGATGCCTGACTCCTCTTGAATACTGATAGGAATCCCAAAATCCCTGTGAGTTCTTGAAAGGGTTCTTGGGTGCCCTGCCTCACCTCGAGAAGCGTCCCTTTTGCCCTGCCAAGCCTCGAAGAGATTCCTGAGGTGTCCCGCGTTACTAGACAGGAGTCCTGACGTCACTGAAGAAACTCGTGTTTTGAAGGGCCATCCCCGCCGTAAGTCGAGAACATACCCTAGGTCCCCGCCGCAACTCGAGAAAAACCACAAGACTTCCCTCTAGAGGCGAGATGAGGCCCCATTCCCCTGCAGTGCATGCAGAGCTACTCCGTGATCCCATTCAAACAAGTCAGGAGCTTCGACTTGCTTAATGGATCTCGAGACAGTCCCCAAGAACACTGTCACCAGTCTAGACGGACCCTGAGGTCACCCCAGCAGCGCAGAGCAGCTCCATGTGCCCCAAATCAACTCGAGATGAGCCCCGATTCCCCTGCATTGACTCCAGAGCCATTCCCCGTTCCCCATTCAACACGACCGGTGGCTCGACTTCCTTCAGGCCACTGCAGAGATGCCCCGAGCACACTCTCCCAAGTCTAGAGGAACACCAACTTCAGCACAGCAACTCGAGGAATGCTCCGTGTACCCCAAATCGTCTCGAGATGAGAGCTGATTCCCTGGCTTAGGCTCAAGACGTATGCCAACTTTCCAGAAGCACCTCAGGAGGAGGCTTCTCTCAGCAATAGGTATGTGGGAGGGACCCCGAGTTTCCTGCCTCAAGGGGAACATACAGCGAGAAGCCCTAACTTGAAAGGAGGCCGGATTTCCTTGCAGTGGCTTGAATACAGGCCCGTCTTTCATCTCACAACATGAAGGGATGTCTGAATCCCCTTGGAGAACTTAGAGAAAGCCCTAGGCCCTGCCTCATTTTGACGGAATGCCTCACATCCCGCTGACACCTCGAGAGGCACACGGAGTTCATTGCTTCAAAAGGTGACGATGCCTGAATCCTCTTGAATAGTGATAGGAATCCCAAAATCCCTGTAGCTACTGGAAAGGGTCCTTGGGTGCCCTGCCTCACCTCGAGAAGCGTCCCGTTTGCCCTGCCAAGCCTCGAAGAGATTCCTGAGGTGTCCTTCGTTACTAGACAGGAGTCCTGACGTCACTGAAGAAACTCGTGTTTTGAAGGGCCATCCCCGCCTTAAGTCGAGAACATACACCAGGTCCCCGCCGCAACTCGAGAAAAACCATGAGACTTACCCCTAGAGGCGAGATGAGGCCCCATTCCCCTGCAGTGCATGCAGAGCTATTCCGTGATCCCATTCAAACAAGTCAGGAGCTTCGACTTGCTTAATGGATCTCGAGACAGTCCCCAAGAACACTGTCACCAGACTAGACGGACCCTGAGGTCACCCCAGCAGCGCAGAGCAGCTCCATGTGGCCCAAATCAACTCGAGATGAGGCCCGATTCCCCTGCATTGACTCCAGAGCCATTCCCCGTTCCCCATTCAACACGACCGGTGGCTCGACTTACTTCAGGCCAATGCAGAGATGCCCCGAGCACACTGTCCCAAGTCTAGAGGAACACCAACTTCAGCACAGCAACTCGAGGAATGCTCCGTGTACCCCAAATCGTCTCGAGATGAGAGCTGATTCCGTGGCTTAGGCTCAAGACGTATGCCAACTTTCCAGAAGCAACTCAGGAGGAGGCTTCTCTCAGCAATGGGTATGTGGGAGGGACCCCGAGTTTGCTGCCTCAAGGGGAACATACAGCGAGAAGCCCTAAGTTGAAAGGAGGCCGGATTTCCTTGCAGTGGCTTGAATACAGGCCCGTCTTTCATCTCACAACATGAAGGGATGTCTGAATCCCCTGTGGAGACCTTAGAGAAAGCCCTAGGTCCCTGCCTCATTTTGACGGAATGCCTCACATCCCGCTGACACCTCAAGAGGCACGCGGAGTTCATTGCTTCAAAAGGTGACGATGCCTGACTCCTCTTGAATACTGATAGGAATCCCAAAATCCCTGTGAGTTCTTGAAAGGGTTCTTAGGTGCCCTGCCTCACCTCGAGAAGCGTCCCTTTTGCCCTGCCAAGCCTCGAAGAGATTCCTGAGGTGTCCCGCGTTACTAGACAGGAGTCCTGACGTCACTGAAGAAACTCGTGTTTTGAAGGGCCATCCCCGCCGTAAGTCGAGAACATACCCTAGGTCCCCGCCGCAACTCGAGAAAAACCACAAGACTTCCCTCTAGAGGCGAGATGAGGCCCCATTCCCCTGCAGTGCATGCAGAGCTACTCCGTGATCCCATTCAAACAAGTCAGGAGCTTCGACTTGCTTAATGGATCTCGAGACAGTCCCCAAGAACACTGTCACCAGTCTAGACGGACCCTGAGGTCACCCCAGCAGCGCAGAGCAGCTCCATGTGCCCCAAATCAACTCGAGATGAGGCCCGATTCCCCTGCATTGACTCCAGAGCCATTCCCCGTTCCCCATTCAACACGACCGGTGGCTCGACTTCCTTCAGGCCACTGCAGAGATGCCCCGAGCACACTCTCCCAAGTCTAGAGGAACACCAACTTCAGCACAGCAACTCGAGGAATGCTCCGTGTACCCCAAATCGTCTCGAGATGAGAGCTGATTCCCTGGCTTAGGCTCAAGACGTATGCCAACTTTCCAGAAGCACCTCAGGAGGAGGCTTCTCTCAGCAATAGGTATGTGGGAGGGACCCCGAGTTTCCTGCCTCAAGGGGAACATACAGCGAGAAGCCCTAACTTGAAAGGAGGCCGGATTTCCTTGCAGTGGCTTGAATACAGGCCCGTCTTTCATCTCACAACATGAAGGGATGTCTGAATCCCCTTGGAGAACTTAGAGAAAGCCCTAGGCCCTGCCTCATTTTGACGGAATGCCTCACATCCCGCTGACACCTCGAGAGGCACACGGAGTTCATTGCTTCAAAAGGTGACGATGCCTGAATCCTCTTGAATAGTGATAGGAATCCCAAAATCCCTGTAGCTACTGGAAAGGGTCCTTGGGTGCCCTGCCTCACCTCGAGAAGCGTCCCGTTTGCCCTGCCAAGCCTCGAAGAGATTCCTGAGGTGTCCTTCGTTACTAGACAGGAGTCCTGACGTCACTGAAGAAACTCGTGTTTTGAAGGGCCATCCCCGCCTTAAGTCGAGAACATACACCAGGTCCCCGCCGCAACTCGAGAAAAACCATGAGACTTACCCCTAGAGGCGAGATGAGGCCCCATTCCCCTGCAGTGCATGCAGAGCTATTCCGTGATCCCATTCAAACAAGTCAGGAGCTTCGACTTGCTTAATGGATCTCGAGACAGTCCCCAAGAACACTGTCACCAGACTAGACGGACCCTGAGGTCACCCCAGCAGCGCAGAGCAGCTCCATGTGGCCCAAATCAACTCGAGATGAGGCCCGATTCCCCTGCATTGACTCCAGAGCCATTCCCCGTTCCCCATTCAACACGACCGGTGGCTCGACTTACTTCAGGCCAATGCAGAGATGCCCCGAGCACACTGTCCCAAGTCTAGAGGAACACCAACTTCAGCACAGCAACTCGAGGAATGCTCCGTGTACCCCAAATCGTCTCGAGATGAGAGCTGATTCCGTGGCTTAGGCTCAAGACGTATGCCAACTTTCCAGAAGCAACTCAGGAGGAGGCTTCTCTCAGCAATGGGTATGTGGGAGGGACCCCGAGTTTGCTGCCTCAAGGGGAACATACAGCGAGAAGCCCTAAGTTGAAAGGAGGCCGGATTTCCTTGCAGTGGCTTGAATACAGGCCCGTCTTTCATCTCACAACATGAAGGGATGTCTGAATCCCCTGTGGAGACCTTAGAGAAAGCCCTAGGTCCCTGCCTCATTTTGACGGAATGCCTCACATCCCGCTGACACCTCAAGAGGCACGCGGAGTTCATTGCTTCAAAAGGTGACGATGCCTGACTCCTCTTGAATACTGATAGGAATCCCAAAATCCCTGTGAGTTCTTGAAAGGGTTCTTGGGTGCCCTGCCTCACCTCGAGAAGCGTCCCTTTTGCCCTGCCAAGCCTCGAAGAGATTCCTGAGGTGTCCCGCGTTACTAGACAGGAGTCCTGACGTCACTGAAGAAACTCGTGTTTTGAAGGGCCATCCCCGCCGTAAGTCGAGAACATACCCTAGGTCCCCGCCGCAACTCGAGAAAAACCACAAGACTTCCCTCTAGAGGCGAGATGAGGCCCCATTCCCCTGCAGTGCATGCAGAGCTACTCCGTGATCCCATTCAAACAAGTCAGGAGCTTCGACTTGCTTAATGGATCTCGAGACAGTCCCCAAGAACACTGTCACCAGTCTAGACGGACCCTGAGGTCACCCCAGCAGCGCAGAGCAGCTCCATGTGCCCCAAATCAACTCGAGATGAGGCCCGATTCCCCTGCATTGACTCCAGAGCCATTCCCCGTTCCCCATTCAACACGACCGGTGGCTCGACTTCCTTCAGGCCACTGCAGAGATGCCCCGAGCACACTCTCCCAAGTCTAGAGGAACACCAACTTCAGCACAGCAACTCGAGGAATGCTCCGTGTACCCCAAATCGTCTCGAGATGAGAGCTGATTCCCTGGCTTAGGCTCAAGACGTATGCCAACTTTCCAGAAGCACCTCAGGAGGAGGCTTCTCTCAGCAATAGGTATGTGGGAGGGACCCCGAGTTTCCTGCCTCAAGGGGAACATACAGCGAGAAGCCCTAACTTGAAAGGAGGCCGGATTTCCTTGCAGTGGCTTGAATACAGGCCCGTCTTTCATCTCACAACATGAAGGGATGTCTGAATCCCCTTGGAGAACTTAGAGAAAGCCCTAGGCCCTGCCTCATTTTGACGGAATGCCTCACATCCCGCTGACACCTCGAGAGGCACACGGAGTTCATTGCTTCAAAAGGTGACGATGCCTGAATCCTCTTGAATAGTGATAGGAATCCCAAAATCCCTGTAGCTACTGGAAAGGGTCCTTGGGTGCCCTGCCTCACCTCGAGAAGCGTCCCGTTTGCCCTGCCAAGCCTCGAAGAGATTCCTGAGGTGTCCTTCGTTACTAGACAGGAGTCCTGACGTCACTGAAGAAACTCGTGTTTTGAAGGGCCATCCCCGCCTTAAGTCGAGAACATACACCAGGTCCCCGCCGCAACTCGAGAAAAACCATGAGACTTACCCCTAGAGGCGAGATGAGGCCCCATTCCCCTGCAGTGCATGCAGAGCTATTCCGTGATCCCATTCAAACAAGTCAGGAGCTTCGACTTGCTTAATGGATCTCGAGACAGTCCCCAAGAACACTGTCACCAGTCTAGACGGACCCTGAGGTCACCCCAGCAGCGCAGAGCAGCTCCATGTGGCCCAAATCAACTCGAGATGAGGCCCGATTCCCCTGCATTGACTCCAGAGCCATTCCCCGTTCCCCATTCAACACGACCGGTGGCTCGACTTACTTCAGGCCAATGCAGAGATGCCCCGAGCACACTGTCCCAAGTCTAGAGGAACACCAACTTCAGCACAGCAACTCGAGGAATGCTCCGTGTACCCCAAATCGTCTCGAGATGAGAGCTGATTCCGTGGCTTAGGCTCAAGACGTATGCCAACTTTCCAGAAGCAACTCAGGAGGAGGCTTCTCTCAGCAATGGGTATGTGGGAGGGACCCCGAGTTTGCTGCCTCAAGTGGAACATACAGCGAGAAGCCCTAAGTTGAAAGGAGGCCGGATTTCCTTGCAGTGGCTTGAATACAGGCCCGTCTTTCATCTCACAACATGAAGGGATGTCTGAATCCCCTGTGGAGACCTTAGAGAAAGCCCTAGGTCCCTGCCTCATTTTGACGGAATGCCTCACATCCCGCTGACACCTCAAGAGGCACGCGGAGTTCATTGCTTCAAAAGGTGACGATGCCTGACTCCTCTTGAATACTGATAGGAATCCCAAAATCCCTGTGAGTTCTTGAAAGGGTTCTTGGGTGCCCTGCCTCACCTCGAGAAGCGTCCCTTTTGCCCTGCCAAGCCTCGAAGAGATTCCTGAGGTGTCCCGCGTTACTAGACAGGAGTCCTGACGTCACTGAAGAAACTCGTGTTTTGAAGGGCCATCCCCGCCGTAAGTCGAGAACATACCCTAGGTCCCCGCCGCAACTCGAGAAAAACCACAAGACTTCCCTCTAGAGGCGAGATGAGGCCCCATTCCCCTGCAGTGCATGCAGAGCTACTCCGTGATCCCATTCAAACAAGTCAGGAGCTTCGACTTGCTTAATGGATCTCGAGACAGTCCCCAAGAACACTGTCACCAGTCTAGACGGACCCTGAGGTCACCCCAGCAGCGCAGAGCAGCTCCATGTGCCCCAAATCAACTCGAGATGAGCCCCGATTCCCCTGCATTGACTCCAGAGCCATTCCCCGTTCCCCATTCAACACGACCGGTGGCTCGACTTCCTTCAGGCCACTGCAGAGATGCCCCGAGCACACTCTCCCAAGTCTAGAGGAACACCAACTTCAGCACAGCAACTCGAGGAATGCTCCGTGTACCCCAAATCGTCTCGAGATGAGAGCTGATTCCCTGGCTTAGGCTCAAGACGTATGCCAACTTTCCAGAAGCACCTCAGGAGGAGGCTTCTCTCAGCAATAGGTATGTGGGAGGGACCCCGAGTTTCCTGCCTCAAGGGGAACATACAGCGAGAAGCCCTAACTTGAAAGGAGGCCGGATTTCCTTGCAGTGGCTTGAATACAGGCCCGTCTTTCATCTCACAACATGAAGGGATGTCTGAATCCCCTTGGAGAACTTAGAGAAAGCCCTAGGCCCTGCCTCATTTTGACGGAATGCCTCACATCCCGCTGACACCTCGAGAGGCACACGGAGTTCATTGCTTCAAAAGGTGACGATGCCTGAATCCTCTTGAATAGTGATAGGAATCCCAAAATCCCTGTAGCTACTGGAAAGGGTCCTTGGGTGCCCTGCCTCACCTCGAGAAGCGTCCCGTTTGCCCTGCCAAGCCTCGAAGAGATTCCTGAGGTGTCCTTCGTTACTAGACAGGAGTCCTGACGTCACTGAAGAAACTCGTGTTTTGAAGGGCCATCCCCGCCTTAAGTCGAGAACATACACCAGGTCCCCGCCGCAACTCGAGAAAAACCATGAGACTTACCCCTAGAGGCGAGATGAGGCCCCATTCCCCTGCAGTGCATGCAGAGCTATTCCGTGATCCCATTCAAACAAGTCAGGAGCTTCGACTTGCTTAATGGATCTCGAGACAGTCCCCAAGAACACTGTCACCAGACTAGACGGACCCTGAGGTCACCCCAGCAGCGCAGAGCAGCTCCATGTGGCCCAAATCAACTCGAGATGAGGCCCGATTCCCCTGCATTGACTCCAGAGCCATTCCCCGTTCCCCATTCAACACGACCGGTGGCTCGACTTACTTCAGGCCAATGCAGAGATGCCCCGAGCACACTGTCCCAAGTCTAGAGGAACACCAACTTCAGCACAGCAACTCGAGGAATGCTCCGTGTACCCCAAATCGTCTCGAGATGAGAGCTGATTCCGTGGCTTAGGCTCAAGACGTATGCCAACTTTCCAGAAGCAACTCAGGAGGAGGCTTCTCTCAGCAATGGGTATGTGGGAGGGACCCCGAGTTTGCTGCCTCAAGGGGAACATACAGCGAGAAGCCCTAAGTTGAAAGGAGGCCGGATTTCCTTGCAGTGGCTTGAATACAGGCCCGTCTTTCATCTCACAACATGAAGGGATGTCTGAATCCCCTGTGGAGACCTTAGAGAAAGCCCTAGGTCCCTGCCTCATTTTGACGGAATGCCTCACATCCCGCTGACACCTCAAGAGGCACGCGGAGTTCATTGCTTCAAAAGGTGACGATGCCTGACTCCTCTTGAATACTGATAGGAATCCCAAAATCCCTGTGAGTTCTTGAAAGGGTTCTTAGGTGCCCTGCCTCACCTCGAGAAGCGTCCCTTTTGCCCTGCCAAGCCTCGAAGAGATTCCTGAGGTGTCCCGCGTTACTAGACAGGAGTCCTGACGTCACTGAAGAAACTCGTGTTTTGAAGGGCCATCCCCGCCGTAAGTCGAGAACATACCCTAGGTCCCCGCCGCAACTCGAGAAAAACCACAAGACTTCCCTCTAGAGGCGAGATGAGGCCCCATTCCCCTGCAGTGCATGCAGAGCTACTCCGTGATCCCATTCAAACAAGTCAGGAGCTTCGACTTGCTTAATGGATCTCGAGACAGTCCCCAAGAACACTGTCACCAGTCTAGACGGACCCTGAGGTCACCCCAGCAGCGCAGAGCAGCTCCATGTGCCCCAAATCAACTCGAGATGAGGCCCGATTCCCCTGCATTGACTCCAGAGCCATTCCCCGTTCCCCATTCAACACGACCGGTGGCTCGACTTCCTTCAGGCCACTGCAGAGATGCCCCGAGCACACTCTCCCAAGTCTAGAGGAACACCAACTTCAGCACAGCAACTCGAGGAATGCTCCGTGTACCCCAAATCGTCTCGAGATGAGAGCTGATTCCCTGGCTTAGGCTCAAGACGTATGCCAACTTTCCAGAAGCACCTCAGGAGGAGGCTTCTCTCAGCAATAGGTATGTGGGAGGGACCCCGAGTTTCCTGCCTCAAGGGGAACATACAGCGAGAAGCCCTAACTTGAAAGGAGGCCGGATTTCCTTGCAGTGGCTTGAATACAGGCCCGTCTTTCATCTCACAACATGAAGGGATGTCTGAATCCCCTTGGAGAACTTAGAGAAAGCCCTAGGCCCTGCCTCATTTTGACGGAATGCCTCACATCCCGCTGACACCTCGAGAGGCACACGGAGTTCATTGCTTCAAAAGGTGACGATGCCTGAATCCTCTTGAATAGTGATAGGAATCCCAAAATCCCTGTAGCTACTGGAAAGGGTCCTTGGGTGCCCTGCCTCACCTCGAGAAGCGTCCCGTTTGCCCTGCCAAGCCTCGAAGAGATTCCTGAGGTGTCCTTCGTTACTAGACAGGAGTCCTGACGTCACTGAAGAAACTCGTGTTTTGAAGGGCCATCCCCGCCTTAAGTCGAGAACATACACCAGGTCCCCGCCGCAACTCGAGAAAAACCATGAGACTTACCCCTAGAGGCGAGATGAGGCCCCATTCCCCTGCAGTGCATGCAGAGCTATTCCGTGATCCCATTCAAACAAGTCAGGAGCTTCGACTTGCTTAATGGATCTCGAGACAGTCCCCAAGAACACTGTCACCAGACTAGACGGACCCTGAGGTCACCCCAGCAGCGCAGAGCAGCTCCATGTGGCCCAAATCAACTCGAGATGAGGCCCGATTCCCCTGCATTGACTCCAGAGCCATTCCCCGTTCCCCATTCAACACGACCGGTGGCTCGACTTACTTCAGGCCAATGCAGAGATGCCCCGAGCACACTGTCCCAAGTCTAGAGGAACACCAACTTCAGCACAGCAACTCGAGGAATGCTCCGTGTACCCCAAATCGTCTCGAGATGAGAGCTGATTCCGTGGCTTAGGCTCAAGACGTATGCCAACTTTCCAGAAGCAACTCAGGAGGAGGCTTCTCTCAGCAATGGGTATGTGGGAGGGACCCCGAGTTTGCTGCCTCAAGGGGAACATACAGCGAGAAGCCCTAAGTTGAAAGGAGGCCGGATTTCCTTGCAGTGGCTTGAATACAGGCCCGTCTTTCATCTCACAACATGAAGGGATGTCTGAATCCCCTGTGGAGACCTTAGAGAAAGCCCTAGGTCCCTGCCTCATTTTGACGGAATGCCTCACATCCCGCTGACACCTCAAGAGGCACGCGGAGTTCATTGCTTCAAAAGGTGACGATGCCTGACTCCTCTTGAATACTGATAGGAATCCCAAAATCCCTGTGAGTTCTTGAAAGGGTTCTTGGGTGCCCTGCCTCACCTCGAGAAGCGTCCCTTTTGCCCTGCCAAGCCTCGAAGAGATTCCTGAGGTGTCCCGCGTTACTAGACAGGAGTCCTGACGTCACTGAAGAAACTCGTGTTTTGAAGGGCCATCCCCGCCGTAAGTCGAGAACATACCCTAGGTCCCCGCCGCAACTCGAGAAAAACCACAAGACTTCCCTCTAGAGGCGAGATGAGGCCCCATTCCCCTGCAGTGCATGCAGAGCTACTCCGTGATCCCATTCAAACAAGTCAGGAGCTTCGACTTGCTTAATGGATCTCGAGACAGTCCCCAAGAACACTGTCACCAGTCTAGACGGACCCTGAGGTCACCCCAGCAGCGCAGAGCAGCTCCATGTGCCCCAAATCAACTCGAGATGAGGCCCGATTCCCGTGCATTGACTCCAGAGCCATTCCCCGTTCCCCATTCAACACGACCGGTGGCTCGACTTCCTTCAGGCCACTGCAGAGATGCCCCGAGCACACTCTCCCAAGTCTAGAGGAACACCAACTTCAGCACAGCAACTCGAGGAATGCTCCGTGTACCCCAAATCGTCTCGAGATGAGAGCTGATTCCGTGGCTTAGGCTCAAGACGTATGCCAACTTTCCAGAAGCACCTCAGGAGGAGGCTTCTCTCAGCAATAGGTATGTGGGAGGGACCCCGAGTTTCCTGCCTCAAGGGGAACATACAGCGAGAAGCCCTAACTTGAAAGGAGGCCGGATTTCCTTGCAGTGGCTTGAATACAGGCCCGTCTTTCATCTCACAACATGAAGGGATGTCTGAATCCCCTTGGAGAACTTAGAGAAAGCCCTAGGCCCTGCCTCATTTTGACGGAATGCCTCACATCCCGCTGACACCTCGAGAGGCACACGGAGTTCATTGCTTCAAAAGGTGACGATGCCTGAATCCTCTTGAATAGTGATAGGAATCCCAAAATCCCTGTAGCTACTGGAAAGGGTCCTTGGGTGCCCTGCCTCACCTCGAGAAGCGTCCCGTTTGCCCTGCCAAGCCTCGAAGAGATTCCTGAGGTGTCCTTCGTTACTAGACAGGAGTCCTGACGTCACTGAAGAAACTCGTGTTTTGAAGGGCCATCCCCGCCTTAAGTCGAGAACATACACCAGGTCCCCGCCGCAACTCGAGAAAAACCATGAGACTTACCCCTAGAGGCGAGATGAGGCCCCATTCCCCTGCAGTGCATGCAGAGCTATTCCGTGATCCCATTCAAACAAGTCAGGAGCTTCGACTTGCTTAATGGATCTCGAGACAGTCCCCAAGAACACTGTCACCAGTCTAGACGGACCCTGAGGTCACCCCAGCAGCGCAGAGCAGCTCCATGTGGCCCAAATCAACTCGAGATGAGGCCCGATTCCCCTGCATTGACTCCAGAGCCATTCCCCGTTCCCCATTCAACACGACCGGTGGCTCGACTTACTTCAGGCCAATGCAGAGATGCCCCGAGCACACTGTCCCAAGTCTAGAGGAACACCAACTTCAGCACAGCAACTCGAGGAATGCTCCGTGTACCCCAAATCGTCTCGAGATGAGAGCTGATTCCGTGGCTTAGGCTCAAGACGTATGCCAACTTTCCAGAAGCAACTCAGGAGGAGGCTTCTCTCAGCAATGGGTATGTGGGAGGGACCCCGAGTTTGCTGCCTCAAGGGGAACATACAGCGAGAAGCCCTAAGTTGAAAGGAGGCCGGATTTCCTTGCAGTGGCTTGAATACAGGCCCGTCTTTCATCTCACAACATGAAGGGATGTCTGAATCCCCTGTGGAGACCTTAGAGAAAGCCCTAGGTCCCTGCCTCATTTTGACGGAATGCCTCACATCCCGCTGACACCTCAAGAGGCACGCGGAGTTCATTGCTTCAAAAGGTGACGATGCCTGACTCCTCTTGAATACTGATAGGAATCCCAAAATCCCTGTGAGTTCTTGAAAGGGTTCTTGGGTGCCCTGCCTCACCTCGAGAAGAGTCCCTTTTGCCCTGCCAAGCCTCGAAGAGATTCCTGAGGTGTCCCGCGTTACTAGACAGGAGTCCTGACGTCACTGAAGAAACTCGTGTTTTGAAGGGCCATCCCCGCCGTAAGTCGAGAACATACCCTAGGTCCCCGCCGCAACTCGAGAAAAACCACAAGACTTCCCTCTAGAGGCGAGATGAGGCCCCATTCCCCTGCAGTGCATGCAGAGCTACTCCGTGATCCCATTCAAACAAGTCAGGAGCTTCGACTTGCTTAATGGATCTCGAGACAGTCCCCAAGAACACTGTCACCAGTCTAGACGGACCCTGAGGTCACCCCAGCAGCGCAGAGCAGCTCCATGTGCCCCAAATCAACTCGAGATGAGGCCCGATTCCCCTGCATTGACTCCAGAGGCATTCCCCGTTCCCCATTCAACACGACCGGTGGCTCGACTTCCTTCAGGCCACTGCAGAGATGCCCCGAGCACACTCTCCCAAGTCTAGAGGAACACCAACTTCAGCACAGCAACTCGAGGAATGCTCCGTGTACCCCAAATCGTCTCGAGATGAGAGCTGATTCCCTGGCTTAGGCTCAAGACGTATGCCAACTTTCCAGAAACACCTCAGGAGGAGGCTTCTCTCAGCAATAGGTATGTGGGAGGGACCCCGAGTTTGCTGCCTCAAGGGGAACATACAGCGAGAAGCCCTAACTTGAAAGGAGGCCGGATTTCCTTGCAGTGGCTTGAATACAGGACCGTCTTTCATCTCACAACATGAAGGGATGTCTGAATCCCCTTGGAGAACTTAGAGAAAGCCCTAGGCCCTGCCTCATTTTGACGGAATGCCTCACATCCCGCTGACACCTCGAGAGGCACACGGAGTTCATTGCTTCAAAAGGTGACGATGCCTGACTCCTCTTGAATACTGATAGGAATCCCAAAATCCCTGTAGCTACTGGAAAGGGTCCTTGGGTGCCCTGCCTCACCTCGAGAAGCGTCCCGTTTGCCCTGCCAAGCCTCGAAGAGATTCCTGAGGTGTCCTTCGTTACTAGACAGGAGTCCTGACGTCACTGAAGAAACTCGTGTTTTGAAGGGCCATCCCCGCCTTAAGTCGAGAACATACACCAGGTCCCCGCCGCAACTCGAGAAAAACCATGAGACTTACCCCTAGAGGCGAGATGAGGCCCCATTCCCCTGCAGTGCATGCAGAGCTATTCCGTGATCCCATTCAAACAAGTCAGGAGCTTCGACTTGCTTAATGGATCTCGAGACAGTCCCCAAGAACACTGTCACCAGTCTAGACGGACCCTGAGGTCACCCCAGCAGCGCAGAGCAGCTCCATGTGGCCCAAATCAACTCGAGATGAGGCCCGATTCCCCTGCATTGACTCCAGAGCCATTCCCCGTTCCCCATTCAACACGACCGGTGGCTCGACTTACTTCAGGCCAATGCAGAGATGCCCCGAGCACACTGTCCCAAGTCTAGAGGAACACCAACTTCAGCACAGCAACTCGAGGAATGCTCCGTGTACCCCAAATCGTCTCGAGATGAGAGCTGATTCCGTGGCTTAGGCTCAAGACGTATGCCAACTTTCCAGAAGCAACTCAGGAGGAGGCTTCTCTCAGCAATGGGTATGTGGGAGGGACCCCGAGTTTGCTGCCTCAAGGGGAACATACAGCGAGAAGCCCTAAGTTGAAAGGAGGCCGGATTTCCTTGCAGTGGCTTGAATACAGGCCCGTCTTTCATCTCACAACATGAAGGGATGTCTGAATCCCCTGTGGAGACCTTAGAGAAAGCCCTAGGTCCCTGCCTCATTTTGACGGAATGCCTCACATCCCGCTGACACCTCAAGAGGCACACGGAGTTCATTGCTTCAAAAGGTGACGATGCCTGACTCCTCTTGAATACTGATAGGAATCCCAAAATCCCTGTGAGTTCTTGAAAGGGTTCTTGGGTGCCCTGCCTCACCTCGAGAAGCGTCCCTTTTGCCCTGCCAAGCCTCGAAGAGATTCCTGAGGTGTCCCGCGTTACTAGACAGGAGTCCTGACGTCACTGAAGAAACTCGTGTTTTGAAGGGCCATCCCCGCCGTAAGTCGAGAACATACCCTAGGTCCCCGCCGCAACTCGAGAAAAACCACAAGACTTCCCTCTAGAGGCGAGATGAGGCCCCATTCCCCTGCAGTGCATGCAGAGCTACTCCGTGATCCCATTCAAACAAGTCAGGAGCTTCGACTTGCTTAATGGATCTCGAGACAGTCCCCAAGAACACTGTCACCAGTCTAGACGGACCCTGAGGTCACCCCAGCAGCGCAGAGCAGCTCCATGTGCCCCAAATCAACTCGAGATGAGGCCCGATTCCCCTGCATTGACTCCAGAGCCATTCCCCGTTCCCCATTCAACACGACCGGTGGCTCGACTTACTTCAGGCCAATGCAGAGATGCCCCGAGCACACTGTCCCAAGTCTAGAGGAACACCAACTTCAGCACAGCAACTCGAGGAATGCTCCGTGTACCCCAAATCGTCTCGAGATGAGAGCTGATTCCGTGGCTTAGGCTCAAGACGTATGCCAACTTTCCAGAAGCAACTCAGGAGGAGGCTTCTCTCAGCAATGGGTATGTGGGAGGGACCCCGAGTTTGCTGCCTCAAGGGGAACATACAGCGAGAAGCCGTAAGTTGAAAGGAGGCCGGATTTCCTTGCAGTGGCTTGAATACAGGCCCGTCTTTCATCTCACAACATGAAGGGATGTCTGAATCCCCTGTGGAGACCTTAGAGAAAGCCCTAGGTCCCTGCCTCATTTTGACGGAATGCCTCACATCCCGCTGACACCTCAAGAGGCACGCGGAGTTCATTGCTTCAAAAGGTGACGATGCCTGACTCCTCTTGAATACTGATAGGAATCCCAAAATCCCTGTGAGTTCTTGAAAGGGTTCTTGGGTGCCCTGCCTCACCTCGAGAAGCGTCCCTTTTGCCCTGCCAAGCCTCGAAGAGATTCCTGAGGTGTCCTTCGTTACTAGACAGGAGTCCTGACGTCACTGAAGAAACTCGTGTTTTGAAGGGCCATCCCCGCCGTAAGTCGAGAACATACCCTAGGTCCCCGCCGCAACTCGAGAAAAACCACAAGACTTCCCTCTAGAGGCGAGATGAGGCCCCATTCCCCTGCAGTGCATGCAGAGCTACTCCGTGATCCCATTCAAACAAGTCAGGAGCTTCGACTTGCTTAATGGATCTCGAGACAGTCCCCAAGAACACTGTCACCAGTCTAGACGGACCCTGAGGTCACCCCAGCAGCGCAGAGCAGCTCCATGTGCCCCAAATCAACTCGAGATGAGGCCCGATTCCCGTGCATTGAATCCAGAGCCATTCCCCGTTCCCCATTCAACACGACCGGTGGCTCGACTTCCTTCAGGCCACTGCAGAGATGCCCCGAGCACACTCTCCCAAGTCTAGAGGAACACCAACTTCAGCAGAGCAACTCGAGGAATGCTCCGTGTACCCCAAATCGTCTCGAGATGAGAGCTGATTCCCTGGCTTAGGCTCAAGACGTATGCCAACTTTCCAGAAGCACCTCAGGAGGAGGCTTCTCTCAGCAATAGGTATGTGGGAGGGACCCCGAGTTTGCTGCCTCAAGGGGAACATACAGCGAGAAGCCCTAACTTGAAAGGAGGCCGGATTTCCTTGCAGTGGCTTGAATACAGGCCCGTCTTTCATCTCACAACATGAAGGGATGTCTGAATCCCCTTGGAGAACTTAGAGAAAGCCCTAGGCCCTGCCTCATTTTGACGGAATGCCTCACATCCCGCTGACACCTCGAGAGGCACACGGAGTTCATTGCTTCAAAAGGTGACGATGCCTGACTCCTCTTGAATACTGATAGGAATCCCAAAATCCCTGTAGCTACTGGAAAGGGTCCTTGGGTGCCCTGCCTCACCTCGAGAAGCGTCCCGTTTGCCCTGCCAAGCCTCGAAGAGATTCCTGAGGTGTCCTTCGTTACTAGACAGGAGTCCTGACGTCACTGAAGAAACTCGTGTTTTGAAGGGCCATCCCCGCCTTAAGTCGAGAACATACACCAGGTCCCCGCCGCAACTCGAGAAAAACCATGAGACTTACCCCTAGAGGCGAGATGAGGCCCCATTACCCTGCAGTGCATGCAGAGCTATTCCGTGATCCCATTCAAACAAGTCAGGAGCTTCGACTTGCTTAATGGATCTCGAGACAGTCCCCAAGAACACTGTCACCAGTCTAGACGGACCCTGAGGTCACCCCAGCAGCGCAGAGCAGCTCCATGTGGCCCAAATCAACTCGAGATGAGGCCCGATTCCCGTGCATTGAATCCAGAGCCATTCCCCGTTCCCCATTCAACACGACCGGTGGCTCGACTTACTTCAGGCCAATGCAGAGATGCCCCGAGCACACTGTCCCAAGTCTAGAGGAACACCAACTTCAGCACAGCAACTCGAGGAATGCTCCGTGTACCCCAAATCGTCTCGAGATGAGAGCTGATTCCGTGGCTTAGGCTCAAGACGTATGCCAACTTTCCAGAAGCAACTCAGGAGGAGGCTTCTCTCAGCAATGGGTATGTGGGAGGGACCCCGAGTTTGCTGCCTCAAGGGGAACATACAGCGAGAAGCCCTAAGTTGAAAGGAGGCCGGATTTCCTTGCAGTGGCTTGAATACAGGCCCGTCTTTCATCTCACAACATGAAGGGATGTCTGAATCCCCTGTGGAGACCTTAGAGAAAGCCCTAGGTCCCTGCCTCATTTTGACGGAATGCCTCACATCCCGCTGACACCTCAAGAGGCACGCGGAGTTCATTGCTTCAAAAGGTGACGATGCCTGACTCCTCTTGAATACTGATAGGAATCCCAAAATCCCTGTGAGTTCTTGAAAGGGTTCTTGGGTGCCCTGCCTCACCTCGAGAAGCGTCCCTTTTGCCCTGCCAAGCCTCGAAGAGATTCCTGAGGTGTCCCGCGTTACTAGACAGGAGTCCTGACGTCACTGAAGAAACTCGTGTTTTGAAGGGCCATCCCCGCCGTAAGTCGAGAACATACCCTAGGTCCCCGCCGCAACTCGAGAAAAACCACAAGACTTCCCTCTAGAGGCGAGATGAGGCCCCATTCCCCTGCAGTGCATGCAGAGCTACTCCGTGATCCCATTCAAACAAGTCAGGAGCTTCGACTTGCTTAATGGATCTCGAGACAGTCCCCAAGAACACTGTCACCAGTCTAGACGGACCCTGAGGTCACCCCAGCAGCGCAGAGCAGCTCCATGTGCCCCAAATCAACTCGAGATGAGGCCCGATTCCCCTGCATTGACTCCAGAGCCATTCCCCGTTCCCCATTCAACACGACCGGTGGCTCGACTTCCTTCAGGCCACTGCAGAGATGCCCCGAGCACACTCTCCCAAGTCTAGAGGAACACCAACTTCAGCACAGCAACTCGAGGAATGCTCCGTGTATCCCAAATCGTCTCGAGATGAGAGCTGATTCCCTGGCTTAGGCTCAAGACGTATGCCAACTTTCCAGAAGCACCTCAGGAGGAGGCTTCTCTCAGCAATAGGTATGTGGGAGGGACCCCGAGTTTGCTGCCTCAAGGGGAACATACAGCGAGAAGCCCTAACTTGAAAGGAGGCCGGATTTCCTTGCAGTGGCTTGAATACAGGCCCGTCTTTCATCTCACAACATGAAGGGATGTCTGAATCCCCTTGGAGAACTTAGAGAAAGCCCTAGGCCCTGCCTCATTTTGGCGGAATGCCTCACATCCCGCTGACACCTCGAGAGGCACACGGAGTTCATTGCTTCAAAAGGTGACGATGCCTGAATCCTCTTGAATAGTGATAGGAATCCCAAAATCACTGTAGCTACTGGAAAGGGTCCTTGGGTGCCCTGCCTCACCTCGAGAAGCGTCCCGTTTGCCCTGCCAAGCCTCGAAGAGATTCCTGAGGTGTCCTTCGTTACTAGACAGGAGTCCTGACGTCACTGAAGAAACTCGTGTTTTGAAGGGCCATCCCCGCCTTAAGTCGAGAACATACACCAGGTCCCCGCCGCAACTCGAGAAAAACCATGAGACTTACCCCTAGAGGCGAGATGAGGCCCCATTCCCCTGCAGTGCATGCAGAGCTATTCCGTGATCCCATTCAAACAAGTCAGGAGCTTCGACTTGCTTAATGGATCTCGAGACAGTCCCCAAGAACACTGTCACCAGTCTAGACGGACCCTGAGGTCACCCCAGCAGCGCAGAGCAGCTCCATGTGCCCCAAATCAACTCGAGATGAGGCCCGATTCCCCTGCATTGACTCCAGAGCCATTCCCCGTTCCCCATTCAACACGACCGGTGGCTCGACTTCCTTCAGGCCACTGCAGAGATGCCCCGAGCACACTCTCCCAAGTCTAGAGGAACACCAACTTCAGCACAGCAACTCGAGGAATGCTCCGTGTACCCCAAATCGTCTCGAGATGAGAGCTGATTCCCTGGCTTAGGCTCAAGACGTATGCCAACTTTCCAGAAGCACCTCAGGAGGAGGCTTCTCTCAGCAATAGGTATGTGGGAGGGACCCCGAGTTTCCTGCCTCAAGGGGAACATACAGCGAGAAGCCCTAACTTGAAAGGAGGCCGGATTTCCTTGCAGTGGCTTGAATACAGGCCCGTCTTTCATCTCACAACATGAAGGGATGTCTGAATCCCCTTGGAGAACTTAGAGAAAGCCCTAGGCCCTGCCTCATTTTGACGGAATGCCTCACATCCCGCTGACACCTCGAGAGGCACACGGAGTTCATTGCTTCAAAAGGTGACGATGCCTGAATCCTCTTGAATAGTGATAGGAATCCCAAAATCCCTGTAGCTACTGGAAAGGGTCCTTGGGTGCCCTGCCTCACCTCGAGAAGCGTCCCGTTTGCCCTGCCAAGCCTCGAAGAGATTCCTGAGGTGTCCTTCGTTACTAGACAGGAGTCCTGACGTCACTGAAGAAACTCGTGTTTTGAAGGGCCATCCCCGCCTTAAGTCGAGAACATACACCAGGTCCCCGCCGCAACTCGAGAAAAACCATGAGACTTACCCCTAGAGGCGAGATGAGGCCCCATTCCCCTGCAGTGCATGCAGAGCTATTCCGTGATCCCATTCAAACAAGTCAGGAGCTTCGACTTGCTTAATGGATCTCGAGACAGTCCCCAAGAACACTGTCACCAGACTAGACGGACCCTGAGGTCACCCCAGCAGCGCAGAGCAGCTCCATGTGGCCCAAATCAACTCGAGATGAGGCCCGATTCCCCTGCATTGACTCCAGAGCCATTCCCCGTTCCCCATTCAACACGACCGGTGGCTCGACTTACTTCAGGCCAATGCAGAGATGCCCCGAGCACACTGTCCCAAGTCTAGAGGAACACCAACTTCAGCACAGCAACTCGAGGAATGCTCCGTGTACCCCAAATCGTCTCGAGATGAGAGCTGATTCCGTGGCTTAGGCTCAAGACGTATGCCAACTTTCCAGAAGCAACTCAGGAGGAGGCTTCTCTCAGCAATGGGTATGTGGGAGGGACCCCGAGTTTGCTGCCTCAAGGGGAACATACAGCGAGAAGCCCTAAGTTGAAAGGAGGCCGGATTTCCTTGCAGTGGCTTGAATACAGGCCCGTCTTTCATCTCACAACATGAAGGGATGTCTGAATCCCCTGTGGAGACCTTAGAGAAAGCCCTAGGTCCCTGCCTCATTTTGACGGAATGCCTCACATCCCGCTGACACCTCAAGAGGCACGCGGAGTTCATTGCTTCAAAAGGTGACGATGCCTGACTCCTCTTGAATACTGATAGGAATCCCAAAATCCCTGTGAGTTCTTGAAAGGGTTCTTGGGTGCCCTGCCTCACCTCGAGAAGCGTCCCTTTTGCCCTGCCAAGCCTCGAAGAGATTCCTGAGGTGTCCCGCGTTACTAGACAGGAGTCCTGACGTCACTGAAGAAACTCGTGTTTTGAAGGGCCATCCCCGCCGTAAGTCGAGAACATACCCTAGGTCCCCGCCGCAACTCGAGAAAAACCACAAGACTTCCCTCTAGAGGCGAGATGAGGCCCCATTCCCCTGCAGTGCATGCAGAGCTACTCCGTGATCCCATTCAAACAAGTCAGGAGCTTCGACTTGCTTAATGGATCTCGAGACAGTCCCCAAGAACACTGTCACCAGTCTAGACGGACCCTGAGGTCACCCCAGCAGCGCAGAGCAGCTCCATGTGCCCCAAATCAACTCGAGATGAGGCCCGATTCCCGTGCATTGACTCCAGAGCCATTCCCCGTTCCCCATTCAACACGACCGGTGGCTCGACTTCCTTCAGGCCACTGCAGAGATGCCCCGAGCACACTGTCCCAAGTCTAGAGGAACACCAACTTCAGCACAGCAACTCGAGGAATGCTCCGTGTACCCCAAATCGTCTCGAGATGAGAGCTGATTCCCTGGCTTAGGCTCAAGACGTATGCCAACTTTCCAGAAGCACCTCAGGAGGAGGCTTCTCTCAGCAATAGGTATGTGGGAGGGACCCCGAGTTTGCTGCCTCAAGGGGAACATACAGCGAGAAGCCCTAACTTGAAAGGAGGCCGGATTTCCTTGCAGTGGCTTGAATACAGGCCCGTCTTTCATCTCACAACATGAAGGGATGTCTGAATCCCCTTGGAGAACTTAGAGAAAGCCCTAGGCCCTGCCTCATTTTGACGGAATGCCTCACATCCCGCTGACACCTCGAGAGGCACACGGAGTTCATTGCTTCAAAAGGTGACGATGCCTGAATCCTCTTGAATAGTGATAGGAATCCCAAAATCCCTGTAGCTACTGGAAAGGGTCCTTGGGTGCCCTGCCTCACCTCGAGAAGCGTCCCGTTTGCCCTGCCAAGCCTCGAAGAGATTCCTGAGGTGTCCTTCGTTACTAGACAGGAGTCCTGACGTCACTGAAGAAACTCGTGTTTTGAAGGGCCATCCCCGCCTTAAGTCGAGAACATACACCAGGTCCCCGCCGCAACTCGAGAAAAACCATGAGACTTACCCCTAGAGGCGAGATGAGGCCCCATTCCCCTGCAGTGCATGCAGAGCTATTCCGTGATCCCATTCAAACAAGTCAGGAGCTTCGACTTGCTTAATGGATCTCGAGACAGTCCCCAAGAACACTGTCACCAGTCTAGACGGACCCTGAGGTCACCCCAGCAGCGCAGAGCAGCTCCATGTGGCCCAAATCAACTCGAGATGAGGCCCGATTCCCCTGCATTGACTCCAGAGCCATTCCCCGTTCCCCATTCAACACGACCGGTGGCTCGACTTACTTCAGGCCAATGCAGAGATGCCCCGAGCACACTGTCCCAAGTCTAGAGGAACACCAACTTCAGCACAGCAACTCGAGGAATGCTCCGTGTACCCCAAATCGTCTCGAGATGAGAGCTGATTCCGTGGCTTAGGCTCAAGACGTATGCCAACTTTCCAGAAGCAACTCAGGAGGAGGCTTCTCTCAGCAATGGGTATGTGGGAGGGACCCCGAGTTTGCTGCCTCAAGGGGAACATACAGCGAGAAGCCCTAAGTTGAAAGGAGGCCGGATTTCCTTGCAGTGGCTTGAATACAGGCCCGTCTTTCATCTCACAACATGAAGGGATGTCTGAATCCCCTGTGGAGACCTTAGAGAAAGCCCTAGGTCCCTGCCTCATTTTGACGGAATGCCTCACATCCCGCTGACACCTCAAGAGGCACGCGGAGTTCATTGCTTCAAAAGGTGACGATGCCTGACTCCTCTTGAATACTGATAGGAATCCCAAAATCCCTGTGAGTTCTTGAAAGGGTTCTTGGGTGCCCTGCCTCACCTCGAGAAGCGTCCCTTTTGCCCTGCCAAGCCTCGAAGAGATTCCTGAGGTGTCCCGCGTTACTAGACAGGAGTCCTGACGTCACTGAAGAAACTCGTGTTTTGAAGGGCCATCCCCGCCGTAAGTCGAGAACATACCCTAGGTCCCCGCCGCAACTCGAGAAAAACCACAAGACTTCCCTCTAGAGGCGAGATGAGGCCCCATTCCCCTGCAGTGCATGCAGAGCTACTCCGTGATCCCATTCAAACAAGTCAGGAGCTTCGACTTGCTTAATGGATCTCGAGACAGTCCCCAAGAACACTGTCACCAGTCTAGACGGACCCTGAGGTCACCCCAGCAGCGCAGAGCAGCTCCATGTGCCCCAAATCAACTCGAGATGAGGCCCGATTCCCCTGCATTGACTCCAGAGCCATTCCCCGTTCCCCATTCAACACGACCGGTGGCTCGACTTCCTTCAGGCCACTGCAGAGATGCCCCGAGCACACTCTCCCAAGTCTAGAGGAACACCAACTTCAGCACAGCAACTCGAGGAATGCTCCGTGTACCCCAAATCGTCTCGAGATGAGAGCTGATTCCCTGGCTTAGGCTCAAGACGTATGCCAACTTTCCAGAAACACCTCAGGAGGAGGCTTCTCTCAGCAATAGGTATGTGGGAGGGACCCCGAGTTTGCTGCCTCAAGGGGAACATACAGCGAGAAGCCCTAACTTGAAAGGAGGCCGGATTTCCTTGCAGTGGCTTGAATACAGGCCCGTCTTTCATCTCACAACATGAAGGGATGTCTGAATCCCCTTGGAGAACTTAGAGAAAGCCCTAGGCCCTGCCTCATTTTGACGGAATGCCTCACATCCCGCTGACACCTCGAGAGGCACACGGAGTTCATTGCTTCAAAAGGTGACGATGCCTGACTCCTCTTGAATACTGATAGGAATCCCAAAATCCCTGTAGCTACTGGAAAGGGTCCTTGGGTGCCCTGCCTCACCTCGAGAAGCGTCCCGTTTGCCCTGCCAAGCCTCGAAGAGATTCCTGAGGTGTCCTTCGTTACTAGACAGGAGTCCTGACGTCACTGAAGAAACTCGTGTTTTGAAGGGCCATCCCCGCCTTAAGTCGAGAACATACACCAGGTCCCCGCCGCAACTCGAGAAAAACCATGAGACTTACCCCTAGAGGCGAGATGAGGCCCCATTCCCCTGCAGTGCATGCAGAGCTATTCCGTGATCCCATTCAAACAAGTCAGGAGCTTCGACTTGCTTAATGGATCTCGAGACAGTCCCCAAGAACACTGTCACCAGTCTAGACGGACCCTGAGGTCACCCCAGCAGCGCAGAGCAGCTCCATGTGGCCCAAATCAACTCGAGATGAGGCCCGATTCCCCTGCATTGACTCCAGAGCCATTCCCCGTTCCCCATTCAACACGACCGGTGGCTCGACTTACTTCAGGCCAATGCAGAGATGCCCCGAGCACACTGTCCCAAGTCTAGAGGAACACCAACTTCAGCACAGCAACTCGAGGAATGCTCCGTGTACCCCAAATCGTCTCGAGATGAGAGCTGATTCCGTGGCTTAGGCTCAAGACGTATGCCAACTTTCCAGAAGCAACTCAGGAGGAGGCTTCTCTCAGCAATGGGTATGTGGGAGGGACCCCGAGTTTGCTGCCTCAAGGGGAACATACAGCGAGAAGCCCTAAGTTGAAAGGAGGCCGGATTTCCTTGCAGTGGCTTGAATACAGGCCCGTCTTTCATCTCACAACATGAAGGGATGTCTGAATCCCCTGTGGAGACCTTAGAGAAAGCCCTAGGTCCCTGCCTCATTTTGACGGAATGCCTCACATCCCGCTGACACCTCAAGAGGCACGCGGAGTTCATTGCTTCAAAAGGTGACGATGCCTGACTCCTCTTGAATACTGATAGGAATCCCAAAATCCCTGTGAGTTCTTGAAAGGGTTCTTGGGTGCCCTGCCTCACCTCGAGAAGCGTCCCTTTTGCCCTGCCAAGCCTCGAAGAGATTCCTGAGGTGTCCCGCGTTACTAGACAGGAGTCCTGACGTCACTGAAGAAACTCGTGTTTTGAAGGGCCATCCCCGCCGTAAGTCGAGAACATACCCTAGGTCCCCGCCGCAACTCGAGAAAAACCACAAGACTTCCCTCTAGAGGCGAGATGAGGCCCCATTCCCCTGCAGTGCATGCAGAGCTACTCCGTGATCCCATTCAAACAAGTCAGGAGCTTCGACTTGCTTAATGGATCTCGAGACAGTCCCCAAGAACACTGTCACCAGTCTAGACGGACCCTGAGGTCACCCCAGCAGCGCAGAGCAGCTCCATGTGCCCCAAATCAACTCGAGATGAGGCCCGATTCCCCTGCATTGACTCCAGAGCCATTCCCCGTTCCCCATTCAACACGACCGGTGGCTCGACTTACTTCAGGCCAATGCAGAGATGCCCCGAGCACACTGTCCCAAGTCTAGAGGAACACCAACTTCAGCACAGCAACTCGAGGAATGCTCCGTGTACCCCAAATCGTCTCGAGATGAGAGCTGATTCCGTGGCTTAGGCTCAAGACGTATGCCAACTTTCCAGAAGCAACTCAGGAGGAGGCTTCTCTCAGCAATGGGTATGTGGGAGGGACCCCGAGTTTGCTGCCTCAAGGGGAACATACAGCGAGAAGCCCTAAGTTGAAAGGAGGCCGGATTTCCTTGCAGTGGCTTGAATACAGGCCCGTCTTTCATCTCACAACATGAAGGGATGTCTGAATCCCCTGTGGAGACCTTAGAGAAAGCCCTAGGTCCCTGCCTCATTTTGACGGAATGCCTCACATCCCGCTGACACCTCAAGAGGCACGCGGAGTTCATTGCTTCAAAAGGTGACGATGCCTGACTCCTCTTGAATACTGATAGGAATCCCAAAATCCCTGTGAGTTCTTGAAAGGGTTCTTGGGTGCCCTGCCTCACCTCGAGAAGCGTCCCTTTTGCCCTGCCAAGCCTCGAAGAGATTCCTGAGGTGTCCTTCGTTACTAGACAGGAGTCCTGACGTCACTGAAGAAACTCGTGTTTTGAAGGGCCATCCCCGCCGTAAGTCGAGAACATACCCTAGGTCCCCGCCGCAACTCGAGAAAAACCACAAGACTTCCCTCTAGAGGCGAGATGAGGCCCCATTCCCCTGCAGTGCATGCAGAGCTACTCCGTGATCCCATTCAAACAAGTCAGGAGCTTCGACTTGCTTAATGGATCTCGAGACAGTCCCCAAGAACACTGTCACCAGTCTAGACGGACCCTGAGGTCACCCCAGCAGCGCAGAGCAGCTCCATGTGCCCCAAATCAACTCGAGATGAGGCCCGATTCCCGTGCATTGACTCCAGAGCCATTCCCCGTTCCCCATTCAACACGACCGGTGGCTCGACTTCCTTCAGGCCACTGCAGAGATGCCCCGAGCACACTCTCCCAAGTCTAGAGGAACACCAACTTCAGCAGAGCAACTCGAGGAATGCTCCGTGTACCCCAAATCGTCTCGAGATGAGAGCTGATTCCCTGGCTTAGGCTCAAGACGTATGCCAACTTTCCAGAAGCACCTCAGGAGGAGGCTTCTCTCAGCAATAGCTATGTGGGAGGGACCCCGAGTTTGCTGCCTCAAGGGGAACATACAGCGAGAAGCCCTAACTTGAAAGGAGGCCGGATTTCCTTGCAGTGGCTTGAATACAGGCCCGTCTTTCATCTCACAACATGAAGGGATGTCTGAATCCCCTTGGAGAACTTAGAGAAAGCCCTAGGCCCTGCCTCATTTTGACGGAATGCCTCACATCCCGCTGACACCTCGAGAGGCACACGGAGTTAATTGCTTCAAAAGGTGACGATGCCTGACTCCTCTTGAATACTGATAGGAATCCCAAAATCCCTGTAGCTACTGGAAAGGGTCCTTGGGTGCCCTGCCTCACCTCGAGAAGCGTCCCGTTTGCCCTGCCAAGCCTCGAAGAGATTCCTGAGGTGTTCTTCGTTACTAGACAGGAGTCCTGACGTCACTGAAGAAACTCGTGTTTTGAAGGGCCATCCCCGCCTTAAGTCGAGAACATACACCAGGTCCCCGCCGCAACTCGAGAAAAACCATGAGACTTACCCCTAGAGGCGAGATGAGGCCCCATTACCCTGCAGTGCATGCAGAGCTATTCCGTGATCCCATTCAAACAAGTCAGGAGCTTCGACTTGCTTAATGGATCTCGAGACAGTCCCCAAGAACACTGTCACCAGTCTAGACGGACCCTGAGGTCACCCCAGCAGCGCAGAGCAGCTCCATGTGGCCCAAATCAACTCGAGATGAGGCCCGATTCCCGTGCATTGAATCCAGAGCCATTCCCCGTTCCCCATTCAACACGACCGGTGGCTCGACTTACTTCAGGCCAATGCAGAGATGCCCCGAGCACACTGTCCCAAGTCTAGAGGAACACCAACTTCAGCACAGCAACTCGAGGAATGCTCCGTGTACCCCAAATCGTCTCGAGATGAGAGCTGATTCCGTGGCTTAGGCTCAAGACGTATGCCAACTTTCCAGAAGCAACTCAGGAGGAGGCTTCTCTCAGCAATGGGTATGTGGGAGGGACCCCGAGTTTGCTGCCTCAAGGGGAACATACAGCGAGAAACCCTAAGTTGAAAGGAGGCCGGATTTCCTTGCAGTGGCTTGAATACAGGCCCGTCTTTCATCTCACAACATGAAGGGATGTCTGAATCCCCTGTGGAGACCTTAGAGAAAGCCCTAGGTCCCTGCCTCATTTTGACGGAATGCCTCACATCCCGCTGACACCTCAAGAGGCACGCGGAGTTCATTGCTTCAAAAGGTGACGATGCCTGACTCCTCTTGAATACTGATAGGAATCCCAAAATCCCTGTGAGTTCTTGAAAGGGTTCTTGGGTGCCCTGCCTCACCTCGAGAAGCGTCCCTTTTGCCCTGCCAAGCCTCGAAGAGATTCCTGAGGTGTCCCGCGTTACTAGACAGGAGTCCTGACGTCACTGAAGAAACTCGTGTTTTGAAGGGCCATCCCCGCCGTAAGTCGAGAACATACCCTAGGTCCCCGCCGCAACTCGAGAAAAACCACAAGACTTCCCTCTAGAGGCGAGATGAGGCCCCATTCCCCTGCAGTGCATGCAGAGCTACTCCGTGATCCCATTCAAACAAGTCAGGAGCTTCGACTTGCTTAATGGATCTCGAGACAGTCCCCAAGAACACTGTCACCAGTCTAGACGGACCCTGAGGTCACCCCAGCAGCGCAGAGCAGCTCCATGTGCCCCAAATCAACTCGAGATGAGGCCCGATTCCCCTGCATTGACTCCAGAGCCATTCCCCGTTCCCCATTCAACACGACCGGTGGCTCGACTTCCTTCAGGCCACTGCAGAGATGCCCCGAGCACACTCTCCCAAGTCTAGAGGAACACCAACTTCAGCACAGCAACTCGAGGAATGCTCCGTGTACCCCAAATCGTCTCGAGATGAGAGCTGATTCCCTGGCTTAGGCTCAAGACGTATGCCAACTTTCCAGAAGCACCTCAGGAGGAGGCTTCTCTCAGCAATAGGTATGTGGGAGGGACCCCGAGTTTGCTGCCTCAAGGGGAACATACAGCGAGAAGCCCTAACTTGAAAGGAGGCCGGATTTCCTTGCAGTGGCTTGAATACAGGCCCGTCTTTCATCTCACAACATGAAGGGATGTCTGAATCCCCTTGGAGAACTTAGAGAAAGCCCTAGGCCCTGCCTCATTTTGGCGGAATGCCTCACATCCCGCTGACACCTCGAGAGGCACACGGAGTTCATTGCTTCAAAAGGTGACGATGCCTGAATCCTCTTGAATAGTGATAGGAATCCCAAAATCACTGTAGCTACTGGAAAGGGTCCTTGGGTGCCCTGCCTCACCTCGAGAAGCGTCCCGTTTGCCCTGCCAAGCCTCGAAGAGATTCCTGAGGTGTCCTTCGTTACTAGACAGGAGTCCTGACGTCACTGAAGAAACTCGTGTTTTGAAGGGCCATCCCCGCCTTAAGTCGAGAACATACACCAGGTCCCCGCCGCAACTCGAGAAAAACCATGAGACTTACCCCTAGAGGCGAGATGAGGCCCCATTCCCCTGCAGTGCATGCAGAGCTATTCCGTGATCCCATTCAAACAAGTCAGGAGCTTCGACTTGCTTAATGGATCTCGAGACAGTCCCCAAGAACACTGTCACCAGTCTAGACGGACCCTGAGGTCACCCCAGCAGCGCAGAGCAGCTCCATGTGCCCCAAATCAACTCGAGATGAGGCCCGATTCCCCTGCATTGACTCCAGAGCCATTCCCCGTTCCCCATTCAACACGACCGGTGGCTCGACTTACTTCAGGCCAATGCAGAGATGCCCCGAGCACACTGTCCCAAGTCTAGAGGAACACCAACTTCAGCACAGCAACTCGAGGAATGCTCCGTGTACCCCAAATCGTCTCGAGATGAGAGCTGATTCCGTGGCTTAGGCTCAAGACGTATGCCAACTTTCCAGAAGCAACTCAGGAGGAGGCTTCTCTCAGCAATGGGTATGTGGGAGGGACCCCGAGTTTGCTGCCTCAAGGGGAACATACAGCGAGAAGCCCTAAGTTGAAAGGAGGCCGGATTTCCTTGCAGTGGCTTGAATACAGGCCCGTCTTTCATCTCACAACATGAAGGGATGTCTGAATCCCCTGTGGAGACCTTAGAGAAAGCCCTAGGTCCCTGCCTCATTTTGACGGAATGCCTCACATCCCGCTGACACCTCAAGAGGCACACGGAGTTCATTGCTTCAAAAGGTGACGATGCCTGAATCCTCTTGAATAGTGATAGGAATCCCAAAATCCCTGTAGCTACTGGAAAGGGTCCTTGGGTGCCCTGCCTCACCTCGAGAAGCGTCCCGTTTGCCCTGCCAAGCCTCGAAGAGATTCCTGAGGTGTCCTTCTTTACTAGACAGGAGTCCTGACGTCACTGAAGAAACTCGTGTTTTGAAGGGCCATCCCCGCCTTAAGTCGAGAACATACACCAGGTCCCCGCCGCAACTCGAGAAAAACCATGAGACTTACCCCTAGAGGCGAGATGAGGCCCCATTCCCCTGCAGTGCATGCAGAGCTATTCCGTGATCCCATTCAAACAAGTCAGGAGCTTCGACTTGCTTAATGGATCTCGAGACAGTCCCCAAGAACACTGTCACCAGTCTAGACGGACCCTGAGGTCACCCCAGCAGCGCAGAGCAGCTCCATGTGGCCCAAATCAACTCGAGATGAGGCCCGATTCCCCTGCATTGACTCCAGAGCCATTCCCCGTTCCCCATTCAACACGACCGGTGGCTCGACTTACTTCAGGCCAATGCAGAGATGCCCCGAGCACACTGTCCCAAGTCTAGAGGAACACCAACTTCAGCACAGCAACTCGAGGAATGCTCCGTGTACCCCAAATCGTCTCGAGATGAGAGCTGATTCCGTGGCTTAGGCTCAAGACGTATGCCAACTTTCCAGAAGCAACTCAGGAGGAGGCTTCTCTCAGCAATGGGTATGTGGGAGGGACCCCGAGTTTGCTGCCTCAAGGGGAACATACAGCGAGAAGCCCTAAGTTGAAAGGAGGCCGGATTTCCTTGCAGTGGCTTGAATACAGGCCCGTCTTTCATCTCACAACATGAAGGGATGTCTGAATCCCCTGTGGAGACCTTAGAGAAAGCCCTAGGTCCCTGCCTCATTTTGACGGAATGCCTCACATCCCGCTGACACCTCAAGAGGCACGCGGAGTTCATTGCTTCAAAAGGTGACGATGCCTGACTCCTCTTGAATACTGATAGGAATCCCAAAATCCCTGTGAGTTCTTGAAAGGGTTCTTGGGTGCCCTGCCTCACCTCGAGAAGCGTCCCTTTTGCCCTGCCAAGCCTCGAAGAGATTCCTGAGGTGTCCCGCGTTACTAGACAGGAGTCCTGACGTCACTGAAGAAACTCGTGTTTTGAAGGGCCATCCCCGCCGTAAGTCGAGAACATACCCTAGGTCCCCGCCGCAACTCGAGAAAAACCACAAGACTTCCCTCTAGAGGCGAGATGAGGCCCCATTCCCCTGCAGTGCATGCAGAGCTACTCCGTGATCCCATTCAAACAAGTCAGGAGCTTCGACTTGCTTAATGGATCTCGAGACAGTCCCCAAGAACACTGTCACCAGTCTAGACGGACCCTGAGGTCACCCCAGCAGCGCAGAGCAGCTCCATGTGCCCCAAATCAACTCGAGATGAGGCCCGATTCCCGTGCATTGACTCCAGAGCCATTCCCCGTTCCCCACTCAACACGACCGGTGGCTCGACTTCTTTCAGGCCACTGCAGAGATGCCCCGAGCACACTCTCCCAAGTCTAGAGGAACACCAACTTCAGCACAGCAACTCGAGGAATGCTCCGTGTACCCCAAATCGTCTAGAGATGAGAGCTGATTCCCTGGCTTAGGCTCAAGACGTATGCCAACTTTCCAGAAGCACCTCAGGAGGAGGCTTCTCTCAGCAATAGGTATGTGGGAGGGACCCCGAGTTTGCTGCCTCAAGGGGAACATACAGCGAGAAGCCCTAACTTGAAAGGAGGCCGGATTTCCTTGCAGTGGCTTGAATACAGGCCCGTCTTTCATCTCACAACATGAAGGGATGTATGAATCCCCTTGGAGAACTTAGAGAAAGCCCTAGGCCCTGCCTCATTTTGACGGAATGCCTCACATCCCGCTGACACCTCGAGAGGCACACGGAGTTCATTGCTTCAAAAGGTGACGATGCCTGAATCCTCTTGAATAGTGATAGGAATCCCAAAATCCCTGTAGCTACTGGAAAGGGTCCTTGGGTGCCCTGCCTCACCTCGAGAAGCGTCCCGTTTGCCCTGCCAAGCCTCGAAGAGATTCCTGAGGTGTCCTTCGTTACTAGACAGGAGTCCTGACGTCACTGAAGAAACTCGTGTTTTGAAGGGCCATCCCCGCCTTAAGTCGAGAACATACACCAGGTCCCCGCCGCAACTCGAGAAAAACCATGAGACTTACCCCTAGAGGCGAGATGAGGCCCCATTCCCCTGCAGTGCATGCAGAGCTATTCCGTGATCCCATTCAAACAAGTCAGGAGCTTCGACTTGCTTAATGGATCTCGAGACAGTCCCCAAGAACACTGTCACCAGTCTAGACGGACCCTGAGGTCACCCCAGCAGCGCAGAGCAGCTCCATGTGCCCCAAATCAACTCGAGATGAGGCCCGATTCCCCTGCATTGACTCCAGAGCCATTCCCCGTTCCCCATTCAACACGACCGGTGGCTCGACTTCCTTCAGGCCACTGCAGAGATGCCCCGAGCACACTCTCCCAAGTCTAGAGGAACACCAACTTCAGCACAGCAACTCGAGGAATGCTCCGTGTACCCCAAATCGTCTCGAGATGAGAGCTGATTCCGTGGCTTAGGCTCAAGACGTATGCCAACTTTCCAGAAGCAACTCAGGAGGAGGCTTCTCTCAGCAATGGGTATGTGGGAGGGACCCCGAGTTTGCTGCCTCAAGGGGAACATACAGCGAGAAGCCCTAAGTTGAAAGGAGGCCGGATTTCCTTGCAGTGGCTTGAATACAGGCCCGTCTTTCATCTCACAACATGAAGGGATGTCTGAATCCCCTGTGGAGACCTTAGAGAAAGCCCTAGGTCCCTGCCTCATTTTGACGGAATGCCTCACATCCCGCTGACACCTCAAGAGGCACGCGGAGTTCATTGCTTCAAAAGGTGACGATGCCTGACTCCTCTTGAATACTGATAGGAATCCCAAAATCCCTGTGAGTTCTTGAAAGGGTTCTTGGGTGCCCTGCCTCACCTCGAGAAGCGTCCCTTTTGCCCTGCCAAGCCTCGAAGAGATTCCTGAGGTGTCCCGCGTTACTAGACAGGAGTCCTGACGTCACTGAAGAAACTCGTGTTTTGAAGGGCCATCCCCGCCGTAAGTCGAGAACATACCCTAGGTCCCCGCCGCAACTCGAGAAAAACCACAAGACTTCCCTCTAGAGGCGAGATGAGGCCCCATTCCCCTGCAGTGCATGCAGAGATACTCCGTGATCCCATTCAAACAAGTCAGGAGCTTCGACTTGCTTAATGGATCTCGAGACAGTCCCCAAGAACACTGTCACCAGTCTAGACGGACCCTGAGGTCACCCCAGCAGCGCAGAGCAGCTCCATGTGCCCCAAATCAACTCGAGATGAGGCCCGATTCCCGTGCATTGACTCCAGAGCCATTCCCCGTTCCCCATTCAACACGACCGGTGGCTCGACTTCCTTCAGGCCACTGCAGAGATGCCCCGAGCACACTCTCCCAAGTCTAGAGGAACACCAACTTCAGCACAGCAACTCGAGGAATGCTCCGTGTACCCCAAATCGTCTCGAGATGAGAGCTGATTCCCTGGCTTAGGCTCAAGACGTATGCCAACTTTCCAGAAGCACCTCAGGAGGAGGCTTCTCTCAGCAATAGGTATGTGGGAGGGACCCCGAGTTTGCTGCCTCAAGGGGAACATACAACGAGAAGCCCTAACTTGAAAGGAGGCCGGATTTCCTTGCAGTGGCTTGAATACAGGCCCGTCTTTCATCTCACAACATGAAGGGATGTCTGAATCCCCTTGGAGAACTTAGAGAAAGCCCTAGGCCCTGCCTCATTTTGACGGAATGCCTCACATCCCGCTGACACCTCGAGAGGCACACGGAGTTCATTGCTTCAAAAAGTGACGATGCCTGAATCCTCTTGAATAGTGATAGGAATCCCAAAATCCCTGTAGCTACTGGAAAGGGTCCTTGGGTGCCCTGCCTCACCTCGAGAAGCGTCCCATTTGCCCTGCCAAGCCTCGAAGAGATTCCTGAGGTGTCCTTCGTTACTAGACAGGAGTCCTGACGTCACTGAAGAAACTCGTGTTTTGAAGGGCCATCCCCGCCTTAAGTCGAGAACATACACCAGGTCCCCGCCGCAACTCGAGAAAAACCATGAGACTTACCCCTAGAGGCGAGATGAGGCCCCATTCCCCTGCAGTGCATGCAGAGCTATTCCGTGATCCCATTCAAACAAGTCAGGAGCTTCGACTTGCTTAATGGATCTCGAGACAGTCCCCAAGAACACTGTCACCAGTCTAGACGGACCCTGAGGTCACCCCAGCAGCGCAGAGCAGCTCCATGTGGCCCAAATCAACTCGAGATGAGGCCCGATTCCCCTGCATTGACTCCAGAGCCATTCCCCGTTCCCCATTCAACACGACCGGTGGCTCGACTTACTTCAGGCCAATGCAGAGATGCCCCGAGCACACTGTCCCAAGTCTAGAGGAACACCAACTTCAGCACAGCAACTCGAGGAATGCTCCGTGTACCCCAAATCGTCTCGAGATGAGAGCTGATTCCGTGGCTTAGGCTCAAGACGTATGCCAACTTTCCAGAAGCAACTCAGGAGGAGGCTTCTCTCAGCAATGGGTATGTGGGAGGGACCCCGAGTTTGCTGCCTCAAGGGGAACATACAGCGAGAAGCCCTAAGTTGAAAGGAGGCCGGATTTCCTTGCAGTGGCTTGAATACAGGCCCGTCTTTCATCTCACAACATGAAGGGATGTCTGAATCCCCTGTGGAGACCTTAGAGAAAGCCCTAGGTCCCTGCCTCATTTTGACGGAATGCCTCACATCCCGCTGACACCTCAAGAGGCACGCGGAGTTCATTGCTTCAAAAGGTGACGATGCCTGACTCCTCTTGAATACTGATAGGAATCCCAAAATCCCTGTGAGTTCTTGAAAGGGTTCTTGGGTGCCCTGCCTCACCTCGAGAAGCGTCCCTTTTGCCCTGCCAAGCCTCGAAGAGATTCCTGAGGTATCCCGCGTTACTAGACAGGAGTCCTGACGTCACTGAAGAAACTCGTGTTTTGAAGGGCCATCCCCGCCGTAAGTCGAGAACATACCCTAGGTCCCCGCCGCAACTCGAGAAAAACCACAAGACTTCCCTCTAGAGGCGAGATGAGGCCCCATTCCCCTGCAGTGCATGCAGAGCTACTCCGTGATCCCATTCAAACAAGTCAGGAGCTTCGACTTGCTTAATGGATCTCGAGACAGTCCCCAAGAACACTGTCACCAGTCTAGACGGACCCTGAGGTCACCCCAGCAGCGCAGAGCAGCTCCATGTGCCCCAAATCAACTCGAGATGAGGCCCGATTCCCGTGCATTGACTCCAGAGCCATTCCCCGTTCCCCATTCAACACGACCGGTGGCTCGACTTCCTTCAGGCCACTGCAGAGATGCCCCGAGCACACTCTCCCAAGTCTAGAGGAACACCAACTTCAGCACAGCAACTCGAGGAATGCTCCGTGTACCCCAAATCGTCTCGAGATGAGAGCTGATTCCCTGGCTTAGGCTCAAGACGTATGCCAACTTTCCAGAAGCACCTCAGGAGGAGGCTTCTCTCAGCAATAGGTATGTGGGAGGGACCCCGAGTTTGCTGCCTCAAGGGGAACATACAGCGAGAAGCCCTAACTTGAAAGGAGGCCGGATTTCCTTGCAGTGGCTTGAATACAGGCCCGTCTTTCATCTCACAACATGAAGGGATGTCTGAATCCCCTTGGAGAACTTAGAGAAAGCCCTAGGCCCTGCCTCATTTTGACGGAATGCCTCACATCCCGCTGACACCTCGAGAGGCACACGGAGTTCATTGCTTCAAAAGGTGACGATGCCTGAATCCTCTTGAATAGTGATAGGAATCCCAAAATCCCTGTAGCTACTGGAAAGGGTCCTTGGGTGCCCTGCCTCACCTCGAGAAGCGTCCCGTTTGCCCTGCCAAGCCTCGAAGAGATTCCTGAGGTGTCCTTCGTTACTAGACAGGAGTCCTGACGTCACTGAAGAAACTCGTGTTTTGAAGGGCCATCCCCGCCTTAAGTCGAGAACATACACCAGGTCCCCGCCGCAACTCGAGAAAAACCATGAGACTTACCCCTAGAGGCGAGATGAGGCCCCATTCCCCTGCAGTGCATGCAGAGCTATTCCGTGATCCCATTCAAACAAGTCAGGAGCTTCGACTTGCTTAATGGATCTCGAGACAGTCCCCAAGAACACTGTCACCAGTCTAGACGGACCCTGAGGTCACCCCAGCAGCGCAGAGCAGCTCCATGTGGCCCAAATCAACTCGAGATGAGGCCCGATTCCCCTGCATTGACTCTAGAGCCATTCCCCGTTCCCCATTCAACACGACCGGTGGCTCGACTTACTTCAGGCCAATGCAGAGATGCCCCGAGCACACTGTCCCAAGTCTAGAGGAACACCAACTTCAGCACAGCAACTCGAGGAATGCTCCGTGTACCCCAAATCGTCTCGAGATGAGAGCTGATTCCGTGGCTTAGGCTCAAGACGTATGCCAACTTTCCAGAAGCAACTCAGGAGGAGGCTTCTCTCAGCAATGGGTATGTGGGAGGGACCCCGAGTTTGCTGCCTCAAGGGGAACATACAGCGAGAAGCCCTAAGTTGAAAGGAGGCCGGATTTCCTTGCAGTGGCTTGAATACAGGCCCGTCTTTCATCTCACAACATGAAGGGATGTCTGAATCCCCTTTGGAGACCTTAGAGAAAGCCCTAGGTCCCTGCCTCATTTTGACGGAATGCCTCACATCCCGCTGACACCTCAAGAGGCACGCGGAGTTCATTGCTTCAAAAGGTGACGATGCCTGACTCCTCTTGAATACTGATAGGAATCCCAAAATCCCTGTGGCTCCTGGAAAGGGTCCTTAGGTGCCCTGCCTCACCTCGAGAAGTGTCCCTTTTGCCCTGCCAAGCCTCGAAGAGATTCCTGAGGTGTCCCTCGTTACTAGTCAGGAGTCCTGACGTCACTGAAGAAACTCGTGTTTTGAAGGGCCATCCCCGCTGTAAGTCGAGAACATATCCCGGGTCCCCGCCGCAACTCGAGAAAAAACATGAGACTTCCCCCTAGAGGCGAGATGAGGCCCCATTCCCCTGCAGTGCATACAGAGCTATTCCGTGATCCCATTCAAACAAGTCAGGAGCTTCGACTTGCTTAATGGATCTCGAGACAGTCCCCAAGAACACTGTCACCAGTCTAGACGGACCCTGAGGTTACCCCAGCAACGCAAAGCAGCTCCATTTGCCCGAAATCAACTCGAGATGAGGCCCGATTCCCCTGCATTGACTCCAGAGCCATTCCCCGTTCCCCATTCAACACGACCGGTGGCTCGACTTCCTTCAGGCCACTCCAGAGATGCCCCGAGAACACTGTCCCAAGTCTAGAGGAACAAGAACTTCAGCACAACAACTCGAGGAATGCTCCGTGTACCCCAAATCGCATCGAGATGAGAGCTGATTCCCTGGCTTAGGCTCAAGACATATGCGAACATTCCAGAAGCACCTCAGGACGAGGCTTCTCTAAGCAATAGGTATGTGGGAGGGACCCCGAGTTTGCTGCCTCAAGGGGAATATACAGCGAGAAGCCCTAACTTGAAAGGAGGCCGGATTTCCTTGCAGTGGCTTGAATACAGGCCCGTCTTTCATCTCACAACATGAAGGGATGTCTGAATCCCTGGTGGAGACCTTAGAGAAAGCCCTAGGTGCCTGCCTCATTTTGACGGAATGCCTCACATCCCGCTGACACCTCGAGAGGCACTCGGAGTTCATTGCTTCAAAAGTTGACGATGCCTGACTCCTCTTGAATACTGATAGGAATCCCAAAATCCCTGTGGCTACTGGAAAGGGTCCTTGGGTGCCCTGCCTCACCTCGAGAAGCGTCCCTTTTGCCCTGCCAAGCCTCGAAGAGATTCCTGAGGTGTCCCTCGTTACTAGTCAGGAGTCCTGACGTCACTGAAGAAACTCGTGTTTTGAAGGGCCATCCCCGCCGTAAGTCGAGAACGTATCCCGGGTCCCCGCCGCAACTCGAGAAAAAACATGAGACTTCCCCCTAGAGGCGAGATGAGGCCCCATTCCCCTGCAGTGCATACAGAGCTATTCCGTGATCCCATTCAAACAAGTCAGGAGCTTCGACTTGCTTAATGGATCTCGAGACAGTCCCCAAGAACACTGTCACCAGTCTAGACGGACCCTGAGGTTACCCCAGCAACGCAAAGCAGCTCCATGTGCCCGAAATCAACTCGAGATGAGGCCCGATTCCCCTGCATTGACTCCAGAGCCATTCCCCGTTCCCCATTCAACACGACCGGTGGCTCGACTTCCTTCAGGCAACTCCAGAGATGCCCCGAGAACACTGTCCCAAGTCTAGAGGAACAACAACTTCAGCACAACAACTTGAGGAATGCTCCGTGTACCCCAAATCGTCTCGAGATGAGAGCTGATTCCCTGGCTTAGGCTCAAGACATATTCCAACTTTCCAGAAGCACCTCAGGACGAAGCTTCTCTCAGCAATAGGTATGTGGGAGGGACCCCGAGTTTGCTGCCTCAAGGGGAACATACAGCGAGAAGCCCTAAGTTGAAAGGAGGCCGGATTTCCTTGCAGTGGCTTGAATACAGGCCCGTCTTTCATCTCACAACATGAAGGGATGTCTGAATCCCCTGTGGAGACCTTAGAGAAAGCCCTAGGTCCCTGCCTCATTTTGACGGAATGCTTCACAACCCGCTGACACCTCCAGAGGCACGCGGAGTTCATTGCTTCAAAAGGTGACGATGCCTGACTCCTCTTGAATACTGATAGGAATCCCAAAATCCCTGTGAGTTCTTGAAAGGGTTCTTGGGTGCCCTGACTCACCTTGAGAATTGTCCCTTTTGCCCTGCCAAGCCTCGAAGAGATTCCTGAGGTGTCCCTCGTTACTAGACAGGAGTCCTGACGTCACTGAAGAAACTCGTGTTTTGAAGGGCCATCCCCGCCGTAAGTCGAGAACATACCCCAGGTCCCCACCGCAACTCGAGAAAAACCATGAGACTTCCCCCTAGAGGCGAGATGAGGCCCCATTCCCCTGCAGTGCATGCAGAGCTACTCCGTGATCCCATTCAAACAAGTCAGGAGCTTCGACTTGCTTAATGGATCTCGAGACAGTCCCCAAGAACACTGTCACCAGTCTAGACGGACCCTGAGGTCACCCCAGCAACGCAAAGCAGCTCTATGTGCCCCAATTCAACTCGAGATGAGGCCCGATTCCCCTGCATTGACTCCGGAGCCTTTCCCCGTTCCCCATTCAACACGACCGGTGGCTCGACTTCCTTCAGGCCACTCCAGAGATGCCCCGAGCACACTGTCCCAAGTCTAGAGGAACACCAACTTCAGCACAGCACTCGAGGAATGCTCCGTGTACACCAAATCGTATCCAGATGAGAGCTGATTCCCTGGCTTAGGCTCAAGACGTATGCCAACTTTCCAGAAGCACCTCAGGAGGAGGCTTCTCTCAGCAATAGGTATGTGGGAGGGACCCCGAGTTTGCTGCCTCAAGGGGAATATACAGCGAGAAGCCCTAACTTGAAAGGAGGCCGGATTTCCTTGCAGTGGCTTGAATATAGGCCCGTCTTTCATCTCACAACATGAAGGGATGTCTGAATCCCCTTGGAGACCTTAGAGAAAGCCCTAGGTGCCTGCCTCATTTTGACGGAATGCCTCACATCCCGCTGACACCTCGAGAGGCACACGGAGTTCATTGCTTCAAAAGGTGACGATGCCTGACTCCTCTTGAATAGTGATAGGAATCCCAAAATCCCTGTAGCTACTGGAAAGCGTCCTTGGGTGCCCTGCCTCACCTCGAGAAGCGTCCCTTTTGCCCTGCCAAGCCTCGAAGAGATTCCTGAGGTGTCCCTCGTTACTAGTCAGGAGTCCTGACGTCACTGAAGAAACTCGTGTTTTGAAGGGCCATCCCCGCCTTAAGTCGAGAACATACACCAGGTCCCCGCCGCAACTCGAGAAAAACCATGAGACTTACCCCTAGAGGCGAGATGAGGCCCCATTCCCCTGCAGTGCATGCAGAGCTATTCCGTGATCCCATTCAAACAAGTCAGGAGCTTCGACTTGCTTAATGGATCTCGAGACAGTCCCCAAGAACACTGTCACCAGTCTAGACGGACCCTGAGGTCACCCCAGCAACGCAAAGCAGCTCCATGTGCCCGAAATCAACTCGAGATGAGGCCCGATTCCCCTGCATTGACTCCAGAGCCATTCCCCGTTCCCCATTCAACACGACCGGTGGCTCGACTTACTTCAGGCAACTCCAGAGATGCCCCGAGCACACTGTCCCAAGTCTAGATTAACACCAACTTCAGCACAGCAACTCGAGGAATGCTCCGTGTACCCCAAATCGTCTCGAGATGAGAGCTGATTCCGTGGCTTAGGCTCAAGACGTATGCCAACTTTCCAGAAGCAACTCAGGAGGAGGCTTCTCTCAGCAATAGGTATGTGGGAGGGACCCCGAGTTTGCTGCCTCAAGGGGAATATACAGCGAGAAGCCCTAACTTGAAAGGAGGCCGGATTTCCTTGCAGTGGCTTGAATACAGGCCCGTCTTTCATCTCACAACATGAAGGGATGTCTGAATCCCCTGTGGAGACCTTAGAGAAAGCCCTAGGTCCCTGCCTCATTTTGACGGAATGCCTCACAACCCGCTGACACCTCCAGAGGCACGCGGAGTTCATTGCTTCAAAAGGTGACGATGCCTGACTCCTCTTGAATACTGATAGGAATCCCAAAATCCCTGTGGCTACTGGAAAGGGTCCTTGGGTGCCCTGCCTCACCTCGAGAAGCGTCCCTTTTGCCCTGCCAAGCCTCGAAGAGATTCCTAAGGTGTCCCTCGTTACTAGACAGGAGTCCTGACGTCACTGAAGAAACTCGTGTTTTGAAGGGCCATCCCCGCCGTAAGTCGAGAACATTCCCCAGGTCCCCGACGCAACTCGAGAAAAACCATGAGACTTCCCCCTAGAGGCGAGGTGAGGCCCCATTCCCCTGCAGTGCATGCAGAGCTACTCCGTGATCCCATTCAAACAAGTCAGGAGCTTCGACTTGCTTAATGGATCTCGAGACAGTCCCCAAGAACACTGTCACCAGTCTAGACGGACCCTGAGGTCACCCCAGCAGCGCAGAGCAGCTCCATGTGCCCCAAATCAACACGAGATGAGGCCCGATTCCCGTGCATTGACTCCAGAGCCATTCCCCGTTCCCCATTCAACACGACCGGTGGCTCGACTTACGTCAGGCAACTCCAGAGATGCCCCGAGAACACTGTCCCAAGTCTAGATTAACACCAACTTCAGCACAGCAACTCGAGGAATGCTCCGTGTACCCCAAATCGCATCGAGATGAGAGCTGATTCCCTGGCTTAGGCTCAAGACATATGCGAACTTTCCAGAAGCACCTCAGGACGAGGCTTCTCTAAGCAATAGGTATGTGGGAGGGACCCCGAGTTTGCTGCCTCAAGGGGAATATACAGCGAGAAGCCCTAACTTGAAAGGAGGCCGGATTTCCTTGCAGTGGCTTGAATACAGGCCCGTCTTTCATCTCACAACATGAAGGGATGTCTGAATCCCCGGTGGAGACCTTAGAGAAAGCCCTAGGTGCCTGCCTCATTTTGACGGAATGCCTCACATCCCGCTGACACCTCGAGAGGCACACGGAGTTCATTGCTTCAAAAGTTGACGATGCCTGACTCCTCTTGAATACTGATAGGAATCCCAAAATCCCTGTGGCTACTGGAAAGGGTCCTTGCGTGCCCTGCCTCACCTCGAGAAGCGTCCCTTTTGCCCTGCCAAGCCTCGAAGAGATTCCTGAGGTGTCCCTCGTTACTAGTCAGGAGTCCTGACGTCACTGAAGAAACTCGTGTTTTGAAGGGCCATCCCCGCCGTAAGTCGAGAACATATCCCGGGTCCCCGCCGCAACTCGAGAAAAAACATGAGACTTCCCCCTAGAGGCGAGATGAGGCCCCATTCCCCTGCAGTGCATACAGAGCTATTCCGTGATCCCATTCAAACAAGTCAGGAGCTTCGACTTGCTTAATGGATCTCGAGACAGTCCCCAAGAACACTGTCACCAGTCTAGACGGACCCTGAGGTTACCCCAGCAACGCAAAGCAGCTCCATGTGCCCCAAATCAACTCGAGATGAGGCCCGATTCCCCTGCATTGACTCCAGAGCCATTCCCCGTTCCCCATTCAACACGACCGGTGGCTCGACTTCCTTCAGGCCACTGAAGAGATGCCCCTAGCACACTGTCCCAAGTCTAGAGGAACACCAACTTCAGCACAGCAACTCGAGGAATGCTCCGTGTACCCCAAATCGTCTCGAGATGAGAGCTGATTCCCTGGCTTAGGCTCAAGACGTATGCCAACTTTCCAGAAGCACCTCAGGAGGAGGCTTCTCTCAGCAATAGGTATGTGGGAGGGACCCCGAGTTTGCTGCCTCAAGGGGAACATACAGCGAGAAGCCCTAAGTTGAAAGGAGGCCGGATTTCCTTGCAGTGGCTTGAATACAGGCCCGTCTTTCATCTCACAACATGAAGGGATGTCTGAATCCCCTGTGGAGACCTTAGAGAAAGCCCTAGGTCCCTGCCTCATTTTGACGGAATGCCTCACATCCCGCTGACACCTCGAGAGGCACACGGAGTTCATTGCTTCAAAAGGTGACGATGCCTGACTCCTCTTGAATACTGATAGGAATCCCAAAATCCCTGTGGCTTCTTGAAAGGGTCCTTGGGTGCCCTGCCTCACCTCGAGATGCGTCCCTTTTGCCCTGCCAAGCCTCGAAGAGATTCCTGAGGTGTCCCTCGTTACTAGTCAGGAGTCCTGACGTCACTGAAGAAACTCGTGTTTTGAAGGGCCATCCCCGCCGTAAGTCGAGAACATATCCCGGGTCCCCGCCGCAACTCGAGAAAAAACATGAGACTTCCCCCTAGAGGCGAGATGAGGCCCCATTCCCCTGCAGTGCATACAGAGCTATTCCGTGATCCCATTCAAACAAGTCAGGAGCTTCGACTTGCTTAATGGATCTCGAGACAGTCCCCAAGAACACTGTCACCAGTCTAGACGGACCCTGAGGTTACCCCAGCAACGCAAAGCAGCTCCATGTGCCCGAAATCAACTCGAGATGAGGCCCGATTCCCCTGCATTGACTCCAGAGCCATTCCCCGTTCCCCATTCAACACGACCGGTGGCTCGACTTCCTTCAGGCAACTCCAGATATGCCCCGAGAACACTGTCCCAAGTCTAGAGGAACAAGAACTTCATCACAACAACTCGAGGAATGCTCCGTGTACCCCAAATCGTCTCGAGATGAGAGCTGATTCCCTGGCTTAGGCTCAAGACATATGCGAACTTTCCAGAAGCACCTCAGGACGAGGCTTCTCTAAGCAATAGGTATGTGGGAGGGACCCCGAGTTTGCTGCCTCAAGGGAATATACAGCGAGAAGCCCTAACTTGAAAGGAGGCCGGATTTCCTTGCAGTGGCTTGAATACAGGCCCGTCTTTCATCTCACAACATGAAGGGTTGTCTGAATCCCCTGTGGAGACCTTAGAGAAAGCCCTAGATCCCTGCCTCATTTTGACGGAATGCTTCACATCCCGCTGACACCTCGAGAGGCACGCGGAGTTCATTGCTTCAAAAGGTGACGATGCCTGACTCCTCTTGAATACTGATAGGAATCCAAAAATCCCTGTGGCTACTGGAAAGGGTCCTTGGGTGCCCTGCCTCACCTCGAGAAGCGTCCCTTTTGCCCTGCCAAGCCTCGAAGAGATTCCTAAGGTGTCCCTCGTTACTAGACAGGAGTCCTGACGTCACTGAAGAAACTCGTGTTTTGAAGGGCCATCCCCGCCGTAAGTCGAGAACATTCCCCAGGTCCCCGACGCAACTCGAGAAAAACCATGAGACTTCCCCCTAGAGGCGAGGTGAGGCCCCATTCACCTGCAGTGCATGCAGAGCTATTCCGTGATCCCATTCAAACAAGTCAGGAGCTTCGACTTGCTTAATGGATCTCGAGACAGTCCCCAAGAACACTGTCACCAGTCTAGACGGACCCTGAGGTCACCCCAGCAGCGCAGAGCAGCTCCATGTGCCCCAAATCAACTCGAGATGAGGCCCGATTCCCCTGCATTGACTCCAGAGCCATTCCCCGTTCCCCATTCAACACGACCGGTGGCTCGACTTCCTTCAGGCCACTGAAGAGATGCCCCGAGCACACTGTCCCAAGTCTAGAGGAACACCAACTTCAGCACAGCAACTCGAGGAATGCTCCGTGTACCCCAAATCGTCTCGAGATGAGAGCTGATTCCCTGGCTTAGGCTCAAGACGTATGCCAACTTTCCAGAAGCACCTCAGGAGGAGGCTTCTCTCAGCAATAGGTATGTGGGAGGGACCCCGAGTTTGCTGCCTCAAGGGGAATATACAGCGAGAAGCCCTAACTTGAAAGGAGGCCGGATTTCCTTGCAGTGGCTTGAATACAGGCCCGTCTTTCATCTCACAACATGAAGGGATGTCTGAATCCCCGGTGGAGACCTTAGAGAAAGCCCTAGGTGCCTGCCTCATTTTGACGGAATGCTTCACATCCCGCTGACACCTGGAGAGGCACACGGAGTTCATTGCTTCAAAAGGTGACGATGCCTGACTCCTCTTGAATACTGATAGGAATCCAAAAATCCCTGTGGCTACTGGAAAGGGTCCTTGGGTGAACTGCCTCACCTCGAGAAGCGTCCCTTTTGCCCTGCCAAGCCTCGAAGAGATTCCTGAGGTGTCCCTCGTTACTAAACAGGAGTCCTGACGTCACTGAAGAAACTCGTGTTTTGAAGGGCCATCCCCGCCGTAAGTCGAGAACATTCCCCAGGTCCCCGCCGCAACTCGAGAAAAACCATGAGACTTCCCCCTAGAGGCGAGATGAGGCCCCATTCCCCTGCAGTGCATGCAGAGCTACTCCGTGATCCCATTCAAACAAGTCAGGAGCTTCGACTTGCTTAATGGATCTCGAGACAGTCCCCAAGAACACTGTCACCAGTCTAGACGGACCCTGAGGTCACCCCAGCAACGCAAAGCAGCTCTATGTGCCCCAATTCAACTCGAGATGAGGCCCGATTCCCCTGCATTGACTCCAGAGCCTTTCCCCGTTCCACATTCAACACGACCGGTGGCTCGACTTCCTTCAGGCCACTCCAGAGATGCCCCGAGAACACTCTCCCAAGTCTAGAGGAACACCAACTTCAGCACAGCAACTCGAGGAATGCTCCGTGTACCCCAAATCGCATCGAGATGAGAGCTGATTCCCTGGCTTAGGCTCAAGACGTATGCCAACTTTCCAGAAGCACCTCAGGAGGAGGATTCTCTCAGCAATAGGTATGTGGGAGGGACCCCGAGTTTGCTGCCTCAAGGGGAATATACAGCGAGAAGCCCTAACTTGAACGGAGGCCGGATTTCCTTGCAACTGCTTGAATACAGGCCCGTCTTTCATCTCACAACATGAAGGGATGTCTGAATCCCCTGTGGAGACCTTAGAGAAAGCCCTAGGTCCCTGCCTCATTTTGACGGAATGCTTCACATCCCGCTGACACCTCGAGAGGCACGCGGAGTTCATTGCTTCAAAAGGTGATGATGCCTGACTCCTCTTGAATACTGATAGGAATCCCAAAATCCCTGTGGCTACTGGAAAGGGTCCTTGGGTGAACTGCCTCACCTCGAGGAGCGTCCCTTTTGCCCTGCCAAGCCTCGAAGAGATTCCTGAGGTGTCCCTCGTTACTAGACAGGAGTCCTGACGTCACTGAAGAAACTCGTGTTTTGAAGGGCCATCCCCGCCGTAAGTCGAGAACATTCCCCAGGTCCCCGACGCAACTCGAGAAAAACCATGAGACTTCCCCCTAGAGGCGAGATGAGGCCCTATTCCCCTGCAGTGCATGCAGAGCTATTCCGTGATCCCATTCAAACAAGTCAGGAGCTTCGACTTGCTTAATGGATCTCGAGACAGTCCCCAAGAACACTGTCACCAGTCTAGACGGACCCTGAGGTCACCCCAGCAACGCAAAGCAGCTCTATGTGCCCCAATTCAACTCGAGATGAGGCCCGATTCCCCTGCATTGACTCCAGAGCCTTTCCCCGTTCCCCATTCAACACGACCGGTGGCTCGACTTCCTTCAGGCCACTCCAGAGATGCCCCGAGAACACTGTCCCAAGTCTAGAGGAACACCAACTTCAGCACAGCAACTCGAGGAATGCTCCGTGTACCCCAAATCGCATCGAGATGAGAGCTGATTCCCTGGCTTAGGCTCAAGACGTATGCCAACTTTCCAGAAGCACCTCAGGAGGAGGCTTCTCTCAGCAATAGGTATGTGGGAGGGACCCCGAGTTTGCTGCCTCAAGGGGAACATACAGCGAGAAGCCCTAACTTGAAAGGAGGCCGGATTTCCTTGCAGTGGCTTGAATACAGGCCCGTCTTTCATCTCACAACATGAAGGGATGTCTGAATCCCCTGTGGAGACCTTAGAGAAAGCCCTAGGTCCCTGCCTCATTTTGACGGAATTCCTCACATCCCGCTGACAACTCGAGAGGCACGCGGAGTTCATTGCTTCAAAAGGTGACGATGCCTGACTCCTCTTGAATACTGATAGGAATCCCAAAATCACTGTGGCTACTGGAAAGGGTCCTTGGGTGAACTGCCTCACCTCGAGAAGCGTCCCTTTTGCCCTGCCAAGCCTCGAAGAGATTCCTGAGGTGTCCCTCGTTACTAAACAGGAGTCCTGACGTCACTGAAGAAACTCGTGTTTTGAAGGGCCATCCCCGCCGTAAGTCGAGAACATTCCCCAGGTCCCCGACGCAACTCGAGAAAAACCATGAGACTTCCCCCTAGAGGCGAGATGAGGCCCCATTCCCCTGCAGTGCATGCAGAGCTACTCCGTGATCCCATTCAAACAAGTCAGGAGCTTCGACTTGCTTAATGGATCTCGAGACAGTCCCCAAGAACACTGTCACCAGTCTAGACGGACCCTGAGGTCACCCCAGCAACGCAAAGCAGCTCTATGTGCCCCAATTCAACTCGAGATGAGGCCCGATTCCCCTGCATTGACTCCAGAGCCTTTCCCCGTTCCCCATTCAACACGACCGGTGGCTCGACTTCCTTCAGGCCACTCCAGAGATGCCCCGAGAACACTGTCCCAAGTCTAGAGGAACAACAACTTCAGCACAACAACTCGAGGAATGCTCCGTGTACCCCAAATCGTCTCGAGATGAGAGCTGATTCCCTGGCTTAGGCTCAAGACATATGCCAACTTTCCAGAAGCACCTCAGGACGAGGCTTCTCTCAGCAATAGGTATGTGGGAGGGACCCCGAGTTTGCTGCCTCAAGGGGAATATACAGCGAGAAGCCCTAACTTGAAAGGAGGCCGGATTTCCTTGCAGTGGCTTGAATACAGGCCCGTCTTTCATCTCACAACATGAAGGGATGTCTGAATCCCCTGTGGAGACCTTAGAGAAAGCCCTAGGTCCCTGCCTCATTTTGAAGGACTGCTTCACATCCCGCTGACACCTCGAGAGGCACGCGGAGTTCATTGCTTCAAAAGGTGACGATGCCTGACTCCTCTTGAATACTGATAGGAATCCCAAAATCCCTGTGGCTACTGGAAAGGGTCCTTGGGTGCCCTGCCTCACCTCGAGAAGCGTCCCTTTTGCCCTGCCAAGCCTCGAAGAGATTCCTAAGGTGTCCCTCGTTACTAGACAGGAGTCCTGATGTCACTGAAGAAACTCGTGTTTTGAAGGGCCATCCCCGCCGTAAGTCGAGAACATTCCCCAGGTCCCCGACGCAACTCGAGAAAAACCATGAGACTTCCCCCTAGAGGCGAGATGAGGCCCCATTCCCCTGCAGTGCATGCAGAGCTATTCCGTGATCCCATTCAAACAAGTCAGGAGCTTCGACTTGCTTAATGGATCTCGAGACAGTCCCCAAGAACACTGTCACCAGTCTAGACGGACCCTGAGGTCACCCCAGCAGGGCAGAACAGCTCCATGTGCCCCAAATCAACTCGAGATGAGGCCCGATTCCCCTGCATTGACTCCAGAGCCATTCCCCGTTCCCCATTCAACACGACCGGTGGCTCGACTTCCTTCAGACCACTGCAGAGATGCCCCGAGCACACTGTCCCAAGTGTAGAGGAACACCAACTTCAGCACAGCAACTCGAGGAATGCCCCGTGTACCCCAAATCGTCTCGAGATGAGAGCTGATTCCCTGGCTTAGGCTCAAGACATATGCCAACTTTCCAGAAGCACCTCAGGACGAGGCTTCTCTAGGCAATAGGTATGTGGGAGGGACCCCGAGTTTGCTGCCTCAAGGGGAATATACAGCGAGAAGCCCTAACTTGAAAGGAGGCCGGATTTCCTTGCAGTGGCTTGAATACAGGCCCGTCTTTCATCTCACAACATGAAGGGATGTCTGAATCCCCTGTGGAGACCTTAGAGAAAGCCCTAGGTCCCTGCCTCATTTTGACGGAATGCTTCACATCCCGCTGACACCTCGAGAGGCACGCGGAGTTCATTGCTTCAAAAGGTGACGATGCCTGACTCCTCTTGAATACTGATAGGAATCCAAAAATCCCTGTGGCTACTGGAAAGGGTCCTTGGGTGCCCTGCCTCACCTCGAGAAGCGTCCCTTTTGCCCTGCCAAGCCTCGAAGAGATTCCTGAGGTGTCCCTCGTTACTAGACAGGAGTCCTGACGTAACTGAAGAAACTCGTGTTTTGAAGGGCCATCCCCGCCGTAAGTCGAGAACATTCCCCAGGTCCCCGACGCAACTCGAGAAAAACCATGAGACTTCCCCCTAGAGGCGAGATGAGGCCCTATTCCCCTGCAGTGCATGCAGAGCTATTCCGTGATCCCATTCAAACAAGTCAGGAGCTTCGACTTGCTTAATGGATCTCGAGACAGTCCCCAAGAACACTGTCACCAGTCTAGACGGACCCTGAGGTCACCCCAGCAACGCAAAGCAGCTCTATGTTCCCCAATTCAACTCGAGATGAGGCCCGATTCCCCTGCATTGACTCCAGAGCCTTTCCCCGTTCCCCATTCAACACGACCGGTGGCTCGACTTCCTTCAGGCCACTCCAGAGATGCCCCGAGAACACTGTCCCAAGTCTAGAGGAACACCAACTTCAGCACAGCAACTCGAGGAATGCTCCGTGTACCCCAAATTGCATCGAGATGAGAGCTGATTCCCTGGCTTAGGCTCAAGACGTATGCCAACTTTCCAGAAGCACCTCAGGAGGAGGCTTCTCTCAGCAATAGGTATGTGGGAGGGACCCCGAGTTTGCTGCCTCAAGGGGAACATACAGCGAGAAGCCCTAACTTGAAAGGAGGCCGGATTTCCTTGCAGTGGCTTGAATACAGGCCCGTCTTTCATCTCACAACATGAAGGGATGTCTGAATCTCCTGTGGAGACCTTAGAGAAAGCCCTAGGTCCCTGCCTCATTTTGACGGAATGCCTCACATCCCGCTGACACCTCGAGAGGCACACGGACTTCATTGCTTCAAAAGGTGACGATGCCTGACTCCTCTTGAATACTGATAGGAATCCCAAAATCCCTGTGGCTACTGGAAAGGGTCCTTGGGTGCCCTGCCTCACCTCGAGAAGCGTCCCTTTTGCCCTGCCAAGCCTCGAAGAGATTCCTGAGGTGTCCCTCGTTACTAGGCAGGAGTCCTGACGTCACTGAAGAAACTCGTGTTTTGAAGGGCCATCCCCGCCGTAAGTCGAGAACATTCCCCAGGTCCCCGACGCAACTCGAGAAAAACCATGAGACTTCCCCCTAGAGGCGAGGTGAGGCCCCATTCCCCTGCAGTGCATGCAGAGCTATTCCGTGATCCCATTCAAACAAGTCAGGAGCTTCGACTTGCTTAATGGATCTCGAGACAGTCCCCAAGAACACTGTCACCAGTCTAGACGGACCCTGAGGTCACCCCAGCAGCGCAGAGCAGCTCCATGTGCCCCAAATCAACTCGAGATGAGGCCCGATTCCCCTGCATTGACTCCAGAGCCATTCCCCGTTCCCCATTCAACACGACCGGTGGCTCGACTTCCTTCAGGCCACTGAAGAGATGCCCCGAGCACACTGTCCCAAGTCTAGAGGAACACCAACTTCAGCACAGCAACTCGAGGAATGCTCCGTGTACCCCAAATCGTCTCGAGATGAGAGCTGATTCCCTGGCTTAGGCTCAAGACGTATGCCAACTTTCCAGAAGCACCTCAGGAGGAGGCTTCTCTCAGCAATAGGTATGTGGGAGGGACCCCGAGTTTGCTGCCTCAAGGGGAACATACAGCGAGAAGCCCTAAGTTGAAAGGAGGCCGGATTTCCTTGCAGTGGCTTGAATACAGGCCCGTCTTTCATCTCACAACATGAAGGGATGTCTGAATCCCCTGTGGAGACCTTAGAGAAAGCCCTAGATCCCTGCCTCATTTTGACGGAATGCTTCACATCCCGCTGACACCTCGAGAGGCACACGGAGTTCATTGCTTCAAAAGGTGACGATGCCTGACTCCTCTTGAATACTGATAGGAATCCAAAAATCCCTGTGGCTACTGGAAAGGGTCCTTGGGTGAACTGCCTCACCTCGAGAAGCGTCCCTTTTGCCCTGCCAAGCCTCGAAGAGATTCCTGAGGTGTCCCTCGTTACTAAACAGGAGTCCTGACGTCACTGAAGAAACTCGTGTTTTGAAGGGCCATCCCCGCCGTAAGTCGAGAACATTCCCCAGGTCCCCGCCGCAACTCGAGAAAAACCATGAGACTTCCCCCTAGAGGCGAGATGAGGCCCCATTCCCCTGCAGTGCATGCAGAGCTACTCCGTGATCCCATTCAAACAAGTCAGGAGCTTCGACTTGCTTAATGGATCTCGAGACAGTCCCCAAGAACACTGTCACCAGTCTAGACGGACCCTGAGGTCACCCCAGCAACGCAAAGCAGCTCTATGTGCCCCAATTCAACTCGAGATGAGGCCCGATTCCCCTGCATTGACTCCAGAGCCTTTCCCCGTTCCCCATTCAACACGACCGGTGGCTCGACTTCCTTCAGGCCACTCCAGAGATGCCCCGAGAACACTCTCCCAAGTCTAGAGGAACACCAACTTCAGCACAGCAACTCGAGGAATGCTCCGTGTACCCCAAATCGCATCGAGATGAGAGCTGATTCCCTGGCTTAGGCTCAAGACGTATGCCAACTTTCCAGAAGCACCTCAGGAGGAGGATTCTCTCAGCAATAGGTATGTGGGAGGGACCCCGAGTTTGCTGCCTCAAGGGGAATATACAGCGAGAAGCCCTAACTTGAACGGAGGCCGGATTTAATTGCAACTGCTTGAATACAGGCCCGTCTTTCATCTCACAACATGAAGGGATGTCTGAATCCCCTGTGGAGACCTTAGAGAAAGCCCTAGGTCCCTGCCTCATTTTGACGGAATGCTTCACATCCCGCTGACACCTCGAGAGGCACGCGGAGTTCATTGCTTCAAAAGGTGATGATGCCTGACTCCTCTTGAATACTGATAGGAATCCCAAAATCCCTGTGGCTACTGGAAAGGGTCCTTGGGTGCCCTGCCTCACCTCGAGAAGCGTCCCTTTTGCCCTGCCAAGCCTCGAAGAGATTCCTGAGGTGTCCCTAGTTACTAGACAGGAGTCCTGACGTCACTGAAGAAACTCGTGTTTTGAAGGGCCATCCCCGCCGTAAGTCGAGAACATTCCCCAGGTCCCCGACGCAACTCGAGAAAAACCATGAGACTTCCCCCTAGAGGCGAGATGAGGCCCTATTCCCCTGCAGTGCATGCAGAGCTATTCCGTGATCCCATTCAAACAAGTCAGGAGCTTCGACTTGCTTAATGGATCTCGAGACAGTCCCCAAGAACACTGTCACCAGTCTAGACGGACCCTGAGGTCACCCCAGCAACGCAAAGCAGCTCTATGTGCCCCAATTCAACTCGAGATGAGGCCCGATTCCCCTGCATTGACTCCAGAGCCTTTCCCCGTTCCCCATTCAACACGACCGGTGGCTCGACTTCCTTCAGGACACTCCAGAGATGCCCCGAGAACACTGTCCCAAGTCTAGAGGAACACCAACTTCAGCACAGCAACTCGAGGAATGCTCCGTGTACCCCAAATCGCATCGAGATGAGAGCTGATTCCCTGGCTTAGGCTCAAGACGTATGCCAACTTTCCAGAAGCACCTCAGGAGGAGGCTTCTCTCAGCAATAGGTATGTGGGAGGGACCCCGAGTTTGCTGCCTCAAGGGGTACATACAGCGAGAAGCCCTAACTTGAAAGGAGGCCGGATTTCCTTGCAGTGGCTTGAATACAGGCCCGTCTTTCATCTCACAACATGAAGGGATGTCTGAATCTCCTGTGGAGACCTTAGAGAAAGCCCTAGGTCCCTGCCTCATTTTGACGGAATTCCTCACATCCCGCTGACAACTCGAGAGGCACGCGGAGTTCATTGCTTCAAAATGTGACGATGCCTGACTCCTCTTGAATACTGATAGGAATCCCAAAATCACTGTGGCTACTGGAAAGGGTCCTTGGGTGAACTGCCTCACCTCGAGAAGCGTCCCTTTTGCCCTGCCAAGCCTCGAAGAGATTCCTGAGGTGTCCCTCGTTACTAAACAGGAGTCCTGACGTCACTGAAGAAACTCGTGTTTTGAAGGGCCATCCCCGCCGTAAGTCGAGAACATTCCCCAGGTCCCCGACGCAACTCGAGAAAAACCATGAGACTTCCCCCTAGAGGCGAGATGAGGCCCCATTCCCCTGCAGTGCATGCAGAGCTACTCCGTGATCCCATTCAAACAAGTCAGGAGCTTCGACTTGCTTAATGGATCTCGAGAGAGTCCCCAAGAACACTGTCACCAGTCTAGACGGACCCTGAGGTCACCCCAGCAACGCAAAGCAGCTCTATGTGCCCCAATTCAACTCGAGATGAGGCCCGATTCCCCTGCATTGACTCCAGAGCCTTTCCCCGTTCCCCATTCAACACGACCGGTGGCTCGACTTCCTTCAGGCCACTCCAGAGATGCCCCGAGAACACTGTCCCAAGTCTAGAGGAACAACAACTTCAGCACAACAACTCGAGGAATGCTCCGTGTACCCCAAATCGTCTCGAGATGAGAGCTGATTCCCTGGCTTAGGCTCAAGACATATGCCAACTTTCCAGAAGCACCTCAGGACGAGGCTTCTCTCAGCAATAGGTATGTGGGAGGGACCCCGAGTTTGCTGCCTCAAGGGGAATATACAGCGAGAAGCCCTAACTTGAAAGGAGGCCGGATTTCCTTGCAGTGGCTTGAATACAGGCCCGTCTTTCATCTCACAACATGAAGGGATGTCTGAATCCCCTGTGGAGACCTTAGAGAAAGCCCTAGGTCCCTGCCTCATTTTGAAGGACTGCTTCACATCCCGCTGACACCTCGAGAGGCACGCGGAGTTCATTGCTTCAAAAGGTGACGATGCCTGACTCCTCTTGAATACTGATAGGAATCCCAAAATCCCTGTGGCTACTGGAAAGGGTCCTTGGGTGCCCTGCCTCACCTCGAGAAGCGTCCCTTTTGCCCTGCCAAGCCTCGAAGAGATTCCTAAGGTGTCCCTCGTTACTAGACAGGAGTCCTGATGTCACTGAAGAAACTCGTGTTTTGAAGGGCCATCCCCGCCGTAAGTCGAGAACATTCCCCAGGTCCCCGACGCAACTCGAGAAAAACCATGAGACTTCCCCCTAGAGGCGAGATGAGGCCCCATTCCCCTGCAGTGCATGCAGAGCTATTCCGTGATCCCATTCAAACAAGTCAGGAGCTTCGACTTGCTTAATGGATCTCGAGACAGTCCCCAAGAACACTGTCACCAGTCTAGACGGACCCTGAGGTCACCCCAGCAGGGCAGAACAGCTCCATGTGCCCCAAATCAACTCGAGATGAGGCCCGATTCCCCTGCATTGACTCCAGAGCCATTCCCCGTTCCCCATTCAACACGACCGGTGGCTCGACTTCCTTCAGACCACTGCAGAGATGCCCCGAGCACACTGTCCCAAGTGTAGAGGAACACCAACTTCAGCACAGCAACTCGAGGAATGCCCCGTGTACCCCAAATCGTCTCGAGATGAGAGCTGATTCCCTGGCTTAGGCTCAAGACATATGCCAACTTTCCAGAAGCACCTCAGGACGAGGCTTCTCTAGGCAATAGGTATGTGGGAGGGACCCCGAGTTTGCTGCCTCAAGGGGAATATACAGCGAGAAGCCCTAACTTGAAAGGAGGCCGGATTTCCTTGCAGTGGCTTGAATACAGGCCCGTCTTTCATCTCACAACATGAAGGGATGTCTGAATCCCCTGTGGAGACCTTAGAGAAAGCCCTAGGTCCCTGCCTCATTTTGACGGAATGCTTCACATCCCGCTGACACCTCGAGAGGCACGCGGAGTTCATTGCTTCAAAAGGTGACGATGCCTGACTCCTCTTGAATACTGATAGGAATCCAAAAATCCCTGTGGCTACTGGAAAGGGTCCTTGGGTGCCCTGCCTCACCTCGAGAAGCGTCCCTTTTGCCCTGCCAAGCCTCGAAGAGATTCCTGAGGTGTCCCTCGTTACTAGACAGGAGTCCTGACGTCACTGAAGAAACTCGTGTTTTGAAGGGCCATCCCCGCCGTAAGTCGAGAACATTCCCCAGGTCCCCGACGCAACTCGAGAAAAACCATGAGACTTCCCCCTAGAGGCGAGATGAGGCCCTATTCCCCTGCAGTGCATGCAGAGCTATTCCGTGATCCCATTCAAACAAGTCAGGAGCTTCGACTTGCTTAATGGATCTCGAGACAGTCCCCAAGAACACTGTCACCAGTCTAGACGGACCCTGAGGTCACCCCAGCAACGCAAAGCAGCTCTATGTTCCCCAATTCAACTCGAGATGAGGCCCGATTCCCCTGCATTGACTCCAGAGCCTTTCCCCGTTCCCCATTCAACACGACCGGTGGCTCGACTTCCTTCAGGCCACTCCAGAGATGCCCCGAGAACACTGTCCCAAGTCTAGAGGAACACCAACTTCAGCACAGCAACTCGAGGAATGCTCCGTGTACCCCAAATTGCATCGAGATGAGAGCTGATTCCCTGGCTTAGGCTCAAGACGTATGCCAACTTTCCAGAAGCACCTCAGGAGGAGGCTTCTCTCAGCAATAGGTATGTGGGAGGGACCCCGAGTTTGCTGCCTCAAGGGGAACATACAGCGAGAAGCCCTAACTTGAAAGGAGGCCGGATTTCCTTGCAGTGGCTTGAATACAGGCCCGTCTTTCATCTCACAACATGAAGGGATGTCTGAATCTCCTGTGGAGACCTTAGAGAAAGCCCTAGGTCCCTGCCTCATTTTGACGGAATGCCTCACATCCCGCTGACACCTCGAGAGGCACACGGACTTCATTGCTTCAAAAGGTGACGATGCCTGACTCCTCTTGAATACTGATAGGAATCCCAAAATCCCTGTGGCTACTGGAAAGGGTCCTTGGGTGCCCTGCCTCACCTCGAGAAGCGTCCCTTTTGCCCTGCCAAGCCTCGAAGAGATTCCTGAGGTGTCCCTCGTTACTAGGCAGGAGTCCTGACGTCACTGAAGAAACTCGTGTTTTGAAGGGCCATCCCCGCCGTAAGTCGAGAACATTCCCCAGGTCCCCGACGCAACTCGAGAAAAACCATGAGACTTCCCCCTAGAGGCGAGGTGAGGCCCCATTCCCCTGCAGTGCATGCAGAGCTATTCCGTGATCCCATTCAAACAAGTCAGGAGCTTCGACTTGCTTAATGGATCTCGAGACAGTCCCCAAGAACACTGTCACCAGTCTAGACGGACCCTGAGGTCACCCCAGCAGCGCAGAGCAGCTCCATGTGCCCCAAATCAACTCGAGATGAGGCCCGATTCCCCTGCATTGACTCCAGAGCCATTCCCCGTTCCCCATTCAACACGACCGGTGGCTCGACTTCCTTCAGGCCACTGAAGAGATGCCCCGAGCACACTGTCCCAAGTCTAGAGGAACACCAACTTCAGCACAGCAACTCGAGGAATGCTCCGTGTACCCCAAATCGTCTCGAGATGAGAGCTGATTCCCTGGCTTAGGCTCAAGACGTATGCCAACTTTCCAGAAGCACCTCAGGAGGAGGCTTCTCTCAGCAATAGGTATGTGGGAGGGACCCCGAGTTTGCTGCCTCAAGGGGAATATACAGCGAGAAGCCCTAACTTGAAAGGAGGCCGGATTTCCTTGCAGTGGCTTGAATACAGGCCCGTCTTTCATCTCACAACATGAAGGGATGTCTGAATCCCCGGTGGAGACCTTAGAGAAAGCCCTAGGTGCCTGCCTCATTTTGACGGAATGCTTCACATCCCGCTGACACCTGGAGAGGCACACGGAGTTCATTGCTTCAAAAGGTGACGATGCCTGACTCCTCTTGAATACTGATAGGAATCCAAAAATCCCTGTGGCTACTGGAAAGGGTCCTTGGGTGAACTGCCTCACCTCGAGAAGCGTCCCTTTTGCCCTGCCAAGCCTCGAAGAGATTCCTGAGGTGTCCCTCGTTACTAAACAGGAGTCCTGACGTCACTGAAGAAACTCGTGTTTTGAAGGGCCATCCCCGCCGTAAGTCGAGAACATTCCCCAGGTCCCCGCCGCAACTCGAGAAAAACCATGAGACTTCCCCCTAGAGGCGAGATGAGGCCCCATTCCCCTGCAGTGCATGCAGAGCTACTCCGTGATCCCATTCAAACAAGTCAGGAGCTTCGACTTGCTTAATGGATCTCGAGACAGTCCCCAAGAACACTGTCACCAGTCTAGACGGACCCTGAGGTCACCCCAGCAACGCAAAGCAGCTCTATGTGCCCCAATTCAACTCGAGATGAGGCCCGATTCCCCTGCATTGACTCCAGAGCCTTTCCCCGTTCCCCATTCAACACGACCGGTGGCTCGACTTCCTTCAGGCCACTCCAGAGATGCCCCGAGAACACTCTCCCAAGTCTAGAGGAACACCAACTTCAGCACAGCAACTCGAGGAATGCTCCGTGTACCCCAAATCGCATCGAGATGAGAGCTGATTCCCTGGCTTAGGCTCAAGACGTATGCCAACTTTCCAGAAGCACCTCAGGAGGAGGATTCTCTCAGCAATAGGTATGTGGGAGGGACCCCGAGTTTGCTGCCTCAAGGGGAATATACAGCGAGAAGCCCTAACTTGAACGGAGGCCGGATTTCCTTGCAACTGCTTGAATACAGGCCCGTCTTTCATCTCACAACATGAAGGGATGTCTGAATCCCCTGTGGAGACCTTAGAGAAAGCCCTAGGTCCCTGCCTCATTTTGACGGAATGCTTCACATCCCGCTGACACCTCGAGAGGCACGCGGAGTTCATTGCTTCAAAAGGTGATGATGCCTGACTCCTCTTGAATACTGATAGGAATCCCAAAATCCCTGTGGCTACTGGAAAGGGTCCTTGGGTGCCCTGCCTCACCTCGAGAAGCGTCCCTTTTGCCCTGCCAAGCCTCGAAGAGATTCCTGAGGTGTCCCTCGTTACTAGGCAGGAGTCCTGACGTCACTGAAGAAACTCGTGTTTTGAAGGGCCATCCCCGCCGTAAGTCGAGAACATTCCCCAGGTCCCCGACGCAACTCGAGAAAAACCATGAGACTTCCCCCTAGAGGCGAGGTGAGGCCCCATTCCCCTGCAGTGCATGCAGAGCTATTCCGTGATCCCATTCAAACAAGTCAGGAGCTTCGACTTGCTTAATGGATCTCGAGACAGTCCCCAAGAACACTGTCACCAGTCTAGACGGACCCTGAGGTCACCCCAGCAACGCAAAGCAGCTCTATGTGCCCCAATTCAACTCGAGATGAGGCCCGATTCCCCTGCATTGACTCCAGAGCCTTTCCCCGTTCCCCATTCAACACGACCGGTGGCTCGACTTCCTTCAGGCCACTCCAGAGATGCCCCGAGAACACTGTCCCAAGTCTAGAGGAACACCAACTTCAGCACAGCAACTCGAGGAATGCTCCGTGTACCCCAAATCGCATCGAGATGAGAGCTGATTCCCTGGCTTAGGCTCAAGACGTATGCCAACTTTCCAGAAGCACCTCAGGAGGAGGCTTCTCTCAGCAATAGGTATGTGGGAGGGACCCCGAGTTTGCTGCCTCAAGGGGAACATACAGCGAGAAGCCCTAACTTGAAAGGAGGCCGGATTTCCTTGCAGTGGCTTGAATACAGGCCCGTCTTTCATCTCACAACATGAAGGGATGTCTGAATCCCCTGTGGAGACCTTAGAGAAAGCCCTAGGTCCCTGCGTCATTTTGACGGAATTCCTCACATCCCGCTGACAACTCGAGAGGCACGCGGAGTTCATTGCTTCAAAAGGTGACGATGCCTGACTCCTCTTGAATACTGATAGGAATCCCAAAATCACTGTGGCTACTGGAAAGGGTCCTTGGGTGAACTGCCTCACCTCGAGAAGCGTCCCTTTTGCCCTGCCAAGCCTCGAAGAGATTCCTGAGGTGTCCCTCGTTACTAAACAGGAGTCCTGACGTCACTGAAGAAACTCGTGTTTTGAAGGGCCATCCCCGCCGTAAGTCGAGAACATTCCCCAGGTCCCCGACGCAACTCGAGAAAAACCATGAGACTTCCCCCTAGAGGCGAGATGAGGCCCCATTCCCCTGCAGTGCATGCAGAGCTACTCCGTGATCCCATTCAAACAAGTCAGGAGCTTCGACTTGCTTAATGGATCTCGAGACAGTCCCCAAGAACACTGTCACCAGTCTAGACGGACCCTGAGGTCACCCCAGCAACGCAAAGCAGCTCTATGTGCCCCAATTCAACTCGAGATGAGGCCCGATTCCCCTGCATTGACTCCAGAGCCTTTCCCCGTTCCCCATTCAACACGACCGGTGGCTCGACTTCCTTCAGGCCACTCCAGAGATGCCCCGAGAACACTGTCCCAAGTCTAGAGGAACAACAACTTCAGCACAACAACTCGAGGAATGCTCCGTGTACCCCAAATCGTCTCGAGATGAGAGCTGATTCCCTGGCTTAGGCTCAAGACATATGCCAACTTTCCAGAAGCACCTCAGGACGAGGCTTCTCTCAGCAATAGGTATGTGGGAGGGACCCCGAGTTTGCTGCCTCAAGGGGAATATACAGCGAGAAGCCCTAACTTGAAAGGAGGCCGGATTTCCTTGCAGTGGCTTGAATACAGGCCCGTCTTTCATCTCACAACATGAAGGGATGTCTGAATCCCCTGTGGAGACCTTAGAGAAAGCCCTAGGTCCCTGCCTCATTTTGAAGGACTGCTTCACATCCCGCTGACACCTCGAGAGGCACGCGGAGTTCATTGCTTCAAAAGGTGACGATGCCTGACTCCTCTTGAATACTGATAGGAATCCCAAAATCCCTGTGGCTACTGGAAAGGGTCCTTGGGTGCCCTGCCTCACCTCGAGAAGCGTCCCTTTTGCCCTGCCAAGCCTCGAAGAGATTCCTAAGGTGTCCCTCGTTACTAGACAGGAGTCCTGATGTCACTGAAGAAACTCGTGTTTTGAAGGGCCATCCCCGCCGTAAGTCGAGAACATTCCCCAGGTCCCCGACGCAACTCGAGAAAAACCATGAGACTTCCCCCTAGAGGCGAGATGAGGCCCCATTCCCCTGCAGTGCATGCAGAGCTATTCCGTGATCCCATTCAAACAAGTCAGGAGCTTCGACTTGCTTAATGGATCTCGAGACAGTCCCCAAGAACACTGTCACCAGTCTAGACGGACCCTGAGGTCACCCCAGCAGGGCAGAACAGCTCCATGTGCCCCAAATCAACTCGAGATGAGGCCCGATTCCCCTGCATTGACTCCAGAGCCATTCCCCGTTCCCCATTCAACACGACCGGTGGCTCGACTTCCTTCAGACCACTGCAGAGATGCCCCGAGCACACTGTCCCAAGTGTAGAGGAACACCAACTTCAGCACAGCAACTCGAGGAATGCCCCGTGTACCCCAAATCGTCTCGAGATGAGAGCTGATTCCCTGGCTTAGGCTCAAGACATATGCCAACTTTCCAGAAGCACCTCAGGACGAGGCTTCTCTAGGCAATAGGTATGTGGGAGGGACCCCGAGTTTGCTGCCTCAAGGGGAATATACAGCGAGAAGCCCTAACTTGAAAGGAGGCCGGATTTCCTTGCAGTGGCTTGAATACAGGCCCGTCTTTCATCTCACAACATGAAGGGATGTCTGAATCCCCTGTGGAGACCTTAGAGAAAGCCCTAGGTCCCTGCCTCATTTTGACGGAATGCTTCACATCCCGCTGACACCTCGAGAGGCACGCGGAGTTCATTGCTTCAAAAGGTGACGATGCCTGACTCCTCTTGAATACTGATAGGAATCCAAAAATCCCTGTGGCTACTGGAAAGGGTCCTTGGGTGCCCTGCCTCACCTCGAGAAGCGTCCCTTTTGCCCTGCCAAGCCTCGAAGAGATTCCTGAGGTGTCCCTCGTTACTAGACAGGAGTCCTGACGTAACTGAAGAAACTCGTGTTTTGAAGGGCCATCCCCGCCGTAAGTCGAGAACATTCCCCAGGTCCCCGACGCAACTCGAGAAAAACCATGAGACTTCCCCCTAGAGGCGAGATGAGGCCCTATTCCCCTGCAGTGCATGCAGAGCTATTCCGTGATCCCATTCAAACAAGTCAGGAGCTTCGACTTGCTTAATGGATCTCGAGACAGTCCCCAAGAACACTGTCACCAGTCTAGACGGACCCTGAGGTCACCCCAGCAACGCAAAGCAGCTCTATGTTCCCCAATTCAACTCGAGATGAGGCCCGATTCCCCTGCATTGACTCCAGAGCCTTTCCCCGTTCCCCATTCAACACGACCGGTGGCTCGACTTCCTTCAGGCCACTCCAGAGATGCCCCGAGAACACTGTCCCAAGTCTAGAGGAACACCAACTTCAGCACAGCAACTCGAGGAATGCTCCGTGTACCCCAAATTGCATCGAGATGAGAGCTGATTCCCTGGCTTAGGCTCAAGACGTATGCCAACTTTCCAGAAGCACCTCAGGAGGAGGCTTCTCTCAGCAATAGGTATGTGGGAGGGACCCCGAGTTTGCTGCCTCAAGGGGAACATACAGCGAGAAGCCCTAACTTGAAAGGAGGCCGGATTTCCTTGCAGTGGCTTGAATACAGGCCCGTCTTTCATCTCACAACATGAAGGGATGTCTGAATCTCCTGTGGAGACCTTAGAGAAAGCCCTAGGTCCCTGCCTCATTTTGACGGAATGCCTCACATCCCGCTGACACCTCGAGAGGCACACGGACTTCATTGCTTCAAAAGGTGACGATGCCTGACTCCTCTTGAATACTGATAGGAATCCCAAAATCCCTGTGGCTACTGGAAAGGGTCCTTGGGTGCCCTGCCTCACCTCGAGAAGCGTCCCTTTTGCCCTGCCAAGCCTCGAAGAGATTCCTGAGGTGTCCCTCGTTACTAGGCAGGAGTCCTGACGTCACTGAAGAAACTCGTGTTTTGAAGGGCCATCCCCGCCGTAAGTCGAGAACATTCCCCAGGTCCCCGACGCAACTCGAGAAAAACCATGAGACTTCCCCCTAGAGGCGAGGTGAGGCCCCATTCCCCTGCAGTGCATGCAGAGCTATTCCGTGATCCCATTCAAACAAGTCAGGAGCTTCGACTTGCTTAATGGATCTCGAGACAGTCCCCAAGAACACTGTCACCAGTCTAGACGGACCCTGAGGTCACCCCAGCAGCGCAGAGCAGCTCCATGTGCCCCAAATCAACTCGAGATGAGGCCCGATTCCCCTGCATTGACTCCAGAGCCATTCCCCGTTCCCCATTCAACACGACCGGTGGCTCGACTTCCTTCAGGCCACTGAAGAGATGCCCCGAGCACACTGTCCCAAGTCTAGAGGAACACCAACTTCAGCACAGCAACTCGAGGAATGCTCCGTGTACCCCAAATCGTCTCGAGATGAGAGCTGATTCCCTGGCTTAGGCTCAAGACGTATGCCAACTTTCCAGAAGCACCTCAGGAGGAGGCTTCTCTCAGCAATAGGTATGTGGGAGGGACCCCGAGTTTGCTGCCTCAAGGGGAACATACAGCGAGAAGCCCTAAGTTGAAAGGAGGCCGGATTTCCTTGCAGTGGCTTGAATACAGGCCCGTCTTTCATCTCACAACATGAAGGGATGTCTGAATCCCCTGTGGAGACCTTAGAGAAAGCCCTAGATCCCTGCCTCATTTTGACGGAATGCTTCACATCCCGCTGACACCTCGAGAGGCACACGGAGTTCATTGCTTCAAAAGGTGACGATGCCTGACTCCTCTTGAATACTGATAGGAATCCAAAAATCCCTGTGGCTACTGGAAAGGGTCCTTGGGTGAACTGCCTCACCTCGAGAAGCGTCCCTTTTGCCCTGCCAAGCCTCGAAGAGATTCCTGAGGTGTCCCTCGTTACTAAACAGGAGTCCTGACGTCACTGAAGAAACTCGTGTTTTGAAGGGCCATCCCCGCCGTAAGTCGAGAACATTCCCCAGGTCCCCGCCGCAACTCGAGAAAAACCATGAGACTTCCCCCTAGAGGCGAGATGAGGCCCCATTCCCCTGCAGTGCATGCAGAGCTACTCCGTGATCCCATTCAAACAAGTCAGGAGCTTCGACTTGCTTAATGGATCTCGAGACAGTCCCCAAGAACACTGTCACCAGTCTAGACGGACCCTGAGGTCACCCCAGCAACGCAAAGCAGCTCTATGTGCCCCAATTCAACTCGAGATGAGGCCCGATTCCCCTGCATTGACTCCAGAGCCTTTCCCCGTTCCCCATTCAACACGACCGGTGGCTCGACTTCCTTCAGGCCACTCCAGAGATGCCCCGAGAACACTCTCCCAAGTCTAGAGGAACACCAACTTCAGCACAGCAACTCGAGGAATGCTCCGTGTACCCCAAATCGCATCGAGATGAGAGCTGATTCCCTGGCTTAGGCTCAAGACGTATGCCAACTTTCCAGAAGCACCTCAGGAGGAGGATTCTCTCAGCAATAGGTATGTGGGAGGGACCCCGAGTTTGCTGCCTCAAGGGGAATATACAGCGAGAAGCCCTAACTTGAACGGAGGCCGGATTTAATTGCAACTGCTTGAATACAGGCCCGTCTTTCATCTCACAACATGAAGGGATGTCTGAATCCCCTGTGGAGACCTTAGAGAAAGCCCTAGGTCCCTGCCTCATTTTGACGGAATGCTTCACATCCCGCTGACACCTCGAGAGGCACGCGGAGTTCATTGCTTCAAAAGGTGATGATGCCTGACTCCTCTTGAATACTGATAGGAATCCCAAAATCCCTGTGGCTACTGGAAAGGGTCCTTGGGTGCCCTGCCTCACCTCGAGAAGCGTCCCTTTTGCCCTGCCAAGCCTCGAAGAGATTCCTGAGGTGTCCCTAGTTACTAGACAGGAGTCCTGACGTCACTGAAGAAACTCGTGTTTTGAAGGGCCATCCCCGCCGTAAGTCGAGAACATTCCCCAGGTCCCCGACGCAACTCGAGAAAAACCATGAGACTTCCCCCTAGAGGCGAGATGAGGCCCTATTCCCCTGCAGTGCATGCAGAGCTATTCCGTGATCCCATTCAAACAAGTCAGGAGCTTCGACTTGCTTAATGGATCTCGAGACAGTCCCCAAGAACACTGTCACCAGTCTAGACGGACCCTGAGGTCACCCCAGCAACGCAAAGCAGCTCTATGTGCCCCAATTCAACTCGAGATGAGGCCCGATTCCCCTGCATTGACTCCAGAGCCTTTCCCCGTTCCCCATTCAACACGACCGGTGGCTCGACTTCCTTCAGGACACTCCAGAGATGCCCCGAGAACACTGTCCCAAGTCTAGAGGAACACCAACTTCAGCACAGCAACTCGAGGAATGCTCCGTGTACCCCAAATCGCATCGAGATGAGAGCTGATTCCCTGGCTTAGGCTCAAGACGTATGCCAACTTTCCAGAAGCACCTCAGGAGGAGGCTTCTCTCAGCAATAGGTATGTGGGAGGGACCCCGAGTTTGCTGCCTCAAGGGGTACATACAGCGAGAAGCCCTAACTTGAAAGGAGGCCGGATTTCCTTGCAGTGGCTTGAATACAGGCCCGTCTTTCATCTCACAACATGAAGGGATGTCTGAATCTCCTGTGGAGACCTTAGAGAAAGCCCTAGGTCCCTGCCTCATTTTGACGGAATTCCTCACATCCCGCTGACAACTCGAGAGGCACGCGGAGTTCATTGCTTCAAAATGTGACGATGCCTGACTCCTCTTGAATACTGATAGGAATCCCAAAATCACTGTGGCTACTGGAAAGGGTCCTTGGGTGAACTGCCTCACCTCGAGAAGCGTCCCTTTTGCCCTGCCAAGCCTCGAAGAGATTCCTGAGGTGTCCCTCGTTACTAAACAGGAGTCCTGACGTCACTGAAGAAACTCGTGTTTTGAAGGGCCATCCCCGCCGTAAGTCGAGAACATTCCCCAGGTCCCCGACGCAACTCGAGAAAAACCATGAGACTTCCCCCTAGAGGCGAGATGAGGCCCCATTCCCCTGCAGTGCATGCAGAGCTACTCCGTGATCCCATTCAAACAAGTCAGGAGCTTCGACTTGCTTAATGGATCTCGAGACAGTCCCCAAGAACACTGTCACCAGTCTAGACGGACCCTGAGGTCACCCCAGCAACGCAAAGCAGCTCTATGTGCCCCAATTCAACTCGAGATGAGGCCCGATTCCCCTGCATTGACTCCAGAGCCTTTCCCCGTTCCCCATTCAACACGACCGGTGGCTCGACTTCCTTCAGGCCACTCCAGAGATGCCCCGAGAACACTGTCCCAAGTCTAGAGGAACAACAACTTCAGCACAACAACTCGAGGAATGCTCCGTGTACCCCAAATCGTCTCGAGATGAGAGCTGATTCCCTGGCTTAGGCTCAAGACATATGCCAACTTTCCAGAAGCACCTCAGGACGAGGCTTCTCTCAGCAATAGGTATGTGGGAGGGACCCCGAGTTTGCTGCCTCAAGGGGAATATACAGCGAGAAGCCCTAACTTGAAAGGAGGCCGGATTTCCTTGCAGTGGCTTGAATACAGGCCCGTCTTTCATCTCACAACATGAAGGGATGTCTGAATCCCCTGTGGAGACCTTAGAGAAAGCCCTAGGTCCCTGCCTCATTTTGAAGGACTGCTTCACATCCCGCTGACACCTCGAGAGGCACGCGGAGTTCATTGCTTCAAAAGGTGACGATGCCTGACTCCTCTTGAATACTGATAGGAATCCCAAAATCCCTGTGGCTACTGGAAAGGGTCCTTGGGTGCCCTGCCTCACCTCGAGAAGCGTCCCTTTTGCCCTGCCAAGCCTCGAAGAGATTCCTAAGGTGTCCCTCGTTACTAGACAGGAGTCCTGATGTCACTGAAGAAACTCGTGTTTTGAAGGGCCATCCCCGCCGTAAGTCGAGAACATTCCCCAGGTCCCCGACGCAACTCGAGAAAAACCATGAGACTTCCCCCTAGAGGCGAGATGAGGCCCCATTCCCCTGCAGTGCATGCAGAGCTATTCCGTGATCCCATTCAAACAAGTCAGGAGCTTCGACTTGCTTAATGGATCTCGAGACAGTCCCCAAGAACACTGTCACCAGTCTAGACGGACCCTGAGGTCACCCCAGCAGGGCAGAACAGCTCCATGTGCCCCAAATCAACTCGAGATGAGGCCCGATTCCCCTGCATTGACTCCAGAGCCATTCCCCGTTCCCCATTCAACACGACCGGTGGCTCGACTTCCTTCAGACCACTGCAGAGATGCCCCGAGCACACTGTCCCAAGTGTAGAGGAACACCAACTTCAGCACAGCAACTCGAGGAATGCCCCGTGTACCCCAAATCGTCTCGAGATGAGAGCTGATTCCCTGGCTTAGGCTCAAGACATATGCCAACTTTCCAGAAGCACCTCAGGACGAGGCTTCTCTCAGCAATAGGTATGTGGGAGGGACCCCGAGTTTGCTGCCTCAAGGGGAATATACAGCGAGAAGCCCTAACTTGAAAGGAGGCCGGATTTCCTTGCAGTGGCTTGAATACAGGCCCGTCTTTCATCTCACAACATGAAGGGATGTCTGAATCCCCTGTGGAGACCTTAGAGAAAGCCCTAGGTCCCTGCCTCATTTTGACGGAATGCTTCACATCCCGCTGACACCTCGAGAGGCACGCGGAGTTCATTGCTTCAAAAGGTGACGATGCCTGACTCCTCTTGAATACTGATAGGAATCCAAAAATCCCTGTGGCTACTGGAAAGGGTCCTTGGGTGCCCTGCCTCACCTCGAGAAGCGTCCCTTTTGCCCTGCCAAGCCTCGAAGAGATTCCTGAGGTGTCCCTCGTTACTAGACAGGAGTCCTGACGTCACTGAAGAAACTCGTGTTTTGAAGGGCCATCCCCGCCGTAAGTCGAGAACATTCCCCAGGTCCCCGACGCAACTCGAGAAAAACCATGAGACTTCCCCCTAGAGGCGAGATGAGGCCCTATTCCCCTGCAGTGCATGCAGAGCTATTCCGTGATCCCATTCAAACAAGTCAGGAGCTTCGACTTGCTTAATGGATCTCGAGACAGTCCCCAAGAACACTGTCACCAGTCTAGACGGACCCTGAGGTCACCCCAGCAACGCAAAGCAGCTCTATGTTCCCCAATTCAACTCGAGATGAGGCCCGATTCCCCTGCATTGACTCCAGAGCCTTTCCCGGTTCCCCATTCAACACGACCGGTGGCTCGACTTCCTTCAGGCCACTCCAGAGATGCCCCGAGAACACTGTCCCAAGTCTAGAGGAACACCAACTTCAGCACAGCAACTCGAGGAATGCTCCGTGTACCCCAAATTGCATCGAGATGAGAGCTGATTCCCTGGCTTAGGCTCAAGACGTATGCCAACTTTCCAGAAGCACCTCAGGAGGAGGCTTCTCTCAGCAATAGGTATGTGGGAGGGACCCCGAGTTTGCTGCCTCAATGGGAACATACAGCGAGAAGCCCTAACTTGAAAGGAGGCCGGATTTCCTTGCAGTGGCTTGAATACAGGCCCGTCTTTCATCTCACAACATGAAGGGATGTCTGAATCTCCTGTGGAGACCTTAGAGAAAGCCCTAGGTCCCTGCCTCATTTTGACGGAATGCCTCACATCCCGCTGACACCTCGAGAGGCACACGGACTTCATTGCTTCAAAAGGTGACGATGCCTGACTCCTCTTGAATACTGATAGGAATCCCAAAATCCCTGTGGCTACTGGAAAGGGTCCTTGGGTGCCCTGCCTCACCTCGAGAAGCGTCCCTTTTGCCCTGCCAAGCCTCGAAGAGATTCCTGAGGTGTCCCTCGTTACTAGGCAGGAGTCCTGACGTCACTGAAGAAACTCGTGTTTTGAAGGGCCATCCCCGCCGTAAGTCGAGAACATTCCCCAGGTCCCCGACGCAACTCGAGAAAAACCATGAGACTTCCCCCTAGAGGCGAGGTGAGGCCCCATTCCCCTGCAGTGCATGCAGAGCTATTCCGTGATCCCATTCAAACAAGTCAGGAGCTTCGACTTGCTTAATGGATCTCGAGACAGTCCCCAAGAACACTGTCACCAGTCTAGACGGACCCTGAGGTCACCCCAGCAGCGCAGAGCAGCTCCATGTGCCCCAAATCAACTCGAGATGAGGCCCGATTCCCCTGCATTGACTCCAGAGCCATTCCCCGTTCCCCATTCAACACGACCGGTGGCTCGACTTCCTTCAGGCCACTGAAGAGATGCCCCGAGCACACTGTCCCAAGTCTAGAGGAACACCAACTTCAGCACAGCAACTCGAGGAATGCTCCGTGTACCCCAAATCGTCTCGAGATGAGAGCTGATTCCCTGGCTTAGGCTCAAGACGTATGCCAACTTTCCAGAAGCACCTCAGGAGGAGGCTTCTCTCAGCAATAGGTATGTGGGAGGGACCCCGAGTTTGCTGCCTCAAGGGGAACATACAGCGAGAAGCCCTAAGTTGAAAGGAGGCCGGATTTCCTTGCAGTGGCTTGAATACAGGCCCGTCTTTCATCTCACAACATGAAGGGATGTCTGAATCCCCTGTGGAGACCTTAGAGAAAGCCCTAGGTCCCTGCCTCATTTTGACGGAATGCCTCACATCCCGCTGACACCTCGAGAGGCACGCGGAGTTCATTGCTTCAAAAGGTGACGATGCCTGACTCCTCTTTAATACTGATAGGAATCCCAAAATCACTGTGGCTTCTTGAAAGGGTCCTTGGGTGCCCTGCCTCACCTCGAGAAGCGTCCCTTTTGCCCTGCCAAGCGTCGAAGAGATTCCTGAGGTATCCCTCGTTACTAGTCAGGAGTCCTGACGTCACTGAAGAAACTCGTGTTTTGAAGGGCCATCCCCGCCGTAAGTCGAGAACATATCCCGGGTCCCCGCCGCAACTCGAGAAAAAACATGAGACTTCCCCCTAGAGGCGAGATGAGGCCCCATTCCCCTGCAGTGCATACAGAGCTATTCCGTGATCCCATTCAAACAAGTCAGGTGCTTCGACTTGCTTAATGGATCTCGAGACAGTCCCCAAGAACACTGTCACCAGTCTAGATGGACCCTGAGGTTACCCCAGCAACGCAAAGCAGCTCCATGTGCCCGAAATCAACTCGAGATGAGGCCCGATTCCCCTGCATTGACTCCAGAGCCATTCCCCGTTCCCCATTCAACACGACCGGTGGCTCGACTTCCTTCAGGCAACTCCACAGATGCCCCGAGAACACTGTCCCAAGTCTAGAGGAACAAGAACTTCAGCACAACAACTCGAGGAATGCTCCGTGTACCCCAAATCGTCTCAAGATGAGAGCTGATTCCCTGGCTTAGGCTCAAGACATATGCAAACTTTCCAGAAGCACCTCAGGACGAGGCTTCTCTAAGCAATAGGTATGTGGGAGGGACCCCGAGTTTGCTGCCTCAAGGGGAATATACAGCGAGAAGCCCTAACTTGAAAGGAGGCCGGATTTCCTTGCAGTGGCTTGAATACAGGCCCGTCTTTCATCTCACAACATGAAGGGATGTCTGAATCCCCTGTGGAGACCTTAGAGAAAGCCCTAGATCCCTGCCTCATTTTGACGGAATGCTTCACATCCCGCTGACACCTCGAGAGGCACACGGAGTTCATTGCTTCAAAAGGTGACGATGCCTGACTCCTCTTGAATACTGATAGGAATCCAAAAATCCCTGTGGCTACTGGAAAGGGTCCTTGGGTGAACTGCCTCACCTCGAGAAGCGTCCCTTTTGCCCTGCCAAGCCTCGAAGAGATTCCTGAGGTGTCCCTCGTTACTAAACAGGAGTCCTGACGTCACTGAAGAAACTCGTGTTTTGAAGGGCCATCCCCGCCGTAAGTCGAGAACATTCCCCAGGTCCCCGCCGCAACTCGAGAAAAACCATGAGACTTCCCCCTAGAGGCGAGATGAGGCCCCATTCCCCTGCAGTGCATGCAGAGCTACTCCGTGATCCCATTCAAACAAGTCAGGAGCTTCGACTTGCTTAATGGATCTCGAGACAGTCCCCAAGAACACTGTCACCAGTCTAGACGGACCCTGAGGTCACCCCAGCAACGCAAAGCAGCTCTATGTGCCCCAATTCAACTCGAGATGAGGCCCGATTCCCCTGCATTGACTCCAGAGCCTTTCCCCGTTCCCCATTCAACACGACCGGTGGCTCGACTTCCTTCAGGCCACTCCAGAGATGCCCCGAGAACACTCTCCCAAGTCTAGAGGAACACCAACTTCAGCACAGCAACTCGAGGAATGCTCCGTGTACCCCAAATCGCATCGAGATGAGAGCTGATTCCCTGGCTTAGGCTCAAGACGTATGCCAACTTTCCAGAAGCACCTCAGGAGGAGGATTCTCTCAGCAATAGGTATGTGGGAGGGACCCCGAGTTTGCTGCCTCAAGGGGAATATACAGCGAGAAGCCCTAACTTGAACGGAGGCCGGATTTCCTTGCAACTGCTTGAATACAGGCCCGTCTTTCATCTCACAACATGAAGGGATGTCTGAATCCCCTGTGGAGACCTTAGAGAAAGCCCTAGGTCCCTGCCTCATTTTGACGGAATGCTTCACATCCCGCTGACACCTCGAGAGGCACGCGGAGTTCATTGCTTCAAAAGGTGATGATGCCTGACTCCTCTTGAATACTGATAGGAATCCCAAAATCCCTGTGGCTACTGGAAAGGGTCCTTGGGTGCCCTGCCTCACCTCGAGAAGCGTCCCTTTTGCCCTGCCAAGCCTCGAAGAGATTCCTGAGGTGTCCCTAGTTACTAGACAGGAGTCCTGACGTCACTGAAGAAACTCGTGTTTTGAAGGGCCATCCCCGCCGTAAGTCGAGAACATTCCCCAGGTCCCCGACGCAACTCGAGAAAAACCATGAGACTTCCCCCTAGAGGCGAGATGAGGCCCTATTCCCCTGCAGTGCATGCAGAGCTATTCCGTGATCCCATTCAAACAAGTCAGGAGCTTCGACTTGCTTAATGGATCTCGAGACAGTCCCCAAGAACACTGTCACCAGTCTAGACGGACCCTGAGGTCACCCCAGCAACGCAAAGCAGCTCTATGTGCCCCAATTCAACTCGAGATGAGGCCCGATTCCCCTGCATTGACTCCAGAGCCTTTCCCCGTTCCCCATTCAACACGACCGGTGGCTCGACTTCCTTCAGGCCACTCCAGAGATGCCCCGAGAACACTGTCCCAAGTCTAGAGGAACACCAACTTCAGCACAGCAACTCGAGGAATGCTCCGTGTACCCCAAATCGCATCGAGATGAGAGCTGATTCCCTGGCTTAGGCTCAAGACGTATGCCAACTTTCCAGAAGCACCTCAGGAGGAGGCTTCTCTCAGCAATAGGTATGTGGGAGGGACCCCGAGTTTGCTGCCTCAAGGGGTACATACAGCGAGAAGCCCTAACTTGAAAGGAGGCCGGATTTCCTTGCAGTGGCTTGAATACAGGCCCGTCTTTCATCTCACAACATGAAGGGATGTCTGAATCTCCTGTGGAGACCTTAGAGAAAGCCCTAGGTCCCTGCCTCATTTTGACGGAATTCCTCACATCCCGCTGACAACTCGAGAGGCACGCGGAGTTCATTGCTTCAAAAGGTGACGATGCCTGACTCCTCTTGAATACTGATAGGAATCCCAAAATCACTGTGGCTACTGGAAAGGGTCCTTGGGTGAACTGCCTCACCTCGAGAAGCGTCCCTTTTGCCCTGCCAAGCCTCGAAGAGATTCCTGAGGTGTCCCTCGTTACTAAACAGGAGTCCTGACGTCACTGAAGAAACTCGTGTTTTGAAGGGCCATCCCCGCCGTAAGTCGAGAACATTCCCCAGGTCCCCGACGCAACTCGAGAAAAACCATGAGACTTCCCCCTAGAGGCGAGATGAGGCCCCATTCCCCTGCAGTGCATGCAGAGCTACTCCGTGATCCCATTCAAACAAGTCAGGAGCTTCGACTTGCTTAATGGATCTCGAGACAGTCCCCAAGAACACTGTCACCAGTCTAGACGGACCCTGAGGTCACCCCAGCAACGCAAAGCAGCTCTATGTGCCCCAATTCAACTCGAGATGAGGCCCGATTCCCCTGCATTGACTCCAGAGCCTTTCCCCGTTCCCCATTCAACACGACCGGTGGCTCGACTTCCTTCAGGCCACTCCAGAGATGCCCCGAGAACACTGTCCCAAGTCTAGAGGAACAACAACTTCAGCACAACAACTCGAGGAATGCTCCGTGTACCCCAAATCGTCTCGAGATGAGAGCTGATTCCCTGGCTTAGGCTCAAGACATATGCCAACTTTCCAGAAGCACCTCAGGACGAGGCTTCTCTCAGCAATAGGTATGTGGGAGGGACCCCGAGTTTGCTGCCTCAAGGGGAATATACAGCGAGAAGCCCTAACTTGAAAGGAGGCCGGATTTCCTTGCAGTGGCTTGAATACAGGCCCGTCTTTCATCTCACAACATGAAGGGATGTCTGAATCCCCTGTGGAGACCTTAGAGAAAGCCCTAGGTCCCTGCCTCATTTTGAAGGACTGCTTCACATCCCGCTGACACCTCGAGAGGCACGCGGAGTTCATTGCTTCAAAAGGTGACGATGCCTGACTCCTCTTGAATACTGATAGGAATCCCAAAATCCCTGTGGCTACTGGAAAGGGTCCTTGGGTGCCCTGCCTCACCTCGAGAAGCGTCCCTTTTGCCCTGCCAAGCCTCGAAGAGATTCCTGAGGTGTCCCTCGTTACTAGACAGGAGTCCTGACGTCACTGAAGAAACTCGTGTTTTGAAGGGCCATCCCCGCCGTAAGTCGAGAACATTCCCCAGGTCCCCGACGCAACTCGAGAAAAACCATGAGACTTCCCCCTAGAGGCGAGATGAGGCCCCATTCCCCTGCAGTGCATGCAGAGCTATTCCGTGATCCCATTCAAACAAGTCAGGAGCTTCGACTTGCTTAATGGATCTCGAGACAGTCCCCAAGAACACTGTCACCAGTCTAGACGGACCCTGAGGTCACCCCAGCAGCGCAGAACAGCTCCATGTGCCCCAAATCAACTCGAGATGAGGCCCGATTCCCCTGCATTGACTCCAGAGCCATTCCCCGTTCCCCATTCAACACGACCGGTGGCTCGACTTCCTTCAGACCACTGCAGAGATGCCCCGAGCACACTGTCCCAAGTGTAGAGGAACACCAACTTCAGCACAGCAACTCGAGGAATGCCCCGTGTACCCCAAATCGTCTCGAGATGAGAGCTGATTCCCTGGCTTAGGCTCAAGACATATGCCAACTTTCCAGAAGCACCTCAGGACGAGGCTTCTCTCAGCAATAGGTATGTGGGAGGGACCCCGAGTTTGCTGCCTCAAGGGGAATATACAGCGAGAAGCCCTAACTTGAAAGGAGGCCGGATTTCCTTGCAGTGGCTTGAATACAGGCCCGTCTTTCATCTCACAACATGAAGGGATGTCTGAATCCCCTGTGGAGACCTTAGAGAAAGCCCTAGGTCCCTGCCTCATTTTGACGGAATGCCTCACATCCCGCTGACACCTCGAGAGGCACGCGGAGTTCATTGCTTCAAAAGGTGACGATGCCTGACTCCTCTTGAATACTGATAGGAATCCCAAAATCCCTGTGGCTACTGGAAAGGGTCCTTGGGTGCCCTGCCTCACCTCGAGAAGCGTCCCTTTTGCCCTGCCAAGCCTCGAAGAGATTCCTGAGGTGTCCCTCGTTACTAGACAGGAGTCCTGACGTCACTGAAGAAACTCGTGTTTTGAAGGGCCATCCCCGCCGTAAGTCGAGAACATTCCCCAGGTCCCCGACGCAACTCGAGAAAAACCATGAGACTTCCCCCTAGAGGCGAGATGAGGCCCTATTCCCCTGCAGTGCATGCAGAGCTATTCCGTGATCCCATTCAAACAAGTCAGGAGCTTCGACTTGCTTAATGGATCTCGAGACAGTCCCCAAGAACACTGTCACCAGTCTAGACGGACCCTGAGGTCACCCCAGCAACGCAAAGCAGCTCTATGTTCCCCAATTCAACTCGAGATGAGGCCCGATTCCCCTGCATTGACTCCAGAGCCTTTCCCCGTTCCCCATTCAACACGACCGGTGGCTCGACTTCCTTCAGGCCACTCCAGAGATGCCCCGAGAACACTGTCCCAAGTCTAGAGGAACACCAACTTCAGCACAGCAACTCGAGGAATGCTCCGTGTACCCCAAATTGCATCGAGATGAGAGCTGATTCCCTGGCTTAGGCTCAAGACGTATGCCAACTTTCCAGAAGCACCTCAGGAGGAGGCTTCTCTCAGCAATAGGTATGTGGGAGGGACCCCGAGTTTGCTGCCTCAAGGGGAATATACAGCGAGAAGCCCTAACTTGAAAGGAGGCCGGATTTCCTTGCAGTGGCTTGAATACAGGCCCGTCTTTCATCTCACAACATGAAGGGATGTCTGAATCCCCGGTGGAGACCTTAGAGAAAGCCCTAGGTGCCTGCCTCATTTTGACGGAATGCCTCACGTCCCGATGACACGTCGAGAGGCACACGGAGTTCATTGCTTCAAAAGTTGACGATGCCTGACTCCTCTTGAATACTTATAGGAATCCCAAAATCCCTGTGGCTACTGGAAAGGGTCCTTGGGTGCCCTGAATCACCTCGAGAAGCGTCCCTTTTGCCCTGCCAAGCCTCGAAGAGATTCCTGAGGTGTCCCTCGTTACTAGTCAGGAGTCCTGACGTCACTGAAGAAACTCGTCTTTTGAAGGGCCATCCCCGCCGTAAGTCGAGAACATATCCCGGGTCCCCGCCGCAACTCGAGAAAAACCATGAGACTTCCCCCTAGAGGCGAGATGAGGCCCCATTCCCCTGCAGTGCATACAGAGCTATTCCGTGATCCCATTCAAACAAGTCAGGAGCTTCGACTTGCTTAATGGATCTCGAGACAGTCCCCAAGAACACTGTCACCAGTCTAGACGGACCCTGAGGTCACCCCAGCAACGCAAAGCAGCACTATGTGCCCCAAATCAACTCGAGATGTGGCCCGATTCCCCTGCATTGACTCCAGAGCCCTTCCCCGTTCCCCATTCAACACGACCGGTGGCTCGACTTCCTTCAGGCCACTCCAGAGATGCCCCGTGATCACTGTCCCAAGTCTAGAGGAACACCAACTTCAGCACAGCAACTCGAGGAATGCTCCGTGTACCCCAAATCACATCGAGATGAGAGCTGATTCCCTGGCTTAGGCTCAAGACGTATGGCAACTTTCCAGAAGCACCTCAGGAGGAGGCTTCTCTCAGCAATAGGTATGTGGGAGGGACCCCGAGTTTGCTGCCTCAAGGGGAATATACAGCGAGAAGCCCTAACTTGAAAGGAGGCCGGATTTCCTTGCAGTGGCTTGAATACAGGCCCGTCTTTCATCTCACAACATGAAGGGATGTCTGAATCCCCTGTGGAGACCTTAGAGAAAGCCCTAGGTGCCTGCCTCATTTTGACGGAATGCCTCACATCCCGCTGACACCTCGAGAGGCACACGGAGTTCATTGCTTCAAAAGTTGCCGATGCCTGACTCCTCTTGAATACTGATAGGAATCCCAAAATCCCTGTGGCTACTGGAAAGGGTCCTTGGGTGCCCTGCCTCACCTCGAGAAGCGTCCCTTTTGCCCTGCCAAGCCTCGAAGAGATTCCTGAGGTGTCCCTCGTTACTAGTCAGTAGTCCTGACGTCACTGAAGAAACTCGTGTTTTGAAGGGCCATCCCCGCCGTAAGTCGAGAACATACCCCAGGTCCCCGCCGCAACTCGAGAAAAACCATGAGAGTTCCCCCTAGAGGCGAGATGAGCCCCATTCCCCTGCAGTGCATGCAGAGCTATTCCGTGATTCCATTCAAACAAGTCAGGAGCTTCGACTTGCTTAATGGATCTCGAGACAGTCCCCAAGAACACTGTCACCAGTCTAGACGGACCCTGAGGTCACCTAGCAGCGCAGAGCAGCTCCATGTGCCCCAAATCAACTCGAGATGAGGCCCGATTCCCCTGCATTGACTCCAGAGCCATTCCCCGTTCCCCATTCAACGCGACCGGTGGCTCGACTTCCTTCAGGCCACTGCAGAGATGCCCCGAGCACACTGTCCCAAGTCTAGAGGAACACCAACTTCAGCACAGCAACTCGAGGAATGCTCCGTGTACCCCAAATCGCATCGAGATGAGAGCTGATTCCCTGGCTTAGGCTCAAGACGTATGCCAACTTTCCAGAAGCACCTCAGGAGGAGGCTTCTCTCAGCAATAGGTATGTGGGAGGGACCCCGAGTTTGCTGCCTCAAGGGGAACATACAGCGAGAAGCCCTAACTTGAAAGGAGGACGGATTTCCTTGCAGTGGCTTGAATACAGGCCCGTCTTTCATCTCACAACATGAAGGGATGTCTGAATCCCCTGTGGAGACCTTAGAGAAAGCCCTAGGTCCCTGCCTCATTTTGACGGAATGCCTCACATCCCGCTGACACCTCGAGAGGCACACGGAGTTCATTGCTTCAAAAGGTGACGATGCCTGACTCTTCTTGAATACTGATAGGAATCCCAAAATCCCTGTGGCTACTGGAAAGGGTCCTTGGGTGCCCTGCCTCACCTCGAGAAGCGTCCCTCTTGCCCTGCCAAGCCTCGAAGAGATTCCTGACGTGTCCCTCGTTACTAAACAGGAGTCCTGACGTCACTGAAGAAACTCGTGTTTTGAAGGGCCATCCCCGCCGTAAGTCGAGAACATTCCCCAGGTCCCCGCCGCAACTCGAGAAAAACCATGAGACTTCCCCCTAGAGGCGAGATGAGGCCCCATTCCCCTGCAGTGCATGCAGAGCTACTCCGTGATCCCATTCAAACAAGTCAGGAGCTTCGACTTGCTTAATGGATCTCGAGAGAGTCCCCAAGAACACTGTCACCAGTCTAGACGGACCCTGAGGTCACCCCAGCAACGCAAAGCAGCTCTATGTGCCCCAAATCAACTCGAGATGAGGCCCGATTCCCCTGAATTGACTCCAGAGCCTTTCCCCGTTCCCCATTCAACACGACCGGTGGCTTGACTTCCTTCAGGCCACTCCAGAGATGCCCAGAGATCACTGTCCCAAGTCTAGAGGAACACCAACTTCAGCACAGCAACTCGAGGAATGCTCCGTGTACCCCAAATCACATCGAGATGAGAGCTGATTCCCTGGCTTAGGCTCAAGACATATGCCAACTTTCCAGAAGCACCTCAGGACGAGGCTTCTCTCATCAATAGGTATGAGGGAGGGACCCCGAGTTTGCTGCCTCAAGGGGAATATACAGCGAGAAGCCCTAACTTGAAAGGAGGCCGGATTTCCTTGCAGTGGCTTGAATACAGGCCCGTCTTTCATCTCACAACATGAAGGGATGTCTGAATCCCCTGTGGAGACCTTAGAGAAAGCCCTAGGTGCCTGCCTCATTTTGACGGAATGCCTCACATCCCGCTGACACCTCGAGAGGCACACGGAGTTCATTGCTTCAAAAGTTGACGATGCCTGACTCCTCTTGAATACTGATAGGAATCCCAAAATCCCTGTGGCTACTGGAAAGGGACCTTGGGTGCCCTGCCTCACCTCGAGAAGCGTCCCTTTTGCCCTGCCAAGCCTCGAAGAGATTCCTGAGGTGTCCCTCGTTACTAGTCAGGAGTCCTGACGTCACTGAAGAAACTCGTGTTTTGAAGGGCCATCCCCGCCATAAGTCGAGAACATATCCCGGGTCCCCGCCACAACTCGAGAAAAAACATGAGACTTCGCCCTAGAGGCGAGATGAGGCCCCATTCCCCTGCAGTGCATACAGAGCTATTCCGTGATCCCATTCAAACATGTCAGGAGCTTCGACTTGCTTAATGGATCTCGAGACAGTCCCCAAGAACACTGTCACCAGTCTAGACGGACCCTGAGGTTACCCCAGCAACGCAAAGCAGCTCCATGTGCCCCAAATCAACTCGAGATGAGGCCCGATTCCCCTGCATTGACTCCAGAGCCATTCCCCGTTCCCCATTCAACACAACCGGTGGCTCGACTTCCTTCAGGCAACTCCAGAGATGCCCCGAGAACACTGTCCCAAGTCTAGAGGAACAACAACTTCAGCAAAACAACTCGAGGAATGCTCCGTGTACCCCAAATCGTCTCGAGATGAGAGCTGATTCCCTGGCTTAGGCTCAAGACGTATGCCAACTTTCCAGAACCACCTCAGGACGAGGCTTCTCTCAGCAATAGGTATGTGGGAGGGACCCCGAATTTGCTGCCTCAAGGGGAATATACAGCAAGAAGCCCTAACTTGAAAGGAGGCCGGATTTCCTTGCAGTGGCTTGAATACAGGCCCGTCTTTCATCTCACAACATGAAGGGATGTCTGAATCCCCTGTGGAGACATTAGAGAAAGCCCTAGGTCCCTGCCTCATTTTGACGGAATGCTTCACATCCCACTGACACCTCGAGAGGCACGCGGAGTTCATTGCTTCAAAAGGTGACGATGCCTGACTCCTCTTGAATACTGATAGGAATCCCAAAATCCCTGTGGCTTCTGGAAAGTGTTCTTGGGTGCCCTGCCTCACCTCGAGAAGCGTCCCTTTTGCCCTGCCAAGCCTCGAAGAGATTCTTGAGGTGTCCCGCGTTACTAGACAGGAGTCCTGACGTCACTGAAGAAACTCGTGTTTTGAAGGGCCATCCCCGCCGTAATTCGAGAACATACCCCAAGTCCCCGCCGCAACTCGAGAAAAACCATGAGACTTCCCTCTAGAGGCGAGATGATGCCCCATTCCCCTGCAGTGCATGCAGAGCTACTCCATGATCCCATTCAAACAAGTCAGGAACTTCGACTTGCTTAATGGATCTCGAGACAGTCCCCAAGAACACTGTCACCAGTCTAGACGGACCCTGAGGTCACCCCAGCAACGCAAAGCAGCTCTATGTGCCCCAAATCAACTCGAGATGAGGCCCGATTCCCCTGCATTGACTCCAGAGCCTTTCCCCGTTCCCCATTCAACACGACCGGTGGCTCGACTTCCTTCAGGCCACTCCAGAGATACCCCGAGAACACTGTCCCAAGTCTAGAGGAACACCAACTTCAGCACAGCAACTCGAGGAATGCTCCGTGTACCCCAAATCGCATCGAGATGAGAGCTGATTCCCTGGCTTAGGCTCAAGACGTATGCCAACTTTCCAGAAGCACCTCAGGAGGAGGCTTCTCTCAGCAATAGGTATGTGGAGGGACCCCGAGTTTGCTGCCTCAAGGGAATATACAGCGAGAAGCCCTAACTTGAAAGGAGGCCGGATTTCCTTGCAGTGGCTTGAATACAGGCCCGTCTTTCATCTCACAACAAGAAGGGATGTCTGAATCCCCTTTGGAGACCTTAGAGAAAGCCCTAGGTCCCTGCCTCATTTTGACGGAATGCCTCACATCCCGCTGACACCTCGAGAGGCACACGGAGTTCATTGCTTCAAAAGTTGACGATGCCTGACTCCTCTTGAATACTGATAGGAATCCCAAAATCCCTGTGGATACTGGAAAGGGTCCTTGGGTGCCCTGCCTCACCTCGAGAAGCGTCCCTTTTGCCCTGCCAAGCCTCGAAGAGATTCCTGAGGTGTCCCTCGTTACTAGTCAGGAGTCCTGACGTCACTGAAGAAACTCGTGTTTTGAAGGGCCATCCCCGCCATAAGTCGAGAACATATCCCGGGTCCCCGCCACAACTCGAGAGAAAACATGAGACTTCCCCCTAGAGGCGAGATGAGGCCCCATTCCCCTGCAGTGCATACAGAGCTATTCCGTGATCCCATTCAAACATGTCAGGAGCTTCGACTTGCTTAATGGATCTCGAGACAGTCCCCAAGAACACTGTCACCAGTCTAGACGGACCCTGAGGTTACCCCAGCAACGCAAAGCAGCTCCATGTGCCCCAAATCAACTCGAGATGAGGCCCGATTCCCCTGCATTGACTCCAGAGCCATTCCCCGTTCCCCATTCAACACGACCGGTGGCTCGACTTCCTTCAGGCAACTCCAGAGATGCCCTGAGAACACTGTCCCAAGTCTAGAGGAACAACAACTTCAGCAAAACAACTCGAGGAATGCTCCGTGTACCCCAAATCGTCTCGAGATGAGAGCTGATTCCCTGGCTTAGGCTCAAGACGTATGCCAACTTTCCAGAACCACCTCAGGACGAGGCTTCTCTCAGCAATAGGTATGTGGGAGGGACCCCGAATTTGCTGCCTCAAGGGGAATATACAGCAAGAAGCCCTAACTTGAAAGGAGGCCGGATTTCCTTGCAGTGGCTTGAATACAGGCCCGTCTTTCATCTCACAACATGAAGGGATGTCTGAATCCCCTGTGGAGACATTAGAGAAAGCCCTAGGTCCCTGCCTCATTTTGACGGAATTCTTCACATCCCGCTGACACCTCGAGAGGCACGCGGAGTTCATTGCTTCAAAAGGTGACGATGCCTGACTCCTCTTGAATACTGATAGGAATCCCAAAATCCCTGTGGCTACTGGAAAGGGTCCTTGGGTGCCGTGCCTCACCTCAAGAAGCGTCCCTTTTGCCCTGCCAAGCCTCGAAGAGATTCCTGAGGTGTCCCTCCTTACTAGTCAGGAGTCCTGACGTCACTGAAGAAACTCGTGTTTTGAAGGGCCATCCCCGCCGTAAGTCGAGAACATACCCCAGGTCCCCGCCGCAACTCGAGAAAAACCATGAGACTTCCCCCTAGAGGCGAGATGAGGCCCCATTCCCCTGCAGTGCATGCAGAGCTATTCCGTGATCCCATTCAAACAAGTCAGGAGCTTCGACTTGCTTAATGGATCTCGAGACAGTCCCCAAGAACACTGTTACCAGTCTAGTCGGACCCTGAGGTCACCCCAGCAGCGCAGAGCAGCTCCATGTGCCCCAAATAAACTCGAGATGAGGCCCGATTCCCCTGCATTGACTCCAGAGCCATTCCCCGTTCCCCATTCAACACGACCGGTGGCTCGACTTCCTTCAGGCAACTCCAGAGATGCCCCGAGAACACTTTCCCAAGTCTAGAGGAACAACAACTTCAGCACAACAACTGGAGGAATGCTCCGTGTACCCCAAATCGTCTCGAGATGAGAGCTGATTCCCTGGCTTAGGCTCAAGACATATGCCAACTTTCCAGAAGCACCTCAGGAGGAGGCTTCTCTCAGCAATAGGTATGTGGGTGGGACCCCGAGTTTGCTGCCTCAAGGGGAATATACAGCGAGAAGCCCTAACTTGAAAGGAGGCCGGATTTCCTTGCAGTGGCTTGAATACAGGCCCGTCTTTAATCTCACAACATGAAGGGATGTCTGAATCCCCTGTGGAGACCTTAGAGAAAGACCTAGGTCCCTGCCTCATTTTGACGGAATGCTTCACATCCCGCTGACACCTCGAGAGGCACGCGGAGTTCATCGCTTCAAAAGGTGACGATGCCTGACTCCTCTTGAATACTGATAGGAATCCCAAAATCCCTGTGGCTACTGGAAAGGGTCCTTGGGTGCCCTGCCTCAACTCGAGAAGCGTCCCTTTTGCCCTGCCAAGCCTCGAAGAGATTCCTCAGGTGTCCCTCGTTACTAGACATGAGTCCTGACCTCACTGAAGAAACTCGTGTTTTGAAGGGCCATCCCCGCCTTAAGTCGAGAACATTCCCCAGGTCCCCGACGCAACTCGAGAAAAACCATGAGACTTCCCCCTAGAGGCGAGATGAGGCCCCATTTCCCTGCAGTGCATGCAGAGCTATTCCGTGATTCCATTCAAACAAGTCAGGAGTTTCGTCTTGCTTAATGGATCTCGAGACAGTCCCCAAGAACACTGTCACCAGTCTAGACGGACCCTGAGGTCACCCCAGCAACGCAAGGCAGCTCCATGTGCCCCAAATCAACTCGAGATGAGGCCCGATTCCTCTGCATTGACTCCAGAGCCATTCCGCGCTCCCCATTCAACACGACCGGTGGCTCGACTTCCTTCAGGCCACTGCAGAGATGCCCCGAGCACACTGTCCCAAGTCTAGAGGAACACCAACTTCAGCACAGCAACTCGAGGAATGCTCCGTGTACCCCAAATCGTCTCGAGATGAGAGCTGATTCCCTGGCTTAGGCTCAAAATGTATGCCAACTTTCCAGAAGCAACTCAGGAGGAGGCTTCTCTCAGCAATAGGTATGTGGGAGGGACCCCGAGTTTGCTGCCTCAAGGGGAATATACAGCGAGAAGCCCTAACTTGAAAGGAGGCCGGATTTCCTTGCAGTGGCTTGAATACAGGCTCGTCTTTCATCTCACAACATGAAGGGATGTCTGAATCCCCTGTGGAGACCTTAGAGAAAGCCCTAGGTCCCTGCCTCATTTTGACGGAATGCCTCACATCCCGCTGACACCTCGAGAGGCACACGGAGTTCATTGCTTCAAAAGGTGACGATGCCTGACTCCTCTTGAATACTGATAGGAATCCCAAAATCCCTGTGGCTACTGGAAAGGGTCCTTGGGTGCCCTGACTCACCTCAAGAAGCGTCCCTTTTGCCCTGCCAAGCCTCGAAGAGATTCCTGAGGTGTCCCTCCTTACTAGTCAGGAGTCCTGACGTCACTGAAGAAACTCGTGTTTTGAAGGGCCATCCCCGCCGTAAGTCGAGAACATACCCCAGGTCCCCGCCGCAACTCGAGAAAAACCATGAGACTTCCCCCTAGAGGCGAGATGAGGCCCCATTCCCCTGCAGTGCATGCAGAGCTATTCCGTGATCCCATTCAAACAAGTCAGGAGCTTCGACTTGCTTAATGGATCTCGAGACAGTCCCCAAGAACACTGTTACCAGTCTAGTCGGACCCTGAGGTCACCCCAGCAGCGCAGAGCAGCTCCATGTGCCCCAAATAAACTCGAGATGAGGCCCGATTCCCCTGCATTGACTCCAGAGCCATTCCCCGTTCCCCATTCAACACGACCGGTGGCTCGACTTCCTTCAGGCAACTCCAGAGATGCCCCGAGAACACTTTCCCAAGTCTAGAGGAACAACAACTTCAGCACAACAACTGGAGGAATGCTCCGTGTACCCCAAATCGTCTCGAGATGAGAGCTGATTCCCTGGCTTAGGCTCAAGACATATGCCAACTTTCCAGAAGCACCTCAGGAGGAGGCTTCTCTCAGCAATAGGTATGTGGGTGGGACCCCGAGTTTGCTGCCTCAAGGGGAATATACAGCGAGAAGCCCTAACTTGAAAGGAGGCCGGATTTCCTTGCAGTGGCTTGAATACAGGCCCGTCTTTAATCTCACAACATGAAGGGATGTCTGAATCCCCTGTGGAGACCTTAGAGAAAGACCTAGGTCCCTGCCTCATTTTGACGGAATGCTTCACATCCCGCTGACACCTCGAGAGGCACGCGGAGTTCATCGCTTCAAAAGGTGACGATGCCTGACTCCTCTTGAATACTGATAGGAATCCCAAAATCCCTGTGGCTACTGGAAAGGGTCCTTGGGTGCCCTGCCTCAACTCGAGAAGCGTCCCTTTTGCCCTGCCAAGCCTCGAAGAGATTCCTCAGGTGTCCCTCGTTACTAGACATGAGTCCTGACCTCACTGAAGAAACTCGTGTTTTGAAGGGCCATCCCCGCCTTAAGTCGAGAACATTCCCCAGGTCCCCGACGCAACTCGAGAAAAACCATGAGACTTCCCCCTAGAGGCGAGATGAGGCCCCATTTCCCTGCAGTGCATGCAGAGCTATTCCGTGATTCCATTCAAACAAGTCAGGAGTTTCGTCTTGCTTAATGGATCTCGAGACAGTCCCCAAGAACACTGTCACCAGTCTAGACGGACCCTGAGGTCACCCCAGCAACGCAAAGCAGCTCCATGTGCCCCAAATCAACTCGAGATGAGGCCCGATTCCTCTGCATTGACTCCAGAGCCATTCCGCGTTCCCCATTCAACACGACCGGTGGCTCGACTTCCTTCAGGCCACTGCAGAGATGCCCCGAGCACACTGTCCCAAGTCTAGAGGAACACCAACTTCAGCACAGCAACTCGAGGAATGCTCCGTGTACGCCAAATCGTCTCGAGATGATAGCTGATTCCCTGGCTTAGGCTCAAGACGTATGCCAACTTTCCAGAAGCACCTCAGGAGGAGGCTTCTCTCAGCAATAGGTATGTGGGAGGGACCCCGAGTTTGCTGCCTCAAGGGGAATATACAGCGAGAAGCCCTAACTTGAAAGGAGGCCGGATTTCCTTGCAGTGGCTTGAATACAGGCCCGTCTTTCATCTCACAACATGAAGGGATGTCTGAATCCCCTGTGG